CCCCCCTCCCTCCCAGTTCATTGCACGTATAGCTGATTCATGACAATCAGGCTACTGAATTACAGCCCCCCAGCAGTCCTGATCCGCCTCCTGGCCACAAACGGCCTCATAGCATATCTCACATCCTCCGTCCTATGGCTGTCAGGCGCCTCCTCCGATCCACGCTTACTACTTCCAGCATGGATATCCATCACAACCGTACGTTTCCATCCTTCTTAAACCATTCATATGCTCACATGCAGCTAACGCGATTCGGGGGGTGATTGAAGACATTAACATTCCTCTACCACGCAACCCAAAACCACGCTATGATCAAACGCGAAACCACAGCCTCGATTTCAGTCCTGTCCGTGGCGAGCTATGTGAGCATGTCGCTGATATTGTTGCAGTTGCATTTGACGCGCGATAACGAGCCGGAGGTTCCTGCGTTTGTGATGGGGCAGAAGGTGTTGGATTGGGTTGGGTCTCTTACTAGTTCTACTACTGCTTCGTAAGGTCTGGTGGTTGTCTTTCTTTGCAGGCGTTGTTTGCATGTCGGTTGGCATAATTCTTATATCGATACCTAAGATCAATTGTTACAATTTAGAATATTACTACGATCATTTGAACAAGAGCCATAATAATCTTTCATGAATTGGCATCATCGATGCTAAGACATACAAAAGAAATAACAAGAATAAAAGACAAATCATCTATGGGTATCTACAACGCCATGTTCCAGTCCTCCCGTCCCTGACAGCAGAATCATCAAATCATGAGAAAAAACAAACGGCTCCTTAAAGACCACCTGAAAAGGTGACCTCGATGAGACACCATTCGCGCAAGTATTTCCCCCATGTCCGATAATTCAAAGAGCAAATCGTAAACCCTTCCATCGGGAATCGCCAGTCGAATACAAATAACTTGACAGTGACATTCGTGCTGTCTCTGAAAAGGATACTCGTCGAGCGAGACACTCTAAGAATGAGGATGATATCGATAGATTAACCGACAAGATGAAACAGTTCCATCGTATCCTCAAAGGGTCGATCTGTCGAGAAGGACCGAAACGACACGGCGCGTGATTTTAGAACCCATGGACCTGTACAGGTTAGCTTTATTCGATACTACACAACAGAAGAAGAGAAATTACCTTGATGGTCTTGGCGTCGAGTTCTAAGCCCTCTTTCTTGTCGACCAAGAACTCCTGAACATCTTTGCGCTGATCACCCTGGAGCTGGATCACCTCTCCCATCTCACTGTCGTTGACAATGGTGCCATTGCAAGCTGAGCCGTTAGCTGAAATTCCCAGTAAACAAAGAGAAGAACATACCAAATTTCTTCTTGATGACCTTGAGAATCTTCTTCTGATCAAACTTCTTAGGAAGACCCTGGACGGTGGTCAATGTCTTACGACCATTGCGCTCTGCCAACGATTAGCTGTGTCCATGAACCAATAGCAGACTGGAAAACGTACGTTGAATTCGTATATGAATGTAATTCTGAGACTGTTTAGTCTCACCGGTGTCTTCGTCGGCTTCGGCGAAGGGGTCTGTGATGATGGTGGTGGTTAGTTGTTGCTGTTGCACGAGCTAAAACTACCCCGCTCTACATCACTACATCACGAGCGGAAGTCGTTCTGAATAAACATCAAGAATGACGCGCTACCCGCGGTGCGATACATAAAGCGAGAAAGACAAGAAAAATAGGGCAGCTTGTCGGTATGATAGACGACAAAGAAGACTTACCGAAGGTCTTGAGGTTTTCGATGGACATAAACTCTGCCTGTGCTGGAAACTTCCTTGAAAAAGGGGGTATAGATAATAAAGCTGTTGGAAAGAGAACCCAGGGTAGTCTCTTTGTAGATGCAAATGCAGTTGGTGGTATGTTTCTGTTGTGGAAACTGGTCTGAAGAGGGGAGATGGGTGTGCAGGAAATGAGTCGGTGCTGGCCGAGGAGGAATCGGATTCTTTTTAAAGAGAAAGAAAGGGCTCAGCGCGAGGGGCGAGCCTTCCCGCCAGACATTCTGCCAAGACTGTCCACAGTTAGGGCCCAAACGAGGAAGGTGTCGATGACTCAGCTGGTGGCCAACGCGCTGATTGGCTACCCCTCTTAGTCAGAGTCCCGTTAGTCAGCGGTCCCTTGTTTGAACTTCGACCTGGTTACCTGGGTGCACTACAGACTAGACTAACAAAGAGTCAACATGATGCTGGCGGTTGAATATCGTGTCTATAGGCTGTGGTGGAACAGAACTGCTCGACACAGTCTAAGCGAACACGTCGACCAACAGATGCAATCAGCGTTGTCAGAGCGGCAGTCAAAGCCTATCTGAAGTGACTACCGGCCAGTCAGGTGGCAAGACGAGTCACCAGGCTGTGTCAGAGTGCGTTGCATCATCCAGCGCTCACGCATACTGTTTCAGCTATACATCCACCAGTCTATTTCTTGCTATAACAGATAATCCGTGAGTATTATGTTTATTAGTAGAACATGTATATATTACATTGGTCACGAGACCACCAACCCCTCGCTCTGTAATAAGATTGTATGCCTGGATTTTCTCCTGTCTAACTTATCTAGCATCTTCAAGCTGTCAATGCTTGTCAATTATGGGGACGGCGACGGTGCCGGAGCATCGGCTGTGGCACTGCCGCGGGCGCCTGGTGTAGGGAAGAAAAGTGGCATGTATGTCTATCGCTGTGTTAGAAATCGATTTAAGTTGCAATCAAGGGCGGAGCGGAAACGTACGACAGCAAGAGACATCACTAGGCGAGATAATCGCATTAGCACAAAGATCGTATAATCCTCTCAGTCGTGCCGGGTGTGACTTACATGACATAAAGACGGACATATAACTAGGTGTAGCAGCGTTCTTGCTTTGCTCAGGGCTTTCTGATAGCCAACTCTGGATGGAGATAATCACGGCGACCCTATCGATAGTCGATTATTAGTGCGCTGTTCGTGGCAGATAGGCAGGAGCCAACGTACCATCCAATCATCCTAAATAAGGGGATCGCAATTGTTAATTGACCGCCCAAGGTTATCCGGATTGCGATATCAGTGTGTTAACGACGACTTACCGGTTTCGTGTAAACATCTAATTGACATTGGTATGTTTAGCATCTTGCGATAATAGCAAATAAGAGGGGAATCTTACAGCTGCCATTGGCAAAGTTGTGCTCATAGCACCTGTAACTTATCAACATCAATCCAACGCCTTGGGAGATCATGGCTATTTTTCAGCGCAATTGTGCATACCTGAAATATCCGTGTCGCTCTTCGCAGCTGGTGGCTCGACATATGGAATCACTAGACACTCAGATGGCCACGGTCAGCTCCGACCTATCAAGCGCGCATTGCAATCGATTCACAATCGGCTGTGGCAGAATAGCACTCACCCAGGTCCACCCTCCGCATATCCTTCTGAGTCGACATTGTGATTGATAGAGTGGCCGAGTCGACGTATATCTTGCTGTTACGTTTGATCTGATCGTCTGGCTGCTTCCCCAGAGATGGAGTGTCAATGGACAGGGGGGCTAACCATCTTCGGACACGTGCTGCGCTAGCCTGTAATGGCTGAAGGGTGGAACTTTTTGCGATACTGAGCCAATCAGGGTGTACTTCGTATCTTGTCATGTTTAACCAGTTGAGGCGGCCATGTCCGCCAATAATGGCGGTTTGCATTACTACATAGTATTGTTATGCACTCTGTACAGACAGTTCCCCATTTTCCGAGGGGGCAGGTGGTCAAGGACTCAAGAAAGAGCTAAGAAAAAGCAATTCGAGTCCCAGCGAAATGACTTCACCACAGACACGACTACTACGTCTACATTCAATCTGACGGGGTCTGTACGTGTCCGGCACAACAGGCAGATCTGCGTCTGCTGACAATTATTGATCCACCGATCTCAAACGGAATGCAGAGTGCAGATTCGTATGCTTACTGCGATACACAGCGCTAGAACAAAAGGAAGCTGAAACCCAGATTTTATAACGATATTTACCGAGATGCCGACATGACAAAGCAATTGGACAACGAAAACGCCCAGAAAGAAAGATTGAGAGTTACACAGATCGACTGTACAGGACCTATGAGACGATTGATCATTTTGTACGTATATTGTGGTAGATACGGTGACACACCGTCAAGGACGAAGTACTAGTATAGTTCGTGCTAACGACCCAGTAAAAGTCAAAAATGTAATAGATGGCCCCATCTTCACTAGCATCCATGAGTGTACTCCGGAATCGCAGCCTGCATTAAAGCACTCCGTAGACGTATCCAATATTCATTATGGCATGATCGCAAGTACGAATTATCTCCGTTAGCAACCTTGGAAGAGATTGCAAAATAAACCGGCACCTTATGGTCTAACACCCAGCGCGGTGATACGCGTAGGATCCAGCGCATATTTCCTTACTGGCATGCTTATCTCGAAGACAGATAGCACTGATATTATGTGGTGTTATAATCCGTTACTTCGTCGGTGGCTACATCGTGCTGTATCGACTGTCTAGGTTGTGTATCGGCCGGTCACCGGAGAGCAAAATCTTATTATTGGCACAGATTTGCCCTCGGTCCGCCCCCAGCAATTTATCCATACCATGCCAGCGTTGCGTAGCTTGCTCGAAGCAGTCAATCAATCAAACCATCGCGTATTCAGCTTACTGCATTGTGCACAAGCGTGCTATTCGTTTGTCGTTAAACGGTTGTCTGACCGTCTGTGACATGTCAGCTTTAATCCCGGTTCTTGCTAGAATGGCTGGGATTTCAGTCAATTACAGCCGTCGCTGAAGTCAACGACGTAGGTCATAGTTCTGCCTCGGTGAATCTTGCCACTGAAATTGCCTAGTTAAGTAGTAGTAACAGTTACCTATCTCGCAATACTGAATCAAGGATGGGAAATTTCAATCAACGGGTACAATGCCGGGTAAGTGGAGGAGGAAAGTTCCAGGTTGGACTTGTATCGCCACGGATCCGGAGTTTGTGAGTCCGTTGAACTCAATTATTGATCACACTTCGACTAGGTTATGTAACTATGTAAATCCGCGACATAAGCCTGGGCAAATCACATACATTAACATGTTTGCTTTTGACAAAATCAATGACTGAAAAGTAGAAAAGCTGCCGTTAACCGGGTTCGCTATGACCGCTAAGCCCGGAAGAGCAGGAATGCACGACAAAGCCAGGCCTGCTCGGCGTAATCGTACTGTAAGGGCATTACCCCCGTGCTTCGGCGTCCGCGGCTGCAATTAGACTGCAGTCATTGTGGTTGGACGTAATTTACCGTACTGAATACGGCTGATTACCGCCGGTTTCCCCGAGCAGTCAGTCAGTCCTGACTCCTAAGAACTTATCAGTCAAATCAGCATAGCCGCGCCGCTTGCCGCAATCAACGGTGGACTCGCCCTTTCCTCTCTTATCCGTGCTGCTGCCGTGCTTTCCTATACCGACTGGATCATACAACTCGCTTGCATCGCTTCTCTCATCTCACCTCAGCTTTCGCCATTTGTTCTTGTACTTCTTCCGAATCCTGCTCACCATCCCAAACCGATTCTTATCCTTTTCACCCATTTAGATCATATTTGCAACCACTCAGGTGCAGCATCTGCCGGTATGTCACCCAATACTTATCCGTCCGCTGCGGGAACTAAGACAACTGACGTTAGTTAGAGTTGGTGACAACAGATCGGGATTTCCTACAAATCATACGATTTCGGCCAATATCGATCGCATTGCTCCCTACATTACCCTTCGCAACGTCTGATTCATCTTCCTGAGCCTCTGTTGTGGTTGCTATCTTATCGTATTAGTCCTCCGTCAAGACGAAGGCTATATTGGGTCTCGACTGCCCGGAGGCACGGTCACTAGTATACAAACAATCCATCGATGACCTGAACTGCTTCAACAAGAGACAACCATGTCTCCCGTCTACATGCGATGATCCCGCATCCCTCCTCGACGGGCCTCCAGACCTGGACCAGCCAACATCGCGCTTCTGGGACAGCCGACAGGTCGTCCATGGCCGTGGCTCCCGCGCCTTCTTCCGCCCAACAGCTAATCGATCTGTCGTCCGACGGCCCTACAGAGAACGAACATCCTCACAAGAGACCTAGGTTAGATACGACCGTGTCCGGCCTGAGCGGCGATGGCCGTACCCCTTCGTCCAGAAGCGCAACAACCGGTCCCACCCCGAACAGACCTTCCGCGGTATCAGGTCGCGGCCGGCCAGCATACTCTTTTCAGGAATTAGTCGCTGATACATATGGAGGAAATGTGTTTGCTGGAAATGTGACCCCAGGATCGCAAACCTCCAAACCTCCTTCTCCGCCGCCGTTTCCCGTGCGACCATGGACCCATACTTCGGCGCGTCTGTCGCAAGTCGAAAATGAGGGATTGTCGAACAATATACGGGGGCGCGTGGTCCAAACCGTTCCGTACCACCCAGAAACTCCAGAAATTGCGCCCAGTCTGACTCGTGAAAGTAAGTATTATTAGATCGATACCTATGCGGTAAAGGGACTGAATAGCTAACAACTTTGTAGAAATCGCCGATTATGCACCATGGTCGCGCACCGGAAATCACCCCGAAGATAGGTTATCAGACCTCAATGTCAAGGCAGGGAATTTTGATAGGGTACCGGGTCCGAATACAAACTCTGATATCCAATCGCACGCTTCCAAACTTTCTAGTCAGTTAAAGAATCACTCCAGCTTGCAGCTGCTGTCATCCGTTTTCGCCGCCGCCTTGGAGAAACGTCAAATCAATGAAAAAATTTCCTCGACCTCTACCTTCAAACCGCCTCCACGTGTCACTCTCACGGACAACAAACGGGAGGCTTGGCTTCGCGATCTGGCTAACTCGTCTGTTCCGTTACGACGACTAAGCCGAACTATACCGCACGGAATTCGAGGCAAAGTCCTGTTGGACCAATGCTTGGGCAAGGGAGTTCCAATAGGCAGAGCTGTATGGCTGGCCAAATGTGTCGGAGCCAACGAGATCCGCGCATTCAAAAGAAAGGGCACCAGCGGATCCCTTTCGCAAGGGCTTGAGACGAAATGGGTTCGGGAGTGGACACTAAGTGTGCAACAATTCACTGCCGGAGTAATAAGTGCATGCGGAAAGCCGGATTGGCGAAATAAAATGACATATGCGTAAGATCACTATCCCTACCTCGTTTCTAACGTAGTGACTAATCGGTGATCAGAGTGAGACTCGCTGCTCGTCTATTCTACGAACATCTACTTGACCAAGACTACTATCTCGATTGGTATCTATCTTCGATGGAGGGCTCCTCGCTGGACGCCTTCCCGATATGGCTTGCAATGCTTAGTATCTACTGGGGAAGCCTTGTACGATTTAGAAAACGAGGCAGACGTCTTGCGGAGACTCTGTTGGAGAAATTACGCGAAGCCACATCGTCCGACTTCAAAATGAATTTACAACCCTTGATCGATCGAATCTCGCTGCTAGTCCGCCGGCTCTGCCGAGAAAATTCGCCGTGCCTTATTCTCCCACGATCATGGGACCGATATCAAGATGTTGTTGCATCTTCACTCTCAGACGATTCTAGGGAAAAGGCAATCTTGCAATCGCTGATTCTTCGAAATGCCCGTGTTCAAAGACCCGGGACCTGTTGTCCCACCCGTCAACGTTCACCACAAGAGCAGGTCATCAAGCTTCTAGATGCGTCTCGCGATTCTTGCGACATGTGTAGCCTATCGAGCAGTTGCCTCAATCTTGTCCCGGATAGGCAAGAGCTCGTTTCTGTGCTTCTGAGGTGGGCGGCCAGTTCGTTTCGCCAAGGATTGGTTCGCGTGTATATTGCAGTGCGACTTTTCCGCAAATGGAAACGATCAGGCATGGATATTGACGCCTGTATCTTTCCGTTTCTCACCCAGGCATCGATCGAGCAGTCGACATCTTCCATGACAAATGTCTATCACATTGTCGTCGAGTTAATCCGGTCTCAGACATTCTCGGTCGGCCGGTATCTGCAGTGGCTCGTCGCAAGAGGTGCAGTTGAACAGTATCGCCAACACTACTCTCCAGCATCATCTGTACCAGTTGACATAGCATTGCTATCGCACATACCAGTTGCCCGACTTCCAAGACACCTTCGCAATCTTCGAGATACGCTCATGGCTCGTGCTGGACTTTCTTCTTCCGAGGCGGAGGTATTGCATAGCGTCAAGGCTGATTTGAAACAGAGGCTCCCAAGTCTGCTTGGAAAAGATGGCTTTCATATGAATATCAATTACGATCAACACAATCTATCGTGGTCGATTAAAGCTGATGTTAGCCAGTGGATTCGAGCAGCTGTATCTGAACATTATGAAAACGGCTCCGCCTATCCTAAAATCTATGAAAATTCCGTCGAAGTGTCCTCTCTAACCCAAGAGGAATTCCTAGTTGTTCGTTCTGTACTTGAGCAATACGGCGATCTTTCCATGCTCGCGGACATTCTCATCGACGCGTCCAACTCAGATGATATTCGTTTACTTACTTGTGCTGTCGATACGCTTAATCGTCATTTTGAGTGCTTCACTATCATTGGTGCATTGGGCGATATGTTCAGAAGTTTCTACGAAGCTTTCCTCCGTGTGAAGACCAACGGGCAGCCTCTTTACGATTTAGCATATTCGATGGCAGAAGTCGGTCACCGTCTCCCAGAGGAAGTCAACTCTCTCGTATTACTTCGACAAGAACTCTGTCGTGCGGATCGTAACCTCGCTCTTGCAGCATGCTCTCCAGTGTCCGATCATATGGCAGAAACTTTAAACGACTCCAGCCCTTCATTCAACGAGGATATGGACCACTTCCTGTCATCTGGCAATAGTATGGATGAAATGACAATGGTTCTGGTGTTTCAAAAACTGATTCAGCAACTTGCTTCCTACAATGAGAAGATTCCATCAAAGCCAGGCTCGGTATGTCGTCATCTTGTACAGCTACGGTCGTTCAACTCCAAACACTTTGATCTTCTGCTGGTCCAATGGCTCGAGACGATTCTGAAGTCTGCTTCCCGTCCCAACCTGTCTCGTTTGCTACACCCTCTTGTTGGCATCGGATGTGTGACTTTACCGGCTTTCGCTACTTTGATGAACAAGCTTCTACAGTCTGGCTCGCTTCAACCTGCAAACTCAGTATTACCGGAATCGCTGGTTGACTTCCTGGAACTTCTTGTGCCAAACTACAGTGCTGAACCCTTATACGATTTTTTAGCGTACAGGTTTCGCATTGCTCAAGAAGAATTTCTTCACGGACACTCACATGAAGCTCTCGCCCTCCTCAAAGATGCAGTACCTCATATGACTTTAGGAGCACAAAATTTGGTATCCTCGGTTCCATGTGTGGTGCCTTTGCTGAGTGAGATAATTGTACGCCGTCCAGAGGCTGCTACTCTCGACAGCATCCGTGCTCTTATGAAGGTTAACCCGGTATTCCTTCCTGTTGTCCGCAAATCTCTCGATCATCTTTTGAGTGACCATCAGAGCAACCCGGATTTTTTGATGCAGACGGCGATGACTATCAACAAGACCAACCATCTTTCTCTGCCTCTGTGTCAATTGAAGTTGCAGATTCTATTCGACGAGAAGAACGACGATAGCATCAGGAACAGCATTGTAGATTTGATGTACACATCGGCAGTGGCGGATGTTCGTACTGGGAATACCTATTGGCTTGATCTGGTATCTACAATGGGCCAAGAGGCTGCTGAGCAGGTATGTAATTTCTAATGAAACATTAAACTGGGAATGTTGACTAACAGTTCAATAGCTACGCCAGAGAGCCGAAAAGGATTTCTTTGCTGTTGCACAACCCGAAAGCATGGAGAAAGATTCCGAAAACGAAAAACTCGGCCTTCAAGACAACGCACGTGTATATCTAGCCATTGTCGACGGGCTTGCGTATAGTATACCCGAAGAAGGGGTTTCCGCCGTGGCACCTGTTCTTGTCGAAAGAATGAACGCTTTGCTCCAAAAGCTGTTCACGATGCATATGAATGTGCGGACTTGGACCGAACAACGTAGCCGCAGCTCACAAGAGGCAATGACGCGGTCACTATCTGGCAGCGAAGAGAATTTCGTATTTTGGTTGACTGCAATGCTACAAATGATTCGAATTCACCGAGCTGCGTTCGATCTACCATCATCCGGCAACCATCGACTAGGTGCCTATGTCGATTTGTCCCGGTTACTCATCATAATATGCTGCCTCGCATTATCCCGTACACCCTTAGGACTTACGGTGCAGCCACGTTTAGATCTGTCTGCGTCATCATACTTTCTTGCATCAGCCAAAGAAGTCCGAGCCGGAAATACCATTCAAACATACGCTTTAGATATTGCATCTTCTCTTGTCGACAGTCTTCCCGACGAGGCTCGCCAACACTGTGCCAACTTCATCAAAGAGCGGTTTCCGCCAGCACTCAATGTCCAGAACGATCCTCGTTTGCAATTCTTGTTTGGGCCTGTTGCGGAGAATTTTGGCAACATGGGCGGAGCCCTTCCATCTTCTGTGTCAGTCTCATCACCAGCAGCGACATTGACCCCGTCCAACAATCCCGTCAGTGCAGCCACCGTTGCCGGAGGGAACGCAATCGAAGATCCTTTGGCGCTCAACAATCGGCTGCGCGTGCAAAGCCGCGGTCGTGTTATTGGATCATACCCCGTTCGTCCTTGGGAGATGCTGGAAGAAGCGGCTCCTGTAGTCGGTGCAAACGATACTGCAATTGATCTAAACCTCTTCGGTGCACGAAAGGTCCGCGATTACTGAAAGCATAGAAATCAACCCAACTCATCTCACCAAACTCACCTCAACCTCATTTTCACCTCTCATATGTTTCATGACCATTCTTCATATTTTTTCTGCATTTTTTCTTGTTTCCCTCGACCTTGTAATCTTTGCCTTCAAGCCGGAGTTTATCTATTTACATAACCATTGCACCAATTTCTGTTTCCATGCATGCATTCACGAGACATCACATACACATTTACACAAGGCGTTTTGAGTTCACTGTTCGATATGCCACCATTATCTGCTTTTTTTGACTTGTACCTGGATTGATTTTGTATATATTTTTATTATTTTTTTCTGGATATTTTTCTGGATTTACATTTCAATCAAGCATGGCGGTGCTGGGTCTGGTAGATTGGATTTAGTTTTCTATGTGAAAGATTTTGATTTCTTGTTGCTGCTACACATTACATTAGGTACATATACCAATGCGGGTTTTCTTTCTATCATTAGATATACATGTATTTCTCTCTGTTGAAAGCACATGTGGCTTCCTTGATACCAGTCTACTTCACAATATATACAATGAGTGTTGCTTCTGGTTGAAGCACTTTGAAGAGTCTCAACATTTGAACCACGAACCATTGAGATAGCTCTTACCTTCCGACTTATGAGAATACGTCTACGGGTCCCTTGAGCTAGGCTGTGATCATCCGATTCATCAACGGCGATGAACAATTGGGCGAAAGATGAGAAGATGATGCGTTCATGTAGAAGATGCCTTTAGCCAATTGACAGTAAATCGATCTATATGATAGCAGGAAATCTTTAAGTATGTCTAGAGATTCCCGGAAGAGTTTCAAGTGGATTTTATGTGTCATTTGACTTTGAAAAACGAACAGATACTTTCATCTAATCTACATAGACATACATGTGCTGCCCAACCCTCGAACGTTATATGTATATGTCTAGAGACTCGGGGCTTCAAGCTATGCTGCCTGTTATATCCCTGTAGAATACGGCCTAGATAGTGGTATTTTACCTTCTCTGTAACCTGTCTGGAGATTTGCTTGCATACTCCAAGGTTGTTGTTTGATATGTACTCCATACCTGGGTAGATAAAGAGAAAGAATATATAATCTCCAGGGATGGCAAGCCCCGGATGCATTTAGTGATGAGACAAAGAAACACGTCGTTCAGCTGGTTCAGCTGGTGCAACTATGTGTAACAACCCTAAATAGTGCTATCATGCTATGGGAAACTCCTCAAAGCTATTACCAATATGCCCTGACTTCCTCGACAAGTTATTCTTCTCATTCTATTAATTACCTACTTACATTTTTTCAGCTCTTCAAATGCGCGGTACTTCGCGGTTAACAGTACACAAGGACGGTGAGTATATAAAGGAGTCCTCAGAGAAGAGAGATGAAACTCCCCTAGCTAGTGAATAGTGATATTATTCCTTTTTGTTTATTAAGCAATAGTTTATGGCATCATATGTACATTCACACCTATTGGTAAATTTCATTGTAAGTTCAATTTCCACGCCTCCACAATCCGGACCAAATTCACTGCGGGCAATCTGAAAGTCATTCGTAAGGTGGCATCTGCTAGGGGGAGCAATGGAGATGAGGAGTGTCCGGTGCTCTCAAAGGAGTGTAAAACCCTCTGCAATGGTTGTCCAAACAAGCCAGTAGTATTACTTATTTCAACGCCGCGAGCGGGTAATGAACGATTTCAACTTCATTAATCTAAACAACCAAATCGTGCTACTAATGCATGTCTCGGATTGTAACATTGAACATCCTTGTCGTCACGGGGCTTGAGCCTTGCGCATTGAAACAAAGAAAATACGGGATGGTGACTCTCATTGGGGGATTACCACACCCCTGTATGACCACTAGATGAATTAGATTGGGTATCAATGTAGTACAATACAACCAAGTTCTCCAACACAAAATCTGATAGCCTAAGTATCGGGACGTTAGGAAAAAGTCTATTGAAATACTCCTAACACCGCCCTGTGAACTTAGTTTAGTTCTTATGTTTCTAAATAGACATAATTTACAAGACATAGACCCGCCAGTACAAGCATGGCCCTTCTCAACATTGCTGAAGCCGTAGACTCGAATTTCTCACTGCGATTTTCAGTAGCTACCATACTAGTACTACTGCTACTATATCCGATTTTCCAAATCGTGTACAATGTTTACTTCCACCCACTCGCGAAGATTCCAGGCCCCTTCTTATGGTCCGCATCTAGAATTCCATTTGTTTACCACCTTCTCCGTGGATCCCTAATCAAAAATCAACAGCGACTTCACAATCAGTATGGTCCCGTATTTCGCATGGCGCCAGATGAGGTTTCTTTCGCAAGCGAAGAAGCATGGCACGATATCTATACCTGGCGAGCCGGGCATAAGCGAGCCATACGTGATTCGGCATTTTTCCAACCTCCAGAGGGGCAGGCGGACAATCTGATCACTACAAGCAACGTCAAATTTCACGCTCGTGTACGTGGATTGATGAGCCACTCTTTTACTGAAGAATCCTTGTATGAGCAGGCCCCTCTCATAGAAGGCCACGCCGACATGCTCATCAACCAATTATGGCAGCGAGCAACAAGTTCCGAAGCCCTGGAAACAGGAGTATTGGTCAACGTGACGGACTGGATTAACTTTTTCACTATGGACGTGGTTCGTGACTGTGCCGTATCCAAGTGATTTTTTGGTTGTAAAATATTAACCTCATGGCAGATTGGAGACCTAGCTTTAGGCGAAGCTTTTGGTTGTTTGGCTAAAGGTGAATACCATGATTGGGTTCGAACGCTATATCAATACTTGAAGGCCATGACAATCGCTGCCGCCCCTCGTTACTGGCCTGTCATGCAATGGCTTTTCGAAAAAGCCATTCCTAAAAGTGTTAAAGACGGCTCAAAGCGTCATCAGCAATATGCCTTTGATCGGATCAATCGCCGTCTCGATAGCAAAACGGACCGTCTGGATTTCATGACGCCCTTTATGAAAAAGAATCCGAAGTGAGTTTAACGTTCCGAGGAGATCTTCTAAGTTTGACGCTCAATGACTTTGTTCTTATAGCTTTGAGAATATGTCTCGTGATGAGATCCTTTCATCGTTCAGTTTTGTGATTGTCGGCGGTGCAGAGACGAGCGCCACCACTATGACAGGCATTTTCAACCATCTCGCTATGCCACAGAACAAAGCGATCTTAAATCGCCTGACAAAGGAAATTCGAAGTTCCTACAAAGCAGAAGACGAAATCACCGTAGAAAGCATTACCCGTGCCAAATTACCTTATCTCGACGCTGTCATTCAGGAAGGACTCAGAATTTGTCACCCGGTGCCTTCTGGTTTGCCTCGAATGGTGCCGTCTGGTGGTGATGATTATGCCGGAATCTGGCTACCAGAAGGGGTAAGTGTTCCATCAACCTCCAGTACTAGCTAATCTCTTACACCCTATCCTCAGACTAGACTTGGTGTGCGTATCTTTGCCATGAATCGATCTGCCAAGTATTTCCACGATCCGGATAGCTTTGTTCCTGACCGGTGGCTGCCGAAAGAACTGCGGCCATCAGAATTCGCCAATGACAATCTCTCTGCATCGAAGCCGTTCAGCATTGGATTTCACAGTTGTCTTGGGAAGCCATTAGCTATGGTGGAAATGCGCCTTGTCTTGACCCGTATGCTTTGGGCGTTTGATATAGCAGAAGAAGAGGGAATGCATACGCATTTTGATAACTTTCCCATGATGATGATGGTGGAGAAACAACCAGTCATGCTCCGCTTGAGGGCGCGAAAGGGTGTGAACTACAAGGCAGCGGGTGGAGATGTAGTCTTGTGAGAAGACGTAGAAGGGATTAGTGTTGTGTATCTGTCATTACTAGCTGTGCTTGAATCAGATTCTTAATGCATTGGGGTTGTAGATCTACTTAGGGTTTGGAATAGCGAGCCCTAAGGCGGAGAATTTCCTGAAAAGGTAAATGGCTATTTTTGGACTAGCTTAGTTTCCAACAATCTGTGAATTAGTAATCAGCTCGTATTTTACGTCATTGGCTTCAACGTCTCGTTTGATCCTACAGAGTTACTTATTGCACAGAGTAATCTTGTGATAAATTGTCCTTTACCTAATCTTTGAAGACGTTCCGGGATTTGCGGTGAGATAACCCCGATTATTACACATGCGGGCGCAAGACATGTTACCTGAACCAAAAGGAACAGCCCAATCAAGGCAGCAGCAACGGAAAACGCGACAAAAGGCCTGTAATGCGTGCATAAAATCCAAAAGGCGATGCGACTTGCAACATCCTTCATGTCGGCGATGTGTCGTTAAGGGGATCGCGTGCGTGTATCCTTCGACAAGGCTTCATGACCATGTCAATACCGCCAGCCCTACTAGCAGTACTGGCAGTAGCAATGCTGCGGTAACTGTCATTGATACTCGAAAACATGCGCTTTCAATACCGAGCACTAGTCAACAGAATTCGTTGGTATTCCATTATCACAATGACGGACCACAGCAGCCTTACTTTCAATCTGACCACTACTTCTTCAACAACGACCATCTCACTCAGTCAATGCAATTCTTTCTATTACCTGGCACTTGGACCGTGATGGATACCACTGACAGCGATAGAAATCGTACTCGTCGCTCCGTGCCTCAGCTCATTAGTACGGTGCATCAGGTGCAGTCTTGGGTGAAGCAGTGGATTGAGGAAGGGAGTAACATGTTCGTGCATAAGAGACTTTACCACTCTCGTGAAAATCGTGGTGATGGAAGAGGAAGGTCACATATGCCGAGATGTATACAAGATGCTTATACAACGTGCGCAGCTTATTTTGCGTGTACGGAGAGGAATAAGGAGATGATATTGGCAATTGTCGAGGAAAGGGTGGCGACGTTGTTGAATGAGGAGGGTGATCCAGATGACCGTGTTGACCATGGTGTTGATGATCAGCTCGATAATCCATTCTCGACCCCCACACTAGAAATAGAAAGTGATGGACAAACAAAAGCAAAATCGAGCAAAACCCGAAGCGTCCTAGATCATGTCGCCCGCGTCCAAGCATTACTAGTTTATCAAACGATTCGACTCTTTGACGGCGATCCACGATCAAGGATAATGGCCGAATCTCTGATTCCAGTGCTAAGCCACTGGTGCAAAGAGATGCTCGACAGCGCATTACTGTCTAGCCAATACATTAATTCGGCCCCGTCAATAAATACGAAAGGGCAAGCTAACTTCGAAACGAAGTTAAATCTAGACTGGAACGCATGGATTCTCGCAGAGAGTGTACGCCGTACCTGGCTTGTTGCGGGCCATATGCAATGCATCTATAGACTACTGAGTTATGGTTTTACCGTATGTCCCGGCGGTTTGATGTTCACGACTCGCGCAGGATTATGGCAAGCTGAGTCGGCGTATGAATGGTGGTCAAAATTCAGGGAGAAGGATGTTCTGTTCTTTCCTAGTCTAGAATCCGGTAAACATTTGTTGAAACCCGGGGTAACGAGTCCGGATGATATAGATGATTTTGGTAGGTTTGTATTGAGAATCATTGAAGGTGAGGAGAGGGTTAATAAGTGGTTGGCTGTTTCTTAGCCTTTAGCTTGACGTTTGTATTACATAAATGCATCAAGACATATAACTACCTAGCCTAGAAAACCATTACCCTTTCCAACGTAGTCATAATCTCTATCACCCTCGTGCAAACATCAACACAGTCTTTACCATAAGTACCGGATGCAACAACCTCTTCGAACCCATGCTTCCAATCATGCCAACAATTTTTCCTCGGGATTGGGTTGCCATTCTCATCCCGGTGTCTTTCCACCAGATCTGAAGAGGTGTCAAGTTCCTCGCGCCAATGAACAAGTTTGAACAACTGCTGTCCGTTCCACAGAATCCACTGTGCAGCGCCGAGAACCCACGCGTCACGGATCTCGGGCGTGTTCTGCGAACGGTCTTCACCCTCGAAAAAAGCACTATTCATCGCTTGCAACGCTCGATAAGGCGAGGCTAGAAAGACACCTGTGTCGTTGAGATGAGCTTCGAAAGCTTGAAAATTAACGTAACGAGCCGGATCAGTGTCGGGCCAGGGCTTGTCATCTACAATATTTTCTTGGAGGGTTTGATAGAAACTGTCTGTTCCAATCTGGATGTTCTGCTTTGATCGTTACCACAAAGGCTCGGATCCAGGAAAGTGTTCAAGGGCACTAAACCATACCTTCCGCTTCAATTTTCCAATTCGCGCCTCACTCCTCCCGACACCCCATAGTAATCTTGCTAGTTTAGCATGAGAAGGGTGGTTGTATGGAATCTGCTCAGCAAGTTCAAGACTGACGCTATTTATGAAGCGCATGTCTCCGTCTGGGAAAACATCTATAAGACGATCTATCGCATCTCTGATATTGGTCGTACTTTTTGGTTGCAGGAAGTCTTGCAGGATAAGGAATGTTTTATAATCTGATGGCAAGATACCCTTCGGAACAGATACATCTTTTTCGTCTGGAAGACTGGCCGTATCAGTTTTGAAAGCAGTTTTGATTATTTCGGATAGCGACTTCGTTGGTGTTGCCGATTTTCCTGTATCAACAACGTCTGGATACTTCAGCGCGTCGATGTTCAGATCTAGAAAATCTGGCATTTTCCTTTGGTGACGATGGACATTAATTGCTGGTGGGGGGGTCTGAAAGCAAAATCCGGCTCGGTGGGATCTTGAACGATTTATACTGAGTCCAATGACTTGAGAAAATAGTGATGAATCTAGGTTGAACCAGTACGCCACTAGATGCGACGAGTAGCAAGTTGGCTGGAGAAGTTTTATTGGCTAATAAACATAGAAAAACCGTCGATGATGAAACGTTTAAGAGCGGCGTATCGCCCACACAAATTAGCCGCCTAACACGTGCGTTAAGGTGTTGCGCTTTTTGAGTCGCTCTGGAGTCTTGCTTTCCCTTGAAACACTACTCGGAATTATGGCTACCCGGCGCTCAGGTATGACAATTTCATGTCTCAGTAAATTTTTTCATACAATCGCATTCTATTGGGGCTTTTCTCTCGCCCGCAGGGTTTCTTTTTGGTTTTCATATGGTAATATCTCATGCTCTTCGAATATAATTAATAGAGAGACTATTATTAGCCATAGCGCTTAGAGAAGACCATACTGTATTCATCGTAGAGCAACTCGTCTGGAGCTTCTAGGCTTAGTGTTCATAAGAATACATGAAGCCTCAATTACTGTAGATGAGCTTTATTCAAATTGAGTCTTCATTTTTTCTAATGCCCAATCTTCATTTCTGGCTTTGAGCTTGTGACTGCAGCGAGCGTGACAAATAGTTTTATTCATCAAGCATGTGTTTCAAAGGCGGGAAAGACGAACAGCCTAGTCATCCAGCAGTAAGTAACCCCAGAAATACGCTCAACACCTGGGTTGTCGCATATTTCGAGAATCGAAAAGTATCCTTGGTACCATTTCTAACAACAGCCATGGCATTAGGCCTACCGCATAAATCGACCAGAACATGATAATGGACAACAGTGGCATGTGCGACGGTATAGCAGTATTCAACAACACGTGGATCATGCACCAGCAGTGACACAAGGATATACCGGCAAAAAATACCCCCACAAGTATAGAAACACAGACAACCCTCAGCTTTTCCCCTCCGGTGGAAGCTATTACGAAGTACCAGCAAATCGACGGCAAAGATTTCCGTACAATCTTCAAAACTCAAAAGGAAAAGTCATAGAGACACTTCCTAACGGCGTCAGGCGCGAGGTTCAAGATGCCAAAGGGTTTACCCGTGCAGTAATCAACCGCGACAAGGTAGTTCAAGGTGTCATATATCACCCACAGGCTCAGAATGGACACAATATGAATTTTGAGCGAGCAGAAGAGATCTATGAGAAATCTTCTCGTAAGAGGAGGTGGTGAGAAGTCTTCAAACCGGTCTCCCCTCTGCTTTACAAAAGTCATATGAGTATTAAAAATAACTCTGGATGGAATCAGCGACGTCTACTGGCACTTTATGTATCCAGGGTAGAGGGAAAATGCACACAAGGAAGAGCAATCCATGTACGACATTGTGAAAGAACTCCCGGAATAACCCAATTCAACGGGTAGATGGCGTCAAGGGCAATGGGGTGTGGTTTCAACAAGGATTTTCAAGCATGGTTACCTGCTCATTAACTTTTTGCTGTATGATCATTATAGCCTCATGTGACTCAACTTGTACAATGTAAGATATCGAAACTTAAATCACTTAAGCTCTCAAATATCCTACCCTAGTCTTAGACTTAATGGCTTCTCACCCCTGAGCTTTCTCCAATAATTGGTCGATCGGAACAAATCATAACAGCCTTGAACTAAGAAACTCCATTTCTTGAAGAAGTCTTCAGTAAGTTCCCAGCCGCTAGGATCCCATGGGTCCGACCAAACTAACATTCCAGGGTTTTTTTGGTTGTCTTGACCCACCATTCCGGTCAGAAGATCAGCCGCAAGCTCTTTATTGGTAAATAGATGCTGTGTTTGGATGGCATTGTCTCGCATCTGAGGAGACGGAATGAGGTCAATCCAATCTGGGTATGAAGTGGATTGCTGGAGAGCGGTTCGCTGCAGAGTTGGCGGGATGCTGAGGCCTTGATAGGGGTTCGGGAAGATGATGACCGAGCCGTGGAACCCACAGGTTTCATTAATGAGATGTACATGACCCATGATGAGAAGGTTGGTGATACTTGCTCGGTAGACATTGTACTCGAGAAGCGGTAGTAGATGGTCACGCGAAATCGGATATAGATAACGCTCAGGGATAACACGCCCACTATGGCTGACAGCAGAAGGAATGAAAAGACCAGAAGACAGATAAAGCCCAGATTGCTGCTCCAGGCTTCTAGTCTGTGTTTTTGCGGTAGTGTCTTTGTTGAGCGTTATGACATCTTCGGAGAGACTGTCATGCTTTGCCGCACGCTGCATAGCTTTACGCTTGCCTATAATAAAGCGCGTCAGCCTAGCAAGCTTTGAAAAGAGTATTCTTATATCATAGAGTCGAAAAACACATACGAAGCGCTCGTAAAGCGAGCCGAGTCTGCCTCTTCCGTCTTTCCAATTTGTCTTTCAGACCAGTCCAGTCGTCATCTTCAGATCGTGCTTCAGCCAATTGAGGCATTGAAGCTAATTGTACCGCAGCCATTTTGCTCACATTGCATCAGAATCAAAGCGTGAATTTGAAATCGAGACATGAATAGTCTCGGGACTGGGGAGAGAAAGATAAAATATGACGCTAGAGCTGCAGCCTGCTTTCGCCAAGACTTCAAAGTACGGGTCAATCGCCCCACTTATGCAAGTTGCTTTCGCCGCTAAGCCAGAAACAGACTAAAGAAGTTCCTTATTCTGACCAATTAGACAAGGCTATTCCCATTGAGGCGATTGAAGACGAACATTTTACCCTCTTGATTCACCGTTTTTAAGTTCTGGCTCAGGTATATAAAGATGACAAGAGGATCATACAACTCAGCATATCTACTACAACGCAGACTCACTTTACTAAACAAGAATTATTCGTGACCATCCCGTGGATTGTACATATTCTCAGCCATCTTGCTATGGATTTCGCTGGCTTCTTTCGCTCACAGCTTTGCGTGAAGCTCCCAATTCCCACAAAACATTATACTGGACAAACAGTCATTGTGACTGGCTCCAATGTGGGAATTGGTCTCGAAACAGCCCGTTATTTCGTCTCCTTGGATGCTGCCAAAGTGATCCTTGCAGTCCGAAACACGACAAAGGGTGAACAAGCGGCCAAGTCAATCACACAATCAACTGGGCGTACTGGTATTGTCGAAGTTTGGCATCTGGATCTGACGAAGTATGACAGCGTCAAATCATTCGCTGAGCGGGCAAAGAGCCTGGAGCGGCTCGACATATTTGTCAACAATGCTGGAATCCTCGTGTACGACTTTGAGATTGCAGAAGACAATGAGTCCACAATTACCGTGAATGCAGTGAGCTCAATGCTTCTGAGCATTCTCATTCTACCAAAGCTTCGGGAATCCTCGGTCCAGTACGGAAAAGAGAACGTCTTGACGTTCACCGGGTCTTTTGTCCATTACATGACAGATTTCCCGGAGCGAAAAGCCCCAAATATCTTGGAGGAGCTGGCAAATAAAGACAGAGCAGATATGAAAAATAGGTATTGCATCTTCTCTAAGACTTCAAAAAAGAAGTCATGCTAAAGTTGAGCAGATACTACGTCTCCAAAATGGTCCAGCTCCTCATGATCCGAGAGCTCGCAAACCAAATCACCAACTCCTCGCTACCTGGAAACATCACCGTCTCAGCTGTAAACCCAGGATTCGTCAAAACCGAAGTTATGAGGAACGCAAGTCTCGCATTTCATCTCATCTTCAGACCATACCGAAAACTCGTCGCTCGTTCAGCACAAGAAGGGGCTAGGACAATGCTTCATGCGGCAGCGGGTGGAAAAGAGACCCATGGTCAATACTTGAGTGATTGCGAGGTTGCTGTGTAAGGTTTTTCGTTACATACACTTTATTGCGTGTTTATGCTAATTCTGTCCCTTCTGTAGTACTTCCGAACTGGTAAGGAGTCCAGAGGGCGCAGAGGCTCAGAAGAAGCTTTGGGCCGAATTGTCGGCACTACTTGAGAAGATTGTTCCGGGTATCATGCAAAATATTTGAGCAAACCATCTTAACAGATTTGTGACTCTATTTTCCTTGCTGTACTAAGGGAAAACGAGGTATTGAGATAGGAGTCGCTTTACCCAGAATACATAATGTGAAGTCCTCTCCTCGATTATTTCTTCTTACTTACCTTGTCTCTTACCTCGTCTCTATCCATATTTTCTCTACCTCAATAACAATTGGTGATGAAGACAACGATTCTGATATTTGTGTACTCCGTCTACGTGCAGTCATTTCTAGTTCAGGAATTTTTCATGTATGATGGGAAGCTTGGTTCATGATAGATGCCATGAGATGTCTCAACATATTCTTTGTGGCTGCCCTTGACGGCACCCTTTGCTCAATAATCATCGAATCCGAGAGGTACATTTATGCGAAAGGAAGAGAAAACTCGGAGCGCCCTATACACACAAACAAATCAAATACGTAGAAATCGATAGATTGAGTGTCAAAGAGAAATAAATTCACTATTCCATGTTTTTAATGGCCTAAGGCAAGCCACCCCACCCTAGCTTTGCCACATCCGTACCCCCCAGCCTTTTGGTGGTCAATCCTAATCTCATCCTTGACAGTCACTGCCCGATTAACTCAAAGGTATTTCATTGTCTCCAATGAGACCGAAGGTTGCGGGTTGCCCTCGCATCGGGCTAGCAGCTCCAGCGTTTTTTGTCCTTTATCTTTTTTTCCCGACCCAGGTGGCTACAAGATTTGTTTTGCGCCGATGAACAATGGCTATGATTTTTAGTGAGCTAGCAGTCTTCACTATAATTCACCATAATCAGCTGTTTATCGAATATGTACAACATTCAACAAGAAGACAGTATTCGGGGATTTGTGTCAGGATTATCAAAAGGGAGTCTTGCAGTCAGTTTTGCTCGATGTCTGGCTTGGTTGCAGTTGTGCTCAGGATGAGATGTGAGAGGAACTTAAGTCTGTCAGAACACAAGCCAAAGATATGTCAGAGAGGAGGCATATTAAACCCAAGTGTGTGTAGACGATGCAAAACATCAATCCCAAAACCAGGTGGACAAGTGATGATTATTAATTTGATATGTATCATACCGCTAAGGAAAGATGCATGCAAGGGCAGCTTCCAGCATCTACATGTTAAAGACTATATCTTGACTAGAGTTCATATTGTTCCCCGCAACAATCTTTCCTTTTCCAGAGCTCTCCTGTCCAGAGATATAATTTCCTCCTTGACTGACGCCACCTCTGCCCATTGAGTTGTAGTAACCCTGGCCATCGAATTCAGCACGTCGTCTAGAAACATCAGCCAGAAGATGGGGCGGATGCCATTGTGAGGGAAATTGCACATCATAAGCTCGCTGCCCAACTGCTTCATTATGGTAATAGCCAGCTGCTGGTGGTGGTCCGCTCGCGGTTTGGGACTGCAAATGCTTTTTGCTCTCCTTCGTCCACCTCCATAACTCGTTGGAGACGGACATGTAGCCAGGATCATCGGACGAGCTGAACTTGGTCATGTCCATATGATTGCTATGGATTCCAATCTGCGTATACGAAGGCAGAATTGCAGAGTGCATTGGCACAATCAAGCCCGCTCCTCCCACCGGCAATTCTTCGAAGAAACAGCTTATCTTGATAGCCCTCTTCCCATCATCGATGCGTGCTCGGATCATGGTGTGGAACTCGGTCTGGATTCGGGCGAGGACCTCGGAGTCCGGTTTGAGTGTCGCAAGCAGCTCCGTATTCGTCTTCTTGAACATGTCAGTCAAGCTGCCAAAGACTGTGGCCCAAATTGCTAGATTGGAGCCGCAATGCGGCGTCCCCATAAAGACGATGCCCCAGGTGCATTCGAGCACTCGGCGAATGTGTGGTTCAGCGCTGTTTTTGGATGCAAGAATTGCCTACATGATCTGACCCGTAAGTTTCTGTTGCTCGTTCTTTGTTCTGGGAAAGTGTGTGATACGCGCGAATCAAACTGACATCTTCGACAACCAATCCACCAAGACTATGAGCCACGAAGATAATCGGCCGCTCCTCGGTTTCTGTACGTTCTCTCATCTGCGCCAATACGTTTATCAACGTCTGCGCATGGTTTCCAATTCGGTTCTGCGCGGCCATCGACCAGAAATGTACAATATCTGCATCGTAACCGAAAGTGACAATTCTAGATTGTGGCAGATCGTTCTTCAACAGCGCTTCTGGCCAGGCTATGCCTGTCGACTTGTCTGTCCATGTTGACTCTAGGTTTCCTGTCAAGCCATGCACACACACAATACTATTTCCATCAACTTCTTCTTCGTTTCGTGTATTTGTAGGGGGCTGCGCTCACTCAACGACCGCATTATCACCACTGTCGTACCATTTCTTCAACCCATACAAGTCTCGACTCGAGTAATTTGTTTCGTTCGCCATCAAAGCCCATGGATTATGAGATGAACCTCAGTTGATAGAAAAAGAACGACGCGCTGTTCTTTTTCTCTAATGTATTGCGCTCGCGCGGAAGATCGTGCTGTGAAGGCCGACGCACACAGCTGAGTGGCCCCAAGGCTGAGGGGCGGCCAAACCCTATTTATCCTAAGCACGGTAATTTTTCAGTGAAAAACTTTCTATCAGTGCGCTCCCCCTACATAAACAAGGCCAGAACATCGTGTGGCTGTCATGTGGTGTGTTTTACGCTCCAATAATCAGAGTCAGAGTCCAAGTGAAGCCTATCCCGCGAGCCGATGATTTAGTGGGAAATATATGCGATCAAATCAGAGCGGTCTCCAGTCCTTTTGATGATTTAATCCGGAAAATGGAAAAGAAGAAAAGCTAGAAATACCTCTGAGTCTCTGATCATGTCTTCTGTGCGATTTTCTACAGTTTGGACTATGTGTGCGTGTCCACCATGTCTGCGAGGACACAGCGGGGAAACTCCATTCACGGAGCACACGCAACAGCTGGCGCAAACCAATTCGTAGGTAACAACTTCTCAGCTAGCGGCAACAATATCATCAACCTCTCCAATACCGAAGACACCGAGGCCACTGCGAAAAAGAATTGCCTGCGCGCGCTCTTTGTCTCGAGCCCGGCCGACGATCGAGCCAAGCATCTCAGCTTCAAGGGCCAGGTCATCTCAGCGACATGCCAGTGGCTCACTGAGACCGAGGGGTACCGGTGCTGGCTGGATGTCCAATCGAGGGTGAATCTCCTCTGGTTATGCGGCGGACCAGGTGTCGGCAAGACCATGCTGTCCATCTACATCACCCAAGAGCTGGAGAAGTATCGAGCCGAGAGCCTGGTGCTGTACTATTTCTGTGAAGGTCGCGATCCCAAGCGGAATTCGCCCATTCAAATACTGCGCGGCCTGATTTACTCGCTCGTTCAGCAGCGGCCGGCATTGATTGAACATTTGCTGCCGGATTACGAGGTCCAAGGCGATGCTCTATTCGCACCAGAAGCAATCGAATCGCTTTGGAGGATTCTCATGAAGATGATTGGCGATCGTCGGGTTGATCATGTCTACTGTCTCGTTGATGGAATCGATGAATGCGCAGCAACTTCGATGAGCCAGCTGGAGCATCTGCTGGCCAAGTTCCAAGCTTTGTCCGTGGCCGAGAGTGCTACTTTAAATCAGTCTGCAAGAGAAGGTATAAAGACGCCAGAATCAAAATTTAAACTCGCCTTGATTTGTCGCGAGCAGCCTGAGGTCATTCCACAGAGATTGTCGCGATACATCCGTATTCGAATCGGCAAGCCAGTTGATTGTAATCCACGACGCAGCGACAACGAGCAATTCGAGGAAGTCAATTCCCAAGACGTGGCGACAGCAGAGATACCAGCTGTTGCCGCAGCTTCAGACCTACCGCCGCAAAAAGAGACCAACAGCGGTCAACAACTCATTTTAAAGCCACCTACTACTACTAATGATCTTTCTCAACCACTGCATATCTACATTGAGGAGAAGGTACGAGCTCTCTCGGCTTTTAGGGGTCATGACAGAGACGTACAAGCATTTCTCGAAGAAAGCTTAAAGAAGCGCGGCGACGGCACGTTCATTTGGGTCGACATGGCTGTCGAACAGCTGCGCAAATCTGCCTTACATGAAAAAACTGAGAACACGTTTAGGAACCTACCAAATGGTCTAAAGGGTATGTACTGTCTCACGCTGCTTCAGATTTGTCCAGAGCAAAGTCAACTTGTCTCAATGGTACTGGGATGGATTACTGTCGCAATGCGACAAATGACCGTCAAAGAGTTGACGGAACTCATTTGCATGACTGTCAATCAGCCCGAAGGAAAGACCAAAGATGAAGTCGGTGCAGAGATCAAACGAGCAATCGAGGCATGCGGCAATCTCGTGAGCATAAGCGCAGGCGATGAAGTGAAACTGGGTCATCAAACCGCGAAAGATTTTCTGACGAGCCCTTCGTCGCCAATTTTGACAAATGCCCCTCTCCATCAATTTTTTGTCCAAGAAACGGACAAAAATGCTGAACTGGCCCAGTTGAGCTTCCGGTATCTTGAAAGATCGGTTCTTTCAAAGGATTGGATTAAGATGGAGTATAAATTGGACGAAGATCCGGAAAGGAAGGAACTCACAATCAAAGGCATAGACCAAGAGCCTTTCCTCTCCTATGCCACCTTGTATTGGACAGATCACGTCAAACAAGCTGGCAGAGGAAAAGTCAACTTCAACGTGCCATTCTTCGAGAACAAGGATCGCACTGTTCGCAGGAACTGGTGGCGCTGCGTGTGGGGGATGCTGAACAACCGTGACGGCATCCAGGCTCCTTCTAAAATGTCGATATTGCACGTTGCGGCTTGGTTTGATATTATTGAGCTCGCAGAATACATATCGGCTAAGCCAGACTTTGAGAATCGGATTGACAAGTATAACGCCGGACTCGTGACGCCTTTGGAGATCGCTGCCGAGCGAGGTAGTGCTAAAGTGTTTGAATTCCTGCTCGATTGCGGTGCCAATACAGTATTTGTTTACAATAATGCCCTCGAAATTGCAATAAGACAGGGACAAACAGCAATCGTGCAAATCTTGCTTGATCGTGACTTTCACTTCGATGTCTTTGAGGCCTCAATCAGACCGAAGAACGCGGCTGAGCTTGCCTTACTGCCTGTCGTGGCTGCTTGTAGTGCAGTTCTCCTATTTACGCCACGGAAGGTCAGGAAGAAACTGTTTGCACCATCAAACAAAAAAGCTTCAGATTACTCATTGTCTGAGTTCCAAGCCGAGCAAGGTGATAGAGACGCAGAACTTTCGCCACTATACACTGCATTATGTTGTGGCCATGAAGCAGTCGCCAAAGCCTTGCTTGTTAAGGGTGCCAGTGTGGAAGAGACCACAAGGAGAGGTTGGACGGCGGTGCATTTTAGTGCGTGGTCCGGCGACGAAAGATTGCTTGCGCTCGTGCACAGCTATGGAGCGGACCTGGATGCAAAGACCAAGGATGGTCGCGTCGCTATGCATATTGCCGCATGGCGAGGTCGGATCGATTCCATCGAGTACCTGCTGAAGCAAGGGAAACCGGTCGATGTAGCTACGTCTCAGCTCGAAACGCCACTGCATCTGGCGGCAGGCCAGGATCACACTGAACTTGTTCGGACGCTGCTATCGTCGTGGGGTGCGAATATTGAGGCTTGCACATCTATAGGGTTCACGCCTTTGCATACGGCAGCCAAAGCAGGAAAGGTGGACACAGTGAAAGTCTTGCTCGAACACGGTGCGAACCGAGAGGCTCTGACGGCCTCGCGCCAAACGCCTCTGAAAGTAGCCCAGCAAGCCGGGCATAACCAAGTCGTCGTGATTCTTCGCAACTATCGGCCCTACTCTGCTCCAGGCGTCTCGACTCCAGCTTCGCCTCCTCCATCCGCATATAAGTCGACTTCGCCCCAGTCCACGTCAGCAGTTTCATCAGTTCAATCTTTACATCAACCGACACCTCAGTCTGGCGCTGGAGTCCCTATTCCAAACTCGTCCTCTCAATCCCTACATCAATTAAGTCCATCTCAGTCTGTCCCAAGAATCTACACTCCAGCTCCTTCTCGACCAATAGATGAACCGATCACAACTCAATCTGCACCAAACATCGCAACTCCAACCTTGTCTCCTCAACCTTTATACCAACCGACACCTCAATCTGCACCAGCAGCCTTATCTCCATCCCCGTACCATCCTCCTATGCAGAACTATTATAACGAGAGGATTCCTCATGAACGACCACCATCGCAAGTATGTCAATGTGCATCTCCTGACCAAACTCCGCAGGGACACTTTCCCAGTCCAATACCGCCGGCCTCAGTCTTCAACTTCGCACAAGTCCAACCGAGTTCTGGACAACATGCGCATCAACAGGGGTCATCGCTGCATGGAAATCTACAGACATTATCACTCCGTGATCGTCCGCCATCATCTCGTCATACCTACTCGAGTCCAGAACAATACACTCACAGCCAGAACTCATCTTCATACACCTATCCCCAGCCCGCATCTTTCAGTATCCCGCTCCCTCCTCCACGACCGCCAGCTACGTACAACCACTCAAGTCCGGAGCAACATTATACTTACAGACAATGCCCTTTGCAGCATAGCTGTCCACAGCCCTTTCATCCTCCACCGTCACCTCATTATACCTCTATGAATCCAGAGCAGTATTCTCATGGGCAAGAGTCATCGCCGCATGGCCACCTGCAACCAAAACCACTCGGCAGTCCTCCACCGTTACCTCCGCGATCGGTCTCGGCGACGCCTTCTGAAGCGCGCCATCCACCGCCGCCGCCGCCGCTCCCGCAGAGATCTTATATTGCTCTTCCGGAGCCGTCTCAGTACATTTAGAGGTTTTTTGGGAGGTATTTGCAATGTACTCAAGTCTATTTAGCTCGCAAGTGAGTTGCCGATGTGTTTTATGTCGTATGGAAATATCTGTCTTAAGACGAGTGAGGACTAAATGACAAGTCACAGCCTGTATTAAATCTGAGCTGGAAAAGAATTAGTACCCAAGAGATTGATATAAGCCTACCTACGAACCATGGTATGAAAGTGGATCATGCGGGGAGAACGTCAGTTTGATATTTTAATACTCCTTTCTGTATTTTACCTTGATGAGACAATGCATCACTACCAACATAGCCCATGAATTGTTACGAATGATTGTTGAGATCAATGCAGACGGGATATATATCATCATCAAAAGCAACATACTTATTGTTGTACGAAGTAGAATCTTTCTTGAGCAATGAAACCAGGATAAGACCGAGTCCTAGCAACAATGGAAATGTTGGACTTGGTCCGTAACATGCAGCCCAGTCAAGGTACCTCGATTGATTTGCTCCTGTAGAGGAGATTTTGATAGGTTTATGGGGTGATCATTAGAACTAACAAGTCACACTTCCGTGGCGAGAGCTGGCAACGTAATCAATTGCCACATCCAACAGTGGGCTCAGATATAGTCGTAATTCGTTGTGCTTCCGAGCTTCTCTAGGCAACAAAGTACCGATGTCTCAACAAAGCCTGTGATAGGACAGCAAGATAACTGAGGCTTAGAGATTTAGGCTTCTTCCGTTAGTGTGGGGTATCTCAAGAGCTTTGTCAACCCCGGCGTCTTTCTTAAATTCCAACACACTTTCCAGTCTTGTCGAATTCTAGAATGAGAAAAAAATCATTCAAGGCTGATTGGATCCGAAACAGTTGGAAACTTTTTGCTGCGCTGAGATCCTCGACCGTGGAACCATCAGGCGCAATGGACGGTACCTATACATTGACCCGTTGATTGCTCTCGGCAGAAATAAACTCACGACGCTTAACAGAATCTATCTTGAAAGCTCCTTCGCTCAACTTGCGGAGCAATATCAACCTACAACAGCAATCCCCATTATTCTCAGTCCTTCCCGCAGAAATTCGATCGCTCATTTTCACCTACACTCTCACCGATTATGAAGACACTGCTCAAGATACCTTTGGCCGCGACACATATTGGTACCGTCCTGGCTACCAAGCAAAAAGACGTACAGCGACCGAATTGTTGCGTACCTGTAAGAAAGTGTTTCAAGAAACATGGTTTTTACCATTTGCGCTCGCAGAGCACTGTTTCTTTTTAACGCATCCGGAGAGAGCGCCCCGTAAACATGTCACAACGGAACGAATGAAAGAATATCTGACCACATTGAGGGACTTTGCACGGAATCAAGATGGAATGGGTATCCCGCAGATTCAAAGTATCAGAGTATTCGCTCAAATGTGGGCTTTGGAAGATCCACGCAGATTACAGGAAGTCCTTGACCTTGAAGGCTTTCAGCCCAAGAATATCACAATCACACTTCGGTACACGGATTTTTGGTATTGGGAAGAGAACAGGCCAATACACATTGATGCACGATGGGTGAATACCGTGCGATTCCCGTCGTCGGTCTCTTCAATCAATATGGACTTTGAAATGATCGACCGCCGCAAAAACGAAGTCGACGTCATCACAGACTTAGCAACACAAACATGGTTCTTTCGACGAGCCGACGGAATGGTTCTGAGAGCCAGCAAAGAGGATATAATCACAACCCGATGGACGGGGTCTTCCATCTTCGATAAAATGCGGTGGATCAGAGATGAGTCCCGACCAAACGAAATTGATTATTATGTCAAGACTGTGACATGGAAAACTGCTCCGGGCTTTGATCCCTTTGCTGGTGCTGGAGACGGTTGTCCCAATTTAGATTTTCCGCCTGGACTGGCTCGGGAGAAGCCGCCCTTTACGAGAAGGTTCACGCATGTTTCGGTTGATGAGCTCGAGGCTCACAATATTCCGCACGATGCTAGTGCGCAGGAGGTTCATGAAACTATATTGAGGCATGCGAGAGAAATACAGGCTGCCATGTTGAGAAGACGTCGGGGTAGCCTCGGTCAGAACGTCTAATGCATACCTATTTGTGGTTCAGCCTTGTATTAATTGAAATAGCACTTTATACGAAATTTTGTCTTTGTAGTAAACTGTATTAGGAAAAAGATCCACCGCCAAAACACAAAGTACTACGCTGCAAATGAAACCTCTTTGACATGTCGGCTAAGTTCACCGCCGCTTTACTCCCCGGCGCCCAACGTTAATTCAAGCCTAGCCGTGTGCTCCGGCACCCCTCGAGGCTCCTGCGGTACCCCTCAGTAGGCTGTGAACCCGGAAGATGACCTGACTTTCTTGTATATAAAATAATGAAAAAGTCACAGTTTACACGAGAATTTCGATACTATAATTACTACCTTCTCCAGGTAAAATATGACCAACATTAGTAAAACGATGAATACCCTATCTTTTCTGCAACAGAGTGATCTGCCCAGTCTTCACACCAACCATCTAAGCTTAACTTATTTCGTTAGCCAAATCTGATCATTTGATCCTTAGCCAAGAAAAAGAGGCTTACATTTCATTTCATTCACCGGAGTCACACCGCGAAGGTCGCGACCGATGCGAACACACTTCCGGACCATTTTTGAGGAGGCTTTTTCTTGTGGCTGAACCTCTAAAGGCCGAGAACCAATAAAGTCCCCGGCCAGCGCTACAGCCAGATGCCCTAATTGGCTCTTAAATACTTAAATTTCTTGGCCGTTGGAAGCGATATCACTCTGTGAGTCTGTCAGCATAAAACGCTTTGGCCGATGGTACTCTACCACAACGCCTCTTTTGCTGACGATATGTAGCCGTGGTGAAGTCGTATTGCCTAATCGAGTAGATTTTTGAAGCCATAATTCGCTAGTACGTGGAGTATCGGTCATTAGTTCAGTCATCTTCAAAAAAAGATGTGAAGAGTCAGGTGGAAAATTCTGTGAGTCTAGATGATAAGAAATTAGCATATAAAGACTCTACTTCGCTTCATTTAGTAGCATCTCGGGCGTAGGAGAGATTATCTGAATGAATCGTTTTTCTGGGCTTCAAATTTGTATACACTGGTAGCCAGAATGTTTCACAGACTGGCCTCTCCGCTCATTGCGGCATTAGTCCTGTCTCAATCCGTCCTCAGTTTCCCTTTAACTAGAAGACTGGATAACGGCTCGCCTCTCCGGAACGTACAATACGTCCAGACTTTCACAGATCGCAGTGGCAATTGGTTCAATCTGACTGACCTGGTGACTCAAGACACCGGTGTTACACATATTATCCTTGCATCGTTGCATCTGGACAATCCGACAGAGATCCATTTGAATGATAACGATATCGAGTCTGCCTATTGGGACCCGTTGTGGCCCATGGTATCGTCACTGCAGGCCGCGGGAGTCAAGGTTATGCTAATGATGGGCGGTGCTGCTCGAGGCAGTTATGCCAACCTCCAAAACGACGTAAGTCTACCTTATCTTGAAAATTTTTGGGTATAGTATTCTGACAAACGTAGTTCGACACATATTACCCCATCATCTTATCAATTCTCAAAAACCACAACCTTGACGGCTTCGACATGGATGTTGAAGAAAACGTCTCAGAGTCCGTCCTGCTCAGACTCGCACAACAACTTGATGCCGACATGGGCACTGACTTCATCTTAACCGCTGCGCCTGTGGCTCTATCCATGTCCAACAGCGGAAACCTGGATAATGTAAGCTGGCCTGCATTGGACCAAGTAGCCACCAGCTCAACACGGCCCAACGGGAAATTATTCAGTTGGTACAACACTCAGTTCTATGACGGCTGGGGTACTGCTGCATCGACCAATTCATATGATACTGTCATCGGTGCGGGTTGGGATCCGAGTCGTATTGTTTTGGGTGTTCTTACCGCTGCTACTGCTGGAAATTCATGGCAGCCAACTACAGTATTGTCAACCACTATTGCAAGTCTAAAGGCTAAGTATGCGAACTTTGGTGGTGTCTTTGGTTGGGAATATGGGTTGGCGGGAGAGAGTGACGGTCAAACGCCGGTCGAATGGGTGGGTGCAATAGGTAGTTACTTAGCTGCGTAGGCAGTTACATTAGTGGTATCTTGAACCAAGATGCTGTACATGAATGGTATTTTTCACGACTATATATTGAATCCAAAACTTTGGGCTGAGGAGCAAATGAATGCCATTTTAGTATGCGATTAACATCAATATATGGCTTTGTTAATAAGGGTAACACAGCTCTCCCAGGAAAATTGAATTGATTAAGCTCGACTTAGAAGTATACGTAAATGGCAATGAGAAAGTAAGTTCCTAGTTGCTGAAACTATGCCCAGCTAAATTAGCGGATCGTGAGTAGATGTAGTACAAGTCGGCCGCTAGTGTCAGTTTTCATATGATATCTCGTGGCTAACGAGTTTCATCCTAATTAGGCAAGTCGTGAGTAATAAGTTACTCACGAGATTCCTTACAAAAGCTCTAGCATACCGTGGCTGAATCAGCATGTAGATCGGATATGAGGGAACTAATTAATACTAGTATGAGGCTTAACTCTAATTGAGCACGAATTAGGGAACCTCCGACGTTCCGCGCTTGGAGAATGTACGTAAAGATGTACGAAATTGAGATCCAAGCGTGCATGCATTAGTAAACGAGATCTCGCGATTCCATTTGCATGCGCTTTGACAGTTTACTGAAGAAAAATCATTAAACCTAAACCTTGCTAAGATACATCAAAATTCATATGTTTATCATCCCTGAAAGCGAGATACAATGATGAAAGTATAACCAAACTCGAAGAGCTCGCACCGGACTGCGAGTCTGCTTCCTGCAACACGTCCGATGCCGGCGTAGATCAGAGAGTAACCTGTGTATTATTCATATTTGAGCGGTCTCCAACCTTCAAAACAAGTAATTTGGTGTCGTTATACACGTCAAGCCTTTTCTGAAGACCCTCCATCTGGACCTGAAGGCATAAAACATTGTTCTGTGAGGCATGGTAGCTTTCAATCAGTCTCATATACTGCGCGTTAATCTCGTCGATGTGCTTAAGCAGACCTTGAATGTGGCTTTCTTTGCATTCGCGGATGCTCTTTGCGCAAGGTAATTCTGTTCTTTCCATTTCTGTGCATCCTATTTTACACAAATTTAGTTTATTAATCCTTAAACCTCCGAAGCCGAAAATTGAGCCTTGGAATGTATCTTACAAGTTCTTGAAGCTGGTGTGTCTGGCTTACTGTGAGAAGTAGGCGAAGTGAGAGTGGATTCGTCTTGTGGTGTTGAAATGGTATCTTGACACTTGAGGATATGGTGATCATGATCTTGTTTACATGGATATTGCTCGCCGCCATCAAACGCCAAATCTATCCGTATATCTGACGCCATCAGGGCTTCGTAGGTCATACAACTGTTGATGAGAAGAAAATCAGGTTGTAGTCTCCAGCAAACGTGTAAGGCGATTATACCTCAGAAAGCCAGAGGCAAGGCTCTGGCCATGCTGCATTTTCTACAGACCAGCTGTGAGCTTCATCATAAAAGGACGATATCCCAGACCAGTCGGAACTCATGATTGAAATCAAATTTCGTGAAGCTTGAATGGGTGATGATGCAATTATCTTTGTACGAATCGAAGTTGCCGTTCAATTGAGTGAACGGAGCATTGAAGATCGAGAAAGAGTCGAAACACATTACAGGCGGACCTTCAACTCAGCTTTTTATGTCGCTATCTTGTCATTCCTGTGTTTATGAAAACATTAATTTGAAAGTATCGACCCTGTGAGCTGAGCTGTCTATACTACCAATACTAAAGGCAAATCGGGCAAGTCGTGGCGTCCGCTAACGCGACTAGTCAGTGCCACCAATTGCCTATCTCGGCATTCTACGATAAAATCCTAATGATTTTTTCATCTGAGTAGATCTCCTCATCGTGTGGAGAAATGTGTACGGAACACGATCCGACTCTATCTTCAGTTCCGTCCGCGACGACAGCTTTCCGATCTCATTGTCTTCACTACTGACTTTGCAATGAATGCTCGTCGCAACCCATGGTCCGTTTTCGGGATCTGGGTAACCGCAAGATCAGGCGCGAACTCAGACTGCTTCGTCGCATCGCAAGCACAGAGCTTTTACTTGGCTACGAGATTGCTGTTCAGCTCTGAGGGGACTGCGAAGCATTATTGCCGCATCTTCCGCAACCTAAACGAGCCATATGTCTCACATTATGCCATGTCTAGCATGTCAGCCTGTTGACTCACAGTGAAGTGTGGATACGACGAAAGAATTGACCAACTTTCTGCGCTATATTTCCGCCATGCTTGGGTTAAATTCTACTTGTGATCGAACTGGAATCGCTCTTGATGACTCAGGCTTTTTGTGGGCTGTGATGAAGGCTGTGCTAGATCTTGGGGATATGTTTTATGTAGGCGAGGCGTGCGCTCAGCACCGAGCCCATACTATCGTGAATGCAGTCGAAGCGCTCAAGGTCTTTCGCGTCTGCATCTAACCAATTGTCATACCACCATCAATACGAATATTCTGTCCATTGATCCATTGGCTCTTATCACTTGCCGTAAAAGTGATAACATCAGCCGCCTTTTCAGGAGTCTTGATTCTGTTTGCAGGAGCAAATATTGTCTGAAATTTGATCATCTCTTCTGTCTTCCCAACGAAGTACGTATAGATGCAGATTGGGCCTAGAGAGATTCTATTGACTTTAATACCCCTCTTACCCAGGTCCTTAGACATGACACGCGTCATCTACCCAATCACACCCTTCGTCGCCGCATAAAGAAGGTATTTGGGAGTGATCATGCTGACGGCCGTGAGCGAACTCGAGAAAAGAAGAAATCGCCCGCCATTGGGTATATGTTTTGCGGCCTCCTGAAGGGGGAAAGCCCCATTTGACGTTTGTTTGAAAGATGAGGTCAAAGCAACTTCATCGACATTGGCCAATGATCCGTTCTGCCATAACAGTCCGGCATTGAGAACGATAATGTCAATTTTTCCGTATCGCTCGACGATCTGTAGGATCAAGCGCTTTATGTCGTCAATCTTAGACACGGCCGCATGAATAGCGACGGAATGTTCGGTGCCGATTTCTTTCACTACGTCTGCTGCGGCGTCTATGGAGGAAAATAGTTGACGACAACAGTTATCCCTTCCTTGACAAAGGCCAACGCGGTGGCACGGCCAATTCCTCGAGAAGCCCCTGTGACGAGCGCGACTTTGCAACTAACACTGGACGATATGTTCGATATTAAATTTCTATTTCAGAGCGAGGATACTAGGAATTCATCCAACTCTAAATCGATTGATACAGAATCCATATCCACCACTCAGTGGAGCACGCGCTTATATATGCGGCGCTCACCATGAGCTGAACCAGCATTAGAACCAAGATCTTGAAACCTCAGTAGTCATCATGGAGCCTTTGCTGACTGACTGGCGAGCCTGATTATTACTCTTTTGGAGTCTCGAAACTCTATGCAGGAGAAACTAGCTCGGTGCCTTGGCAGCACACCATCCGAGTGCAAAGAGCCTAAAGTCTGAACGTATGTAGATGTGTGGCTGAAGTGACCTACAAAATCAACAAATCACCCTTATGCTTGAGTCCCATTTTCCCTATTAGGTTTCATATCGCGAGATGCGTGACACATGGCACAGAATTTCTTTTGCGCTAAGCAAGCCGTCTCCCAGAAAGCGTAGTCGATTTAAGGTTGCTTGACCAAGTTTGGTGCTAGCCGCAGCGGCTGTCAAGGGCCCCACTATCAAATGAGTTCCACCTTCACCCACTCTATGTTTTTTCGTCATGGAGATAGGGCCAATATGCATACTAGCGGCCGGCAGCCGCATATACAGTGGTGCCTTAGATCTGTAAGAGCCCCTGTCCCGAGTTCATTTCCGGTTACGGCTCGGCAAGCGTTCACTGGAAGCGATGAACGAAGATCCCTGGAGTGGAGACCTTGTTGGTTTCTATGGCACGCTATAAACAGTCGACCGTAGTAATGGCAGAGCTGCCAGAAGCTATACCGCTACAGACTATCTGTAGCCCAACAGTTAGCGTGGGAATCTCAAGATCGTGATTGAAGCAACAGTCACAAGCGTGTTGCTCGATCCGACAACCGTGACTACACAAGGTGTTGAGTTTAGGCATGGTAGCGGTCTCCATCAAGTTCTTACGACGCAAGATGTCGCCCTCTCGACAAGCTCAATTAAAAGTCCTCGGCTTCTCGAACTGTCAGGTATTGGAGACCCCAAAGTCCTGCACACAGTCGGAATAAGGTGTCTCGTACAGCTACCAAACGTTGGCAATAATCTCCAAGATTATCCCATGACCGGCGTGACCTATGAGTTTTCTCGGATCAGATATCACTTGACTCTTTATTCAAAGGCCATTCTCTTCTACAAGAACATCAACGACTTTATGGGGAGGCAGGAACGGGTGCATTTGCTGGAACAACGAGTCTAACTGGCTTCGTACCATATTCTCTACTTGTTTCACCCCAGGATTTAGAAGAGACAATCGCCACTGTGACTAAGCACGACGTTTAAATGCCCGAAAGTCAAGTAAAGCACATCATTTCGCGTCTACGCAGTCCAAGTTCTGGGGCTGTACAGTTCACTGGGATCCCAGCCAACTTTGACCTTGCGACCGGACACGAATATCAGAGCAACTGATGCCTGGAGCACCACCAGGCCGAAATGCATGCTACACAGTCCTCGTCAGCCTTGCATACGCTATGTCACGAGGGAACACTCACATGTCCACCTCGAATCCCTTCGCAGATCCCGAGATTAATTTGGGCCTCTTAGCTCGCCTTGCTGATGCACACCTTTTCGCCGCTGGCTTGAATTTCATGGACCGCGCGTTTCAGTCACCACGAAATCAAGAAAAAAATCGCTGGAGTATTATTTATCAAAAATATATTTAATTATAGAATTAGAATCTCCTTCCTAAATGTGCACATGTAAATCGATTTTCAAACCCTAAGGAGGCCCACCATAATCAACCAGATAAAGGTAAAATGTGTTTAGATCAAAAAAGAGCCATATCAAACCTGTTCATGTATTGATAATTTGGTACTATAAATACAGAAATATCTGGTAGATTTAATGCAAAATGCAAGCATGATAACTAAGTGGCACGTGAAGTAATTGAAAACTGCAATCCGTCAACAACTTGTCTTTTATTGACATTTACACGGCACTTTAGGCGCTATCATCCATAGTCGAGCAGGATCACCAAACTGTGCACGGGGTACCATTGTACCGGTAAAGAAATGCTAATTCTGCTTGTCACTATGGTGCCCTCTCGAGCATGGACCCAACTAAAGAAAAAGCTAGAACACTTATTGTATCCGGAACTAATAGCGAGCTAATTGAAAATTCTAGCTCCCGACGCTAGGCTTACAACTTCACGCTTGTCTTTCCATTACCGAATCGGATCACAGCTAGGTATATGGTTGGGTCGCAGAATAGTCAGCCTTGCTACAGAAGTGCCTGGTACCCCTCCTTTTCAATCTTATCGATCTTGCTAGATAGATTTCAGGACAGTCCAGGTCAATTTATGAAGAAATCAGTGTTGCTTTTATTTTTCTTAGGCTAAGCGACGATGGCTGCACTCATGCACATCGACTACACGATCGCGTGGATCTGTGCTTTGCCATTAGAGATAGCAGCAGCCGAAGTCATGCTGGACGAGATCCACCAGACCCTGCCGAACCCGCCCACGGATCCAAACGCCTACATTCTCGGCAATTTACATGGCCATCATATCGTGATTGCTTGTTTGCCTACAGGTAAATGCGGAACTATATCTGCTGCAACTACCGTTGCTCATTTGACGTCGACTTTCCCACGGGTTAAGTACGCACTGATGGTGGGAATTGGAGGTGGTGTTCCAAATAGCAGCCATGATATTCGGCTGGGTGATGTGGTTGTAAGCAAGCCGGCGGAAAAACACAATGGAGTTGTTCAATACGATTACGGCAAGACAATTCAAGGCGGACGATTTGAACAAACTGGTATGCTGAACTCCCCACCACCGGTTCTTTTAACCCATATGGCCCGTCTTCAAGCGACCCAGATGACGAGCAGGAAAGATGCCATTTCAACTATCGTGTCGAATGTATTAGATCACCTAGACGTGAAAAAAGGATTCACACCACCAATTCAGCAAACTGATTATCTCTTTCGATCGTCGTATCACCATACTTATCAAGAAAATGACTGTAAAAAGTGTGATAAAGAGCAGCTACTCGACCGAGAGCCGCGTGATGATAGGACACCTTATGTTCACTATGGGTTGATCGCATCCGGAAATCAGGTGATGAAAGACTCTGAAACACGAGACTCTCTAGCTCAACAGCTGGGCATTCTCTGTTTTGAAATGGAAGCAGCAGGCCTTATGAATCAAGTTCCAACTGTTGTCATCCGAGGAATTTGCGACTATTGCGACTCGCACAAGAGCAAGTCGTGGCAAGGATATGCTGCTCTTACTGCTGCAGCCTACGCCAAGTTACTTCTGTCTGTGATTCCCGAAACTCAAACCACTACAAATCTGGCTTTACAACAATCTCTCTCAATGGTTCAATTTGACTGGAGCCCACGGAATGGAGAGAAAAATAGAGAAAGTATTAAATTAAAACAGCTGGACTTGGTTTATAGTCCCACGTATAAAGCAGCAACCCAAAGATCACGGGGAAATTGGCAGACAAAGATCATACTTGGATCTAACATAGAAACCCCCAGCAAGAACAGGAAAACTATTGATGGAGGCACTAGCTCTATACTAAAAGAGGCCAATCATTCACCTCGAAGAATCTCAGGATTTGGAAATTGCGACGAATCCTGCCTCTGCGACTGCCACGAGAAATATCAAATAAAATGTGGGCCTTCTGCAAGGGCGATCATGGGCACTTTTATTCTTCGATACAAAGGAAACCTCTTTTTCAGGCGAAGTTGCAATTACGGCACCTGCAAAAGTAATAATCCGAGAACCATTGAGGCTATCTACCGCTTCCTGACTTGGCTCAAAGATTTTACCTTGATTGTATCTGGGGTCCCATCTTGTGGGCTTTTTATTCCACGGCAGCTGACTTGGGGAGGCACTGAAACTATTCTGAAAAGTGCTTATGAAGGTAACGTTGAGGGCCTAAAGGTGCTATTAAGCAACATGGCCTTTGCTTTGCATGATATAGATCAAAAACATGGAAGGAGTGCATTGCACGTGAGTTAAATACTTTGGTATTGAAAATTTCGGCCTCGAAATGCTGATTTAGTAAAAAGTACGCAGTAATGTACAACCATATTGAAACTTGCGAGTTTCTTCGAAATGCTTCTGCCAATGCCAGTGCTATGGATTATATTGGAATGCAAGTGTTCACTTTGCCCGACATTTCAGGCTACTAGCTAATCATGAAACCTTCAGGACCCCGACAATGAAAGCCTGGGAGCATATTTTGACGAAGCGAGGCAGTCCTCCGGAACTAAGAGACCTTAGAAGGCTGTTTCCAGATATCGACTTACCCGATGATATGGGATTTTCGCACATTCATCTCCTAGTAGTGGGCGAATTATCTGGTGATCTCGCTGAAACCTTACAGACTAAAAAATACCAAAGACAAATCAATAATCCGGACTTTTTTGGAAGGACACCATTACATTGGGCAGCCACCCGAGGGGACTCCGAAGAAATTCGGATCCTTCTCAGATTTAAAGCCGAGGTGACAGTAACCGATGAATCAGGATCAACGCCACTAATGTCTGCAGCATCTTCTGGCTGCACAAAATCTCTGAAACTATTGCTAGAAGGTGGGAGTAATGTTCTTTGGAAAAATATCTACGGTTCAGACGCTCTTTATAATGCTTGCAGACACCAGAGTAAACTTGCTCCAGTCGTTCTATTACTTCATGCCGGTGCATCTTTGAACTCACAAAATAAAAACGGGCACACGGCCTTGATCGGAGCTGCAATCAGAAATCATGACGCTATTGGGCGATATCTGCTACGTCGGGGTGCAAGCATTGATGCTAGAGGTGCACACGGTGAATCTGCATTGTTTGAGGCTATTTTCCATAATAGTCATCAATTTCTCAGCTTGCTCTTACAGAACTCTGCTAACTACTTGTTGGTCAATAATGCTGGATCGAGTATCCTTCATTCTGCGGCACTCGAGGGCGATATTGAAACGCTGCACATCTTGCTGAAGGCAGGCTTAAAGGGGCTGGACCCTTTTCTCCGCAACAAGGAAAACTTGACAGCAACGGAAATGATACAAAGGAGATCGATTGTTCCTGAAGGGTTCGAGGATCAATTTTCTCGGTTAGTTTCTGTACTTGATAGAGATAATTCAACCGAAGGTTCGGCGTCCATTTTATGAAAGACGGAGGTGGAAGATCTTGGCAGACATGTTTGTTCACCGATATTTGTCCTGAGATAATTTAAGATTTGTTGAAACACACAAAGGCTCTCGTCGTCGTAATAGTAACTTGAGTACATGACTGATTGAAATTGGGCTTCAATGGAATCGTATAAAAATATATTTGTATCTACGATACCGTTTCTACGGATATCATTACGAGCTTTATACGAAATAATGTACCTGGCACTATCCATAGTAGGCTTAGCGTTCTTATTGAATTAGTGTTTGTGAACAATTTTCTGGTCTATCAACGTATAGCATAAGAGTTACGAGTGGTGTCGAGTGTTCTCCATTCTAGGCATGAAAAGCAAAGAAAAGACACACTTTTAATGGTTAGAGTTCAACTGCTAATAATGTTTTAAAACCTGTAAATTATCAACTCTTCTAATGAGACGATCTATTAGCTTCGAAAACGCCGGAGTCTTCACGCCGCAGTCGCGACAGTTTCAAAGATTCAACCTCTTTCCACAACCTTTCCCCGGCATAGTCACATGCGCTGCCTAACCACAGCATAGCTTGAAGCCTCTTACTTACTTCCAACCATCTAGTCGTTGAGGTAAGAGGGACGGTACTAAGCTTGTCTACAAACCAGGACCTTGAAGGGGTCCGTGTCGCAGCAATTCCGCCCAAGGTAAGAATCCATATCAGTGTGTTAGTATACTGGCGCTCTGATAGTACGGCCAATGCACCACAGTACTCAAGTTCGGCCTTCAACATGTCTGAAAGTCTAATGAAAGGCGCTTCATTTCCTGAGAGCGGGAAAATGACGCCCACACTTAAGATTATTGTGGATAGACGGCAGGCCTCAGAAAGATTCACCTGGACTGCATCGCATTGGGAAGTAGGCTGTAGGGACATGAGACGGTGTTGTATCAGATTTCGGCGATCGCTCAACTGACGTAGATCTGGATTCGGCAACAGCCCTTTCATGTATTTATCCAGCACCAAGAGGTGTATCCGTATAGCCTGGACTATGGCGAGATATTCTTCAGAGCACCCTACACGATGCAACTCGATGTATTGATTCTTGAGACTCTCGACGTCGAACATGAAGTACTCGCCTAAAGTAGGATCGTCAATTCCCTGCAAAGACATGAACGAAAACTGCGGATGTGAAAGGGCCTTGCTGCAATTGATGAGCTCAAAGCTGAGCAATGAAATTAGTCGATCAATTTGTTTTCTTTTCAAGTACTCTAAGACACACTTACAAGGAAAGAATGGCACCCAAACCAGGCAGCTGGACCATTTCTAAGCCACCCTTCATATGAATAAGTTGAGTCAGGCCTTGTAAATGCACCGGACTAGCTGAAACGGAACTGTAAATATCAAGCCATTGGAGACTGCGGAGCGGCGCCTGAAAAGGAGATTCCAAGGCGTCCATGGATAGGGTACCACCATCTGCAGCGGCCATAATGAGAACGTTGAGAATCATATTGTCCGTAACAGCTGTCTCTTTGTTGTTCAAAGCTCTATTGATCCTCCGGATCCCTTCGACATAACACCAATCCAGCCATCGAGCGTCTTGAGGCCGGAAACTGCCATCCGCTTTTTGTCCTGTCAGCATCCACCGACGTCGTTGGTGCGATAGTACGCAGAGTAAAGTAGTAACAAAGAGGGTCGGATCGTTGTAGGTTGGTGAGAACCAATATCGGACAATGGGGACCTCTGACATTTCAGATGAGCTTGGTGTTAAAGATGGAGCTAAAACCGATATACCTAGAGAGAAATTTGTTGTTAGGGAGATTCACTAAGATTCGGATACTGTATCACGAACGATAGACATTGCAATGATTCACTAAATCAGGAGGAAATGATAGTGGATTTGTTTCAAAAGGGTCCACAATCCCCGTCCACAAACGATCCGGACTTGCAACTGGACTTTGAGGGCTGGCGGAAGATGACCGGTCCGCACTCGGCGGAGAGCCTGATTTGTATGTACAGGGAATGCGGTATCTAGCCAGATGTGAGTCTTTTGTTCAAGGAAATCCGAGTAAATTGCAGCAAGAGGTCATTCAACTCACTTTGCGCATCGAGAGCAACTTGGCCATGCCTTGTCGCATGCCCGCTTTTGAGACCGACAGCGCTCGCATACGGTAACCGGTGTTCTATCAGACCTCCTACGGTTCATTCCATCCCGTAGTCTTGTGAACAATGACGCAGAAATTTCAAGTGATGCATGTCCGTGTTCTTTCGACCAGAGAGACTCAGGCGTCCTGCTTGAAAGTTCAACTGTCCAGACGCTTTTACCAGCTGAACGAGGTTCATCGTAGTCATACCGACATGTCCGCTTTAGTCTGACATATAATTAGCGTATACTACTAACATCGACATGGTAGACTCTAGTGTCCCCCGTTATATAGTTCCTACCGTTCGCAATTAGAGCAGCGCGGTAGACACTTGTCGCATTTCCTCTTCCTTGTCTTGCACGCTAGACATACGATAGCCGCTCTATGAACATCCGCGACGCCGGGTGATTGGCTCATGATATACACGGCTAAGGGTTTCCCTAGGAAGAATCCAAGTAGTGGTATGCGGCTGCACGAGCATGCCGACTAGCAAGGATGACTCAAACGCTTTAAAAGATGGCGAGGGGCTGTCTCATGAAGAAAAATAAGTTCGTGGCTTGAAGTTATCACTACAGCCGGGGCCCCTGATTAGCTCATAATGTCGCCGCCGTCGGATCTCGCCGTCTGGCGCTAATGTTATTACGCTAGCCTAGTCCAGAAAGTCCCATTCCGGAGCTTCCTGACTTTGTAGGTTTTCAGCTCGCCTCTTCTTGTCTTTCAGTGAAGATGAGTAATAGCGTCAAGGTGGTCTCAGTCTCGCTCTATGACTTAAATCCAAGAGTTCATGGTTTCCAAACTGTCGGTGTGTTTTTTACCACTCGCAAATTCCGGTCTCTATTTTCCTAAAAGTGGTCGGTTAAATGATTACAAAGCCAAGGTTAACACACTCAGAATAAGCAAAGAACCTCTAGAGATACAACCCTTTGAAAGAGCAAGAGTTTCACAAGGCCAGAAAATAGTGAAATTGCTGTATATCCAAGCTTATCATGATAGGAAATGAAAGACAATTCTAGAATACTTGTCGGCCGAACCCACGATCAAGATCGCCATGTTAGATCATATGATAACTTATTAGGTCGTATATTGACAAATTTGCCTCATGACTAGATGATCAGGTTGTGTCTTTGAATTCTCATTCGATTCTACTTCTATCAAGTTCGTACGTTCATTCTTCAGTTGATGGTCAGGATGAAAACTTGAATAGGCTCTTGTGATCTGATGACCGCCCTTGCCGAAAGTTGAAGTAGCATTCATTTACGCGATTGTTATCCGATTTATTTAGGTCTTTGACGTGTAAAGTATAGTCTAAGTTCGTGTTTAAGGTCTGTGAGTTTTTCGGCTTCTTGCTATGCTTAGAACGACTGAAAGGCCTAAACGATTATGCCAGTGACATAGTGTCAAGGTACTTGAAAAGGGAGTTGTTAGATACGTGATAGCAAACCATATTGGTAGACTTTCAGTGTAGATTATACTAGTTTTGAATAATATAAATCCAAAATTGCCCTATTCAGTGGGGGTTACATGCACTTTGCCCTGATTACCACAGTGTCAAATCGGAACATCCCCATGAATGCTCCACAATTCAAGATCTAAACAAGCAAGTCGACATATAAGAAATTTCTGATAATGAATTTATTTATAGTAGCCACTAGAAGATTGGCCCGCAAAGTATCCGTCTCAATTTAAAGCAGAATCATATCGAAGATTGTTTGTTTCATACTCGGTCCTTGATAAGTGGAAGCCCTAACTTCCAGCTTTCCGGAAACAATAACCAACCTAATTTTCACGACTGAGCTTGTAAGATTGGATTTGAGACCAGTAAAGTCTTGCATGATCAGATGTCATGTCTATCGGTATGCTCGAGGTCGAACCTCCTGTAACGATCTAAATGCTGACATCGCGATGATCTTCAGGATGATCTCGTCGACTGATGCAACCCAAGACGGGTGTGTGGTATTTAGCCGCAAACGTACCCAATCACGCGACAAATATATTGTTGAATCTTGGAAAAACAATCTTAAGCACATGTTTGCAATCCCTATAATTGTGAATTCGCTGGATTTTTCGCTGAATTAAATAACGTAGTATTGTTTGTTTCCGAGTCAGAGGAGGTAGCCTCGGGGGCTGACGTTGTGTTGCAGTTGAGCTCAGACATCGATTTGACAATGGAACGAATGTGTGCACATAGAAGTAAACTTTAGCAACTCTTTATTTTACTTGTATTTAAGATATGATCTTTGCTGATCGACTCACTTTATGGTAGAGCCATACTCATCAAATTGAAGAAAGCTGATCTTGTGTAGCGAACATGCTTCTCAAACAATTCGTTCAGTTAGCTGCTGTTCTAGCATCTGCAATCCCCATATGCAATGCTTCAGCTCTAGCAAGAAATAGTAGACGCCAGTCGACGGCCTCAAAGTATGTCTTTGCACATTTTATGGTCAGTAGCTATCGGAGTCCACGCCATTGCCCCGAAAAAGAATAGGTCATACTAACACTGATAACAGGTCGGCATCGTCGAAAACTACACTTTAGACGACTGGAAGTCCGACATGACGACAGCAATGGACATCGGCATCGACGCCTTTGCACTCAACTGCGCCAGCGTCGATAGCTACACTCCCACCCAACTGGCCCTAGCCTACCAGGCCGCCGAAGAAGTCGGATTCAAAGTTTTCATCTCCTTTGACTTTGCCTACTGGACAAACGGCGATACGGCGAATATTACGCAGTACATGCAGACTTATGCAGGCCATGCAGCTCAAATGCAATACAACGATGCTGCAGTTGTGAGCACCTTTGTTGGTGACAGTTTCGACTGGACGCCAGTAAAAGCTGGAACGAATCATTCGATCTGGGCATTGCCGAACCTACAAGATCCGGCTGAATGGTCGAGTGACGCTCAGCGAAGTGTGGATGGAGCGTTCTCGTGGTATGCTTGGCCGACTGATGGAGGAAATAGTATTATCCCGGGGCCGATGACCACTATCTGGGATGACAGATATATATCTGATCTGGGGAATGCTACTTATATGGCTCGTATGTACAGGATTGAAACTTTCGAGAGAATCATAACGTCGCTAACTATTATCATAGCTGTGTCGCCGTGGTTCTTTACCCATTTCAATAGTAAGAACTGGGTATTCATCTGCGAGGACCTCCCTACTCGACGCTGGGACGAGATATTGACAATGCAACCAGATCTCGTCGAAATTATCACATGGAATGGTAAGTCTAGTCCTTGATTAATCTGCGACAAAGCAATATCAACGATATTAACCAGAAGAATCAAGACTACGGCGAGTCTCACTACATCGGTCCCTACTCAGCATGTCACACAGATGACGGCTCCTCCGAATGGGCTTCTGGATTCCCACATGACGCTTGGCGCGATATTTACAAACCCTACATCCAAGCCTACAAATCTGGCGCTACAACACCAACCGTTGACACCGAGGAGATAGTATACTGGTACCGCCCAACCCCCAAGGGCGTCACATGCACCAACGATAGTCTACCAGCCCCGAATGGAATCGATTTACTTTCTGACAGCATCTTTGTGGCGACTATGTTGACAAAAGCGGCTACATTGACTGTCACCAGTGGTGGGAATGCGGCAATTAGTGTTGATGTACCTGCTGGTATTGTGACGTCGAATGTCACGATGGGTGTTGGTCAGCAGAGTTTCGTGCTTAGTCGGAATGGAGAGACTATTCTCAATGGAACTGGAGGATTGGATATTGTTGATACATGTGAGACATACAATTATAATGTGTATGTTGGGTCAGTAACGGCGTAACTGTGAGATCTTACTAAAACATTTCGGAACTCCTTGATGGTCAACTGCCGGATTAGTGGTCATTTAGACAAAGTTCTGCAAGCTACGAGTCGGCGAAAATTTGACGGCCCATGGGAATGACTCCTGGCGATCAATCATCTTGAGATATGTATACGCACAACTATTCAATGTACCTAGGTATCTATACGAACTTGATTTTTCCTGCCAGATAAGGCTTTCCTTTTTCAGCTGTCGCCACATTTATAAGGGCATTTATAATCCTGCTCACTAAGTAGATTTTAGTCTAGGCTTATACTCTCTAAATAGCTTAATATTATGATATAACCAAATTTAGATTTATATTGCTATTTTACTAAGATAGGTTTGCCCGTACAGACAGGGTCTGTATTTGTGAAGCCGCCGTTCCATGCAACTGAATGATATCCGCTGTGCTCATATCATCCTTGTTTCTAGAAGTTACTGACGTATGTATAGATGTCTCGGTGTTCATTTCAGACCATCACCACCAATGGCGGGATATGATCACGTCGCTGTTGTTCGCCTCCATTACGCCTTCAATTTCAATACAATCCATCGCTAGCGGCATTTCCACGGTCGTCGTATCCAGAAAGTCTGCGCAATGACAGCACTACGTTCAAGGACGGACCTTCACGAATTGCCTGATTATTTTAAATCTCCAAGCGTTGATTGGCAGAAGGTATTTTCTAGTCTTCCACAGACGGCGCATTTAAAACCGCTCCCTCCCGACTCGAACTTTGACCGGAATTCCAAGAAGCGAGAGACAAGGCAAGAAATGCTTACCTTTTTTACGCCTACAAATTTGCTTGCGGGAATTCCTCTACCGTAACTTTGTACACTACGCTACCCATAGATCTGTGTTGCAATCCCTCTAGGTTAAAAAGACGCGCTGACTTAACCCAACAGAATTGACATTATTATAATCTATTCGTTGCGACAATCTGCCGAAGAGAAGCTACTTTAATTGTCTAAAAAGACTGCACTTTTTGGCTTATGCAATCATGAAGATAGAAGTTTAGAAGAGTAGAAAATGTATAGATTATAAGAATGAAGGGTATCGGAGGAGCATGTACTATCTATTTCAACAACGAATGACCATTTGAGGGTCAAGATCACGGCCCGATCAACCCTGAAGAGACAGGTCCTGTACCCCATTTAGGAGCTAACGGCCCCTTAATTACAGAGACCGACGTACTGATCCAGAGAAACATTATAGAAGGTTCACCTTGCGGAGTTAAAGGAGCCATCACGTCCGTCAGACTTATCTGGATCTCCTGCGGCCACTGATCTGTCGGGATACCGCTACTGAGTAGGCCACCCACAGCATCCAGCATGATGGCTCCGATGACAACAGGATCCCAGTCACCACGGCTCGACAAGTGTTCTGTTATGGTCTCTGTGATCATGCCCGGGTTGCCTGTTACCCAGCCATACTCATTGCCAGTGTACTGGAACATCATCGCATGAGCCGAGCGAGTCAGCCCCTCCACGGAGAGTGGTTCCCAGACATCATTGCCATCGAATACGTACTTGAGCATATTGATCCTGTACAAGGCCCCTCTGAACATGTAGAAGGCCCACTGGAAATTGAAGGGTGTGGCACCTATACGACCGAGCGGCCCGGAGCCCCCCCATGCTCTTCGTCGCAATTCAGACAATCTCTTCCTCTTCTCAGAGAGAACAGCGACCGAATAGGCCCGGGCGGGTTGCATCAGTGTCTGGCACTGCCAAGAGAGTGCGTAACTTGTGTCGATATACGATGCTCTATCTGTTGTAGGCTGACAGTTCGTATTCGGAGAAAAGATGATCTCCAGCTCGTCTTCCTCCCCATCATAGTAGTCAAAGGTCGTAAACATATAGCTGGACACTGTGATGTCATAGGGGATCTGGTAACAGGTGCGGCCGGCAGTCATGTTCAGACTACTGACGTAGAGTTCGATAGGATTTCCTGTACCTCCGCACGTACTATCTGTGCTGTTGTACAGAGAGATACGGGCTAATGTGGCATGACTAGTTGTCACAAAAGTGAAAAGAAGGAGCAATACTTTGTATAACATGGTGTTCACTGGGCTCGAGGGCTAATCTCTCATAGAAAATGATGACAACCGGTTGAGACTTATATACATAAGATACTATGTAGTATTTTGAGATAAACCCCCCAATGTGGGTATTGGGGTATTAAGCCAGACTGTAGAAAAGACAAGAAGCCAGGTACTATCTCAGCTAGGGTCAGATTTCTTTATCCGCCGTGTATTCGCATATCTGGTGCCATTTTGATTTGTCACGACTAAAACTTCAGCCCCAGCCACATATGACTTTAGCGCCGCCACCTCTAGAATTCGTGCCATATCTCTCGTGTATCCTCCCTGACACACAAACACATTTATTATGTAGGGTAGGGTTAAACATATTAACTAGGTAAGCTTCTCGTATAATGCATTCAGCTCGTCAGCGCCGCCGTCTTGCACCTAGCTGAAGCAATGCAAGGTCATGTCTACGCGCCCTTCAAAATGTTTCTTTACCAGAATTTATAGATGGGAAGACATCAACCCAAGGTACTAGTAAATAGCTCATCATCCACTCTTTCGAATATACAGCTTGCATAAAATATTGCCGAAATCCAAGCGTGAGTCAGTCCCCCATGATGCAACCCAGAGCAGATAATGACACTACTCCACAGAATCATCATGATGTCTCAAACCCCAACCCTCTTATCCATTCTCGCCTTCCTCCCGCTGTCCCTCACATCCGGCATCCCAGCCGTCGAGGTCAACTTCTACACCGATGAATGCCTATCCTGGGTCGACACCAGGACGATGTACTACGACATCTCCCCGATGGTGAATAGTCTCAGAGACCGGACCTGCCATAACATCTACGTTCCCCCGGGCTCAACGCATTTTAATGTGGCCAGCTGCTTGATGCAGAACGGAACGCAGTCGTATAACCCATTTGATTGCACGTGTTTCTTCTGGACTTCCTTCAACTGCAGTACCGGTCCGGAAGCTATTTTGTCATCGCATGAGAACGATTGGCATTGTCGCGAGGGTGCGTCTAGTTTTGTGAGTTGGCGTTGCGTGGGGTCGGATACTTCTTGATTTCGACAGTATTAGGGATATAGGGTGTATACTACGTTATTCGGGGACATCTTATACATAATAGGTAATGTTACTACTGAGGTAATAAGCATATGTGCAGAGTGATATATTATACCAGTATGATTTACGCGACCTTGGAACCTTGGAAAGAAATGGGTGAAAGGGGGATTTTCTTTATACAGAATATAAGATACTACTAGGGACTTCAACTCACTACCGCTCATTTCTTTATTGGATAATAAATATTGTATTGCACATATAATGTCTTTCTATGGAAGAAAGGAACAAATAGCATTTATCTAAAAGCATTCCCCCATTGATATACTACTCCCACGTTGTCAACTACCTAGTACCAACAAATGCCCCCTATTCAGAGTAATGATGTAGCCCCAACGGTCCATCCCGTAACGGCCGCATCGCCAGATCCGCCTCATCGATTGCCCCGGGATAGCTAGTATCAATAGGAAAAGAATCATTCAACCTCAAAGTCTCCTCATGAATCCCTTTCTGTCGACTACGCACCTGCGAGGTTTCCTGTCGCAGACCCTGTTCTTCCGGCTGGGAGTATGATCCTTCCTTTGTCGCTTTGTAGTAGAAGTATACATCAAATACTAGGGCTACCAGAGTTGCAGCACTATAGATCAAATACCATGAGCTATTCCTATAGCTACGTATACAGGTAGTAAGAAAAGTGAAAAGGGGAAACTCACGTTAGAACTATGACCATTGACCAAAATGCCTTATAGTCTCGACAGGCAGAGGCGGATCGTTCGGAACCCCAGATCTCGCGTGCGCAAGATGTCTCAAGAATGCGATATTGACCTAGAATTGACGTGACTGTCCCCAGACTAATAGCTAATAGAACGAGGAGTGCGCCATCGAGAAGGAGGTTCCAGAATGGGGAGAAGTAGGTGAAGTTGTATATAATGATTGCCACTACCATGGAGACAATTGTCGCGATAGAGACGCATAAGACCTGTATCGTGTTAACCTGATGGCTGAATATTATCCCAAGATGGTGGCCATACATTGATGAACGTCCATGAAACGGGAAAGTTATATGATTCTGTCATTTCTGTTATAGGAAGTTCCAGTGGGGACTGGAGAATCGAGATACATGTACTTACTCATATGTGCTATACAATAACTCATGATGCCACATACACCAGCAGCAGTCACAAGCTGAAACCCTCGCAGCAAGTGAAAACTAAGACGAGAAAACGGAGACGATCTCCTCCATGGCTTATCGCTTTTTATTGACCAGACCATTTTGCAAAGAAAGTATTGATTGTCTATATGATGAGAATTATCCAACAGTAGAATACTCCTGAGGAGCATTCAAGTTTTAATTGAATTTGAAATGACGGCAAACCCACGATATTTCGACCCCACAGCCCTACACTATAAGCTATAGAAGGAATCCACATGCATGCAGAAGTATGAATTAAAGCTGCGGAGCTGATAGATTATAATCTAGGTGTTATTGGGACACCTCCCTCGGCCCAGGGGTTCCCCATGTGGGCAATCTAAGCGAATCATCGCTCGTATTGGTTGACCGCCACAATCTTCACCACTAGTACGGGCTTAGAGCATTTTCTTTGTAATCTTACTGCAGCTGGAACTCAACTGCTGAACTCGTTGGTCTGTCCCTACAGATCAACAGCAGCTGAAGGGCTGAAGACCGTGTCAGGTTACATACAAATGAAGGCCGCTGGCGTGAAAGCGAAGCATGGCGACTGGTTACCTAGCATTATATTAGGGGAAGCGAACAGAATTTCAGGCCACCCATCAGCCGCGGTGGCTTTGATATGGAACCTTGGAAGCTGAATAGAGTAGTATTCTAAGGTATGTACCTTGATATTAATACTGGGTGTTTTTGAGAAACATGCACAAATCATTGGAATGCGGCGATGGCGAAAAGTCGCCCTTTAGAACATTCAATCATTCAGTGCCATATACCTGAGAAGTAACTAGTCTTGAGGAAATCAACTCTTCTGGTGTTAGTAGACTAGAAAGGCGTTTTGGATTCGGATTTTTGATTTTTACTACTTTTATTGTTGGCCGAAGCGATGTTTCCTGATTCATAATCTTATCAATGCCGAATATGACTATTCACATGTCTTTACACAATGTAATTCACCTTGGTAGTCTGAAGGAATATTGACAGGTATGTAGTGAAAGGCTAGCATTCTACTCTTATCTAGGTAGATAATCCACTAACCTGAAGAGTATATAAGAGCGATAACTCTTCACTCTTTATTGATTTCTACGTAATACTTTTGCTGCTTAACCTAAGGACATTTTCTAGTGTCCCGGAGTATGATTTGCTGAATTTCTCTATACTCTGTGCATTGATTTTATTTTTGTGTATTTGGCAAGCTCCTTAACGTACTGATTTTCTTTTATCCTAGTTATGGCTATTACTGCGAGGAATCTAATGTTGATGTATACCCGTCTGCTTATTGATATTGATATGATTGTACTGCTTCTTGCAAGCTATGGACTGAAGTCTATTCTTCGTTCTGTGTAGATTACGTGAGACTATGTAGTCTGAAAATATAATATAATGAGAACTTTTAGACTAGGAAGCTCAGTCTCTGATGTAGATTTTGTTGGCCTTAGAATTATTGTATATCTATTAAATAAGAAACCCGTGAGAAATTCTGAGTGGTGTACCACTTACCCGTGGAATACGTTAGTTATCCAAGAAGCCTAAGTCAGCAGGACGCCTTTCCTTTTTGGGCTGGCCAGTCTGAGAACCGGAGCGCTCATCTGACACAATCTCGAATGGACACGCCGGGATACATCATTTCCTTTTAAACAGATAGCCAAAAATTTGTCGTCCAACAGACATGTCTTTTCGGAAATTCAGCCAGGGATGCGGTGAATGTCGAAAACGAAAAATTAAAGTATGTCGCTCTGTTGATAATGTATTTTTCGATCCCCATTACTTATATCACAATAGTGTGATCTTCAAGAACCCGGGTGTGCTCAGTGTCTCAAATCAGCCCGACTTTGCCCAGGATATCGAGATCAGAATGCACTCCAGTTCCGCCATGAGACCCAAGCAGTCATCCGACATGCGAAGGCTGGCGCTCACGCAGCTCCGTCCACATCTAGAAGGACGCCCAAATCGCTTATCGACGAGTCATTGAGGAACTATTACACTAGCCAATCAGGAGAAAAGCGGCCAAACTTGTTTTTACTGCCAATTGATTCTTTTGTCATCGATGTGGAACATCAAGCCTCATGTTACTTTTTCCAGACTTACACTTGGATTGGCATTCTTGCCATAATCCGCAGTCCATTTGATTACCGTATTGACAGTGTGGAAGCCCCTTTGGGCGAAAGAGCTCTACTAGCAGGAGTAACGGCCGTTGGAAAAGCCACCATCGGAAACATTTACAACTCAACCTTCTTAGTGCAATCTGCCAGATCAGACTATTGTGACTCGCTCCGGTTAACAAACGCTGCAATATCGTCTACCGATCAATGGAATAAAGATTCTACCCTTATTGCTATATTTTTGCTATCTGTTTTTGAGGTAAGCCTAGCCTGGAGGTCTGAATCTACTTAGGGCCTAACGATCCGCGGCACTAGGTTGTAAGTGGCTATGAAAATAAGTCAATTGAGAATTGGTTGCTGCACATCAACGGCTCAGTAAGATTATTGGAACTGCGCGGTGTGGATGGTCTGATGAATACGCCGTCTTTGACGACTTTCAGATCTTGGAGAGATCAAATTGTACGTGAACTTTGTGAATCTGGCTTGAACCACGCTTAACATCGCTTTTACGCAGATTCTTGGTTGCATATATCGCCGACTCCCCGTTCCTCTGACCATTCTCCGCTTATCCGAACGACTGGCAGCAACTTCGCGCAGCTCAATTGAAACATTTTCAAACCATCTTACTAGACTCATGGCCAAATTAGCCAAGGTTCGCTGTCAAACACCAGACGGCCTTATTCATAACAGCAACTCAACCATTCTGAATGAACTGTTAAGTATCAAAACGAGACTCTCGATTTGGCTCAATCAGGCGTCTTTGAGTTGTGCATACAAGTCTTTTGACATGCTCGATGAATATACTGTTGGACAAGACTTCAAGCTCCGCCCATATCGCAGTTTGTGTCACAGATATCCGGACCTTCCCTCAGCTTTGATGTGGAACAACTATCGTATTACTCGGATATTAGTGTGTGATATGATTCTATCTCAGTTGCATCCACTGGCAACAATGAATGGTGATTCAAGCGAGATCAAGGAGGCGCAAACGAAATGTTCCGAAATGCGTAAAGAAATGCGCGACCTTGCTGATGAGATCTGCGATAGTGTGCCATATATTCTCGGCGTTCTGGACCCGCATACTCCTAGGTCAAAGAAACCTTCAGATGTGAAAAGTTCGGCAGGTGGATTTGTGCTTCTGTTTCCACTCTCTTTTGCCGTGGTTGTAGATGACCACCCGTCTCCACTTTCCGAATGGGTTTTTGAATGCTTACGTATAATTGCAGGTGTGATGGGAATACACCAAGCCATTGTCCTTCAACAATATCTACCCACTCTGTGTGGACAACACAGCTGGGCGGATAAATTCTAGTCTCTTCAAACCAACCACTAGTCATTCCAAGATTCACACTCTTCACGTCTTGCTTGTAACGATATGAAATAAGGAATTACTGTGATCCTGAAAATTATCCCAGATTGAGATTAACCGTATATCGAACAGTGTTGTAAACAATGCCCAATATCGAGCTCCACGCAGACTCAGGAGGCCTCTATCATCTATCGTAACACAGATGCGGGGAGTTTCTAGATATGGCTTCCACTCAAGAGAATCAATATACCGACTTGGATTTCTTTGAAAAAATCAAGACTATCCGTTAGATCTGTAGTGTAGAGGTTGGATTAAGTGCTGGTCATAAAAGATACAAGAAGCCTCAGCTTGGCCAAATCACTGGTTCAGAGTCGCATTTCGATAGGCATTGTAATTTGTCATCGCAAATATGCATAGAGCCTCTACACATTCACCATCATTACAGAATGTTGACTCCTGCTATCATCTTCCTTGTCTGACAAAGCCATTTTCGCAATTTCTATCTCCTCTTCATTTGGCAGATTCACAATCATAAGATAGAGCACATTCCTTGATATCTTGCGGGGCAAAGTGTTTGCCCCCAGAATCTGGGACTGTAATTGCTGTCGCTGTTGTTCGAATTGTTGTTCGTATAATGCGGTGAATTCTTGCATCTGTAAATCGGAGTAACCCATGGCTTGGAACTGGTTATGGAGCAGTTCTAGCTGGGAAATTCGTTGCTCCTCAAGAAGAGCTAATTGCTGATTTATCATATTGTTGACTTCTTGCTTTGCTTTTTCTGGGTCCCTCGTAAGATGCCCACCAGAAAGCAGGCCAAGAAGACCTCCGTTAGTGGCGGGATGGTTAGGATCAAGGAAACGGTTTCGAAATCCTGCATCTGGAGCTGCAGATAAAATATCGTTGCTGTTTTCGGCTGCCTATCGCATGTTGTCATTAGATTTTTCTTTATTTATAGACAGGCAGGAAACTTGCATATACGGCCCGGGCACGTTTATCCAGGTATCGGTTCACCTCGTTCCAGAGGGTGCCTTTTGTTTTCGGCTGTTTATCCTCTTTATCCTGCTCCGAAAATACGAGTGGCATAATCTCAGATGGCAAATTATGTTCCCCTTCAGTAGTAGCTGAAAAGGGATTGCGGAAGTTTGTTTTCAACTTTTCTTGCCATTTCGTCTTTGGCACCGTAGGATTTATTTTCGAAGATGAGGCGGTTATCATTGCATCGATATCTTCTTGCTCTTTCTCTGGGATAGGGTTGTATTTCAGTATCAGGCAACAGAGCCCACGAGGACCGAATAATTCTCGGTTTGCCTGATCTAGAAAGGAGTTCACTCTACACAGGCAGTGTTAGACAGCATTTACTGGGCCTGGACTGGGCCTGGACTAGACTTACTTCCATCTAATTTGCGCCTTTGCTGCTACAGCTGATACTAATTGCACTGCTGCTGTCACTCCCATGGAAATATGGTTCGGGACAAAAGAAGCGCCGAATGCAGCAATTTGTACGGCGGCAACCCATTTCGAAACTCGGATTGCTTTATTTAGAGCGTCAATAAAGTCGTGAAAATGATCTTTGCTGATGCCAAAATCGGATAGTGCTGGCGCATAGGCCGCCATAAAACCTCGCTGTTTGTGCCCGGGTCGCCGTTGAGGGATAACGATAGGAAAAGGCATTCGCCCACTCGAGGGTACCGTTGAAATTCTAGAGTTGTTCCCCCAAAATGAGCTAATTGCTGAGTCGGCTTCCTCTTCTGTGGCGTTATCGAACATTGGGCCATCGCCCTCGTCTCCAGAGTTCATTGTCAAATCAAGCTGCGAGAGTTCCTCGTTTTCGTGGGATCGAGAATATTTGGAGGCCATTTTTACTAGCTGTGTGATTATCCAGCGAAGAGACAGTTGCAAGAAATACTTATTATATATTACATACTATACTTAAAATTAATCAATGTTAAAACCTCAGGTCCGCTAAGTATGTTCCTTTCAGCCCCTCTCTCGCGGTACTTACTGTAATGGGTTTAGGTCAGGGCCGAATCGTTTATCAACGATCTGGAAGAGAGCACGGCCTCGTTGATTCCGTTGGCAGTCCCGTTCACCATTGTTCATAAGCTAGGGTCTCGAAATCTCTCTTATTCGCTGGTGGAGGTTGCTGGAGTCCCACCAGTCTTAGGGCTGTGCTATCCATATCCAATGAGATCTGCCTCTCAGTATGATTGCACACCAGCCTTCGTCTAGTTGCCTCTTTATTTCCCTATCCGCTCGCTCATTACCCTCAATTCCTTGATGGGCCGAGATCTAGCGAGTCGTCACCTGGCCCGATCATTGCTGTAAAGGAGAAGGATCGGCCCTAGAATTGAGTTCATCCCGCGGAACACTATACCGATAACAGTAAGCCACGCGAGAGACGGCCTTAAAAAAACGAATCATGAACGAATAAGTTAATTCTCTCACTTCAATTAGTATGAGAGGCAAAGTATAGAAGCCAATCATTTATATTGAAGTTCTTCACAGCATAGCTGATGATGGCCTTAAATGCATGATCTAACAACCAGCCAATGTTACTGTAAATCAGGTTGTGTATCTCTCCAGTCAATCACAAGTCAGAGAACCCCTTCTACGTCATTCGAAACTCAATTTTGCAGCCTGATGCAATTGCGCTAATTTGACCTCTCCAAGTCTCATGGGACTAAGGTCAGCGTCCATGGGCAGGCGGGGTGCTGTTGTCTATGGACGTAGTTCCCATGGGAATTTCCATGGAACTCCTTCGTTACTGTAATATTTTGCTGTACCTGTGCTGTAGATCCAAAATTGAGGAATCAAAACTCCGGCGGAATAAAAATATCAATGCTCATAGTTCTCAGTGGTGGATTCATTCGTGGGTGAATTTTGTTCGGTGAAAGGATTTCATCGGTAGATTACTTCATTCCCAAGTGAAATGATTCAGGAGTAGGGTTTTCTTCTCTTGTGTCGTCTGTGGGTCTATCATCACCGGTAATAAAATCGAGGTCTTAATTTATCTGCCAAAGAGTGTCTTATTCAAGAAGCCTGAAATCCGGTGGCCCTAGCCGACAGCCTATCAATCATGCGAGCTGCATGTTTTTGCAACCCGAGACACATTAGATCACTGGGAAACAATCAATTGGTGAAGTCCACGCCATTTATGCGGAACTGGAGACGGCAGAACAGAAATGTATCGAGATATCCACACGGCAACATGAAAACCCAGACGAGCTGACATTGCTACAACTGCAATCCCTCGCCGCGCTGCATCGGATGCTGCTTTATAAATTCTTCAACTTCTTCCTAACGTCAAATCATACTGCGGAAAGAGACGCACTGAAAAGATTAGCAAATCTCTATTTCGTGCCAGCGAGAATGTGGAGATACGGCATATATTCGTTCTTGGAGCTACTGCGAAAGAAACTGCTGCTTCCTCTGCACCGGCGACTTTAGAAATAAGCTTGCTGTAATCCTGTTCTCGATGAGATCGCTTACAGTCTCAAAATCCTCAATACATCAATTTATTAGATATATTCTTGGAATATTTGATACTTTGATACCCAGGATATCTTGAATATACTCGAAATCTGACCTCGACACGAATCTTACAAAATGCCTCACATAAACACTACCTGCGAGACTGAGACTGTTGTGACGGCTCAAACTGAAGCATTCGCGAGAAAACCGACAAGCTAGAATGTAAGTTACAAGATTCTAGCTCTCTATCCTAAAGATTGAGACCTCCAGTTATAAACTGATTATTCTGAGCCTGTTGGTAATTAAGACAATATCAATTCATACAGACACACCGTGGAGACCTTTAACGGGTTATCAGATATCTTAACTATTGGTGTGGCATGGGTCATTTGGATTTGGAATATCGCCTCCAGAAGCAAGAGCGAGAACTGAGGGCTTTGAGACAGGAAACTCGGAGGTATAGGAGAAGCAAAAGGGAAATTTCAAAGCTGAAAAGACCGAGACGGATCATGAGAAAAGTTTCAAATGATCACCCGTCTATATGGTAATATCATAGACTTACTGACTCCGGTTCTCCGTTTACACGCGACGCTCGGCTTGTTGACCGTGCTGTGTGGATTCATCTCTTTGAAGCGCATTTGATATTTGCCTTACTATATGATATCTTACCCATTCGTTACCGAGCAGAACTTTTGTCCCAGGGGCTAGTTACAAAAGTCGAGAATCTGCGGTTTTTCGTGGCGGGTTGATGCCTGGGGAGTCTACCAAAACGTGTACCAAACTTGCGATCTAGGCATAATTAAACCCCCTTTCCTCGCACAATCGTTGAAGAAATTACACTAGCATTACATTAAATGAAAAGCCAATCACAAAAACTCTGTAGTTAACCTAGATTGTCATCAAAGATTCTGCCTACATATGTATACTAGATACTATTATACTACCCCATCGCTTCAATGGTGAAGTCAGCGAGTACCCGACGATACTTCATATATCCTGTGACTTCAGATCTATATGATGAACTTCCTACCATCCCGACCCATAAAACTAAATCTGCAACTAGAACTTTTCAAGACGTATTGAAATGGGGCAAAAGATTAATCGTTGGACGCCTAATGGTTTCCTGGGGTATAGACATGGAACGCTTCCCACTGGCCGAAAGGCAGCAATAACAAATTTCCTAAACAGGCAATTTTCTGAATATGATTAGCCCTAATATACATTTGGTTTTCTGAATTATAATAGAACATCACCACGAACCACCCATGATATCTTTTTGTATGATGACATTAATATAGGATGGAGGGTGGTTCTCTGTTGTGAGTCGCTCTCTTTTGTTCCGGCTCTTTCTTCAGAGGCAAGCGCTGCCTAGCCATGTTCTTGATGACTTCACATCACTCAATCCCCAAATCTTATTGTAGTTATTGCCTGGCAATTTTCTGATTGTTCCTGTTGTTATTAATTGTGGTGATGTCAATTGTAACCAAATAAGTAGAGTAGGCAGATACAGGCACCAATTTTAACCTAATAATTCACCAGATCTAAAGGGCTACATCTCTCTCTCAGGCGATTGTTTCTTTCATCAATTCATTCTTTGCTTTCTAAGCATATATGAAAATTCTGATTGCTGGTAGACAAATAGATTTGCTGCACTTTTGCCCGATTGCTCGCCTCTCGAGGTCAAATCTGTCTGCCGGAAAGCTTCAAATCTTGATTGAGTTGACATAGATACTGCAAGACTTGCTACCGTATACCACTATGTCGCAGCCCTTGCGCTATCCTGTTGAGCAATTTGTTCATCGGCGAAATGGACCTCATCTACCTCAACCTAATGGCTATTATGGAAGCGGGGCTCCTTATATGAACGGACACAACGATTCATTCCCTCCTTATTCAAATGGATATGGTGTTCATGGTTTCGTGGCCGAACCATCCGGCTTTTATCCACAGGTGCCTCCTCCAATAGTGCCACCTGAAGGCACCCCGAACGATACGAGCTATCATACAAACACGATTCCGCCGCCTCCTCCTCCACATTACTATCAGCCAGGAGATTATCAGTGTTACTATGGTCATCAGTATCCCATTTCTAACACGTGCTACCATGCCTCCGTCCAGCAGCAATATCTAGTCCATGTTCCCAGACCAACAGGCCCCTCCGCCTCACAGCCTGCTCCTATACATCCTCGAAGAACAGCACCGTCTAAGTCCGATGATCCCGAAGCGAAGCTTTTTGTTGGAGAGTAAGTTTTTCTCTTTTCCTGGGACTTTCACATACTAACAGTACTCGACCCAGCCTTCCTGTCAACATGAACAAGAGGGACTTGATTAATGCATTGGAATGGACATTCAGAGAATTCGGAGAATGTAAAGTGAATGTTCATTACAAAACGAAGTATGGATCTAAGGGTGTGATGACATTGCCAACTGGTTGGATTCAGTACAGGGTATGTCGCACAACAAGAGCCTGGATGGATATCAGTAGAAAAAGAGTCTATTTTAACTATGTCTTTTAGAATATGTTTGAGGCAGCGATGGCATTGGACGTCGCAAAGGAGCAGGGTTTCAGCATCAGAGGGCGTCCAATGAGAATCGATCAAGCTGATGCAAAGAGTAAGTTCTTATTGAAGGAGATTGGAAATCGATTAAGCTAAACAAGATCCAGGAATCTGTCGTATGTGGCCAACTAGGGATTATGCAACACCAAGCCTTGATGATTTTAAGCATGCCATCCGTCAATATATCGATCATGTTGGCCGAAAATCAGGAAATTACATGCTGTTTCACGTCTCTAACAGCGTTGAGATGGTCGAAAAGCATAAGCCATATGATTGCAAAGTACCCTCCGTAGGAGTTGTGTTTCGATGGGTTGAGGACGCAAATTACTTAGTGCGGGTAAGCAAACAGCCCTGGCTTGTCTCTGTTTGGTTATCATGATGAATGACTGATGAATGTATAGAAACTCCCCAAATTTAATTACGAGTTTAAACTCGAAATTGAGCATGTCAACAGCGGAACGCCGGGATGGAGAGAAGGCCCCGCGAGGCTACGGGATCTGGATGCCCTTATGTTAGAAACTGGGGATAAATGGCAGGAAAAGCTGGAGATTTCTCGCCGCCGTCTTCAAACGAAGGGTGAGGATTTTCCAAGCGGAAAGACGGCCAGATACCCGGACCGCATCAGTAAGAAGTTGATCCCTCGCAGTATACTCGAACATTCGAGACGGGAGAAGGACGTCTTTGTTTCCGATCCTGATTCTTACGACTCTTTGGCTCGGTTCGACGTACATCGAGAGTCTCCCACATTGCGTGCAAGGGCTATCAATTCCAAGAGAATGGGTTTGGTAAATGGGAAGACCAACGGCTACTGCAATGGAAATGAGAATCATCCCAGCCATCAGATAAATGGCAGAACCAACTACCAGGCAAATGGCGAAACCAACCATCAGGCAAAAAAACACCGGAGCTGATAATTTATGCCGAATTTTAAAAGAGACATCGAGAACGCAATTCAGACAAAAGAAAAAAGCCTTCCTATAGAATTTACTCAAACGGTACCTAGGTAACTGGGAGTTATTGCTTTTATAGAAGATTTCATCCGTATAGACTAGCAGTTAGCGATCATTGCTTTTTCAATAGAATGATTTTAATATTTGCATACCTTCTTATACGACTGTGAAAGCTTCTGAAGTCATAGTAGCATTGAGATCTTATAATATAAGGAAATGATTTGCAAGTCTAGTCATGGAGTCTAGTCATGGGAGGAGAGAAGAGGGAGAAAATGGATGAAGTCGATCGAGGAAGGGCCTGTCTCTTAGATGGAGCGGCCCACAACTACTACCAAGCATCCATCCGACCCGCAAAAACATCCCTTTTGCAACAACGCCTTTCATCCATCAACATATTTACTGTTTTCATCATTGGATCTCTTTCAACGTACTCAGCACAGTGGTCGGTATTCTTTGATCAAACAATTCAGGCTAAATACTGAAAATACGCTGACACGAGCCAGCATATCGCCGAGTTTTGCCTACGTGGACAGTGGGGTCGAATTCCACAGGTGCGTGGCTCAGCAATTTTCGTGAAACAAGCACTCGCTGATCTGTTGGACTGGAAAGTTCGCGATACACCTGTGTTTGAGTGAGACTACTCTTCCACAATCTAGATCTTCTGTCGCGTAGACAAGAATGTTTGATCGAGTCAAAAAGAGACTAAACGCAATGACCGGCAACACCAAATACAAGCTCACTCAAGAGCAGAAGGACCATTTCATGAAATATGGCTATCTTCGAGTCCCCAACTGCTTCACTCCAGAAAAGGCGGCGGAATGGACTAAAGACGTTTGGACTCGTCTGGGTTATTCGCCCACCGATAAAGAGACGTGGACATCCGAGAGAATCCACATGCCCCCGCATCGTCATGAGCCTGTCAAGTCCTTCGCCCCGAAGGCTTGGGCCGCGATTTGCGAAGTTGTCGGTGGTGAAGACCGTGTTTTGGAGGAGGCTGCTCTTTGGAATGATGCATTAATCGTTAATCTGGGTACCAAAGAAGCCGAAGGCAAACCATGGCCTCATCCGAAGGAAATATATGGATGGCATGTCGATGGTGACTTTTTTGTTCATTTCCTTGACTCGCGGGAGCAGGGATTACTAGTCATTCCACTTTTCAATGACATTGTTGAGCATGCTGGTGGCACACTCATTTGTCCTGACTCGATTCCACACATGGCAAGATATTTGGTGAGCGCATTCTCCAACTCCCCATATTTCATCGCTAACATTCCCAGTATAATCACCCGGAAGGTGTCTCACCCGACATGATTCCTCGTGGTGGCCAGCTCGAACCTGAATATAAAGATGGCTTCTATACACAGATAATCAGCCAGTGTTCGGAATTTCACGAGATGACTGGCAAAGCGGGCGACGTTATACTCCTACATCCGCTCACAGTCCATTCTGCATCAGTCAACACCCTGCGTATACCACGAATAATCACCAATCCGCCGGTCACGTTGAAAGAACCCTTTCAATTTAATCGCAAAGATCCCAATGAGTTCAGTCTTGTCGAGCGAAAGACCCTTCAGTCCTTGGGTGTCGATCGATTGGATGATTGGAAGATTGTGGGGGGGAGAGAAATGATTGTTCCCGAGCGGTTACGCGCACAAGCTGCGATGAAAGAGGAGGAGAAAAAGAGATTGGCTGCTTCATAGTATAAGTCACCTCACTTTTGATGTATTCTTACTCTATACTTACTTGAGTCGCAAGAGTTGCTCACCAGGGCTTTTGACTGTTATCGATGTCCATTGCAATCGCAGAATGACCACCTGTCATAAGTAGTTGCGAAGTTCGATGAGAAAGTATCGATTGCTATTGCGATAAATCCGACATCCAAAAGCTAGCTTCTTGGAAGCTGCGATCAAACCAACACACAAGTGCCTTCGCTACCATATGCGTTTCGGGTCCAATAATCAGTTACTTAAACACCTGCATATACGTTACAAGGACACCGAGTCATCAAGGACATAACTAGAACCCGACCGCCCAACAACGCCGTATTGTCGTCTTAGTCGTCGCAGGAACAGTTGCATATTCTCAATCCAATCGGTTACAGATCGTAGTGCTGCACCAAGTCCCTCCAATTAAACTCTGGAAGCACAATCGGATATTGTGGCTGGCCCATTTCTCGACAATGGGAACATGATTTTCGTAGTCGAAAATTCGCTCTCCTTAGAGCCGATTTTACAAATACGATTGGGTAACCTGGGGTCCCTTCATCCTGGATTATATTTATTCATCAATCTACTTCGAGCTGGATATGCGAGCACGATTGTAGTTTCCAGAGCCCTATCATTACAAGTCATAGAATCAATCACGACCTTCGACTTAGGTCTTCCGATACGATCGTATACCTGGGAGCTCTCCCATCTTACATCAGACCGATCCACCCATGTTTGTTTGACTCGAATATGAGAGAATTTTTATTACTGTGTTTTTCGAAGAGAAGAGGGAAAGAAACCAACGTACTCGAACATTTTGACTTGAAAAGAGAGAAAAAAAGAACTAAAACAGAATTGACAAAAAAGTGAAGAAAAAGTAAAGAAAACCTGAGGGGGGAGGTCAGGCAGAAGTGAGGTTTCCCTCACTTCTCCTCCTCCACCACCTCCTTCTCAGCCATGATGGCGATGGCCTCGCCGATGGTGATATCCACCGCGATCCGGTCCTCTCCAAATGAAGACTCTTCCTCCACCGCCTTTTCCTTGCCCTTCTCGCTCACCTTGTTCCGAGACAAGGTGAGCGTCATCTTCGACGCTCCCACATCGGTGTCGGCGCCGACGGACTTGGCAGCCTTTTCAGCCATCTTCAAGGCCTCGGCCAAGGCTGGTCCAAGTTGCTGCTTGAGGCTCACAAGCGGATAGTTGAGCAGCTTGCGAGCCGTTGCCAAGTCAATTTCCGAGCTCTTGAGGTTGTTCTCTCGCTTTGCGCCGAGATTGCGCCAGGGCAGCAAGAAACCATTGCCAAATCCCTTCATGAACTCCTTGTCGAAGACGATATCGGATTCGCCCTCACGCTTTGGCCGAGCCATGAGGGATTCAATTTCGAGGATCAGGTCCTCTCCTTGGACGATAACGCTTGGTTTGCCCTTGTCGTTGGGTTTGGGGAAGACGGTGATGGTCTGAACTAACTTCTTGGTGTAGGGGGCTTCAGAAGCGCAGACCCACTTTTCAATCACTGTGGCATGATGCGCGTAGTCGAACATTATGACTATGACGATCTTGGTGAAGCCTTCGCTTTGGGTGAACCACCAGTCAGCACTGTACTCGAGATAGAAACGAGACGCGATGTTGGCACAATCGGAGCCAGTTTCAATGACCATCGTTGGCCAAGATTGGTGATCGGCGTCAAATTTTGTGTGGCGGTTAATATCGGGGATGAAGATGCGGTCGGCGCTGTGAATGGACTTGATCTGAACTGTATCATTGTTGTCAAAAATTACACCGTGGCTGTGGCGGGTTTTGGAACAAGCAAACTCCCAGCGATTATCGACTATGCCCATGGTGGACAATTGCTTTTTGAGGCCATACTTGAATCGCCCCAACGCGTGACCCTGAACGCCCATGTTGGTATCATCAAACTTAAGTTTGGTCATGGGAAAGAATTCAGTCATGCGAGTTTCTGTAGCAATCTTCATGATGAGCGTAGCCTGAGCCTCAAGGTAAAAAAAGCGACAATGAGGAGCAATGTTGTAATCCCACACCATGTCATCCTTGACCACGTCCAAAGGAACTGATTTGAAGATAATAATATGCACCCGAGTAGCTCCATTCTTGGCATCATCGATGAACTTTTTCATCATCAAGTAGAGCTGACCTTTGTCCTTGAAGACGACTCGAATCACTTCAAGAGCAGGACTGTCAAGGAGTGGACGCAGAGGTAGAGGGAACGTCCAACCGACCCAGTCTTCGGGGGGTGACTCCATAGCACGAACATATTTCTCTACTTGAGGGTCAACCAATTTCGCCATGACTCCAGCACCAGCCTTTGTCTCCTGTCGAGAAGAGGTGCCTGATTTTTTCTTTGCCATTGTTTTTCGACGGGATGGTGGTGGTATCGAAGGGAGAAGGGGGTTTGGAGACACAGAACGAGGGCCACGAGAACGAGAAGAGGACGAAGATGATTTGGCGCCTGTGCAACAAGCTGTGCAAGATCGAGATGATGAAGAAGTAGGAGGAGGAGGAGATTTTGATATCGAGCTGCTGGACGATGAAGCTGGTCTAGCAGACGAAGTTGGATGAGACAAAGCCTGATGAGAAAGAGGATGAGCTTGAGGTCCAGCACGAGACTGAGTCTGAAAACCAGAACGAGATCGAACTTCACAGCTAGGACGAATATTTGAGAATGTTTGATGAGAAGATGATGGAAGGGATAGAGTTGAAGCAGACGTTGCTGTCGAGCGAGGACAAGGAGATGAGAGCGAGGAAGAAGGGGCTTCTGTGGGTTGAGACTCGCTTGACTCGCTTATGGCGTTCAAGCCACGTTTCTGTTGCCCTGCCTTCTTTTTTTTGGAAGTCATCGTGGTGTTGCTGTGCCGCGTATTGTATGTAATGTGCGGCTGTGTGTTTTTTCTGTGGGGTGTGATGGTGTCGTCGAAAGCGCGAGAAATGGGGGTAGGGGATGAAGTTGTGGTGTTGCCAGAAAGACCCCAAAAAAAATTGTCAAAGAATTTATATGGGGGAGAGAGAGGAAAACAAACGTCCCAATCCAGCATTCATGTGAAAGGGGACAGCTGACTGTTTGCAGTCTTGTTTGGTGAATGGAAGGAAAATGCCGTAAGCAGTTCACTTTCTGGCAAATACTCTACACTTAGGTGTTCAGGCAGACTCTTAGCTCTAGCTCTACATAGAACTATGGATCTATAAAGTGTTACAATCAGAAAGAACGATATATATGTCTTCTCTCAGGAAGCTTGTCCATATCAGTTGACCATCTGTCCATGTTCTTCAGACTGTTGTGAAGGCAATGAAAGACACTAATATCAGCAGTTGATCCGAACACCTAGCTATGTCACAGCGATCTAGCATCATGAGATGACCAACACAACAATTTTTTGGACAATCAGTAGTACCAGATGATGGATCTGGAACGACTGTTTCCAAGATATGAAGAGTCTAGTACCGAAATGTCTACGCAGATCTTCTAAGTGGAGAAAAAATAGATGAGTGTACAGTTCATTTACAAGGCGATAAGCCACTATAGCTACAATCTGGATATCCTCAACTCCATTCCTCCTTCAGACCCTTTAGTCCTTTTGCTCCAGGAACCTTCTTCGCCTCCTGCTCTCTATGCTTCTCCTGCTCCTGAGCCTCCAACTCCGACTCTGCCGAAGGAAAAGCCTCCTTTTTGGACCCCCACAAAGTCCTAACACCTTCGTCAACTGGCAAGGCGTTTTCACCACATATCCGTCTCTCCTCCTCAAGCTCTTCCTCGCTCAGCCCATTGGTAGCCCAAATACGATGGATTCGAAGATCATAAGGTCCTTCGATACGATCCGTAAGACCAATTCCAATGGACTTTATCCTGTTCTTAATTAACGAATGTTGAGGCTCCACGATCAAGCCGTGGTTCGTGCGAACAAAAGATGCAAACGGCAACAGCACGGTCTCCCATCCTGTCCCACCGGAGGTCGTGGCACTTATAATCGTCTCTGCGGGTGGAATATCCGACAATGACGGCGGAATACCACCAGGATGTAATGTATCATTCACATCACCAACCTCTGGTGCCTCCGCAGCCGCAGCCAATGGACTCGAAAACGCGTCTGACGGATTTCCATATACACGGTGATGTCTCGTATATAGTCTGTGTTGGTGAATATCCGTCTCCACAATCGTGTCCGACTGGATATTGACTGTATACCTCCTCCCATCACTTTTCACGCGTAAAGCCAGGTATGTGTATGGATCGACGTCCCAGAATAAGCGTCCAAAGAGCCAGTATCCTTTGTCTCTGTTTCGGAAGGCGGCATATCCAGTACGCTCTACGCGCCAGTTGTTGGGTAATTTGGTCGATATACTGCCGTGGAACCGTGCGTGTGCGGGCTCATGTGCAGTTGCGGGGATGAAATCTAGGTCGGCTTTGCTGAAACCGCCAACGGCGCGGTCGGCCATGGTTTTGCAGGATGCGACCGACGTTTCATTTTCGAAGTCGAGAAGGTTGTAGGGTTTGGTGGGTGTGGAGAGAGCTTCAGCGTTCCATGCTAGAAACGATGTGTTAGTATAACGTTTGACAAAAGATAGGATGGAAAGCAACATACCAATGCGCGTCAATCGACTGAGTTCTTCGGTGCTTTTCTTAAAGAAGCTGGGTGGCTTTGCAGCCAGACAACGTGCGGTGGGGATCATGCTGGTGGGTTGTTTTTATTCTATCGCATCTCACAGGTCCCAGTCGAAGTAAGTAGAATACAATAGTTGAATGAAAGAACGTCAACGATGAAGATGAGGTTGAGGCAATGTCGAATGACGACGGAATAAAGTGGCGCCAAGCATTCCGCCATTGACTTTCCGCTGTCGCGCTAAGATAAGATACGACAATGGCCCTAATCCGCTTTTGGTATATGCGTACATCGAGCAGTCTGAGAGAAGAGAAGGAAGAAAGCGTGGTCTGAGCCTGAGGTATCATAGCATTACACTAAAAGCCTCTGGACAGAATCTTATCAGCATGATTTTTAGACACACTCCCTCCGGTCTCTGGCAAATCGCCTGAAACGCACACAGTTTCAATAAATGCCTAATTAATAGATTATGCTACTTCCTAGGGCTGCTTCTTCACGATTGGTTCGCCTGCTTCTACGCAAGGCTGTCGCAAGGCTGTGCAAGCATCCCAGTTCATTTCGGGGCTGTGCCCCTTCTCACTTGACTTTGGTCGATGCTTAAATACTCTGCTTTCGAATCCATAGAAGATTTTCAGGGATTCAAGATCTTACATCATTATACTTCATGCTTGTTCGAAAGAAGTGATATCTGCCATGGCAGGTCTTTCGGTTGCAGCTAACGCTTTCTCTGTCGTGGGACTGGTCGATATCGTGTACCGTCTCGGGGTCAATACTGCCGATCTATGCTCTCGCTATCGAAACGCCTCGCAAGACATCAGTAGCTTGGTGGATGAGCTCCAAGCTTTTGTTGCAACAGTCGCTCAAATCCGACTTTATTTGGATGAATATCGCCAGTCACCTTATGCGCAGGAAGATGGACAAACTCCTCCACAACAGCTTTTCAAAATTCTATCCGATTGCGAAACCGAACTTCAGGAATTAGAGCGATTTGCTGGTGAGAATGAGATTAGGCCGGATGATGGGGTGGCAGTACAAATGATGAAAAGATGGAGGTGGACCTCGCATCAGGTTCATGTTTCGAAATCTCGTGAAAAAATCAAGTACCTAAACATAAACCTCCAAGCAAACTTGATGATTATGGGAAGGTATTTGCTCTCGTTTATTTCTAGTGTATAATTTGGGAATGAGTGCTCACAGAGCCGCAGGGAAAATGATATAGTCCTTCGCAATGAGCTCAAATCGACTAGGACAGACATCACCGCGGCCGGATCAACCGTACAACAGGCCTTCCTTAAACTGGAAGGTAACTTGACTAAAAAGCAGGAAAATACCAATACGCTCATTCAAACTCAGACTACCCTCATGTCCCGATTGTTAAAACAATCTGACGAACATCACATAAACATAGAAAGCAACATCATTTCAAATCAAAAGGAAGCCAATTTGCTCTCTCAAAAACAGACTACTCTGATACATCAGCTGATCAAGATGACCGACGATCAAAATCATGAACTCCGGAAACAGATTTCCAATCTAACCCTGGAACAGACCGAAGATGATGATTTCATATTTCAAGGAGATAATCTCGGTTCCATTGTTCTTCCGCTGCTGTTGATGAAGTCTGATTTGTTCAAAACAGTCAAGACTCTTCAGGAAGAGGGCGTTCTCAAAGTTTCTCGTTTGGAGGCAGAGTGGATTCTACAGCAAGTTGACAATCTACTTGCAAAGAGCCACGAAGCAGCTGCCAGAGACTTGAAAGGAAAAGGTTTAACAGATGCCAAAAGAACCATCACTGGGTTATTTAACATGAACTCAAGAAATTGCTTGCCGAAACACGGACAAGAAAAATTCGCCGCGAGTCAAAAAGTGTCTACAATCGACCAAATCGGTCGTATCAATCATACATCTGCCATATATACTTCGTCAGGCGTACTCATTCTGCAAGCCGGCCCTTCAAACAAGCATTTGAAGCATTTCCAAGGTTCGGCGGAGATACAAGTATTCCGGTTATCTTTTTTTCCCAAGCTCGAATATTCTTCGGTCAATATTTCTATGCTATTGACGAATGAGTCCGGACGGAACATGCAGCTACAGATCCCACGACTCATCCAGACATTCAACACTATCCCTTACTCCGCAGAAATTAGTGGCGTCATCTTCAATGACGATGTTGGAGGTCTGGAAAAGATCTTCAGAGGTGGACAGGCGTCACCCAACGATAGGCTTGTCATCCAAGGCATCGGTATATCCCTTTTTCAAGTAAGCATAGACATCTTTCGATACCAAGGGTTGGTATTGACACTGAATAGTTAGCTTTCATGTCTCAAAGCGACTCGGTATGCGAATTTCTTTTCCAGGAAGGAGCCTCAGCCTCCTTGTTGAATCCAATTATCAGGTGAGATTGATTCAACAGTATTCATGTCAAATCACCAGGACTAACTCCTTTTTTATCATAGCGAGGGACTCAGCGTTAATTTATTAAGCAACATTTGGTCTCCAACAACCGAGGACCTTGGAAAAGGAAGCCTTACGATGTTGAACGAAATAGATAATGCCCTGCAATTATCAAAACTGGCTATCCATTACGGGTGTGAACCTAATGATATTACAAGTCCTTCTACTGGAACTATAATGCACTATTTTGTTACGTCTTATCGGAATAGAATTGCGGCAACCGAGCTTCTCGAGGATCCAAATGTTCACCTCGCCATCAACAAGTTCCGCGATATTTTCTCTTCTATGGTTGAAATGGGTTGTGAGCTCGAAGGACGCGATCTAGAGGGCAATACTGCCTTGCTCAAAGCTTGCGACCTGCCAGATTGGAATATGATAGCTGCACTTATCGATATAGGAGCAGATGTCAATGCAACTAACAAGTATGGGGGCGGCGTTTTACATCAGTTATTACATGGGCTGAGAATAAACTACGACTTTGATGAGTTCATCAAATCCGAGGCCATCCTCTATCGTGTACTAGGAATCCTGTTGGCCAATAAAGCAGACCCGAACCACCTCAGTGATTTTGGAACAAGTCCATCGGATTATGCTTTAGGGCATTCTAGAAGACTCGAGGTTTTGTGGGAGAGAGCTGTTGAACACGCAGGATACAAGGCATCTCTTATAGAGATTGTGCTATCTGAATGTGGACACAAAAACGAGGTTATGATTGTAGTGTCTGCCGGGTTAGAATTCGACAACAACAGTATACTTCCAATCTCTAACATTACAGTGGATGAATGGCTGGAACGGCGTTATGAGCCTATTTCTGAGGTTCCCAAGTGCCTAGAGTGTATGAAAAGCGAAGGTCAGAATGCAGTTCAGGAAATTTAGACGTCTGGAATAGCAGTCAGAGTTTATTTAAAGAAGTCTTGTTTGACTATAAAATAATGATCTTGAAGTACTGATATTTCTGGCATCCGTTTCCTCAATCTTCTATCATCGAAGAGCACTTCATGAACACAATATCAAGGCTTGGAAGCTGGAACAATTGGACTTTGATCAAAGCCCCTTATTACATCTTATGCCTTCGTCTAATATCAATGAACGCATTCGTACAGAGAAGAGATTCTAAGAGTATGAAATATTGGATATTACGACCAGAATTTCTCTCGGTTTCCAGTCTTGTATCTGAAAGCATGAGTCGAGTTCTACTCTTTTTATGGAAGAATTAGCTACTCATCAAGTTCTTGTTCTAGGTAGATCGACACTTCCGCTAGGTGAGCTTGTAAAGATCACGAATTGCATAACCAAGAAGAAAACTTCCAGCCAAAAAAAAAAAAAAAAAAAAAAAAAAACTCAACTTGGCCATGACATCAGTAGCAGCTTTGGCCTTCTGACGAGAAGCGGAACCTGAATTTTTCTTTGTCATTGTTTTTCGACGGGATGGTGGTGGTATCGAAGGGAGAAAGGGGGTTGATAGCTGTCTGATAGAGTAGAACATGGTGTTGGAATGTACTCGAATCGTTTCTTTCATGCATCCTCCTCCGAACTCAAGACCATATAGGATATAGCATATTTACAAAAGCCTGTGTTTTTCTGGAAAGGCTGTCAGTGACAGGAAGTTCAACTCTGACATCCAGAAGACTAGAGTTGTACTCGAAATCCGCTATTGCTGTCGTGGAAGGCCTGTTTGTCCAGGATTTTTCAATGCGATCAATTGATCCCGTCCGAGGGAAACAATTGATTCCATCGTCACCCAAGAGGCACGATGGCGATTCCTTTGGTACTTTTGATTCCGTGCAGCATGATAACATTCAACTTTGCCATGGTGCTGGTACACAGAACCCTGGAAGAGTCCAGTTGAACGAAATCTGTGTTTAATGAAGAATCAAATGATAGAGAAATTCTTCTGAGACAATCGTGAGGATTTTCTGACGGGACACAGACCGGTCATCGCAGATTGCCATCTCATAGAGCTCGCCGTCGGCAATAATGCCCCCTCCGATATAGGACTCTTGCTGCAAAACCATTTGTAAAGCTCAAAAGGCTTTGTTTGCTGATAAGTCTGAGATAAAGCCCTTGGGATGAGTTTTGTTTCGGGGTCTGCTGCAGTGATTCCCATCAAATCCAAAGAACTGGCAATACTCTTTGAACCGTTCTGGGCCAGAGCGGTTGAAGCATCTCACCATTTATCCGGCCGCTTCCATCTGGAGAGGACAATTCCCATTCACTTCTGTGTGATCCTTTCATATTTGATCTTCTGATAGTGCTTCGCCAAGTTATTGAAGTCGGGCTGCCAAATAGCGGTGGTTCTGGATGAAATAACCGCCTTTGGATTTAGCCGTGGTATCGATGTTTGTTTTATATTATAATAAATGTAGAGGAGGAAAGAGCCCGCAAGGTGTTGTCATCGATTCAATTGGCGATTTAATCACATGGAGGCATTTCGACGTGCCACGACGGCGAAGCAAAAGGCTGTAAGATCAACGTGGAGAACGATAGTATAAAATCCTCAAATTATGCATAGTCTAAGAAACCAATATTAGCCGAGAGCATCAACATATTGCATTGTCAGGCGACTCATCAGTCCTGCATTATGCAACCCTACTCTGCTTCGGAAAGACAGTTTGTAGAAACTCTATTCTTGGAGGCTCTGGAAGCCACTCCATGAGGAATCTCGCTTCTCGAGTGATTGATGACCAGCCAGTGGAAACCTCTCAACCCTTGATAAACCAGTTCTCCTCATAGGTGCTTAGGCACCCGTACAGACAATGGTAGTGGTCCATGTATCAGACTTAAATTAGTCATGTAGTCAATGAACGAAGTCATCCTCGCCGGTAGATAGCAGTAAAGGTTGGACTAACTCACCACATTGCTCAGCGGCTGACTCTTCTCATTTATATAGTCACTTTGACACGACATGCGTCATAATTCAAGTGACAGAAAGAATCTCTGATAGAAAAGCTGAATCGATTGTCGAATGTGGACTGTCTGTCATTGCGTTTTCAGAGGCTGTCATGGGACGGCATATTGACGAGACCTCGACTGTCTTTGTGCAAGCGGTTTTGCGCCAGTCGGATGTTTCCATGATTGTGTTAATCGTCTCATAATCAAGCCCAAAGAAGTATCGATGACTGTACTCCAACTCAACAAAATGTCAATCACAACAACACTTGAGCGGACGAAACGATCAGGGCACTGTCAAACACTCTAATATCTACGGTCAGCAGATGTTCTTTGAGAATATGTCAACCAGCTCACCCACCAATTTTTCCAGTATGGTACCTGAGACTCGCTGTACCTCTTCGAAGAGTCGTTCAGATAGCACCGCAACATCGTATTGGTCAATCTTAAAGCCAGAGAGAGGCCCCTGCTAAAAATGCGCAGCAAGGTGCTGAAACATCGAGTAGGGAAAGATATACACCCAAGTCTGAGGAGGGCTACAGCGACTGTGATGACGTTAACTTTGCTTCCAGATGCAAGGTTTGAAATAACTCACCCGAAACGAGTTTCTTGTCAACAGCATCATCCATTGCAAAACAGTGGGTATGCCGTGTCTCTTTGGCATTTTTTCAAATGAGCTGTCCCACTCAAATCGATATTCTTGGTGAGAAGGCATTGATGCCAGCCAGCCATCGTCTCGAGAGTCGGGGAAGTGTATATACTTCAAACTTCAGTCAGTGCCAATCACATAAACATAACAAAAAAGGTGTCAATCACAACATGGAAGACTGAAAATTATAGTGAAAACTGCTGTAGCTCACATACCTCTCTTCAGCAGTGCTAGACCGGTACAGCCTCAACCCCCGCCTAAACCCAGTAGCTGATAGAGGCAAGTGTACTTAAATCGGAGGATGGCTTCGTGTCAAGAATTACTGTTACCCAAGTAGACGTGTTATCGCGAAAAGCCATCCATCTTCTAACGATATTGTCGTAGGTCGGCATTCTTTGTCAACTGGTGAAAATATATACCTTCAACGTCAATCAGCACTGATCATCAAAATGGAAAGAGGAGATATACCAGACATACCGAAGAAGCATTACCGTAAAACCCTCCCATGAGACATATGAGCGATTCTCGGTGGTCCATATTGATACATTCTCATCCGCCAAACATGAATGAGATACCACGTCTCAGGTTGTCGAGACAAACACATGCTTTCGATCCATCATCAGACTCATCATCAGGGTCACTGTCAGAGGGGTGAGACGTTCATTCCGTCATATTTGAGATTCAACAAAATAAGAATGACAGGTCGGCGTTGTTTGAGAATGGTTTGAAATGGAGGTTACAAGGTTGAGCAGACCACGTGGATGATTTGATGTTGGCCTAGTTTGATGCGGAGATAGTGGTGGACATGGAGACCAACACTTATGGAGAGAGAAAAATATATATAAAACCTAGACCCCCTCTACGAAAGACAGAGGAGGGAATCTGGTTGCAGAAGAAAAAAATTCGGAAGATGGATGTAGGAGGAGGATGGGCTACTTTTATAGACGGATTTCGCCTTCCCAGATCTTCCTGATGACATCTATATCTTCTCTTTTGGGTATCTACTTGCCCTAGTCAGCACCTATCACTGATAGTATTGAAAATAGTAGCACAGAGATCCTTTATCTCTTTGAAGGACGCCCGGAAATTTCTTTATTCTTTCAAAGGAATCTTGGATATGTCACTACCACTATTGTGGAGTCGGAATCATAGTATCACAACCGCCGCTTTTTTCAAAGAATCCTTTCTGGGTACACGCACTGGTGGGCATCAATTGGTAAGCGGAGGCCGAACAAACCGTATTTTCTTCATGTTATTGCGGTGAATTCAAAGGTACCGATAGAGTAGTTTCCAGACCCGCTGTTGGCGGTGCTGGAAGGAGTTTTTTCGTAAGACTGGGTAAATGAATTGGGCAATTCTTTGATTTATACAAAGACATCTGAAAATTATATCTCAGTACGTGCTGCCCATTGTCACTGTGTCTTGGAGTCGATATGACAGGTCTGACAATGAAAGAAGGGTCAAGCCAGGACTGAACTTCAATCGGTGGTGATATACTTTCTTTTCTATCTATAACAACAACAACAACAACAACAACAACAACAACAACAACAACAACAACAATGCGGGACTAGCACCTCGATATGTCGGTCTTCAGAGTGCTCGGCATTGCCTCGACAAGTGTCATGATATTCGTCATACTTGCAACCTAATCAAACAACGTAATAATCTACTCTCTCTCCCTCACAGCCCCCCTCCTCAAATCCAAATACTTCGCCGCATAATCATTCGCCAACACCAAATCACCTGACAAATGCATGACTGTCGCCTTCTTGGCCATCATCTCGCACTGTCCCAGTAGATCCTCAATGGCTTCGTACTCATCGTACGAGCAGTCAATATACGTCAATGCGCGGGTAATGTATTCCTTCTTCTTGAGCGGGTCGGGAACTTTGTTCACTGCTTCTTCGTCATCGTCGTCGTCAGGTGAGAATGATGGTGTAGGCAAGGTGGCTTCACCGGCCAAACCCATGTTTGCGTCTACCAAGATCGAATATGATCGTGCGGTGAGATAACGGTCATCAAGCTCAAGAATTTGAGGCATAATACTCTCCATCATTTCTGCAGCAGCCTCGAATTCGCGCATACTCAATAGTACATTGGCCAGTACACCGATAGCTTCCCACAACCCTGGTAACACGCGGCATCGGTGAGCAATACTAGCAGCTCTCATAGCCAAGGAAAAGCCTCGTTGCGGCAGACCTGTCTTCTCAAGAATCCTGGCTTTGAAGCACAGTAATCGGATCTGGGCCAGGACGTCAAAGTTTTCTTGACGCATTGTTTGTGCGATTCCTTCTACTATTGCCATAGCTTGCGAGTGATGGCCTTTTCGGAGACGGAATTCGATTTCTAAGAAGGACAGTTGTAGGACGAGATCGATGTCGTGAAGTCCGATGTCTTGTAGTTGGGCAAAGAGGTGTTCGACGGCAACTGCATCGTCTCTAGAAAAGATTCAGTTCTAGTCAGATTCATCCAAAGAACAATATCTCACCTATGGATCTGCCTCTGTAATTTCAAAACACCCGAATAGAATGCCCAATATTGATTCGCTTTGAGTGACCGTAACTCCGTCTGTCCTATGTCATCGAGGCGAGCCACTGCTCGTTTATAGCTACCACTATGGAAAATCTGTCCGATTAGCATTTACTGGAGATAAATGGCATGAAATCTCACTAATTGACTGCCCCGGTAGGCGATTTTAAGTTTGTCTTCAAGAGGTGACCCCTTGGTGTAACATTCACGAAAGATGTCGCAATGTAAGAGAGAAAGATGTGTTAGACCTAGACCATCAGCAGATATCCAGATATCACTAATGCAATAGAAGAATTCCTACCTATACGAGTGAATAGCGACGACTCGAGTAGAAGCTGCGGGCCCATTGTCGTTCTCAAATTTCGGGTCACATTCAAATAGAACGATTTGACAACGTTCTCAAAGACGGATGCCAAACTCTCGCCCTATGGACAATAAGCAATATATTCAAAACACTTTTCGGACTGCAATACTCACATTCTGCAGATCAAGCTTCGCTTCACTCAAATGCATAGTACTAAGCAACCCCCACGACTCAGTCTCCTTGGCCTTTGCCTTCAAAAAAGCAAGACCCTCCTTCTCGCTACCCAGCATGCCCGTATTCTGCACGTCCTTCATTTCCTCCGGAAACGCCTTGCCAAAGTGATACAACCAGCTCATGCAGAAGTTAAGGCAGTTCATATCATGTGACTCTCGTGCGATAGAAATAGCTTCCTGCATGGCAGACACAGCTTCGGTATAAGACCCAAAGTCGGCGTGCAGAATAGCCAAATTCAGTAGAGCATACTGATAGAAACTCCGATCTCTGCTGTGGATCGTATAATCAAAGTATCGATGCAGATTATCAAAAGACGAAGGATAATCGCCTGCTCTCCACGCATCCAGAAACCGAATGTAATGTGACATGCTGGGCACAGTGACTCCCGCCGAAATAATATACTCGAGTTGATCTCGTACTTCATCCGGAACGCGGCCGCCAATTCTTTGTAGTTCCTCAACCTGGAAACTCAACAACTGCTCAACATCCTTGGTACTGACACCCGCCTCGTCGTCCGAATCGTAATCGATATTGCGATACACCACCTGCCCAATGGGACTATCAGAGTCCAGCCCCAATTCTGCCAGATTGATATCAACAGCCGACTCTCCACTAGACGGATGCCTTCGCGCCCACGCACGATACGTCGGCATTCGATACTTGACGAACCCGCGCCACAATTTGACCGAATCATGAAATTGCAACCGCGTAAACTCCAGCTGCGCTCTGCGCACAAACGCGCCTAGCGGCGAGGAACGCGATAGTAGCATACGATCACTGATAGGCTCAATGCCATTGTCTCTGTCATGGATCTGCTCTTCGCGCGATTTTTCAACGATTTGATGGATTTCAGCGAAAAAGGTTTCTAGCGCGTCGCAGCAGTCGAGTGACCACATTTTGCGGAGGAGGAGGTCCCATACTGAGCGGCCGGGGATGGAGGAGGTGTGATACGACAGGACCTCTTCTAGTTCATCCAGAGAGACGGCATGTTTTTTATCGCGAGTAAATGCGCGAGGAGATTTTAATGAGTCTCCGGGTCGTAGTGGTAGAATGTGAGATATCAAAAAGGACAGGACAGGTACGGCTGATGTGTTGGGGACGATGCCCTCGACATACAGCGACACCAAACATAGCAAGGTGACCTTGGAGGGTGTGAGATAGCGACTCATTTTAAGGTGTCATACTTTGCTCATTGAGTAGATTTTCGGGGTTTTTGTCAGGGTGCTCCCTTTGTTTCTTGATATGGCAGTCTCGGGGATATCAGAGCGGAGAAGGGCGCAATATTTCTGCTTTTGGACGTCTTCACTTTGGAAATGATGGAAGTTCACGTCAAATTCTGACTTCTAGTTCTCATGCTTCAGCCGAATAAGCAACCCATTTACCTCTTGTAACGTTACGTTCTGTTCTGGTTTGTTGTTCACCAACACTAGTTCCAGAAACCAAAAAAGCAAGAACGCGCCTTGCAGCCTGAGATCTGAGGCATCCATCCAGCCCCACCAATCCTCATACATCATTCTCTCCCCGCCAAAAAAAAGATTCATCTTTCTGAGCTCAGATTGAAAACATACACAACTTCACACATTCCGACACAATGGCTGAAGCACTTACCCAGACTGACCTGCAGGGTGCCCTGAAGCTGGTTGCACGCGGAAAAGTGCGTGATCTGTACGAAATCGATGACAAGACACTGCTCTTTGTCGCAACTGATCGCATCTCCGCATACGACGTGATCATGGAGAATGTACATCTACCCTCCAGACAATGAGGACAATTTGACTCAATGCTAATTACTGAATATAGGGTATCCCAAACAAGGGCAAACTCCTGACTCTCTGCACCAAATCCTGGTTCCAAATCCTCCAACAAGCAATCCCTAACCTCCGCACCCACTTCATTACACTCGACCTCCCACCTCAGATCCCCGAATCGCAGCGCGCCGCCCTACAGAATCGTAGCATGCAAGTACGCAAGTACGAAATTTTCAAAGTCGAAGCTATCGTGCGCGGATACATTACTGGTTCGGCGTGGAATGAATATCAAAAGTCCGGTACAGTGCACGGAATCAAGATTGCGCCGGGTCTGAAGGAGAGCCAGGCCTTCCCCGATGGACCTATCTACACACCTAGCACAAAGGCCGAGCTGGGAGAGCACGATGAGAACATTCATCCTGATCAAGGCATGCTCTATCTTCCACCTTCTCCATAGTCTAAGAAAAACTGACAGATTTGCAGCCGCCGAAATTGTCGGCGCCGAATACGCCCCGAAAATCGCCTCCCTCGCTCTCAACCTGTACAAAACCGCACATGCCTACGCCTACGCCCGCGGTCTGATCATCGCAGACACAAAATTCGAGTTCGGGCTCGACCGCGCCACCAACGAAATCGTGCTCGTCGACGAAGTGCTTACTCCCGACTCATCCCGTTTCTGGCCCAAGGATCGGTACGTCGTTGGTCAAACGCAGGAGAGCTTCGACAAGCAATACCTACGTGACTGGTTGACTAGCCAGGGCCTGAAGGGCAAGGAAGGCGTAAAGATGACGGAGGAGGTTGCGCTCAAGACGGCGGAGAAGTATCGTGAGGCGTGGGAAATTATTACCGGTGGTGGGGAGTTGTAAATCTCAATTTTTGATTCTGCTGGTGGTCTGTATTTTGATGTGAGATTTGGTTTGGGAGTTTCTTGCTGTAGGTTGATCTCTGTTCGGACCTCCGGTAGTTGATTACGCTTCACTACCAGGGATGCTCAGCGGCGAGACAAGACTGGCGGCACTTCTTCTGATGTTTGATGTTTGATGGCTTAGCATGATACCAAAGGTTGAGAACGAGACTGTAATTAGACCAGAGGGAGCTTTGTAAATTTTTCAGTTGGTAAATAACTCTGAATCCTTCATTTGTCTAATCTATACAGTACATTTGTAACAGTCCCTCTTGTCCATATGCGAGAAACACATCTTGCAGCACCATTATCCTCAGCGGATATATGTATGACATTCTTTCAACATCAATGCTCCCGTATGCCCATGACACCAGAAAAAAGAAACCAGTTGTATCATACAATGATTGGAGAATAGAAACCATGCTTTCTAAAGTCGATAAAGGAGGAGAGAAAGTTCGTTCGCTCAATCAGTCGTACAGTTGTTGTTCTTGTCGATGTATAGTCTAATCGCGTTGAAAAGAGAATTCCGGTTCATTGATAAATCTACTTGCGTCTCTTCATCGTCTTTTCGCACATGTCGAGTAATCCATTCTTAGCGTCGCTGTCCGGAAGAATGTCAAGTGCAGCGGCGGCTTTGTCGGCGTATTCCTGGGCAAGGGCACGGGTCTGCTCGATACCGTCGCTTCGCGCAACAAGTTCGCGGGCCTATAATTCCAAGTCAGTTGCATTCAACAAACAGTCAGTAGGTAGACTCACCCTCTCTACATCACCCGGTTGCTCAAACTTCCGTCCAACCAAAGCTCCCAGCTCGGGATTACTCTTCCATGCAAAAAGCAACGGAGCAGTAGCGAGACCGAGCTCGAGATCGGCACCGGCAGGCTTTCCGAATTCAACCGAATTAACGGTATAATCGAGCATATCGTCCACCAACTGGAAAGCAAGACCCAGATTGCGACCATACGAGTACGCGGCTTCGACAATGTCCGGGGTGCTGTTTCCGAGCAGTGCTGTAGCGCGGCAAGACTTGCTGATCAGACTGGCGGTTTTGAGGTAGGTCTTTTGCAGGTAGTATGTAATAGTATCATCAGTGAAAACGGGGGATCGTTCATCCGAGGCGGTATTCTTCAATTGCATAAATTCGCCCTCTACCAGATTTGCAATCACCGTCGCCAAGAGCTCAATAACCTCTGGATTGCGCAAACGCGCCAAAGCAACAGAAGCACGACCGAGCAAAAAATCACCAGCCAGAACAGCCATCTTGTTCCCAAACTGCGTATTCGCCGAGCTTGATGACCGCCGAGTGACTGCATTATCAATCACATCATCATGGAGCAAAGAAGCCGTATGAATTAATTCCGTAATCTCAGCTAGTCGGCGCTGAGAAGGCAAGATATTCGGATCTTCGCCAAAGATGCCTTCTAACTCCGCAGCGGGAGCTGTCAAAGGACTCGTATCGGGATTTGCGTCTGATAGGACAAGAGGCGAGCTGATTGGCTCGCTGATATAGGACTGTTGCTGTGACGAGATCGAAGAAGAATGTGTGTGCGGATTTCGAGGAGCAAGAGCAGTAGCTTGCGACATGAGCAGGACGAGTAGTGGGCGCACATGTTTCCCTTCACTCCATGTGTAATATTTCGCGACTTTGTCCAGCATTGGATGACCAGACCCCAGCAGCTTTCTAATGTTCTTGGTCAGAAACTTCAATTCCTTCCCGACGATACGTAATGGGTCGACCGAGACGCCTGGCGGAGGTTTGGGGAAGCCCTTGGTGAACAGGTTCTGGGCGGCGGACACGGCGGCGCCGATGGGGGATACATCTCGTCGGCGGGAGGGGTGGTATTTTCTGGAGTGAATGACGGGGGCAATGGTGAGGAGGAGCTCATCGCGTAAGCATTGGGAGCATATCGAGGTTGGTGTAGCTTGACGGGTTAGCAGCAGGCCGGAAGAGGCGCGCACAGCTCGAGATCTCATGTTCAAGGAAAGCAGTGGAGTAATGGTACAAAGAAGAATTAAACAATCATAGAACGCAAAGACAGAAGCAGAAAGAACAGAGAACACAAGCCGAAATGAAGAAGGGAAGATGTTGGACAAGCTCTTCTTCAATCTGGGAAGTTGGAAAGAAGACCTCGGCGGGTCTCTTTTTTTGTCCAACCACAGCATCCAATGGGAAGGCACAGGCCTCCTTCGGCCCGCTCCCCGATTCATCCCGGCTCCATGATCTATCAGCTTCACCATCTCTGTCCTACTCTGTGTATCTACACTTCACGCTGTCGCTCATCTATCGTCGAATCTTTCTGAGAGTTGCCTACCGCTGTATGAGGATCTGGAACCAAACTGCGTACGATAAGCAAACATAGAACGTTGGAGGCCACCAGCATACATCATGATATCCTCGCTGGCAATAGGGACATTGTTCATTCCAGTCTTGGTAAGCTAAGGTCAGCGAGGTAGTCTCCTTGTTGAAGTCGCAAATCCTCATCACAATAGCGGCAAATAGTGGTCTGTTGTTAGAGCGTGGTGACGGGTTCTTACCCCGTAATTGCCTAGTGATTGAGAAATGCGTTCTGTAAGCCCGCTGTCATATTACAAATTGTTGACACTGCACTGTAACTAAAAAAGATAACAACTCATTACATGTATCATAGCATAGATATCCAACAAAAGTTAGCTTCATAGCAGTCAGTAATCTTGTAGCAGTCTTACGGAAGGCTTCCGCGCTCACTACCCACCTTGTAAATGTATATATATTTAGTGTTCAATATTATGCCAACCTAGCGCGCATCTGCGCACCATATAAATCTCATGTATGAGGCCTCAATTTGGTGTTCAAATTTGGTTTATAAATTGTATTTTCTATTGATTCGCACTTATTTGCAAATCAACGTACGAGTTCTTTGGGGGTTGAATTAGGTGCGCGAAATCTCCAACCCCCCACAATCTAGTTGATACGCGCTCATGTACGAATCTAGGCTTACAATCTCACCAGCGAGGCCTCATCTTGGTGTCGAATTTGGTGCATGAATCCTCCCGACCCCAATCTAGTTGATATGCGCGCTCACGTATATATCTAGGACACAAATCTATATTGAGCCTACGAAGGAGCCTATGTACGTACGATTTCAGTGGTGGACGTGGTGGAAGTGGAAGTGGTGTTGGGTGTTGTGTGTATTCAGGAGTATTAACGCTTCTTATAGCTATAATCTATATTTGTAATTATGCGTAAAATATAATATATAATTATATATATATAGATAATTGTAGTATTATTACTGATATATCAAAGGCATTATTGTACTTCTTACCTATAGTCTCACTGTTATGTCATAGAGACCTCACCGTCATGTTATAGAGATCTATTATATGTCAAATCTCGTATTAATCATATATCTATTAACTTTTTTGCAAGATGACAGCGCGCTGTAGTACCATAGAGCAGTCACCAGGCCTTACTGGGCCCTTACTGGTGTCCATATATCCCCGCTATTGCATGTCTGTTTCTATGGTAGCGCATCGCGTTGCATAAACTTGTCGTCAAACCGTGATAGCATATTAAGTCCATCACCATCATCACTACCGCTGATGTGTCTTAGAGCAACGGGCCTGCCTTCTATGCTTTATGAGCCAAAATAGTCAATGTTATCATATTGCATAGTACCTCGGGGCCCTCAGCACTGCCGAGAATACTCTTCCACTCCTTCAACGGGAGAATGTCTACCTGCGTAGACAATTTGACTTTAAAAGGAGTTAGCGACTGTCTGGTTTGCAGAAACGGCATGGGTGATTGCACTAGAATATACCCCTTCCATCTGTTTTGAAAATGTATCCGACGCCCGTCTTTCTGGAGATGTTCTTACCGTCACGATACGGGCTCCATTGAACGAATATTCTCCTTGAAATGAGCATCAAACCCGTCTACCATAATTGCGATCCACTCTTCATGAGGTATCCAGGACATGAATTTGACTTATGTGGCTGACGTTGCAGATCTCATCATAAATTTGCGTAGAAACTCGTCGTTCTCACAATCAAAATTCTGCTTGAGACTGACTGTAACACCACCTCCTTTCATTGGAAACTGGACGCCGATGACCATAAATCCGCAAAATTTACCGGTTCTCGATTTGTATTGCAAGTCCTCAATATCTACCGGTGAAACTCCGATATTGCAAATCCCATCTGGTGACGGTGACCTCATCGTTCAAAATGTCTTCGACAATAAGAAACCCAATTTGGGGTCGACTGGTAGTATTGCTTCATTTTGTAAAATTAAAAGCGGTTTTTGCCACGCGCATACTCTCATCGTGGCATTTGGGACAAGTTTATCCTTGGTTTGGTTGACATTATCATCTGCCTAGTCAGTAGTCTAACTCGCGGTCACGGTGCTCCATAAGGTGATTTTGAAATCATATAGTACAGTCAGAATTGCAGCAGTACGTTCTGTTTGGAGTTTCGAACTCAAGTTTGTTCTTCTCGTACTACCGTACAAGATCAGACTCGAGAAATATGCCAGCGATGGTGATAGCGATGGGTTGTCGATAGCACTTTTCTGGGAATGGAGTCTCACCTGTCATCGAAACTTTGAATAGATCCTCTAGGCAGGTACGACATAATCGTGTCGACACGGCGCGCGGACCACGTTGACAAAGTCCGTTTCTTCTCCACAGGCAACACAGCGATGCAGAGGTGATATGCGCTGAGGAGCTCGTTGCGCTGCCGAGGTAGACGATTTGCCAGCTTCGCTGACGATCTCGAGGGTGGTCGTGTCAAAGGAGCTTTGGAGGCCGGACACGTACAGCATCTGGGGGTTTTCCAACGTATCATCGTCTAGCCCATATGAATCCTGGCTCAATTTGGTTGTATCTTTGACCACAGGCAACTTTCCATCAGTCCAACGGCGAGCGATATCTCTGTCCCTGGTCGCAGTCTCTTCCTGGACAACACCAGTTGGCCAAGAATTGCCCATCAGCTCGAACGGCGGACGCAATACTTTCAGCCATGCGCCTATCCAGAAGTATTTGGGAAATTGCTTTCAACTCTTCATTGTGCATCTGAAATGCCTGCTCTTCACTTGTTGACACGCGGGATTTTCCTTTTGATGACGCAAAAATAGGATTTTGCATCTTCAAGTTGCAGCTGAATGATAAGATTGGCTGAAGCTGAGTGGATTGTGACATGCCATAGAAAAAGCCATCTGCATCCGACCTTGCCGTTTACGGAGTTTTTAGGGCTTTTTCAGATTCATCCGAACGTGTTCATATTAAACCTCAAACAACCACATAACTTCTGCATCTGAAACTGTGACGCTTGAGTCAAGTCGAGTAAAAATACAAATAGCTGACTCGAACAAAAACAATTCGGCGCTTGATGATGCATTGTCAGGTAACTTATGTATGTGCTGACGCTACGAAGTACATGGTCGATAATTAACTTTGAATGCCCCTTTTTAGCTAGCATCAGACAACCTACGATTGAGTCTAATATATTCGACCTCTAATAGTTTAACCACAGGCCGAAGAGACAGAATAAGGTGGAAGAATGCGAGTGTCGAGGACCGATCGCCCTATATGAAACGGGAGCGCGAGTGGTGAGGCAAACCTGAGACACGTAAGGAACGCCTCTCTGTGTCGGCTTCCCAACTTCCAAACCCTAGCGAGACGCCTCTTTTTCTTCGAAAAAAGTAAGATCTAATCCCGGATCCGTTATTCTGTCTGTTTAATATGTAAGTAATAAGTAAAAGAGCTAAATTTATTAGGCTGTGTTATTTGAATCGAACCAAATACTGGGCGGCGCCTCTGCAGTGACTGCACAGTGTACATTATTAGCCCCTGACCCTGATGATTCTACATACATTGGTCCGTCATCATTGTACATTTGATGACCACGAAAATTCAGGTACCAGCAATCAATAACAGCGGAATAGTAATTCTCCTAGCCTTATCCGCTCAGTAGAAACCCATTACATGTGATAGCTCTGACACTTCCCTCATCTTCCAACATACTGAGTGACGCGTTTCCCTCGTCGCTGAAACTAGTCTATCTGCCCCCTCGAATGAGTCGAGTATAAGGCGTGAGACATACACAGTACGAAGATTGATATTGCAGAATTCTCGGCAATTTCTCGGTCAAGCGACAAACGTGAAACTGATTGTTTGAGTATTCGCGGCCTCGACTTTGGCGTAGGTTTTAAAAAATGGATGGGCTTATATTAGGTACGGCTCCCGCCCTACAAGCCATCCGCATACTGCCCCCCTCGTTCCGATGTTTGTAAATATTATTTATGTCGGTCTCGCCCATTTTCGATGATTTTAGATACGTTTAATCTCGGCTGGTCGAAGTATCTACATGACAAATAATTGACGATCGTATTCAACTTTCAACTGATTTCAGCTTGGTCTTTTTTATCGCCTTCTCCTACATAGGAGTTTACCTTCCAAATCACCTCGGGTCCTGGCCCTATTGATCTGTATGCAAGATGGATATGGAGAAATTCCCGCCCGATTATAAGGTTGAATTCAAAAGCGAGCGCGCAAGATGGCCGCCTCTTACGAGGATGCTCATGTCGGGCGAAATGAATGGTTATGAGCCCAAGGCGTTGACTGCAAAACAAAAGTTTGATCGCTGGTAGGTATTCAGCAACTTTTGGTGACGAAAAGTGACTGACAATAAAACAGGATGATCAACGAAGGATGGCGGAGATTGTACGTTCTACTAGTCGCGTCGGAATCTTTGCGAGCTAATGGAGGTTTAGTACCGTGTTTTTATTCGTACTTGTTCAAATACTCGTGTATATTTTCGGATTCCTGAATTATGCTTTCAAGGTAAACTTCCAACGCCTTGGAGCCCTGATAATTCGCACTAAAGACTATAAAGGACAATTTGAACGATGCCCGAGCAACTTACACATGGACATACATGGTGGCCAGAGCTGCAGCATTGACGCTACATTTTGATATCAGTTTGATTCTATTTCGTGAGTTGCTCTTTAAAGAAGTTCATTGCACTGCTTCATACTAATTTGTATAGCTGTCTGTCGAACATTAATCTCCCTTCTGAGACAGACGCCTCTTAATGGCATTATCCAATTTGGTAAGTCAACCTCAATGATTACTTTGGCAAAATACCAATTGATCAAACAGACAAAAATATTACTTTCCACAAGTGTAAGTACACAAATCTCAAGTCTTGCTAAGTTGCAGAGAACTCACGATAATGCAGTGGTCGCTTGGGCAATCGTCTTCTTCTCCTGGGTCCACACAATCGCCCACTTGAACAACGTCGCCCAACTATCCGCAAAGAATGGGCAGGGCTTCACTGGCTTTCTTCGCGCTGGTTTCCTAACAGGCCCAACCTGGACAGGATGGATCATGCTCATCGCCCTCATGCTCATGGTCAGCACATCCGTCGAGAAACCGCGACGCGCAAATTTTGAGCGGTTCTGGTATACGCATCACCTGTTTGTCGTGTTTTTCATCTTTTGGTCAATGCATGGTATTTGGTGTATGATCCCGGCGGATTTTGCGCCGTTTTGTTCGGGTAACGGTGTGTTCTATCAGTATTGGATTTATGGGGCGGTGATTTATTTGGCGGAGAGAGTGGCGAGGGAGATTCGCGGGCGACATGCGACGGTTATTTCGAAGGTGATTCAGCATCCGAGTAATGTCGTTGAGATTCAGATCAAAAAAGAAAAGACCATCACCAAGGCTGGCCAGGTAAACGATTTTGTCACCCAGGAAGTGCATAACACTGACATGTATAGTACATCTTCCTCTGCTGCCCAGAAGTATCTCTCTGGCAATACCACCCATTCACTCTCACCAGTGCCCCCGAAGAAGACTACATCTCCGTCCACGTCCGCTGCGTCGGCAACTTCACCAAAGCCCTCGCCAAAACCCTGGGCTGCGACTTTGAGTCTGGCAAAAACAAAGGCAAAGACGGTAAAAAAGACGTCTCCGCCATTGTCGGAATCGATCGAATTGGTACTGGCGACAAGGATCTTGATCCCACGATCCGCCGCATCTTACCGCGTCTCTACATTGACGGTCCCTTCGGTAGTGCATCTGAAGATGTATTCAAGTATGAAGTTGCCATGTTGGTCGGAGCCGGTATCGGTGTTACGCCCTTTGCGTCGATTCTGAAGAGTATCTGGTATCGAATGAGCCACGGAAAGCAACAGACGCGGCTTCGCAAAGTGTACTTTTTCTGGGTTTGTCGCGATTTCGGATCGTTTGAATGGTTCAAGTCATTGCTTTCTGCCATTGAGGCGCAGGATTTGGAAAGTCGGATTGAGATTCACACGGTACGTTCTTTTCCTCTCTTCACCTTCAAGTATGCAGACTATGGTAGCTAATGGATGAGTAGTATCTAACCGCCAAAATCAAACCCGACGACGCAACAAACATCATGATCAACGACGCCAACGCTCCGCATGACACAATCACAGGCTTGAGAGCACCCACAAACTTTGGCCGACCAAACTGGGACATGATCTTTCGCTCAGTTCGCAAGATCCATTCACCAGCTGAGGCAGGTGTCTTTTTCTGTGGGCCCAAGGGTCTGGGAAGTCAATTACATATCAAATGTAATCAGCACTCAGAGCCGGACTTTGAGTTTGTTTGGGGAAAGGAGAACTTTTAGGAACGGATATCCATTTTTTTTTTCCGGTTCATCTAGATATTTCTTTCATTGATTCTTTATTGTTGACATGTTAGTTTGCGATGTGGTTCTTCTGGAAGAATCCTTGCATGGGATTGGCATATACGGCATATACTGGTAGATTTAGCATTGCTTAATGAACGATAGGTGTCACGAGTACGTTTGACAATTTTTATATTTGATGGGCCAATTGATGAGTTTCTACAAGTATCCACCAGCGACGACCTTAAATTATCCTATCCCCTCGATCGACATAATACTCGTTAGTCTAAGCTGCATCTTTGCTCGATAACAAATAGGCATCGTCTTTCTTGTTACCGCTTTTGGTAATTTTGAAGGCCAACCACGACAGAGGCTCCGCTCCGCCCTATGAGAGCGCATAATGAGCATAGAATAGCCGGGTATGATACACTTTTATCCGCATTCAGCTCAAAGCTCTGAAGAATCAAAAGAGTTCAGGTTGAATCTTCCCAATAGCCGGAGCAATTGTTTAGGGCTTGCGGATAGTCGCGGGGCTCTGCATATTGAATCCCTCGGCAATTTGCTGATTGGTCCGCAGCGCCGCGGTCGGACAACGTGCCGGTTAACTTACTCTGCTGGAGATATTAGATAAGGATGCTCGTCGACTTTACTTCTTTGCTTTCTCACTTTCTGTTATTCAATTTTCGTTCACATTCTTTTGTTGACAGTGGCTAGCACTAGGTTGTTATGAGCGTGGCTGTGTGAGCTAATTATATCGCGCCTCAATTCCAGTTGCAGTCTGTTCAAATCGCCGTAAGCAATGACGTCGCGGCATCCCCTCACGCGATAGAATAGTTTTGAGTATCAGAGACAATAGCTAATATCTCTTCCCTGGACCAGATTCGCCGATCAATTGATATATACAATGAACAGCTCTCTTCTCCGCTCAGCCGCACGGCAGTTGCGAGCTTCAAACCTCGCTCACAATCAGGCCCGCCGATGGGCATCTTCAACCGCAACCTACAACTGGGAGGATCCTCTTGCTGCTTCTGAGCTTTTCACAGAGGAGGAATTGGCTATCCAGGATACTGCCAGGCAATACTGTCAGGAGCGGTTAATGCCGCGAGTACTTGGTACAATTTCTTTCTATTCTACTGAACATTGGAACCGTTGCTTATTTTTTGTTGGTAGAGGCCTACCGAAAAGAAGACTACGACCGCAAAATCCTCGAAGAAATGGGCGAAATCGGTCTCCTCGGCGCCTCAATCGAAGGCTATGATTGCGCCGGCGCAAGCACAGTCGCATCCGGCTTGATTACAAAGGAAGTTGAACGCGTGGACTCTGGATACCGATCAGGAATGTCAGTGCAAAGCTCACTCATCATGACCGGTATCCACGAATTCGGTACGCAAGAACAAAAGGATCGATTCCTGCCACAACTCGCCAAGGGGAAATTATTGGGTTGTTTCGGTTTGACGGAGCCGAATCATGGGTCTGACCCCGGTTCGATGGAGACCGTTGCTCGTGAACATCCTACAAAGAAGGGATTTTATAGTCTTTCGGGAGCAAAGACGTGGATTACCAATTCACCGATTTCTGATGTGTTATTGGTGTGGGCTAAGTTGGAGAGTACGGGGAAGATCAAGGGGTTCTTGATTGAGCGAAGCAAATGCCCTCCTGGAACCCTGGAGACTCCTGCCATCAAGAACAAGACTGCTTTACGTGCATCGATTACGGGCATGATTCAGATGGATAATTGCCCTGTCCCCGTAGAAAATATGTTGCCGGATATTGAAGGTCTGTCTGGACCTTTTACCTGCCTCAATAGTGCCCGTTTGGGTATTGCGTTTGGCGTCACTGGCGCATTGGAAGACTCAATCAGCCGAGCAAGAGAATACGCCTTGGACCGTAAGCAGTTCAAGGGCAACCCGTTGGCCAAATACCAGCTAGTCCAGAAGAAACTGGCTGATGCTTCTACGGATGCTGCTTTTGGCACTCTTGCCGCTATCCAAGTGGCTCGTCTCAAGGACGCAGGCAAATCTACGCCGGAGATGATATCGATGATCAAGAGGCAGAACTGTGATCGTGCGTTGGCCAACGCTCGCACGTAAGTTGACTCCTTATTTTTTCGGGCGTATTCAAACTGACCCTTTTTCAGTCTGCAAGAAATCTTCGGTGGCAATGCTACCAGCGATGAATACCATATAGGCCGCCACGTAGCCAACCTTTTTGTTACTCAAACATATGAGGGCCAGAGTGATATTCACGGTAGGACGCCCCAGTTCCTAGACATGGAACGATGCTGACATTGCATATAGCGCTCATTCTCGGCCGTGCGATGACCGGTATCCAGGCGTTTGTTTGATGCGTTTGCACCAAGGAGAAAGTTGTAGCAGGAGTTGGTTGCACATAGCAGGGCATAATTGTATATAAATTTCTGATATGTAAAAAGGTGCGGCATTGGATTTCCGTATAGTTGTTGTAGTGTATGTAATGTATCGTTATCTGTATCAAAAGGTTATCGTATTGCGGGGCAATCGATCACATTCTTCCGGCCAAACCGATATCTCTAGTCTCTCGTGCCGACAGTTGTATGAAGGATAACAAGAAGTAAGCATCTGACCAGACGTAGATCAACTGTGCCTTGCATGAAGATCTTATCAATATAATAAACTTCAACTTTTGGCTTACTAAATCGTTACTAAAAGTGAGCGAAAAAATGGGATGATTGTAGATCCACCGTCGTCATTGAGTGATCCGTGGTATGTATTCGTAACGAGGCTGTATGTAATTGGTACCTGCGACCGACGGCGCCACAGCCGCAAACTCTTGGGCTCAGAAGCGGGTGGCAAGCAGAGTTTTCTTTTCTTTCAGTATATATAATGATAGTGCTAGAAAAAAGCATGAAGAGAAAGATTAAATACACATGTCTGATATATCTATCAGATTGCACGTAACAGCTGTAAGTTACCAGGGTAACGGCGTACTAGAAGAGGGGTATTGATAAGGCGTCCATCGGGCGTATTGTAAGCAAACGCACAGCCGCGCGTAGAAAATGCCAGAATTGCGTGGTGAGTACCTTACGAGCGTAACGGTATTACAAATACAGATACAAATTCGGCGTTATTCCATCCCACACGGTCCACAAACGGCCTAGCGCGGCCTGACTAAGTCTGCGCCTTTCTTTCCTTTCCCTCTTGAGTCTGTCATCATTCATTCTCTCTCTCTTTCTTCCCTTCTCGTTCTGTCTGCCTCTACACACACGAGACCACGACTTTTGCTGCCTTCTATCTTTCAAGTGAGTTTATAATTATTTTACCTACCGGCCACGTACAAGATCGCTTCTTTCTCGATATTAAATCGATTTTTCTCTCTTGACGCCGATTACTAACCCCTCGCCATCGTCACAGAGTCCTCATCTCACTCAGCCCTCACACAACACATAACTAGTCGAAATGGCTTTGAAGCGCATCAACAAGGAACTCACTGATCTCGGACGGTATGTTTATTTTTGACATCCTATCGTCGTATTCTTGTCGTGTGTTGCGTGTCTCCCAGTGCGATAGCGGGGCATGCGATGTCACTGAATATCGGCAAACTCTACACTTTGCTTTTTAACGCTTTATCTTATATCTGGATGATGACTGACTTTTATAAGTGATCCGCCCTCTTCCTGTTCTGCCGGCCCTATTGGAGATGATTTGGTATGTGAACCCGATCTGTACCGTCAGGCTGATCGCCGTCAGACCCGCAATCGAAACCATACTGACTGATTTGGATAGTTCCACTGGCAAGCAACCATAATGGGTCCCAGCGACTCGCCATACTCTGGTGGTGTCTTCTTCCTAGCGATCCATTTCCCGACAGACTATCCCTTCAAGGCCCCCAAAGTCAACTTCACCACTCGCATATATCACCCCAACATCAACTCCAACGGTAGCATTTGTCTGGATATTTTGAGGGACCAATGGAGCCCTGCTCTTACAATCTCAAAGGGTTCGTTTATCTCTCTCTGTCGGTTGATATTTCCCTCTAACATACGCAGTTCTCCTGTCGATCTGCTCCATGCTCACAGACCCCAACCCCGACGACCCATTGGTGCCTGAGATTGCCCACGTTTACAAGACAGACCGTGCCCGGTACGACGCCACAGCTCGAGAATGGACGCGCAAATATGCAATTTAATCCGAAATGACACGATACTTTGCTTCTCTCGAAGATCGGAAAACCACTGCTTCATCGGTTCGCTCAAAAGTTCGGAACGATTGAATCGATCTCGTTAACGGCCTCGATTCGGTTTTCTAGTGGCCGATTATGCCTTTGTTTTTTTTCTGCTTTTTTGCGAAACAAAACAATGCGAAAACGACCATTAGAATTGCAGATCGGAGAATATGTAGTCTTGGCGTCCTTTTGTTGTGGTTCTTGGATCTTTCATCTTTTTATGGCTTCTCTTTTTTTCAAGCTCATTTCCCATATTTGCGTCGGGTCTGCTCTCTCTCATCCTGTTGTGCGTTGTTTCGTCTTGCGTGTGTTCTTTATGCAATCATCATGACATGACAAATTATCATTCATCATCGGCGGGATGTCGTTTCGATACTGGATATCAGAAATCAAGATTATCATTATTGATCGATATTTCTTTCGTAAGTAGACTTTGTCGAGTCTAGTGCAAGTGTTCATTATGTAGTTAAACAAGTCATAATCATATAATATAGGTAACAATTCTCAGATCCATCTCAACCGTCTCCACGCCAAATCAATCAATATAATGCATGCATGTATGTCATTAGTTTATCACGTCTGTCCTGTTGCTCCGCTCTACCACTCAAATATGTTTCTGTCGCTTTAATGTATCCAGATGGACCCAAAGGAACGCCAAAGAAAAAGGAGAAAAGAGATGAAAGAAAATGGTTGATGGATCAATAATGCCCACTCCTAACTGACCCCCCAGAATGACTCTTCTTCCCAGAACCGGAGCGCTCGCTTGTGCTAACCCTCGACGAGCCTCGATGCCCTCCATGACTATGGCTGTGGTGGCTATGGTGCGAGGAGTGGCGATGATTACTCGATACCTGACTGATACTATCGCTCGGTTTGAGGGGTTGATCGAATTTACTGCCAGAGTCTTCATCCTTTTCCCGTTTGGATGCGGACGACGGGGCTTGTGATTGGGATGAAGGACCGGATCTAGAGCGGTGCGAGCGTCCGGATGAGGACTTGTTTGTGTTGTCTTGGTGGTGGCTGTGGGAGGACACCCCGACTTGGCTTATACTATCTTCCGGTGTGATGTCCACCACGGCGTCGAGGAAGACGGTACTCGGGGCCGCGGATGCTGGCAGCGGGATCTCGTAGGCGTCTACTAGATCGCGGTCGCGTCTGAGGTCTTTGATTGTTGTTGCGCTGCTGCGTTTGGAGGTCTTTGTTGCTGATGTGTATGTTGACCCCGGCCGACTGTCTGGTAGCGCGACCTTGTGCGCTGCTGATGCTGATGTGCGGGTTGATGATGCGGTACTACCACCTCCTCTGGCGTCGATGAGGTCTTCTTCATGGCGGTGCGTTGAGTGTTTGCTACTCGACTTCATCGTCGCCGACGAACGATGCGAAGACGCAACCGATTTCGCGACTGGTTTGATCGTCGATATTGATGAAAAGTCACTTTCTGCTTCGCCGATGATGTGCCCTTGCTGTTGCTGCTGGCGCGTCTCAGCATAACTACTTATGAACGTGCTGGGATCACAGGGGTACGATTTTGATCGTACCTTCTCGGAACGCGATTGCGAATGCTGTGAGGTTGAGATGGTACTCATTCCATACTCGATTGCGCGGATGGGTAGGTCGCGGGTTGCGTATATGCTTCCGTTTGATGTGCGTCGTACACCACCGCTACTTCCACCGCCATTTATGGTGCTGGATTCTTGAGAATAGATTGATCGAGCGACGGATCCCTCGGTTATGGGTGGATAGTATTCGGTCTCTTCGTAGATGGTGTCCGCGCGCGGAGATTTGCTTTTTGGTGCTGTCGAGCGTGTATATGCTGATATTGCGTCGTTGGCTGTATAGACGCTGCGCGCTGCTTGAGATGGGGCGAGGACGGTAGGAGGAGCCTCAAGAGCGCGGTAGACGGGTTGCTGCTGTTGTTGCTCTTGGTAGCCTGGTGCAGGGCCGAGCATGGGCATCAGCATGGGAAGAGACATGGACATTTGGTGGGGTTGTTGCTGGAGGCGCTGTTGTGGTTGTTGTTGCTGCGGTGGTAACGGTTGCTGAATGTATTGAGATGGAGCCGGCGCAGGAACAGGCGCAGATGACTGAGGCGGCGAGGACGAATTCGAAGACGAGTCACCCTTGATCATGGCATATGCCAGCGCAGCGCCAGCCGTAGCTCCAAGCAGAGTTCCGATAATCGTTTTTGCGGATATACTATTATCACTACTCTGTTGCGCCGGAGCATACGCCTGCTGTTGCTGATAAGCAGGTGCCTGCTGATCCAACATCTTCACCCTTGACGGTGGAATATTCTCAATCGCAGCCTGCACCGCTCTATCCTCCGTCGTCCTCACGGACCTCGCTCTCGAGACGACAGATCCATTCTTGATCGTCTGCAGCGCCGATGGGCCCCTTGTCGTCGTCCGCTCCGATCTCGCCACTGAGCCCGTCTCACTTTTCGTGGTGCTGCTGGCAGGATCAGGCCGGTAAACAGCCTCGATACTATTACCATCAAAATCGACAACAGCAGCGCTAAAATACCCCGTTTCGGTGTCACGGCATTTGGGCTCTCCGTGGATTGTGCCGCCTGCTTTGAGGGCAGAGATGAAGAATGTATTTACGGCTTCTTTACTGGGGGCTGGGAAGGCGATGTGTGCTGCGCCTGCTGGTGTTCTTCATCACCATATAGTGTTAGCAATGTAGTGTGAGGGTCGAGGGGGGAAAAGACCTACCCAGGCTGCTCCTGCGCGAGCCAGAAATCAGCGGGTTCATCGGCCTTAGAGCCGAAACCGATGTATTCGTCATGACGGCCGATGAATTTGTAGCCGAGGGGCTGCAGACATGACAGAAAGAAGGATGTGGACGTTGGGAGGTGGGAAACTGTCAATGTGAGGTGGGAGAGGGGCATGTTGATTGTACAGATAATGACGAAATGGAATGTGAAAGACAAAGGAGTGTTGAAAAGATGCTGTAAAGAAGAATTATAAGTATTAGAAAACAGAAAGTAAGTTAATATTTGTATCGAATGGGTAGGTAGGTATTAATGAACAATCGGAGTTGGGAGATAGGCCAAGAAAAGAAGGGTCTATCTATACTGCAAATGTACTCTATTAATCTACAAATAACCAGTTACTAACCATTATCACCCAGTAAACCTAGTATAATTAGTGGGCAAGAACGACTATCTAGGTAATTCTACCTAATCCTCACTAGCCAGACCCTTGGTCCGAAGAACAGCAACGTACTTGATAACGTAGCTCCATAGTTGGCAGGACCCGTGTATAGTTACTTTTCTCTAAGCGTGACAAGTATGGCATAATCAGGTACACCGTGTGTACTATGTACTTACTCAGTTAGTACCTTGGGCCTAGTGAGTAAAGGCTAATAAGTGAAGCGATGCGTGGACAAACCAGATCGATTCATACCGGAAGGTAGTATGAGAGTATCCACGTGAAACCCAACCAACACAACTTCAAGTCTAAATAAGAAGGTACGGAGGAGAATGTCAAAAGAAGGCGCGAGTAGGACAAAAAATGGGGCGAAACTGGCTATCTTTTAAGGAATAACGAAATAATTAGTTTGCTAGAATAAAAGGTCCAGACCCGTGCTTCCTCTCGCGTACAACTTCTGCGAGTGAGGTTCGTAGATGTATCTAAGCAAAATAGGAAATCCAAGATGTGATCAGAATCAGGGCGAAAGTCGGAACAAAGAGAGCGTTTCAGACGAAGAGGAATAATTAGACGAAAGCAGAAAATGTAACTGCTGATAGGCTGCCCTTCTTCTTCTATTCTGCCCTTCTGAGGCGGTTCGTGTCTGGTTATGGATTAGGGCTTCTGCATGCACGAGATCCATCCAAAGTCTCGAGCAGTAGTCACGGTCGACCACTATTGGCGAGATGATTTGGGCATTCGTGCTGTAGTCGGGTCACGCTTCATCCTGGCCAATTATTTTGTTGACTTACCTAAATGCATGACATACGTACTAAATAACTTGTTACAACTTACCTGATCGTGTGTCAGATGTCTCCAATCGTTCGGTGACAAGTCCATTTTCACCCCACTGTGTATACTCTTCGTGGATACTCTCAATCAACTAGCATGATCGTGTCGATAAGTATCACGATACGAACGCCTAACTGTCACCTTGTAGACTACCTGTAATCATTTACAAGCCTTACAAATGATTAGCATCGGGTACGCGGGCCGTACCGTCCGGACGAACAGCGAAGCGACAAAGGGTATCGCCAGTCTCACCTCTTAATTCGTTTGTAGAATATCCTCCGTGTTCAATCTTCTGACATATGCTAATCAACAATTAGTTGATCGCAATAATCGCAAGTGATGCTGACCGACTTGCCCCAAAATTGATTTGGTGGTGGAAGATCCACTTCCATTCGGGAGAGTTTCCTCACCGCAAAAACGTCCCCTCTGTTAATAAAAAGCAAGTGGTTCATGACTGCCCAATCCCTCCGGAATCCAGACTCCAGTTCCACTATTTCCAATGCTATGGGGACAAAATGACACGTCAAAGGCCATACCGATTCTCTGTGAATACCGCAAGTATAAAGAGGTGGTTGGACCAATGGAAGTTCAAGTTGAGGTCTTTATTTGATTCGTTGTTTGGCAAAAATGCTCCGAAGGAACGCTCTTCGATACTCAAACAAATTCGCAGTATGAAGGTCACGAGCTATCTTTCGACACCGTTCAAATTGTTGGCTTAAGTGTCTGAATCAGCTACGCTATCATCCTCGGAATCTCGAACATCAAGCCATGGGTGCTCATAAATCTCTGTTTCGCATGCTTAAATTCCATCGGCGCGAAACCAACTGAATATGCCTCGTATTGCATGTTCCAACAGTTGCTCAGATGAATGATCAGCACCATTGTATTCTAAGATTAAAGGTCGCGACGGCATCTTTTCAACTGCTTCAGTAATATTGGCGATATCTGCGAGAAGAATCGTAGCAAACCTCGGGTCATTCAATTCCTCGCCATCAATAGTATGACCCCAATGCCAATAAATGTACTTGATGGCATGTTCATCCCGCAATGGCTGTGTAGTTGCACTTTGAGAACCGCGTCCTCCATACGAGTTTCTCCAAATGGTTTCCAGACTCCGGAAGGTTCGCGGGCAAATCTGTTATCGCCTGTAATGAAAAGTAGTCGACCTTCATCTTTAGGCTTTATCTCATCTCCTTTGCCAGTATTCTTTCCTTCGACAATAATAGGCTTGAGAGTAATGTATAACTGTACCGTATCCATCCACGCAGCGGCATGATACTCAATCTCCATCAAACCGATCCGAATCTCAAACCAACGTCGACTCCGCAACGCCCATGGTGACTGCACAACAGACTGTCCTTCATAAATTGCACTTGCGACGGCGAAGAAGTACCCAATAATGATTTCAGAGGCGAGCTCTTCGGCTCAAGATGATGATGAATGCCAGTCGAAGTTGTCCATGACGAGTATCCGTCAAGATACAACCGCTCTTCTCCATCGTGCAAAGACTCGGTGTACTGTAGACATAATTGATCTGTTTCGAAACCTAGACCATAGGCCAAAATTGAAGATGTGTGCGTGATGAGTGGCTGCAAGTCAAAGCATGGTGACGGTAGAGAAGGTGTGATTTTAATGCGTTGAGATGAGATGTCCAGGTCTCAATGCTTCCATGTGGGATCTAGGCGAATGCATCTTTAAAAGGGGGGACGGCGTCCCACATTGATATGATCGTCAACTGGTGTATATAGGATAGGGTGCATGTGTAGGCGGAAAAGCAGGGGGAGGATATACCGACAAGAAGAGGAAGGAGGAAACCCGCAGTCCTCACATGTCTACCTTTCTATCCAGGCACATCGTTCTACATTGTACGATAGAGCGATTAGATAGTCAAGTTTTGATATTCATCATTAAACAAATATATACATTCAATTCATGGTCAAATCCCATATCAAGTCTTCCATCGGTCACGGTGCCTAACTCGTCTGATCAGTAGGCCGGGTTTCGTCGATGTTATTAGCATAGAGCAAAATGGCTCGCTCGTAAGTCTCTACCTCGAGTGTTGTGTTTCGATCGCGTCAAAGCAATTATTTGACAGACGACTCTAGAGGCTTGCTATAGACCTGGCCACGTTTTGGTTGTAAAAACAGATCAGATCACACCGCAAAGAAAACCTCGACAGCAAAGTCACACAGAAAGGGCCATATAAGAAAGAGCTGAGATGTTGTTATCAGAGCTCTCGCCTTACAACTGGCGTCTTTCTGGACAGAATAACAAAATTCCAGTGGCAGAAAAGAAATACTGGCCGAAAAGTTGATCAAAATCCAGATCCGATAGCAGGGAGAAGAAGAACAATTGATAGACAGGCCGTAACTGAGCTTGCGGTTAGCGACTGGATAATCCTTAAGCCTGTTACCTTGGACATATAGCGACCGATCGACTAGATAATATCCCAGACATCTTCAGCGGCGTGGCAGAACTTGCTGCAAGCGACACTGGCACTGAGACTGTAATTGCTAATAGCAATCGCTTCATCCTTAAATTCATCGGCAAAGTCATCGCGACCCTTGGCCATGGCTCCGACAAAGACGCAAATGCTCTCCTTAGGGCCAAGGGAGCTGATATATTCGTTGACTCGGACGACGGGCGCTTCGAAACTCAGAGTGACCTTGCGGCAGTTGGGCGGTAGATGGTCCGTGATAGGGTTCTTAATGACTTTGAGTAGTTTCTCTTGTGAGTTGGTGGAGCGAATGGACAGTCGATGTAGCAGCTGTACCATCAAACCGGCGAATCGTTTAAATGTACGAGGAATTCGCACAGTCGGGCTGACTTCGATGAGAACGCCTTTGGCGGTGTGGATGTAGATTTGGAGCAGGCCGGCTTTGTTGATGGGTGAATCGAGGAGGGTAAGCAGACACTACACTTGTCAGTCTCTTTCTATCATTTCACACCTACAAAGAAACGTACCTGATGAGTGATATCAGGACGAGCATCGCTAATATCTCGATTCATCTTGCGCATCACACCAATATGCTCATCACTGTTGAGAAGCGAGTATTTTTCCTCGCGACCGTTGCGGCCGCCATGTGAAGATCGATATGTTTCGAGACTGGCATTCGATAAGACGACGATCAAACGTCTTGTATCTTTATCGCCAGGCGCAACCGGGACATGCTGCTCGGCGACGAGCTGGGGCAGCTCTGGAGGAGGACAAGACTGGGTCCCTGCATCCATAGTGATCAGTAACTTGACGAGGACCTGATGTGTTGAAGCATCCAAGATCCGATGGTGAATTAACAGAAAAAAAGAAAAGAAATTTTTATAGCGCCATGCAAGGAAGTAGCTTGGAAGATTGATGCGCAGGTGTTTGATGCGAGGTTGAGGGGTAAGGCAGAAAGGAAGGAAACGGTCAAATGGGAGAAGAAAAAAGAAGATTGACAGCCAGCGTGGAGCTGCAGGCGCCAATTCTTCTCCAGAGTGTTGCAATGTTCAACGCCAGGGCAAGGCACTTACTAGGCCGCTTTCTCTTACCGCCGTCTTCTGCGCCACTGTTGCTGGAGGCTGACATGGTTGCTATCCGATATGTTTGCGAATAATGCTGTCGCTGCGCGGTTGATTTGATGTTTTCTGATTAATTCAATGTGGAGAGACAGAAATTTTGCCGGATCCGAGAGATAGTCGAACTTAATTGCTGGATATCACGCGAGCTCAATCCACGCCAGACCTTTTTTTTTTCGATGCTCACAAAGAGACTGAGGATGGGATAGACAGAGGATAGAGCTGAAGGCGAGGATTGAGAGTGAATATATAAGACCAAGAGGGAAGGAGCTGAGCAGCCATGCACAGAAGGAGGCAGAAGGGGAAGCAACGGTGGGGGCGGGCTATACAGCACGTGATTGGCTGGGTCTCCGTTAGTCAGCCGATACTCCGTGTTATCGGACATTCCGGTTATTGATTGATCCTCTTCTTTCGACATGGTCTAATTGCGATACTATTTACTATGTATGTGACATCACGAGCATAGCTTATTCGGAGCATCAATACAGACTGGCATATGACCACAAACATCTGAAAGCTGGCTCATCGGTTGATTCTTGCTATTGTACGTTTGACAACATCGTCCTCATCCCACACGCATGTAACACTTTTCTCGGCCACAACGGCACTGGCCCATTTCCAAAAGTTTGGCGCCTTCGTCTGTAGGGACTCGAGTAAGAAACGTGGCAAGATTTGCTCGTGATTGGGCAATGCAAGGACGCGAAGAAGAAATGATCCCGTTTGAACCTGTGGATGGTTTGTGTTAGCAAGCTATTGTAACTCTGGGCTAGTTAAGCAAAAAACAAGGGATGAGTAGTAGTACCTCTACCAGCGTGAGACGCTTCGATCCCCCAAAGTACGGCTCAGCATCTTCCAGAAGAGCTTCAACCTCTTTCACAATAGCATCAACATACTGATTCGCTGCTGCTGCGGTCTCTTCAGCCGTTTTGGAATAAACAGCCTTGTCAAAAAACACATGAACCTTGTTGAAATACGTCTCCACAAAGAATTCAGAATCGTAACGTTGTCTAGCGCCATCTAACTCGGAACTGGATTTGAGTAGATGCGTGGGATGATGGGAGTCGACAAGGAATTTTGTTATTAGTGCGGATTCGGTCAGTACCTGGCCATTGTAGACCAGGGCTGGAACGAGTCCTCGTGGGTTGATAGCGAGGTATTCTGGAGTGCGCGGAATGGTGATGTCCACGATCACGGTCTCGAATTCGAGCTCGAGTTCGCGGAGGGCGATTTGCGCTCGGTGCGCAAAGGGGCAGTGGTGAGCTGTGTAGAGAGTGATTTTGGGCGCCATTATACCAGATCAGAGTCAGCGATCTTTTGATGTGTGATGATTTCAGACCATATTCAGAAATCTTTAGTAGTGCTTCAAGATATACGAACTGCTAGAAACTGATAGCCCGGGCTCGTTGAATTATTCCTACTCTAGTTTTGATATCGGAAATTCCCGATCTTCGACTCCGACGAAGAAGTCTTTGGCGGGATTTCTCCTATCTTGAATTCGGCTGTCCGATAAAGAACAGAAAAGCTTACACAATATTCACGACCTCGTAATATAGTATATCTGATTCATATCTTTCGTCCTACAAGGCTCAGCTATCGGCAACTAGCGACGGAGTAGTATCATTGATCTCTACCGTGACTCAATTTTAGACTTTTATTTGAGTGATATTTCAAGCCTCTAAACTTTCGTCTAAACTGTTATCGTGCCGGATTTTCATCATTCAGTTACGCACCTTGGAAGAGTTTGCCGTCAGCGACACGGAACGAAGGCTTCCCCTGGCTGACTGAGGAGTGTGTCAGATAACGAATGAAGTCATACTCCTCAAGGCGCAAAGAATAGAAAGTGCTATATGAAATGGATTACCTAAGTTTACTTTTACAGAAGAAGCATTCATAAATATCATAGTCTGATCGCCTATCTGAAGCCGCTGCTATAGAAAATAGTCATTTCGAAATCCGCCATCAAGAGTCCGGCTTGTTCATATTCGCAACCGCGTTATAGAATGTACATAGAATCTAAACTCCTATCCCCCTCAAGACCATTGGTAGTAGCTCCATCAGCGATCATTTTTTCCTTTTTCGCATTTCTGCGTTTGAGTAGCAACCAACAACCACCGTACAAGAACGCTGCAACGACCGTCAACCCAGCAGAAATGGCATTGCCCTGAATGTATCGAGGGCCTTGCTGATCAGGGTAGAGCTGTGAGGATACCAAGGCTGATATGTTGGCAATGGAATAGGCTACGGGCATACCAATGGCTCGTTTGTCGTCTGGCGATAGATTGGTGGCGATCCAGGTTACGGCCAGAGTTGAAATCGGGAAGAGGCCTTCAAAATGACTGTTAGCACTGTAATAAAGGATCGAAAATATCGTACTTACCCAGAACGAGAATAAACATCCCAGCGTAGCCGGCATGAGCATTGGGAGTACCGACACAAACAAGATATCCAATGGCAACTGGTACGCAGCTTCCGATAATGAATGCTGCGCGCTTCTTCATCTTGTCTGAAAAGTAAACCTGGATCACAAGAGATATAGCGCCGAGGACATAGACGGGAATGGTCATGTAGTTGACCGAAAGGGAAGCGTATCTAGATTGAAAGATGAGTCAGCGAACTGAGTCGAAGATTGAACTACTGTATATTTTCAGTCTGGTATCACTTACCCAAGACCAGCGAGAATAGTAGGCAGGAAAACGCCGAATCCATTAATCGCAACAGAAGACGTAAAGAAAGCGATACCGAGAAGGTAGACAAAGGGATCAGTAAGAGCAATCTTGATCCACTTCCGATCGAATTTCTCATCTCCTCTATGAATCATGTCGCGCTGCTTTTTTAGGCGCATGATTTCTTTCTCTTCTGGGTTCAAAAACCATGCTGTTTCAGCCGAGGATGGAAGGAAGAACAAGCCGATACCGCCAACGACCACAGTGATGCAGAACTCGACGATAAACAGCCATCTCCAGGCGGCGAGTCCACGCCTGTCGCCCATGAGCTGGATAGCGTATGCAAAGAGGCCTCCAAAAGCGCCAGAGATACATGCAGAAAGATTTGTTGTCATGATACGCTTTCCTGCCTCTCCGCGGGGGTAGATAGTGGTGAAAAGATACGCGAATCCCTGCGCAAGACCAGCTTCGCATGCATTAAGTAGCATGCGAACAATGATTGCCTGTGCATAGTTTTGGATAAAGGCGGTTCCAAGAGTACAGATACTCCATGAAAGGAGAGAAACGCCGAGCGCTTTATTGGCTCCAAAGCGCCTGACTGCCAGCACCCATGGGAGTTCGAATAGTATAGTGCAGACGCTTGAAAGAGTGTTGATATTGCCGAACTGGCCACCCACAAGCCCAAGGTCGGTGTCGAAGCCGAATACAACCGCATTCCCAAGCTAACGTTATCGTCAGCGAGTCATGGAGATCTTCAGAACAATAAAACAGCAGAACACTCACATTATTTCGATCCAAGGTTGAAAGGACAAGAAACACCACGGAAACTGGCAAGACATATTTATCGAATTTCCTCATCACCGCAGCCTCTTTGGCAGGACCAATGTAGATCTCAGTAATTGTGCCATGTGCCTCGGGCTCGACACTGCTATCTGTAGTCATGACCACTGGAGGCTTCTCCGGTGCGTCCATTGTGCTTGTTCGGATTTATGGCAATAGAATTTATTTTAATTTTGTAGTTATTCACACAAGACAAGACCGTCCAATCTGGCGACCATGAAGCCGTCTCTACTCAGGTTAATATACCCCTTGGCGCAGCACGTCCACCCATGTGAGTAGTAAGGAGAACGCCTGACGACATGATTGAGTTCAAACGAGCTTGATAAGACTTATTGATGTCGCGATATGCCATGTACCAAAAAGTCGTACTGAGGCGCTGATAGGTCTGCTGGAAGATAACAGATAGCCAGCCCCGACAAGCGACCCAGTCGGGATTTCCCGATGTCGACCCGTAGGAAATTCCCGAATCGTCGCCAGATTTCTTATCTATCGAAATCCCACTGTCCTCTCCTTGATCTGAAGCTGAAGCATAGTGGATGGCAAAAAGCAAAGAGGAAAGATGAAAGGAATGGCTGCTTGTCAGAGGTGAGATGGAACCCAATGTTGAATCATTCCAACAGCGACTGGAGGCTAATATCGATGCATAGGTGTCGGCGGAGAAAGCAAAGGGTATTGATGGCGATTCTTTGCTTCCAGCGTCATAGCACTGACAAGAATATAGTGCGATCAGAAACTCCCCAATTGCTCGAACTGCGAACGTGCGCGTGTTCCGTGCTTAAGCTACGACACAGGAAAGCAAGCCGAGGTAGGCTCACTGAATGTTGAACTTTTACCATAGCTCAATTATTCTAGTAGATACCCCGAGACTACGTGTCGTATCTCGAAACAAAGGTCGAGACACTGACCCGTGAAGTCCAAAATCTTCAAACACGCGCCCAGTACGGCGCCAGTCCAGTCACTGGAGGACATGTCACTACCGCGCTACAAACGAACTCACCGGCGAGTACAGGAAGGATTTCCGAGGGAAGCTCACGAAACATTCAAGAGGATGTGATTAAAAGTGTTCAGAATATTGTCGTTGAGCCTTCCAGACAGCCCCGGTTTCTAGGACAAAGTGGCGGCATTACACTCGCAAAGCTGGTCATGGCAGCAGTCAATGTTGACACTTTGCATGCTCCTTCAGTGTCCGAGCAAAATAAATACGACAACACTCCAATTAACCCAGCATCCGAAGCTTCCTTTCCACCCCGCAATGTTGCAGACCATCTGGTCCAGGTCTACTTTCAGTTCCGGTCTCCTCACCTTCCAATCATGGACCGAGTGCAGGTCGAGGAAGCCGTTGAAAGCGCCTATCGTCACATGAGCAATTGCTCTACTTCTGATCGAGAAGTGGAGAAAGACATATTCACCACGTTTATGATTCTTGCTATCGCACTCTGCGACGTTCCAAATCCGTCGGGGGGTAGATCATCCCAAAGAGAAGGTTGTTTCCGCTCTGCCGTTTGTCTCATCGAAAAGGTCATCACCTACGCCAAAAGCGACCTCGAGACTATTCGAGTGGTGCTGCTATTATCACAATTTGTAGCCCGATGTCCTTCATGGGGAAGCTTGTGGCATTTGACCGGCACTGCTCTTCGTTTGTGTATTGATACTGGTATACACTGGGAAACCGAGGAACAAATCCTTAGTATGGATCCCAAATTGTTGCATGAGCGCCGCCGGTTGTGGCACTCTACTTACCAGTTTGACCGTCTTCTAAGTATCACACTTGGTCGGCCCCTGGGGATCATTGATGAAAGCATACGGGTCGAGCTTCCTGATCCACTCATGACAACAACTTATCCAACGTTGGGAAGCGAATTGGAGGGGTTTGATGTCCATAGCCAACGAGCCCATAACCATTTATTCGCCATGTCAAGATTAGAGTCTGAAATCAGACATGTGCAGCACAGTCAGTCATGGGCTCCGAAAATTGCTTGGCCCAAACCAGACTACGCTGCCTGGATCAAAGATATCCAACCACGTCTGCAGCAATGGTATGATACTATCCCAACGCCTAGCAAGGCTCATCCAGCTTCAATCTTTGCCTGTCCGGCCTACTGGGACAGTATCTACTACAGCTGTATTCTTCTACTCTACCGGCCGAACTCCGTAGTCTCGCATCCATCAACGGAAGAATTGACAATAGCTTTCGAAGCTTCCTGCCAGCTTATCACCAACATCAAATTTCTTCAGCGAGAAGGGAAAATTGATATCTACTGGAAAACAGTTCACAGTCTATTCATCGCCGGACTCGGCGTTGTATATGGTCTATGGTATTCAAAGGAACTGCGCGGCGAGTACCCGCTTAAACATAGTATTTCTGCTCTTCAAGCATGTGCATCGACACTTTCAGCCCTCTCAGAAAATTTCCAGGGGGCGGTTGGTTGTCGGGATATCTTCGATGCTCTCTCCTCAGCAACTATTGATTGGCTACTCACCAATGATGCTGAAGTTGTGCGCCAGAGTCGGGCACATTTCGAACATCAAGTAAAGGATTTGCTGCAGCAACTGCAACCGTCGACAAGTGACAGCATGGCCACTGTAAATGAAAATAGTGCTCACGTCATGTCGAATATGCTAGCAACTAATACCTTTGCCCTTAGTGAGATGCTGAGTTCGGCTGCGCAGTGGCCCGAACTCGAGGACTTGGACGTGGGTGGCGATGCGATAGCAGGAATTGATGTCGAGTACCATATGTTTTAGAGCATTAATAAATATACAACTGTCAATAGTACAAGATTATTTTCTACTGTCACATTCTCATTGGGTGAAACGACGATAGGACTGTATCTTAATCGGGATTTTGCGATCCCGAGCTTCGCACTTTTCCGACGATAAATCAAGTGCTCGATAAACACCCCCGCTATTAAGAATTATTTACAGCCATAGAATAAAAAGTTTCGCCGGCAATTGAGTGATGAAGGAGGTCGCCGAAGTACAAAATGACCTGACTGCGCTCGCACTTTTTCTGTGCGTTCTTTTCACCTTCATTGCTCACGTCCCAATACCGCTTCCATCCATACCTCCCCTAAAAAACGCATATCTCAAGTGAATCACTACTACGAATTTTCAGAAGCATGACACGTTTCCACCTGACGGCCACAGGCCTCAACATCAACTATCTCCCTCAATACATCGCGGAACGCCATGGTTTTTTCCGCGAGCAAGGGCTCGAAACTTCTTATTCCGTTCCCCAACCATGGGATGGCGTACTAGATGAACTCGCCGACGGAACAGCTGACATGGCACTGGGCGGCATCTGGGTACCAACAATGTACCGCAGCCGTGTAACGGATTACACTGTCTTTGCGCAAATCGCGAATCGCTGCCCTCTCGCCCTCCTTAGACGCCGCTCGGACTCTACAGACTGGAAACTAGCCGACGTGGCTGGCAGCACCGTTCTAATGAAGTCCGGAGGAGGCGCCAGCGTCGGTCTTTTCTTCAAGATGTTACTGCGCGAAAACGATGTTGATGCGAGATCAGTCGACTACATCCAGGATCTCGATGGCGTGATGTTGGGAAACTTATTCGAGGGTGGGATGGGCGACTATTTTGTGACGGATATTCTGTCTGCTCGTGTGATCGCTGAGCGAAACCCGAATGTCCTGATTGCGATGGAAATGGTTTCGCAAGGCGACGTGCCCTGGAGCGTCTATTACCGGGAATCAGCTACGGTCACGGAGGAGGTGCTTGATAAACAAAGGAGATTTTGTGTTGCTCTTGCTAAGGGCATTGATTGGGTCATGCAGCGTGATGCAAATACGTACAAGGATGAGCTCGCCGAGCTTTTTCCAAAGGTACCTGTCCACGTCGCTGTCGGGGTGACCAATACTTTCCGTGACAACGGCATGTGGACATCGCCTGTTATTCCTCAAGAAGGGTATAAGCGTTGGCAATTAGGGCTTGTTGGTGCTCGTCTAATCAAAGAGCCTCTTCCTTATGAGGTCCTCATTAACGACGGCCCTGCAGTTGAAGCTGTGAAGGCATAAAAGCGATTTATTTTATATGTACATATACATATATATATATATATATAGAGATAGATAAGTATATCCAGGTTCAATCTTGTTGTTACAAATATCGTATGTTTAGAAAGTGTTGTCGCACTGGATACTGTAGGTTCTCCAAACTACTTGACAAAGATTTGCGATGGTAGAGCCTGGCTATGCCCTAGCGTCGAATTTGGGTAATTCTTAATGAACACTAGAATTTCAAGTTCACGGTGATAAACTATGAGTATCTGCTGCTTATTAGAACATGCTCCTGGTTCTTGCACTTAGAAACGTGTTCGATTCCATCAAACTGTCAACAGAGACCGAGGATGACCCAAAAGTTTCTGTAGTGTAGTCATAAGAACGAAAAGAGCATCATTAATATCTATTACACTTCGTCCTGTATCATGGAGCCCCAGTCCAGTGTGAGAACTTCTTCATTTTACATCCAAGGAACCGAGTGTGGTGTGTCAACTAACAAGATACGATGTTCAGAATTTATCATCCCTGATACATCGGCCGCGAACGACAATGCGGAGGGCAGGACGCGTCAAAAATACGCAGCCAGCAGTAAAATACCAAGCTCGATTTCATACAAATCAATATTTCAACGACGGCAGACTGGTAGAGATTGGGTGGTTGTCCAACATCTTCTCAAGATCGAAGCACCCAGTATTTCGCCCGCCACCAAAGTCATTCAAGAAATTGTAAAAGGCTAATTCCCCGGATGAATATAGTCAATAAGATTCTATTCAACGTTATTTGACTAGCTCACACTATTTGCAAAACTACTTTGGACTATACGTGGAGTTACTAGAAACAAAGACTTCCCAGAACTTGGATGCGTAGAAAAAAGTATCAAAGACAGTTATCAGTGTATCAAATTGAACGTCTGTATAGAGCACTACAGGCTATGATAGGCTTAGGTGTAGTCTGGGCCAGGCCCTAGGGTCTGTTGTAACCAACAGGTTATAGATCAATTCTGCTCAATTAGAAAGTAAGCGCATTTCTTTAACCTAATGGAATTGTGACATGGTCCTAAGGGCTATTTTTTTTACAGCTTCTGCATGGCAACCTGATGATAAATGTTAGCTTTTCAATGAACAATTCAGAGACAGTAATCAGACTCACAACATCCGAAGACTGAACGTAATCCTCGAAGCCTTCGATTTCCTCCTGGAGATCGAGAGTTGACACCTTTTCATCCTCGACAACGAGGATAATCTTTAGTTTCTTGATACCGAATCCAACTGCAACCAATTCGGAAGCGCCCCAGACCAAACCATCCTTTTCAATGCTGCGTACCGATGCTTCCAGGGCTACCATATCGGTTTCATCGTCTAGAAAACATGGGTTGTTAACAATATAACCAATGAAGGGGAATTTTCTTTGACTTACCCCAAGGCTTAACTTCTAGCGTAACGATGGACTTAGCAGCAGGCTTAGGTTTAGCTGCCTTCTTTTCTCTGTAAGCAGCTAGACGCTCTTCCTGGGCTCGAATTGCCTCGGGATCTTCCTCTTCGTCGTCGCTACCAAATAGGTCTTCCTCCTCCTCATCGTCACTGTTTGCAGTGGCGGCGGTCTGGTTTTCGGCGATGTCAGGTCCGTAAGCTGTATAGGGTTTGGATGGATCGCCGGACAGAGTCTCGAATTCGGACTCATACGATGCGATGTGCTTGTACCATCTTGCGGCGTGAGGGTACTTGGTGGAGTCAGGGGCGGTGGTAATAGCTTTGAACACCGAAACATCGGCCTGGGAGGGAGTGAACCTGTAATACCGCGTGTTAGCGATGTAAATAAACATGATATAGCTATCACCATCAATCACAGATGAAATAAGCTTAGTGTTTGTCAAATAATTTGCAAAGAACCCTGTAGGATAGTACTCACGAGATAATGTAGGATCGGGTTGTCACCCAGGTGTCAAGTGCTGCATCAGTCAGTCAGTGCCCTCAGTGAGAGGGTTGATTTAGTCCCAGAGGAACTTTAAAGGGCCTACCACTGAGGCCAGTGTCATGGACCAGGTCTGTGAAACCCATATTTATGTTCTCGGCCGGAAAACCATTGATAGAGGGTGATCTTTGGGAGAAAGAGAGAGAGAGTAAAGATGGCTGGGGTGTTTCAACGTTGACTCATTCTTAGCTTAGCCTTGGGAACTAATGTTCTATATATATGCCGTTTCTCTTACAAGGATCTAGCTCGCGCCATATGCTAAGTAGATTGTCATCTTCCGATGACTCATTCTCATATAGGAATTGGTGACTATGTGGTATATGTATGTAACATGAATACAAACTTGATACTAGTATTTTCAAGTTATTCATTCAAGTCTTTTACCTGTGGCCGGACCCGCAATCTATTTGTTATGCCGTTCATACGATATTTTATCCACCATTCTGTTCAGAAACACACCATCCAGAATGCCGCCATCCAAAGGATCTCGCTCGAAATTGTAACCCATACCATACGGATGGTAATGCCTTCTAATGTGCTTTCTTTCAGCCCATTTCTTGAGCTCGCGTTCGACATCAATGAATCGAGTCGTCTAAGGGCATAATCGCGCTTGCTTTCTGGCCGCTTCGGTTTTGTATATCCAAAATAGCGGTGTTGAGCGTGCCTTGAGAGCAGGCCGTGATTGCGGCAGATCTTATTTCACTTTCATGATATTGACACTCCAAGCTTAATTAGCGTCTATAGAAAGCTCAATCAGGAACTTGACATGGTCGTCGGCCCATTTGTGCGCTTCCGTTATGATGTAGCAGATATGCTGGCACATGATTTCAAACAAATTGCATTCAGCATTACACAGTATTTAGTGATATGAAAGGGATTTTTGTCATTCTTGTTCATGATATAAATTGAAAAGGACTATCCACAGTTTAAATAATATCATTAGCAGGCCATTTCATTTTCTGGTAGCTTGTGACCGCAAATGGTTATTTTAGGAAATTTTGAACGTGAAATTAGGATCTACTCACAATCATTTGTATCCCACTAGTGTATCATGGAGCATATAGTGTCATCAACAGCCCAGGGAAGCTTTCCTACACCTTGGGGATATAGATTATGTTGTCCAGAAAAAGCTAGAAGCCTTACCCAACCTAGTGAGTTGCTCAGTACCATCAATCAGTCGTCGCTTCTGTCTACACGGGTCTAAGTTTTCTCAGGACGCGGTTGTTCATGAGGGCCTTCGCATATGACTGGCCCCATTGAATCGGCTTCCTCGAGTGGCATCTGCTGAACTATTCGTGTATAAAGGCTTAGTCAATCCTCCCGGGGTACGTTCTACTTTTCGCGAAGGATCATCTGAGCAGGTCGTGGCATTATTGATCAATCAAAGTCAACGTAGACCGGGGATAAGTGAAAGCAATTTCTCTATCCACATGAGTCTAAAGCTGTTCTCCGACCCAACCGAATTCCAACCACAACGCCGGATTGAGGTTTCAGAAGACGGCCTGCGACTTCAAGACTAAATTGTCACTTCGGTGAAGGGGACAAGGCACTGTTTGGCAATGAGGTACGCGTCATCGTCTTATTAGTCTGAAGGGAATTCTCATCACAAGTATATACCTCTCTCGACTGCAGTATAGCCTATGTAGAACTGTACATGACCATAAGCTGTCTTCGTTCGCCGCTTTGATATGGATCTATACGACACAACTGAGAAGCACAGAGATAGTTAGGATCGCTTGTTCCGGGATCCTAGGGGTCCCTCTCAGGGTGTTCGCATTACTACAGCGACAAAAGACTGATGTTGGGCAATACGTACTAGGTTTTCCCTCACTTCTGGCTCATGAGAGTCGGCCGGTCGCCTCTACAGGTGTAAGGCGTGGAAGGAATGGCAACACGGATAGCTTTCACTATATGGGGGTCAAAATTTTGTTATAGTCTATTTCTATGATTGCGTCAGCCGTAGCTGAGGATATGGACATAACTTAATATTATACCATTAATGCCATTTCTCGATGCTGCTGGCGAGTCCGAACCGGAAACTCTCAGTGAGCCGGACTTGCGTGTTTTAAAGTGCGTTAGGGACAGCTCTTAGAGCTATTATTCTTGGAAAATGACTCGAATACGTGCGCAGTAATCAATCTGGATATATCACAATTGACAACTTCTACTTGTGATACTACGTATATGACGGACACAGCTTTGACAACGAATTTGGGGTATTCTCTCAGCCGTTCTCAGCCCTGGGCTGCTTTGCTGGGGTTCATTTCCCCAGGGCCCAGCCACTGCAGACAGTCTGACTGCTCGAATCGGATCACCCAAGTGAGTAAAGTAAGGTAAGGCAGAAGCGGAGAAACCCTCAGAAACGCATAGAAAGAATTCTGTAGCTGGTCATGACTGGCATGCCTTGTTGGGGTTGTCAAGACGGATGGATCTACAGCGTGTACAACCTCAAATAACTCCGGTGCTAGGGTAAAGGAGAGCCCGATTAGGCCACATACTGCCCAAAAGGCGCGCCCTGAACTATGAAGATGGCTTTTCTGGCAAACTTACGTACAGATGCTAGTCATTTGGAGCGAGAAGTATAGCCCAACTTGTCGCCATAAAGGTTATTTCAGGAGGCAGGCCACTCAGACGACGCGAGACTACTCATAGTAAAGGCTATCCCACTACGAGTCGACACTGGGAGTGTCATGTAGGTCATTGGTCGCACAGAAAAGTCACCGGTAAGGGGGAGCCACAAGCGCCAATAAGATGCCATCTTATGACTAGACTCAGTCGACTGCGACCACTCAGGGCTTGCATGTCGTCTCCAAGACAGTGCTAGTGGGCTGATGCCAGTCTGGTGGTGGCAAAGTCAGGAAGCGCAAGACAGCGTTTGGCCAAAGCTTCTCACGGCATTATCCTCCCGCCAAAGTAACATGAGCTGCCTGTGGTATCCACGGGGGCTTTGAGCCTTGAGGGTTTAAGTGGTCGAGTAAGAAGTGGGAGTAAGAAGTTAGGGGCTTTCCGTCAGCCAGTGTCAGGCAGCGTACGGGGATCGCTGCTCCTTAGGGCCCACGTTAGCTGCTGCCATCCTATCACAGCATTTACAGCTGATACGGCCACAGAGTCAAAAGAGAGCAGAGACGCAAGATGCGACAAGAGAAGGTCAGACTGTTCGCTCCCAAGGCACAAACAGGCAGGCAGATTGTTGGACAAGGATTTTGAGTCATACAGTCTAGCTAGCTAGCTCTTTGGCAACAAGGATCGTGTCTGCTTACGCTGCCTACCTACGTATATCTTGCACTGATTAACCTAACTCCCGGTTTAATAAAGGATATTCATCATCGCATGGATTTTCGCCTCCTATAACTAGGCAGTACGTATATTAGTTTCTCCGTTTTGAACAGAATCCGATCGAATTGATTGGCTCTTCCGAAGGATTCCGGCGAATTTAGTCTTCATTTTATTTGATTGAGCTTCTCTCCTTTCTTTATTTTCTTGATTATACCTGCTTATCTTGCGTCGACTTTTCGTTTGATCGATTTACGTCCTTCCTTCATACCAGTGCATAGACGGACGGCGCCATCACGAGCCGACTGCAGCGAAGGAAGCTATCGAGGGATATAGCGGCACGAGTTGGGGTAACGACACATCAACAGGCGTCAGACAGCTATCATAGCAGCTCTCCCAACAGTCGTCAAACAGCATCAAACAAACTTCAAACAGCAGAGCGACAGACAGAAAAAGTGAGAGAGGGAGAGAGGGAACGGGGATCGTGGCCGGCGAGTGACGTTTCTTGGCAGCCAAACGGGTCGATTAATATAGCCCAATCAAGCCTAGCGCTGATTGTCGCGTTCTGAATAATTTTGCCCGCGTTGTTGACATTCTACTCTGCTCTCTACTTATACTCGCACGCATACCATATCATCATATCTTCATATCATCATATCCATGAACTAACCAGTGAGATGCCGTGGACGGTCACAAACTCATTCAAAAGGTATGTCCCTTCGCGATTGACGCGCCCTTGACTGCTCCCTAGACTCCCTACCACGATACAACAAACTAACTGAAGACCGGCAGGGGCCTCATGAAAACTTACGGGAGACCTTCCCGTCGCATCTACGATGATGACACTTTCCACGCTTCGAAGAAACGACGCGTGGAAGCAGTCGACGACTCGTACGACGCCGAGTCCAACCTGCGATATGCCATCCGCGAATCCTCCATTGCCATCACAGCCGTGACCGCCTCCAGCCCATCACGGCGCAACTCGGTCATATTCTCGGAGATCACGCAAGAGGACGACGAGGATGACGGTGAGCTATCGACACCACCGTCGTCACCACCGCCCCCTCGTTTGACACCCCCACCTGCCAACACGCGAAAACCGACGTTTGCATTTCTGAAGCGCAAGAAATCGACGATTAAGGAGTCAAACGGCAGTCCCTTGACCGAGGTGAATTCGAATAGTGTTCGGTCGTTGGTGGATCAGCCAAAGAAGAGTCAGCCACCGCAGCCCCCTGTATTGAAGCAACTACAGATCGACGCCGGGATTACCGTGCGACGCAGCTGCAATCTCTGTGGTATGGAATATGTACCATCCAACGCCGAAGACGCCGATTTGCACGACAAGTTTCATTCGATGAATGCGGTTGGTATCGACCTCGGCAGAGCGTTTGTCCGAGGAAACGCGTCGCGTTGGGTTTACGAGGCGGCACGATGTGACGAGGGTTATATTGTGATTATTGACCGGAAGGCATCCCCGTCAACAAGAAATCAAGCCAAGAAAGTGCTCGATGTTGTGAATCGGGAATTGTCATCGCCGCCGATCGATGACGCTACCTTGTGGAGCCAGATTGAGCCTCCGAAACGTCTGCGCAAGAATGGAGCAAAGGAAGAGACCGATCGATTTAAGGTGTTTTTGCATATGAAGGATAGCAAATGCATGGGATTGTGTCTGGCGGAGCGAATATGGGAAGCGCATCCGGTCAAGTTGGATGCGAATGCCAGGACTGACGGCACCAACGACAGTATTAACGGTGCCACAAATGGCACAAATGGCACTGGCGACGTGCATCGAAGTTCTTCAGTCAGTGTTCACGACACGCTCGATCCCGCTATTGTTGGCGTTTCGCGAATCTGGACCTGTGGCTCTGCGCGTCGAAGAGGTATTGGCATGGATCTACTGGACTGCGTTATCAGCAATTTTATCTACGGACTGGACATTCCCAAGGAACAGATCGCGTTCACGCAGCCGACCGAGAGTGGACTTCGCCTCGCCGAATGCTTCTTTGGTGTGGGTGAGCCCTGGCACGTGTATAACGAGGGACCATGTGTCTCATAGGTTGGCGGAGTTTTTTATATAAATTGTGCGTGTGTCGAGAATTTGTAACTTGATTGAATCAATTCGGCGTCTTGTCGCGTTTTCGCGTTTCCATGGCTGTACACAAGGGCTATGGATGGGATGTACTATACTTTCGGAGTGTCATGGATGGCGGTAATTTAGTTATTTATGCGTTTTACGAGCAGATAGTTGACATTCAAGATTGTCATCCTCATCATTATAATTGACAAAACTCGCATTGTTCGTTTATTGTGGGACTTCACATGCAGGCTGCCATATACTATACTCTACTCAGCTTATCACGGAAGAAAAACAACCCCCATTTCCCTCCTTCAACTCTTCCCTCCCCAACAATCGCAACGCTCTGCCCTCTTCTTCATGCTTGAAGCTACGCAACTCTTTTGCGATGTCTGGATCAAATCCTTTCCGCCGTAGCAAGATCATCGCATCCCCGCCCATCACAAACAACAGCAACGAGCAAGGTGTCGTTCTTCCGTCGATTCCGAATGACGCGATAACGTCCGGCGCAAGCAGCGTCGGTGAGTCTCATTGATCTTCCAGAGGAATTATAAGCTGATTGATTATAAGAGATAAGCAAAAGTCAATCATCGTCTCATCCTGACATAGTGCGCATCGCGACGCCTCCGCCGACGGACTCTACACCATCGTACTTCCCCGCAGTATCCTTTGCTGGGCTAACGACAACCCGTCGAGGCTCGCCTCCACCACCACCACAATCGACACAACAATCGGAACAAGATGAAGACAGTTCCGAAGACGAGTCTGAACCCGACCCTTTTGATCCGCGATCTTCCGATAGCGTCGTAATTGATCGTTCGACGATGCCGCAACAGCAGCCATTCCTAGCTGAGCAGTCGGTAGAAGATGGAACAGCGTTTCCCAGCCGAGCCGCGCCGAGGAAGGAGGCGAAACCAACCAATATGCTTGATGTCGATGCGTTTACCAGGTTGCTTTTGACGGGTAGCGCGGAAGCTGCGAGTATCCCCGCAAGTCGAAGAACGACTTCAAATCCGGATACGGTTTCAGCTAACACAATTGAATCGCCGAGTCGCGCTCAGACGTGGGTTTCTACTGGTAGTGTCAATCATGTGAGACAAACTAGTAGCGAGACTACAACCGCGATCCCTAGAGCGTCTACATTTACTGCTTCGGCACCAAACGATATTAACAGTACCCCAAGTCTCCGAAAACCAAAGCCGCCTCCACCCAGGTCTCACCATGGCAAACCTATCAAACCTGACGATTCGGAAAGAGACATATCTAACTCTTCGACGCCAACGCCAATTGGCTCGCCGTCGGATCGTCGAGGGTCAGCATCTTCGTTGTCCGTCAAAGTATCTTCGCCGAGCAATGAATCTGCCGACGACGTTTCCTCGTTACATCGAAGCTCATCACAGTCGAAAAGACCACCTACACCACCTCTCGCTCGGCGCCACAGCCAGATGAGACCCAACGCGAACCGACAATCAATCACAGAAAAGCCCAATCGATTATCTCTACCAGCAAAGAGTCTGAGCTCTCATATGCAGGGCCCTCTGAGCCCAGGTAGCGGCACAAAGACACCTCCACGACCACCATCACGACGTGTTGAAAGACCTATCTCTGGAATTCAAGGAGAGGCTGCTCTCTCTCAACTCAAATCTTCATTGTCGCAAAGCGAGTCGACGCCAAGCGACCAGCTTTCGGTCGATGAGCAGACTACGCAAGCACCTACCATATCGTCTCCACCATCACGAACACCGTCAATTAAACAGGGTCTACCGGGAGCTGCTACAAACACGGGCATGCTTCCACCCCCACCGCCGCCTCCGCGCAGACTTCGGGCGTCGAGTAAAAGTAGTACCACAGCAGTGTCTGTATCAGTTGATAGACCGAATGCGCCGACGTCCACGGAACAAGCAGATGTGCAGCCATCGTCGCAGGCGCACGATATACTGGCTGATCTGTCGCGTTTGCAGCGAGAAGTCGATGATTTGCGGGTTCACTACGAGGGGCGGAAGGTCAGCCAGTAGTTTGTTGGGCTGACTTTCTTTCTACGGACAGCGGAAAGTGCTATGGACGTATTATGACTGTACATATTATACTATATACACTTCTTATCACCAAATCTATATCAACCACCGCGATAATTATAATGAAAATGTTCGTCTCCATCTTTAGTCTCTGGCATGACGTCGTGGCCCACCCCTAGTCAACCAATCAGATATGTCTAATTCGATTTCTCCGGCTTAGTGCCTTAGGCTACATTGTTTGACCCCACCTCCATTTGGTGCTGTATGAACTCACCTCCATTTCTAGCATCATCGTCTTCGAGAGATTTGCTGTATCAGAGAAGAAAGAGAATAGACGAAGAGATAGAACCCGACCGAGACAAGCACAAAGCAAACAGCGAGTGACGATAACCGACCGGTGGTACGACAGTCGTTGAGTCATTGATCGTCGATACCTGCCGATATACAACTGACATCGATCCATCGATCTTGAATACATAACTCTGCGTTGAGCAAGACTCTACAAGCAAAATGGCAGAAAACAGAATGTCGACGCCGACACTCATCAACCTTCCGCCTCCGCCATCAGATCCCGTTACGCCGTCTGATATGGGACCGTACGTTTACCATACACAGATACGCACTGATGAATTGGATATTGACTGACTGACTACTAACTGAGCGTAGAGGCACACCAAACTCCGGCACAACCTCTCTCTCCGCCCTCTCAACCACAGCCATCAAAGACGGCCACCAGGGCCATCCGCATCCGTACGCACGCCACACGCACCAATCGTCCTCTGCAAGCGCGACATCGACATCGACCCTCGAAGCGGAGCGAGCAGATCGGATTTCGCGTCTGGCGGGGTTGGAGCGTATAGCGACTGCGCGGGCTGGTGGAAATTCTCAAAATGTTGCGGCGTCGCTGGCACCGACGGTGACAAGTGGCGCAGCAGGGGGGCATTTCTCTCAACAAGCCTATAACCCGAATAATAACAATAACTATAACAATCAGCAAGGGTACTTTGACTCCTACCCGCAACAACTCCTCAAAGAAAGAAGCACAGTCGGCAGCGCAAGCGCCACAGGCAGCATCGGCGGACGTACAACCTGGGCCAGTGGCAGCGACGCATTTGATCCTGATAAGATGAGTGAAGATCAAGACCATGACTCGAGTGTGAGTGATGATGATGGCGATGATGATAGGATGAGCGATGAAGGGAATGCCAGTCTGGTAGGGTTTGGGGAAGGTGCGAATAGTACGATTAGTGGACCGATATCGACTATTAGTGCGCCTGCTGCTGGTGGTGTCCCTGCACCAGTGAGACTGCAGTCGTCGTCGTCGACGGGGACGAATCCTCCTCGGCCGGCGACGTTTGGGAGTCCGAATCGTAGTAGCGGTGGATTCGCGAATAATCTGTACAGCAGCAATATTCCGCAGCAGCAGCAGCGACTCTTTTCGCCTTCGCCGGCGGGATCGAATACGCCCGAGCCGTACGGTGATGCGCGCATGCTGGATGGGATGACCTATGACTCTGATGTTGTCGATACAACCGTGCGGACGCCGCGACTTGTGGGTGGTCAGAATGATCAAGATGGTCAGGGCATAATTCCGCTGGACGATAAATCTCTTTAAATTAGGACTTGTGTTGTGTGATTAGTATCTGTGCTATATGTTGTGCATGTTTGAGTACGTATGACTTTGGGGGGAACGAAAGTGGCCTATGGATTCGATGGCGAGGTCTGGAGTATCATTTGCCTGTACGTAGTCTCTTTCTTGAATATTCAATTGCAATAAATAACATGTACTACCAAATTAAACAGTCTAGATGATCTACGACCTCCTAAGAACCTAAGAAGTTAGGCCAGGCTAGCTAAGCCACTAGCCAACCGTTCCGCCGCCGCCGAAATCTTCTCTCCACACAACAATTTGACTTCTCTTCTTCTCTCTCTCTTTCGCACCGCTATTCTTTTCCTCTTCTCCCCTCTCTCCGTCCGCATCCCACCGGCTCTCTCTCCGCCTTGTCATATTGCTGGCATTTACTTGTCAAGCACGAGAAATTTTAGAGGAGCTTGATTCCTTGCTCTATAGCTTACCGTACCGTGCCTATCGACCGATCGGATTTTCGCCTCGTCTGGCCTCTTGGAAATTACGGAATTTTCGATTCTACACGCAACTGAGTGAGTCTATTTCATTTTGCGCTTTATTTTTTTCAAATAAGGAGCTATATCTGGAATGTATTTTATCTTTATCTTGTCAATTGCTACCCGTAAACAAAGAGCGGACGTGACTGACGGACGGCGCTCTCAGACCGATATCTTTCAAACTACGCTTTACATTTTAGAAGATTCTATCTTCTTCGATATCCACTTGCGATCTATTCTAATCGATTCTCACAAGAGCTCAAACCCGTCGACCACTCAAGAATTCAGGAATCAAATTCTCAACAAGGACGTCTCTGCTACTCTTCCGAAAGCTAGTCTGCTGTGGCTTTGAATAGTTATGGCGGCTCCGACTCAGATTGCTTGTGAGTTGCTCATTTCAGTAAAAAAGTGAAAAGTGTAATGAGTCTGACTGTTGTAGTTCGCACCCTCAAGGGAATTGGGCTTTTAGATGCCTCGCCTTTATATTCGCCTGTGCCTGGGTTTGAGAGGTTTGTTTTTCTCAACTGATGGCAATGAGCGTTCTCAGCTGATCTCGACTGATTGACAGACCCGAAGGAAATCTTCGCTGCAGCGCGTATTCGCCGTGCGGACGCTATTTTGCGTGGGCATCTCCCGAACGGTATGCCAACTCACAAAAGTGGAAAAGAAAAGAAGATGGGCCAGGCTAATCTAATTCCAGCGTCACGATCATCGACCCCTCTATTGGCCACGTCATCACCACCCTCCCCGCAGACAACGTCTTTGAACTGGGCTTCTCCCCACTCGGCACATACGTGATTACCTGGCAACGACCCACGAAAGACGAGAATGGCGACGCCGTTAAGAACCTCAAAGTGTGGAGCGTCGAGGCTCAAGCAACGGGCGGAGCAGGAGAGAACGAGAACGCAGTTGTCGGCCGATTTGTCCAGAAATCGCAGACCGGTTGGAATTTGCAATACTCTTCTGACGAGAGTTATTGCGCTCGCGTTGTGACGAATGAGGTTCAGTTTTATAAGAGCCATGATCTTTCGAATGTGTGGAATAAACTCCGCGTGGAGGGTGTTGCTGATTTTGCGTTGGCGCCTGGGAAGAGTCAGGCTATTGCCGTTTTTACGCCAGAGCGGAAGGTTGGTTCAGTACCTTCTTGACTTTTTTCAAAGCTAACTTTTCCAGGGACAACCGGCTTCAGTCAAGGTCTTTGTGGTTCCGCAGTTCACCAACCCGGTCTCGCAAAAAACATTTTTCAAAGGCGATAAGGTCCAGCTCAAGTGGAACAATTCCGGCACGTCTCTTATCGTCCTGGCGCAAACCGAGGTGGATCGATCTGGCAAGAGTTACTATGGCGAGACCACTTTGTATCTGCTTAGTGCAACCGGAGCTTTCGACTCTAGAATCGATCTCGACAGAGAAGGTCCTATTCACGACGTGACTTGGTCACCCAATTCAAAGGAATTCGGAGTTGTCTATGGATTCATGCCAGCCAAGACGACTATTTTCAACTACCGCGGCGTTGCTACGCACAGCTACCCATTGGCACCGCGAAACACAATTGTGTTTTCGCCGCACGGTCGATTTGTGGTCGTCGCTGGGTTTGGTAATTTGGCCGGCCAGATGGATATCTATGACCTGGAAAAGGGTCATCAGAAAATCACCACCATCGAAGGGTCTAATGCGACGGTGTGCGAGTGGTCGCCAGATGGAAAGCATATCCTTACGGCCACTACTAGCCCGCGACTGAGAGTCGACAACGGAGTTCGTATTTGGCATTTCACCGGTGCTCTGCAGTACAACGAAGATATGAACGAGTTGTACCAGGTGTGCTGGCGTCCACAGGGACAGGTAGAACAACCTCTTGGCGATCCGTTCCAACCACTCCCAACGCCTCACGCATCCGCCTTGGATTACCTAGCCAAGAAAAAGGTTCCCTCCAAGCCTGTTGGAGCATACCGTCCACCAGGAGCGCGCGGACAAATCACGTCTCTAGCATTCAAGCGTGAAGACGAAGGCGGTGCGGCATTCAGCAGAGAAGGAGGATCCTCCTCTTTCGGCGCCGCATCTATCAACGGATTTGGCAAGCCCAGAAGATGTGAAGTCCCCGGAGCCGAACCAGTCGAGTTTGTACCCGCTGGCGCAGCACCGGGAGGTGGAGTCGCTCTACCTCCAGGCGCCGAGGGAGCCGCAGCGGATGAGAAATTATCCAAATCAGCTGCAAAGAACAAGAAGAAGCGGGAAGCCAAGAAGGCTAAAGAAGCGGATAAGGAGGGAGAACTCGCTCCCCCTCCCAATGCTCCTACCGGTCCTCGTCTTCAACCCAGCCCGGATCGCCGCGACCACCGATCCAAGAGCCGCAATCGCAACCGCGCCGAAAGCAACGTCAACGGAGGGCCTAACGGATCTGCGAAACCCAGACCTGCTGCCTCTGCTGCTCCGGCTCCGGCTCCAGCTGCCCCCGCTTCACCAGCCGCAGAATCAAACGCCCTCTCGCAGGATAAACGTATTCGCGGCCTCTTGAAGAAATTGCGCGCAATCGATGAGTTGAAAATGAGACTTGCTTCTGGCGAAAAGCTGGAGGATACGCAGATGAAGAAGATTCAGACGGAGGATTCGGTGAGGAAGGAATTGGATGGATTGGATTATACTGTATAGACCACCTCACCCTAACGGTGGTGAATGGAATAGGCGGAGACCAGAGCGCGTATGTGTATAGCTTGGAAACTGGGTAGAGTAGGTAAAAAGAACAAATGAAAAGAAGATATAGAGAATTGGATGGATCATAGTAAAAACGTACATTCATGGATACAGCTACCTACATATATACATTGGTACATGTAGGACCAGAGATAGTACAGTAGCTCAATGGCACCTGCAGAAGTAAAAATACTCAGGTAGACATCCACCGCTTGGAGTCCAATTGTTTGATATTCAGGAGTTGATTCTTCTCGATGTCATTAAAATATAGAGGTAATGTTAAAATGTTGACATGTGACCCCAATGCCCACCTGGACAATATTAAAGGGTTCAAGATTTGGCCCCATGATCGTCCCCCCTCAGGCGCCCTCCCAAGCGCTCTTCTAGGCTGCAGACAGGCATGGCGGCTCTGCAAGTAGTACGCATTCAATAATGCTTTCAAGAACTAAATAAGTATGAGGCTCGTGCGCGCGAGCTGAGCCAGTTCGGCAAGTTCAGCCTGACAATCGTTGACTTTTCTAGTAGATCTAGTGGTTTAGCTGCTCTAGTTCCTTAGTGTTCGTGTACTTAGTGACTTACTTTAGCTCGTTCGTTTCTTTGTTATGGTTTACGTATTTTCCACTTTTTATTTAGTTCTCTCTCAACAGAGTCTATCTTAATTTCTACTTGGAATTTTGTCGCGTTTATGGATCGGTATAAGTAGGTAGGTGTATACGGTACATGTATAGAGTAAACATGTCCTCCGACACCCCCACAGCGCCGCCTCTAACGGTAACGGCCTCCTCGTCGCCAACGGAGTATCGCAATATCAACCTTTATGATCCGGAAAGAGAAAAGGACGGAAGTGGCAGAGGTATTCCTTACCCACCTACCTATCAGAAGGTATACTTACAGGAGCATAGATGCGTCTCAGAGCCGGATATCGGATCACATCGAACTGCCTGAAAACAACCAGAAGGATAGACGTGATGATGATAGTAACGGCAAACGTAACCACACCGCTGGCCATAGACGTAATGCTTTCTGCCCTTTTCATATCGTCAATTTGTCAATCTGGCTGATTTGTGTATGTGTAGCACGTCTCCTCCAAGGCCCCGACCTGAAATGGCACAAGGAATACGCCGCGCTGGACCAGCATGCTGGCCGCGTACTAATGATTGATTTTGAGCGAAGTGGTAGGCCCTCCCCCTCTGTATTGCTTATCTGAATGAAAAATTTGCTGATATGGTCAGGTAGACAAATCACGCTCTCACATCCGCAAAGTCGCCGCTCAGGAAATCTTTCACCTCCAGGGTTTGAGGCGGTTTTATCAGTGTCAATCAGACACCGCCGAGCCAGCGATGCGCGTTATACACGTGCAGAATGCAGATTGGGCTATTCCATTCCTAATGCGGAAATTCAACATCTCTGCAAAATCGCATGGTGCTGGGTCAGGAGGGGAAGGGGTCGATTTTGGGCAGTATTTGAGATACAAAAATCCGGAGATGAGGGGTGGGAAGCCGTTCCTGGCGGGAAAGACGTGGAAGGTGGCGTATGATCCGTGGAGGGGGGTGAATAAGACTTCGTTTGGGGCGGATTATATGAAGAGTTTTCGGCGGTCTACCACTCAAAGTAATGCTGGAGGCAATGCTGGTGAGGGGGGCAGAGGGGGGAGGGATAGGATGATGCAGTTGAATGATTTTGATGAAAATGGTATCTCCCCTTCACTACATGTAAGCTTGAAGTGGTAGGGGCTGATGGATGGTAGATGAGCCGATATGCGCCCATGATGTCTACGTGCAGCGTCTCAGCTGCTATATCCAGCACAAACAGGCGCCCTCGGAAAACAGACTGTCGCGCGATGACCTGCCGCTGCGAAGACATTTTTATCCACCTGATGTATACGGCGACGACACTAATAATGATAACGATAGCGTTGCCAAAGACAAGGCAGAGTACAAACAGCAACGACTCCGCCATCTAGACAACGGCAACGTAATCATCATCTTCGACAATTCATCTTCGGGAAACATCGACGATACTTTAGTTCCTGCCAGACGAGATCTAGAATGTCGCTGGCGCCGGTTACCGTTCCATCTCGCATTTGAATCGCGCGAGCCCATCGAACATGACGACGACGACGCAAAACTTGCGCTGAACTGCTCAAAGGCGATTCTGAGTGACGTCTTTAGATCGCTAGTATTGGCCTGGGACGCGTTTCTGGATCACGCATATACGCATATGACTATTCTTGAGGATAAAGTGTATGAAAGGCCGGACGATGAGAGTAGAGCGCCGGAATTGTGGGCGAATTCGAGTGCGTGGTTGAAGGTGGAGAAGTTGGTGAATGTGCATGCGAGCGTGATGCAGGAGATGAAGGCACGGTTGCATGAGTTGACTGGTATCCCTCTTTTCCTCTTTGAATTGCCCCCTAGTTGATGCTGATGATGGTAGACGATGTGGATAATGAAGACAACTGGCTCGAAGACAGCCCCGCGGACTTTGAGAGATTGACAAATCTGATCACGGAGGATCTGACGAAGCCAACGGAATCGTTGATATCGTTGTTGTATCAGAGTGTGTCGATTCGTGATAGTAGACACAGTCTCGAATTAGGCGTCAGCAGTGCGTTATCTAAGACACGTCTCAGAAAATTGGAAGTAAACTGACGTGAAAAGTGTGGCGGTTGAGTTGGATTACGTTCATATTCCTCCCCCTGACATTCATTGTCGGCTTTTTCGGTACATATCCCCCGTCCTCTTATCATATTGATAGTACGAGAAAAGACTGATGTAGTAGGCATGAACGTCGACACATTCTCCAACAACCCCAGCATAAAATGGTACTTCGTCGCCGCCATCCCCTTCATGTTCGGCGTCTTGACGTTCTACTTTCTCATGAAAGGCGGCTCATCCGACACTCGCCGCCGCTCCCCACGTGAACGCCTCGTGTACGAGTCCTTTTTCCAGGAAATGGCTACTCGGAATCCGGCGCTGTGGTCCCGGAATGGGCCGAGAGATTATGTGCGTGTTGAAGGATGGTATGCGCGTGTGAAGTGGTGGTTGATCAAATATTGGTTGAGGCCTGTGGATTTGGTGGGTAGTGCTGGTGTTGCTGCCACTACCGCCACAACAACGACGACGACGCCGATTGTGCCTGATGCAGATGCGATATCCGACGGCGTACGATCCGCGCTTATTGGTAGTGGAGATGGTTTGAGTACTCTGTCCAGAATACAACGCTATCTCTCGCGCCGCTGGACGCAGCAAATCGCCAGCCATGCAACTGCGACTGAAGACACGGAACTGGGACTGATAAGTATGAATGATGACGGATTTGAGGATTTGGCGGTTGCGAGCGGCGATGAGAGATTGAGTGGGGATCATTATTCGATTGGCGAAGGGTTGTCGGAGGTTGCGGAGATTCTAGGTGCGGCTGCGGTACCAAGGGCTGGGAGGCCGGGGTTGTGGAAGACTAGTTCGGCGCCGGAGGCGTTGGATCATGAGAATGAGAATGAAGATCATGATAGGGCCGATGGACAGGGACAGGTGGGGAGGAATGTTCATTTGACGGTGCCAGGGACAGGGGGAAAGAGGCTCTGGACGCCGAGTGTCGCAGCTACAGCAACAGACGATCACGGTCAGGGGCACGACAATGATATAGATACAGACGACATCCCCACAACCGAAATTCCCAACCCCGTCATCGCAGCAGCTATAACCCGTGAGCGTGCACGGCAACAGCGACTACGAAGTTCTAGCTCCCCTTCACCGACTGGTCGTGGTCGTGGCAGAGGTAGAGCTCGCGGTGGCAGTGGATCGTCAGCTGGAGGCAGTGGGAGTGGACGGAATAGTGATCGTATGCTGGTCGAAGAGGAGGATGCGGAGTGGTTGAATGAACGAGGCAGAAAGGGGAAGGATTGGATGTGGCGGTTTGGCGGTTCTGATGATGATAAAGATAAAGATAAGGATCGTAGGAGATCTGGTTCTGAGAAGAGACGGGAGTAGATATCTACATGATAGATGAAAGTATTATGAAAATGTCAAGAATAAAAGGAAGTCTGGGTCCGAGGGGAGACAGCGAGACAGGAGTAGATATCTACAAGATGGATAGTATGATTAATCTGTATTATTGTAATCAAATGATTTTCCTGACCAAGGTAAGTGCTTGATAGTATGTTTAAAGACAAAAAGTCAAAACTATCCTAGACCATTGCCAGGAATGATCAAAACTCCTTCCATCCAAGCTCCTTTTGCCGACCCTACCATTCTGCTTGCATTGAAGCTGAGAAAAAAATATGATACACTGATACCGGACGCCATGCCCTTTTATTGTCGTAAACTAATCCATGTCGTCAAGGCGTGAAAATGAAATCAGATTATTCAGTCTTGCCCTGAGTAACCTTGGCAGCTTGAACGGCAGACATCTTCTGAGTCCAACCCTGAGCAGGCTGAGGCTTCTTGACAGTACGCAAGTCATCAGTAGCAAAGCCAGAGATGCGCATGTTGTAGTTGCGTTCAAGCACGAGCTGGATGTCGCGAATCTCGAGGGTGGACGAGGGGCGGAGTTTGGCGAGACGACAGGCTGCTGTGATGACATCATCGACAAAGTCGTCGGCCATTTGGAGGATGAACTAATACCATTAGTATGATTTATTATGAGTTTCTTATGATAAAAAAAAGTACCTCTTCAGCATCAGGAGTGAGGCCTTCACCCTCGCCTCCACCAGTGACCTGGCGAACCAAAATGTCGAGCATCTTCTTGCTCAAAACGCGCTGACCTTCGCCTTCAAGAACGTAGCCAGGATGCTTCTGGATAGCAGGCTGACCCATGACACCCATGGCGCCGTGGCTGGGACCACCAGAAAGAGTAGGACGAGGAGTACCCATTGCAACAGGCTCAGGAGTTGGGACGTTCAAATTTTTTGGAATGGCCATGTTGTGGTTTCGAGTGGTGCTTTCACTAGAGCGATTCTGAATGTAACCAGGAGGGTGAGGGTGGGTGGCAGTTGACTGAGGAGTACCTGCCTGCTGGGCTGGTTGGTTTGGCTGCGCTTGCTGATTGTTGCCTTGGTAGGACTTTGCAGCTTGGGAAATGGCAGCTTCGTGGGAAAGAGGGCGGGGTTGTCCTTGAGCTCCAGGAGCTGCCATGGTGGCTCCGTCCGTGGGAGCCGTGGCTTGAGCGGGCTGGGCAGGGGGTTGTGCTGTTACTGGAGTGGCTGCTGTGGGAGTTGATATTTGTGCCTGAGGCGCAGTAGTTGGAATCTGAGCTGCTTGTGTAGTAGGGACACTTGGCTGTTGTGCCTGGCCAGCTTGCACCCTAGCTGCATTGACAGCAGAATTGACAGTGTGCGGTGCAGGAGCTTGTTGCTGTGCTGGGTGAACGGGAGTATTTGTGCTAACGGGAGTTGCCGTCGTAGTGGCTGGCTGACTCGGCGCTTGTGGTTGTGGTTGTCCTGCTGACGCAGCGGCACCTTGTTGCGGTTGTCCTGCGGCGCCTGCTCGAGCAGCCCTGAACCCTTCCTGCTGCTCTTGAAATTTCTTCAAAAACTCTTGTCCTTCGCGGAACAGCTTTTCGGCTTGTAGCTGTCGATTTCTGAACGTAGTCATCTCCTCTGCGCTTATCGACCCAGCACCTCCAGCACTTTGACGTGCTTGTACTTGTTGTCGTACTTCTAAACTTCGCTGCCGTCCAATCTCTTGTTTCTGCAGCGCCATGCCATACCGAAGCTTGGCTTCATTTAGCCAGTTGGCGGTTTGTTCGCGGGTGCCATTAGGAGGTAACTGGAATTGCACAGTATTGACCTTGGCCTGGATAGCTGGTAAAAGTTGACTGAATGCCGTTGGATTGCTGTTCGATTGAGCGCCTTGTGGAGCTTGAGCGGGCTGTGCCTGTTGTTGAGGTTGCTGCTGCTGCACCGGTTGTATTTGAGCCTGCTGAGCTTGCTGTTGTACTTGCGCCTGAGCTTGAGCTTGGGCTTGAGCCTGGGCCTGAGCCTGGGCTTGGGCTGCCTGTGCCTGCGCCTGTTGCTGCTGTTGCAGTTTCGTTCTAAATAGTTGCATTCCCTTCATCAGGCTTTGCGACACCTGCATCAGCCGCATTTGTGCGTTTCGGTATTCTTCGGTCGACGGATCGCGTGAATTGAGAATATCCCATAGCCCGCGGACTAGCTGGGTGTGTTGCGATTTCTGAGCATCGTTGAGATGCGGTAGCTTGGCCACCTGGTCTGTCCGGATCAAAGATGGCTGCTGCTGTGGTGGGACTGACTGGTTGGTGGCAGGCTGTTGGGCTGCCTGGCCATCCATGATGGCGAGGACTGGACGATCGTGTCGTCGTCTTCAAGGCCGTGTCTCAAGTTGCTTTCTCTTATGAAAAAATCAATAAAGATGACAAGGAAATCCAAAATTATCTGATTTTTTCCAGAAACTCCAATGTATTCAGAAGATGTGCTTTGTCCTTGCAACTAAAGATGCTGGACAAGGAGTAACAATCAAGAATCAAGGTTGTCTGTCTGCGGAGTTGAAGTGCACAGTCTTGGCTTGGCATGCGCAGCCGTACTGCCAGACATTTGAGCCGCATCATCAGCCGTTGAGAAGACCCATGTGAATATGTTTAGCTATCAATTACGGATAAGAAATATAGTTATGTCTGTGATCTGTATATTCTACGATCCTTCATATTTAGCCATCAAGATATAATGGCTGAACTTATTGTTCAAGCTGCTGTCGAGCGCAAAAGCCGTAGTAAGTCGAAGGGCGATGTCGCTCTGTCAGCGTCCGGCGGACCCCGTACATTGAACAACCCTTAAGTGTATTGCCAGTCTTGACAATTTTGCTTGGTAGAGCTTAGATCGAGGCGCAAATTCTCTGCGGTATACACTGATAAGCCATACCAGTCGAGTAATGTGACTTCGGGATCAGCCTCTGCTTCAAGGTTGGACCTTGGAAACGTTGTTGGAATGAATCAATGCCATCGCATGTTTCTCATCTCATTAGACCTCCCAGATCTCGCGACATTCCAGTCACACGGTCTTCGAGGGCTTGTTTCCTCCGCTCTAGTTCACGAATCTCCTCTAGTTCCCTCTCAATATCCTCATCCGTAACTTGTACGTCATGCTGCTGCGACTCCTGGTACTCAATCTCGTTGTCGCGGTCGTATGCCTCATTCATGCGCTCTAATTCAGCAGCATTGTCGACTACCCGAGCTTCCAATCGAACAAGCGACTCGCTGATTTGAGAATAGCGGTAACGGAGGTCTGCGATTTTTTCGGCGGCACCAGCGACGGGACTGCGCATTTTAGGTTCGTAAGTAACTGTCCGACGATAAGGGTACAGAGAACTGACTAGACATTGCACAAAATCTCGGCGCCCTTTAGCAGCACTTCAACGTTGATCTCTCCCCGCTGTAGGCTTGTGGATGACCCAGCCGAGCGTCTAATCTCCTCCATCATATCATTACCTAGAACGCGAGCGACGGCAGATTGATGTCGATTATTCCTCGCGGCATTAATCCGACTGACCATCGTCTCCCGCTGAGTGTCGGCTGGAAACGTCGTTCCTCGGCGCGTTGCTCGCCTTTGAGAGGGTTTGGCGGATGCATCGAGAGTGAATAGCGCGCGTTCGTGGACTTCGGTGTCTCTAATTAGGGCTGTGATGTCAGGGGTATCAAGCAAAGCGTTGGTGAATATTTTGGGTGGAGGGAATCTGCGGGGTTGGATTAGATGCTGATATTTACTACATTCTGTATGCTTTGCTGTAACTCACGACAAGTCGGCGATGGCGTTGGCAGAGAGGGTAATCTGCTCGAGATGGCTCTCCAAAAGCGACATGATGAATGGACCGGCAGTATCCTATAGATATGGTAATTGTTTCCAGGCCGTTGCTATCGGGAGCTGTATTGTTGTTGTCGTCGCGCCAAGACTGTCCTGACGGAGACGGAGAGCATTTAGCACGGCGAGTGCCTCAGGCAGGAGCTATGACAAGGCGCCGAATCATGACAGCGCAGACTCCAATGTTCGCATCACTGCCAGCACATCTTCTTCAGTACATTCATCTCGCCTATTCTCAATTCTACTTCATCTGAGTATCGTATTGTTTTACAAATAATCGATAAACTACGAACAAAAGTTGTCGCTCGTGTGACAGCTCAAGCGCTTACCTAATTCGGCACCGGAGCTTGGCGCTGTTCTGCTGACTCTGCCTCGCTTTTATCAGCAACCTCTTGACATCACCCGTCTTCACCTCTCCATCTCCAACTCCATCTCCATCTCCCTCATCCATCAATCTGTCTTGCTCCTTCCTCACACACGTTATCATCTCTGAGTTATCTGATTCATCCTCGTTCTCACTTTTTAAAGCTCTTTCTTTCCTCGTGATTGCGTGCTTTGCCCCTTCGCTCTATCGCGGCCGCCCGTCCCGACAGTCGAGCTACCAACAGCTGCAATATGCCAGTTGAACGACGTTCTCTGAGGTCCAACAGCAAGGGTGACACCTCATCATCAACCAACGGCGAAAAAGCTCGTGCTAATTCCAACACCGCCTCGAGTAAAGATAAAGCCGCGCCGACAACCCGCTCGGCGGCAAACAAGGCCAAATCAGCTCCGGCGAAGAAGGCCGTCACAGGCAAGGGCGCCAGCAGCTCAAACACCACCAGCAACAACACCATGAGTGGCGACCAGCCTCAGCGAAATGGTACAGAGCCAGTAGAGAACGGTGCTAATGGCAACGAAGACGTGGAGATGGAAGAGGATACGGCAGGTGGGCCTACACCGTCCATCCCAACCAGCAGGGAACAACATGGTGACCAGATGACTGTTGTAGTGCCCCCAGCAAAGGGTGCCAGACTATCTGGCCAGGACAATAAGAAAGAGGATGACGTCGTCATGGAAGACTCAGACGAAAAAGCTACCGAAGAGCCTGAGATTGATCCCCGAGTGAAAGCTGTCCAAGGTAGGTCGTGAGCTCGCGATAAGCATTACCACATCGACTGATACTAATTTCACGTCAAATCTAGATATCCAGAATAATTTCGGCCTTCTTGAGCGTGCCGTGACACACTTTGACGCCCGATTTACCCTTCGAGTCCTACGGTCCATATCCTCCATGCGCAAACACATCACACCCGACGTCCTCGCTGAAGTTATTGTCGATACTTACTCTTCTTCTAGCCAAACTGCGGCCTTTCTTCTAGAACCTATTGGCAAGTTGGATGCTTTTGAGACTGTAGACAGCGATCCGCCCAAAGGTCTCCGCGACCTGCCAGAAGTTGACACCTATCTATCGATTCTTGTTCAGATCTATCTCTATGACCAGAAGGAGATACAGCGCGGCGCTGAGTTTTCTAGCAAATTAGTTGAGCGATTGCGGCTGCTCAACCGTCGTACTCTTGACTCTTTGACTGCACGTGTGTACTTTTATTTCTCTCTGTTTTACGAGCAGTTGGCTCCCCTACCTCCTTCTCCCGCAGCTGCAGTCATTTCGATACGCAAGCCTTTGCTCGCTGCGCTCCGTACTGCTGTCCTTCGCAAGGATGTCGACATCCAGGCTACCGTTATCACACTTCTGTTGCGCAACTACTTGTCCACTTCACACATCACCCAGGCCGATCTCTTGATTGCCCACAACGAGTTCCCAGCCGCCGCGTCCAATAACCAGATTGCCCGATATCTGTACTACCTCGGTCGTATCCGTGCTATTCAGCTGCGGTACAGTGAAGCACACGAACACTTGACCGGGGCTACTCGCAAGTCGCCGACAAGCCACAGCGCGGGTGGATTCTATCAGGTGTCAATGAAGCTTCTTGTTATCGTGGATCTGCTCATGGGCGATATTCCTGACCGCTCTGTCTTCCGCCAGCCGTCTTTGGAGAAAGCTCTTCACCCATACTTTCTCCTTGTGCGCGCTGTCAGCACAGGTGACCTTGATGGATTTTTGAATATCGTCAATACTCACGGCGCCACCTTCCGGAAAGATGGAACATACACTCTGATTTTGCGACTACGACAAAACGTCATCAAGACTGGTATCCGTGTCATGTCAATTGCATACTCGAGGATATCGCTCCGAGATATCTGCCTCCGTCTTGGCTTGCACAGCGAAGAGTCTGCTGAATATATTGTCGCTAAGGCTATCCGGGATGGTGTCATTGACGCCACCTTGGATCACGAGCAGGGATACATGAAGAGCAAGGATGCTGGTGATATCTACTTGACGAGCGAGCCTGGTGAGGCGTTCCACGCTCGTATTCAAGCTTGTTTGAGCCTCCACGATGAGAGTGTCAAGGTAAGTCTACATGAAATCGAAAACAGTATGCTACATACTTACAATAGTACAGGCCATGCGCTTCCCCATGAACCAACATCGACTGGAGCTCAAGAACGCACAAGAGGCACGGGAACGTGAGCGAGAACTTGTCAAGGAAATCCAAGACGGCGACATGGATGAAGACGATGCGGGTGGAGACTTTGACGGAATTTAAGTGGAAGCGAAGCACGGATAGAGCCAGTATAAGCGATGCATCCCTTCCTCAACCAAACCATGTATACTGCAAGGACTTTTTCCAGTCGTGTGTTTCTATCGTTTCCTATTTTCGTTTCAGTTCAGACAATTCGGGCCATTTGGGGACATCCTCTTCTTCATTCTCTATATTACATTTAGTTCTTTTCTTTTGCGAGTGAAGAGGAGAGGAGGGATGGAATGGGGGTTATTGTATGTACAGCCCGCTAGCTCGGTCTGCTCTATTGTTTTCCTTTGTATCCAGCTTACTATCTAAGCTAGACAAGACGTGTTGCGATCAGTTACAATGCTCTGCAAGTTAATCGTATCGTAGGGTGGTAGGAATATGTCAAGTCAACCTTGGAAGACTACATACGTTGGTATGGGTTGAAATATGGCTTGAGTACACCGTACCATCTTGGGAAGCTATTTATATCTTCTTACCTAGTTGCCCGTGATATTTTCTTGAAGGTTGTACATGTATATAGTACTTGGTACCGATCGACTTAGATTTGCTCGCCTGCATGCGGCATTTCGAATGTTGTATACCTATTCACTGTTGGCTGTATTTTACGTATCTATCAACTTGGAACAAACATAAAACAGCTGACACGGAACCGATTTATTTAAGTCTCTATTTCCCTCCCGTCCTCCATCACGACTGCCAGCGATAACTAACCCAGAGTTTGATTAGTACAGAACTCAAAAACGGCATAATACGAAACAGAAATAAGAGCTACTCATGCTATGTGGTTGCAACCGATCTCCAGTTCACCCATTCGCCAATATGAATAACAGCGTTGCCATCCATTTTCTTGAGCGACGGCGAGGAGTTGTTGCGTGGCTGGGTCATTGAGGCAATCGCCTGTGTGCTCTTGCCTTGCAACTTGTGCAAGTTCTAGAGTCGCACTCAGGACAAGTAGCTGTCTCATTAACAATATCGGCTTGAGAGCAGATATTCTCTAATCCAAGCTTGTTCGAAGCGTTCTATCTGCCGATCTGTTCTCTAGATTGCAACTGATATACCTCTAAAAACCGTAGCAGAGATAGAATCACAGGGAAACAACAGCTAAAACAAGAGATTCGAAACAGAAGATCTACAGGTGCAAACTAAGGGGAACTAGTATATTCCATGGGCACTGGCTGACAAGAATGACGGAAACATCCACAATATCAAGGATCAATCCGAGTCCTTGGCACCTTGTATGAAGCTCCAGCCTCATCGTATTCCCCATCCTATACTACAGCTTTTCCATATGCATGCTCCGCTTCGTGACTTTTGTTTCTTCTTGAATGCATCGCCTGGCTGCACATGATCATACGATATCGTCTAATATGCGGGCAGCCTTTTCGGTTTAGTTGGAAAGGACACAATAATTATAAATTGCTGGTATTGGATCAACGTTGTTCATTCTAGTCTGACTAAGCTAAAGTAAGCGAAATTGTGTCACAAATCATCCATCATATCACGTGCCGACTCTGTTCCTGTGCTGGTGTTAGCCTCAGGTTGCATCGACTTGTCGTCAAAGTAGTCTCCGCTAATGCTTGAGGCCTGATGATTGTTTGACTGGCTTGAAAAGAGTCTTGTCGAGGTAGTCTGAGAACTTGCAGGCAAAGGCCTTTCATCAAAATCGTCGTCCTCGTCATCATCCAGTTCGAGCTCATCAGGAAATGCACCTGCGGACAGTGCCCTGATTCGGTGTAGAAACCATTGCAAATCAATCAGTGATTTGGAAGGAAGAGGCAGTTTGATACGTGAACGCGTCTCAAGGTTGATGACTTGGCCCGATTTGATGGGTTGATGGGTGATGTTGTCGTGGAGGTAAAAATCATCCACTCCACTGTCGGCGTCTGATGCGAATGATGGTTTGCTCGAAAACTCTGTCAAAGTTAAGAGCTTCTTAGCAGGGCTGAGGGGTCGCAACCAGTGGAACTGTAACTGCATAGTGTTCCCTTGACCATCTTCATTGCCGCTAATGTGTTTTAAAGCAAATAGGCCGCCATCCCATGCATTATGAGCCAAAGCATTCAACGTGATCATGTTGCATAATACCTCAGGACCTCTAGCACCGTCGAGAATACTTTGCCACTCTTGCACTTTTTCCTGTGACCAAAAGAGAGAGAGACCCTCCCAGAATGACGGTTTGTATCCAGCCTGCCCGAGAGAGTTTGGGTAGATGTGGCAACCCACGAGGGCAACTGGGTTCCATATATTCGTGATGATACAACGACAATCACGATCCAGACTCTGTGAATTATCATGCATGGTCAGACCAGGAGTTTCGAAGATAGAACGAGATAGCACATACCAAGACTTTTAATTTGGGATCGCGTGCTATCCTTTTCGGAGTAGCTTCCCGAGGCGTAGCTGCAGATGTTGACACTTGCGCAGGGGAGGGGGCGTCTGGGTTTAGAGGGGAACTGGCAATTTCAAATTGTCCGTCGGTTGACTGTCTTTTTCTTTTGGATGATCCAGGATTCGGAGTATCATAGCCAGAACCGCCCGGTGTACTGGGCGTCGACTTGTTCTGACCCGACTTTGTATCGCTACATATCCCTAATTTTCTGTTAGTACAGCCATAGTAGATGATAGTTAGAGTTACTCACATGGCTTGAGTACATTGTCAAACAACATAGTCACCTTGAATTCGACCAGAGGATCGCTAATCTCCGTTTTCAACTGTTGAAGGCGAGATAGATCAGCGTGCCACAAAAAAGCCCAAGCAACGCAAACCTGCTGGCTCATGGGCGTGATAAACATCACGTCAATGATCTCTTTGATGAGCTCCTCGCGGCCAGGTTCGTCGAAAATTTCATCGGCCATTTTGACGTATCTGCCCCAAGAAGTAATAACCTGGACAACTTCGATGAGAAGAGATCAAGTCAGTAACAGATATAAAAGCAGGAAGCAAAGAGATAAAGAGAAATGATATTTGGGAAGAAAAGTCAAGAAAAGTACACGGGAAAAAATCAATTCGTATTTTGCCTGCCAGGCAGCATCCTCACCTTGGATAGTATTCCGTTGGTTTCAATCAAAGATGAAAATTCGGTTCCCAAGGCTTCAACGAGTTGACGAAAGATGGTGAATGTGAGAGTAATCGATTTTGACGTTTGGAGATGAAGGCAAATGAGCGGAGAGGGGTTTTCAAACGAGGATATTTTGGTAACAGGATGGGCGATGCAGAGAGGACTTCGGTCAATGAAAGAAAAGGAGGAGGGGGGGAGAGGAACAAAAATGAGACATCGCTGACGCTGGAGAAAAAAGGAAAAGGGAAAGGAAAGGAGATCGACGACTCTTGTAGAGATTTCATGTTGATATCATCAGGCATCAAATCAAACAGAAGCAAACGGACCTCACCGTTCATGTGATCTCCTCCAAGGCAACTAAAGTTTATTTCTGTTTGCCTACAGCTCCGATGACACCATCAACGAGTTGCTAGTGTTTGCATGATTGACGGATTACCTTTGAAGGACTTCTGTTCCTTGGTTGCTGTACCCAGCGTTGAATGACTATAATATCGGTATGTGAGAGAATAGCATGTCTAAATCATATCGAAACAGCTATTACAATAAAAATGAGACAATAGCTTGATTCCTAAGCTCTTGGCTGATTGTTGTAGTCAGTATAGTGAGCTTGAATAGGAGTACCTATTGATCAACGTGGTATTCTTTAATCCTTTCCGCCGCGCTTACAGATTGTTTTTACAAAGGCATCTTTTTGTACTTCACATTGCTTGGATCAGGTTGATTTGTGTGAGGCTTGAATGAGATTGAAATTTGTATACAAAACAAGTGGTGGGTCAAGATGGAAGATACTTCCAGAAGGCATTTGAGCAAAGCAGACTTCATCTATAACGGCAGCTCATCCCCCAATGATATTTCTTACTCCATTCCTATTTCCTCAAAGATAATATCCCTTCATTAGAGAGAATAGCTCTCATGGACATCTCTCTCTCTCTCTCCTGCATTATTGTTCCGCTTCTGAATCACGCCGAAGATCTTTCTGTCCCATTTTCAAGCAATTTTCTTCTCCTCTTGTTGTGCCCAGAACAGAAAATAATAGCTTCACAAAATATGAAGCACCCAACGGGACGAATTTAATCATCCAGGCTTGTTTGTATATTTTTGTCCGAACAACCAGCACATGGGTCCATTCCTGCTTTCATGTCTGGACCTCAGAACAGTAGCGGAAGAGTACATTCGGCACATATATTTCAGCCATATCAATATTCGATCTCCAAAGGCCTTCATTCTTATGACAAGAGAACATGCAACCAATCTCGTTCCATCGCCCACACCCGTCCTATATTCTACCAGTGAAACTTCTAGTTTCTCGAGAATGCTAACTTCAAACGTTGGTATCCAACGGAGAATTAACTCCGGAGAAAGTAATGTATCCATCTCTTTACGTGGACGCGCATTTAGCCGAGAAGATATCTCTGGTGGCGGCCAAGATCATCAATTGGTAGATTCGAATATTATGCCACCCAGACCGACAGTGCCAATACTATTTTGCATACAACTCCAGACAAGTATCGGAAGTGTATAATGTGCGGCAAGTGATCTTCCGGTAGGCATTTGACCTATGACAAAAAGTTCATTCTTAAAGACCGGAGCTAGGTCTGTCGACAGCTTCAGTCTTCTTTGGCGCTGCAATACACATTTCTGCGAACGTACGGACAAAGTTGGCTCTCGAAGAAACACGACTTTCGCTTTCTAGTCACAGACAATATACCTAGGAGATAGAGGTCCACCGACTATGAGCACTTTTTGCATATCTCTTTCTGATTTTCAAGGTCACAAAAGATAACGGCCCTCTCAGTCATCTTACACAAAGTAAGGGTTGCAAAATACGGCAAACGTGAGTCGACCAAAAATGGGTTGGTAGCATTGACTACTGGCTAACTTTTGATTTATTCAAGACGTATGCTGTTTATCTTGATGACGAATCTGCTGGAGAAACTACGTCCGAAGCAGAAAGAGAGATGAACAGCAACAGCGTGAACAATTCCCCATCTTGGAGACGCTAGGTCGATTTATGGAATCCATCCGAAGGAATTTCCGCGGCACAAATCCAATTTCCGAGCCTTCGATTCGCAATAAAATCGCTTCAATATATATGGTCAATTACCCATGGCCTCTTCTGGTGCCGGTTGACATAACCAGGGTGTTTCAATTCTTGACCCAACAGTACACTTCCTCAATTATTCATTGTCGTATTTCTTTTTAAAAAAAAAAAAATACAACCTCGAACGAATCGCTGATGAAAACTTGGATTGACGTAAAGCAGTGACTACAATTTCATGGCACTATCGAAACAAATTAATGCCGGACTCTCTCGAAAATATCAAGAGACATACTGCTGACTCGACGGATTGCAACTTCACGGTTCCTGGATAGTGTTTACAACAAAAGTCTGTTTTCAACGCAGCTTCTCTGCGCGAGGCTGTCAGTCTTGTGCTAGAATGTGATCCTATCTTGCTTTTGTCGCCCGTGAACAACTCAGCGCAGCTTTCAATTCTTGTTGATGCAGACTTGTCGAAAAAAAGTCTGGCCAATAGGTACGACTGCACCATCAATAGCCCAGAGCAGCAGATGGATCTCTCCAAAAATAGAATATTGCTTAGTATGCTGGCATCCTCTCAACTGATATTATGACCAAAGCTAACTGTCACTAGCCGTTATGCCACGAGCCACTAACTCAGACATCGATCAAGATGAAGATGCCTTCGTTCCACCAATCGTTGATGAAATTTTAGAATATTCCCTCAATCCCGGAACGAACGACCGTTTCTCGCTTGGAGAGGGAACCGAGGCTATCAGGGGCTATTTTGTCAGTGACCGTGCTGCTACTACAAGATCCCTCGTCAAGGTGCAGGTTAAAATGTCGCGGTGTACGAGTATGGCAGTGTGCCTAGCTTGCTTGGCAAAGATTCTACAAGCAAGTTGAACCTGGAGAGATTTTTGAAAACTCTACGAGTTGCAGTCAACCATCTCAAGAATGAGGACAAGAATACTAGGTCAACATGGCAGCTGACTTGTCAGAGAGGCTCGGAGGAACGATTAGCCCGATTTTCGTTTGTTTTGACACTATTTGACGCACAATATCAGGTTTCAAGGCCACATAAACCAGCACCAAATGCCTGTGCTGAACGCGGACTTTGGGCAAGACTATCGCTGGCTTGGAGCTATTCGTGTATTATGTGACAAAACGAGTCAGATTGACAGTTCAAGAACCAAGGAGTCGACTCCAAAGCATATGATACTGCTTGTTCTCGACTTCGTCGCACTGCTGAATGCTTTCAACACCGCTGACGCTGAGCTTAATGATCGCGAACAAGGCGAATTCGACGAACTAGTGCACTCCCTCCAGATATTCAACAAGGCGATTAAGACCATTCGCGCAGAGGTGGTTCGTCGTGCGCCGATATTGTTTTGCACCCAACAGCTGGCAGGTTCAAACTTGGTCCGTCACAATTTTGCCGAAGGTGACGAAAGCGATGTTGTCGTTATCGCTGATGAGGACGGCCAAGCTCTTGAACCTGTCAGCTGGGTCCCGGTCATTCTACCTCGTTGTGCCAACCGTATAAGGGCTGTGCTGCGCTTCGGAGATCGCTTACAGCTTCCACCCCTTGCACTCAGCGCAAATACACCCTACAACGAGTTCGGCCCTCAGATGAACCTTTCGCTCCTGGATCGTCACTTGCGAAGCCATCCACCCGCGGTTGCCTTGGATATCCAGTACAGAATGCATCCCGACTTGTCCTCCTTTCCCAACCAGTTCACCTACAAAGGGCAGCTGGAGGATGATCGTTCTTGCACATCTCTCGTTCTGGATGAAACATACAGCCAACGTCTAGAAGAGTGAGCGAAGTCGAAACTCCCTAAAGGTAGCGTCCTACCGTCTGACATTGCTCGCCTAGTCGGATTCAATGTTGTCGACAGCATATCGGAAATCAAGGAGTCTAGTCAGTCGAAATACAATCAGGGTTATGCGAACGTTGTGGAGGATCTTCTCAAAGCTCTCTTTTCCAAGGAACCGTACCCCAAGTGCGACATAATCATCCTGACACCATATGCGGCACAGCGAGCCTTGTACGAATCCGCCATCACCAGATTGCACATTTCGACCGGTCTACCATACGAACAGCTTCCTATCGTGAGAACTGTGGACTCAATGCAGGGCCAAGAGTGTTCGGTTGTATTCTTGATCTAGTTATCGGTTCGACTGATCCTCTTGGGTTCCTGAACGATGATCGCCGAATCAATGTCGCAATAACTCGTTGTCGTTTCTCTCTCGTCACGATCTTCCGTCAAATTGAATCCGCAAATGTCGTGGAAGAAGAAGACGAAAACGAGAATAGCAAGAAGAAGAAGAAGAAGGATGTTGCAGAAGTTCACGCATTCTGGAAGAGTCTCGTGTCGGCAAACCGGGTCATCGAGATCGATGAGAAGAAATCGGGTTCTGAGGATCAAGGAGCTGCCAATGTACAAGGTACAACTGATCAAGAGAATGCAGCTGGTGAAGAAGATGGAAACGGTGGTTGGCGGGTGGCGGGACCAACTGTAAAGGGCGGCTGGGAGGATTACGGTCTGGAGTGGAAGGAAGGGCAATCGCAGTCACAGCCAGAGCCAGAGCAAATGGAATGGTGATATGTTGGTTCATTACGATCTTGAAGAACGGCGAAGCAAAAAAATGGAAAGTACAAGGGAAAAAATATAGAAAAGAAGAAAAAATCCTCGAAAAAAAGCATGTACGTGTATACAGATCAGACAGAATAGGTCGATGAATCGTGAGCGAATGGATCAGTACGAAGCATATCAACCACTTGTATACCTAGCTTAGTCAATTGCATCGTATTATACACCCAAGCGTGCGAGTACGTAGACTCTCTTACAGGAGTTACAAAAATAGCCACACGAAGTCACATAGTACATATGAAGGCTCCTGCGGCGCCCAATTTTGCTACACCTGTGGACAGCGCTGGAAAACTTGCACGTTTGCACGATGGGACGAACATCGACTCCTAGCCAAGGCCCATCAAATCGTTGATCGAGAGGAGAGCCGTCCTATTGCCACCATTGTTCGTAACGACGAGCCTCAAGCAACTACCGAAAACCCAGGTCCCGCACGTCGAACACAACCAGCAAGTAACCGTTTGGTGGCTAAGACAATGCAGTACCTTCGAGAAAATCATGAATGCGATCATGGACGGTGGAGGCGCGTCATTGGTGCTCATCAATGCGAGGAATGCTTGCATAATCTACCTCAGTACATTCTCGAATGTCGTCAATGCGGGATTCGGGCTTGCAATCGGTGCAGATGGAATAGGCTTTGAGAGACTACCGCCAAGTATAAAGCTGATATTGGAATTCTCTTGGATCTGTATTCTGCCTACATGTGACTTAGCTCTCGCTTCTCTAGGAATTTACATAAGTAGGACTTAGAATACGAGTTTTCTCCTCACATTTGCCTACGTCCACCTTGTAACAGAGCTTTCGGTATTCAGGTTTACTCCGGCAGTACCTTGAGACTGACCACCCCCTTTCGATCCATGAGAGGTTCAAGGTAAATCAAAGTAGAGAGTGGTTTTAAGCGTAGAGGTGATTTTCATCCATCCTTTCAAGTAATAGTGACAGATCCCCGAGTATGCGTGTGCTTGTATGTCGTTCCTCGTCATCTAGAGAGGAACTTTCGAGATCCTGGGCATCTGGAGGGTGGATATACATTGCGAAGCAATTTGTCGAAACGAGGCCACCATCACAAGTTCAAAAGCTCCTTCCCGGGGATTGGAGACTCCTCTTCATTACTCTCTGATGAGTGACATACTTCGCTCAATGGCTGAGGGACATCTTCAAACCCTAAGAGGCCCTGAGATTGCTGCAGTAGCGCTGGAAGTAAATACGATTGCGATCCTCGAATCTGGGATAACGTCCTCAGAATTCCGTACAATATATCTCTTACGTCAACAGCAGACGTCTTTAATGTTTCAATGGTGTTTCGGGATTGGTTTTTTGTGAGCTGAAATATGCACTCCCCGATGTCGTATAGTTTTTGTTCCTTTCATGAGCTGTTAGCTTAATCTGTCTGGAATTATGATGTTGCGTGTGTTGATACACTACAGAAAGACTGGCGGATAAGAGAAGGGCTGGAAAAGTGAAAGGCAAAAAGACCTACTGCTCCAATACCATGCGCATCAGTTGACTTCTGAGCTACTGATGATAAGCAGGCCATCACACTTTTTCCAGCTATTGCTGGAAGCAGCCTAGGTAGATCTAAGCTGTTCTGCGCCTGGCAGAAGCCCTTTCGATCCATATAAAATCGCCACAGGCGTGTTTGAAGCCATTGTTGCGTGAGGATGAAATCAACCCGGCTTGTCTCGGATACTTCATCCAACAAAAATGATGCAAATGCGACAGAGTTGTATATACTCGTGAAAGATAAGAGGTCACATGGTTCACCTAAGTCGCCGATGTTCCAGTCGTAGAAATCGGGGATAATTTTCTCGAAGAGCAGGATCAGGTTGTTAAACCCATACATCGTCATTGGCGAGTCGGACTGGAAGACAGCGGGCTTTTTAATAGTAGCACGAAGCAGGACAGGTCGACCAGTTTGGAGGGCATAGGCACTACCTTAAACAATTAGTCGGCGTTGATCGATCAAACCTTTGTTACACAGATTGGTTAGGGAAAATTGAGAGCCTAGATGGTCCTACCGTTCTGTAATGAAAAGAAGCCAGTAGATTCTCCGAAGCCTATCAGCTTCGTACTGATCCAAATTCGTGTAGGTAGACTCTACATTCAGCTTCAGCATATATGCGAAACAAATGCTTTGGTTGAGATAGTGCCAAGCCTGATGCGTTCTGCGGAGATTTCCATATGCAGCGAACAGGAAGAACATAGTCAGAACGTTGTCGACGTGTGGGTCATCAAGGGGGTCGAATTGCTGCAGGGTTCGTAACACTTCCCTAAGGAGGCTTTGACCTGACTGGGATATATCGGCTTGGGCGTTCTCTTGTGGCATGTCGAGATTCAGCTGCAAATGGGCGGCAGCAGAAAGGGCAACCAGAAGTGCATAACGACGGAGACCCAATGCCTCCGGGTTAGCACAGTCTATCAGGAGTGCATCTTTATCTATAACTGGCATGATGGGATATAGATATGTTATGAAGACGTGCAAATGCGCTTGAAGCTGTGTCGAGGAGATTCGCGGTGGGCCTGGGGCCAACCCAGCAGTGCATATTTCAGGCGTCAACAGCGGAACTTCATAGCCGACAGAGGATATGAAGTCACTCAATGAAGCCATGGAGGCTGGGGAAAATTCAGCAATCACATTGTCGATAGGCTGAACGTCGTTGGTCAGTGGCGACGAGCCATTTGGATTCACTGCCGAACGCAGAGAAGTCAAGACGGGAGCCTGGTGGCCCTTAGGGCCTTTCCGGCGTGCGATATCTTTGTACTCGCATACCAACGAGATTTCCATACACTTGTCACATGGTTGCTCGCGGGAACAACGGATCTTTCGTCGGCGACAATTGTCACATACCCTCGCCGGAGCGCCGCGGGGACGATGCATCTTTACAATTGTCCGAAATAGCGCCAAGAAGGAGGTCTAAAACGCCGAACGGAGGGGAGACGCGATGATATATAAAACTAGGGTTTATTCAAGTGGGACGCTAGTGGATACATTCGGGCCTTCTTCGGGGTGCACTAAGACATTCACCGATTGGTACGTACCAGAGTTACCAAGGTCTATACGAGCCACGAATCGATTCAATTCGCACAAAGTTACCGAGTGTAAATTAACAGCCGTGCGCTATCTAATCTCTTACAAACGTGACGACTGCTCCAAATCTTCAAGCCACAGAAAAGCCTCCAAGGGCTCAAGATTGAGCGGCTCTTCGGAAATGCACTTGAGACTTCGGCGGCCAGGATAATTGGTCAAGACAATTCCCCCGGATTTGATCTTGCTGAAATGCGGGGGCGTCCATGTGACAACCCACGGGCGAAAATTGGCGACAATCACCGCCACTCGACCGTTATCTGACACTCGCTTGTAACCGAATATATCCGGATGCTCACTGGAAATCATATCGAAAGATCCGTATACGAGAATATCAGGGAACGCTTTTCGTAGGCCAAGAATTGCGCTCCAAAAGTGATACACGCTATTTTTATCAGCTATTTGCGAGGCGGCATTGAAGGTCTTGTAGTCATCATGAACAGATATCCATGGCTTGGAGGTGGAAAAGCCCGCATTTTCCGATCCGTCCCATTGCATTGGTGTGCGCGAATTATCCCTTGACTTCAACCTGTACTCCTGAAGGGAGACGTTTGGATCTGCAAGTCCTTCAGAGACAATCCTGTCGGTGGGCAGTGAGCAAATGAGCAAAGGATCTATTATCAGAGGATAGCTTACTCTTTCCAGTGATTTAATGTTTCGATATCCCGATATTGGTCAATCCCCCAATGCCTGGGCACATTCGGCATCCCCAGTTCCTGACCCTGATATATGAACAAGGTGCCGCTCTGGAAGCCCAGGAAAGCCGCCAGCATCTTAGCTGACAGTTCACGATTGCCCGGCTGGTCTGAGCCGAATCGCGAAACAATGCGAGGCTGATCATGGTTTTCGAGGTATAGCGCATTCCATCCATTGTTCTCGTGCATGAACTTCTGCCATTTCGCTACCACAGACTTCAGCTCTTGCATTTTCCAATCTTTAGGAGTAAATTTGCCGCCTTCACCATGGTCGAGGGATACACTATTGAGTATGCATTAGCATTTTTCGATCAAGACGGGAAATGAAATTCGGCGTACATCTCAAAATGGAAGATCATGTTTAGCTCACCACGTTGAAAACCGACAGCCTTTAAAATTTCGTCACAGTCATTCACTTCGGGCATTTCTCCTACCGAGAAAGCGTCGTATTCCTTGAGGATCGCACCAATTTCCTGCAGATATTCATGGAGCCTTGGTCCGCACGCGTAGTGCGCCGATCCATTCTGCCACCTGGAATTGCTAACAATCGCCGCATTTGGGAAACTCTGGTCCTTGCTGATAAAGTTAATCACATCCATACGGAAACCATGAACACCCTTCTCCAGCCAGAATCGAATGATCCTATGAACCGCTTTCCGCACTTCGACGTTATCCCAGTTGAGGTCCGGCTGTTCTTTGGCAAAAAGGTGCAGATAGTATTCGCCAGATCGGTCGTCGTACTCCCATGCACTTCCTAGAGACACCCAGATTCAGCATTTAATCCGTAGTTTAGAAATCTAGCAAAGATTGATTCCGTACCTCCAAAATATGACTTCCAATTGTTGGGAGGCTGGGGCTTGCCATCCTTTCCTATTATTGGCTTCTTCCAAATATACCAGTCACGACGCGGACTAGAGACTGAAGAAATGGCTTCTTGAAACCAGGGATGCTGATCTGAAGTATGATTGACGACCAGATCCATCACCAATTTCATTCCTCGCTCACGAAGCCCCTTAGCCAACATATCCACGTCCTCCATCGTTCCGTACGGTGGATGGATGTTGTAGTAGTCGGAGATATCATATCCCATGTCGACTTGGGGAGAGCTGAAAATCGGGTTCAGCCATACTATGTCCACGCCGAGTGCCTGGATGTAATCAAGCTTTGAGAGGATTCCTCTGAGATCGCCGATGCCGTCTCCGTTGGAATCCTTAAAAGATGCAGGATAGATCTGGTAAACGGTGCTTTCTTTCCACCACGCCCTCATTCTGCTCTGCTTTGATGCTGCAGTGGATTGGCTGATTGAACCAGTAGAACCCATGATATGTTCGAAGGCTTTTTGGAGCTTTCAATCGTATTTGAGAAACGATAGTACTCTTCTTTTCTGTTAAAGGCAGGATGGCAAATATATAGTACTTACATTTACAGATTAAGCTGTCCGTCGGCCTTGCGAGGAAATTGCGTTTAATTTGGTGCAATATATCTACAAAGCGGGCTGTGCTGGATTTTTAGCAACTAATAAAAGGCCCCGATTGGCGTAAATGATCCTGGCAGACTGCGAAACGCTTGGAAAAGACTACCTATCGCGTGCGGCATTTTCTCATCGGGGCTTCTCCGGAATATGTCAATCCAACCTCTAGGATTACATGCCAACCTAGGTAGGGAAATTTGGAGGTTAAAAAAATCACTATCAAAGTCCACATAGACAGAATATTTATACTGCTCTTGACAACTTGCATTGGTGTGGCGTGCCCTCCCTAGGGAAAGAACATTGTTCAATGGGCCACTACAGCTTCAAGGTTCGGCCAGATATGAAGCTCTGTTAAAGGCGTCGCAATGTAGGCGGTTATATCTGGACTTTTATTGGTTCTGTATTTCCTCAACTACTCTAGCTAAAAAAGGGAATATGACTCTTCTACTGCATATCCCGATCTTTGAAGATGACTTCTCACTTAACATCTATACGCCCACCACCGGTTACCCAATTATGTGGCTACCACTTAGACTCGACTCGTACGGTACTACTTGGTAGCGCTAACCGTCTCCACTTCGTCGTGAAATAGTTCCACGTTTGTTGATGCGAATTTACGAGCCGAAACCTTGCGCTCGAATAAGGCATCCATCTCTGCGTAAGTTCTACCCTTTGGCTCGGGGACACGCCAAAATGCCCACACCAAGCAGAGCAGCGCAAGGCCTCCCCAGAAGAAGCCCGCCTTGCCACGCCAGTTCCAGGCATCGACATTCAGCATGTAGGGGATAATGACACCATTCAGAATACTAAAACAATTGTACAGATTCCGAGATAATGCGACAGTCTTGATTCGCAGACGCGTGCTAGGGATCTCTGCTACAAGCGAGTAGCAAACTGGACCGACCGTTGAATCGTAGAAGAATGTGTAGACAAGCAACATGGAGCCTGTGGCCCAAGCGGTACTGCTACTTTCGGGAGCGATAGATATGAACCCCACCACGAGAAGCAGAATTGTCAGGATGGCAAGGCCAGCCACATACAGAGTACGCCGGCCAAAACGCGTCATCAGGAACCAGGAAAAAATTGTACCAAAGAAACCGATAGCATACTGGCCTAGAGACAAATTGAAGGATTGGGACACCGGCAGACCGGCACGTTGGTAGAAGACCGTGGAGTACGCCATCAAGCCAGAGCCACAGAGATTCTGAGCTGCCCAAATAAGACATGCGATCTCGGTGCGATGAAGGTCCACTCCGCGGAAACAGTCCAGGTAAGTTGTCCCCATAGCGATTTCCTTCTCCAGCTCATTCGTATGGACCATCATTGCGACTGTTTCTTCAGCGTTGAAATCTGTGTCGCGGTTTGAGGTAAGACGTTTCAGGGAGCGAACGGCATCGTCGCGCCGTCCCTTGCGAACGAGCCACCAGGGGCTTTCAGGCGCGAGCAAGACACCAATAAAGATTGGAATAGGCCACACCCATTGAACAGCGAAGGGGATGCGATACGCCCATTGATCAGCCCGATTTGCAAGCCCTTTCAACACGCCCGATGCAATCAGTTGACCGATAACCCAACAAAGATTGACGTATGTCGTCAAGTAGGCACGAAGGGCGACAGGGCAGACTTCTGAAGCGTACGTGACGGAGAGGGTTTGGTAAACGCCCAGTGGGATTCCCATCAGAATTTCACCCACGAGAAGAGTCTGGATGTTCTGGGCAAAGAAGAGAATGAAAATGAATCCAACTGTAGCCACCAGGGAGTACATCATAGTTTTTCGGTAACCGAAGCGTTCAGAGATGATACCATTGGCGAATAGTCCCAAAATCTGACCACAGTTCATCGCATTTGATAGACCGGCTTGCCATGGAGCAGATAGAGCATATGATCCGTCTGACATTAGATGGCCGTATCTTTTGTTAAACGCAGGGAATGCGTAGAATGACCCCATAAGCACGACATCATAACCCTCCATGATGATTGCGCTGGAGATCAAAATGGACCAACCAACAGCTTTCGGGTACAGCTTCAGGCCCTGCCAAAGCGTCATGCGGTGCTCCTTTTCAGTCGCGTTTTTGGCATCATGGACGAGATTGTCGTCAATATCGGTTTCCCGCTTCGAAGCTCCGGTTTCGAAATGGGCCACATGGGCCTTGGAACTCATCTTTGAAAAGGGTGACAAAGGAAAATGTCTTGTAGAGAAAATTTTGAATACTTTGGAGGTAACAAATGAATAGTCTGTAGAAGGAAATTTTCAATGACAACTCAGCGTCAGATCAAATAATATATGTAGCTGCCGAGAAACAAAGCACTTGAAATAGGACCATTTGAAAGTCGCTTCCTACGCACGGAGGTTCCTTCCATCAACGATTATTTCCTGCGATATCGTGTTTAACTTTTTTCGCTACTAGAACTATTGGCATAATAATCGACACAGCCAACTACGATGGAGCTTCTTCGGAAAGTGATAGCGCCACCAGACTTTACACGAGCTGGGGAGCTCAAGTATTGAACGCCACACAACCAAAACACATATTATTAAGATGTTTGGAGCTGTTAGAAACCCGGAGTGCTTTCATGCGGGGTCTCCAGGGTCATAGTGGGCTTGAATCGCCCATGGCGGAACTCATTGACGCAGCGGCGAGCGATCCAAGGAAGAATAACCCTGGGCCGGATAATCGTTCGCCATTGGCTTTATCGGCCCTTCTCCGGGGAGACTTGCCCATGAACTGCTCAATCATACACGTCCAGGCGGGGAATATCCAAATCCCGACTATGGAAATAATTGTGCGCGGGGGATGGAGAAGCTGGATATGGGGAAAATGCCTTCAACCAATCAGTCTATAAGCATACTAAACGCTTGGGTTCGTTTCGCATTCATCTCTGGAATGCAGAGTTGACGAGATGTCTCCCCGCAATTTCTCGCGGCACTACCCCGGATATGATGTGCAAGCCCAAGAATGTCCCCACGTAGGTTTCTCTTCGGAAATTCTCGTGTTTCTTCAGACACAATCGAATAGGTAAATGCTCATCCTCTCGATAGAAAGTTCGCAGGATCAAATCAGGGGCAATCTGGAGACGAGGCCTGAGGGGGGAGGCCGGTGAAGGCTCTTATAATGCTAAACCCATAAGAAGGGATCATTCTATCCTGTATTCATCAATCATTCGACGAAATCCTCAGAAGCCCTCTTACCTTGCGATAGGGAAAAATCTTTCACAAAATTATACCCACAATGCTGAAGCTACTTGCGTTGGCCCTCGCAATTAGCGAGTCTACCCTCGGAGCAGTCCTGCATCCACGTTGTGATTCTCGTTCTGGCACGGGAACCACGAACGCTACCCATTGTGGCACCGATTTCTGTACCTGGTGGCATGATTCTGGGGAGATCAACACGCAGACACCTGTCCAACCAGGGAACGTGCGTCAATCTCATAAGTATGCCGTGCAAGTGAGTCTGGCAGGTGCAAACAATTTTTATGACTCCTTTGTGTATGAATCTATCCCCCGGAATGGAAATGGCCGCATCCATGCCCCCACGGACCCTCCCAACAGCAACACGCTAGATTCAAGCATTGATGATGGAATCTCAATTGAGCCTAGTATTGGTCTCAATATGGCATGGTCCCAGTTCGAATACGACCAGGATGTTGATATAAAGATCCTGACCACTGATGGTTCATCCTTGGGCTCACCAAGTGACGTTGTAATTCGTCCCGTCTCAATCTCCTATCATATTTCTCAGTCCAGCGACGGTGGGATTGTCATCCGGGTCCCAGCCGATGCGAATGGCCGCAAATTTTCAGTAGAGTTTGCGAATGACCTGTACACATTTCGCTCTGATGGCAACGAGTACGTCACATCAGGAGGCAGCGTCGTCGGCGTTGAGCCCACCAACGCACTTGTGATCTTTGCTAGCCCGTTTCTTCCATCAGGCATGATTCCTAATATGACACCCGACAACACGCAGACCATGACACCAGGGCCTATCAATAATGGCGACTGGGGCTCTAAGTCAATTCTTTACTTCCCACCAGGTGTATACTGGATGAACCAAGATCAATCGGGGAACTCGGGGAAACTAGGATCTAATCATATGCGTCTAGACTCAAACACTTACTGGGTTTACTTCGCTCCCGGTGCGTATGTGAAGGGTGCTGTGGAATATTTCACCAAACACAACTTCTATGCAACCGGCCATGGTGTCCTATCGGGTGAAAACTATGTTTACCAAGCAAATGCTGGCGACAACTACGTTGCTGTAAAGAGCGACTCGGCTGGCCTGCGGATGTGGTGGCACAATAACCTTGGGGGTGGTCAAACATGGTATTGTGTTGGGCCTACGGTCAATGCGCCGCCATTCAACACTATGGATTTCAATGGAAATTCTGGCATCTCAAGTCAAATTAGCGATTATAAGCAGGTGGGGGCCTTCTTCTTCCAGACGGATGGGCCAGAGATTTATCCCAATAGTGTCGTGCACGACGTCTTCTGGCATGTCAATGATGATGCAATCAAAACCTACTATTCTGGGGCATCTATCTCGCGGGCAACGATCTGGAAATGCCATAATGATCCAATTATCCAGATGGGATGGACGTCTCGGTCTATCAGTGGAGTGACAATCGACAAGCTGAATGTTATCCACACCCGCTACATTAAGTCGGAAACGGTGGTGCCTTCGGCTATCATTGGTGCCTCTCCATTTTATGCAAGTGGGATGAGTCCTGATCCAAGCCAGTCCATATCCATGACGATTTCAAACGTTGTATGCGAGGGTCTTTGCCCGTCCCTGTTTCGAATCACACCCTTACAGAACTACAAGAATTTTGTTGTCAAAAATGTGGCTTTCCCGGACGGGCTACAGACAAATAGTATTGGCACCGGGGAGAGTCTTATTCCAGCCGCATCTGGTCTCACGATGGGACTAGGTATCTCTGGCTGGACCGTTGGTGGACAAAAAGTGACTATGCAGAACTTCCAATCGAGTAGCCTCGGGCAGTTCGACATTGACGGCAGCTATTGGGGGGAGTGGTCGATCAGTTAATTATTTCAGAGCGGATGAGTCTTGGTACCTGCCTCCTTTACCACTGTATGAGCTTACTCATATGATGGCGGTTTGAGTTCATTCGCCTTTGTTGTGGCTTTATTTCATTTCGATCAATTTTGACACCAACTTGCCCTTCAATGTACGTGGAAGTCATATAATTAAAATAGTCAAATTAGTCTCTACCTCTTTGAAATAAGAAATCTCGATTAAGCAGTGCTTGGACCACAGATATGGCGATAATTGATGTATATGGCTGCTTTAACTCACCTACTTTGTACACCCCGCTATTTATGGTACATTACAGTCACTTAGATTGTGCTAAATAGAACATCTCTTACCTGCCTAGAACGATCATACGAAAGCCGATGCAGTGTACGACTTAGAAAACTATACAATCATCTCTTCTGAATTACTGTACATGTAGGTACATGTAGTATCTATAAGTCGTGTAAACCTTTGGCTAGACCCAACACGAACAACCTACTATAATGTTATCAACAATGGTGTTTGTGCCATAATCAACCTCGTGAGTTACTACGATTGGGGCCAGCCGATAGCATGTTACTTATTCTTAAATCTTACAGGGATTATGACTGTTCAATCTGATAACCTGATTACGAGATTGCCATAAATCAGCAGCAGGACATTGACCAAAAACTAATACACTATTTATATAACCTTTGTATGACTTTAAGGACAAAAAACATACCAGCGAAATTAAGGGCCCCAGTCATAGTAAAAAATACACTTCGTTCATCTGACAAAACTATGTTTTCACCGCGCAGCCGATGATGCACTTCCACGCGGTTTGGGACACTCTACACTCCTCGTGAATCTTCTCCATGAGCGAAACCAGCGCCGGAGCCGTTTCCAGTTCATCGAGTTCGGAAATTCCTCTATCCTCTCGAACGCGCTGCCCATCTTGTGTGAAGAAGGTGGAGAGAAGGGAAATAGGAAACATGAGAGTCATATTTTTCTCTATGGTGAATCCCTGATTGGCAAGGAGCTCGAGAAACCGGGCTGCAGTAACAGGCTCGGTAGTTGCAGTATTCTGACAGAGAGTACAATTATCTCGTCCGGTAATTTCAGACTGCTGGTTTTGAGGATGATCACAAAAACTGAATTGGGTTTCCTCGTAGAAGAACGGCTCCAGTGCCCTGGCAAGCGGCCCAGCATGGCTGAGTCGACGGTCGAAGAAAATGTACTCAAAGGAACCGCGTTTATCTAAGAGGCGATAGATCTCTCGAACCCATGATCCTAGAATGCGCTCATTACTACAGGGTTGATCTAGCATGGACGTTTGATGGATGGCTGATATGAATCTGTAAAGTGTCCTTGTAGAGACAACATCAAAGCTATTTTCTTGAAAGGGTAATGAAGGTAGAGTATGGATCCGGCCCTCGAGTTGTCGCTGTGGAACCTGGCAAACTGCAATGCGAGGCAAAGCATTTATAGCCCTGGTGTATACGCCTATTTCACCAAGCAAGAATCAGAACTTGAAAATTGTGAACACAATAATCGGATACGACCTACTGTCTTCATTGCCACCCAAGTCAAGGACTCGGAGGTGACGTCTTCTCTGACGACCCCTGGAAAGCAACGGGTGAGGGATATTGAGAAGCATAGGATTTAGTTCGAAGTGCTGTGAGAATGGATTTGTAAGGAGCCGAGAGCATGAGCGGAGCATGCCCGTCGACGGATAGGGGTCCGATGGAGGTGGTAGTTGAAATGACGGAGAATAGCGAGGCGGAAAGAACCGACCCGTGTTGCTCGAACTGATTTCCTGATATGATGTAGAAGAGGTACAAGGGGAAGAGGAGGCTATGCCAATATCATTGTGGATTGTCACTGCATGGGGAGATTTGCTTGAGACGTTGGAGGAGGGATCATGCCCTTTGCTTGTACTAGCACTAGAGATAATCGAATCCTCCACGGACTTTATCTTGCGAAGTCTCGCCGGGATGAGCATCCGACCCAGTCCTCTTTTGAGCGGAGGTCGCCTATCCGCCTGCCCGGCGCCTAAATCTATAGTCGTTTGTTGTGGGGAGGACCCTTTCTGATTTGGTGGACTTTGTGATCGTAGCTGTTTCATCGATTTCCCTGAGCCCCAGCCCTCGGTCAGTTTTTGGGGCTGTTTTTGATGTTGCTGCTGTTGGTGCAGCTGTCGCATGTAAGTAAAATTCTCCACAGTCATAGCCGGGTGGCTCTCCGGAAAGAAAGGAAATGTCATTGTAGTTCTTCCTGTTGTATTCAAGTTTTGTGTCATACATGAAGTGTGAGTAGAAGCAACATCCTCGACTATATTCCATGGGTTGATATTGTGGAAGAATGGCCGCAAGAGACATGCTAGCAGCCAAGAAGGTGCCAGTCCTTCTCCAGAAACTCCACATTCCACGCTCCACGCAACCCCTCATTGGGATATACTTAAGGGCAGCCAGACAAAGCCATGCGAGCGGCTAAGAGGTGGACATGCAACTCTGCGGATAACTTTTTCTGCCTCGCGCCTCATCCTCAGACACGGTTTTACGAGGCTACCGGCGTTGACAGTCAACGGTTGAAGGCAAACACGGAGCTTCTTCGGAGTTCCGAACATCCTCATCATTATCGAACGCATAGTTAAGGTTCCTTGGCGCTTTAAAGATGTCGACATTTTGGCATGATTCTTCCATGGGCCAAGAAGGGGTAGCCATCGAGTAGCGGAGAGCCTGTGCTGAAGACTACTCAAGGGATACCCTGTTGAACACCGACGACTCTTTCCAACGAATCGGGACGGCTGCGGTTCTTCTACGGACTTCATGTGTTGTAATCATTCGGGTGGGTAGTTAGCTAACGTCAATATTCATGAAATTAAATTTTCGATTGACATCAGCGATTCTTTCGCCACAGATGCGGCGGTTACTAATGTGTATCATAAAACGTTCGTCGGTGCAAGGCTCGGGCTGTTCAACGGTGTAGAAAAAATTGCCCTTCAGGATCGAAAAGTTACCTGTATCAATAATCTCCTGACTCAGTTCTCCATGCCTTCCTCGAGTTGGTATCTTATCAGGATAGAATTCTCATTGTAGTAGTATAATTCGAATGATAGGGCTAAGCCTTACCTAGCCCTAACGCATACGTTTTTGTAGAAATTTAATCACAACGCCCAATCGACTTACGGGCGTAAATAGTAATACTATACAGACTCTAAAACTTATTTCCTTTCAGTGCCATGTAAGGTTTTAGGGTTCCAGGGTTTTTAAAAATAAGCAAAAGATTTGAAGACGACAGAATAAGGGGACGAAATACTCCGCATCTTCACTCGGAGCAAGGGTTCGTCCGAATCTGGGTGACTGGGTCAAGCCGGGATGATATTCAACCGAGGCTTTTTACAAGCAACTATCTCCATACGCAACGAACTGAACCATATTATATTATGTGAAGGTGTCAACTGAATGCAAATTGACATTAATCTTTCCGACTTTGAAGCTATAGAATCAGGGAGATCGGGCTGATTGATAATCACTAGTGATTTTTGCTGACTATACATTTGATTTATTGATATAAAGCAGATGAAAGTGATCCGTCTTTGTCCGTTATGGTACCACTTTGGTGTTATTACAATTTAAATAGAAGTCAAACAACCCACAAGACTCTAGAGGTGAATGCTAAATTCACTTCCAGTCAAGGACTACCTGTTATTTGACAACCACACTCACAATGGCTTCCAAACGCACAATCCTTATCACCGGCTGCTCAGATGGTAGTCTGGGTTCACACCTCGCAATCGCCTTCCACAAGGCTGGATGGCGAGTCTTTGCGTCTGCCCGCAATCCGAGCAAGCTGAAGCATGCACAAACAGCCGGCATCGAGACAATCCAGCTTGACGTCACCTCAGACGATTCTATCGCCAAAGCTGTTTCCCAGATTTCCGAGCTTACCTCTGGCTCTCTAGATCTACTCTTGAACAACGCCGGCGCCGGTTACTCCATGCCACTGGTAGACCTAGATCTTAACGAAGCACGGAAGCTATTCGACCTGAATGTCTGGTCTATAATTAGCATGACCCGTGCTTTCCTTCCGCTGCTGGCCAAGTCTCAGCACGGCGGTATAGTGGCCAACAACACCTCATGCTCATCCACACCGGCCGGCATGTTACCATTTGCCGGCGCATATGCTGCTTCAAAAGCGGCGGCAGCAGGTCTCACCGAGATATTACGTCTGGAACTCGCTCCATTCAATATTAAAGTGATCAACATGATGACGGGAGCCGTGCGTTCAACTTTCTTTGATAACACACCCGATGCTACGCTTCCACCTACTTCCATATACAACTTCGCCAAAGACATCGTGGAAAAGGCCATGTCAGGCGGGGATAATATGGCAACTGCCTCAGATCCTGAAAAGTGGGCGGAGTCGGTTGCACAGGGTCTCAGTAAATCCACTCCACCTTATTGGTTGTGGCGAGGCAAATTTACAACTCTAATCCGCTTTGCTTCTCTTTTACCCATTGGGATCTTTGATGGTACCGTTAAGAAGATGACTGGACTGGATGTCGTGGAAAAGAAAATTAAAGAACAGGGAGGAGCAAGTGCGGTGCTCAAGAAGATGTTGTCATAGCGTTTCTGAAGACTAGCATGTACCTTTTTTTATTTTTTAGTCGATAATCAATGAGTTTAGCCAGCAGTTTTACAAAGCTATGCATCATCATACATAAATATTAATCACATAATGTTACGAAGATAACACGTTATTTATGTATTTCCCGTTTTCGATCTTTGGAATATTTAGAGTTTTTATTTCTCATTCTATGACCTGATTTAATTGCAACCACTTGACGTCTCAGTTGCTCTGTTGAGCAGCACTATATGTCACCACACTTCCCATTGCTCGCTGATGCTGCATAGCCCGAAGCCCATTGAAGTCTCCCTTCGAATTCTTTGAATCTCCCCAACCTCCTCCCCCAGGATTCATGATAATCACTCGGTCTCCTGGCTTTGCGCGAATCATACTCTTAAATACTCTTAAGTCTGAGCTTAATGATCCGATCACCCTCGACATTTCAAAGGTCTGTGAATCTCTGGGTTCAGCGTCTGCCTAGCACCAAGCCCTAAAGAAGACATAACGGTGACGACGAAACCTTGCATATATCACAAATAGACTCCCATCTACTACGAATGATTTTGCAAATGATGATATATCTCGTCATTGACCATGAAGATTCCAGAGAGAAAAAACCTCACTTGAAAACAAAACCTGTAAAATCCCACTCTCTAGTGCCAACCCAACGACATCTAACAGGCAGACAAGTATACACCCCAATCATGGCAACCAACTTCAGCGAGAGGTTCAGCATGGATGCTAAAGTTGGAGGCGAATTAGAAACAGAATTCATGGGCACCACGCAATACAATTTTTGCAACCTCATAGAGGAGCACTACAATGCGACTCGACACGATATGACGGGCGTCTTTGAGGCATATCGTTTCGACAGAAATACCAACGAAGGTACTCACTGCGTGCTCATGATCTGCGAACAGTACGCTGTCCTCTCCTTTCATGGATTGATCTCATTGACTAATATGTTACGTTACAAATACCAAGATTGAATCCAGGTCTCTTAGACGACAACAAGAAAAATAGCCAACTTATTGTGGAAGACACCACACAGCAAACTTCTTGCTCAACGCGCTACTGGGAAAACAGACTTATATTCGACTCCTGCTTCAACCCCAACGATAACGGCAGTTTCATCGAGAACTTCACCCAAATCCAAAAGTTCACTGAAAACGAAACCGCCTGTCACAACAGCTTCCCTGGTGGTTATCTCGACCTATTCGCAGCCGCCATGCCATCCGAACTGAAAATTATTGGTGATATGCCAGGCTTTCTTAGAGAAGAGGATTTGTTAGCAATCAAGCTTCAGCTCTACAAACTGCCAGCATCAAGGCGGGACTTCGTTGTGTCTTCCTCCTTCTTGTCTTGCTCTGCCTCCTCGGACCTCTACAGTAGCGAGTTTCTCTACCGAATGGCCACAATCTGGTACGACCGCGATTCGAAACAGATCTGGGTCCCCGAAGACACACTCACAAACTGGTATGCACGAAAATCTGCATCCGACCAGCAGAAACAACAGAGAAAACGCGCCAGTGACCCTCAAAAGCAGTTCGAAGAATTCTGGCTGAGGCTCGTCAAGAGTTGGGAGTATTGCTGTCGAAGATGGGGATATGCGCCTGATGTTCAGAAAGTGTTGTCTTCTTCTACTCAATTGTGTTTCAGGGATCGTGAGGATTCGACTGCCTCTCCCTCTTCTACTGACAAAGGCTGGACTATGATTGAAGATGGTAAGTGCTTCTAGCTAGATTCGTGGCGTTCTATTGGTGCTTAGGTATCCCTAGTTAGCCAGGGCAGTCTTATTTGCTAAGAGGAAAAACAAGACTAGATAGCTTCAACCAAGAAAGATTTTTTACTTCTAATTTTGTGTAAGACAGAAAAAGTCAGGTCTATTGTTATTCGTATACCTATATATAAACGAGTCAAAACGGGTATAATAGTAGTTCTCATCATGCCGGCATTTGCGATTGCAAAAAATCAAACACTCCCATGGGGAAATACTCCTCTTCGAATCCCCACATATCCGTCATCATGGGATCGAGGGATCCTTCAGATAGACCGATTTGTGATTTTGCGGACAGATCTGCTGTAGATGAAGGTGGCAAGGCGTTGTGATTATGGTTGTGATTGTGGCTATTGTGGTTGTTGTTATTATGGTTGGTATTGTTATGGTTGTTATTGTTGTTGTGGTTCGGAGTATTGGTATTATTGCTACCACGCTCAGAAGACAAGGGTGCAACGCCAAGCATCGCAGGAGGATGATTCAGGATTGTGGCGCGGCCACCAAAAGTTTGTGGATTTGTGAGGGATACTGTACTGAAAAGTGATGGTGTGTCGTGAAGCCAACTCGGTGGTTGTGGTCGGTGTGGTTGTCTGCCCTGTGTTGTGTTTCTTTGCTCCCATTCTCGGAATCCTTCCAGCATTTTTCCGAGACCTCGAGCAATGTGATGGCTTACATGGCGTTCGCTCGCCTTCTCGCTAGCAGATAGCATAATCTTGACGATCTTCTCAATGACTTCAAGTACATAGGGGATATCAATATCAAGACCAGCAGCTGCAAGCGAGTTTCGTTGACTGCCTGGACCAATGATACAGTTAGGGTGCACCTTGACTGCAATCTTGAGTAAGAATACAGCCGCAAAAGTAATCATGCTGTGCAAGAACAGCTGAGTTCCCACTAGACTTTCCTGGACTTCAGGCACGTCCAAGACAACAGTGAGAGTTGCAATGGCTGATTTAATGGCGACCTCGGCATGTTTCTTGCGGGCCGCTGAAAGTGGTCGAAACGAAGTTCCGCAGTGATAGGTTCTCAGAGCCGTAGAATTCAGGGTAAGACGAGAGAAGTTGTAGTTGAGATTCACGGCCTTCCAGGGATAGTCTCCTACGTAAGGATTTCCAGCTTCAGAAGTCAGTATGTAAGGTAGACTCATTGGAAGAGCCATGGGAAAACAAGGACTTACTTATTCGTGGCCTCCAGAGTCTTCTCCAATTCTCAAGATCTTTATCGAAGTCTTCTATTCGCGGGAGCTCATGCTCCATGACTTCGACATCGACATCAGGTCCGAATGCATGATAGATACGAGTCAGTATGATGAACAAGGCAACTTGGCTATGAACGCGTATGTCACGCTGGCCGACTGATGGGTGGTTCATGAAAACTTCGTGATTGGTGATGCACGTATCCTCGTGGATGATAGGTGGTCTACCATACGCAATAGAGAAATGATGTTCCAGGATCTATCAAAACATGAGTAGGATGTCCGTCCTGAGGTTTGTATATACGTACGTAAAGAATGTACCACAACTGGGTTTGCTCACGATGCTCTGGTGAGCCTTGGATGGCTTTTCTATAACACTGGTGAAGATTTCGTTCAGTAGCAATGCGAACTGCATATCCTGAAAGTTTCCAGCTGACATCGGATAGCCAGAACGCGCCTATACATAGAGCCCGCAAGTCATCAAGGCTATGGTGCCGATTTAACATTGAATCCGAAGCCAGTCTTGCAAATTCTGCATAGCATGTATCGAATACTCGCTCCTTTTTGGGTATATGGAGAGCCGTTACCGCCAAGACAGCCGAAGTAAGTAATGTAGAGGATTGGCGAACAGACAGCAGATTTGCATGATCCATCACCATGCCATCCCACAAATAATGATTTAGACGCCCATCAAAGTAAGCGAAGAGTTCCTCTGCCTCTGCAAGATCCACGACTCCTCGAGATATGAAATCCGCAGCCACCATGCGGTCCGGTGCGTATTGGCGCGTAGGTGAATTACCTCGGGAGTGGCTTAGTTGTGTGACTTCGAAAAGACTGCCCATTGGAGCTGTCACTAGTGTTGCTTGGCCCGGGTCCTCTCTCTCTGGAGAATAATGCGATTGTTCTCTATGTGTGCGGTATCCGGAGCTCGGGCGGCGTGAATGATTTGTTCCATTGTTCTGCCTCGGGCCTGCGGTTTCTTCCATGCGAGGCGTGACTTCGACCGATGCAGTGGATAGTTTGCGGTTGCGCTCATTAAACCGAGTCTGAGGCGGCGAAGGACCACCACCTTGATAATATGATAGTTCCGGCAGTTGAGCCTTTTTCAATAAATCGGACATGGCTAATTCGATCATCGTCTTCCATCTAAACACGAGCTGTTAGACTTCTGCCATTCACGCATTAAGACAACAACTCACTCCGCTTCATCATCTAATAATGTCTGAAGGCTCTTGTTCACCACACATTGTAGACCCATTCGTTGGCACCTCTGGCAAATTTGGTCGCCGATCTTCATATCGCAGCGCACTTTGTGTCGCTTACATTCAGTGCATGCCCTAATCTTGCGTGAGATCTTGGGTATATGGCGGGAATTGCTTCGTGTATCCTCGTCTGCGATCTGGGACATATTACCTCCTCCACCTCCCCCGGTGACAGTGGCCGCCGGAGAGGAGGAAGAGTACTCGCCATTGGCCTCAAACTGGATGCGACTCCGCTTCATCGTCGGAGTAAAGTAGTTCACCGGACAAGAGACATAATGACGAGAGTTGGAGACGACGAGCAATGGCCGTAGGACGTAGCGGCGGTGTGGTGCGATGATTGTGGTGAGTGCTCAATAGTAGCAGCTGCTATAGCTGCAGGTCGGCAGAGAGACCGGGGGATCAGAGTCGTGAGCGGGGAATCTGTCGAGGCTCGGGGATAGGCCGGTCTGCCAAGCCACAACAAAGGCCAGCATTTACACGTGATTCGGGCAATAAGGCATTAAGGCACTAAGGCATAAATCAGTAAACCACGCTAATCCCAACGAGGGTTAATGGTCTGGCGCGCCCGTTGACCTCATCGGCGCGTCTGTCCGCGTCTCCAACTTTGTGTGCCATCTGTATTATTTCACCTTCCATCCTACAACTTCTGCGTTTCGTCTCAGAGCAATACTGTGTTCTATCCGGCATTTCTACCAGCGCATGAAAATTCAGATCACTTGAAATCCCTCACAATGGGTATCAAACGTTAGTGAAGCTTTCCCAATACACTACAGTCCGCCAAAGCTAACGAACGGTCCGATCAGACCTCTACCAGGTCATCTCTGAAAACGCCCCAGATGCCGTCAAGACGGGCGAAATCAAAAACCATTTCGGCCGCAAGGTCGCCATTGTACGTACAAACTATATAGACAGAGTTTGAAGCACGAATTACTCAGAGCTAACTTGTTGCAGGATGCGTAATTATTCCCCATTATCCCATCCACTTACCGTCGTCACGAATTGATTTGTTATGATCTACAGATCCATGAGCATATACAGCTTTTTAATTGCCGTCCGTTCAGACGGTCAACAGCTCATGAGCGAAGCGGGCGAAACCACCTCACATCTCATGGGCATGTTCTACCGTACCCTACGAATTGTCGACAACGGTATCAAACCGCTCTATGTCTTTGACGGTGCCCCTCCAAAGTTGAAAGGCGGCGAACTCGCAAAGCGATCGGCGCGCAAGCGGGAAGCCCACGAAGCTCACGAAGAGGCTAAGGAGACCGGTACTGCAGAGGACATGGAGAAGTTCTCGCGAAGAACAGTTCGGGTTACACGAGAGCACAATGAAGAGTGCAAGAAGCTCTTGAAGCTGATGGGTGTTCCATATATCGATGCCCCGACGGAAGCTGAGGCGCAATGTGCGGTTTTGGCGCGTGCTGGCAAGGTGTATGCAGCTGCGTCGGAAGATATGGATACCCTTTGCTTTGAGGCGCCAATTTTACTACGTCACTTGACATTCAGCGAGCAGCGAAAGGAGCCCATTCAGGAGATTCATCTTAACAAGGCTCTTGAAGGTCTTGGCATGGACAGGGCGCAGGTGAGCAACCTAAGCAATCCTAAAGATTGAATCCAGCTAACGTACAAACTACTAGTTCATCGATCTCTGCATTCTTCTGGGCTGCGATTACCTAGAACCCGTCCCCAAGGTCGGCCCAAATACCGCATTGAAGCTCATTCGCGAACATGGATCGCTCGAAAAGGTTATTGAAGCAATTGAAAGCGACCCCAAGAAGAAATACGTCATTCCTGACGACTGGCCGTACAAAGAGGCACGTGAACTTTTCTTCAATCCCGACGTGAGGAAGGCCGATGATCCACAATGCGATTTCAAATGGGAGAGCCCTGATGTCGAGGGTCTAGTTAAGTTTCTAGTCACCGACAAAGGATTCAGTGAGGACCGAGTTCGCAACGGCGCTGCACGATTGGCAAAGAATCTTAAGTCAGCTCAACAGTCTCGGCTTGAGGGATTTTTCAAGCCGGTCGCCAAGACTGATGCAGAAAAGGTGAGCTTGAAGCGCAAACACGACGAGAAAATTGAGGAGCAAAAGAAGCGGAAGAAGGAAGAGGCCAAGGCTAAGAAGGAAGCCAAAGCGCGCCCGCGTGGCGCTGTATGAGCCCAGATTCGGGAGATTATATATCTGGCTCTTGGGTTTAGATTTTCTATTCATGGAAGCATAAAATCCAAAGTCCTCGACACAATACACAGTGCATACAGCAAGGCGTTACAGGCGTTCGGGTGGCGGGACATTTGCGTGGTACATATGGACATACGTCAACCCCATATTTCCCTTCCCCCCAGTCAAATGAGTTTTGATTCAATGACAACTACTTTTCTTGTCGTTTGAGGCTTGAATAAACTTATTCAAAACTTCCATACCAAAAAGCAGCTGTTCAAACTCGCAAATACGCGCAGGATCAGAGAAAATAGTGGTCGCATTGCCAACAAACTCGGCTACATTCATATCGTGATCTTGACTGTAAACAAACGAAAATGAATATAAATTTGATTCGACCATATTCTAGCAGCTATAAGCTACATTTCTACATGCTTTTAACTCCGGTAATCATTGCTGCAGCCCGAGGTTGTTGGAAAACACTCGATGCAAGGGCCCGGGTTCATCGTGCGCTATGCATGATGTGAAGAATGAGCTTGATTTTCGCTGATTTTGATGCATTGCGACGCATCTGATATTTAAATTCTCGTAGATAGAGTAACCCATAAATTTCCAGCCATAGTAAAGTGTCTGTAATTGAAAATCTCATCTGCAGTGGAAAAGATCAGGAAAAATGCCAAACAACCACATTGTCACCATGTTCATAGTAGTAAAGTTTGAAGACGAAGAGAAAAGAAAGAGGGAACGTTCCTCGCAGCGGACGCTAACAGACGCTAACAGACGCTAAACATACTAACCCGATATGGAAAAAGTTGCCCGATGCGGAAAGTGTCGAGCCAAGCATTCCCTGCATGTGACCTGGGCTGAATCACCTGCGATCTGGAACCCTACTTTGGTCTGTCTTCTAGTATCTGGACAGCCACGTCAACTGCCTGGGTGCTTTATGGTGTGTCTGAGTCGACTCAGTGAGCTGTTTGAAACTTGTGTTTCTTGAGATTTGGATATGGTGGTTGTATATTAACTATAACAGCGCAATCTAATCTTCTTTTTTCTTCGAAGAGTAACAATAGAACAAAGAAAGAAAAGGATTGTGGCAAGCTCCCCAGTGATTCCAGAGTCTCTGGGTCTGGCAGTGCACCTCGTGACCCCATGATAGATATACCCAAGTACTGCTGACCTCTACAATCTGACCAGAATCAAGAAGTCGTACAATTTTTATTCATCGGTAGAGTCATCTATTCATCTAATCATCGATTCTATCTTACGCATTTACCCTAGTTATCGTCAACAGATGATAAGCGATCGATTCTGGTCTGCATCCGGACGATGTGACAACAATTAACCACCTGTGTTATGACTTGTAGGCGTTCATGACTTGTTGCGCTGTTAGTTACTTTTGGAAATACTGAAAAAATTCAAATCTTCTAGTTCTGAATAATATGAACAAAAAGTAGAAAAAAAGCTCAACTATGATGTAGTGAAACCATACGTGCCATGAACACGACGCGTCCAAGGTTAGGTATTCTGGATGGACCAACTTCAGACACAAGAATCCAGAACCAGAACAGACACACACGCCAACACACAAAAGACACTAAAGCAGGTGTCCACTTTTCCCAGATTTCAGGAGTAAAAGCCAATGAGAAAAATGTGCAAGGCAGAAGAAGCGTTGCATGAAAACTAAAGTCAAAAAAAGAACGTAGATTGCATGGTGGGGGGGGGGGGGGGACGGGCGAGGGAAAAAAGCTAAGGTTGATCTTGTGTCAACACGGGTTACCTTATAAATTGCCCTTGCCCCGCGGCTTCCTCTACCCTTTCCTCGCCCTTCCCTCTTTCGCATTTTGCTCCTTTTCACTTCCAACTCTACACTTCTTACGAAACTCTTCATTCTCAGACAAACATTTTATCGACTTCTCGATCCATTAACCATACAAACATTTACAATGCCTCCCAAGAAAGCTTCCACCGGCGCTGCTGCCACCCCTGCCTCCAAGAAGGCCGCTGCCAGCCATTCCTCCTATCGCGGTATGTTTTTCTTCTCATATATTTCCTGATCCTTTCCCACCACCACGTCGCGTCAAATCGATTGTGGTGTCTTTTGGGTCGCGTATCAATGCTGATTCTTGCAATATAGATATGATCAAGGATGCTATCATTAACGTAAGTAATTCACTGTCGCGTTTTGGTTGGGTGGTCGAGTTGTTTTGGTGCTTCGGGTGGCACTGCGACCGTGAGGTTTCAGGCGCGACTACAAGCACCAACATTACCCGGCATGACAAGCAACTGAATTCGTTGTTTATTTTATTCAATGGCCTACATGACTGACATTGTTTTTTGGAATTCAGTTGAAAGATCGCAATGGTAGCAGGTACGTGTTTTTCGGGACTTTGGTCCTCCTCCCACCTCATCGCGTCCTCCCGGGCGCGTCCAAGTATAATGATCTATCGTCTTCTATGGCGCGTGATCATCAATACGATTCTTTACTGTCTATTTTTTTTTTATCTCATACAAACGCTAATTTGTCAACAGCCGTCAATCTATCAAGAAATATGTCCAGAACAACAACAAGATCACCGTCGTGTCGCAAGCTGCTTTCGACGCGCAATTCAACAAGGCCATCAAGGCTGGTGTTGAGAAGGGAGAGTTCAGTCAACCCAAGGGTTAGTCTTTGTACTCCAGCGATCGTGTTGCTACATTGTCATCGCCATCGCCTCCATCGTCATCATAACTAACACGTCTCAGGACCCTCTGGCCCCGTGAAGCTCGCCAAGAAGGAGGCTGCTCCCAAACCTGTTGCTAAGGTATGTTCTTATCCTATCTAGATGATGACCATCTACTAATCGACAATAGAAGCCTGCTGCCGCCGCCAAGCCTGCTGCTCCCAAGAAGACCGCCACTAAGAAGACTGCTGCTGCTGCTAAGCCCGCAAAGAAGGCTACCACCACCAAGAAGGTTGCTGCTAAGCCCAAGGCAAACACTGCCAAGCCTCGCAAGACCTCTACAGCTGCTCCTGCTATCGTCGACGTGCCTAAGGTTGAGACCAAGACCAAGTCCGGCCGCGTGACAAAAACAGCAGCCAAGCCCGCGGCGAAGAAGGCCGCTCCCAAGAAGAAGGCCACTCCCAAGAAGGCTGCCGCATAATCTAACCAATATGTTCATTGATTTGCCATGATTATGCTTTTATCCCTTTCCTATGTGACGACTTGATTTCCTTTCCGGTTTTGACGCGTCGCGACGCGCGTTTTGGGTCGGTTTATCTCAAGAGGAGATGCATCGAGAGGACGAAAAGAGGTTACCCCTCTGCTTTGTCGGTTTTTCTATACTCTATTTTACTACCTCTCTGTGCTTTTGTGTGTTTTAATTGTTTCGGTAACTGGGCTGGCGTCTGATAAGCTTGGTTGGGTGTTCTTCATGTTTGCTTCTGTATTGTGTTTGATTGTTTACGGGGGTATTACCAATTAGTTGTGTATTCGATTATATTTTTATTGTCTTATCTTGACTGATGGAGATATGGAATTGACGGTCTTGGTTCTTTCACGCTCTTTTATAGTTTCTTTTGTATGTCGATACGTCCGTCGTCAAGTAGTATGAAACGCGATAATATGCGATCTCGATTACGATGGGAGGGAGTACTGTTACTTGCAATTATCTTAGACTGTAACTGTTTACAGATGTCATTCTTTTCAATGTTGTGTAGAAATGTAGATGTTATGTATAGTGGTGATGATCTCCAGGTGTCGCATCACCCGGTGTCAAATTGAAACATTGAACCTTGCGCCGCGCGACTTTGTTTACGCAATACCCAAATAAATGGTATTTCCCATTCGAGATAATGTCGCTTCTTACATGTTGTTCTGGATTTTACATGTTTGATTTAATCATCACTTGAACTGGGTGTAGATGTCTAGAAGGCTGTGAAGTTCTACCCAGGTACACGGTTGCGAATATATATTTCAAGATGTCGACATCTTTGGATATATGCAACTACAATTTATCCCACCACATTGCTCATTCTTAGCCTAGAATACGTGGCCTTAGAGCCTACAGGTCCGGCTTTGACTCCAAGACATCTTATTCTCAATCTGTCAATAAATAGCAAGCCTATACATAAACCCTCTTACCTCTACAGGGCTATGGAGTACAAAGTCGTCACATTTATAGCGCCAAACCCACCAATGAAGTTGCATTACTTACGGAATACGATAGTGGGGCTAGTACACACAACGGGATTAGTGTGTACGGTTTAGAAAAGTATGATTGGTTTAGAGCGCCCAGATGAGGCCGTTTAATTGTCACTGATTCAGTGGACATAAATAGATACACAAATACGACACAAATACAGGTAAATGTGCATAAATAATGTATAAAACATACCCAAAAATACACCAGAGTACATTTTTGGTGCGTGCTCTGTTAGGTAGGTAGATGTTGAGAGACCTTAACATAGTCGAGAACCCCTTTATATTGTACCCATACCCAACGGCGTAAGAGTGTTCCGGACAGACGAAGGAAATTAGATGAGGGCTCAGCCACGATGCCAAGTTGACCACACCAGCCCCCTTCTTGCTAGAAGAGTACTAGCAGCGGAAACATCCTGGCTTATCGCCGCCGGTGGTTCACTGGGCGACTCCTGCCTCTTTTCCTGTTGAGTTGTTATGCGGATTTGTAAGGCAACGTTCCATCTACCTGTCATCCTTCGTCGCACTTACTCTTCTCAATTCGCTTCACTCCAATTCGCTTCTCTGATCGTCCGAGTATTCTTTCCTTCTCGATTCCCTCGTGTTTTACTGTCTTGCGGTCAAGTCGTTCTCTTCCTGTGCAGCCGCCGGCCAGTCAGAATTCAGCACGCCAGCAGCGATCGGCCATCTGCGTCATATTCGTCCGGTCTGAATGCCGTGCAACTGTATCCAAGCCTGATTGAGTTGCAACGACAACATCCCCCTTCGATACCGCTGATACCTCCTGACTCATCATTATATTTCGTCTTTCGATAAACAATTCATAGCGATGCTCGTTGATTTCAAATTGCCATAATAATAATATCATTGTCTGCGCTACGGCGGGCTGGAAGTCTATTTTACTCCTGAACGGCAGACTACGGAGCGCCCAAGGGAAAAAATAGCTGATTCGTGTGGCACCAACAACACTGCCTCTGCTAAGTTTCTACTACCACCGTTCGACCCGAGAACCGTTCCACGCAGACCTCACGTCACAAACCGCCCTCTGCCCTATCCAGACACAGAAAAACATTTTATCCGACAAAGTTAGCTTCACGTCCGACAAAACATCCGTTCCGAGCAGCTGAGGATCATGCCCGCCATCGTGTCTGACGGCCCCTATCATCAACATCAACCTGCCAGTGCCAGTCCCTCGAACTCGTTCGATATCGCTTCTCGCAAATCCATCGAAAAGACCTCTGTGGGCAACACCTTTCTCTACACACCGGGGGCCAATGGCGATGTGGGCCGCCTGGAACCCCATAGTTTTCATCATCAGCAACAACCGGATCACAAGCAGTTTCTCACGAGTCTGAAGAATGGCAGTGTTCCGTCGTTGAACGGAGGGCGATCTAGCATCGGTTCATTTAGTCGTGACCGACCTTATTCCAGAACAGACAGCACGCCGTCGTTGAACAGCGTGTCCCTGCGGGAGGGCCGGGATTATCAGCAGTACGCGTACCAACAGCAGCAACCGCCATATAATCGTCGAGGATCAGCGATGGTTGATGGGAATGCACAGTTGGGGTCTGAGCTGGAGCTGCCGCCTCACGCTAATGGTAATTCATCGATTCGGTCACGATCACCGACTTCGAAGCCTGTCGTTCCCAATGGCGATACCCACCGATTATCGTCCAGCGACGATCGGGCTTCTTACATGGATCCTAACCAGTCTATAAGAAGTTATACACCAACTCCGCTGTCGACGTCGCTTCCGGACGACGCCAACCATCTTCCTCCTGAACCCGACCGCCTTGCGCCTCCGAACAAGCGCTCTCAGCATAGATATTCATCTCCACCCGCCCCGCTAAGCTACGACTCGCCTTCGTCGCCCTCCTCTCCCAGTCAGTACTCTCATAGACATACTCTTCAAGTGCCACGATCCACGTCCCGCAGGAGCCGTGAGCTTTCGCTCGACGAGGCCCGAACGTACAATGCCGGCCGCCCGGAACATCACCGCCGGGCTTCGCTGAACCTGGTTCGTCGAGCAACTCGAACAAGTGTACACGATATTCCGGCAGATGAAGCGTTGACAGACGACGATGCCGCCCGCTGGGCGGAAGCGATCAAACAGAAACGAGCCCGAAAGAAGCGTCGCGAGGAGGAAGACGACGACCGTGTTATTGTGGGTACCAAGGTTGATCAAAACCATCAGAACTGGGTGACGGCATACAATATGTTGACTGGCATCCGATTTGTGGTGTCGAGAATCAATGCCAAGATGGATCGTGAACTTACACCGGCCGACTTTAACGCGAAGCACAAGTTCTCATTCGATATGTATGTTTACCTGAATACCGATTAGAAGATACACGCTGACTGAATAGTACCGGCAACGAGTTGACGCCGTCCGCCAAATATGATTTCAAATTCAAGGACTACGCTCCCTGGGTCTTTCGGAGCTTGCGTGCCAAGTTCAAGTTGGATCCGGCGGATTATCTCATGTCCCTGACCAGTAAATATATATTGTCAGAGTTGGGCTCGCCGGGAAAGAGTGGCAGCTTCTTTTATTTCTCACGCGATTATAAATACATCATCAAGACGATCCACCACTCGGAACACAAACTGCTGCGCAAGATACTGCCGGATTACTACAAACATATCGAAAGCAACCCTAATACATTGATATCGCAGTTTTACGGATTGCATCGTGTCAAGATGGCATATGGTCGCAAGATTCACTTTGTCGTGATGAACAATCTGTTCCCGCCGCATCGCGATATCCACCAGACGTTTGATCTCAAGGGCTCGACTGTTGGGCGTGACTTGCGGGAGGAGAACCTCGAGAAGAATCCTCGCGCCACAATGAAGGATCTCAATTGGTTAAGACGTGGCCGTCATCTGGAGCAGGGCCCGATGAAGAAAGAAGTGTTTATGGCTCAGCTGCGACGCGATGTTCGATTACTCCAGAGACTGAAGATTATGGATTATTCGTTGTTGGTTGGTATACATGATCTTGGTCGTGGAAATGAGGAGAAACTCCGTGATAAGACGCTGCAGGTTTTTCAACCAGGAGGCGACCGAGACGACGACCCTAGTACCTTGTTGATGCGGACGCCGTCGAAATTAGAGAATGCCCGCAAAGCTCGGGAGTTGCGCCTGACGCTGAAACGAGAGCGCCCAGTACCTATACAGCAAACGGCAGCAAAGATGCCAGATGAAATACTGGATGAAAGGAAAAATATGGTGTTTTATTCCGATGATGGCGGTTTCCGGGCGACGCATGAGAATGGGCAGCCGGGCGAGGAGATTTATTATCTCGGTATCATTGATTGTTTGACATCGGTAAGTTCTGCTAATCTAAAAGAATGCTGATCTAAAATTGCTAATATGGAACAGTATGGCTTTGTCAAAAAAGCAGAACATTTCTGGAAAGGCCTGTCGAACAGTACAACACAAATATCTCCAATTCCTCCCGAGCCATACGGAGAACGTTTCATCAACTTCATGGAAGGCATCACGATGTCCAGAGAAGAGGCAGAGCGACTGGAACAGGCTCGCGCCAATGGACAGACGACCGAAGAAAAGGTCAAAAACACGGAAGGAATACGCCCTGAGTCGGTGGGAAGGACAATGGAAGCAGCCGAGGACATGACTCGAAACACAGGCCCCGAACCACATACGCGGACATTATCTACGATCCGGGATCCACAAGATGTGAATAGCATCAGCGGACCGAACACGTTACCGATTGTCGATGAGGCCGGCGAAGCTGCCAGTCAAAGGAGCGGACACACCCCTCGCAGGACTCGATCAGAGTTTTCCGACCGCATCATCGAAAAGGCTCGAGACGGGTCTCCGAACCCATTGCCGGAGAGCTCTGGCCTGAATAATTAGCTACGCTACGAAGATATCACCACGAACGAGTTTCTGTACAATTATTATCCATGATACGCCTTGTGCTTTGTTTCTGTTTCTGTCTCTGTTATGCATTGTTTTACTATTACTCGTCTGTCTGATTGAGCGGTCTCTTCATCTTCCACCTAACGTACTGGCAGTACACACAGTCTTTCTTTCCTTGAATATATTTCCTACTCTCTTTCTTCTGTCTCTTTCATAAAACATTTCCTTTCCTCTGTGCATTCAAGATTCCCACCCACAACTCATAATTCATCATAGGACTTGGCTTGACACGATCATGTCCGCCACTGGCTTTACAGTCATTTTCCCTTTTCCTTTCTTTTTCGTCTGTTGCTTGCGATTTCGATTCGAGTTTATTTTTTTATTCTTCTTTCTCCCTGAGGTTACAATTTTTTTTAGAATAGATGATTAAGAGTAGGTTAGACAAGAATAATTGTTCTACTCTGGTATTCTGCCTTATCATCCAAGTAGGCATGCGAGCGAAGTCCTCAAATGAAGAATTGCATTCCAACTCTTATTACGCGCATAAAAATGGGGAAGTCTAGGTTGTTGGTTCGATTTAGTCTGGACCCTCTTCTCATGGAACCAACATTAACCTATTTAAGTGTAAATGAATCAATCTAAGCTCAGCTGGGGCTGAAGGAGTTGATTCGTAATCTCAACAAGATGAACCACTGGATGGATAGGTATAAGAATAGTCGATCTCCGCGTTCTACTTGTAGCTGTTCAACCGGAAAACCCTATCATCCTTCCTGTACCTATACCTAGGTAGGTAGCAGCGAACCATGGCGATTATAATGGATGCTCTGTACTACGTCTCTATCCTGGCGCTATTAACCGCACTCGTACGTCAATCCCAGAGTTTCTCTCTGTCTGACTAGGTACTGACTTTGGGGGAAAAAAAAGTATATATCCATCTACGCCCTCAAGAACCTCTATCTCCACCCCCTCTCCGCCTACCCAGGCCCCATACTCTGGCGCGCCTTCCGCTTCCCCTTCCTACAGGCGATGATATCAGGTCACCTCCCCCACAAAATCAAGGACCTACACACTCAATACGGCGACATAGTCCGCGTGGCACCAGACGAATTGTCATTCCTTGACCCGACAGCATGGCGCGATATATACCCTAAAAATTTCCTCCGACCAGCAGTATACAAAGATCAGCCTCCGGGTAAAAACGCGGCGAATTTGATTGCGTGTTCGGAGACAGAGCATGCGCGGTTTCGGAAAGTGTTGGCTCCGGGATTTGCGGAGAGGTTTGTTGGAGAGGTGCAGGAGCCTGTGATACAAGGGTATATTGACAAACTTGTCGAGAAGCTCACGCTTCGCATGTCCGAAGGAGAGGACGGAGGCAGAGGCGGAAAGACGACGGTGGATGCAGTTGAATGGATTAATTATGTCGCGTTTGATATCATTGGAGATCTCACATGGGGATCCTCGTTTGGCTGTCTTGATGGGTTGAGATATCACCCCTGGATTCAGACGGTGAGTCATTTCAAGACTGCGATGGTTGTGGGGGCGATGAAGTTTTATCCGTTGCTCTACCAGGGGCTGATGGCGATTACGCCGCCGTCGGCGCTGAGGGAGGTTATGGAGATGTGGAAGGTGACGGAGGAGAAGGTTAGGGAACGGGTTAAGAAAGGGGGTGGGGAGAGAGCGGATTTCGTTTCTGTCATTCTTGCAGCAGCAGCAGAGAACGATAAGAAGGGGGTTGAGGAGGGTATGACTCAGGAAGAGATGGAGGTTAATGCCATGATGATCGTGGCTGCGGGCAGCGAGTCCATCACCACCATTCTGACCGGTGTGATCAATTATTTGCTACGCAATCCAGAGAAACTTGCCCTGCTCACGCGCGAGATTAGATCAACTTTCCGGTCTGAGCAGGATATTACGGGCACCGCGTTGAAGAATTGCGCATATCTTAATGCCGTGCTGAACGAGGGCATGAGACTCTGTCCCACAATCCCTGATTCCATGCGTCGTCTCGTTCCCCCCGGTGGAGCAATAGTCTGCACTCAACGTCTTCCAGCTGATACCGTAGTCTCAATCCCTCCCTGGGCAAGTTATCGCTCCTCTCGCAATTTTGCGCGTCCCGACGAATTCTTGCCTGAGCGCTGGCTATCGTCGCCAGATAAGGACGGTAGCAAAGACAGTAAAATCGCATTCAACCCGTTCTCGCTGGGTCCACATAATTGTCCAGGGCAGAATTTGGCGTGGCTGGAATTGAGACTGATTCTGGCAAGGTTGGTTTGGAGGTTTGATATGGCGATTCCGCCGGGTGTTGAGCTGCCGAGGTGGGAGGAGCAGGGGATTTGGTGGTTTTGGGAGAAGATGCCTACTCTTGTGTCGTTTAGTCAGTTTCGCTAGCTGTTTTTCCCCGTCTGGACGATGCCTGGACTGTGGAGTGGACGAAGTTTGATAATAGCCTCATTAGCGGTTAAGGTGATACATTATTGAATTCTGGCTCGGCATTTGTTCATATTCATTGCTCATGGGCACAGGTACGTACATTTCATCTACCGGCATACATCTCATGCCTCACCGTCGCCGCATTCGCATCTGTACCTGCCATCTCATACATGACCGGCGAACCCTCCATCTCAACTCGCGCTGGACTGCCCAGCATTTCACTGGGCGCACTCGTAGTATCTGCGCCATAATACGAGATTGAGGTCTCAGGCCCAGGTTCAGCTGATTGTGCGGCTTGGTAAGACGCAGAAAGTTGTTTTTTGGCTCTCCGCCTGTACCAGAACCATCCCAACGATGCTACGATGAGGATTGCCACGCACGGGATGACGACTGAAACAGCGATTGTTGTCGTTTTGTGATTACTGCTACTGCTGTTACTGCTGCCACCTGTGCTACTTGAATTCGTGGATAGTGAAGAAGATGGCAGTAATGAGGTCGACGACAGAGAAGTAGTAGACGCAAGATCAGTCGCTTGAAAATTCATCTGAATCATGGTTGCAAACATGGTAAATAACGTGACTGTGACTGTCGACGTAACTTCTGTCGAAAGAAGTGTGTCCGGGTACGTGAAGGTGACATTTGTTGGGAGGGTGAACTGTGTCGTTGACGACGCTGGAGCACCGTTTGTGCCGTTGATGCAGGTTATCAGGGGCTGCGTTGTGGACGCGATGACGTGCTGACACCACTGGCTGGAGAGTCTGTTGGTGCATTGATATCCTCTATTTTCACATTAGCTCAGTTAAGTTCACATTCGTCTCGATGTTCTATATTAATAGAAAGAAAACCTACGTTGGACAGCATCCCACCGCCGTCTCATCCGCAGTCGCCGAGTACACAAACCCAAAACTCTGAAGATTTGACAACGCAGACTGTATTCCATCAGCACCTGCTTGTACCGCACATGCCGTCGAATATCCAGCAGGGCACGCGATGCCCGGGGAGTAATAACCCCGATAATCATAGGTAGTGTAAAGGACGTCCGAAGGACCAACCAAACTCCCGAGTATGGTGGATTTCACCGGAGGAAGACAGCTGCTATCCTGACTGTAGGTGATATTTCCACCGACAGATGCGCATATCTGACCTATCGTAGGATAATAGATTTGACTACTGGTAGAAATCCAATACGCCTGACTGCATCGACTGGGCGTCGTGAAGGTTGTAGTCAATGGACCGAGAAGCGAGGTTTGCGTTGAGTCCGGAGTGATTATTCGTGTTGATGTGGAGGGCGCTGAGCCTGATATTGTGAATGTTTCGTAGACTGTTGTAGGCCCTGAATTGGATTTTGAGGTTGACGTTGTAGATGTGCGTGTAGCACTGGATGCGGAGGCCATTTTTCTCTTTGTTGCTGCTCCTCCGATTATTTTTTTCTCCTCGCTATCTATGTAGGCTGGAAAGTGCTCGTTCTTGTTCCTGTTTCCGAGAATATCAGGTTGTCTGGATCACGTCTATATCGGCAATAAAGGCAGGAATAGTGTACGATGCTGAATGCGCGTCTGTTGGTACGACGCGTGTTTGCAGTCAAATTTTCAACAAATGCAAGCAGGGGTCACCAAGTCTTAACAACCATGCCACTCCGAATGGCGCTAAATGCGTTCTTTGTTCAACGTGCATACCCTGGAATTGCCGAGTTACATACGGCGCAGCACCTGCGTACCCACAGTACTATCGTTTTTTAATTCCGGCTTTTTACCTGATTTCGATTAGGGCAGAAAGCTCGAAAACAAGATAAATCTAATGCTCATACGCCTACCTGGGGACTGGTCACTGAGCCGGTTTGCTTCCTTCAAGTAGCCAACATTTAGCCACCTTCCAATGACACCAATAATACATGCAGTATACCCGCCACTACTTATAAGAATCTAAGAAGAATTACCCTCAATATCCCTCTGCATATTTGTAAATGTAAAGACTAGAAAACTAGTACACTGGCACAAGTCAGGTAGACCCCTCCCGACCAGGAGGGTCTGCGGAGAGACGAGTATTTACTTTTTTGCAACATTGTTTTCTTCAGCCCCAATACTTATCATCCAAGCAGGGACGTGAGTTAAGTATTCAAAGGAAGTACTGCATTTAAACTCCTATGATATGTATGTAAATAAGTATGGGGAAATCTAGGGCGGAGACTGAGCTGTTCTTTGTAATGCTAGAGGTGCAAATTCAGAGCCAGTCGGATGTCGTACACTTAAGAATTTACTTTTGTACCTGCATTCTAACATTACAATCAGATATATTGATGAGAGCTACTTATACATCATTCTCCAAGGTCCATGGTCGTGTTGCGAGCGAAGAGAGACCTAGCCTCATACCTACGCTTTGACTTCACATTTATTGTGAAGCTGTCTTCGGAAACGGCATACTTTGCTGTTCCTGAGAAATAATTCTGCTCACATTTACCAGCCGAACCGAGAGCTCCGCAACCGCCTCCAATATTACTCTCTGTTAAAAAAGGTAAAAGATCAATATCATTGAAAATCCATCAAGAAGCAGAAGACTGGAGCTGAGAGTATACATACCTGCATTGCAGTCGGTGGTAACATACCACACCCGGAAGATGGCGTTCTCTTCATCATTGCACCTATCGGATTCGGTAGTGATGATATAGCTGTTGATCTCAGTGCCCGCATCGTAGCATTTCCCATTACTGTCCCAAGTGTAGCCGTCGATATAGTCTTCGCAGTTGGTGTCACTGAAGATCATAAGGCCGAATCCGGTTGGCGTCGGGATAGCGGTGGTCGACGTGGTAGAGGTCGTGCTGTGTGTTGAGATCGTGCTCACATCCCCAACACAGGCAGTGCTTGGTCCTCCCTCGTATTCAAGCACCAGATCTGACGAACAGGCCACAGTGTCTCCCGAAGAGTCGATAATGGTGATAGAATAGGGATTTGCAGTCGTAGTAGGCGTGGCCGTGGACTGGGCCGTAGCGGTGTTTGAGACAGCGGTTATCAGATAACTCATCTCAGCGCCGTACAGCGATTTTATCAAGCCAGCTTCTGAAGATTCCAGGGCTTCCAGCGCCGTCATTGCATCTGTGGTGGTAGGGAACGCATCGGCGATAACAAACGTGGCTCCAGCGACAGTGATAGTGCTTTCTTCGCTGGTGCTGCTAGAGGAAGAATCAGATTTGCTGCTGCTGCTGCTGTCGTCGCCTCCATCACCACTACCGCCACCACCGCCACCACCGCCGCTGATATCGATACCAAACCACGGGGGACATTCTGGACAACCAGGCAAACAGTATTCACCACCTACCGAATCCAATTAGCAAGACATCTCCAAACAAGATATAAGAAGAACAACATACACCCGCCCGAAGGCTTGCAATCCGATGTACACTGAGGACCTGAGTCCCCCTTCGACTTGGTTGCCTGGACAGATGTACTTCTCGTGTTTAGCACTGGATCAGTAGTCGAGTCTGTTGTCGTGGGGAATGGGTGCGGCGTGACAGTCGTAGTAGTGACAGGCATGACAGTGCCGTTGACCACAGAGGTAACGCCGCCAAAAATGTCCACCCATGCAGCGGTCGCGTAGGTCAGGTTGCCTGAGGACCAGGAAACGCTAGACACAGTACTAGTAGTACCGCCGCTCACAACCGTGGTGCCACCGATGGTTCTGTCATATTTTTTTCAGCGAAATGTCTTTCTACAGGGCTAGAGTGCTACTCACGGAGTCCAGGTCACCACAAATGGGGTCTGTTTAGCGGAACTGGTATGGATGAGGGTGCTCTGGTTGCTGGTGACAGTCTGAAACCACACGGGGATGCCATTGGTTACAAGGGGGGGAATAGTAAGTACCGTGGGCACGGAGTGAGAATTGTAAACTTCATATGACTTGACACTGCCGTCATACCAAGTCGTGGTACTCGTGGTAGTTGAACGGTAGTTTAGGTGCGTAGGCCAGGCGGGAAAAATGATGGTCGTATTCGACGCCAGAGGCATCGGCGGCCACATCATCGTACATCCAGGGACAGCAGTCACGGTGGGAGAAGCCTCAACCCAGACGGATGGGTCAATGTAGATCTCGCAGGTACTTGTAGTGTTGCTATCGCTGGTGCCGTTGAGGTCAGTCAGATCAATAGCCCACATAGCTGTTCCTAGGAAGTTCATGCCCTTGTACAGCCCAGTGCGCGAGGCTGCGATGTCGGAATCCATGTACGAAGCCCACTGTGTGTCGTTCCAGACTTGAATGTATGCGTTGGCCTCTGTATCAAGATAAGTGTAGGCGGAATTGTCCTCCGCAATGGAAAGCAGCTCGGCATTAGAAATATACCCTGCTGTCTGTGTGCAATTGCCTGGGACAGCACCAGAGTCAGGCCCAGTAAAGGTGCAATCAGGAGTGTAGCAACCCGCCTCAGTCATCTGGAATGAACGCGCGTAGTTGGCAAGTCCTATTACAACCTTATCCGATGAGACGCCGGCTTTTGTGATCATAGACATCGAACTTATCGTCTCCGTGAGGTTGACGTGAGAGCGAAGACAACCACCTGAAGGACAGCCAACATCAGTGTGAGTATTATTCCAATCCCATTGGCCATGTAGATCATATGTCATAAGCACAATATAATCAACAACTTTGCTAATAGCCTCGATTGGGATAGCCTTCATATACCAGAAAGACGACGGCGCTGTGGTTGAAAGAGACTTATCTGGCGTAGAAACAAGCATCTGCTGCGACAGCTCAAACAAAAAGAGGAAAAAGTTTTGAGCATCGCTATCTGTATCGGCCGGAATACCAGGGATGTCCGGCTCGCCAGGGTATTCCCAGTCCCAGTCAATGCCATCAAGATCCCATTGCTCAAGCAGATCAATTGTATTTGTAATCAATGTTTGCCGGTTGGCGCTGCTGGAGACGGCTTGACGGAAAATGTCGTATGAACTGGCGTCAGTTGAAAAGCTCCATCCCCCCACAGTGAGGATGCGTTTGACGTCAGTCAGGGCCAAAAAGTCTTCCCATTGGCTTCCAACACTAGATAGATTGTATGAGAAATCAGTATTGAGGGTGGCGAAGGACATGTGGATGTGCGTGTAAGCGGTGGTATCAATCTGAGTAATCCATGGTTTGAGGCAGGGACGCTGCACGTCGAAGCCCTCAAAATAGCCAACAGCGAAGTACTCGGTAGGCGTGTCGCTTTCAATGATCTGTGTCCCGCAGTTGGAGATACACCCGTTCGTTCCATTAGCTGCTGTGCCGGGCGCTCCTGTTGTTGAGTTACTGGGAGTACAAAAATCAGCCGTGATGCCGCACTGTCCCCAGATGTCACAACAGGCATTGAGTGGGCACTCATTCAAGGTGCTAAGATCAGAACCCTGAGGTGCGGTAGCTGTACCGTTTACCTGGGGCCCGCAAACAGCGTTAGAGATCACGGCTGGCATTACAGGATACCCAGTGCTGAGGCAGATATACTCATTAGCCAGAAGGTCGTCGCAACCCATCCAGCCCCAGGTGTTGTTATTGTAGCTGTCAATGTCTGCCACCGTGATACCATACTCTGCAGCTAGAGCAGAGCATGTGTCGTTTTTCTTGACCAGGTAGCTAGCACAGTAGCCATCTGCCTGCTCCTCTAGTGTGTTGACCTGCAGTGTGCCGGATGAACAGCAGACATATTGTCCCACTGTCCATGCCGTGTTCGTGTTATATTCAGCCAATTGAGTTGTGGTGATACCACACTCGCTAGCCAATGTTGTCGAGTTGTCGCCAGCCACGACCTGGATTGTCGTGCAAGTGCTTCGCTTCCCTAGAACCTCTCCGTGACTGCGAATTGACCAGCTAGCAGTGCTGTTTCTCCCAGTCGTAGCACTGGAGCTGGAGCTGTTGCTGTGGGTCTTGGGAAAGGAAAAAGTAACATTGGCCCCAGAGATCGACTGTGACAGCGAGGTGAGGCAGTCACTGCCACGCCACGTCTGCACGGCTTTCTGTACGGCGAGTAGATCAGAGCCCACCATGATGCCCATGGTGTATCGGGCAGTGCTATTGTTGGAGCACAGCTGTACAGCGAGGCTATCCGTCACTCCCTCGCTTTCAATTCGTTCAGTAACTGCATCCAGCAGAGGTGCCAGCATGTCCTGCTGACTGAGGGCAGAACCGATGTAGACGCCAACCGCGGTACTGCCCGAGTGGGCAAACGCGATGGTTTCCTTGCACGGGGACGAGGCCTGGTTTTCATAAGCTAGCAACTGGTTCAGTGCATCCAGAGCGCCTGAAGTAGTGGCTTCGCCGTATGTAGTCGTGTCCCAGGTCAACTCTAGAGCGGCAATTGTTGTTTCTGTGGTGGTTGCGTTGTAGCTAGGACAAGACGATGAAGAAGAGGAGGTGGAGGTGGAGGAGGAGGAGCTGTTACTGAGATCACTGGTACAGCTGCGGATGCTCACACGCCCATCAGACCCGTCAACGGCTGTATAGAGTGAAAAGTCCAGCAGGAGGGTCTCGTCACAGCGTCCCAACAAGCTTTCAATACTATGATAGGCGGGCCAGGCAGAGGGGTCTACGCCTAGGCTTCCACAGCTACCAGGACAGGGCTGATTAAGAAATTGCCATGGGCGAGATGGTGTGTATTTGCCAGCCATGACGGCATCCTTGAGGCTGGTCAAGTTGACCGGTGTGCTTTGGGACTGGGCTGCAGATGTGGTAGTAATTGGATTCAGACTCAGGTAATCCTGAAGAGCTTGGGAGGAGGCTCCTGCTCCATGGGCCATCCAGGGCAGGAAGACCAAGATGGGCCACATATTAAAAGCAGACAGAAGGAAAACCTATAAAGTAATCAAGAATAAACAAAGAAATGATAGGATAAAAGAGAGAAACATCCACTGAGCAGTGCAGGCGAAAAAAGAAAAAGAAAAGGTGGTGATCAAGTACTGAGAGGGGGGAGAGACGACGATGACAGACTTTATCAACGTCCTTTCCTCCGATTACAGTAGTACGTATTACGTCCTTCCGTTAAGAGCTGCGACTTTTAGGTAGTATTGGACCTGATGTTTTGAAATTGTTGGCGCCATCTTGTGAATCTTATACAGAACGGACTTGAGGTTGTTGGTTTTAATGTCCGTGCCAACAGTAGGGTTCCTGGACCTGCAGTAGTGCTACTACCAGTCCAACACATGTACTAGTAGTACTGTAGTATTACTACATGCCACATGATGTATGTTAAACTATAATGGTGTACGGAAATTATATTAATCTATCGGGAATATTACGGTCTGAAAAATGGAATACTAGACTCTGTCCTCGGGTTATTATACAGTTTTTTCTCTCCCATCTAATCCTCATTCCCATCCACATTTTTTTCTGCAATTTCATCCATACATACCTGATTGAGATAATGTTGTTTTTATACATATGGCTTTTGGCGGCGGTCTTCATGGCCAAGGGCATCGTCGCTGAAAGCACCACCGATTACTTCAGCCTGCTTGAGCGTGCCAATGATCAATGTGATGCCGACCACATTAATCATATGAATCAATATATCGACGATAGCATCACTCTGGCCAATTCTTTCATCTCTGCCATGGATGCTGCTCTAAAAGAGGACGACGGGGGTCAGGATGGTATCAATGGCATAGTAGCCCGACGTCTGTTTACCGTTTGGTTTGGCATAGAGTTCGGCGGTGCGCTCGGTGAAGATCCAGCACCGACGGCTGGAACCATGGCCATCTGGGAGGCGATGCAGAGTAATGTTAACATCCTCCTCTTGTCCATCGCACTATGCTTATTCTAAACCATCCAGCTGCGTTCGATGCCGTGCATAACGTGCTAGACACTGAAACCTTTGTCGGGCCGGGGCTCACGAACGATAAACCATTTTTGTCGTGCACTGGAGAATTTGCTCAGAAATACTCTTGGGGCGATCAAGCCTACAATACCGATGGGTATTTAATCCCAGGAAACTCCATTGCTGATTTCTGGGATGAGGATGATACCAAGGCCCCGTGGTGGATTGATGAGGTGTCAATGTATATTTTCAACACCGCGCAAGCAGAAGACAATATGTGCGACGAGTACGTAGATGGGAAGGGAAAGCTCATCCAAATGTATGCATACAGTATGCAAGGCGACGACGAAGGTGTAAGAAAAACGAACACGGGACAACTTATTTACACTGCAAACAAGAAACCCGGGTTGTTGATGTGTCCCGTAACGTTTGAACGAGACATCGATATACTCGACGATGTTGAATGGAAAGATCCTAGTGGCAAGACGCAGATCAGCCAGATGTATCCTCTGGGCTCGATCACGATGTTTCACGAGCTCTTCCACCTCAGCACTTATTGGTTGGAAACAACGAACGCGGACGGCGACCCCGAGTATAATACAAACCCGACTTACATTAGAGATGTCACCTACGATCCGTTCGAGTGCCTGCAGCTCGCTCAGGACAACGCCGCACAGACAGTCACGAATGCCCAGACATACGCTTTCTTCGCTTTCTCCTACTGGTACTTCGAGCAGAATTGGGGGGGCAATACGCCTGCTACTTTTTACCCTGGATATCTCGTTGTCTGGAATGATCTCTTTGGTTAGTGGCTGTGGATTAGTGTCTTTTTTAATGAGTGATTAGCTCGCGGTTAGTTGGTGGCTAGTTGTACTAGTTGATTCAAGATTGTTGGTTGGGCGGTAGTTGTGGCTAGTTGCTTCTGCTGCTAAATAGTAGTATTCAGCAAAGATTTTGATACTACGCGGGGACGTGTCTTATTTACACCGATCTATTTTTTCCTAGTCTTTGCTTTGTAGAACTCCGTTCAGAAGATATTTTTAGTTTCCCACAGACCCTGTTAAGCATCGTTGATTAATTCAAGTAATCATCAGACCAAAAAAGACTCGTCGGTGCAGTGATTGGTCTTTGGAGGAATGAAACCATAGGCAATATAGCCCACTCAATCTCCGAAATCTATAGAGCCGCCTCGTGGCCACGGAATGAATTCCTGTCGACGACCCTATGAGTACTAGAGTATACAGTCGCTGATACGTAACATAATTTACCAAGCGCGTAGAATATTTCAACCCCTATTGGCTTGCTTGATGCACCACGTGGCACTCCAACCATCGCTGTCGCACGTCGAAAATGGCTCCTTGAACCATCTATCTAAGTATTCTACGTATTTTGGTGAGGCAATATATAGCGTATACTATGTTAGCCCGTCTATGCGTTACGGATAAGATATGTAATCCATATCTAAGTTTACGTATGGTATGGAAATATTCCGTCTCACCTGACTCACATGAATAGAACCGTAAGGGGTATCATTATGCTTCTGATAGCCCCCAATGGATAGCATTATCTCCGTACTCCATCTGGATTATGATGCAGATTGGTTATAGAGTACGCTCGTCGCTCAGGATGAGGCAACAATGCTGACGCGTAATCGGCCGCCTCCAGAGTCTAGTTCCTGTTAGCAGCTCCAACTCCAAGGATTCAGGAGCTAGCCTGTGTCTGTGTTATCACTATTATGGCTCCAGAACCGTGAAATACGACTCCCAAATCTACCCCGACTCTCTCAACACTAATATACACTAGTTCCAAACATAGCTAGCGTGTTTTATTGTAACATTATAGTATGTAGTAGTAATCAATCTATAGACTTGTAACCAACTGTCTAATTTTATATTAAAGAGTCCAAAGGGACCAGGTTCACAAAGTTTATTAAAGTTAGTTTTGTATTGCTTTCAGCTAGTTGAATTTGGTTGTAACACCGAAGGACCATGCAGGCTTAATTTCCTCCGCAGTGCACACCTCCTCAATGCGGAAGTTGAAGATGAAGTTGGAACCAACAGATAATTAAAAGTCTGCTCCGCAATAAGGGGATCCGAGCGGGATAAAAGCTTGTACAGTCGTATTAAGTGTTTACCTAGTTAGTCACCTAGTTACCTAGTTAGCAAAGTATAGTAAAAATCTGGCCCTGAAATATAATAAGTCTGTACAGTGAGAAACGAACGCACATCTTTTCTGCTTCCCAACCGCCTGATCATTCCTATTTTCAAAAATGATCCTTACCCATCTGATCGCGGCCTTTTTGGCTAGTAAGTTGGCTACAGGCTATCTGGTCACCCCTTCAGGCACTGCTTTTCCCGGCGCCGACTCGGATTGTAGCGGGTGGGTGGCAGGAACTACAGGGATCAGCTGTGCAAATGTCGTAGCAGCAGTCGGAATTACGCTCACAGAATTTGAAACCTGGGTAAGATCTCCTCCCTCCCCTTTCTATACCAGATGGTCGTTGGAGAGCTGGACCTGACATGATGGTTAGAATCCCCTGGTTGCTGATGGATCCACTTGCGAGCTTACAAGTGGATTTGACTACTGTATCCAAGTTGACTTTGAGTCAAGCACGTCGACGACGCTGACAGCTACAACCACCCTACTCAGTACAACCAGTGGAATCAGTACCCCGTCTCCTGTTCAAACGGGTTTGGTAGCCAATTGCAACAAGTTCTATCTTTTGGCCACAAATGATACATGTGCATCTATAGCCGCGGATGCTGGTCTCTCTCTAGCTACCTTCTATTCATGGAACCCTGCTGTTGGCGGCACCTGTGCGGACCTTGAGATCGGTGATTATGTCTGTATTGACACTGTTGGATATACTTTCACCTCTGTCACAGCTTCAGCTACCACCACAACCACGGGAGACGGTATTAGCACTCCATCGCCCATCCAGACAGGCATGGTTCCTACCTGCGACAAGTTTTACCTTGTGGTTACAAATGACACATGTTCCTCTATTGCTACAGCTGCGGGTATCTCTCTAGCTACCTTCTATTCATGGAACCCTGCTGTTGGGAGCTCCTGTGCGTATCTTGGTCTTGGTGATTATGTTTGTATCGATATCATTGGATATACAATTACCACTACCACAGCTTCTGCTACTGCTACTTCCACAACCACGGGAGACGGTATTAGCACTCCATCACCCATCCAGACAGGCATGGTTTCTACCTGCGACCAATTCCATCTCGTGGTCTCTGGAGATGAATGTGCAACTATTGCTGCAGATGCAGGTATATCTCTAGATACTTTCTATTCCTGGAACCCTGCCGTTGGCAGCTCCTGTGCGTATCTTGGCCTTGGTGACTATGTGTGTATCGACATTATTGGGTATACGCCATCGACAACTACCACTTCCACCTCAACTACTACCACTAGTGCAGGAAACGGGGTTACAACACCTACCCCTTACGAGACTGGCATGGTTTCGGATTGTGATGTTTTCCACTTAGTAGTCTCTGGTGATACGTGTACTACCATTGCAGAAAGCGCAAACATAACAGTGGCCGATATCGAAGCGTGGAACGCAGATGTTGGGACTGGTTGTACTGGTATCTGGCTGGGTTATTATATTTGTGTGGGTATTTTGTAGTTAAGTGCTTAGTTTGGTAGAAGCCGTGAGTTTGAAACGTCAAATATAATTGGTGCAGACATTTTGGCCGTATTCCTTTCTATCGTCTACTTGTAAGGGAGGGAAGGATGAGGTTGAGGTTGAATCACTCTTCCCGGCGATCTCTACACAGCGCGTCTCGCCCTGCCAACCATACTCGCTTTTCCAGCGGGACCGAATAGATTTAGGAATTCTGAACAGACGTTATAGAGATCCAAGCATATGCATGGGTTGTGAATGGGAAAAGATCGATACACTAAAGATCTTTCATGCTATAATAAGTCCATATTTCATGTAGATAACAGCAAAAATGAAATGATAATAAAAGAGATGAAACAAGCATTATCATGAAATTTCCGAGCGTGATATGGAACGCAAGATTTACTTAAAAGCCAATAAAAGAAGATGAGAATTGAATAAATAAGAGATTGGCTTAATTTCATTCATAGACTATTTCATAAATCAAAATAGAACGGATAAAGACGGACCAGAAAAAGAAAATACCCGAAAAGCTCGCCTCCAAAGACAAGATTTGAAGGAAAAGCGTTATTAAGATAAAGCGGCTGAAAAGGAAGAGGGTACGCAAAGTAGAATATGCATACAATTTGCGAAATTTCAAAGTCCCATCCATCAACAGTGTCGTAGTGGATGTCGGATGTTGGAGTCAACTACTTACGTCCAAAAGACTATGTGTCAGAAACTTGTGATGTTAGAGCTGTGGTCAGTGTTCTGGGCCACACTCTGATTGTTCTTCGTGAAGAATGTATTGAATGATCGCCATGATGAGAGGGCTATCTTGACCGAGTTGAAAGTCACTTCGGACTGTCTCTTCTTCCACGTTTTGTGCACTTGAGCTGCCGGACTCAGACGGGGTTGCCTCCTTCATCGTGGGCGTGGCTATTTCGAACTCTGAAGCAAGTGACAAGACATCCTCGTCGGAAGGAAGCTTTGTTATCATATCTCTAATGGGGTTGTCTATCACTTGGTGATATTTGTCAAAGAATCGATGAATTGTGCATTTCACGTGTTCAGGATCGCCGAAACACCCAACAGCCAAACTTTGAAGTTGACATCCAATCTCTTGAGCGCTCGTTAGGTCTCCGAATGCCATAAATTGCTCGGCATGTAAGAATAATTTAACGAATCCGCTTAATTCAGCACAAGGTTTTTTAATCCACGAGAAGGACGTAGAAATGAGTTCTTTGAGATGTTTGAAGTCGTCATCTGTACCACCAGATACAATTTCGCCGATGTCAAAACGCTGGAGTGGTGTTCCCGAAGCGAAAACAGAAATAAATGATCTTTGTGTTAATAAGATTTCTGCAGATTCAATCATCTCAATTAGGTTCAACCAACGATACCCTTCAGCCATTGCCGATATTAACTTGAGGACTTGTTCATTCTTGATGCCAGGAAAAGAACTGCTGAGATGGGATAGGAGGCCGTCAACACAAGAATAGGCTTTTTGAACTAGATCAGGTAATGTAAATTCCGTAGATGAGAGTAAATCAAGACATTTCTGAGCCCAGCATGCCTTGGCAAGTCGAGGAATAAGGAGAACGTGAATGCCAAGGCGCTGGAGCGAGTCTTCATTTATCTCTTGACTTCCTTCTTGACTAATTGGGTTGAAAGCCTTCGTCCAATTAATATTCGGAAGTGGCATAAATACCAAGAAATATAAATCTTCCACAGATTCATTGGCCATGGCCTCAAGGATACCCCCCGTGGTGTAAATATCAATTCCGTTCGTTACTTCTGTATTGTCACCGTCAAATGAGTTCACAAAGTCTTCGTCATGGAAAAAATCTTGGTCATCTTCAAAGTCTTTCAGATTGGCTGTCAGTGGGTTTTGCGAAGAATCAATGGTGTCTAGTATGTCGGAGTAAACACTAAGTTTCTCGGTGGTCTTCTGGAGATTCTTCCGGAGACTCTGCTCCCAAAATTCGAACCCTGAAAGAAGTTTGCCTATGTTCTCCAGGCAGCCTCGAAACTCCTTTTTCAGTTGCCGTGAAAATTTGCTGTGGTCAAATAGATCCCATAGATTCGTTCCAGAGGGAAGTTTATCATTGAGTATGCAGATATAAACGAATAGTGCTGCGCGAACTCTCTCATGACGATCTGTGAAGTTGCGCAGAAGGTCATTTTCGACTTCTTCATTCGTCTCCTTCAAGCCTTTAGTAATATACGCGTTTTGAAAGCTATATAGCACTCACCGAGACAATATTATGAGCTTTAAGCTCGAAGCTGGCCGGTATAGTGACCATGTAAGCCATGACTTTGATAACACACTTTATTTCAGAGATTTCCACCTTCGAATCGTTGTCATTAACAAAACGTTCTAAATATTTGAAAAGGTCAATTTCACATTGGCGCATGGTAAGCCAAATATTCAGCATGGCTGCATGTTCCACCGATTGGTCGTCAAACCCAACTGGCGCGTTCAATTCTGTCTTTTTCATCGCTTGGAAAGTAAAGAATCCATGATAGCAGAAAACCATCCGTTTTAACTTTTTAGACTGGTTAGAGGATCATTACCAAGAGGTACAGAGCTCAAATTAAACGAAAGGTAACCAAGATATAAGAACTTACAAGCCATTCTTCAGTAGTCTTATTTTTGCCTGGAATTTCGAAAAAGTGAAGCGGAATATCGAAGGTTCGGCGTAAATCTTGTGGAGTTTTCACGATCTCCAAGGCGATTCGTCGAGGATTGGTCTCGAAATTATGTCCAATATCTTCTTTTATGATTTCGGAAACGGCAGCTTCATGGCTGGCAACTACTGCTAGACCCCACGATATCATGCAATTTGTGCTGATGCCAAAAGATGACTTTGTAAGGAAAAGAGTATCTCGCTCAAATAGCTTGGCTGAAACAGATAACGCGCGTACCAAGTCGATGTTTCTCTGTTTTTCAATGACTAGATTTTGATATAATGTCGGAACTAAAACTGTATTAGTTCCTCATCTCAAAGCAATCAAATAGTTCAGCTTACATTCAAAATATGAGTTGGTGAGAACAAAGTCACTGAAGTATGCTTTCGCACATGGATGCTTTAGAATTCTGGCCCTTTCGAAGGTTTTCATGCAGTATGAGCACGGGGTTTGGCCATCACACTGTGTCCAGAAAAGAACGTTAGAAAGTCCTGATCTTCATGGGAAGAAAAGGCATTTGTTGAAAGTGGAACTTACAGATTTGTTATGCCTTTTGCATTTCCAACACGCCCATCTTCGGACATCGGTGGAATCTCGGTTTGCCTTCTCGTGTCTCTTTCCCAAGCCACCTGAAGGTAGGCCCACTGGCGTAGATGGTCCGAAAACTGTCGAAACTGACTGATGGCTAAATACTTGGTCTGCGTTCTGGTACGGTGGGTCCCCTCCTGCTGATTCTGCTGATGGTTCGAACCCTGAAAATGGTATTGAATGATATAGAGACATGTTTGTATCTTCGAGGTGCCCGTTTGTAAGGTTTAACTGGTTGGGGCGATAGTTGTTTATGGAGTCCCGATAAGGAGATTGTAATGGCTGGTAGATTTCTAGATTGCTCAGTAGGTCAGGATACCCAGATGTACCATAATGGGAAGACGTCAAGTCAAGATTCTCGAGCTCTGAAGGTGCCAACGAGATATCTTGATGGAATTGGAAATTATCTTGGAAATTAGCTGTATTTGCTTCTCCTGTTTACAGCGACTGTTCAGATCTTGTCAAAGAAAAAGGTAGGTTCAAGATCGAGCAATCTGCTCTCACTCACCTACGTTCTGATTCGTCTGAACTTGAGCCCAAGGTAATATGCTGGGAAGTTGTTGCGAGTATTCTCTGAGAGCCAAATCGCCACTACTGCCTATATCAAAGCCATTTGAGTGGGCAATATACTCTGCAGAGTTAGTATTGATACTTTCATGAAACCATACTCCTGCATTGGAAGAGAATGTTGCAGACTCAAAGAAGCCGTTCGCCAGCGGAGTTTGTTCAGTGAAGCTAGGATTATTATAGTCATAAGACCATGCTCCTGTATTGGAAGTGAACATTCCAGCTTCAGAGAAGCCTGTAAAAACAAAATCCGGATTCGGAAAGAAATACGAATCGGAGGCGACAGCTGCGTTCTCATTGATTAGTGTTGGGTTGTAACCTGTAGGTTGAGGCCAGAAGAGAGGTGCTTCATTCATCTCAGAGTCGATTTCTTGTTTGGTTAGCAAATATGTTAGCCTTACGTCGAAAGTTACATGCAGGCTATCGTACCGTGCTGTGCTTGCCCGTCCTCTGATTGGGCTAACAAAGGCGGGTGAGGTGGTATATAAATGTCCGATACGTATTGTAGATTCCAAGATGTTTCATCTTGTGGCACGTCTCGGATGATATGGTATGTTGGGGACATTGCTCCAGGGTTCGGTTCCGACGGTGAAAAGCCGCTGCCATTCGTCTGTTCCGCATCGTCGCGCGCAAAGTCAGACATGTTGGGTACAATGTACAAGTCTTTCAAAGAGGTAGTTGGTTTGAATGAAGACAAGCCAAAATGTTTCGCGAGGGAGATCGGACATCTTTATAGGGCAGAGAGTCAAGGCTGATGGTTTGAATAAACGATTTATTCTGGGACAACTTGATACAGCAACTTTTGTCCTGAGGCTTGTGATCCAATCACGATACTGACCGGAGTGGAGATACTGACCGGGCTGACCAGAAAACCAATCGTAATGCTGACCGGAGTGGGCCACTCGAGTCGGCCCGCGGCCCCGCTCATCGCAGCACCAATGATCCACATAACTTTTACTCCAGAGGAGAGGAATGTGGATACTACGAGATTCAAGGCCACTCATGTGCGATCACGATGCAGTACTTCAGTCTAATTCAATATGCACCTATTTTTAAAGGTAGACTCTTTAAATAAGATGGATTGCTATGAGCAATAGTGTGACTACGAGCTGAATTGGCCTTTAAGGTATCAACTTACAATCGCGTGACCTTGCTTGCTAGGTAAGCACTTACGTCAATACACACTCACTAACATACGTTAACGGCCGCAGAGAATTTACAAGTACAGCGTTAGCGTTGGCATAGATATAGGCATTATACTATTTTGATTATTTACTGGTACGGATTATAGACGCGGATATAGTTTTTAGTTTGTAATAAATTACACAAAATACAAAAGCATACAAGTCTTACGCATATTTCTAGGTACGTTTTGGGGAATATATACCGCAGTAAGCTGGTTCTCATTGAAAGATCTAAGATATCTCAAAACTCTAAGACATCATACAAAAACTTATAGTCTTGAAATCTCTAGCGGTAGTATTTGTTCCTGAAAAACACTCATATAATAGCTAACCTACAGTCATATAAGGGTCACATACCATTCGCTCAACCTATAAAAACACGGCATGGAACACCACCCCCAGTCATTATCAGGACTATGCGGATATTATTGGATCCATGTCGGCTGCGAAACTAGCCCCAGTCTGTGCTTACTGTAATCGAAAGAGGGTGCGGCTAGATGCCTCCAACGCCGTTTCAATGTAGTCGAAAAAAACAGCCGCAACGCCTGCAGCAATGTATACTGTCCTTTTGAGAGCGTGGTCATAAGCAGCGAGAGCTCCATAGTGCAGGCAAACAACAAGGTTCGTTCAATGATCAGATGAGAAGATATCACCGCGCTATCGCCCTTTTGTGCTTGCCAAACAACAAATAAAAGAAGTAGCAATACTCAACCACCAAGAAGACTAAAGATTGTAATGCTCTTCTAGGCAAAGTTCGTTCATCTATTGAAGTACTAGAAGGATCATAATGATAGCCGGGGTGAAAACAAGAAAACCAAGCAGATCCAAGCTTTTAAACTTCTCGAGAATTGACAGAGCTTCAGATGAATCTTCTGGTGGCGTTTTGAAGAAGAATACAATGATTAAGATTGTGATAGCACTAAGGAAGAGCTTGATACGGAGAAACCATCGCCAGGTCACGCGCTGAGTAAAAGCTACGCCAGCAATAGACCCGATGATCATGGTTATACCGGTAGTTTTTTGTAGAATCCCAAGATGTTAGATAAAGCGAGCAATGTAAAATGGGAGGACACTGCAAGGATACAGACAGCTCCTGTGAAGCATCCCACGGCTCCAGCTCCAGCTATAGTATGTCCAACAATGAGCATGGGGCTATTCACCATAAGAGCACAGATTAATAACCCAACTTGAAAGAGAATAAGGCATACGATACGTGACCACTATTCAAGATGTTGTCTTGCTAAGATTTTTTTATATTCGAGATATGTGCTTTCATGGGGAAATTTGAGAAAAGATTTCCCAGCCATAGGCTGCAATGAGCACATAGCAAATATATATGAGCTCTCATACCATGCAATACTACCTGTGCTGTGAAAATTCGATGTGACACGGGAAATGGCGGTTGAGATGACCGAGGAATCCAATGCGATGAGAAACATGGGAATGTCAATACCAATGATAAACAGAGCTAGCGATATGCATGTCAGTTTGTATGCACTGTCATATTTATTGGAGGGTTTGTCATTGTCAGCCGGCATGGTCTTCTGCTCAAAATTTGAACATTCCATAGCTTCTACGTTGGCTTTTTTTGCTTATGCAGATAAGTTGGTCGAAAGAGGTTGAACGTGAAGAACCACGGCGATGAAAGTGAAACGAGCCCTGAAACAGTACAAATATACTCATTATGTCAACCGATTGGTCATCTATAGAAATAATTTATTATATCCTTTTTTTACCATATAAATATTTCAAAATGTCTAGAATTGTAAATAGGTGTCTGGCCCATAATTACTACATGTAACTCATTCCGAGTCATGATGAGTTAGGCTTCTCGACCCTTACCAGGAGGGTCTGCGAAGACACGAGTATTTACTTTGTGCATCATTGTTTTTTTTTCAACCTCAAAGACATATCATTTATAGGGCTCAACTAGTCATGTGATTGCCGGAATCCCCGCGCTTGGAAGTTCTCCCCCGCACTCATCGGCATGGAGACAGACACCGGCAGTAGTTATCGGGATATCTTCCGCATTGTGCCTTTTTGGTAGTCGTTTTTGGTGTATCAGTTTGCTTTGCTCTCGTACTCGAGGTAGGCAATCTGCTGCTGATCAATACTTAGTCGTCGCATTGCTCCGACAACGCGTCATCCAACGGCACGGGCAGTTTTAATAAAGGAAAGAGGATGCCCTGTTTATCTGTACGATGACGCTATCCGAATGTTAAAGACCTGGGCGTGAAATTATAAGTTCGGCTTGCTTTTCCCCCTAGAAAGATCAGCATTGAGAAGTAGCCCACGCAGAGAAGCAAGCTTTTAGATCGCCTGCCTTTTGGGGTTGTTCTCTTTCTTCCACACTACTGATTGATTTGACTGCTCTCTTCACGCTGGGATCATGATTCTCAGTGATATGACCTTGTTTTCTAGTCTCCTCTTCAGCTCCGGAGTAGACTTAGCTCTATGCTCAGCTAAGGAGAATCTGAACGTCGCAAACTGTTCAGCTTTCTTTCTCACCCCGGCAATTGACCTGCCCTATAATGCGCAGGTTCTCGATGTTTCGGCGGCATTGGCTAAGAGTCAAGTGTCTAACTCTAACATCACTCTGAATCTCTGCAATGTGACAGTGACTTATACACACCCGAGCTGGAACGATAAAATCCATATCACCATATACCTACCCGAGACCGGTTGGAATGGCCGTTTTCAAGGCGTCGGTGGCGGCGGCTGGGCCACTAGCTCCGGCCTCAGCTCCTTATTGAGTCCTGTCGCTGCTGGCTATTCGGCTGGAACGACTGATGGCGGCCATGAAATCAATAGTTTATCGACTGCAGGATGGGCTGAGCTACCCAATGGTCAGCTGAACATGCCCTTATTTACTGATTTTGCATCCGTTGCTCTGAACGACCTCGCTGTAGTGGGCAAACAGATCACTAATCGTTACTATGGCTATGGACCAAACTATTCCTACTGGAACGGCTGCTCGACTGGAGGCCGACAGGGCTTAATGATGGCGCAGAAGTACCCGACAGCTTTTAACGGCATCCACGCGGGGGCCCCAGCAATCAACTGGCCAGTTTTCCTAGTTGCGGAATACTGGGGACAATTTTTGATGAATCAGCTTGTTCGTTACCCGCCTCAATGCGTTTTTGATGCCATTAATAATGCCGCGGTAGAGGCCTGTCGATTTATGGATGATAGGTTTATTGCGCAGCCAGGACAATGCTTATATGATCCGTTCCTTATGGTTGGCAAATCAATAAATTGCAACGGGACGCTGGTAAATATCACCAGCGATGATGCTACTATTGTCCAAAAGACATGGGAAGGTCCTCGGACAGCTGATGGCACACCACTCTGGTGGGGGATAAACCCAGGGACTCCCTTCGACGGGCTCATCGACACCGAATGCACGGGCTCTGTTACCAATTGCACCGGTAATGCATTTGGAATTGCCACCGACTGGATCTCGCGCTGGATATTGGAAGAGCCTGACTATGATTTCCAGAGTCTCACGCTTGACGGATTCGTCAAAATCTTCTACCAGGCACTGGTCAAATACAATGCTATCATTGGCACAAACAACATCGATCTCCGCCCCTTCCACCATGCTGGAGGTAAAATGATCACCTGGCACGGTCTCGCGGACCCGCTCATCTTCCCCGGGGGAACCATTGACTACTATCGCAAGGCGATGGCGTTTGATCCCGAGACCCATGAATACTACAGATTCTTCCCGGCACCTGGCGTTGGGCATTGTGAGAACGGTAATGGAGCGGTGCCGAGTGATCCCTTGGCAGCTGTTGTTGAATGGGTGGAACAGGATATTGCCCCGGATGTGCTGCCTGCTGTCACTACAGATGGCACGATCAATCGTAATCTGTGTATGTACCCGCTGGCTTCTTTCTATATTGGGGGGGACCCGACGGATGTGGGCTCCTTTGTTTGCAAGTTTGTCGGTGACTATATCGACAATATTATATCCTATGCGGACTTTGTCTTGAATTCAAACGGAAGTACCATTTTTGTCTAGTCCGTCGTCGTCCGGAATACCTAGTGTATGTATGCATTATGGATCTGGATAGGATAATCTAGGCGTAGTAAACTTGGTATCATGATATAGCTGATCGAGTGCTAGGGGCTAACTTTGTTTCTTCCAAGTAATGGTTGTGTTTGACAGGTCCCTCGCTCGCAAAGCTATGTAGGTTGAATTGACGCATCATGTTGGGCGATGTAGCATCGCATATATCATCTACATAGGCGATTTAGGGATTAGTATTTACGATGTTCAAAAGATGTACCATTCCCAATCTTGTACAAATCCCACACAGGAAAAAAGACTATCCATCCGTCAGCCTCTCTACTGATTCCGAACACAAAACGAGATTCAAGACACCGTTTCACGCCCAGAAGAGAAGCCGAAAGATCTTTTCGTCTTTTTTCATGTATGTGAGATTCCAGACTATAGTCACTCGGAATGGCTTAACGAGTTTGATATATCGCATCGAATACAGAGCTTATCCCCTTCTTTCCCCCCTTTCTGCAGAAAGTTTTCTGCAGAAAGATAGAAAAGAATGAAGGATTTCAAGGCATTAAACTCGCCTTGCACTCCACCTTGCGTCGCGAACAGTATATGCTGTCGTGATAGAAAATTCGTGTCAATAAATTGATTCATGGTATCGTAGTATTAGGACTATGAAAAAATGCGAGCTCGCTTGATAGGACTTTTGAATCCATTTGGCTGTAGAGTAGGCTGCAAAGCAGGTTGCAAAGCACCTGACATACTCGTCAACACACGGCTCATCCCGTCGACATCAAGCTGCCCTTGACTGAGCATGAGTTGATCTGTTTCTTTGCTGGGTTGCGAAGTCATGGGCAGGCCGACTGCTTGTTTTGTTGTCGCGGTAATTGCAGTTGAGAGATCGCGGCCAAGAATTATCAAACGATGCTCAGCCGCGATAAGTAATTCGTATTCTTGCTGATCACCGTTATCGGTTTCCGCTCGGAAGGGCGATGGCAGGTGCGCAAGACCAGTCAGTCTTTCACCGTACAGATTTATGCCCGCTAAAGGCGAAACGCGAGAACGGTTGGACGCGTCAAACGTTCCTGTGGCTTTGACAGAATTCCTCCACAGCGATAGCAAGCTCGGGATTGTGGCAACTTGGTCCCCGTGGCGAATTAGAATCGATTCCTCAGCCATAGCGGCTCGCGAAGAGTTGATCTGCACGACAGAAATTTCACCGTCGGATGATGGTGTAGCCAAAGATTGAGCACCTTTGAACAACGTGTCTTCTCGTACTCTTCGTGAAGATGGCGTCATTGGGGCAAACTTTCCTCGTTGCTCCGATTGACCCTCACTGGCAGCGGTTTGAGATTTGGTTATTGTCTGTGCGCCGCCGAGAATACGGCCACTGACAGAGTACGCTGTCAAAGATCCCCCAGTTATACCGTGAACGCTGGACTGACCGACGAGAGGTCCAGGCTCAGAGCCGGGACCTGCGCCTTCAATATCCCAGACGCCCCATTGACCATCAGAAAGAAGCACCATAACGGCTTTTCCGGACAGAACCCAGGCAGCGTCTACAATCATCTTTCTCCGCCCAAAGGCGCTGGGTGACTGCTCAAACCCGCTGTATAACGTGAGTAGCCATGTTCCTCCTCGTTCAGATTTTAGGTCTGTACCGACGTCCTTGCTCTCTTTCGAGGATGTCGAGCACGCCAAGACTTTGACATAACCATCTGGAAACGTCACCAAAAGGTGAGCATGTCGCGCAGAAGGGTACGGAGAAGGATTGAAGGAAATGGTCTTAGCTGAAGCAGGTAAAAGGTGTTTTTGTGGCAGTTGTATATCTTTATTTGGTAATGTGTAGGAACCGTTCGCAGCTTGTCCAATGGGTATGTTGTAAACAAGTAATGTTCCAGATGCCTCGGCAGCATGAGTAGCGACCAACAAATTCCATTGTCTGGTGGCAGTCGCCACTTGTTGTGAAGTGCTTCGGCCAAGATCCTCGTCTTTATCGTCTGTGTCGCAGGTAAAGGTAATCGAAACACCTTTGGGTATTTCATTATGCGATACAGTCGCAGCCAACACTAGTGTCTGGATTTTCAGATCTGAAACCTTGGTGCTGGGATGCGGCGGTGCAAGTGGCAAAACGATAACCCTCAGCTTCGAGTCTGCGCATGCAACAGATAACACAATCGATGTTGTCAGAATTGGAGGCACAGTATAACCCAAAGAACGAGCCTTTTCTGGTAGAAGCGACGGAACTGCTACTCTAAGAACTCTTGTTCCTAGTGGAATGTCCACATGTCGAATAATAGGCTCATACGGACGTGATGGCTCGATCTCGACTTCCTCCTCCTCGAATAGCTCGTACTCTATGTTATCCTGGTTGCCGGAACCTGGAGCAGGCTCCTCGTCGTCCGAATCAATAATCATAATCGAGTCATCGTTATTCTGGGACTTGGACGCAGTCTCTGTCTGACGACTGTTTGGTGCATTCTTCTGTCGAGGAGAAGGAAGAAAAGATCTGCCTCCCCTCCAGACTATCCTCAGACCATTGTCGTAGCCGTAGAGGAAGATGGACGAACCGTTCGGGGCAAGGACCGGATAAGGCTTGGAAGCGAAGACACGATGAGGGAGCGAATAACTGTATTCAGATTAATCATCGTGTTTCGAGTATGGATGAAGGATAGTCACCTTAGCTGAAGTCCGTCATCCCTGCTGCGCACCATTGGCGTCTTGAAAGAACCAGCCATTTCGATGACTTTGCGATCGACTATCGCATAGCCTATTTGTAACTGACTAAAGTAATGGACTCGATATAGTAATCAATGGCTGTATTCAGAATGATGATGCAGAGTTGTCTGTAGTATTCTAGTAAACTGCTTGAGCGTTGGGGGACAAAGGGATGTGGTGGTGGTTGTTGGAGAAATTTGAGGTCAGCGGGAAGGCGCGTCACGTCCTCCGCACGGCAAGAGACAAGCTTGTTCCGACAACCAAAAACAAATAAAACAACCAGACCCTCTAGGGTCAAGCACAACACACGAACATTAACAGACATCAGCAGCATCAGGATGAGACTGCCCATATGGAGACCTCTCTTGCTGACCTAATATCCAGCTCAACACCCAGAATCTGTCGCAATGGCCTCGGTGCGCTCACTAGGCCTTCACCATCCCCCCGCATTGCCTTTCCTCATCAACGAAGGCCTCCTCCCAATAGATCCCTCGGATGACGACTACATTTGGTATACGCAACGAGCCGAATCCGAAGACGATATTACATACACCAAGAATTGCGCCGTCTGGTCGCGAAGTGGCGTGGTGAAGCGGGTCTTTCGAGTTGGAATTGAGAAGGAGGAAATTCGCCATGTCGTTCTTACAAACTTTCCTTCGGTGACTAGTCGCGAAGACGCTCAGATATCTGACACGAAGTCATTTGGTCCGAAGGACATCAAAAATGTCGAGGAAGACGAAATGGCCCGGGTGGTTGTGGCTCCCATTGACCATGGATTCACCAAAGGACGACTGCATTCACAGGAAGATGACTCTAAAGCACTGGTAGTCGTTCTCAAAACACAGGCACACATATTCTTTCTCGCAGGCAACACACATGTTGTTCCTTTGCCATTTGAAGTGGACTCTGTATTCTCGTCCCCGCGTGGGCTGATATTCCAGAGACGGATTCCTGAACCACAATCGACGTCCTTGCCAAGCGCGCCACCAAATTCATTCTTATCACAAACCTTTACAGATAGCCGGAGAAGTGACAACTTCAGGTCTTCACGAGGCATAGAGAGCCGACTATCGTCCACAGCACAGCCATCTCGGCCACAGAAGAAGTCTGACGATCTTGATATGCCCCGTACCTTCTCCTTGACGGATCCTCATTCGGAGATGGGTCACGTCGTTGCCAATCAGTCTACACATGCAGCTCACGCCGTGCAAGATTCCTGGGCTTTTGACAGTCTAGATCCCATAGAAGAGATTGTCTACGTTTCAGCTGTGAATGAGCTTACTGGCGACAAAGTCTCTCCGAAAGAATCACCGCTGGTTCTTGTGGTCACGGTGAATACAGAAACAGGTCTGTACACCATTTGGACTGCAAAATTTCGGTCTGATGTTAATGCACAAATGTCGAAGAAGCGAAAGAAGCCGCTCGCCAGTGGAGCACGCTCAAAGCGACGAAGTTCGCATTATGGAATGGCCACAGGTGCTACGACCCCTGTAGCACGCCCTTCTGGTATAAGAGAGAGCATTGGTGCCGGCCGAAATATCCATGGGGCGTCCTTCTCTCAAAGTTTTCAACTAGAAGATCCTCCTGAGCAGAATGATTTTGCCTCCCAGATGGGACAAGACTTTGAAGAGCTTCGAGTGCCATCGAAAACCTCGCGACGTGTTAGTTCGTTGCTTGCTAGAACTGATTTAGGAGGCAGTCAAGATAGACAGGCCTTTTCCGACCTTGCAACAGGTAACCAAGGAGGGACAACAAATCATGGCAGTCTACGACAATCAATAGGAGGCTACAGTACGCGCACCAGCTTTGGATATAACTTGCGGAACTCTTTTGCAGGAAATGCTTCTATCTATAGTAGTACCAGCAGCTTCCTAGATGCTCCTGTTGACCGACTTCTCGCGGAACTCAACAATGGCGGTGACTTTGAAGGGTTCGAAAGTATGGACCTTACAGGTCCTATGTCCGGTCTACCTAAAGAAATGATGCTTCGCAAAGTTGAAAGTTTCTCATCGGGTCTATCAACTGGCAGTTTCTCCTTTTCTGAGCTGAAGCGGAGTCGTCCTAAACCTAAAGCTTTTACACTGCGACCCAACGAGAGTATACATCAGAAGACGACCAATTCATTCGCACTTTGCCTGCTTGATTCGATATCTAATTGCTTAGTTGTCGTCGATCTCAAGGTTCAGAATGTCAGCCTGTCCGACAGAGAGAGAAAAAAGCAAAAGACATCCCAGAAGAAAGGCGAAATATCCACGGTTGTTCATGCTATTGGCATACAACATGCTGCAAATGTCTTGGATGTATGCAAAATTGTCGACGATGGTATTTCAAGAATATTGACCCTCAAGTCTACCATGGATGGCAAAGGCGAGTTGGCCTTGCACTCCCCATGGAGTCCTTCTATTAAGATTGAACTCCCGCACAAGCTATCATTACACTCGCCTGACCGTCTTTCGATTGTCCAGAATCGAGCACCCGATACCGGCTTGAAGAGGGTTATAGATGACCCAAATCTGAAGCTTGCCGCATTCGGGCGCTCTTCCTCTCGCGGTCAAGTCGATGTTATCGATTCTCAAAAAAGATGTCACCGTATCCAGATTCAACTACAACCGACGAATCCACTCGTAAAAAAGGCGTTGGCTGTATGTCGGTTCGCACTTCGTGAATCTCGCCGAGCTGCGGATGGATTGTATACAGCTTGGTGGGAAGTCCTTCGATGGCTCTCTTCACGCGAATCAGATGAAAATGACCTAGAGTGGACCGCTTTTGTCGTTGTGATTTTTACTATGGCAGTCGGATTCATTAACTCGCCGCAACCTCGACTGGCTACTAAGAAACAAAGGCGCAAGGGTGGTATCTTGAGGTCGAGCAGCGGTAGCTACATTGACCAAGAAAGCTGGGACTCTATGACCGAGAAAATAGCTGGATCGTCTGGAGTCACAGCATCATGGATGATGAACAGTTCGTGGACATGGGCGACGGGTCAGAAAGATGACAGCGCTAGCAAACCATTTTTAGCAGAAAACCAAACTCAAACTGAGCAGTCAAAAAACTCCTACTTGCTGCGATGTGTAGGCCTCGCCCGTGACTTTTTTGATAGTCCTCAGGGTGAAGCTGCGTCGGGCTCTGAAGGGTATCTGCCTACTGCAATATCTCAGAGTCAAGACATACGGTGTACTGCCCTATGCAGCATCCTCGTTGGACTGCATCTATTGCGGGAGGAACAGAAATTATCGATTTGCGATAGCGAAAGTTCTTATCAGGAACGGGGAATGCTAGCTCCCTTACTAGCTCAGATTGGTGGATGGGTAGGATGGAAATCGTGGACTTGGAGCGAGGACGGTTACTTCGGCACAGAAATGGCGACAATCACCCGTTGGGCATTTGATGGAAGTCAAATATCTGGACTAGATATGCCAGCAGAGCCCTTTGTACCGCCTTCGATTTTTGACTACCTTCAAGGTTCGATCGTAGCGCCATCAGAGAATACATTCTCTACGCTTCTTGACATTTTCCCGGGGTCCGACCGCACGTCTGATAAGCCTAGTCTGAGGAAAGAAGTTATGGGACTAACTCCAAGAACAATGGCGATCAATGGATTTATGTCAGAAGTACATCGAACGTCTAGCACTGTTGACAAAGTGAAACTCCTACTCCGCTGGGGATTGACGGTCAGTGTGATTGAGAGCCTACCAGAGGGTGTAAGTGCACCGCTCTTTGAAATCATAGTCCGCGTCCAGATAAAACCACCAGTGTCCTGTACCGCTGCCTTGATAGGGCTTATTGACCGTGATGATCTTTATATTTCCATGGAGGTTGAAGGCACAACGCAACCTGCTTCCCGGCTGCAGATTGGAACGGGGCATGTCTCATCACGAGATGTCCACCACATAGGAGCTTCAACGCTAGATTACGAGCTTTCAAACTCTTTTGAGGCTTCTGTTGAAGCTGATCGAATGGCTGTTACTAGATTGATGTATCGGGAGGATAGGCGTCTTCAAGAAGCCTCAAGGCTTCTCAATCAAAGTAAAGCACCAGTAGCACAGTGTATACCAGAACCGGGATGGACCGACTCTGAGCTACTCGAAGCGCAAAAAGAAGTTGTTCAACTTGTTACTATGAGAACCCTTTCGGTGCCTGCAGGTCGAGCGTTGTTTATGTTCAGTGGTCGGTCGCCTTTGTTGACCGAAAAGCTCCCGATACCATCCTTTTCGCTGCAGTGTTTGATGAAGCCGTCAAACGTGACAATCAGCGCCGATAGATCGGCCTTTAACGAGGAGAAAGTATGCTGGGCTTTTTTTCACAACGGAACCGCAACGGGGCTGGCTATATCTAAGGCTTCCAAAGGCATTGACACATCTTGGATCCTATACAACAAACCCCAGGAACTTACAAATCGACATGCGGGTTTCCTGCTTGCTCTTGGATTAAACGGGCATCTCAAGAATCTAGCAAAATGGGTCGCTTTCAAATACTTGACACCAAAACATACAATGACTTCAATCGGTCTTCTTCTCGGATTGTCTGTGTCTTACTTGGGAACTATGGATACACTTATTACTCGTTTGCTCTCGGTGCACGTTACACGAATGCTGCCGCAAGGCGCAGCCGAGCTCAATCTTTCGCCGCTGACGCAGACTGCGGGCGTTATGGGTATTGGCCTCCTTTACTGCGACTCTCAGCATCGGAGAATGAGTGAAGTGCTTCTATCTGAAATCGAGAATGTGGAGCAGGAAGAAGTAGGCATTTCTCAAGAGACCCTTCGTGACGAAGGATACAGGCTTGCTGCTGGCTTCGCCCTCGGATTCATCAACTTAGGCAAAGGAAAAGATCTTCGAGGTCTACGAGATATGCAGGTGGTCGAGCGACTTCTGGCCTTAGCTATTGGTACCAAGAATGTTGAAATGGTACATATCTTGGACAGGGCAACTGCAGGTGCTACAATAGCTCTCGCAATCATCTTCATGAAGACAAATGACGAAATGCTTGCTTGTAAGATAGATATTCCCGATACGATCGTGCAGTATGATTACGTTCGGCCCGACATCTTTCTGTTACGTACACTGGCTCGACATCTCATCATGTGGGACAGCATTGAGCCGACCTCTGAATGGCTCCTCCGCAGTATACCGAAATCTTACAGGAAGAAACATGGACTTAGCACGATCCGACAACTTTCGAGCGACGACATGCCATTTTTCAATATAATCGCGGGTCTGTGTTTTGCGATTGGATTGCGTTATGCGGGCTCAGCTCACAGCCAAGCAAGAGATCTGCTCATCCGATTTCTTGATCAGTTCCGGCGGATCGTCCGGCTTCCTGCTTCGAATTATGATAGTCAATTGGCACGTAATTCGGTACGGCACTGTCAGGACATAGTAGCAATTTCAGCCGCAGCGATCATGGCCGGAACAGGGGATCTGAATCTGTTCAGGCGGCTACGCTCGCTCCACGGGCGAGTCGATGCCCATACGACGTATGGAAGTCACATGGCGGCACATATGGCGATCGGGCTGCTTTTCCTGGGCGGCGGATGCTACACTTTGGGCACCTCTAACCTGGCAGTTGCATCGATGTTGTGTGCATTCTATCCGCTATTTCCTACATCAGTCCTAGACAATAAGTGCCACCTCCAAGCGTTTCGACATCTATGGGTTTTAGCGGCGGAACCGCGTTGCCTTATTGCCCGGGACGTCGATACACGAAGGCCTATTAGCATTCCCGTATCGCTGCATATGAAAGATGGCACCACAAGAGAGACTACTGCGCCGTGCTTGCTGCCTAATCTAGAGGAGATCGCATCGGTCAAAGCGCACGGTCGAGACCATTGGCCACTAGTCCTCGATTTTGACCGAAACGAGCAATTGCGCGGAAAATTCCGCAGAGGCGATCAATCCATCTACCTACGACGAAACTCGACCTATGACCCATCGGAAAGCTCGGTCTTTGCTTCGACGCTTTTAGGGTTGAGTGAAGCACAGGATATCCTGCCGAGCACTGCGATAGGCTCATGGAGAAGACCAATACCGAACAACGTGGCGTTGTTGATGTCTCAGGGGCGAAGAGGAAACAAAGCAACCAATACCGTCAGGCAAGACGTGTGGGATTGGGTGTTTGCGTTGCGTCCATTACATGGGTTGGATGTTGGTGATCGTTCGGTAGTTTTGCCACCATCTGCAACATTCCATTTTCGATCGCGGCTTTTGGCGGCGGAGAATGGCGTGACATCGATGATCACGATTCCAGCTTGGCTTCGAGTTTCCTCGGTGGACAGTCGACTTGTACTGGAGAGCATGGTCAATGAGACCTTTGTAGGACTAACCACTACCCATGGCCCAGGCCATGCTTTTGACGAAGTCAAAGATCGTCTCTGGCAACTCCGCCTCCTCTTTGACTGGGTCGATCGCCAAGTGGAGCTTGAAAGACGGGGCGACGCCGCAGGATTAGCAGAAGAAGACGGTGAGAAAAACAGCTACGCACAGTCTACAGCGGTCCAGAAGCAAGCAAACAAAAAAGGAATCGAGGGCGGCTTGTGGCTGAAATACGACATCATTGAGCAAGCGCGCTGGAAGATCTGGGGTATTCAGGCCAGAAATCTGGAGAGGGAGACCGCCGGACACACGGTCTAGACCACTTACTCCTTTATTTTAGCGTTACGACTAGATATGTACGTACTTACTAAGTTACAAGTTATGCATTCATCTATGGAGTAATGTCAAATAATTGAATCATATTGTAAAGTGCCCAATATGTCCGATTACAGATTAGTATGAAGCCAGGTGTCCACGGAGTACTAATGAACACGAGGGCCTAGGCTCCTAAATAGTAAACGGAGCTATAAACCCTAATTAAGTGTTATCTTCAGGCGAAGCCATATTTAAGCACTACTCAGTAGCTGGTAAGGAGCTAAACACGCCTACTAACCAACTAATCGTATTTTTGAAAAAGCAATATGTAGGTTCCATACGAGGGGCTGTTTCAGGCCTTTTAATTATAGAAGAAAACTTTTTGAATGTTATGTACTGGTTCTATTGATAATTTTTTGATGTTAACATGAAAATCGTATGTTCAAACAGGCCTCTTTCTCTGTTCACTGATGTGATTCTTATCATTAAATTCTTTCCAAGCAATGATGAGAGATGCATTCATAATTCAGAACGCTCCGGCTCAGAGACACAAAGAACCTATGCCTCCTCCTTCGGGCGCTCCGCGAGTTCTGTCTGCTCGTTTGCTCCTGGGTAACGAGTACCTTTATTCTTGACCTTCTTCTCCTTTTTTGGTGGTGGTGGGTAAGCCTTAAGGTTGATTTCCTGCCATTCAGGCGAGGCCTCGTAGGCTTTGTTAATGGGTTCCATGAGACGGATTAGAGCCTCTGCTGCTGCAGGTTTTAGGAGTTGAGGGGTTAACTATATGTAAGCATTAGCGACACCTTCACTTAGTCTTCTTGTGAGGGACGGCCGTACAATATCCTTTGTGTAGTCGTCTTTGATTTGTTGAATATCGGTGTAGATCAACGGTTCTTCGTCGCGGCGCTCAACGCGGAATTCCTTCTTGCCCGCAAGAGCTGCAGCGGGGAGTAGGACGTATTCTATCATGGCGATTATGCCGTTGTTTTCGACGACTTTGGGAATGGCTTCGGATTTGCGAATCTTTTTGGCTACGGCCTCGGGAGAATCGAGGAGGTCAATTTTGCTGTCTTCGATACTAGAGCTCATTTTACCTCCGTTCAAACCTGCTACCATAGGTGTGACAAGATGCGCGCGCTGTGAAAAGTTCGATTAGTTGATCCTTTTTTCCAGGTTTGTAGCGCTGAGAGTGAACGCTACCTTTCGGTATCCGAGCTTGGGTAGCCACTCAGTCGCAGCAACGAAGAGTTTTCTTTGATCCAATCCACCGAGTTCGGCGTCAACTTTGAGGTACTCTTCGTCAAGGACCTGAAGAATTGGGTACAAAAGGCCACTCAATGGCGCATTCGCAGATTGCTTGACAATCTCAGCACCGGCCTTTTTCGCGTCATGTTCAGACGTCAAAGCTGCAAGTCTGTAGACGTCCATGACATATTCGGAGCTTCGTTGGTAGGACTAGTGACAGGTTCAGTCAGCACCCGCTTCTGATGAGCCTTTTCTTGGACACCCTTGACATACACTTCCGAGAACGAACTCGAGCTTCTCTGTCGACACACCGACAGCCTCGAGGATTGCCCTAATGACCTTCTCATAGTATTTGACACGGTTTTCGACCAATTCAAGAGGCGCTTTCATCGAGTCCAAAAACGCGTGAACATCGGCAAGCAGAATGACCACCTCACAGCCGGCTGCGAGTAATTGGGCGATTTTGATTGCGGGGACAAAATATCCGGAATGAGGTCGACCAGTGGTTGCCGTTCCTAGATGAGCGATATCGCATTAGTTGACCATAACAGACAATGTTAAACGTTTTTCATTCCTTACCCCAATAGATACGCGGGGCATCTCCCTTCTCGAGGATAGTCTCAATCAACTCAGGATTGAGAATCTCCTGGAGGTTCTCATTAATGAGAGAAAACCTCTCTTTTGCGGACGCAGCCATCTTCAGAAAGACTGACTTATTGACTGTTTGGTTGCGACTCGGTATCTGAAATATAATAGAGAGAAAAAAGCAGAAACCAAAACCCCGCGAAAAACCGGCAGAATAGATCAGTCAATAAGGCGGTCAGTCGCATGAGTCACGCGGGTGACCTTTGTAAGCAAGTCACATGATTAAGTTTAGGATCGGTCAGGGTTATGTTAGCCCTAACCGTACTTTATGTTCCTCCAATTGTAGAATTAGTCGTGATAGTATAATATATCGAGTAATTGAGAAGCATTTCTCGACCTGCCAAGAGGCTTTGTGAACATGATCTACTACGCGGACTGCGCAAGAGAACGAGATCATTGGCCAGACCTTTAAGTAGCGAGTAGCATGAAATGAAAAGTCCCGAAGCGGACGAAGCGGGACTTTGTTAGCATTTCAGCTTGACCTCTTCATCTTGATTCCTCAGCCCATTAAGAGCGGCGTACAAAGGTCAAACTCAAACAGTAAGCCGTAAGCGCTAGAATGGTTAAGGTTTGCCATGCGAGACCAGTAATACGCACCGTCCTGTAATAAGTCTAGACTCCGAAAAATTGATGGAACCAGAAAAATCATACGATCTTGGAAGCCCACCCAAGATTCATAATTTATGATTCTACAGGCATAATCGAAAGTTTGGAAGGGTGGAGTCAGCATGGACTGTGGATAGAGGGCGGTGGAGTTGATATGACCAACCCAAAACTTAGGGCAAACTCACTTTTGCGGAGGCCATGTTTATTAGGGAACCAGCAAGATAACAGAATGCTTGAAAAATTGAGGCGTTAATAGAGAAGACTGATATCATAGCATGAACTGGATTATAGGCGGTGTAATGTTTAAACGTCTGAGAGTACTCTAAATAACCCTTGCAATCCGACATATGATGCAGGTGGCCTCAATGAATGCTCGATCACTAGTCGCCAATACCTGGGGCACTGATAAATGATCATCCCGTGTACGAATTTACGAAATTAGTAGTAATTAATTTGCGTGCTAGTACTTGGCAAACGAGGTACGAACTATTACGAAGTAGGCAATAGCCTCTTGATACGCTGTTACAGATGATAATGGAGTGCGTATGTTCGGGGATCATGTACCCGATTTTACTAGTTTGTGTATAAATCAAGATTGTCAGGATCCATATGGACATGCTAAGAGTTGGCAGGGTCTAGGCATATATGGAACAGCCCCCTATTTATGGAGTTACTACCTACATCCATTATACTATTGAAAAGTTTGTTGACCGTGCCGAGATTGATAACTCACAATATGAACTACTTAACACCATTTACCTCATCCGGGTTCGTCGGATGGGATATCTCATCCTGAAGTTTCGTCCGAATAGCAGGACTCCATAGCCCGGACTTAGTGGACTGTGCACCTCTCTAAATGGGTACCGATTCGTGATGCGCCTATTTAGTGCGGTGCCACCCTCGTGTCTTGTTAGTCCCGACTCGCATCTAATACGTACTACAGTCACTAACCTGGCAGGAATTTCCGAATTGCGACTGGTAATGGCTTGCTTCCCCCATGTTTTCTAATGGAGTGCGGCGGCATTCTCTAGTAGCCTAGCAATGATACGGCTCGTTTAGGCTGTTTAGGCTGTTTAGCTGCAGGGAACTAAAGAAAATAAATTGCAATCCAACATGCAGGTATCCAATCATAAGTAGAAATAGGGAAACGGCATTGTTATACGCCTGAAGCATACTTAGTTTCGGAGTCTGGAAGATCAGCAGTTGCGTGCATAGTACATAGTAGTCCGTGGTCTATGTATACCGACACTCTAAATAAATACGTATTAGGAACATTGATTACATAGCACAAAAGGAACAATATCGAGTCTATATTTCTGGGCACCATGGCTGTGGATGCCCGGGGCCGTCCCGTTATGGAGCCTAACCCGTTCGCTAACTATCAGCTTCTCCATTATGGCGCTTGGAAAGATAATGCGATTGATTGATATGGGACGGTGCACCCCACAAGAGTCTGGAGTTACGGAACTTCCTACGTGACTAATTTGTACGTACATGCTACAACGGAGCGCGTACTCCGGAGACCCTCCCGTCAGTCTGTCAGTCAGATCTTCCTTAATCCTTTCAAATTTGTAATTGACACACGAGACTTCTCCACAATTCTTCTGATTTCTAAGTTTTGGGAGCTAAGTTCGAGTCATTTGGTCCGAGGAATATCTTCGGGGTTTTGTTGCGACGACAGAGTCAGGTACCACCGGAAACGCACATCCATCTCTCCGCTCGAGATGCATCCTTTTATCAAGTAGTTCAAAATGCCTAGGCAAGTTTTTGTAGTATGATTTGATATCCATTTACTGATTATTCATCGTCGATTACTATTGGCTTCCATCGATTAATCAGCTAGTCTAGGCTAGTCTCTAACCCTGGTCACGGATTAATTGCCCATAGTCAACTTATCAATTCATAATCCCAACACATAATCTTCCTTTCCCACCCACATACCCCCATCAACCCCCCGCCTTTTGTTCTTTGCTTGTGGTTGTACAAAGGCCCCTAACTTTCAAGCTTTTGCTGATTTGTGATCGGTCAATCATCGCTTTGCTCGCTGCATTATCCGTGGTCCAATCCAATCCGCACATACGGGTCTTTTTGTGGTTACGCGCGGTTTTGAGTGTCTGAATTTTAGCGAAGTTATTGGATAGGGAGTGAATGAATGAGTGATGCCGAGCCGTCAGCGGAAACAGCCCGAGAATCGACGCAGGACTGGTTGTTTTCAATGCAAAGGTCTCTCTTCTTGCATTACCTGTACCAAAAACTTGTTATAGCTGACGTTTTACAACAGAGAAACATGTTCAGTGTACAGAAGAAAAACCGAGCTGTAAACGTTGCGAGCGCTTAGGGCTACAATGCGTCCGAGGCATCAAGCTACTTTTCCGCGAGGATGCGATTGAGCGCGGCATCCACTTCGGACGAGAGGGTATGATTATGCAATCAAAATATGAAATCTTACTAATGTGTGTTCATATAGGCACCTGGTCGAAACGATGCAAACGAATCAAGAAGCCACCGATCCTCGAATTAGACAACGATTTCACCGGAGTTCCCCTGGATCAATACTACGGAAAATGGATATGGTTGAATACAACATACAACGATTTCACCGGCGAACCAGATAATTGGGAGGATGGCGAGAATGACGCGGGATTAACATCGACCGTCGACAGTGGCTCTGGTCGTTGGGTGCTCGCACTCGGACAGCACGAACAACAGCAACAACAAATAATCAATCAAATACCCAAGACAAGATCACTCGGAAATCCATTGAGTTACTATACGCACTCCGAGGCATATTTACTGGACTATTTCATCGGAGCCATTGGACCAAATTGCTCATTGAGCTCGTCGCAAAACCCATACATGTCGCTGATCCCGTTACTCTCATACACGACGTTCCGAAATACCATCCTTGCCGTATCGGCAAACCAACTGACCTTGCTGGGCGACACGAGATATTCCCGAGAGGCATGCATGTATAAACAAAAGGCGTTGACGGGCTTGACGCAAGTTGATGGGACAAGCACACCGCATTTTGGCGTAGTGGCTTCTGTGATGATGCTATGTTTTCACGACGTATGTTCCTATCATAAGTATTCCTGGTGGGGAGTAAAACGTTGATCAGAAGTAGATCTCGGATAATTGTTCGCCTTCGTGGGTTACCCATCTACGCGGAGGGCTCGATATGACACAGTATCTCCCCACGGGGTCGGCGCAAATGGAGTCTCTGAAACGGTTCTTTAATATGTATTTCGTTGCGCATGATATAATGAGCCGTACGGCGCCGCTTGACTATGAAGATGAGCCGGAACATGAATGGTTGGAGAATGACGATCTGGATGAGGTATGTACACCTCGACCCGATACACACAGAGGAAAGAGGCTAATGTATGTCACAGGTTGACACAACTGTTGGCTGCTCTCGTCGTCTAATGACACTCGTCAGTCAGACATCTAGTCTGGCTCGTCAGAGGCGCAAGGTGAAAGACACGGACAGTGACTTCATCAAAAAATGCGAAGACGTCGGAATGGGACTGGAAAGTCTACATCAAAAATTGCCTGCAGGAACATCGCCCACGGAAAGCTTCATTCTACAAATTGCTGAAATCAAACGTTTGAGTGCATTGCTGTATTTCACAGAAAATCTCGGTGATCTGGTCTCATCGTCGTCGCTATCATCGGCAGCTGTCACTTACAGTGGTCAATATCATACCTGCTCAATGCCTGCATCGTCATATTTCTCCTCCAGCGCCTCAACGTCGTCGTCAACGTCAACCTCATCAACAATATCCTCATCCTCATCATCCTCATCAGCATCCAAGAATCCCACAGCCACAAAGCAGCGCCTCGTCAGCATTATAATCGATTTAATCTCCACCCTCCCCAACCCAAATAGTGCCTCGGTAATGTGGCCATTATATATAATCGGGCATAGCACAGGTCTCGAAGACGAAGCTCAACGTCGCTTTGTGCTCGAGAGACTAAGAGCAATCCAATCAACACGAAATCTGGGAAATGTGCGGCAAGTGAGGTTGGCCGTGGAGAAAAATTTCAGGACGATGGATCTGGATTTGTCGTCTTCAACAGCGGCAGTCTCCACATTATCCTCGAAGGGACGTGACAGTGTTGTTTCAGGCAGGATGATCAGTTTAGCCTGATTCAAGTCCTCCCATGACCGTCTCTTCACGATTTTACATGACCAGGACAAATGTTTTCATTCTTACAGTCTCTTCCTTTTTCTGATTGCGTTTATCTTTCTGTGTGTGTGATTTGAGCGTGTCTTAATATGAATACCCCCCAACGTGGAATTTGCGATCAAGCGAGCTGTGTCTCTCATTTGCGATAGAGATAAAACGGACGGATCTCTGGATTTTTTCTTTCTTTCGTTATTTTTTTCTCCTTTCAGGTGTATTGGGTCGGCTCGATTGCTGCAGGTGTCTTTGTCTGTCGTTATTGCTGATAGGATCAATACATATTCAAAAATTTGAAGTCGTACTATATGATAGAGCTTAAATCTTCTCAATCGTATTTGTCCTTCTCTATCCAGAACCAACCTCAGCCCAGGCTTCGATGACGACTAATATCTCCACCTTCAGTGACCAATATGTTGGCTGGTAGTATTGCGGCATTTCATTATCCATCAATGCTCCATGGTGACTTGTTCAGTTAGTTCGACATCTTGGATCAAGACTCTCGTACGCACAACGTCTAAAAGGGAAGATCCCAACGCTCTGAGTGTATGTCCAATTGTGTCCAGAATCCAGACTGTCTGGATAGCTGCCGAGGTGCCCCCAACATTGAGCAAAGACGATGGTAGAGGAGAATTGGCTGTTGCGCCTGAGACATGAATTGAGTTCCCTACCATGAATGCGCGGCAGTAGCCATAATCAATTAACAGACATCTGCATCTGTATCAATCTGAAGAAGGGTGGTGGTAGATGAGGTTAAGCGCACGGGGAGAACAAAAGATATAGCCAACAACCCGGGAATTGTACCTGCTTTATAGTCTCGTGTCAAAAGTTTTCTGTTAATGCAGTCCCATACTCCAGAAATCATTAGGAATGAATGACTCCCGCATGAACCACATTTTGTCTACTTAGCCTGTCGCATTTTAGAAAATGTTCTCTCAAGACTCTACGATGAATAGATACATGCACAATTGGATTGCAAACCCAAGTTCAGAAAGCTGAAAGTTATATAGTCCTTTTGTTTGACGATTTTTCAATATTATCTGAGAGTATACATGACACCCTTAGTCATTCTGAGATCTGTGTATCTGAATTATTTCCGGATTTTTCGAGCTCTATAGACTCTGCCTATAATTCACCATTACAATACTCCCTTCCTTGCATAACCTTGTCCTCGTTATCTCCTTGGACGCCTTCTAGGACCTTGAAAATCTCGCCATTAACCGAAACAGTACTGGACACATCAGTGGGACGCACAACATCAATGAAACGGTCAATCTCTTTTAGCGCAAGGACCTTCGTCTCAGTCCAGTAAATCAGAACATAGATGAGTCAGAATATCCCAGGCGCCGTCAATAATGTAAAGGTTCTATGAGATGGCCGCAAGAACAGAGAGGAAAACGATCAAACACCCATTAGTGTAAGCCCTGGATTGGTACTAAAGAGTTCGAAGGTCGGAACTTATCCTGTCAGTATGACACACATGGTCCAGAGTGCCTTCCCTTTGCTCTTAAAGACTAATTCATGACTTCTGGAGATATCATCGAATAATTGGTATGAGGTATCAACACCCGCCTTCCCGAAGATAAAGAACACATGGATGACCAAAATACCAATATAGAAGAAAAATAGTATGAACTGAAGAGATCATATTTGCTTCTCGCTTCAGACGCTTCAAGCTATGTTAGCTGATCAGATATAATTATTGATGGGAATGACACGCGTTTTAGCTGTATCATTAATTTTCATATTGTCTACACGGATCTTGTACAGTATTTCCAACTTTACTAGAGCATATGATAGACAGTTGAGAATCAACCAAGTATGTGCTTAAGTGGTTGCAGATTTGTCAGCGGTCACTTCCGACGTGCTTCCGCGGAGGTAAATACTTAATATTCCAACAAGCATTGCAAGTTTGAAATCAACATACTCCTCTGTGTAGCAACTCAGATTGCTATTCTCCATATTGGTCAGCTAATTAAAAACTAAAAAAGATATGATGGAGGGCTCAGAAGCTCTCAGGAAGGTATAAGCGATATCATTGTCTTACGCATATTTCTCTTGAATAAGGCTAACGAGTATACGATGTGAAGACCTGTGACTTCTGTTATCGGCGCAAGATGAAGTGTGATAGAAAGAAACCTCGTTGCTCACACTGTATTGCATATATAAAGGACTGTACCTACACGGCGCCATGTCGAAAGTCCATATCGAAGAAACAGCGGAGCTCCTCCGCAAAGAGTGACAATAGTATCGGCAATACACAAAGTCGATTGCAGCACCTAGAAACTCTGCTTGAGGAACTAAGCGAGCGTGTAAAAGTCGCTGAAGAGCACAATGAGGTTCAGGCTCAGTTCCAGGTACAAGAAAAAAGGTCTATTGAGACGGTATCGACGTCAACAATAGCGACAGGAGGCGTTGAAAATGCAGACCAGGGAAACATTCCCAAGTCCTTGCATCTTCCTCCCTTACATCACATTTTGCCTATTATTCAAAGATTTCTGAGGAATTCAAACGCGATATTACCGCTATTTCACGCCAAATCCCTTATACGTCTAGTCCACAACTTTTACAGTTTGGGGCCTCAACAGAGAGACCCGGTTGCATGGGCTGCTATTAATGTAGTACTAGCTCTTGCGCACCGACAAGGTCTGGCTGGGAGCAACAACACTCACTTCTCAGTCGATTATCTCATCAAAGCGGAGTCGGTTCTCTCAATCGTCGTTTTGGGTGATATACAGCTGCTTAACATCCAGGTTCTGGTAGGAATGGTATTACTCCATCAAGAATCGCAAGATCTCCAACAGGCAATGATATTGATTGCTACAACAATGCGTCTCGCTCACAAGATCGGTCTACATAACCGTGTCTCCTCGGAGCTTCTAGATCCTATAAATGCGAGAGAAAGAGCATGCGTTTTTTGGATGGCGTATATTCTCGACAAAGATCTTAGCATGCGGTCGAAAATGCCATCAATCCAGCTTGATGACGACATTGACCTCGACCTGCCTTCTCAAGAAGATGACGAGAATCAGATTGATGATGGATATGGGAATAATAATACTAATATATGTGTAGGTGTAATTACTACCATCGACGGAAATGTGAAGATGAATTACTTTGTAACTCGCATCCAGCTGGCTGTTATTGAAGGGGGCGTCTATGACTATCTATACTCAACGCGCTCCCAAAAACGCAATGCAGAAGAGCGATCTCACGCGCTAGAGAGTGTAGCCCGTGCTCTTGCTACGTGGAAAGCTTCTATACCGCTCGAGTTCAGTGCCTCCATGGCCCTAGAAAGAGTGACTAATGATATTCTCCGATACGTTGGAGTCTTGCACGCTACCAGTATGTTGTGCACAAATATGCTGAACCAGGCAAATGCTTGGAACTCTCAATGGGTGGGAAGTATACGAAAATACGCAAAGGATGGCACAGTGCCCACCCTTCCGTCTCCATGGGATGAATTGGTGGATGAAGCGCGTGATCTGGCTGTCTTGCTTAGGGCTCTGCCCGCACCGGATCGATGGAACTTCTGGTAAGTATGCACATCAGCGTCGCTGAGTGATAGTCACGTTATCAATCCACCCTCACATGTACATTTAATATATCACTGCTCGATGATGCTGACTAGCTATGATTTAACAGGATAATGGGCTGCTCCGATATGGCATCTATGATGCTGTTGACGGTAAATGGCATGCAAAGGCCCCAGAAGGATACGCTGTCCTTGGATGAGCAACTGATTGAAGCTGGTTTGAGAATACTCGACAAGGTAATTGAACACACTCAAAGTGAAGTAGTGCGATCTTTTCAAAAATTGTGCACTGAGTTACTTCAGGATTCTCGGCGACGACGCCTTGAAGGTTGATTGAGGATACCTGGATTTATACGTGCATTGTATTCGCTTGATCGGTATTGAATCCTGAAATATGCAGTTATTCCTAACTCTTCGATTGCCTCATACACGCCCAAGTCGTCTGCGAATGTATCAATCTAGGGATCATGGCACACAATGCCTGGTTGTTATTGTCGTGCTGGACTCTGCCAAGCGTATGGTCATCCTTATCATGTCAATATTAGAGTAATTGGCGCTCTCCATGACTATTAAAACGGTCTGACAAAGAGAAAGACTTTGAGAAACAAAGCTATTTAACAAGCTACAATATCAACACTGCCTCCTCGTCCTACCACGTATTCAACATCGATCGACCAGACTATTATATATGCATGTAGTTAGCATGGTTACATCTCGGCTAAATTTCCTCGTTATAGCTATTTTCGATTTCCAAATTTTCTAGACTGGTGCCTTGGTCTATTTGTAGTCGAGATCGCTGAAATCGCTTAACATTACCGCATCGAGACTGCTTGATTGGCCGCAGGATTTAGCCTCAGGAGAAATTGATAAGCCCACCATCTCGTTGTTTTATTTAATTTTGTTCAACCATTTAATTGCTTTTTCAGGTTTATCCTTATCCTTATCCAAAGCCTCAAAACTCAAACTATATTTTAACCATGGCCGTCGTCGGAACATTCATCCTAGCACAGGGCCTCCTCTGGTCTCTGGCATACGGCGATGCTTCGAACTTGAACCCTAACGGCGAAGGCTGTGTCGACCCAAGTGGCTATCTCCAATGTTATCAGAACAATATTGATCAACTTAGTTCATGCATGGAAGAAGTACAGAAGACCTGTTCAGCAGATACACTCACGGAGTGCGAGTTGGGCTGTGGAGATGCTCAGTTGGCTGCGAATATCGGCTGTTGGCTGACGAGTTGCTGGAACCAGGTCTGATCCACCTTGCCTTCCCAAAAGTCCCCTCTGATGCTGACCGGCTCTAGGTTTACTCGTGTGCTTATCAAGAAACTGTGCTTCAATATCTCACTGGTGCAGATCTAGAACAAGGCCCGACACCTGTTCCCTATTATCCTGCACCAGATAATGCCCCTGGCGGATGTGGTAAGTCAAAAGAGCTTCAGTCAAAGTTAAAAATTACCAAAAACCACCCACTTACAGGCTATTTGGAGTGCAGTGTGCAATCTAGGTTACATCTGGGGGAACTTCACCGTGACTTATGCCAACCAAAACCCTTGTTCGTCCTATAACATAGTTTCTGCTGGTGTTGGTGCCGAGGCTAGCTGTCAGTGCTGTTGGGATTCATCTATTATGTCAGAGTGAGTGACCAACTAGTACTGCGCATTTGTCGAGAACTGTTTTTTTACGATGTTGACGAACCGGTTTTAAAGTATTGTCGAGCTGTGCCCCCATAATGACCTCTCCGATCTCGACATCGGCCTAATGCTTGATACCTTTGAGTCTGGTTACAACAATTCAGCTTCTGATCAATGCTCTATCCTCGCGGATGGTGGACAGTGTGTTAGCTCATTTGGCATCGACACAGTCGCAAGTACATGGTACAACCCAGGTCAACTTCCCTCAGGCTATCCCGGAACGGCGCCACTTTCAGACACCACTGCAGGTGGCAGTCTCACAAGTGCTCCGGCTCCTTACACATATTCTATCTTCCCAAGTTATATATCCGTCATTACGCCGGCTCCATATAATGCCAAAAATGCCGCAGGAACAGGAACTGTTATCGAAACTTCTTCCGCTACTGGAACCCCTGCTGCTGGAACCTCCGCCACCGGGACCTCTACTACTGGGGCCTCTACTACTGGGGCCTCTAAAACTACAACAGGCTCCACGACTGGTGCTGTGAGCTCTTCTACAGGGCAGAAGGGCGCTGCAAACAACCTTTTATCTCAGATCAGCTTTGGTTATGGAGTCTGGGGTCTAGCTATACAGATGTTTGCTGGTGCTCTTTTGTCTATCGCCGTATGAGTTGCATATTGATACTAAGGGAAATCCTTCCTCTGACGATATAAAGCATTGTCCCAAGTGCTGTTGAGACATAAGATAGCTTAGGGTTCTGTAAACTTGAGCTATCAATAGGTATGCGTTGTGGTGTCATAGTTGGAGTTGCATCATAGAATATCCTAGATGTTCACATCAAATATTTGAAATTCTATAAGAGTCTGACTAATTTTTATCATCCGGCTTACTTAATTGGGTTCCGCGGAGGTCTTCCGGTGCCTTGTCCGTACGGTTCAGTCCAGCAATCAGTAAGTTACCATTTATCAGCGTGTCTTCCACGGAGTACAGTCTCACTGGAATACTTGAATTTGGATCTGAATCGATTAGTTGCTGGCCGGGTATGATGATGTTAGCATACGTATATAAGTATTCAAATGCCACCAGTTATGGAAATCTCTCCCCTTCAGAAAGATACAGACCATACTACTTGATTGACTGATCATTTTTCGTAATAGAATTTGAGTCGGACTGACGCAAAGATGGGTAGCGACACCGAGCTTTACCCAGGGGATAAATACTTTGAATCCTTCACCAAGATATGGCACAACAAACCTTACCCCCAAATCTCGCCCCTCCGCTCTGAGTTACAGGTCTCTGGGAGTGTAGTCTTCATCACGGGCGGCGGTACTGGCATCGGCAAGGCCACTGCGATCGCCTTCGCGCAGGCCGGTGCCAGAGTCATCGCGATCTTTGGGCGCCGTATTGATAGACTACAATCCGCTGCTGAAGAGATCTACAAAGCCAACCCGAATGGGACAACTGAGGTGGTTTTTGAAAGCGTCGATTTGACCCAGCGTATGGCTTTAGATGCTGCCTTCGCCAGTGCCATCAAGCATGCTGGAGGATCCAATATTGACATCTTCATACACAACGCCGGCATCCTCCAGACGCCCGGAGTTGTCGCCGGCTATGATGAGAATGAGTACCGCAAAGGCCTAGAGCTGAATATGGTTGGCGCTTTTAACACGGTTCAAGCGATGTTTCCTTTACTGGCGCCCAAAGCTAAGGTGTTCAACATCTCATCGTGCATTTCACACATCAGTGTTATGCCTGGTTCCTGGGCCTATGCAGCAACCAAGATTGCAAATACGAAGATGTTCGACTACCTGCAGATCGAAAATCCGGATTTACATATTGTTAATGTTCATCCTGGCGTCGTGAACACCGAGATCAATGCCAATACAGAGCTAGCAGGCGTGGGGGTAGACGAAGGTAAGCAGACGTCTGTTTGATTGTATGTCTCTGACTAGATATTTACTAATTTCTATTTGTAGTCGAGCTCCCCGCTCATTTTCTCGTTTGGCTTGCGTCTCATGAGGCCGAATTTCTCAAGGGGAAGTTTGTATGGGTCAATTGGGATGTGGATGAATTGAAGGCTCGTGCGAACGATATAAAGCACTCGCGAATACTGAAAATATTGCTTAATGGTGTGCCATTGTAGTCAACCCATCGCATCGCTCAGTTAGGAGGGAGAATGAATTTTACCTCGTTCAGAATAAGATCATCATTATATATACTTAGAGAAGTGGAAGTATTGATCCGATTATTACCTGATGGTTTCTCCCAGCAAAGTAAGGTCGTGTGCAAATTGATCATTAAACTCAGCCTCACCAACCGTCAGCCATGTATGCAAAAGAAAACAAGAGGATCATCTATAAGATGAACATGCAATACAAGGAAAAAGTTCTATCAATCTGTTCATGCAACGCGCAGTGTACGATGTTTAAAAGAAGAAATGGTCCACAAAATCATGTTCAAAATATGTTCAAAGCAGAAAAAAATAGATCGTTTCATCAACTTCAATTTGTCTGACCTCGTTATCCGTCCTCGTTCGTGTATAAGTACCAGTCAAGGCTATTAATATATGTACCGTAATAACGACACCACCTATGTCGTATACCGGAAGTCCAATTGTTCAAAGTCTGTCAGATCTGCAAATGCATATTCAGATAGGCTGTCCACATCAGATGCATAGTTATTGTTGGATAGATTCATTGTAGGTATCGGTCGAGACGTCATTGCCGAGGGTAAATTTGATGATGCAATAGCTTCTCGCTTCGTATTGAGCACCGCAGCGAGGATCCAGTATATGCCCATAAGGCCGATGCAAATACAGTAACAGATAAGCATGGAGACGAAACCGCCCGTGTATGCGGGTGCCTGATTTGCGCGGAACGTTTGAGGTCCGATAAGATTGCCTTGACTTGTAAGCTTTTTGATCTCTGAACATAGGATCAAAAGGGAGATTAAAGTACCGACTGCATAGCCAATATACATGATAGAGTATTGGACGCTTTTTTTTGTATAGCCAGCGGTGTTGGCTTGTCCGAGAGAGATGCCTTTGTCATGTCAGATCGATCCCAAAGCAGAGAACGAGTAGATGAAGGTAAATTACCCAAAACGTAAGGCCCAAAGTATGTATAAAGCTAAGAAGTGAAAGAAAACAGACACCATTAGTACAAGGCTCAGCTATAGAAAAATCACCACATACCAGATAAATTCCGACCATCTGACCTCCAATATTCGTCCTCGGTAGCGCATACACCAATATTGCACCAATAGCTGGGATAGATGCCGCAATCATGGTAACCAAACATCGACGATTCGTCCATTTGGCGGCAACCCATGAGAATATGAATGCAGATAACGTGGACATGATACCGGTGGGCATATTGAGAAGAGATGTCTGGACGGCGGTAAATCCGAGGTTGTTTACGATGATACCATTGAAGGTTACAAGACCTAAGAACGTCTCAGCACTTTTCGTTGTGAGAATTGAAAGACAGAATTTGTTTTACCTCCGTTTGGTACATTGATAGCGATATTGAATAGAAATATGATCCAAGTCTTCGGGTCGATAATGGCTTCGACGGCTTGTTCTTTTTTCCATGTTTTACTTACAATGCCTGTCTTGTTCTCCGCCAAACGAGTAATGATGGCGTATTTTTCTCGCTCGCTCAGAAACCAAGCGTTCATCGGGGTGTCTGGAAGGTACAAGAAGGCAAATATTGACCATGTGAGAGATATAGTTCCTAGTTACAACAGTACCCTCTCAGTATCTTCGAATTCTTATATTTTGAAGGAGGGTTCATGAAACACGAACCAGTAATAAGAAACAGATACTGCCATTTTGCCAAGGGCGCCGAATCTGGGATTTGCCCTACAGCCCAAGACAGAAAACCGTTGATCACGGAACTGATGGCGGCAAATGCGACGGCATTGCGAGGTGGCTGTTCAGATTTTTTGTAGAAACCTGCGATAACCAAAGAGATGGATGGGACTATAATTCCTTCTAGACAGCCTGAAAAATAATTCTATTAGCATCTAATCTCAGATCGACAAGGCGCAATGAGGAAACGTGAGTAATACCCATCAGAAACCTGAGAATCATCAAGTGCGCAAAGTTGCGACATGCTGGAATCAACAACGAGAGAATAGACCAGCCAAATGAGCAACTAGCTAGATATTTTGCCGACGGAACACGTTGAAGGGCATATGACGAGGGCCACATGCCAACAATGCACTGTTGAGAGACTCGTTAGGGCTCGAAGTAGATCGTGAGGTTATCAGTCATGCTCACCCCGAAGTAAAGAATTGAGCCTGCCCATGAGTACTGATTGCCGGTAAGATGTAAATCTGCAAGATGGAAGAAATAATTGTTAAATTGGTATTTTTCCCCCTTGAATTACGAAGTAGGATGAAGAACATACCATCTCTCAGCCCGTAAATAGCTGCAGTACTAATGGCAACTTTATCTACCGCACCTAACGAAGCGGTCAAGAGAAGCTATAAAAAACCAGAGTCAAAATTTAGCGATGCGTCATTAGTTAAGGTGATATAGTGCGAACGCTTTGACATAATAAGAAAAGCGACTCGAGGAGGCCTATGCCCTAAGGCGACCCATGCTAGACAAGGGTCTGCATCTTGCCTGCTTGCTCGTGACTACCTACATGCATGGAAGATTGAAGTGGAAGAATCGATGCATGTGCGAACGGCAAGAGCAAGAAGACCGGTAAAATTAAATCAGCCGCGGCTTAATTAATTACATACCTAAGGCCCTTATGTATGTATCATGCATGTCATATCAAGGACCGACCTCAGCTTGGGGCAATCCAAGCAAGCTCAACGTGAATTTTGTTGTGAAAAAAAAAAAAAAAAAAAGGAAATGATTCGGGTATAGATGAGAGATCGGTACGTACCATTGGGACGAGAATCCAGTCTATTCTTCGTATTACTTTCTTCTCTTCTAGGGGTGATAGAGGAGGATATCTAGTGGTTGTCTGCGCGATGTAAATCGCGGCTTGATCCATGGCGGATAAATGTTTAGATGTCAACCGACCAACCAAAAAGAGGGAATAATGTAGGTGGCCTTGATATACCAACAATAAAGATTGAATAGAAAGTAAGAAGGGAAAATAAAAGAGTATGTAAAAGATATGAAGCAGACAAAATAGAAAGAGAGTTTGAAGATGGTTTCTAATCCACTATATAAGTAAATCCCAGGAGAATGGATGAAACGTTTAATAAATTAGATCTTAGAATACAGAATGACGGGCCAATACTTTCCGTTCGTTTCAACAAGCATGAAAGATCCAAATTAAGCTACTCAGATCCTGACATATGTTAGAGAGTGGGAAAGAACGAACAAAGATTCAAATGTCAGAGCTTACTTCTTCTGGCCCGCCTCCGGCGACAGGAGGAACAAGAAAGATGACCATAGAAGGAGCTGAAGATTTAGGTACATAGTACTAGTAGGCCATTTTTGTGGTCCTAGGTACTTCACCTGTTAGTGGCTCCAAAAGTGACGCTATTTTATTGGATTTAGGCATCTTATAAAAAAAGAGCACCTCTATCAAGACGTGGAAATGGACGATCAATGTGATATGATTGGCCTCACTCTTCTTCTTTCAGGTTTTTGCTGCAAGATTTGTCCTCATGATACGCCATCGCCGATGCAAAACCGAGTGGGTTTGTAATGCAATACAGCCTCCACCCTTCCATGGGCTCATCTAATAGTATGTTAGTACGCCATTACGCAAGGACATGGAGCACTAATGTATGTCATTGATTAAATAAACGTACATGATAGGGCTGAAATGTAGGACCGTCTATAAATCCACTCTCCTAGATGTATGCCTGTTTAAAGCACATAGACTATCATACCGGCATCTTTGCTGGTGTCACTAGAATGGCAAAATGATACGACAGCGAAATATCGGCATTTGTTCCGTTATAACGTAGATGGCCCCATAAAAACTCATCTGATTAGAACGGCTAAAAAGAGGACCCCCATTTTCCTAGTTAGTGATAGGATCGTAAAATCGAATATGCACCACCAAGTGGGCAATTTGTCAGTAAGCATGCATATCAGGTCATGTGTGGTGGTGTCGTTTTTGTTCCGCATACGCGACTTACAAGTAGAATATGCAACAGAAGTCACCTAAGAAGCCTATGAAAACCCGATATAACGGTGTCACGGACCGGTAACTGTATCCTGTCTAGTCAGATGAAAGCTTGGCTTTTTGTAGTGACAAATTGTCTAGATGCGACGAGTTAGAGCGGGTAGCAAGCGAGGCTGGGTCATGTCTTGGTATTACTATCTACGCTTGAGCAATTCATAGGTTGATCAATGGCTTGTGTAGCTATAAATATAGGCTTTTGATTAAGATTGAGTCGCGGCTATGGATGTAGCGGCTACCTACTAGCAAGTCTACCTTCTATTAATATAGACCATGGACTGGATTTAAAACATTGAATAGCTTGTAACCTTCAGTAATACATGTATTGATTGACGCTATCAATGACACGTGGGGGTACCTCGAAATCCGAAGCATCCATGTATAGATCCGGATCTGTCTAGGTATCTTCAAGTCACAAAGGTATATTCACATGACAAGTGGACAAGTTCTATAAGAAAGAAAGAGCTTTAATATCACAGATGCGGGATGGTTGGCCCCCAAGAGAGGTTCCTCGAAAGAAGAAAGACTGTTCTTGTTGTATCATTATCAAGGAACCGCCAAATATCAGCCAGGTGGCCGGCACAGCTAACGGATTGATTGGTGCCCACAAGGGAACGTTGAAAGTACAAGATGTCAAATATATACAAGTAATTGGCTATGCCGTATAATTAGCCTTATATCAAGCGACCTAAGCGTCAAGACAGTCATCTGGTTATTCGGTGGATGGATATTTATCATTCCCGTACCTCTCAATCCCTGTCAAAAATGACAGGACTCATGTCACCGATCAATTCTATAGAGTCTTTGTTTCTGTTCTCTTTATTGGGGTGTTTGTTACAGTCTGGATCCAAGAGCGCAAAATGTCTTACTAATTGAGGGGCAGAACACGGCCAACTCATCATCAGAGGGGTACTCTACGAATCTAGTAAAAATCAAAAATTCCCCAATAAGGAAACAAAGACTGGCGGGTTTAACAGCCGCAAAACCACCCTTTTTCCGTCTTTCCGATACTTCCGTATGGGCCTGGATATACCAGTCAACAGTTGTACAGTTTTGATGAGTCATTTTGACAAGAGCCCGTCGTGCATACATGGCATATGATCGATGCCTCACTTGCCGGGGGGGCGAAACGAAAGAGGGGCTTTTCCGGTATGTATAGATAATGTTTCATACTTCATGAAGTAGTTTGTGTAGTTGACGCCTTGGAATCCGATGGCTTGGATAGGCAACGCATGTGTTGGCCACTCAATGGTCAGGTGCCGGTATGCCTTAAATTTAGCTTGCTGAGAATTGGAACCTGCCGTTAAAGCATCTCTGTCATTGATACATATCCATCACAGTGGATCTACTAGATCGCATACTTGGGCACAGAAGTATACGCGCGGCGGCATATAGCGACATTTCTCGCCATCAGGTGCGATACACCATGGAACTAGCGTATAGATTAGCCGGAATTCGACTCATTGACCTAGGTACGAATAGAGTGGCTCGAGTAAGTTGGAGCCAGGCATACAAAGTCTCAATATTGTTTGAGGACGTGGGGTCACTTTAGTTCAAGGATTTGGATTTGTACATGGATCAGAATGAAGGTTCGGCTCGAGAGCGCACAGATATGAAACCGTCCGCCCGTTCTATTTCAAGTTTCACCCGCTTGAAGCTCCGTGCATAGCCCTAACTGCTGCAAGCCCGAGCCCAGCGTTGCCAATCAAGAATGTCATTTGACGCCATCTCAGGTTGGAGGATGGGTCCGGCTGAAGGACCATGATGAGTACGGTCCCGAGAGTTGAAACAACGGGAAATTTCCTATGACGATGAAGAGATAAGTACCGAAGTTGAGGCAAAAGTTGAATGAGGGGTCATACTTGTCTTGACCACCCGACCACCCGATAGACTCAATACTTATAGCCTATTCAGACGACTATATTTCTGAAATAGTCTACGACTCATATTAGAACTTCATGACTCGCATAAAAATCTAGGTTTCAGTCCCAATGGAATGGGAATCGATTGACGCACTGCCTCATCCTCTTAAAGTAGTTAGTACATAGGTCTATCAACCTAAGGTTATGTACCTACTGACTAGAGTCTGACTTTACATGAAGTTTGCTAGCGCCTGTCCGTTCTACATCACTAGTACTTCGTAATATATTTCACATCCAATACACTACTATCATGCATACTTACGTACACAATGCCGGGCCCACAGATTCAATTTAGAGCATTATGCACGTCGCCATCTTTGGGACTTCTGAACCGCGGCCATGGCGGTTCTGGATCTAAAACCTCACGTTGGAACTTTAATTCACAGTATTCATGGCTCCTTCACTATGTCTGTGCATGTACAGAAATGGGATTCTGTACATGGATATTCCTGATTTGATGACTTGTACCAAGGGCCTCAGAACACAATCGTTTAGAGAGCTAACCGTACTATACGATATACGAACAGTAAATATTGAATATTTTCATGATATTCTATCCAATGAAACCGCATACATGATACCTGACCTTTTCTTTCTCCTTCAAGAAAAGCATCCCCGCCTCAGCAGATGTACATATGCTCTACTAGTAGCTACGAGGAAAAAAGCGTCGTACGTACCTAAGCTGCAGTAGGACGCAATACCGAGCCGACCATGAATCAGCGTACATACGTGTCCTCCCTCGAATGTCATCGAGATTAGATTCGATTACATAGATACGACCAATCATGTGGGCTACTTTAGACTCTACTAAGATCTAACGAACAATGTAGATGGAAGTTTAGATACACTAAATAAAGTAACAAAGTAAGACATACGCGGCCTACTTTGCCTCGTTTGTCGTATTTGTACTTTCAAACCCTAAAATCTAGTGTACCCGAACAAAACCAGATCATCGATCGACTCAAAACCGGATTTAAATCTTTCTACAAATGTGAATCTACATGACCAGCATGGATCATCATCGTCATCGTTATTCTGTTTCTGTAGACATGCATACTTCTCCTGGCATACCGTTATGGGTCTCTCTATACGTCTTTGTTGCCCATGATTGAGCCGAGACAATTCTCTATTCCCCCAATTCTCCAAATATTTCATACCATGATGATGATCGGCTTTCCCTCCGTACTCTACGGTATCAAGTTTATCAAATCCCGATGCCGCAGTTAGCCGTTCAACGGTCAGTAGCGGAGAGAATCGATCACTTTCCTAATCAGGCAACACACATGCAAAATGTGCGGAAATATGCATATGAAAAAAGTAGTCGAACAACGAAAAATATGATGAGATCACACTCTCTCGGATTGATTGGCCGAAGGTCTTCGAGAAGGTCATTGTTGGGCCGTGTCATTCTGTTCGTCGACCTCCGGAGATTGACGCAAGTTGCCTTTTTATGATATTGGTTTGCGCTACTCAATATTAAAAAGAAGCCGGAAACGTGATAGCAGAGGTGATAAGAAAGTATTTCATATGATGACAAATAAGCCCTATGATAGTCATAACAGCCCCTCAATAGTATGATCAACTTACCCTAGTAAAACGTCCAAGGCGCTTTGAATACTGGTCCCATGCCTGTTGAATGATGCATGCACTAATATCACTCGAGATGCTCCCTCTACTTCATGAACATTATTTATTGACATGTGAATAACTAGAAATCCGTAGGAATTGTCAAGGTCATTGAAGACCAGGCTTCATTCTCCATTTATCGACGAAGCAATGCAGCTTGATAGATAGCTAGGTGCGTGGTGAGACTATAAGCAGTTTTTACATGTGAAATGAGAAGTTTTATATGTTCAATGATTTGTAATCAAGGTTGACACACTGTTAACTATTCCTGAACTCCATTTTTTCAGTCTACGTGCAGATATTTTGTCATAAGACTGCCTCCTAGAGTGATGGTTGGACGCACTACTTGGTCATCATTGCTTGCTGAACCCAATCACGTAAGATAACAAGACTAGAATGCGCGCGGTTATATTACTGGTAACTGTATTGTCTAGCACGTCGGTACCTGAATGTAAATAGAACCCTGAAGTAGCAGCATCGTTGCATCTGTAAGCCTTTGAACAGCGAATTCTCATTCTAGCTTAAGAACACCGATTTGCTTACTATGCTTGTAAAGACTTCAGAGACTTTAAGACCACTTACTCAGAATTTAATGCCTAATTCACAAGAAAGACTTCTTATTGAATCAGCATGGATCTTCTACATTTACCTATCAAAGAGCCAGTACGTGATGCTCCTCCAAGTTATCCTACTTCTTGTAATGACCAAGGCAAAATAAGTCGTCCTAGTCTCAGTTTACTCTCTTTTTGGAACATCGCTCATTCTATTCAATCCCCTACATACGTTGCACAGAGTCCGGTTGAATGCGCTACGTTCTAACACCGAAAATTCGCTTTACTCCGGTCATGCCTAAAATTATCAGAATCCCCACACCCTGATAGTCGAAATCTGCTTTTCCATCACTGAGGTAACACAAATGATACTTCTTTCTTTTAGACAAATGGTCTTCGAGTAGATCCCACTGTCACCTATAAAGGATCATGCCTGAATGCCGCACAGAGCTAGGATGGTGTGATCCGAACCAACTTCGGGATTCACATCACCGCAGTACACCAAGTACCCATCTCCAATCTTAGCTCCTGCTGTCGCAGCTTGAGTCTGATCCACATACGACGGTGGGAAGACATACGACTGGGTCATAGCATCGGCTACAGGCACAAAAATTTTCTCATGAGGGCGCGCGTTCTTGATATGAAGCACCTTCATGCTATACGGCTCTGGCATCGAAGAAAGCTCAACACCAGCCGGAAGAGTGCAGGATGGATTGACCTGGAAAGTGGTACGATGATAATCGCCATGTCTCCAAGGCAGCTCAAACACCCTTCCGAAGAGATAATCAAAGCGACCCATCTGCGTAAAAGTTGGAAAATGCAAACCGATAATGGCGAGACCACCATTGTGAATGTACGAGTGTAACTTATGGAGTGCTTCTTCATTTTCCTTTTCGGTTATACCTTCGTCCGTGATGATGATGGCTTTGGGGTTGTTTGCTGCTAAATAGCGAATTGCACCGGCAGCTGATTTGGCGCGCTTCACCTTAGCGGAATTCGCGAGTTTGTCGATTAGAGGAGCGTAGCTCTCATCCAGAAACTCCTGGTACGAGAGACATAGAAGCAGGATTTCTGGGCGGTCTGTCGATGCCATTTTGAGAATTGTCTGGTTCTATGTTGTTTATCGCTCGGGAAGGAATTCAAAGAATGCAGAACTTGCTGTGGAAACTCCGCGTGGTGTTGGATGCTGAGAACGTGCGATGCAATGATTCTGAAGTTTGATTGTTTGTGGTGTTCAGGTTCAGAGATATGTTTTGCAGGTAATGCCGTATGGTAATACGGCATACTACAGCTAAATAGGAGACAAAATGTGTAACTTGAAGACATACGGTCATATGTTATACTATATACACGGATGAATATGATTGGCTAAAAGATTAAAGGTCGTGTCCTAATTTCGACTTTTCTAAAATAATAATCTCATAACTCCGTAGACCTCTGCCTAGGCTTGATTTGGTGTGCGAATCGAGGCCTAATTAACGTACGTGCTCTTACATAAATCAAGTACTAATAAGGTCTTAAATTATAAGCAAGTATAAATATTTACGTACTATTGATTAAGATATAAATTTCATTATGAAAACTAGTGTAGGCTATAAAAATTAATCTATTCAGATCTATATAATTTTTTATGTTCCGATTCGACTAATAACAACTATGTGTACATGACGGATAGCGTGTGCTGTGGCTGTGTAATCTTTGTATAAAATACATTTTGTCGCCTACGTTATTGAGAATTCTAGATATTGTATTCCGTAAGAATACATCCCTAGGAGCCAATTCGCGTTAAGTTGTAATGAGCAGGCGATGCTGTACAAAGAGAATGGGATTTTCCGTCAATAGAGGGATTGATACGAAGTATGTCTTGTAGATGAGTGTCGAAAGAGTGCGCTACAGTCTGTAGTAAGTGATTTTTGATAAAAAGTGGTTAGCTGAAAGATATGTAGGCGTATGAGGTCTCCTTACCTAGGTAGTGAAGTGAAAGCCTCATAGACCCCTTTGACACAGTAGGGTTGAAATAACAGTAAAGATGAATTAGGTAATATCAAACAGTCTGGCAATTATATGATTCTTAGAATGACATATCTATTACTTCCATCCTTGAACGAAGAATAACATGATAGAAGCAGCCTAAAGTATCTAAATCACCATGAACCCCATATAAACCCACATCACTCTTCCACGGTTAATATATCCAGACCTCGTTTCATCCGAAGCAACACTACTCTTCCCTCCAGTTCCCAAAACCGCATTCCATTCCGGTTTCACCTCATTAAAAGAAGTTGGTCCGATCTACCGGCATCCAAATCCCCCGCAAAACTGAGTTGGTAGGAAGAGTCAATCTCCGCTCTGACGATGCCTGAAAGAAGGAACAAGAGTAGGGACGAAATTGGATGCATCCCGAACCTTCATCAAAAAATTTCGTTGAGTCGGAATGAGCATTACCAAGCACGGGGACTTTATAATGATGCTCACATCAAGGTAGACCCTGACCAACTCCGCTGGTCGAGGCTGAGGCTACGCAACAAATGTGCCTTAGGGCTTTAGGATAATGACGCCCACTTAGTCAGTCCTGTGCGCTAAGATACGTTCACCCCTATAACGATTGAGGGATAATGGCAATCAACAACAGAGAGCAAGTGAATCGAATATACAACCTTACGAGCCAAAATCGAATTAAGCTGTTTTGCTACCCAATATCTACTCAAGCACCCAACTTAGCCCCAGAATCTCTTATGTAGTTTCAATCATACCTATGTAAGTGAAAAGACAGGGGTTCGGCCACACTGAAAAATTATAGAGGATGATTTCTTGAGCTTACATTTGATTAGTTATGAATGCCATCTGGGCTTCTTTCAGATACTTTTGCATCCATGATCACGTCGAAGTCAATCAGCGAGACACCACCATAACTAATCAATTAGTGTGATATTATACAGCACGAGTCTCCTTGTTTTCGTAGAGCTCGCGGAATTGAGCAACGTCATTAATTTTGAGGTGTGTTGAGTATATGTATCTATGTACTATCACTCATAGAAATACCTCTTTTCCCACCCCCCTTTTGCCATAACCATACCCCCTCCACAGCCCACGCCTTTGCACTCGCATGTCTCCCAATATTCGACTTGATCCCAGCATTTTTGGTCTGCTCATTTCCGTCTCCTGGTTGTGTATGTTGCTGAGGTCCACCCTCCGCTTCCTCTAACATCCTCGCCACAACACCCTCAAGCTCCACAACCTTCCACAACCCATCCACCAAATCCGTGTCATCAGCGCCAAACTCCCCACTCCCTAATCTGAACAATATTCGCCCCAAGATTTGCCATGCAACACATCGCTGTGCTGGAACGGTGGAACGACTCAATATCGATAGTTCGGAGATTGTGTACCCAGCTGCTTCGGGGTCGTCGGCATGATGGTGCAAACCTAGTGATGTTGGAAGTTCCAACGACTGTGAAGGTGGAAGCATTTCGCCTCGGAAGGAGAAGCGGATGGCCGATGGGACGATTTGAGTAGTTGAGCTTGAAGGGTGGTACGCGGATAGACTATCGGCGACTGATGCGTCGGCACTGGTGTCGAGAGGTTTGAGCCATGAAAGTGTTGAGGAGTCGTGCGGGGTTTCGGGAAAGTAGTGGGCTTGTAGGTCGTCGTAAAATGAAGGTGAGTTTGGGTCGAGGTTTGGCATGGGTGTTTGTCGGGGTGGTGGTGTAGGAAAATGAATCGGTCCTGAGGGGAACTCGAAGGCAGGTCGTAGATCAGAAGGATGGATGGCGGGTGGTCGATCCTCAAACTCTGTAGTCGTATCGACTGTTTTTGGAATGTCGGTTCCTTTGACGTCTGACACATCAAAAGAAACGGACTTGCTCGGTTTCTTCACTGACTGATCTTCCCTGCTTGGCTTCGCTTTTGGAACAGCGACAGGCACATCGGCATCGTCATCGAGATTCGCCCTCCGTAATAATCTCTCAATCAATGTAGCCGGCAGATTCGCCCTCAACTCTGCCTTTTCCTGCTCGATCTCCTCTTCTGACATTGCAGCTATTCTCTGTTTATTCTCTTCATCTATTATCCTCTTTTCCTCGTCTTCCATTGACTCGCCTTGTGCTGGTTGTGACTTTGCCGCTGCGGGCGGTCCTTGCGGTACGGTCTCATTTCGAGCGGAGGCAAAGCGCGACGCGGAGGGATTGTTTCGTCGTTGTTGTTTGAAAGCCGATCCACCAAGCCGATTCTTCGAGGTCGGAAAACCAGTGGTAGTGGATTTGAGTGTTGGCGCTGTGGGTGCTTTGGTACTTCGTTCTTTGATTTCTCCAATCATGAGACTGGCGGGGCCAGCGGCGGTGTGTTCGGCGACATCTTGTTCGTCGTCGGAGAGGTCAAGGACGAAGCGTTCGCCGGGGATGGCCATTGTAACTGCTGCTTGTTTCTGGAAGGTAGAGTGTGCGAGGGCTTGTTAATCGCGGACAGAGAAGGAAGAAGAAGAAGATGAGATGACAAAATAATCACCGGATAAAGAGCGGTCCGCGGGATGCGGCTTAAAACTCTTGCAAACCACGCTAGGCTGAATGAAGCTTAGCTGAAAATAACAGACGATGCACGGTCCATGTCGAACAATCTCGCCAATCACGGTTGAGATTCTAGATTTACTCCGCGTTTATATCGGGGATATCTTATTGGATCGCTTTTATATAATTGAGAAAAGATCACGAGCTGACTTCAAAGTCAGATACTGGGGAGATTCTATGTGATATACTCTTGTATGTTGAATGTTATTGTTTTGCCAACGTCGATTGATGCCGCTTCTCGTCCGGTGGCTTGAATATCGTGTTGCTATAAATCCTCCGGGAATGAAGGTAGTTATTCGGTAAAGCGGACTATGAATTTAAAGCTATGACATGTAGTAATAAAACCAAGGGGTAAGCTCGCTTCAGTGTCCTGGTATTTGTGTATTGTTTCAGACTTGCATCGGGCCTGAGCCGACTTTGGTTAGGGCAGTACGGTAGAATATCAACCGAGGAATATAGAAAGTAATGCAAGCAACTTTGTTCCATTCACCACTGTGAAAAATATATGATATCTTGACACACCCAAGTATCATGTAGGTCGATGCCACCTTTCTGTGCCGAGTTGATAGCTCCGTGTTGGGCAGAGGTCCGTGAACACGCCGAGATACGAGATTAGGGTTAGATACATCATCACGATGCGAAGATGAGCTTGAATAGCCGTGAGTATGACTTAGAATGGAACATTAAAGTACGTACACACAAGAAACGCACTCCAGAATCTAGAGAAGTAACTGTTTTTGCAAAATCCCGTGTCGTCAGGCCAATATAGCCAACCCTATATCGTCTACTGCTCGTACTGGGCAACTCTTTACGTTAGCTACTGGTTAGTCAACTAGATGTTAGTTAGTGTTGGGTTGCACGCACTGCCTAGCAAAGTCTGGTCCGTCAGTCATGGCTCAATGCCAATCTGTTTGTTTGGTCACTTGGTCAGTTGGTCTGCCAGATTTGCATGCCTGGGTCCGTCATATACGTACCCCTAGTACGTACATTGATCTCGAGTCTGGTGCCCTATCTTCCTCATTTCCTCTCGATCCTTTTTTCTTCTCTCCTCTTATCTCCTTCACATCTCTCTTCCCGGTGTTTCACTTTTCATCGATCCATCAACTCTAGTCTGTCCCCGAGCACCAGACACGAGTCATCTCGGAGCTTTGATTGGTGTTCTTTTTGCTCTCATTTCGGGCCCTACCATACCATCACTTCCTAATTCTTCTTTTCTGCTCTTTTCAGATCGTTTGATTGATCTGTCCAAGAATCACCGCCCGCTCACTTACTGCCTTACCCCTTCTAGTCCTCTACCCCCAATAATTGAGCATCTCCGGACCCCAGCTGTTTCGCGGCCTTCGTTCTTGTTTCTTTTTCTTTTCCTTTTCTTCTCGACAACCCTACTTTTCCAATTCTCTTTTTCTCTTGCTTTCTATATTTTCCAACTTACCGACCACCCGTCCGGCCCATCGCAATCCTCCCTTTTCCCGCCAGCACGCGATACCCTGCTATTCAATCCGTTTTCCTATCAATTTACTTGTTCCAACCTCCCGCTATTTCCAACCTCCGTTATTGCAACCACTCGACGTTATACGCGCCCGGTTTATGCAGGGTCTTTGATGATTTTGCCAACACTACGAATTATCCAATAATCACATTCAATCTCATGACCCGTGTGTGATATCTGACTACTCTGTTGATTAATCTCTTCAGTAATTTTATTTCCTCGTTTCTTCCAATTGTTTTTTTTTTGGATCTCCACCCGCGCGAAACGAATACTCAAACGAGGTGCTGTGTATGGTATGGTGTTGGTCAAATCCAGTGAGTAAGCTCTGATCATGGCCAACGAAGCGCCTAGGAATAATGGGGTCGCAAAGGAGGAGGAAGTCGAACAACACCAAAAATCACCGTCTACCGCGCCCAATTCAGAAATGAATCCTCCAGAGAATATTCCCAACCAAGCAGAGGTCGAGGCTGCGCCGAACAATTCGAACGACAAAGAGAAGGAGAAGGAGAGTGTAGGTGCTACCTCAGGCAGAGACACCCGCACTCGACGCGCCTCCGCCACTGCCGCCGCCGCCAACAACCAGCCCAGCACACCCGCCACAGCTACTCGTCGCACGCGCCGCAAGAAGGACGATCACGACAAGGAGAAAGAGACCCCGAAAGAAACGCCGAAAGAAAAGGAAAAGGAAAAGGAGAAAGAGACGCCTAAGGAGAAGAAGCCGAGAAAAACAAAGAACAAGGTTAAAGAGCAACTCGACAAGGAGAAGCAAGAGCAGGCTGAAAAGGAAAAAGAGAAGGAGAAAGAAAAGGAGCCTGCAAAGGAGCCTGCAAAGGAGCCTGCAAAGGAGCCTGCAAAGGAACCTGCAAAGGAGAAACCGGCCAAAGAATACAAATCCAAAGCAAAGGACAAGGACAAGGAGAAAGAAGCGAAGAAAGAGAAAGAAAAGGAAGCGAAACCTCGCGGACGCCGCCCGAGAGAAAAGTCCAATGCCTCCACAACCACGACGCCCCAGAGTTCGCGGAAGAAGCCGAAGCTCGAGCATCATACAAACGACGACGATAGCAGTCTTACCATTGATCTTACCATTGACAATAGCAAAAACAATAAGAACGAGAACGAGAACGAGACCAATACAACAGAAGAGAAAGCGCCCGTCCTAGCTCCCCCGCGAGCGCCAGCTCCAGCTCCAGCTCCAGCTTCAGCTCCTGCTCCAGCTCCTGCTCCTAGTCCTGCTCCTGCTCCTGCACCATCTGCTGCACCCGCACAACCAGCCGCTCCTTCCCAACCCGGCAATCATGATATTAATTTCGGAGGAAGCTCGCGCCCGGCTCAACAGCCACCACAAACACCTGTCCAGCAGCCAGCCTCGTCTGTTCCTACAACCTCTGCATCTCCAGTCAAGGCAGCAGGTCCCGCGACCTTCGCGCCGACACCTCTGCCTTCATCCTCTGCCGCTTCTCCTCCGACCGCCATGCACGCTCCATCGTTAGCGCGATCGCATTCTTTAGAAAACATGCTTTCGACACATCATACCCCGTCGTATATGACTCCAACACACGCGCAGCCACCATCGCAGGCGTCTCCCCCGCGCTCGAGTGGACAACGCTACGATCCTATTCGATCAGCGTTTGGCGACCCAGCTCCTCCACCAGTTTCCCATCAACATTCGCCGGCTCACATGGGAACGCCTATGCTGTCGTCGCAGACTCATTTCAGTCCTCCCCAGCATTCCATCTCACCGCAACGCGTCTACAGAGCTAGTGCGTCTCCTGCTATTTCTAGCATTATTGATCCGCCGGCACCCCCGGTGCCAGTACAGCAACAGTTACCTCCGCAGCAACACTCTGGTTATCCGAATCATACACAAAGCTACCCTTCTTTTGGCTCGAATGCATCGCCACATGTGCATCATTATGGACAAAGCCCATCAAAGCAGGTACCAACGCTGTCACAGATCACCAACCCTAGTCCACCACCACCTCAACCTCCACTCTTTTCCGCTCAGCAATCACCTCCGCAGCCACCACAACCATACCAACAACATCAGTATCCTGCACATCGGCACGATCAGCTGTCTGTGGCGTCTACTCAGGTAGAGAAACCTCCCGAGAAAATCAGTCTGCTCCAGCAGCCGGTTGCAATGGAGATCGACTCTGAGCCTGCCTCTACTGCGCCTGCGCCTGCGCCGGTACCGGCACCTGAGACTACGACTACAACTACAACTCCTGCAGCACCTACGAAATCTGCAAAGGCTGCAAAGAAAGATAAAAGCACGCCGACTGCTACCCCATCCAGCGCACCATCTCCCAAACCAGCTCGTGCAGCCAAGGATGCACCGCCTCCTCTTCCACAAGGTTCTGGTCTAATTACTGGGGCACTTTTTGGAGTCGACGATAGTTCATCGGCAGTGTCAAAAACAGCACCCAATATCATCCTTCATGTTCCTCTCTCACGCGACAGCAACAAGATCATCAGTTTTGCTCGTTTGGCAGAGGAAAAGTATGGATTTGCAGCTCTGCATCCACGTATTGCTGCGCAAAAGGAGCGTTTAGCACGAGTTGCAGCAGCAAGCGCTGCACTAGAAAAGGATGAAAAGGGCGGATCTGCACGCGAGAGCGCGGAGGAAGATTTAAGTGTAGATATCGATCGAGACAGTGACCCCGATGGTGACGTTTCTATGGGCGGAGTCGCGACTGCCCCGGAGGAACCAACGGATGGAAAGAAAAAGCGTCGCAAGAAGAAGATTGAAGAATATGACCGTGACGATCCATTTGTGGATGACAGCGAGCTGGTGTGGCAAGAACAGGCAGCTGCCAGTAAAGACGGATTCTTTGTCTATAGTGGACCTCTTGTAGCGGAGGGCGAAAAGGTTCAAGTCGAGAGGTGTGTATTGGCTGTAATCTACCATTGCATCAAATATTTGCTAACGAAACACCAGGGCCGACGGTACTATCAAACGCGGGCGTGGTGGTCGTGGTCGCGGCGGTGCACGAACACGTGGAGGACACGCCCACGTCCCTATCACGTCCAATGTACCTGTGTCCGCCGAAACTGGACTTCCACTTCGTGGACCAGGCTCTCGTGGAGGCAGCATGGCTCGCAAACCGCGTACCAACAAGGCCAAGCAGCAAGGCGACGACAAGTCCGACTCGCGCGCGACGAGCACATCGAAGAGCGGCACAGGTCGGGGTGGTGGCAGTGCTGGCGCTTCTGCGAATGCATCATCAAAGAGTGGCAGCAAAGCGTCTACCTCGAATGCAACGACTGCAGCGAGTTTGACTGGCATGGTTGGTTTGGCCCCTGCGCCGGCGGCACCTACATCAACACCAGGACCGCACCTTGCCCCTGCACCGACTCAAAACGGACAAATTATTCTTTGATCACTTTTATTGCATCGAGTCCTATTTATAACCCGACAGTTCCCCCAGTTGCTTGTTTGCTCATTTGCTTCTCTAGTCTTAACATTGATTTTTTTTGATCCAGCTTATGGTATTACTATTGTGGGAGTTTCAATCAAAGATATACATGTCAACAGCCAGCTTGTGGGATACAAGGTTGACGGAGTTATGGTTTTATAGTACAGGAATGACAGGCGCAAACAAATTTGATCTTACTTAACTTCTCGTTAACCATATTAATTATGATCAACCTCGGCAGGTGAAGACAGAAGCATGCCTGAGCAGTCAGGTGTCCAGACGGCGTGACGTGAATGGCGGTCTGCTTACCTAACCCGATCTCTGCCCCCGCCTTTTGCCCTTGCCCTCTTTCCCTCTTTTTCTTCTGATCTCTCTCTCCTCGAGAAAAACTTCATAAACGCTTGTGTTTCCTCTGTTTGGCTTATCGCAGATATGCACTCATCTCATTACATTTTCTCTCACTTTGTCTGTTACCATCTCACTGTTCCTATAGGTTAACTGATTATTTGGGAGCTACATTGACAACGCATCATAATACGGCTTATCGATAAGTCACATACATTAGTATAACCCGTCAATTTATACCAGACTACCAGACATTTATTCTCCTCTCCTCTTTCCATATCCTACCCTTTCTATTCGATCAATAAAGCAACGAAATGCACGACCTACGCCGTCAAGCGCTGCTCGAGAGCCGCAAGACGGTTTCCCGCAAGGCAGCATCGCGAGAAGCCTCCCGTCCTACTTCTAGGGTTGTCTCAGCACAGACTTCGCGCCAGAATTCGCGCCAGTCGTCGCGCGCTGCGAGTCGGTATGCCTCTGATGAGGAAGATGAAGGTAATTTGAGTGATGAAACTGGTGGCACTTGGAGGTATGTCTTGTCCGATCTGTTTTACCCTTTTTACAACATTTTTTGTAATTGTGGCAAGCTTTCGGGATGATGTCACTACCCTTTTTCCTGTGTTTTGCCACACACGCACACACAACCTTAGAGCAACGTTATACTAATTAATGAGCAGTACAAGCTCATTGGATGACTTGGCAGAAAACCCCGAATCTGATAATGTTGACTGGCCCGAAGAACTAGCAGACTGCATCCAGGACATTCTTGATCGCAAACGAAGCAGTGTTCAAGGTCGCGAGGAGTCGCTGTCGACATTCTGTCGACTTGCCAAATTCCATTACGTCGAGGAGGAGATTAGAGGATCTATTCAGGACCTCCTCGCTGCGTTTTCGCGTAGTATCAAATATGAGGGTAGCGTGCGCGAGTCGGTGCTGGCGCTCAAGGCGTTGGAGTTTTTGGCCGTAACGGCTTATGATGATACAATCTACGATGCGGTTGATTCTTTGCTGACGAGGACGATTCGTGATTCGACTTCGGGGCTTGTCAAAGTTGCTGCTATCAATTGTCTCGGAACTTGTGCCTATTTTGGCGGAACGAGCGAAGATGCGAAGATGGATCAGATGAATATGTTGCTGGATGTTGTAGCTTCAGATGGGCAGTCGATTGAAGCATCGGCTGATTATGGTGTGATCACTGCAGCGTTGCAGCAATGGGGCTTCCTCGCTACGGATGTTGAAGATCTGGAAGCTGAAAGTGAGGAAGTAGTTGAGATATTGATCGAGCAATTGTCTAGCACAGACTCGAATGTGCAGATTGCCGCTGGCGAGAACATTGCTTTGCTGTACGAAAAGAGCTATACGCCTCAAGAAGATGAAGACGAAATCGGCGAAGAGGATTTGGACGAGGACGACGATGATGAAGATTTGTCTGCCAGTGGACCAAAGCTCATTGAACGATACACAGCATACCACGATAAATATCATCTGGAACAGATTCTCGCCTCTTTAGCAACCGTAAGCGGCAAACGAATCAGCAAGAAAGACAAGAAGAGCCTACATGCAAACTTTGCCTCAATTCTGACAACAGTCGAAAACCCACGACTCGGACCAGCTTACAACAAAGCAATCAACCAAAACACAAATCGGCAATATGGAAGTAAACGACAGGTCAAAGTTGGCAGCGAAGGGGTTATGAATATTGACCGATGGTGGAAGTGGCTTAGATTGGCTTCGTTGCGACGGATATTGCAGGGTGGATTTATGGAGCATTATTATCAGGGAAATAGGGCTGTGCTGGATGCATTACCGGTTATGTTGAGGGACTCACGGAGAGCTGACCGGGGAGGATACAAGAAGGCAGCCAGGATAAGAAATTCGACGAAGAGGATGGTCCTGGGTGAGGATGGTATTTAATTATGAATGTTAGCATACATATACGACGCGTCTTTATGCCTGATATTAGCATTTTCCAAATCATTCATTCCTATATACATACTCTCTGCACTTACTAGTATTAATGATTAGCCAGCAAACTCATATTTAGCCTGCCCTCTCGCATCCCCCGGCTTAAATTTGAACATATGCCCGCCCTCATCCCCAACAATTTCTCTTTTACCTCTCCATTTCCCGCTCGCCAAAAATATGATATCCCAATTTTTCCCACCCCAGGTTGTGCATGCTGGGTTACGGGCTGTGAATGTGATGTCTTTTAGGTGTACGCCTTGTGGCGAGAAGACCATGACGCGGTTGGAGTCGAACATTGCTATCCAGAGGTTTCCTTCGGTACTACCAAGAATTTAGTATAATACAAAAAAAGGTAAAGCAATAAAGGGGAGGAGAACGTACTCGACGACCATGCCATCAGGTTCACCGAACGAGTCGCGCCTGTCGATCAGCAGCCGCTTATTCGAGATGTTACCACTCTCAAGATCAAAGTCGAATGCGTACACGACCATGGCGACCGAGTCGTGGAAATAGACTACATCGTCATCAGCCTTCTACCGATCCAAATCTTCTTTATTTAAATAAAAAAGAGGGCGAATAGGGGGGAACGAACAAGTCTTATTATCCGGACTCCACCCCAACCCATTCCCACAAACCACACCCCCGTCCAACATTTCATGCAAACTTCCATCAGGATCATACCTCCACAACTTCCCCTTCGGCCTCCCATAACTGACCGGTAACTGATTCGGTCCATAAGCCATAGCAACCTTATCAATCTCTGCCAACCAGAATCTCCCCTTTGCATCAATCCCGCCATCGTTAAATCTCAGTTCGTCTCTTTTACTTGTCGGTATAATCTCTTTTACGATCTCCATCTTTCCGGTTTCTTCATCGAGGAAGCAGACGCCCTGGTAGTAAGCGGCGATATAGCTGCCAGGCACGTTCTTGCGGAAGAATTGAACTGTGACGCTGTCTTCTAACTCCAAAATGCGTAAGGAGGAAGGGATTGCGTCGCCGGTGTCTGGGTCGACGCGCAGGATGTACAATTCGCATGGGTCGGCGAGACAGTCGACCCAGTGCAAGGTAGAGTCGGAGGCGCGGTAGATTGGAGCTTCGCCGAGGATCATAGGGCCTTTTGGGCAGTGGAAGAAGGGTGCGCCGCCGGAGAGGACCTGAAGGCCTGCCATTTTTTCTGCTTTTAGTAGAATTGGCTATGTGTTTTTTTTTTTCTGGTGAGCTGTGGAAGATGCTTGAGGAATATTTATGAAATATAAAAATAAATGCGAGCAAGTTTTGTAGCATCTAAGTCGTGATAGCCAATAACATGCATCCAACTATATCGGTAATATTGGAGCAGCAAGCATACCCCCGCATGACAATACGATATCGTATTATCCAAGAGTATATCCCGCGCAAGAATTGGAGCAGCCACCAACCAACGGTCCAACAGAACTTGTGCTAATATCCCACGTACCACTCTCCACATCCAATGAACTCTGATAAGGAATCACCCCAAGTTCCAACTGCGAGAACTTGAACCGAAGAATGACTCGAATGACTCGACCGTTTCCGTCCAAATCATGGGTTGGGTGCGCAGTCAGCTAGTATTGCCAAAACCACGTTTTTGGCGCATGACTGTCTTCCAGTGGACCGGCGTTGCCACCCCCGAAGTTTGAGGAAGATGTGGAGTGCATAGGTAGAATCTAGCTTTATCTTAGCACTGTCCTATCTATGATACTACGGCCTGATACCGAGCTGATACCAAGCCGGCATGGACTAGCTTATGAATCATGATATAGTTATCCTTGACTGCCGGACGGATTGATATGGATATGCACAGGCATGACTATATCTACTAGCTTGCGTCCCGACGATCTGGATAGATTGAATCGTCATTTTGTATCTCTGCCAAAATATTCAGGGCTGGTCTAGATCTTTTTCATTATACTGCCTGACATTTATATCTATTTACGGCCACCAACACAAGGCCATCCATCATCATGGGGGAATACGAACAGTCCCGATGGACGCGGACGAAACACGCCTTGTCGTCCTGGCACGCATTCCACGCTGCCATCAAACTAAAGAGCGCCTCATCCATACTCGCCAACGAAGATCTTCTTCCCTCCCCACCCGAACGACAGACATGGACTGTATGGAACTTCTTTGCTTACTGGTATTCCCAATCCATTTCCCTTTTCTCGAGTACGGACTGACTGTGTGGTGTGTCTAGGTGGAGCGAATCTTGGGCCGTCTCAACCTGGTCCCTCGGCTCCTCTCTAATTGCACTCGGCGCAACCGTGCGGGATGCGCTGCTCGTCATCCTATTCGCAAACCTGCTTTCGGCAGTAGTCATTGTACTCAATGGCCGCGCTGCGTCAAGGTATCATGTCGGATATCCCGTGTTGGCGAGAACGACGTTCGGGATTTGGGGGTCGTATTTCTTTGTGGTTTTAAGGGCTATTTTGGGCGTTATTTGGGGTGAGTTCCTTCTTCTTCTTCTTCTTCTTCTTCTTCTTCTTCGTTGGGAAGGAAAGAATGCTAATGTGTGGTTTGGATAGGGGGCGTGCAGATGTTCTTTGAAGGTCAATTTATTTCGATTTGTCTGCGGTGTATATTCCCCGGTTGGACGAAGATACATAACTCGATTCCTGCCGTGAGTTCCTTTCCCGCACCTTCTCAAACGTTCACTAACGGTGATTAAGAGCCAAGAAATTACGACACAAGTAATGGTCGGCTTCTTCCTCGCCTTCGTCTTCACTCTCCCCCTCATGTTAATCCACACCTCCAAAATCAGACACCTCTTCAGCCTCAAAGCCGTCGTCTTTCCCCTTGCCGCCTTGGGAGTCGTCTGCTGGGCCACTACCGCCAACGGCGGCGTGTCCGCCTCCGCTCTACAAGCAACATCCACAAGACCATCTTCCACCACAGTCTTCGCTTGGGGCATAATTGGACAATTTAATGCCGTCATGGGCGCGAACTCTGCCTTACTAGTTACCGTCCCGGATCTTGCGCGATACTCCAAGACCAAGAACGCGCAGTTATGGGGTCAATTACTGGGTTTGCCCATTGCGCAATTGATCTGCGCCGCGTTTGGAATCATTACCACTTCAGCGGTGCACAATATGTGGGGGGAAACGTTCTGGAATCCGTATGACTTGTTGAATGGGATTTTGGACCATTCGTATACATCGAAAGCTCGCGCCGGTGTGTTTTTTGCGTCTGCTTCGTTCGCGTTCGCGACTATGGGCACGTCAATTGCGTGTAACATTGTGCCGTTTGCCGCGGATGTGACGTGTCTTGCGCCGAAGTATGTGAATATTATTCGGGGCCAGTTTATTTGTTTGATTCTTGCGTTTGCGATTGTGCCATGGTATGTCCCTTCTCCCTTTTTTCCCCACTGTCTGAACAGAAAGAGACTAATTGACAGGCGCATCGTGTCCTCTGCAAACGGCTTCCTGAGCTTCCTAAGCGGCTACTCCATCTTCCAGGGCAGTCTAGTCTCCATCATGACAGTCGACTACTTCATCATCCGCCGCGGGAACCTGCATATCAGCGAGATGTTCACCACTTCTAGGTCGGGTCAGTACTATTACACCTACGGCGTAAACTGGACCGGCGTCGCCGCCTTCATCGCCGGGTTTTGTTTACCCCTTCCGGGTTTCATCCAAAGTTTCGGCACTGTCACCATCGCCAATCCGGCTGCGACGTACATGTACGATCTGGGATGGGTGTTGAGTTATCTCGTTGGTGGCGTGTCGTATTTTGCTGTTTCGTTACTTACTGCGAGAAGAGCGATGAGGGAGAGCAGGCAGATGCCGTTTGAGGGGAATGTGCCGAAATCGATTGCTATGGGTGCGCAGAAGGATGTGCTTGTTGTGGATGGCATGGAGATTGTGGTTGGTGTGCCGGGACAGGAGCAGGAGGGTCCTGTGGATGGGAGTGTGGGTGTTGTGAAGGGAGGGGTGAGTGAGAAGGTTGCTGTATGATTTAGTTTCGTCGGTAGAATATATAACCTGAATGTACTTGATTCATATCCATACATAGGCGGGTGTTTGCACTGAATCTCTATACTATACATTATTGAGTAGGGCCTGTCCGAGCGAAAAGCCTGCGTTGCCAATTTTTGAGACACACCCGATTAGGCATAACCTTCCCAAAAGGGAAGGTCTCTCTATCTGCTCTTATTCAGCGCTGATTCAACACATACGAATTACTATAAGCAGTACATATATGTGGATGCAATGCTACCAAGACTTGCTCAACACTGCTTAGGTTAACACCTGCACTAAAATCTAGCAAGTACATCTCCGCACCGAGATACTTCACCTCTCAAACACGTGAACTCATCCGAGGTTCGGTACCAATGACGAAAGCACGACACTGTCACGAATACTAGTAGACTAGCATACTACTAGCATACTACTAGCCTTCAACTAATACACTGTAGTATTGCTTGTTTGTGGCTAACACATGTGCTATGACTTCGGCCCGTTCTCATTGACTTTGCCCTTTTGTATACACTTTGGATAGCAGACCATAAACAGGCCGGATCCAGGAACGTGGTCAGCCAGCATCGCGGCCGTTGTCGAATGATCACGATGTGTGCCATCACGCGCGGGTTGGTCAGGTGAGTGACAATAATACCTAGGAGAAAAACTATAAGTAGCAACAGATGGTAATTTTTAGTTTCTTCTAGAGCCAAGAAGAGGTTGATTAATAAGATCGACGCTCGTAAGGGCAGCCTCGGTACCTACGTACAAAACAGTATGCAAGACTCGTGCTTCGGCGTCGACTCACATAATCTGGACAATGGAAGAAAATCCTGTTACAATCTTGTAAGAAGAATAGTAATAATTATTAGACAGACAGAATAAACAAAGAAGAGACGAAAAGAACAGAGCAAAAGAAGAGAAAAGCAAACGGGGCGGGCAGAAAGAGAGTTTAACTCCGCGCGCGTCCGGGTCAGCCGTAGAATTAATTGATTACGGTAGTAGGCCTCCGTCATCCCGTTGTTGCAACTTGGTCAAAACAATCAGCTGAAGCGCTTCAGCTTCGCACAATATCGTCTTTTTTATTAATTCATGTTGATGTTTTTTCTCTGATATATATTCATTTATTCTGAAGACCCATCGAACGACTTATCCCGCCAACCTGTCAACGACTGGTTTGCTCAGCATGGCGGGAATGGAAGAGCTCGAGATTCACAGCAAGGTAAGCTTACTACAACTACTTAATGACAAATAAAGCGACAAATCTAATCACAATGCGATAGTCCTACCTAGTCCGTTGGGTCAATGTCAAAGGCGACCACACCATCTCCTGGAGCATTCAACCGCACAAGCGATCCATCAACTTCGGCATCTTCAAACATCTCGGCCAGCCCACTCCCAGCTCATCCGCCACGACGACAACCATAAACGCCGACTCCCAAAGCGTCCTCGACTTACCCTCTGACAACCCGCCCGCCTCCGCCTTGATCGAGAAGCTCCGTGGTGCCGGTCTGAAACCGACGCAATGGATAGGCAAATGCGAAGCCGACAAGATCTCGCAGGGAACCTACGACGTACCGCTCGGCGAAGGCGGGAATTATGCATTGGTCTTTGACAACACATTCTCCAAAACGACGGGGAAAATGGCGACGTTTGTGCTCGTTACGTATCCTACTGCCATGCCGCCGCAGTCCGTCCATCAAGTTCACCCGCCGCACGCGTTGGGCACGGTAAACAATATCGGAGCGCCCGGAAACCGCGTCTCGCCCAAATTGCGACCTACGAATAACTCAAATACGTCGATTGATAACCAGCGTCCGGCCGTGAAAGGGGGCCGTTCCGTGTCCGGTGGAAAATCTATCAAACAGCGTCCAAACAGTAATAGCGTGTCTTCCGTCAACGGCGCGTCGGGGCTGGTGCATACAGGTATCTTGCAGAAGCGACGACGAAAGCGACACCAGGGCTGGGCTAGGAGATTCTTTTCGCTTGATTATACGTCTTCTACGCTGTCGTACTACCATGACCGCAACTCGTCTGCGCTCCGTGGCGCGATTCCGCTCAACCTAGCCGCCGTGGCTGCCAACGCGGATCGACGGGAAATTTCTATTGACTCCGGCGCGGAGATTTGGCATTTGCGGGCTAACAATGAGCCAGACTTTGCGTCTTGGAGAGCTGCACTGGAAAGAGCGTCGAAGCAAAGCAAGGAGGACAAAACTACACGACCGGCCTCGCCGACGCTACAAATTCCTACGCGCTCGACGTCGCGGACCTTGCCGAATCCCGCCGAGGATCAGGAATGGGAACAGATTGAAAGTCTGGTTAGCAAAATTTCGGGTTCGAGGGATGCCGTGCGTCGGTTGGCAAAGGATACAGACCCGAAGTATCTTACCTCGTCCGCATCATCCGCACCTATGGCAGCGTTGGAAAGAAGACGATCGCATAGTCCGCATTTTCAAGCAAGTCCGGCTGATGGATCTCCTATGAATGGGGAAGACTATTTTGGTGATACTCAGCACAAACGACCCTTTTGGAAGCGCAAGACTAGCGGCAATACGCCTGGTAGCGGTCATACGAAAAGACAGCCGAACGGTACTACACATCTGGCTACGCCTAGCCCGTCAACGGATGCATTCCCGGCCTCTGTGACAGAGGATCGTAAACCAAGAAGTGTTATCAGCCACCATACAGACCGAGATGATGATATTCATGAGAATCTGATGGCTATTCTTCGTGATCTGGACAAGACAGTAATCGAGTTCACCAACCTGATTGCAGAGAGCAAGGGAAGACGACAACCGCAGATTTCGACAATCAGTTCGCGGGTTAGCATAGACTCTGAAGCATCACAAGAGTTCTTTGACGCTGAAGCAGGCCCATCATCCCCTCTCCTCACGATTCAGCATGATAGCGATGTGGAAGCGGAAAATGAAGACGCAGAAGAGGACGTCGATGACGATGCGCTTTCATCTTGTAGTGAAGGCGATACTCGAAGTGCCTATATGCGGAAGGGCATTCGAAAGGAAAGCTCAGCAATACTATTCCCGGCCAAACCAAAATCATTGATTCCTTTGCCACTAGATGGCGTACAAAGACGAAAAATCATTCCCGCTCCAACAGTGCCGCCGCCAAGTCTGATAGGATTCTTGCGCAAGAATGTCGGAAAAGATCTGTCCGCAGTCTCGATGCCAGTGACAGCCAACGAGCCATTATCCTTGCTGCAGCGAGCTGCTGAATGCATGGAATACTCGCCTCTGCTTGACAAAGCAGCCAGCGCCATTGACGGTCTCGAAAGACTTGTCTATGTAACAGCCTTTGCACTCTCCAACCTCTCTACCAACCGCGTCAAAGACCGCGCAATCCGCAAACCATTCAATCCTCTTCTCGGCGAGACATTTGAACTGGTCCGCGAAGACCGCGGCTTCCGCATGATAGTCGAAAAGGTCTCCCATCGACCTGTGCAATTAGCCTATCAAGCCGACAGCCGCGACTGGAGTTTGACCCAATCACCAAAACCTACGCAAAAGTTCTGGGGCAAATCCGCCGAAATCAACACAGACGGTAAAACGCGCTTGAGTCTCCATTCTAGCGGCGATCATTTCAGCTGGGGCAACGCTACCTCTTTCCTTCGCAATATCATCGCCGGCGAGAAATACGTCGAGCCAGCGGGTGAAATGATCGTCGTGAACGAGACCACGGGCCAAAAGACAATCACCACTTTCAAAGCCGGCGGAATGTTTTCGGGACGCAGCGAAGAAGTCACCGTCAAAGCATTTGACGTCCACGGCAATGAACTGCCACTAGGGTTGGCGGGTACATGGACCAATTCCCTGCAATTAACCGAACACGGCTCAACGACAAACAAGACAATCTGGTCTGTAGGCCCGCTTGTAGACCAAGCCCCTAAACGGTATGGGTTCCCCGTATTTGCAGCTACACTCAACGAATCCACGCCCATCGAGCAAGGCAAACTTCCGCCTACAGACTCGAGACTGAGACCCGACCAACGCGCACTAGAGAATAATGACGTTGATTCTGCAGAAGACCTGAAAGCGAAACTCGAGGAGAAGCAACGCGAACGAAGGAAGGAGCTGGAGGATGCAGGCGGCGTGTATAGACCGAGATGGTTCTCGAGGGTTGATACGTCGGATGTCTCGTCGACGATTGATGGTAGCACTGGTGGTGAGGAAGTGGTCTGGAAACTCAAACCCGGTAAAGATGGGTATTGGGAAGAGAGGGCGAGGGGAGAATGGAATGGGGTTGTGCCTATATTTAAGCTGTAGATATGTAGGACGGATGTTTGACGGAATTTGTCGTTGCATAATAGGTTGATAATGCATATGAGGTTTGATAGGATTTCGAAGGGACTTTTACATACGAGGATCTATTGATTGGCTACTACTTGGATATATCCTAAAGAGTTCTAGCTGTAGAGATTTAAGTAGAAAGACTGACTATTCTCTAAGAAGGTGTTATGTCTTTCTCCTTAGGGAGGTTAATGTCCACTACGAAGCAAACTTACATGTATCATATATAGCTGTACAGCCTTCTTGTAAAAGTGCATCGTCTGCTCTGGCTGCCATACATATACAGTTAAGCGAAATGAATTTACTTTTAGCCAGCAACATTATACAAATTAAGTTCCATATCCAGCACTTAAGACCTTTGGAAATTAAACAAAAAAAAAAAAAGGCTTAATGCTCACACAAACTAAAACTCCCAATCTCGTATATCTCATTCCGCTGCCCCTTCACAGCAATGCTCTATTCCATCAGTTCCCATCTCAACTCTTCCGCCTCCTTAATCGTCATTGGCGAACCCTCTAGTTCCTCCTTAACCATCCGGCGCAACTCCACGGGAAGATTCTTCTTCGATAAGAGTTATTGTCCAAGACTCAGCCTCACTTCTGCCCACCAATCCTCCCTCTGCGGGGGTACGTTGGCCGAGGAAATAATCCGAATATGGGGGTCAACCCATGAACAAAGCCAGCATTTTACGACTTTCGGGTTTAGTCTAATCAGCTAGCTCAAGGAGCTCAGATCCAATTTTAATTCATTAGTCTAAGGATAGAGTCTAGATAAACTAGTCATTTCCATTCAAGAGGGGATACCGTTTGATAAGTAGAAATTTTCTTTTGTATTTAATTGCTGTTAGTAGGTTTCTGGGTCCTACGTTATCAATGTCACTCTCCCGAACTACCAGGATGGACATATACATCCGGACCTTAACATATTCAAACACGCAATGGAAGATCAAATGTATGCATAAGGAAGTGATTGATACACAAACATTTTTCCTTGATGCTCAGGTACCGGCATTGAAAACAATTTGACAAACCGGCAATCACTGATTTGCGGGATTGACCATGCAGTAGTCTGTGTTATGGAGCGACAAGTCAGGATTCCCTGCCCAGGTAGGGAAAGGGTGAGCGGTGCCACTGCCTCCTGCTACAGCGAATGTAAGAATAAAGACCATGATCTGTGTACCGCCGTCCAACGCCGCTGAGATGAGATAGTTCCATTCGACGAAGAATCTGGGGTGGTATTTTCGAATATACCATTGGAAGACGAACGCGACAATGAAGAAGGTCGTGAACCCACTGTTGATTCCAACAAAGAGATTTCCCATAAACCAGAGAATGATTGACGGGTTAAGATAGCCCCAAAGTCGGTTGCCAGTGATCTTGTACATAATGTATGCTGGAACAGGGACAAGGAATCCCAAAAGGAAAACAATCGTAACCCATTCATAACGCGCACCAATACTGAAAAGTTTGGGCGCTATGCTCCATGCAATAGCTAGAGAGTTGAACTGTTGAATGTTCTGTCCGGACCAAATGCTAGAGCCCTGAATCGATATCAGGAGAGGCTCTTGTGCGGCTACAATAGTATCCATGATGACCCAATTCATCAGCCCTCCAACTATGCAGCCTGCTATTTGAACCGCAAAGGTTATGCGTGGTGGTAAATGTGAATACTGAGCCAGTCGCAGATCTTTAGCCAGGAGCTGAGCCTGTTGAGTTGCATTGAACGTGAAGCAAGTGAAGTAAAAGTTGGCAAGGGGACGACCAGGGAACATATATCCGGCAAGCATCTGACAAATTGGTTGTTGATTGAATTGAAACCCTGTCATTCCCATCTGGGAGCCGAAAAAGAGGACGAAAATGAAAGTGAAGAATGTAGAAACCAGAAATCCCCACCAGGGTAAAGTGGACTATAAATTTATTAGCATTTTATTATCATGGAAAGGAAGGATGAAAATTCTGTAGGCAGTCACCGACATCTCCGTACCTTCATTGAGTAAAGACAACCAAGACCTACAGCCCAGCTGAGAACAAGGACGAGCCCCCACCACCACAAAGGCACCTCTGCGTATTTATTCCTTAGCATCAGCTTGTAATGGGGGTCCAAAGTCGAATCGTCCTGCTTTCTTTGCAGTCTCTCCTCGGGTGTCTCCTGATTACGCCAGAACTGAAGCCTTTGGAGACTAAAGTTTTTCCGAATTTGTGACGGGTGTGCCCAGCTCCACGCAGCCTTCAAATCGTCTCGGTTCCACAAAAGCATATATACGATTGTTGCCGTCATGCCCATGTTTGTGGTGAGAAGATAGGCTAAGTAGGTTGCTGTCAAATGTGGAAGACCCTCGGCCTCGAGCTTTGTATTGTCAATTTCAAAGTTTTGATTCAAGATGAGGGACTGGTTGTAAATATTGTAGGTTGTGGAATTTGTGTCCGTAAGATTGAATAGGTTTTGAGACATGAAAGGGAGACTCTTGGCTTCCCAAACGTTACCGTAGTATAAACCTAGAGGCCCAGCCAAATTAGTATAAAATTGACAATTGGCAAGAAAGACGGAGTCCCTGACCTATGAGAAGCGCGTAACAACCAATGATTCCAATCAAGGTATTCACAGTACTTTGAAGGGGATACCAAAGCGGGTTGAAAAAAGGAGCAATATAATTCCAGTCAAGCGAAATATTGAGCACCCCGAGGCCTTCGTTTCCTGTAGCTCCGCCAAAGAAATTGGTAAAGAAAAGATTGTGCTGATCTGCAAGACAGAAGACCGAAATGCCAATCAAGGTTGTGAAGATATACTCGGGAAAGAGTTCCCATAAAAAGACAGCCAGGAATACAGCATACCATATTCGCATTTTCCGCTTAGTCTCCTTTCGGTCACGGTGGATTGTCTCAAGCAAACTGGAAACCGGGATTGTCATTGGCCAGATCATTTTCGTTGGAAATACTAGCACGTCGCGCAAAAGCCCAGTAACACCAAAGCCGAGGAGCTGAGATGTCAAGACAATAAAAATGCCGGCTCCTTTACTCGGATAGCCCCCGTAAAAAAGGAATTGAGCAGCGAGTGCCTCGGTAGCCAATGCTGACTGCGCAGCTGCTGATGCCATGATTGTGATTGCCTATAAGAGGAACGTCAGCGAATTTTGATTGCGGATTGTCTTTCATTTCTCCCTCTCCGCAACATACAGCATGCTCCTTGGAGTTGAAGGGACCCGGGTTTAGATAACGTAGTAAGCCACCATCAGTGATGTGCAAGCCACCAATCTTCCAATCAATGCTTGTCGGAATGAGCACAGCCATTAAATCACCGAGAATGTAGGCCCAAACAGTCAAGAAAACCAAAGAGACAAAGATAGTCTGCGGTTTGAAGTAAAAGATTTCCTGAAGGACGGAGCCGAAGATAGAAAGTCCGAGGCCTAAAATGAAGGTTGGTAAAGATATCTCCAGCGGCTTACTTGTAGGATAACCAACCAAGGAAAATCACACGGAAGGTCACCACAGACATATTTGGGTCATCCTGGACATGGATGACTTTTGTGACAAGATCATTGGCAGTTTCCACCACGGTAGTGGCTCCTTCTTCCTCCGGCTCAAATTTCAGGCCGTGCTCTACATCGTTGTCGCTCGTGAAGGTATTATTCTTTGTATCAGTTTCTTTGGTCTCCGGAGTTGGCAAAACATCGTGAGACTCTGTTATTTGAACATCGGGATCATTTGATGCCATATTGGGAGAGAAATAGTTGAATGAGACAATACGACCAACGCGACACGACGAGAGTGAAAACTATAAGAACTTAGAAAGAGGAGTTTATAAGTAATGAGCTGAATAATATTTGACTCGAAATGGTCGTTGATCCCTGTGAGCACCTTCCCTTCTAGGACTAGTACACACTACATGATACTACATAATCTTGCCCCATGACCAAGAGAAAGCTTGTCTACTCCACCGATAAGTGGAGTTTTACCAACAGCTGAGGGTTACATATCAAATTAGTGATATTAATGTAGTATTATAATCTACGGGAACGTCGAGAATGAAAAGATAGCATCAAAACTAGCAGCATCAATGCTCAGGATCTAATATACGCAATCACTGTGGGGGAACTAAATAATTAGACTTGACATTTAGTCAAGATATCAGCTTGTTTACGTTGGAAATAGCCCAACGAAAATATATCTGCTTCCTGTTGCAACTTTGCAGTAAACTTGTCCTCAATTGCGGTCTATATCTGTCCTCACTAGGCTTACAATCTTGCCATGGGGGTTTATCGTATTTCCAATGCTGACAAACTTTCAAGCATACCTGCATTATCATACCCCATCTCCTCGCTACTGGTAAGTCCTGTATACTCCGGAGGGTCTGGGAGTTTTTCAACCATGCCTGCAAATCTGTCAGTCACTCTGCAAATAGGCTTCCTAGTCTAAAAAGGGCGCATACTCTTGATTACTCCCATTTCATATAGCTTCTGCCTCTGGTTGAGGACAATTTTTTCTGGTATTTTGTAGTCTGCTGTGTACGGGGGAAGCGGCTCTTGCTCTTCCAGATCATCGTGGGCATGCAGGAGGCCATTATCCTTGTCGACATGTGCATCGTGCTCATACACATTGACGTTCTGGTGAGATTTATGGATGTGGATTTCGGCAGGCTCATAGAGGTGAATCTGAGCTTTGGATGCGTAAATATGGACGTCGCCTTCAGGTTCGTAAATACGCACGGGTCCCTTGGGTTCATGGACATATACTGCTTCCTGTGGTTGTTGGATGTATGTTATCTGTGCAGGTTCTTGAACGTATACTGTATCTTGGGGTTCTTGAACGTAGGTTACCTCCTCAGGCCGTTGCACATATACTGTATCTTTAGGACTTTGCACGTATGTTACCTGCTGAGGCGCTTGAACGTATACGGTATCCTTAGCGGCTTGTACGTATGTCACCTGCTCTGGTTGTTGCACATAAACCGTCTCCTGCGGGCCTTGAACGTATGTTTCCTGCTCAGGCGCTTGAACGTAAACCGCCTCCTGAGGAATTTGAACATATACGTCTTCCCGAGATGATTGAATGTACGTTGCTGCCTTAGGCTTTTGGATGTATACGGGTCCGTCTGGTTCTATAAGATAGTTTCCTGTGGGTTCGAGGTTCGTTTTCTCGTCCAGGGGTTGAACGCCTTTCTCTCGGGCGTGCTCGACATTAGTAGCATCGGAGACATCTGATCTGCCTTGAACAGATACATCTTTTTCCGCAAGAGGAGGATGCTTCCACAGGTGCCAACGCGTAAGTAAGCGGTTAATTAGCGATCGAGGAGGCTTCGTATCCGCAATCATTGAAAATAAAATGTTGGTCGAATCTTCAATGTCCTGAAAGAGCTCATCAATGTCTTCAAATAGGCCAACCGCCGGCGGGGACTGTACCTTGCCGCGAAGGGCAATGAATAGGGCAGTCTTGGCCATTGTCTTTGTCAGGAGCACATCTTTTATCTCGTCGTTTGCTGCTGATGTCTTCGAACGCTGCTCTAGCAGCTCGCTCAGGTTACTATACAGATTCACGATGTCATATTCTTGACCAGTGTTGTGGAGGTATACGCTCATATACAATAATATCTCGGTGGCTTCGCGTAAGAGGCTCAACCCGATGAGCTTTTGGATATGATCGAAGGCAAATCCAACCACGTCAGATAGACTCCCATACTGCCCCATCACTAGGACGTCATATAGGCGTATTTCTATATTTTGTAACTACAAATCGTGAGTCAGGGGCCATATCGTGATACTCCAATTTGGTTTACCTGCGCAATGGAGTTGTAGTCAATCTCGAGAAAAGGAGAGCATAAAGCGCGTACTCCGTTCCCTGACCCCGAAGTCTCCAACTTCAACTTCTCTTTGTGGGATAACGCGGCGAGTGTAGAGTCGTATAATCTGTGCCTGGCAAATAGAGCTACCATCTGATGAAATTCCTGTTCGTCAGTCCTCAGAAATACAATTCTTCTTGCAGCGAGGTCGATGATCAGCTCCGATGCAGCCCCTACTTCTTGTCTCGTAATAAAGAAGGCCGCAAGCTCTGCAAAGACGGGGAAATATCCTATATGCTGTGACAGGATTTTTTCTGCCAGATAATAGGCATCTTCGTGAAGACCTAGTCGAACGCGATAGACAAACTCCGCGAGGCAAGCGTCGACATCTTCCTCAATATCTAGATCCATCTCGAAAATGATGGACTCACCGGTTGCGCTTTCTGTAATCTCGTCCATGGTAAAGCGACACTACTGATCGAGTAGGTAGTACTGTCTCTGTATGTTCAACCGTCGAGATCTATTGTCGGTAAAAGGACAGGGAAGATAACATGCCTAGGGCGAGGCTGAAAGTCCAAACTGTCAGACAATAGCGGGGTAGCGGGGTTTTATTTGCAACCATTTGACCTGAATTGGCATCCAGAGGATATGTTTGCGATATTTGCACGGAAACTTTCATAACTGTATGCTTCGCTTCTGAACCTTGAAATGTCACGGTATCCGAGATATTATGGGGCCTCCACAACCGGGGCGTTGACACCAGAACCCGCAAGGAAGTTGAATACCAGAGCTCCAACAGACCTAGCCAACGATTTGACACCAAAAGTCAAAGTGAGTTGCATTCTGGCACCCGAAGGGATCATTTGGGGTAACTATCGGAATGAACATGTGGCAGTCATGCATTTGCAACTCAGGGCAATTGAACCTCCAGGGTACAAACTTCGACACTTCCAACTAGACATCCGGTTTGCATCGTCGAGCTCGGCGGACATGGGAGCCCAGGAACAAGATGTACCGTCTGTGTGGTTACTGCAGAGTCCGTCACCGAGCCCAATGCCCGAATACATCGAAGGACGACCGTGGACAGAAAGCCAGAGCCAAGGATTCAAATTCGAACCTTCAGTCCAAGCAGGAGCTGGTGGTGGGAGCCTTGGATCTTTTTTTAGAACAACAGAGAGATCAATGACGTATAAATGGCAATTTCGAAGTTATCCGGTTCCTGACGAAAACAACTATCCGACGACCGCAACTTGGATCTGGGAGTCCAATAAGAATAATCCGCAGGTGGAAGATCGAGGAACCCTACACGGCGGGCTTGCCCTTTGTTCTACAGGAAATGACCTGAAAATGGAATGTAAGGTCGAGGGCAAGTTGTGTAAGGGGGATTGGTGGTCACGGTTTGGAATGCCAAAGGCTGAACCAGGTTTGTGGTATAGGGAGCTAGGTCCGCCTACTACCAACATTGAGGACCATGTCAACAAACTTGAAGCAAAGATGAGGGAAATGAACATTGCCGCGCCAGCTCGTGAGTGTCCAGAGACGTACCTTAATAGGCTACTCTACTGATAGGGGAATGCTGATGAAAATAGGCGAAAGCGAGCCCGCCTGAATTAGCGTATGCTTGTGGAGACTTGGGTAGCTCAAGCAGAAGTTTCAAAGTTGTGAGAAGGTTACCTGTAGAATTCTGCTCGCATTAGTGTTCTCAAGTAAAAATCACTTCAACAGCGCGCGTTATATGGATGTTTGTCAATATGAACTAACCCGTAGATTATCATCAAGTCTTAGCACATGTGCTTGATGTCGGAAGATTTAGAACCCTACGGCCAATATATAAAGTACATTGGAATCAAATATGTTCTGTACCCCTTGTATCTGAAATTCTCCCCACCATTCATTCTGTACAGAAACGCGTACACATCAACTTACCTACAAATGTGTACAAGATGTATGGATTATTAGGGCTTTATGGATGGGTTGTTAGCCTGATTTGTTAGTACATTAGGTCGGTAGTAAGCTTTCAGGAAGCTGTCAATCGGACGTGGGGCAGCGGAAGCATATTTCGTGAAACTGCATCTATAGGTACCTTGGTAACATGTAAGAAATTGTTGATTTGACCCAGATGCAAAATTAACGGCTAACTAGGTTGCCATAGAGGTAATTGAGTATTTACATCCTGGATTGCTATCATCACTTGCTACATTCTAAGCTAGCAAGATAGTAAAAGCACAATTCAATTATCATACTTATTATTATGCAGGAATAGAGTCAAAATGATTCAGCTCTCGGCTTGATCCTACACGACACTTCCCAGGTACTTCCTCACCCATTCCTTGCGCCTAAGAGGCCCACCAGATCCCTCGTTAATTGACGGTAAGTATTTATATAAAGTCTTTCTGGAAGGGGTTTTCGTCTCGGCATGCCCTGTCTCCGTATCACCAATTATGGATCCCTCGTTAATTGACGGTAAGTATTTAGATAAAGTCTTTCTGGAAGGGGTTTTCGTCTCGGCATGCCCTGTCTCCGTATCACCAATTATGACTTCTTCCCTTTCCTGCATCCAATATTTCACCATGTCCATAGGAAGAAATTTGCTGCCACCCATGCGACCGCGGTGACTATAAACTCTAGACTTGCGTCGACCAGAACGGTAACTTTGCAGTTTATTGAAATGCACTCGACGCAAATGTGCGGCTGCATTGTAGAATGCGCCATACTTCTTCCCATTTCTACAAGATTTGCAATTGGCAAGAAAGCTTTGGTCTGGAGAAATGTCCACACACACCCAGACCTTCCGAGTTCTTGAATGGGCACGTGCAATGTGGCGGCGCAACTCATGCTCCCCGTAAAATCCCTCGGGGTGGTCACTGCAAAGATGACAAAAGTTTCGCGGTCGAGATTTTGTGTTTGTGGAGGGTTTGGAAATAGCAAAAGCCTTTTTGATAGGCAAATTTAAATCCGAAGTGCTCATCAATCCATGGTCATCGTCCGACTCCTTACGTGTACTATCGTGTAGCACTAGGTCGTGCTTCGTAAAGGTAGATGTCTTGTTGTCCTTGATGGTTTGATTCAAGTCTTTAGACAATGGCTTTGTTGGCTTTCTCTCCATCAGATTCAGATGAGTGTAAGTCTTTCCATTGGTCTTATCAACCCTCGGATGATATGCTTGAAGATATATTTCCTCTGCATGCTGCGGCAGATGCGTCTCGAAGAAGTCGGTATTTCCAACGCTCTCGCAGCAAAGAGGACAGCTAGAATCAATGGCATTCTGTAATTTCCATACATTGAAGTATAAAATCAGAGTATCGTAGATATCTTCCTCGATTAAACTCTGTAGTGCTATCTTGCTGGAGGGATTATATTCGTGCTGTCGCATGTCTGAACGACCATTCAAAAACCATCCAAGCTGCTGTATGAGGTCCTGACCAGCCAATGGAAACAACTGATATACAATATCGGCAAACTTTTGGCGCCACTTTAGAGAAGTCGACGTTGCCTCGCACCGGTTGGCAGGCTGACTCTCCAGGTCGTTGACAGGGTATTCGTACATTGAGTCGAGATCTATCAAGCATTGCGTATCGGTCTTGATATCGGCTACCATATCTTCTAAGGAGTCTTCGTCTAGTAAATTCATTGTCTCGAGACAAGAAGCGATATCATCCCCGTGTAGATCACGGAGTCCGCTTTGAAGAGCAAGTAACCTCCGTTTGGCTTCATTTATAAGCACTAACAAGGTGTACTTTGGGTACGAGTCATTTTTATGTATACCAGAAGCCAACTGAGGATGAAGTCCTATTTGAGAAAGGTAAGTTAGCCCTGTAAACGAAATAATCTGCTGAGGTAAAAAATATACGATTTCTTAATGTTTCGCTTATTCGGATCAATGGCTCCAGAGTTATGCTTTGTAGCAGCTTGGACTTTTTCAATGCTTCATCAAGATTCCCATCTGCAACACCATATCCCTGACCCCAAAGAACAAGAGAGCTATGGCTACTTTCGAGGTCCCGGTAGATATGTGGTGGAATATCTCGGTTCCCAGATGCTCGTTTGAGGAGCATTGAATAGAACCTGGTGCATTTGGTGTATATATCAGCTATGATATGCCTTTTCTTCATAAGGTCTGCTAGGCTACTTATGCCCGTCGGCAGCGGTGCTGCTGGTGATGCTGTAGGTTTAGGAGATAACGACATTTTGAAAAGTTTCTTATATAAGTCGATAACCCAACAACAATTTTGAGGAAATATGGGCATATATACAGGCGGAAACGCGACCGGGATAGTCTTCGGCCTGATGCTAGCTAGCTGCATGCACAGCCACCACAGCCAGGTTCGCCTTGTATCAATCCCTTAAACACAGTACGTGACTTTCTCAGCCTTGTCTTGGCGGTGGCATAAAAAAGAAGAGGAACCCCAATAAGATTTCCAAAATTCTGGGGGCAGCTCATCCATCATGACAGATCCGGCATCTCTCGTCATTGGCCTCACGCCAATCGTACTCAGCGCTATAGGTGCCTATAGCATGATATATGGCAAATTCAAGACGTATCGTCAATACTCCAGAATTCTACTCCGCTTAAATCGCCAATTTGAAACCCAGCAGCGCCTTTTTCTAAATGAATGCCACTTTCTACTGCGACTTGTTGTTAGCGACGAAGGTACTATTCGCGCGATGCTCGCCGATTCTCAACATATCAAGTGGACCGATGGCTCTATCAGTCAGCAGTGGAGAACGTGTTTAGATAAAAATTACGATACATGCTTGAGAATCGTGGAGGAAATCGATGAAAGACTGGCAGAACTAAGCGCAGAGCTGAATCACTTTGACTCTGTTCCTGCGCAACGGCAGGTATGATGACCAGTGTGCTTTTACTCTCTAATTTAGAACAATTGGCTGATAATAGCAAACTAGGATGTAGATACCCAAGCTAGACTAACCCGGATACAATCGGCCATTAAGATGTCATTTAAGCAGTCCGGGTATGATCAACTGATCGAGGCTCTGCGTACGGCCAATGCAGATTTGCAATTACTACGTAAACATCTCAAAGAGTTCCAGAGACCTTCGCACTATCAAGAAACCGCTTCAATCAGCAGAGGGAGAAAGCGGTCCCGTGAGGAGTGTACTCAGTATGAGGCCATCAGACATGTCTCTCGAGCACTGCACGAAGCGTTGACCACGTCGTGGTCCTGCTCCCAATCCACCCATCTTGCGCATTATGCGAAGTTATTGCTGGATGTTTCAGCTAATCCAAAATTTCGTCTGGATCTGATGATATTATCAGAAAGTCGCCCACCACAAAAAACGTGAGTATTACTTCCTCCGGCTTGTCACATTGCAACGATGATTAGTTTAGATATATTGACACCCAATTTTCAAATCCTAGACTCGAGAATCTAGTACGCTTGTCAGTTCTCTCGTATAGTCGGCCATGCAAAGATTCCGGATGCTATGTTTCACCCTCAGAAGGCGCGGTAGAGAACCAAGAAATGATGATTGGCGAGTCCTCACACCGTGCAGCAGAACAAGTTACCGAACGAACAGGGAAAGCGCGGAAATTATTCTTGACGGATGACACTTCTGACAGGTCTCTTGACAAGGAAATATTGCAGTTGTGTGATTACGTGAATCTCAGTAGCTCGTCTGATATTTGTTCTGACCTGGCTCGGCAAACAGAACCATCTCAGGAGCGCCACAGAGAAGAAATCTGTATCGGATATATTGACACCACCGTTGACAAATACTGCCATATTTTCTTCTCAGGCAACAATCCGAACAGCGAGTCTCTCCAGGCAAAGTCTCAAGGCGAGCTGGCGCCTGTGTATGAGTTGTTAAGCCAACCTCTGGATGATACTTTGACGGTAGTGGATCAATTGAAGCTAGTGCGCACTTTGGTATCAGCGATGCTACAGTTTCATGCCACTCCTTGGCTAAATGAATACTGGGGCTTGCACGATATTGGCTTTTTTCGATTTGGTGATGAGTTTTCCGACGCTTGTTTGCGGTCCCTGCATCTCACCACGGAATTTTCTTCAAAAAGCCATAATAATGACCAAGCCTTCATTGATGCAACTGAAGACTACCCTGAGCCCAATATGTCCGCTGTAATTGAAGATGCTAAATTCCAGTATGGCATCCGCAATTTGACTTTGTACTGTCTAGGAGTCGTCCTACTGCAGGTTGGACATTGGGCGCTTGTTGACGGTGGGGATATTGGTAGAATTCGAAGATTAGCAGTCCAGTCATGTAGACTAGGACCTAGGTACAAGAAAATCGCACAGAGATGCCTCGATTGCGACTTTGGCTTAGGGAGTGACCTTTGCACACCTCAGCTCCAACAAGCCGTACAAAATAGCGTACTGGACGAACTCACCGATATGATTGACAGTCTTGATATTCGCAAGGATTGAGGAAATATCCCAGATCTTTTCTTAGGCGAAATCATGCTTGCGATTGTTTAGACCTTTGCACTGGGAAGCATCGAGCCTTCCAGCAAAGGCTGGAGGTCTGGAGAGCTCGGTCGTTTTACACCTCGATCTAGCGCGGCTAGCGATCCCTACTCCGGTGCGAAAACTTTTAGATGTGGCACACGCAGCCGCTTGTTTTGGAACAAGTTTCACACTTCAAATTTCGGTGCTACATGGGAGCATACCATTCTGGTGTGGGCTTACCAAGACCGACACAAGGCCCGATTAGCTGTGACACGCTGGCGCAATGCTTTGGCACCTCCACAGATTTCCGTCAGACTCATAATTGAGCCAATTACAACGTTCCTGACTGCACTTGCTCTTTGATCGATTGGCTTCGCATCAACACTAAGACTGCAAAATCGACTTCCCGGGACAGGGAATTCAGATGAATCCCGAAGATATCTTCAGGTGGCTAATGACTCTCCTGATGATAGTATTTAATTTTCCGACGCATTATCGACCCGGGAAACAATAGTAATTCAGCTCAGGAATTCGGACCGCGTTGTTCTCAATCTGGGTCTAGGTGGATAAGAGTACTAAACATAATGCAACTGGATCGGGCCATTGTCTCTGAATTTGTACAGGATTCTATTCGGTCCGGTGAAGGCGTGAGGCTTTATCTAGAGGGCGTTGATGATCTTTGTTCTAAGGAAGGGGCTTTGCAAGTCCTCCGGGAAGGTGTCGTCGTGTTATTAGAATGACCAGCTGTTTGGACCATCTCCGAGACTTGGCTATTATTGCATGGGGCTCTTTTTAGACCATATTCTGCTACTTGTTGAGCTATGCGTCTCTCTTCTCGAATTACAGGCATGGGTCTTGAAAATTTGTTTGAGAAAACAGTGTTATCTTTGTAAGCCTAGTCAGATCTATACCTAGTAACTTTAAGCTTATCACAAGACTATCACTTCAGGTATGTATCATATAGAATCCAGTGTTCCCGGATATTGTATACTCAGACCGGCCATACAAAGAGTAGCTCTGTATTCGAGCTTACAAAGTTGACGATTTAACACCTTCCTCAAGCAAGAGTCAAGTACTAGTGAAATTCTCCAACTTCCGACTACATTCCACGCCGCGTGCGTCCTCCTTCTCAATTGAGATCCCTAAGCCTCACGTATTCCCTCCTCATCAAAACTGTAGGCGTTGGCTTGGTAGCTTTTGAATTTCCGGGTTGGGACTTTAGCATCGAACATCACATCAAGCTCCTCATTGCTTCGTCCTTTTGTCTCGGGGAGTCGGAAAAATGCCCACACAACACTGAGAAATGCGAAGGCAAACCAGAAAAACCCAGTTTTCCCTGTTACGACTGTCAGAGAGAGGAACATGACTTGACTAATCAAAGAATGGAAAACAAACCTCTCCAGTTCCATGCAGTTGGGTTCATCATGTAGAGTTGTATGACATTTGCCACGATTTGTGCCAGATAATAGCAAGTCCGAGCCAATACCACAGTTTTCGACCTTAAACGTGTGGATGACACTTCTGCTGGGATACTCCAGCCCAGGGGACCAACAGTAAGAGAGTATATGAGTAGCCAAACGATGCAAAGAATCGATTGAACCCATTTAATTGATGGACTTTTTGTGTCAATCGCGAGACCTCCAATGATGAAAAGAAAAGTAGCCATTAGCGCCATCCCAGTCAAATAAAGGCTCCGTCGACCAAATCGTCTCATTAAAAACCACGACGCGATGGTACCACAAAACGCGATGCTGGTCCCGCCAATATTTAGTTTGTAAGAGTCGTTAGAGCTAAGACCTGCTTGTTGGAAGAAGTAAGTAGCAGAATAAGCAAATTGAGCACCACAGGTAATCTGCCCAATGAAAGAGACGCAGGCAATTTCCGTGCGGCGAAGGTCAATGCCTCTAAAGCAGTCCCAGTATTGGACACCTTCTGCAATCTTTTGTTCGAGGTTATTCGTGTGAATCATCGACGCAACCAAAGGGCGTGCGTGTTCTCTTTCGTCATTTGACATCAGCGAACATACAACCCTTTCTGCTTCTGCGTATTTGCCTTTTCGGACTAAGTACCACGGAGACTCGGGCATGAGGAAGGATGCAACAAAGAGAAAAGGAATCCACATCCATTGGAGAGCGAACGGAATGCGCCAAGCCCAGTCGTCATTCCGATTAAGGAAGCTTTGTAGAACCCCGGCACCGATGAGTTGACCCGTTGCAAAGCACATATTAGTATACGCAGTGAGATACGGTCGAAGAGGAAGCGGACAAAGCTCTGAAGAATAGGCGGGGCCAATTGTCGCAAAGATGCCCCATGGTATTCTTTTTTGAGTCAGTGGTCGCAGGAATAAAGGGTGTAAAAGGAACAAGAATGTTGGCTTTGGCCTCACCCGCACAAAATTTGCCCAGTGGCTTGCAGTTCGACATTCGTACCAAAGAAGGATATAAAGCAGAACGATGCCATCAGGACAAGGCCAAGCAAGAAGGCCGGTCGATACCCCAAGTGTTGGATCACCAAGCCATTCAAGAGGGCGCCAATAATGGCTCCAACCGGTGGTCCGCTGCCCATTGCACTCTGCCATTTCGCAGGGATCTGATTCTTACCAGTGGAGGAATCAATGCTGCCAAAGCGCTCGGCGTAGCTTGGATACGCATATAATGAGCCGATAAGGATAGTATCATAGCCCTCCATGATAATCGACAAAGAAATCATAAGAGACCAGACCACTGCCCAGGGATACGACTTCAATGCATGACGGACGCTGAGGGAATGTTCATGGGCATTAGCAGCCTGGGCATCCGCAAGGGTGGCCTCCCAAACTCCTGGTACTCCGACAATCGCGTCGAGGCCTTTGGAGTATGGTTTCGTTATGGTGGTGCCCACCACATCGTGATGAGCGCATTCGGGGTATTTTTTATCCATGTTCTTTGGTTCTTGCTTTCAACAAAGTAATCCAGATGTCGATTTTCGGGAGTAAGGTTTGCAGTGAGAGAGCGGCCACCTCTGGCTTTTTATCTCTGGTCTAGATCTAGAAGCAAGGGAGAGCACATAATTTCGCATCTGCCCCAATTCCCTCATGGCCAATGAGAGTAGCAATGCCCTTGGCGGTTGAGTTGAACATATTCCATTGCCTGTCGCGTTGCACAGTACAGCAATGTTCCATACAACTGTACACACGCATTTCCCTGGATTTCGCCCCAGGGGGATGGAGGCGGGTATCCAAGTTGTACTTGTCGAAATCAGGTTGTACGTATGTTTTATTGGGGTTTTGGCGACTCGCAAAGAAAGAAAAGAGCATGACGTTGTGAAGTATATAGTGGATAGTACACTGGAGAGGGGGAGAGTATGATAACCTGATTCTTGCTGGAATCTAAGTTTATTACATGCTTTCAATGTTCCTGGTTGAATCGAATTAATCGTTTCCTCGTCCCAGTCTTGCAGCGACACATTCTGGCAACTGATATATATCTACTGGCACAATGCCGTGATACACACCCACAATCAGCTGGAAGACTGCAGCATTTGATATCGACTCTGTCCAAAATGCCAATATGGCAGTTTGCTTGCATCACATTCTTTCTGCAGGAGTTCAAAATCAGAAGTCGGCCTTCCCATTCTTTGAGCGGTCCGAAATACCACTTGTGGGCGTCAAGCTCGCGGGAGAGGGTGACACCGGGGACATAACAGCAAAAAGCGTTGATCGGAAGTTACCTATCGGCCAAATTGAAATACGACAGCCATACATTTCAAACCCAGAGCCTGGTGAATAAGTTCGAGATACAGAGCAAAAATGAGAAGACTCACATCTTGATTGTAGTTCGTCCTACCATCTATGGAACCCTTCCAGTTCTCCAGTCCTCAATTACCATCACGAACGAAAACGGCGTGAACACTCCCTGCCGGAGGTTGGAATCGATAATAATGGGATTTTGGGCCTTCCAGATGGGCACTCCGGCTCGCAAGGAATTTTTACTTTCTCGAACCGAGGTTCATTTCCCACTAGTTCTTATTTGCCAATGCACAATTATACTTGGCTCTGGCAAGTTGAACACAACGAGTCTTGGCGATGGAAGGTGGGTGACTTCAATAATAGCGTGTACTTAGCTGCTAGAGGCCCCACGAGACTAGATCATGACTAAAAAGGGTCCTTCGTCCTAGAGAGAGCTCTACTACCGTCCTAGTCTCCCTAGCCCGTGTTAGTGGCATCTAGAAGCAGCGTTCGCGGCTATCACTTATAAGAACTGGGAATGAAATTTCATTATGGCTAGCTCATGGCTACGGTGAGCCTACAGTGGCACTGTTATATTCCACTCGTTTCATGACCAAGGCACTATGAGATGGATTCAAGGGCATGTTTGAAGTGGAATTTCTAGATACTATTTGGGCTCGCCTCTTCCATATCATGTGATTTTTCTATTGCAGACTTCATATGAGAAGATGGAATGGGACGTGGATAAATTTGATACTAAGCATCCCAGTATCTTTCCTGGTTCGATCGGAGAATATATGCGGCTGGATGCTCCGTACAGCCACGATGTTAGTGTGCAGATCGAAAGTCAGCCTCATACTAGTCGACTTCGCGTGTTGTGCATCAGGCTGCGTAGCCTTGTGCTTATTCCGACACCTTCCTCATTTCTAAACGACAAGTAATACCACCAGTATATATTTCGAAGGACTTTGATCTCATCGGGAATGACACACGTCTCCCTGTCTGAACGAACTTCGCGAAATTGCATCATCTTACCTCTCCCAATATGTTAGGTCCAAGACGGGAAACGACTCAAGTGATCGCAGGTGAAAACCTACGCAAAGAAAGACTCGTTGTGCTTCTAAATAGTCTCTTTGACCACCAGTGGAAGCTTGAGGTCGGCTTGTTTTTTTCATGACTGTCATAGCTTAGTCGTCTAATCTTACATAGATGATCGATGGTTCCTGGCATCTTCAAAGTCCAAGGCCGCTCACAGATGTGCGTAGCGCTTGTGAAGTCTACGATATTTGATTATTCTATTGCTAATATCAGAGTAACCCGTTAGGATGAGACTCAAAGCTGTATGGACAACGAGTCTAGCTCTCAGTATGTTTCTGTTCGCATCATCAACAATTGGGAAAAAGGTATAACGATTCCAGAAATCTGCAGCATGAAGAGTACCCTGAGGCGCCAGCGGCATCTCGATCTCTATCAGGAAACCTTGAGTATTTGAAACTGTACCCAGAGCTTACTGCCGAAAGCTCCTCGGAAGGCGAGATCACGTCCTTTCGAAAGGATTCAGAGGAATCTCTTTCCCCGTCAAAAATTATCAAGGCTTCGGGTGAAAGTTCTTTCACATCAAGAAGAACTTTAAATTGGAGCGAAATTTCTTCTAGATTGAAGAAACGCAAGGCTCTCGGCGATTCTACTTCCATTTTCATAAACGGGACGGCTCTACACAAGAGAACTATCTCAAAGAGCATAGAAGCACCAGGAAAAGCTCGGTCCATGTCGGGATCCTTCGAGTATTCAAGCTCAGGTGAAAATCCGAATATTCAAATCTCAGCGCAAGGCGACATCACAGTCACTGTTGGATATGAGCAGCTTGGCGGCGATAAAGCTTCCAGTTCCGTCCTGGTAATAAAGGAATGGAGAGGTATCAATAAAAATGGGATTGGAACACGAGAGCATGGCTTTAGGAACATCTTCCAAGGACATACTTCCACAGTTTTTGAAGTCGATGCCGTGGTAACCAGGGAAAATGCTGGTACAGACGGGGTAGGGGGGAGTTTTATGACCAAGGTAGGTGGTACTGGATGTCAGGGGTACAATATCACTGATCTGGCATCTTCTAGCTTGCCGTGAAACAATTAAAGAAAGAAATAAGCTCAAAAAGATTTGACGAAGAGTATCAAAGTTTATACGCAGTGTCTCGCGTACATCACCCCAACATTGTTACATTCCTAGGTGGCTTTCTGTATGGAGACGACAATACGGTCAGCCGCAACTTTCTTTTCCCGATGGCTATCGGAGACATGAAGCAGTTTATTTGTGGATCTATCAATCACAGTGCGCTCTCGCAATTCTCGGGCACATTGTGGGCACAGTTTGAAGGCCTTGCAAGTGCCATCCAATTTCTACATGACCGATATCACATGGTGCATATGGACATAAAATCATCTAATATTCTTATATACAAGCACGCTAATGGTCTAAGACTGATTGCTAAGCTTGCCGACTTTGGTATAGCAAAGAAAAATACTGTGGACTCTGAAAAGATCCGAAAATTGCTTCGTTACGAGGATGTTTGGAAGCTGGGTATTGCTTTTGCTGAGCTTTTGACCTATCTCGGGGGAAGCACGGTAGGTGTCAAGCAGTTTTATAAATGCATTCTATTCAAATATGATGAGGATACTCCTTATAATGAGAATATCGTCAAGTTAGATATCATGGCGTGGCTGAGGTGGACGTTGAGAGATCAACCTTGGGGGAAAGAGGTGACCGAAATTACATTGAGGATGTTGGGAACTCGAGATGAATGCCCTTCCGCTGCCGAAGTTTCAAGATTTTTGGCCAATGTGAGTTGGCCCTTTTCCGACTTGACATTCCCAAGTCGTCGCAGTGGCTAAATTGGAACAGTCGAGTAGTGCTTGTTTCTTTGATGGCAGACGCTTTGTACACTTTGAAAATACAGATAGCATCCCGAAACCGTCGATATTGGACAAGACAAGATCGTTCATCGAGCAAAGATTCGGTGCCTGTATTTCTTGGTGGCCGTTTCCTCCTGTTCGATACTCATGTCCCTCAGGTTTAACGAGGGTTGGATGGAAGGTAGGTCGCAGAGAAAAATGTTATGCATTGGTACTGCAGGTGACTGATGTGTCTATTTTCCATAGTGGTGCACACACAACCTTTATGTCGATCTACCTAACGAGGTGGTCAAGTTGTACAAAGAAAACTGCTGCACGATACTTTCTTCTCTCCCAGCGGAACCTTTATTGCCACGGTCCAACCCACAACCAGGCTCATTCAATTCCGGTTCGAGTCAGTCATCTAATCTAAATATAGTGGCTCCGCATCACTCGACGAAAAATGGGCCCCAGTCGTCGGATTTAAGCAGTGGAGCCATTACTACACCTTCAGCTTCACCAAGCCCTCAGGCCCAGGTGAAAGAACTGTACTGGTGTGTCGACAAGGCCTGGGTTGAGCCGTCAGAGACTTGGCTTTGCATTGAGGACCCGCATCAAATTGCAGAAGACCGGATTCTTTGCACAAAATTGAAGGCTTCGTACGATCGTATCAGAGGCCTTCGAGGACGATACCTGTCATGGAAAACTTGTCTGGGCATCAAGTTCACTAGCGTAAGTGTTCTTCGCCTCATGACATAGCATTATGAAAATCTAATATTCTATGATCGGAGTTCAATCGGCTCTACACAGGGAAAAGCCAGGTCATTTGTATGTCAGTGGGACTTCCCAAGCCACCGGGATATGAATACGTCCTATCCCAGCCTGAGCTCGTTCACATGGCGATTGCTTCCGAGCAGATACTAGCTGGCATACATGATCCGTCAAAGGTTGTAGGCAATGACACCTTGGAAATGATACCGAAGAAAGTTGACCCTCTATTGCAACCACACAAAGGAGCAGAAGGCTGGGGATTACACGCCGTTCAGGGCTGGTCAATGTGGAAAATTGTTCTGTGGATGGGTGCACTCACCGTGGTTGGGCTGCTATTTGTGGTATTGTGGCTAGTACTGGTTGATTCAAAAGATTTGCAAAATGCGTTCACCCCTGGAATGTTTCTAGTAGCAATGCTATGCCTGGCGCTTGGTGTCCCGCAATTTCTGGACGCTGCTTAGGCTGCATCTGTTGGGGCGAGGATTTCTTAGGAAAGATCTCATTTCTGATACAATCATGAGAATACAGGGAATTGTTACGTTGGGAATATGAATGAGAAGTCGTGTATAATCAATATTTACTATCAAAATTTGAGCCTTGGATTTGATCACCCATCAGGCTTGGGTCAACCACTATCCCACATGCTGGTAACCTTGGAACACTTCAAATGTCGTTGTATATACGCGGGTAAATACAAATTGCTTCCAAGGACCGCTTTTATTTTCATGATTCCATTTTTATACACTGTCCCAAACCCGCACTCTATCCATAGCATTAGCAACAAAACTCCCCCACCTAGGTATATAAGAGCAAACCCATACCTATAGAACTGCAATACACTCAATTTCAACGTCCGTATTAAGCGGCAAAGTCTTGACAGCAACGCAACTACCCCATCCACAGGTCAGTCCCTCATTCTCTGAACACGTATAATAGACACGGAAGGATTTACTCACGTTCGGCAAGGCTTAACATCCCCCCAATACTGCGTGTACACCGAATTCATATCCGCAAAGTTATCCATATTATCCAAAAACACATTCACTTTAACAACCTTGTCAATCGAGGAACCAGCCGCTTCGAGGACGTGGGTCAGATTTTTGATGCATTGGTGCTTTTTGTCTATCAGCCTGATTCCGCAAACCTGGAAATCGTTGCAATCAATGATGGGGAAATGGGACGTACAGTGTGAGCTTTAACGTCGCCATCAATCAATTTTCCAGTCTCGGCGTCCATGGGTACGGCACCGGAGCAGTAGACAACACCGTTGGCGATGATGGCCTGGGAGTAGATACCAGGCAAAGGCTTGGGGGCCTTTTCGGTGAGGACGGGGGTTTTGGTTGTCATTTTGATTGAAGTATATGAACGGAAGGCCGAAGATTGACTATAGTGTGTAGAATGTGTAGTAGTAAGTGAAGAATGAAGAGCAGGAAGAAACGGGAAATTCATGGGAAAAATAGTTAAATACTCTAGCTAGTAGCTCAGCTCAGGTACCTACCCCTCCATATTCCTCACCTAACTATTTCTAGAAGCCCCTCCGCTTACCAATACGATGCATTCCACCATGCCACTTAACATCTAGATGGCATACCAATCTCATTGGTCACCATGCAACAACGACAAAGTAAGGAGGTTGCAAGAGGGGAAAATGTGCATCCCACGCTCGGTGATTGTACCGGTAAGTGTATAACCGATAAGATAAAGAGTGGAGTATATCGATGTGGATATGCAATTGCCGGATTTGGACTGTATATGTCCAGCATATCGAGCTGGTTCACGATATAGCTTGAGAGTCAGAGTGTGCCAATTCCAGGATTTAACAAGAATGTAGAATGGAAACCTTGGCAGTCCCCTTGAAGAAATTGTGATATTACGTCCCTTGTACCTGTAAGCCGATACAACGTTTATCACCCCGCAATTCCGTATTCGGCAATCCGTACCTCGCAAGTACACCATCCCACGCAATACGTGGACACCTAGAATCGTGAGCTTGCATGCATCAATGCCAGATCGACCGTGTTCTCGTTACGCATTGCATAGTCAAGTGACCTTTTCCCTTACATCTTGAGTGTTATACGATTCGCTCGTAGTGTCGTACTCTGGTACACCCGTGTAAGCGTGGACCTTGACTTGGGATGGGATGAAACCCATGATTGGTAATGAGATAGCTTAGGTTTAGGGCTTTGGCGGACGACTGGGATTGCGCTACTGACATTTATTTCTTCTTCTGTCGTGAGGGGTGATCTAGTTACTGTACTTAGATAAGAAGATTCTTTCGCTTCGCCTTTCTTCAGTTTGGATTATATAGTTGTTTTGTCGGCTACACACCCCAATCTCCTCGTCTGCAATTGAAACAACTTCATACTATCAACAAGAAGCTCCCAAAAGGGATAGAAAAAATGGCCGGCGTAACTCAACCCCCCTACCCCCTCCATCCCTCCATCGCCTCTCGCATCCATCCCGAGTATGCCGCCTTTTACAACGAATACATCATCAACCAACAACAAGTCCACCTCCAACCCGTCGCCGCCTCTCGCACATCAGGCGTCCTGATCCCCGGTGGCGGTCCCGTTCTACCAGTCGGCAAAACAGAGGACATCGCCATCAAACGCGTCGAAACTGAAGGTCCTGATGTGTTGGTGCGAGTATTCACACCCGAAACACCAGCCCCGGAAGGTGGATATGGCGTTATGTTGTATATGCATGGAGGTGGATGGGTGTTGGGGAACATAAATACCGAGAATACGGTCTGCACGAATATCTGTAAGAGAGCGGGTGTTGTGGTTGTTAGTGTTGATTATCGGTTTGTCCTCCTCCCATTGCTCCGTTTTACTATATATTCCAATGCTAAGGTATTGACCAGACTTGCTCCCGAAAACCCCTTCCCAGCCGCCGTGCACGACTGCTGGGAAGCCCTCCTCTGGCTTCACACCCCTTCCACAATTTCTCATCTAAACATCAACGTGACCTCCAAACTCAGCGTCGGCGGCTCCTCTGCCGGCGGCAACCTCGCCGCCGTCCTAACGCACAAAGCGCTCCTCGAACGACCAGGCCAAATCAACATCGTCGCGCAAGCCCTCAGCGTCCCCGTAACCGACAACACCGCCACTCCCCAGAACAACTGGGCATGGAAAGAATTCGAATTTACAGCCGCATTACCAGCGCTGAAAATGATGTGGTATCGCAGACATTACCTGCCCGATGAGAAAGAATGGAGCAACCCCGAAGCGTCGCCGCTGTTGTATGGTAACGAAGATGGGCATTGGGCGAAGTTGCCGCCGGCGGTTGTGGTGGTGGGAGAGCTGGATGTGCTCAGGGGTGAGGGGGAGGCGTATGCGAAGAAGTTGCAGGAGAATGGGGTTAGGGCGGAGGTGCATGTTATGAAGGGGATGCCGCATCCGTTTTTGGCGATGGATGCAGTGTTGGAGGCGGGGAGGGAGGCGATTACGTTGTTGGTGGAGGCTGTTAAGAGTTCTCTTTGATTTATCTAGATATCTACCTAAGGTAGAGGTGGGTTGCAAGTATATACAATAGACTTGGTAGTTGACTTACGAGCATGTTTGTTTATTCTAACCAATAGATTCATCTACAGCAACCAACGCCTAGATATATAGAAACCTGTAGGCAAGACGTGTACATACATGGATTCAAGTTATAAACAAGAGCAAGGAGAAGATGACGTCAAGTCGCTGATGTTGTGTTTGTTGCGTATGGAAGGGATATATAGAAAGAAAAGAAAATGACAGCTCAACAACAACGCCATATGATGCAGATTCAGATTGTGTCGCGAGAGGATGGATGCGTATTCGGAGTTGCGGGGTCTGCGGGGGCTATGAGGATACCGAGTGTTTCGAAAGCGTCGGTTGGAAAGAGATCAAGTCATATTCTCTCGTGCTCTGTACTGATTCCGCCATGATTCTCCAGCAGACTGCGGCGGAGGCGGAAGTGGTCCTGAAGGTGGAGGCGCAGCTCCCATGGGTAAAGTAGTGGTATGTAGTCCGCCCTGATGATTAGAACTCAATGCGCGAGGGAAATGCGGCCGTGAAGGGGGATCAATTGCAGATCGAGGTTCGCCGGAGTAGTTGCGTGGAGATCGGCCCCTTCCGTTGCGTGCTTCTTCACTTTCAAGAGAGAGATGTTCGAGGGACAAGTACGGAGATTGTTGTCTCGAAGAGGATTGAGATGATCTGGAGTTGTGTGATACATGTTGTGATTGCTGTTGCGCATACTGATTGTGATTGCTATAATCGGCATGATGGGGCGTAGGGTTATGGTGAGAGGACGGACTAAAGTGTTGTTTATGTGCAGAAGTAATGTCGTTTCGGAGCGGAATCTCCCCAAATGTTGGCGTAGGATGAGATGGCGCGGCTGACACGGTTGTAGCAGGGGTATCTCGAGGCGTCATATCTGGAGAAGGACTGCTAGATGTTGTGGTTGCTGTTTTAAGTGAAGCTGGGGCGGGTGGTTCTAGGTACGAATGACGGTCTTGGGCGTGCATCATCTTTCGAGCCCATTTTTGTAGATCAACAGGTGTCCGCTTGGCGGCTTGCAGAAAAGCATCCTTATCCTGTTGATTGTTAGCGATATATATAGAAAGAACGGTCTTATGTCTTACATAGAGTTCCCTCGGCGTGGGCCGCTCCTCAGACTTCTTGAGCAAGCACTTGGCCACAAATTCGTGCAGAATAGGAGGGAAAGCGTCACTCTTGGGTAGCTTAGGTGCAGGCTCATGCACAATCTGCTGTAAAAGATCCAGAATTCCCATCGGCCCAGCACTGGCTCGATCGCCGGCAGCCGAGTCAGTAGCATCAAACGGGAATCGTCCGACGGCAAGCTCCATCACAGTCAATCCAACACTCCAAACATCAGATCGAACAGTATATGCGCCTCCCTGGATACGTTCCGGAGCCATGTAGGTGGAAGTACCGACAAAGGTATCGGCGACGGAATTAACGGTCTCGGTAGCCACGCCAAAGTCGCACAGTTTAATATTTCCTCGAGAGTTGACTAAGACGTTGGACGGTTTGATGTCGCGGTGCATGATTCGGTGGTTCTCATATAAATATACCAAGCCAGCGAGGATAGACTCGGTGATTTTGCCTAGGACGTCGATACGGACCGGTCCGAACTCTTTGGAGATGCGATCGAGAGAGCTTCACATCGTCAGTATTATTTGCTTACAAACCAGTGTCAAGACTGTACGCACCCGCAGTCCATATATTCCATACACAAGACAATATCGCGCGACTCGTTCTGAAAGGCGCCGTAAAATGTGACGATATAAGGCGAGTTGCAGTCGTGACCGACCTGGAGTTCACGGAGGATCTGTTTGCGTACGTTCTCTTTCGCATCGACACGGATAATCTAAAAATTCAGAATCAGATATGAATCTCTACAATCGATCGAGAGACCAACCTTCCGTGCCATAACGACCTTTGTCGTGGCATGCATAACCTTGGCCACGGTACCGCCATTTCCAGCACCAACCTCCTTCAATGTCACCAAATCCTCACTGCGCAAATCGAGCTTGAACTCGAGGCCAATTTCCAACGTATCTGAACGGGTGCTCTCTGTGTTTCCGACCGCGCCGGGGACTTGAGCATCGCCTTCAGATGGGGTGGACGCTGGCTTTGGTGTGGAATTGAGGGCGAGTCCCTTTACATTCTTGCGTTTCATGGTACGGGGTTTGAATGCGTCGGCCATGATTGTGGTTGTAGGCCGCACGGCGGCGACTGGCTGTACGATAAGGATGTCGAATAATGCAGTATAAAAGAAATATCTAGTTGTGATCGAGAGATGTCAGTAAATCAGCGGTGAGGTGATTTAGAAGCTCCGTCGTGATGCATTGCGGGGGAATGGATATTAAGAGAAGGACAGTTTGGGCTGTTTCGGCTTCCCCCTGGTGCTTCCTTTCTCTCGGAACAAATGAGACAACACTTACAGCTTGGCTTGGAGGCTTCCCTATAAAAAGCAACAAGATAGAACAAACGGCCGACCCTTTTTCTCGTGGCTGTCACACACAGACACAGCCAGGAATTTTCAGGAGTCGGTGGAATGAATAATGCAGAGTGATGGGATGAGTGGAAGATGCAGCGGGGCCAATCAGCGCGCTTGGGGCGGCGAAAGCTGTTCGCGCCAACTGAGCCTGGGCGGTACCAGAACCAACGATAATTCGCTCGATTTGCCAATATTGAAATACAAATAATACGATAGTCTGCTGATGGCGCGAAAGTACTGGCCGATGGGAAAAGCCAGCGAGATCGTTATCGAGTAGGCGAGCCAGAGGAAGTCGGGCAGGAAAGCCGACGCAACTGATGACTGGAGATGTGAAACTTGGGCTATGTGTCAGGAGGCGGGGATCAAATTGCATAGGACTAGCCCTTCTAACTAGTTACTTTGTGTGTGTTTGGTAATCGGAATCCTTCATTTTGTGCTCTCGCTGATATATTGATCTGAGGAGAGTCCATCGACCGGGAGAATATTCCGTAGTAGGATGACAATGATACGTAGACATCGAGGCCGAACCTATAACGATGCGATCAGAATGGATGAGACTATATATGGCAAGTAAGCTACTTAACATTTAATCATCCTTGCTCCGGCTATACCATTCTCGATAGATAATAGAAATGAGTCTGTATGCTTCAACAACTGGCCAATCAGACGCCACTATTCGATCCAGCCTCCGATGGGCTTATGCGCCACACTTAAGCCCATATTAGGCCTAGCGCATCCGCCACATTGGCGCGCCTTTTTTGTTGCTGGGAGAGAAGGAAGCTGCCAACTGTCGCTCTGGTCCAGCTGTGAGCTCGCCTCCAATTCACCTGCCAGCTCGTCTTCAATCACTCGTCTGAGGCCGCGAGCTTCAGATACTGCGCGCCATCTACCTTAATACACTACGGATTACTCATCGTCACAACAAACAACATGAGCACCAGAGACTTGATAGAGGGCGAGGCGCTGTTGGATGACGAGGAGAACGATGAGGAGTTCGACGAAGAGACCGGCGAGCCCATCAGAGGTCCTAGCAAAGGACAGTCCAATTCATACGATGATTCCAGTGAAGAGGATGATGAAGAAGAGGAAGACGAGGAAGCTGCTCGCGCGGTAAATGACCTCACTGTTGACGTTTGTCAAAAGTCGTCCGCTGACTTGTTCACTATCTAGGTTCGTGAAGGATTTATCGTTGACGAAGATGAAGAAATCGAGGAACGCGCCGAGCGCCGCCGAGAACGAAAGAAGCGCAGACGAGAGGAGCGTGAGAGAGAGGAGATTGTTCTTGATCAGGAAGATTTAGATCTCATCGGCGAGCAAAATCCAGATTTCCAGCCTCAGTCAACTGAAGTATGTCTAATTGTTTCCTGATATACGAGCGAAAACTAACATCTAGGAAGTCAAAATTCAAACGTCTGAAACGAGGTCATAAGTCAGATCGCCCCGCCGACGTCTTTAACTGGGATGAGGAAGAAGAAGCTGCAGATTATGGCAGGCCTAGTCACCGCCGTCGCGACGAAGAAATGGACGACTTTATCGAAGAAGACGAGTTCTCGGATGAGGAACGTCAGCGCCGAGAAGACGACGAAGAAATTGCACATCCCGTCCGCAAGGGAATATCCGGTCTTGCCATCTCTGAAGCTACTGGCCTCGACGAAAATGCCTTAGAAGATATGCGTGCGGCTTTCGGTGACGGTACCGACTATTTGTTTGCTCTCGAAATGGAGGAGGACGAAGAAGAGCAGCAAGAGGAAGAAACAAAGCACCTCGATTTGAAGGACGTTTTCGAACCTACGCTATTAGCCGAAAAGATGTTGACTGACGAGGATAACGAGATTCGCTTTGCCGATGAACCGGAACGCCATCAAATTGCTCGGAAGCCGTACAAAGGCGTTGTTCTGTCCGACGATGAGTTCCGTGAAGAAGCCGTGTGGATTTCAAACTTGATGCTTTTGAGGAAACAACATGTCATTGAGGATAACCTACAGGAGCCGTTTCAACGTGCTGTTGCCAAAGTCCTCGAGTTCATGGTGACCGACGATTTCGAAGTGCCTTTTATTTTCCAACATCGCAAGGATTACTTGATTCATGCCGCCAAGGTTCCAGCTTCTCCTGACCCAGGCAACCCTGATGCGCCGGAGTTCGTTGTACGCGCCCAGAAACTGTTGAACATGAACGACTTGTGGGACATTTTCGAACACGACTTGAAATTCCGAGCTTATATTGATAAGAGACATACCTTACAAAAGACATATGACCGGCTTCAAGACATGAAAATCAAGGATGAAATCGTGGATGAGATGCTCACCGCTGCGACTACAATGGAGGAATTACAAGATGTCCAGGAATATTTGCATTTCCAATACGGACCTCAAATCAAGGATCTCTCTTTAAATTCGGACGAGACGAACGGTGAAGTGGATGGCGATGCTAATGGACAGGCTAACGGCCAGACTACTCGCCGCAAAGCGGGTACGAACACCTTCTTTGAAAGAATTCGCAAGAGCAACGTCTATAGTTTGGTGCGCTCTTTCGGTATTACTGCCGACGCATTCGCTCAAGCCGCTTCTCAGAATCGCCGTGGACAGTACACTGAGGATCCCGAAAAACCACCCGAGGAGCTTGCAGATACCGCTCTGGACACCGACTACAGCAACTCAACAAGCGCAATGAGAGCTGCCAAGGCCATGTTCGTGGAAGAGTTGGTGATGAATCCGAGAATGCGAAAAGTCATTCGTGAACAGTGCTACAGGAATGGCGTTGTGGATTGCTACCGAACAGAAAAAGGTCTTCGAAGGATAGACGAGCAACATCCGTACTACGAATTTAAGTATTTGCGTAACCAGCAACTCACGGATATTGCTCGACGTCCAGAGCTTTTCTTGAGCATGCTCAAAGCTGAAGAGGAAGGATTGATCAACGTGACAGTCACTTTTCAAAACTTTGATCGCTATCGCCAAAGTCTATACAGCCATATTGAGTCTGACAGTCAGAGTGATGTCGCTGATGCTTGGAATCGAGAGAGACGTGAGGTTCTCGATACCGCACTCGGCCGTCTTGTCAAACTGATGACACGAAGCGTCAAGGAGAATATTCGACAGAATTGCGAGAATCATGTCACTAAAGAAGTCCGCGAAGTGTTCTCGAACAAACTGGATCAAGCTCCTTACAAGCCTAAAGGCATGGTTCTTGGTACAGTTCCTCGAGTGCTTGCTTTCTCCAATGGTGATGCTCCTGTAAATGGCGATCACTTCATCCACTGGGTCTGGGTTGAAGAAGAAGGCCGGCCCCAAGAGAATGGAAAGTTTGCCAAACTGCAACTTGGAGATGTAGAGCGTGGCGTCCCAGACGGAGAGGACGTTGCTGCATTTGTAGAGTTGGTGCGCCGCCGCATTCCTGATGTCATTGCTGTCTCAGGGCGATCACCAGAGACTCGCAAGCTGTACAAGCTGCTTTGTGATCTTGTCGACCGCAAAGATCTTCGTGCTGCTCCATATACTGTCGGTCAAGGAAAGGAGGCGAAAGAGATTACTGATAGGTTGGAGGTTATCATGGTCAATGATGAAACAGCACAGTTATACGCCAACAGCGAGCGCGCTACTGTAGACTTCCCGATCAAACAGAGTTGGCTCACATGTTACTGCTGTGGCATTGCACGATACCTCCAGAACCCGTTGAAAGAGTACGCAGCACTTGGCAAAGATTTGGTGTCCATTCAGTTCACACCCGGTCAGCGGTATCTAGCCGAAGATATTGTTTCAAAACAATTGGAGAGCGCCCTAGTCGATATGGTGAATCTGTGCGGTGTCGATATCAATGAAGCTGTGAGTGATACGGCAACACAAACTCTCCTTCAATATGTCTGCGGTCTCGGACCCCGAAAGGCTTCTCATTTGGTCAAGATTGTTAACATGAACGGCGGCATTGTCAACAACCGTGTGGAACTACTTGGTGTCGAGGCGCAATATCCTGCTATGGGCGTGAAAGTGTGGAACAATTGTGCCAGCTTCCTTTACCTTGATTGGGAGAACGTGGAGACAGATGCTGATCCCCTAGACAACACCCGAGTGCATCCTGAAGATTATGATATTGCTCGCAAGATGGCCGCTGATGCATTGGAACTTGACGAAGAAGACATCAAGGCAGAGACGGACGAGTCTGGACCGGGCGCTATTGTTCGGAAGCTTCTCAAAGATGACCTTCAAGATCGTGTCAATGATTTGATCCTGGAGGAGTATGCTGAGCAGCTGGAGAAGAACCTGAACCAACGCAAGCGAGCCACATTAGAAACCATCCGAGCCGAGCTGCAACAGCCTTATGAAGAATTACGAAAACAATTCGTCTTCCCTACCACAGATGAAATCTTCACTATGCTCACCGGCGAGACAAATGAAACCCTGGCCGACGGTATGGTTGTGCCAATGTCCATCAAGCGAATTGCCCAGGACCATATTGAAGGAAAACTTGACTGTGGAGTTGAGGTGCTTGTTTCCGAGTCGGATATCACAGACCGACATGACATACCGCCAAGAGCACTTTTCCAAGTGCATCAATCCGTTCAAGGCAAGATCTTGTACTTGAACAAGAAAACATTCCAGTGCAACATGACCCTTCGTGAAGACAAGGTCAGCAAAGGATACCAGCGGCTGATTGAGAAGCATCGCGGTGAATGGGATGATCGACAGGAACAAGAAGACCGTGACTTACTTCAAGAAAAGGCGAAAACAGAGAGCCGATTCGTCAGAGTCATCAAACATCCTCTATTCCGAGCATACAACTCAAAGCAAGCAGAAGAGTACTTGGGAGGAATGAACCGGGGCGACTGCGTAATTCGCCCCTCTTCGAAAGGACCCGACCATCTCACGGTCACATGGAAAGTCGCTGATGGTGTTTACCAACACATTGACGTCCTGGAATTGGACAAGGAAAATGAATACTCAGTTGGTCGGATTTTGAAGATCGGCGGCAAATACACGTACAGTGATCTGGACGAGTTGATTGTCAGCCATGTGCAGACAATGGCCAGGAAGGTTGACGAGATTATGTCTCATGAGAAGTACCAAAGCGGGACCAAGGCAGATACAGGTATATATTTTTCTCTCGTGATTGTCGACGATTTACTAACATTTTCTAGAAAAATGGTTAACAACTTACACTATGGCAAACCCTAAACGATCCGTTTACGCATTTTGCATCAACCCCAAGTACCCTGGATATTTCTTCCTGTGCTTCAAAGCCGGACAAAACGCAACTCTACAGAGCTGGAATGTCAAAGTCATTCCCCAAGGTTTTGAGCTGCAGCGCAATCCTTACCCTGACATGCGTGCGTTGTGCAATGGATTCAAGCTGCTTTTCACGAATATGCAAGTTGGTCGAGTTGGCCAAGGTTTGCCTCGCAGGTGATTCTTTTGTCATTACCTTTTTATCGTGTCCTTTGTATTCAAAGGCAAATCTGCACAGTATTGTAATTCATCAACTAAGCCGAGTTTGGGAAAGGGTTTTTTGCATTGGGCTGATTTATTAACATTTCAATCTTTGTATTATTTTTTTTCTGCTATCCATTGGCGCAAGCTAGCATAAACATCAATATGGAATATTATTATCATTCATCTTCATGTACAGCACATGCCACACCGTGAAATACATAAATCCAAAATACAACAGATTAACACATCTCATATCGCCAACTCAACTGAACCATCTCCTCTGTCACACCCCCCTTCATGACCTTCTCGATCTGATCCAAATTCCCCGAATCCAGACGCCTATTCTCCCTCAAAACCAACCACCTATAAAACGTGATCGTAGCCACAAACAAAAAAGCACAACCCATCAACGTACCAAACGCGGCATAGAAATGGGGAGCCTGGTAATACAAATACGACGCCCAGATGTTTGATGTTCCGCCAATTGCATTGACGAGCGCAGATGCAACTGCGCGCTTGGAGATGGGTCGAGCTAGGTGCACGTTGATGGTTTTGTAGAGCAATAATTGCGGCCCGACAGACGCGAAAGGGAGGACCATCATGGAGAAGTACCTCGCGCCAACATTCGTGGTCGCCATGGGTATTATGTACATGGTTATGGCGATTGAGATGCAGCCTACGATCAGTGGGTAGCATGTGTTTCGTCTATCGGAGTAGTACATAATCCCGTAGTACACAATGCCGGCTAGTATGTATGGCGGCGCGGTGAGTAATAGACTGATGGTGCTAGAGTAATTGAGCGATTTGACCAGGGTTGGGAAGTAGTTCGCAATCGAGCCTTGGGCTTGGGACAACATATTGCAAAAAATCATGAGGAGAAGTTTTGGATCTGATAGGGCTTGAAGCACAGTCCCGAAAGTGTTGCTCCATTCGGCGGCTTCAGCGGTTCCGGCTTCAGACTCAATGCGCCAGACGGCGAGATCGCGTTGTAAGGGGGTGAGCATGCGGCTGTTATGTGGGAATTCGGGCATGATGCAGGCACAAACAATGCCAATGCCGACGGTGGCACTACCCTCGATAATGAAGAGCCATTGCCACCCACGAATCCCATGCGTGCCATCCAATTGCATGATCCCGGCAGCGAACAACCCACCAAACGCGTTTCCGACTTGTTGTGCAATGTACAACCCCGCGATGCGTTTGCCGAGTTCGCGCTTTGTGTACCACGCAGAAAGATAGTAGATTGCACCGGGGAAGAAGACCGCCTCTGCGACGCCGAGGATGGCGCGCACGGCGAGGAGTTGCCCGTACGTTCGCACTGATGCCGTGGCGGCGGAGATTGCGCCCCAGATCGAGACTGCGATGCAGATGTACATTCCGGGACGAGAGATTTTGCTGATTATCAGATTGCTCGGGATCTGAAAGGGGAGATAACCGACAAACAGGATGGAGACGGCTGTCGCGAATTGTTGAGTGGTCATATGCAGATCTTCTGTGATCCCTTGAAGTTTTGCGGCGGACAGGTTTTGACGATCGATATAGTTCAGGATGTATAGTATCCCGATCACGGGTAAGATGAAGAAGTCGATTTTGCGGACGAGTTTCTTGTTGAGGGCCTCCAACTCGTCAGAGGGGAGGCCCTGAAGGGACGCGGGCATTAGGCGTCTTCGGATTCCATCCATGTCAGAGAGGGTTTCGAGTTTGCCCTCGGCAGAAGAGACGTTGTCATCTTCCTGGCCTAGGGTGATGACCTTGTCCAGCTTTGGCTCCATCGTCATGGTAAGACGGTTCGAAACGAAATAATGAAATAGGAGGTTGACTTGTGCAAGAAGACACCAAGAGCTCCCGTCGCAAGCAATAGGGTTAACACTCAAGCAAGTCTCGTTACTCTCCGTAGTTCTTTGATACCTAATAGTTCAAAGCTGAAAGCGATGTTGCGAGAGCACACAACCAGAAACACCACTCCTCCCCTTCCAATCTCTCAAATTTATACAGCTCGGGCACGGCTAATGCTCCCCCCAGTCCCCCGATTGTTATCAGCACAAAAGCATGCTGTAGCGTACTATCTCTTTGAGCCAAGTCAGCCGATTGGTACTTACGCGAATGGCCACTAGTATCACCAGGTTTGTACGTACGTAGTAGTCGTGTGAATAGGATCACTTGGGATAGATAGTGTGGGGAATAATTTCCTCGGGTGTTGAGATAAGCTATCTTTCGTCTGGTCTGGATTGACTGGGTCCGGGATTCCAGCCAACGCGAATGAGTGGATTACCATTGTACGGAATATGAAATTAAGTTTGGCATGGATATGGGGTAATGGAAAGAAACAGAGATAGCAGAGGAAATCTGATACTATTCACTCCTTGGGAGGAGCTCTGGTCTGTATGTGGTTAAAGCTTGTTTGATCTACTGCAAATTCTGTGGAGATATGCAACTGGGTTATATTGTCAGAGAGATAGAGTAATATATATTCACATCCAATGTTCGACATTTCCGGAGCTCCTCCCGATCTCCATTTCAGGCACTTACCATCTCCAGATACAACTTCGACCTTTGAGCTTCATGGCGCTCCTCCATGATAGACATGATTATTGAGCTGCCAGAGAGCTCGCAGAATAATAGTTTTTTTTTTAAGAAAAACCAGTATATTCTAAATGTAACTTCCAATGTTGATTAGAACCTTTTAATATGAAATGAACATCCATTTTGAAAAGCTGAAATCAAATCACAATTTATACTCGTTCACTTACGTACCGTTTACTTTCTACTTTTTGCTATTACCGATATTCGCAATAAAAACGCAAGAAAATCAAAATGGCCACACAAAACAGCAGCACCGAATATGCCACCGCACACACAACCACAATCTCAAATTCACGCCTCAGAATACTCAATAAGCTCAAGAATGGCGAGTTCCCGCTCATGACATTCATGGCCATCCCTTCCGTCCGCCAGGCCCAGATAGTAGCCCTTACCGGTCTAGACGGAGTCATCATTGACTGCGAACATGGCCACATCGGCGACGACTCTATGCACAATTCTGTCGCCGCTATATCTGCCCTTGGAGCGTCACCCATTATCCGAATTCGTGGCCCTGCGCATGACATTATTAAACGAGCCCTTGATACCGGTGCCCACGGTATCATGGTACCGCAGATCAACAACGCAGAAGAAGCGAGATCGATTGTGCAATCATCGAAATTCCCGCCTCAGGGTGTACGAGGGCAAGGATCCGCGTTCCCGGCTATTGGCCACGGACTCACGACACCAGAGTACATGATATCCGCAAACGAGACCCTCTTGACAATGATTCAGATTGAGACTCGCGCCGGTGTGGAGAATGTCGATGAGATTGCTGCTGTTCCCGGTGTCGATGTTCTATTCATTGGGCCCAATGACCTTGCGCAATCGCTGCTTGGATATGTGCCAGCGCGAGGTGATGAGCCGGAGTTTGTGGCTGCTATTGACAAGATTGTGGATGCGGCGAAGAGGAATGGGAAATGGGTCGCTCGGCTGGTGAATAATGGTTCGTTGGCCAAGGAGGCGAAGAAGCGGTTTGATACTGTTGCGATCACGGGTGATACAAAGGCGATTCAGAATTGGTATATGGCTGAGATTGATGTTGCTCGTTCATGATAGATATAGATTTCGCTTCTTGATAATGAAGTTTTGAATCCAGTTTTTTGAGAAGAATTTCCGTTTCTTTCGGGGTTAAGACTAGCTATATATAGATTTGTAGCACATTCGAGGTTACCTCAACAGTCACGACCTTACTTTCTGGTCCTTATCATCGGGGCATTTCTGGATAAAGTATATCTTACAAAGGAAAGTTCGATCAACACAAATTAAAATTGCTAAATGCTCCGCTACATACTTAGGGTAGGTGTCACCGGGCAAGGACTCAGGTACGTCTTTGTTGTTGATAATAGTATACAAAAACATTTGCTTTTCAAGGCTAGTCTACCTTTATAAGGCTACATAATATTTACCCAGGTTCCTTCTAACAATTTAAAATTCATCCATTTTCTATTGCAACCATCGTAACATAGTCTAAGCCTGCGCAATACATTCAATCTCAATAACAGTTCCATCGCCAGGAGGAACAGCCTGAAGACAAGATCTCGATGGCATCGGTTGCGGCAAGAAATCAATGTAGACTTCATTCATGGCCGCGAAATCCTTCATATCTGCAAGATAGACATTGTATTTGACCACTTTGTCGAGAGAAGAACCAGATAGCTCGAGGACTTCTTTGAGGTTCTCGAGGACCTTTCTCTGTTGGGTAGCATGAGTATGTGAACTTATGATATAGGGTGATTCTCGCATGGGTGGATGGACTTACGGTTGCTTGTTTGATTTCTCCGGTGGCTGTTTGGCCGGCGCAGAAAACGAGGCCAGGGACTTTGACGGCGGGGCCTGCATAGAATTTTTAATAAGACAAAATTTGTTCGGAAATTTCTTCTCGATATAGAACTTACAGTTGTGAGGCTTGGGAGGGAATTTCTCGCTGGAAATGAGTTGGCGAGACATTTTGTGGTGTTTTGTGGAAGGCAAAAAGTATTTTTGAAAGGCAAATAACTAAAACAAGATGATACAGAGAGCGTTTACGGTGTTTGCAGGTTGTTGATGTGCTGATGACTCTTCTGTCGTTATCACTTATCTCTTGATCCTTTATAGGAAATGAAGCTTAGGAACACAGAGTGGGTAGAGATTTTTTCAAAACAGGGGAGTAAAAATTGAAGGAGCTCGCTATCCACTCTCCAGGGACCTATCTCTACCTCAAAACCGTAACTCAATACAACTACAAGTAGTTGACTGTATCTCGACGATAAAACGTGGAGAAGGAGGAGCAGACTCCTACATATCTTAATTCTCCACTTTGTTGTCACTATCTACTACGTACACATTAATACGTTTGGCTTTTCTCATTCGATTACGTACACGAAAAGCCTCAAGAATTCAGCTTTGGCTAATTGATAGATGGTTTGTACGTAGTCAAAGGGAGGAGTGGTTTTGATAGTGGGGTTTTGGAGGGTCTTTAGGGTTATGTTTGGGAGGAGCTCCTCCCACTCCTCCCGGAATTTCTAGATTGTCCACAAGTTGCAACTACTTTCCTATCAAGCTACTTTTAGTGGTTTTACGTATCTTCAATTGAAGACAATAATGCGGAGAGTAAGTTTACGCCACGCTATGGGCGTCTTATCAGTGGAATTCGGGTCTTAATACTCCACTAGTATCAAGGCAGAGGAGCTCTGTGGAATCGAGTAGCCGGGGAAGGAGAAGCATTAGATACGATAGGGACATTTAATATCGTAACCTACGAGGTGCCTGTGGGTCCAGAAACAGTTGGAGAACATGTATTCATACCGGCACTGATACAGAGCGAGTATCTCTTGATCCAAGACAGGATAGGAGGAGGTGCCGCCCTGCTCTGTTGTCAGCTCCCTAGTCCTCGCGTTCGGAACGTGAGCTCTTGTCAATAGTAGCTTAGTCATATAATAGCACCAAGTCTGAGTACGTTGAGGGCAAAGATATAAGACAAATGATATTGTGTTCAAGGACACACCTTTGAAGGCAGTTTTCACTATTCAACCCCAATATCTATACTTCACATCAACTAATACATTCAGCGATGGCACCTGCAGCTCCATTCAATCCCCCTTCAGTAGATCTGCCTGGCAAGCCCTTCGTGCCGGAATGGATTCCCCCCTCAATTACAAAAGAGACGCACAACTTCGCTCAGCTCAAATCTATTGATCTTTCTTTGCTCGATAGTGAAGACCCAGCAGTCGTTGATGAGCTAATCCAGAAAGTAAAAGTTGCTATTCGTGATGATGGATTTCTCTTTCTTGAGAACTATGGAGTTTCTTTGGAACAGGTGAGTAATGAATGCTGTTTAGATATGTGGATGCTGATTGACTGTGTTTGTCACCCTAGCTTCATCGCCAATTCTCTCTTGCCCGATATCTTTATAACAATATTTCGGAAGAAGATAAGGAACGTCTTCTCTTTGACCCTGATACTGGAATGTGGTCCGGTTACAAGCATCCATATGGTTTCAAGGTGAGCTTGACTCAAGGATTTATGGTGTAATCTGAAGTTGCTGACTCGATCGTTTTAAGCGTCACCGTGGTGTTCCTGACGGCATCGAACAGTTCAACTGGTACAACCGCGAATGGCGAGACATCAACCGCATCCCCAAATGTCTACACCCCTTCATGGACGAAATCGAAGCCTTCTGCAACTATTTGACCAAGTCCGTCAATCGACGACTTCTTACCCTTTTCTCACGCGTTTTGGAGTTATCGGATGATTACCTTTGGGACAATGTACAATCCCACGGAAGTCCGACTGGCGAAGGCTACTTCCGCCATGCCCTCTTCCGACCTGTACAAAAGCAGACCGCAGAATCATCCAAAGGACTTCGTATGCACGGCCACACAGACTTCGGCTTGACTACTTTACTTTTCTCTGTCCCTATCTCGTGCTTGCAGATCTGGGGCCGCGATGAGGAATGGCACTATGTGCCCTACAAGCCGGGTGCTCTTGTTGTCAACATTGGCGATACTTTGGAGATTGTCTCTGGAGGCCACTTCAAGGCAACTCGTCACCGCGTATTCAAGCCTCCTGCTGATCAATTGAATGAAGAGCGTCTTTCTTTGGTTCTTTTCAATAGCTCTGTTGGAGACTTGAGAATGGCACCTGCCAAAGGTCAGTTTTCGCTAGTCACAAGATTTAAGTCTTGGAATATATACTAATCCTCTTGTTTCTCCAGATTCTCCCCTGATCCAACGAGAAGGTTGCGTCGAAGAACAAGGCGTCTACAAAGAATTCAAGAACCGTACTGCCCAGGGCAAACTCGTACCCACCAACCGTGAATGGCGGGAGATTCAGATTGCCACGGCCACTGACCCTACAGATACAGTGCGCAACAGAGTCGGAGCTGACCAAGTCTTGATTGATGGAAAGCTCATGCAGCAACGAGAATACATGGGTGTCAAAGTCGTTCTTCCTGTTTAGTCTGGATGATCGTGAATGAACATGTATATATATACCATTTGATAGCTATTTCGGTTTGAATTTTTTCTGCTTAAATTGCAGATATTCCATTTTTAACAATTCCCAGACAGTAAATATCAACCTTTCTCATGATCGACGAATCCAAGGTTAGTTGCCTCACGCACAGTCCTTTCGTCGACTGAGGCGATATGTGTAATGTATTGTAATTGGTGTCTGCTTATCGTGTGTCGGCTACAATTCCTGGTTACTGAGTGGACGGATTGTGACAGATACGCGGGGATAAAGCATGTCTTATCTATAAATACGTGTAATACGATGACATACGTCTCCTCGATAACCGGACCATCTCCGACTCCACTGCTTTCCCCGTTAAGTTCCTATCTCCAAACTCTCAACCTTGAACCTCCAAGTATTAATTACATTCGGGTGGTCTCAGATCAACAGATCAATATGTCTGCCGTCGCTACTATGAACCTGCAAAATGCACCATATCAGCCATTCCAATGCAACATCTGCCAGAGACGCTTCACCAGAAACGAGAACCTGAAGCGACATGCAGCACTACACACCCGTCTCCATGGTGTTTCCGACCTTTCTTGTGAAGTATGTAATGTCACGTTTTCGCGACGTGACCTGCATCATCGACATATGAAACGAAAACATGCTGAGCACGAAGATTCACGAGCCACAAAGAGACCATACCAGAAGAGAAGTACAGCGACAAAGCCGACAATTGCTGCTGGAAGGAACTCTCATGTCGAGAACGATACAGCCTCATCGGTGTCCCCAGCAGGTAGTGGGAATTCATGGAGTCCTCAACAGTCCGGTGACGATGGAGAACCGCAAGCGGACTATGAAACATGGTCGCCCGGCTTACGCTTTGCTGATAGTGCCCATCAGGAAAAAGACATAGATTTGATCATAAGAAGTGCCAATATGGATATCGAATCAAGAAACATACAAGCCGGCGCGGTTCATGTTATGCAACAGCCACGATTACGCCAGCCGCCATACATAGCATAATATGATGACAATGCCTATGACTTGGATCATAGCCAATTAATGAGTTCGTCTGCTACCAAGCATGCAGATTACTTTGACACTCAGGCGCTCATTTACGGGAATCCGCAATCTGCCTCGTCTATGAACAGAGGTAGTTTTAGGGAAATTATTCTAGATAACTTATTAGCTAACGGTCTGTCACCAATCGCTCACGAAGATTGGTTTCCCTCGGCATCGCAAATTGCACGCGGCATTGAGCTTTACTTCACACATGTTTTACATTTCGTCCCTTTCATTCACAGACCAACCTTTGATATATGCGAAACTCCTATTCATCTGATCCTTAGCATGTTATCGCTCGCCTACCAGCATGGTGAAGATCTCGCCAGCGACGGCCAAGCAGGCTCCGGAGCGATCTTATCCGCACGCTGCTTTAATCGAGCTCGAGCACTTCTTGCTTCTATGGAACAGGAGAACGATGACCAATCCGATGCAACTAAAGATATCAGCATGATTCAGGCGTATCTTCTGTTACAAATCTGCGCCACAATGTATCTTTGCGGCAAAAGTTCAGGATACGGACCCCAAATGCATTCCAAAATGATCATTTTAGCACGCTCCAAAGGGCTTATGCAACCCAAGAGAATCGAGTCCTCCGTGGCAGTATGCCTGGACTCACTATGGCGAGAATTCATCAAGGCCGAATCCCATAAACGGACGCTCTTCGCCATCCATCAGATTGATTCCTGGTGGTATCAGTTTTGCTCCGTTCCTAGGCTACTCTCCCATTTGGAGATTAAGCATAACTTGCCCTGCCCGGAAGAATCTTGGACAGCGCCAACTTCAGCGCAATGGGCACATGGGCAATTGCTTCGAGGACAATCTGGTCCTGACAGCGGCATGCAATACGCAGACGCAGTTCGATGTTTTCTATCTTCCGATCGAAATCTTAACTCGCTCCCACCATTCGATCCATACGGCGCCATCAATATTGCACAATTCCTAATCTCAAGCGCCCGCGAAATCACAGGATGGTCCACAATGACGGGTAGACTCAGCGTCGAAAGACTCGAACCCATAACCTCATCCCTTGTAGCCCTTGAACCCTTTATCCGAGCTCAGCCAACCCAACAAACACACGACGACGACAACAACAACATCATAAACATCCACACCTCCCTCTGCGAAGCAACCTGGGAAATGGCCATGATCGAAATCCAGATCTGGTCCCCATCGCACACCGGCGGAATCGTAGGCGGAAGCGTGGACGCAGTAGTGCGAATCGCAACGGATCTTGCACCTTCATCCTGTGAGGTTCTGATTGAATCAAACGGCGTGATTCAGCCGCACATTGATTGGTTTTTGCGGTATCTTGATTCTGCTGCTGTGGCGCCGAGCCTTGAAGCACCTTGGATCACGTTGTATGCTTATAAGGCGTTTTTGATTGCGTGGCAGATGGTCCGTGGAGGATTGGCGGGTGCGATGCAAGCTGTCGGAGTTCGAGATGGTGATCTCAAAGGTGCTATAGTATGGGCTAAAGAGGTTTTCGGGCGGAGACAGGGATGGCATTTGGGGAAGATTATTATGGATTGTTTGGATGTTTTGGATAATGAGTCGGTTCGTTAAATAGCACCATGCGGAATGGGAATCTTAAACATACCTCAGAGGTCATCCATCCATAATCAAGTACATACTATAAAACCTACTATATACATAAGAAATAAAATGGTATCACACAACAAGTATCAAATGCAGAAAAGAAAAAATCAATTGGATTCAATCCCAATTAGCCTCCCCAACGTATCATACGCCTCCTGCAACAACTCCCACCTAGAACCCTCCAGACTCTCGCGCACCGCCTGCAATAATTCCGAAGTCTGCTGTGCCACAACATCAATATCCGCCGAATCGTGTCGAAGTAACATCAGCATGCGCACGAGATATTCTTCAGCACTACAGGACATATCCCTTCCTCTCGATGGAGTCGGTTCCGGTGGTTGACTTCGCTCCCGCGCCATAGCGCCATATGCCCAAAGGATGAGTGAGGCGTGGTATATCGACCACGGTCTCAGGGCGATGTTATCCTTCGTAGCGCGGTAGAGTTGGCCTGTAAATATCGTTTCTTGTATAAGCAACAGACAATGGTAAAGAGCCTTTTTCGATTCTTCTCTTTCGCTCCAGAGGCGTACGCGGGCCGTTGCTCTCAAGCGGTCGTTATTGGATAGTAGACTGCCTAGCAGAGATGGGGCGCCGGCGAGGATGTGTATGTCGTTGATGTCGGTGTATATGGCCACGTAGGCCATGCGATGAAGTGGTCGCGACGCTTCGAGCGCAAGTGATGAGCTCCGTGAGACGAGGGAGAAGGACCACGTATCCATGGCGCGTTCTAAGGTTTCTTTCCATGTATCGATTGCATCAAGACGAGGTGAATTCGCTGTTGACATGCGTCCAACGCCCAACGTCGCCGAGTCTCGCGCTTTCAGGTGTGCGGTTACACTGAACAGACCGTGTAACAAAATAAAGCGGGCATATGGACTGCAATGTGGCGGAATGGGCGTTCGTGCTAACAGGCGTTTCAAGACAGGTAGAAAGCCTGGCGATTCGGGTGTTTTGCGCATCATCCGGTCCCAATCCTCGGCTTTGGTACAGTCCCAAAGTACATCTGCGCATGGCAATGGTAAGCGTACATCGTGCACAGACAGAATGCACGTGTGGCCAAACATGAAGCTATGCTGAGCATCCATGACAAAACCGAAGAACGCGGTTCGGTTTGAGCCCTGTATTTCGATCCACTGATGCCATGATTGCTCTACTGGGCTTATACCGGATGTTTGTGCGGTGTTTTGATATGCAACACCGCGTTTCATAAGTGTGATGATTGCACCGTGAAAGATGTGTGCGAGTTGGTGATGTTTTCTGGTAGAAAACATTTTTTCGTGCGCTTGTATGATTAACAGAGTTTGGACGCACCATAGCGATGCGGGAGGATCAAAGTCAGGAGTCTATCAAGTTAGTATCTCGCTTTGAAACAGGTTGTAGCAGAAAAGGAATACATACTCCGAAAATAAGATATCGTAGTGTATCGTGAATCTTTATGGAAGCATCCCAGTGTACTGCGTCTCCAGACAACGTGGACCCTAACGTAACAATAGCGGCAACCATGAGAGGAGATGCCTGTACAGGGTCGAGAGTATGTTTATGTAAGATCGGAAAGTGAGGGTGGTAATTCTCAAAGTATAAATCCCAAAATCCGGCTAGGTTACTCGGATAAAAGAATGATGACATGGCTATCTCCGGGTCCAAGGTGTTCAAGGCTTTCAATAAGTTTGCGCGAACCTCGACCCAGGGTGATGTTTGAGATGATTGAGGTGATAATGGATGGCGAATATGTGCAGGTGATGGCACGGGTAGTGCTGGTGGAGATATTTCTGTTGCTGATATACTGCTATACGGGGAGGTAACGGACGGCATGCCGGCACTACCTGCAGAATTCAGGTCGGCAGAGAGGTTATCAAACAACCACTCAAAGTCCAGTGCCGGATCGGGGATGTTCGTTGATGGATCAAAAAAGAGCGAAGTGACTTGATCCTCCACAAATTGCGGGAGGGCAAAGTTCATGTTGTGGGGGTCAGGGTCATGGACACTAGGGCCTGGATTCTGGAAGTCCATTGGCTCTAAATGCTGACCATAAGACATGGACGGATCGTTGTGGCTTTCAAGTCTCGTCGTATCCATGATACTCATCTGATTATGTTGGCCAGCATCTTCGTAAGGAGATATTTTGACCGAGTGCATATCCGAGCTCATCCGGACATCCTCCTCATGCTCTCGTTCAGTGAACATGGCAGCGTGCTCCATCTGCACGTCAGATTGAGGCGGAACCTCTGAAGATTCATGCGAAGAGCCGGAGTTATTGGCTGCCACGAACCCGCCTGAGTTGCGGAACCACATGCCCTTGGCATGGCGTTCCTCATGTCTCCTGAGCAAGTCCTTTCGGACGAAGCGTTTGGGACATGACGGGCATTGATATATTTGCTTGGGGCTGTCTGCATCGAGTTAATACGAAATTTTTAAAGCTCTGTTGAGCTTGAATACATACGGTTCAGCCGATGTCTGGCCAGATGCTCAGCTCGAAGGAACCTCTTTCCGCACCCTGGCTCGGTGCAGGAATGTTCCCGGGGCATGGGGACGCTGTACAATTATCTCCGGCTGCAGGGAAGCCCATTCATATCGACGCGTGGATTATGTAAAGAGTTACATGATGCAATCACGATATGTATCGTCGAGATTATTCAAGATAGAAGTCATGATACATGGAAGAGTTGAAGACGTCTGGATGGAGAGATTAACATGACTCTCGTGTGGGGCGACCGCTTCCAATATGATTGGTGGAATTTCTGTCAAATCAATGTCCAACCGACCAATCAAATGACAAGAATTGATTGGTGTAGATTGCAATAATTATATTCGACGATCGATGACTGATAAGATCCTGTCGCTTGGTAACTGCTTGGGTATATTGACTGCTAGAGCAATAGGTTCGCCAGCTGACAATCTGCCGAAATCGCAGATTAGCTAGGATTCGAAATCGGCGGCACAAAATATCCCCCACCCTCAAGCTAGTTGTAGTTTGGGGATAGTCCAACTCAAGCCACAAAAAATACTATCTTTCATCAACTGGCATCCAGACTGCCGTCTCGTCTCTGCAGTTGCCGTCTAGTCATGAGTGCACTCATATGTCTTCCTGCTGAAATCGTGGGATTGATTGTGTCTTTCCTGCCAAACCGCGATATCAAGAATCTGCGTCTAACATGCCCGACGCTAAGCCAGAGGGCGCAACTGCGCCTCAGCAGAGTATTTCTGTCTGCGAATCCACGCAATATTGAAGTGTTTCGCGCCATCGCAGAGCACGAGGAATTTCGGCACAGTATCATTGAGATCATCTGGGACGATGCTCGCCTTATTGAACACGCCCCGGAACGCAGACTTGATCTGTTAGACGGTGAAGATTGGGCCCAGTGGGGAGATCTTCCAAATACCTATGAGGGCATTCCTTGGTGGTTCGAGGAGTCATATGAATCAAATGTTCTCGATCGAGGGTCATCGAAAAGGATGCAAGAAACAGATCCATCAATTCATGTTTCATGGAAACATTACCAACATCTACTACAGCAGCAGAGAACCGTGCTAGAGTCTGATGACGATGTTAAGGCTTTCAGGTATGGTTTACAACGCTTTCCGAGGTTGAGGAGGGTGACGGTCACTCCCGTAGCCCATGGGGTGTTAGATTTTCCACTATATGAAACCCCGATGATTCGATCCTTTCCGCCCAAATTCAATTACCCAATCCCAAACACCTGGCCGCCATATGAATCAATGTCACAGAGCACTTATATCCTGCAACCTTGGAGTCAGGAAGAGAAAATGAATTGGCGTGGCTTCTGTGCCATAACCAATGAACTTGCAAAGACACCTAATCATGTGGCAGAGTTTATTGTTGATGCACACATCCTTCACCTGACCGGACTAAGTTGCCGCATATTTGATCAGCCATGCGAAGAGTATAATAATTTAGTGTCGTTGCTGCAGAGCCCAGGGTTTAGTCGCATTGACTTGACCCTGTTGGCAGATGGACAATGGTCTAGGGAGCAAGAGTGGTCATCATTTCGAAGTGGGCTTCTTAAAAGTGCCCTGAGTGCGTCGCCTGATATGAGGCACTTTAATCTGCAGATAAATGCCAACTACGCAAGGTTTCGGCCGTTTAACGTTCCTGCAGACGTACCATTCCCTCCCGAGCACTTCATTCCACTCAAAACGATCTTACCTGCAGTCGAGAATTGGAAGAAGCTGCAACATTTTGGTCTTTCGGGACTTCTCGTACAAGTCGATGACTTACTCAGCGTGCTGGTTGATTTACCGCCGTCTGTCCGATCTGTTGAGCTGAGTCACTTGGAGTTCATGGATCGAGACCCAAATGCGTATCGCAATCTGCTTGTAGGCATACGCGATAAGCTAGCTTGGGAGCAGCGCGACGTGCATCAAAGACCAGTGTTGACTGTGCACCAGAGGCGAGAGAACATATTCAACATGGTATACTCCTGCTATGACAAGGCCGTAAATGATTTCGTCTACCATGGTGGACCGGATCCTTTCAGGAGGCAGACCGTTCACGAGTTAGCCCCATATCGTCTTATGAATCCATTCGATCAGAGCTCAAATACTAATGCCCCGCTAGAGATCCTTGAATAGAAGATTTGTTATATTCATCCCCGGATCAATGAATCAAATTGTATCTAAGTGTAGACATTGATAGGGTTGTGTACAGCCCTAACCCTGATATGACCCGTCAGCCAATCAGACACGTGTCACCGCCTGAGACCCACCATGACCGCATCGATCCCGTGTTTTTGTTTATGCAAGATTGTTCAAGCTGAAACCTCGAATAACCTCGCTCCATATCCACACTGTACATATTTCTCTAGAAAATGTCATCTCCTCGCCGTTCTTCAGGGCTATGGCAATCCGAGCACCAACACTATCAAGGTCCGCCGTCAAGATCCAGTTCATTTCTCGAATTGGGTCCCCAACAGGGCTGGCAGATGATGTCGACTCGTGGTCAAAGTCTTCCGAGCCTGCTAAGGAGATACTCGATTTCTGAAGACAATATTAAATCCGACTCGGTGGACGACCTTGAGAATGGATCATATGGAGCAGAGACGACTGGCATTACCCGACATCTTACTGCGTCACCAACAAGTGAAGTGCCGCGAAGACGAGGCTCGATTCTGATTGGAGATACATCACCGGCATTTCGATGGTATTCACTTTTTAACATTATGCATCAGTTTTATAGGTATTAACTGATATCAGGTCTGATTATTATACGCCTCCAGAAGAATTGTCTAAACTTCGGAAACCGGTGTAAGTAAACAATTGTCTCTCAATCAGGTCTTAGGCACCACATCTTACTTGATTGTTAGCCGCGAGTACTATGAACGGATGAACTATCTTGTTTCCCGATGTAGTTTTGTTGATCGTCTTCTGGACTCCTCAATTGCGCGTGATCTGCTAGAAGACTACGATCGATTCTGGGCTACCAATCGACGCAGTCACTTGCACCCGATTACAGAGGAGCCATTGTCCACATCTCCTGGCCATGAGAGGGCGCAACCTATTATATCGACATCTGAGTCGCAGGAAACTGACCGAGCTCATCGTCAGTTGAATGAAAGAACTCCACTGTTACTTTCATCGGACGATGCGGACGAGATGATGGAAAATACACAATCATCAAAAGAGCAAGACTCCCGTCGCATCGTCATGACGGCTGTATATATTAACCTAGTCGCTAACCTGATCTTGCTGATTTCCAAAATTATCGTCACTCTAATGACTAGCTCCGTCTCCGTCCTCGCTAGCTTGGTAGACGCAGCGCTCGACTTCTTGAGTACTGCTATCGTGTGGAGCACTACCCGCTTGACAGTACGACGGGACCGATTCCGCTACCCTGTCGGCCGCCAGCGTCTCGAACCTCTAGGCGTACTCATCTTTGCCGTCGTGATGATTACTTCATTCGTCCAAGTTGGGATCCTCTCTTTGCAGCGGTTAGCCGGCGAAGACCATAATCTGATAAAATTGACAGTCCCCGCGCTCATCATCATGGCTTCGACGGTTGCCATCAAGGGTCTATGCTGGCTTTGGTGTCGCAGAATCAATAATTCGAATGTTCAAGCTTTGGCCCAGGATGCCATGACGGATGTTGTTTTTAACATCTTCAGTATCATTTTTCCTCTCAGTCAGTTCTTTCTTTCCTACCAATTACAAATCAAACTAACTAGAAGCAGTCGGCACATTCACCAATACATGGTGGCTTGACCCCTTGGGCGGTCTTCTTCTTTCTTTCTACGTAATCGCCAATTGGGCCAGCACCGCAAACGAGCACATCGCCCACCTAACAGGCGCTGCTGCCTCGCCCTCCGACCGCAGCGTCTTGTTGTACATCGTCATGCGCTTCGCGAATTGCATTCGCTGGATTCAGAACTTAGAGGCATACTACTCCGGTGATCGACTCAATGTAGAAGTCGATATTGTGCTTGATGGACAAACAAGTTTGCATGATAGTCATGATATTGGGGAGAGTTTGCAGTATATGCTTGAGAGTTCAGTGGAGAGTGTGGATAGAGCGTTTGTACATTTGGATTATGCGGAGTATAATTTGCCCACGCATGTGGATCAATAATAATGTTCGCGCTGGCTGTCAGCTTTTCATGTAATGGAAAGGGCGTCTCTGTAAGTACTCACATTATATAGAGAATTCTTGTCTACAAAAGCAACATGTTGAAACGATTTGCGCTCTGACTTATACTTTTATCAATTTTATCATGATCTACCTGGGTAGAGCACGCACCAAGTACTTTTCATGAGATTCCCAAAACAACCCCCCCTTTCGCCCGGCCCTTCTTACAGCCTTGGAAGGACTTGATGCTCCACCTCTGGTCATATTTCCTCTTTTCGTCAAACTCCTCGACGCGGATCTCGGTGGTGGGTGTTGGTTGCAATATCTATCCACAATTTGGCGCTGATGCGCTGTGTTATAGACATTTTGTGTCAAAGGTCTTACTAAAATCCAGGATACAAATTTTTATAGAACCTCTTCTTATATTGTTTACGAGACTTATTCTAACTACTCCCTTGCTTCATGTAACTATTAAGTAATTTCTCTGTAACTTTGAGCTGAAATTGGATATTTTCCTGCTTGCTGGGCTGGCATTCACGCCCGATTTGGTTTTTTTTTTCTTTTTTCTTTTTTTTTTTTGATCAATGCCATCAATACGGGTGAATTCTAGGTAGAAAACCTGAGGTTTTTATTCTCTTTTGAATGGCAAGGTAGTTAGTTAGCTAAGTGAAAAGCCACTTTCTTCCCTCGTTACTGGCTATACCTTACTATACCTTTCTACATATATGCCTAAAAGCTGATGGATATCAAGCAAAATACCAATAACTTCAAATTCCACAAAAATCTATCTTGCTAAATCTATTACACAAACTGCCCGAATACATATACAAACGCCGATAAAAAGTTCATATCAAACATCAAAACATCGAAACATGGCAAATAGTAGAGAAAAAGCGCTACCTAATCCACGTTGGTGGAACATAACGATCAGGAGGCTTCCTATTCCGCGTACTACGACGCAAACCGCTTACATCGTAAGGCTGCGTCCACCTGCTTTGCCTCCTCGACTGCCTTCGCGCTGGTTGAGTACTATTCTGTGCGGGTACCTGCCCCGGATTTTGATTTGTTGTCTGATTTTGAGCCGGTGGTCGGGCTAGGGGTTGGTTTTGAGTTGAAGGTTGAGCCTGGGCCTGATCCTGGCTCTGTCGCTGACGACGACCTCGTTGGCGCTCTTGCTGGCGCTGGGTTTCTCTCTGGCGCATTGTTTGTGCTCGCTTTGGCCGATGAGCTGTGGCAGCTTGCTCCTGGGACTCTCTTGAACGTGAAGTCTGTTTCCTCACGGGTGTGCTTTTTCGGATTGGGCTGCGTGCTGTCGTCTGCGTTCTGCCTCTTCCTCTGCGAGGTCGAGCTTGTGCCGGGACTGAGACTGGGGCTGGGGCTGGGGCCGAGGCGGGAGAGTGAGAGGGAGTGGGAGCCTGAGATGACTCTGGAGCTGGAGCTGGAGCTGTTGATGTTTGTGGTGGTGCGTGTACTTCTGCAGGTTGAGGTCGGGGATGAGGTACTGAACGAGCCCGTGGCAACACTGACGACAGATGAACTGGCGTTGAAGCCGGAGCTGGGGGGTAAACTGGTGACTGAAGTATAGCGGATAGATAACTTGGAGGCTGGGGATGAATTGGCGGTTCAATAGGAGCTGCAGTATGAGGTCGAGCAGCACTTAAGCTTGGAAACAACAATGGTCGCGGTGGTGCTGGAAGCGATAGTCTCGGTCTTTGTGCTGGTGGGTCTGTTCGAGTTGGAGTTGAAGACTCTGAAGAATTATCATGTATCACCGGTCGTGTATTAGCCTGTTCTTGCGCTGCTTGTCGTTCCGATATCCGTCGTTGTTCTTGTATATTATCTCGTGCAATCGATGCCTCCTCAGTCGTTACGATCCAAGCTCCACCGCTTGCTCGTGCAGGTCCTGTGAACCCCTGAGGTCTTATTACTGATCTTGTTCTTTCATTGGTGAATAGAGTCGACACTTGCAATCCTCTTGGCGTTGAATGCCGTTCTTGTATCTCTGCTGGTGGCAGGAGCTGTCGCGAGCCCTCACTTGAACCCTGACCTGGTGCTGGTCCTGTTGCTCCTTCGACTTGTTGTGGTGACTCTTCTATGACACGTTGCAGTGCTAAAGTTGCATCTCGTACTGGTGCAAATATCGGTGCTTGATCCAATTCTGAATCATTTGGTCCTGTATCTTCTGATTCCGTATCATCTCTTCGCACTCTTCTATGTGCTCGTCTATCATCGTCTTCTGAACTTGAACTCCACGTTCTCCTTCGTGGATTATTATCTGACTGTTGTGGTGGATCTTGTGATGTAGATTGATCCCCTTGTTGCCTTGACTGCTGGGGCGCGTGTTGTGGCCTCAATGGCCATACAGGTGGCGGCGGTAATTGATTCTGCGGCTGAGCTAGGTCTCTTCTTTCTTCTTGTCGTCCCTGTGGCTGCTCCTGTTGCTGTGACGGTCCTTGAGGCCCTATTATATGTCGGGGTATAGGCGGTGGTTGACTACGCGATTGAGCTGGGTTTGTTGCTCGTGGTCGTCGTCGCTGTTGCTGTCCCCGCGGCCTTTGCGATCCTTGAGGTCCTGTTACATGTCGGGAAGGTTGTGGATTTTGTCCTTCATCTGGGTATTGTCCTGGTTGTAGCTCTCGTAGTGGCCGGCGTCGCCGTTCCTGTTCGCGTTCTTGGTTCCGTCTATCCAGTCGGTTCCATAGACTATTTTCCTGTCGCCGATGTTCCCGTTCAAGCTGCGATATTTGCGACGGCCATTGGTCTCTTGGCTGTCGTGGTATTTGCTGCTGACCATGCTGTCGCTGCTGTCGCTGCAGTTGCACTCGCGGTTGTTGCTGTTGTTGCTGTTGTTGCTGCTGTTGTTGCTGCTGTTGCTGCTGTGGTGATTGCTGCGATTGTTGCTGTTGCTGTTGCTGGCGTGGTTGATCATCTTCCGCTAGTTGTTCCCACGCCTTTACGAGTTCATCTTCCTGTACTCTGAGCTCGTCCCACTTCCTCTCTTGTACGCGTTGATCAGCTTCCATTTCTGCTATTTGTTGCTGGAGTGCAAAGATTCGCCGTTCCAAATGTTCCACTTGCTGCCCCAATTGATACTGCTGCTCCTCTAGGGCCGCCTCCTCTCTTCGCCAGTCTGCTCGATATCCGTGTAATCTCATCTGCTGCCCTATCCTTTCTAGGCGTTCTCGTACTTGATCCTGCTCAATCCGCATTCGGCCAATTTCCTCAGATAGTCCATTTTGTCGGTATTGTAGATCCTCTATACGAGACTGTTGCTGAAGTACTCGCAACCGCTGTTGTATTCTCATTTCTCGGTGTCGTTGTAATTCAAGATTCTGCATTTGCACTCCCCATAGTTCTCGTAAGTTCGGTTCCGTTCCCCCTGTACTATCCAATCTCCTCTGAATTCCTCGCAGGTGGGCTCGTATATCCTCTTGATGCTGGAGAACATATTCTAGATCATGTTGAAGTCTTGCTTCCCTTTCGTATTCCAGTCTTGTCCTTGGTCGTACCTCCTCGCCCTCTCCTTCCTCAAATTCTTGCTGCTGCGTCTGTTGCTGTAGTTGCGGTTGCGGTGGCTGCTGCTCCCCTGACTGCCGTCTATCAAGACTTTCTCGCAACTCTTTGTCTCTGAAAAATAGATCACGTCTTTCATCCTGTTGTCGCTGGTACTCAACATCTGTGTCTTCTGATGGCTCTTCTGTCTGTTCTGGTTGCGACTGATAGAACTCCCGTTGGACTTGCATCGCCGCTGCTTCATCATTGTCACTTTGCTCAGGAGTCCTTCGTTTTTTTGATGCCCTCCCACTATCAAATGCATCATCCGACAGTCTTCTTCTCTTTTGGCTCTTAGACTCTGAATCAAAGTCCGGCATTGCCCTTGTTTTATCTGTCGACGGTGTATCACTTTCGCCTTCATCGTCACCGCGATCTCCACTATCTGAATACTCACGCGACGTTTCCGGCTCTGAATTTGCCAATCTGCTGTTGTCTTTGTCCCTGTTTCCATCATCATGCTCCTTGCCTTGGTTATTGTCGCCTTGATTATGATCATCGCCTTGATTGTGTACATCGCCATGATCCCAATCTGGTACAAAATCCGGATGAATGCCGGTCCTCCACTCTTCCATTCTCCTCTCGTAATTTTCCTCAAGTTCTTCCTCTAATTCATCCCCCACGATACGATCCAAATCTTGCGCCAGCCCTACTTCCACCATATGCTCATAAAACGTCTGCCCACCATGTCTCTCCGCCGCTCTGTCGCGTAGTTCCTCGGGCGTAAACCTGAACTGGTATTCCATGACTTCATCTGCATCTTCACCATACCAGCTCCGTCTCTCGGCATCTATGTCTTTCTGTCTTCGCTTCGCTCTTTTAAATGCTTTTCGCAGTGCAACTGGATCGTTTCCGTATTCAGGGCGTTCTATATCATAGCTGGCCGATGTACCCGGAGGGAATTCCGTATAGACTATCTGTGTATTAGGGTCTGCATGTGGCCTATTCTCTTGATCTTCATCACTCCTGTGGTACCAGGAGCCACCTTCACTGGATGATTCTGGCTCATTCATGGATTGCGGACCCTCCTCAGATGGTTGTCGTAAGTCTTGGTTTGACATTTGTGTTGTTTGTTTTTGAATCGAAGTGCACTCTTTTAAGAAAAGAAATATTGAGCATAGGAAGTCGTCAATCAGATATCGACTAAATATGACAAGGTTGTAAACAAACTATCTTATGAACCAAAAGTTCCCAGTGGAAAAGTTCGCGGCTTAAGTAGCTTGGACACAAAGTTTAGAAACCATCAAAAGGTCTCAATAAACAATCAAATTCACAAAGACATAGACTGGCAATGGTATTGTGCAATCATATAACAACTGTGTGATGTTGTTGCCCAGTTCAACAATCGGTGGCCCCATCCTAACGAAGCTACAGTAATGTGAACAATTCCATTGTGTGCACTTGCTCTATTATGAAACTCTCCTATTGACAATGTACAATTCATTATTTGTTGCAGTTTTAGAATTTTGCTGTCAATTGGTGGCTACAATAGATGTGAAGATTTGCAGCTTTGTGAGATTGTTAGAGGACCGTGTCAAGTTAGGGCTACGTGTGTAATCGAGTATCCGTTTGTCAAAGAACAATAACTTGAATACCCTCCAATGTTTCGAACGTTCGAAAGCATACTATGGCCAATTCATTTATCTTCTAACTATTGTTTAGTCTACAGCTCTAATGACTGCCTTAATACTGAGGCTTGCAAATTTACCTAGCGTTGAGGTGCATCCTAATGAGGCAACATATCAAAAGGTAGATACAAAGTGGCACACTCGAGTTTGGAAAACCTCAGAATTAGGTCTAAAAGCTTGAGAAAGCTGTAAGTTACTAGATAGTGCAAGAATCAAATTGTTAGACCAGTCGCTTGCGACTCAAAAAAATTTTTAAATTATGAATCGCTCTGGTAGGAACTTCAATCCTTTCCCAAACAAAGTGGTAAACCGTGAACCTGTTTCGAATAACATATCATTCGACAATGGGCAATATGGAAACTCTAGAGAGCGGTTGCTGCTCATCGGAATTTATCCTTTCCAACATTCCTCGCCTGAGTCGCCTCTAGCATCACTTTTCATCCACAAAGGTCTATTGTACTAATTTACGAATAATCAAACAGCTCGGGTACAAGCTTTGCGCCCTACGATAAAGATGAATGGAGAATTTGTCTCATTGATTGTGTCTGTGGCACAAGATTAGTATCTAGATTTGCTCAGAGAGAATGTACTATGTATATAAGATATTGCTTTATATCTATTACTGCTCGTATTAGAGTCGATGCTTATAACGAATGATAACGCTGCAAGCTTCTTCAAGGCATTTGAGGAGAAAAAATCTTGACAGACTACCTAACCAGAAACCCACACTCTAGCAATCCATGACTGGTGGTCTCTAAATCTTGACAGGAAACAGCCAATATACATTACAGGGTCCGTTTCTACCATGTACAATATACCTGAAAGATGACAGCCATTGCTCAAAATGGAAGCATCATTTGCTACTTCTGTGACAATGCTAGATATCATCCAATACTTCAAAGTCGAGCCCTGATGCAAGAGGGGCTACTGCGTGGAATTCGATAGTTGAGCCTGATAAAGGCGCAGCGTCCAAGTACAAGATAGTACGAAAGTACCAACCCCGCATTGCCTGCAATAAGATGTAGTCTTTGCCTCACACTCCATGAACACGACAGATCTACTTTCAGTCGGCCCTTTATACCGCTGTCAAATATATAGCCCTTATCGGGGCCGGAGTTCTCGAACCGAGCCCCCAACACTTGGCCAACGAATCAATAACATTCCTGTGAAACTCTGTTGACCAATCCAACGACACATAATCCAAGAGAATCCATCCTATCGCTCAAGTCTTTATATAGTTGCGTTACTTGCATATTAACGGAGTTTCTCATCGGCCCCATATTTCCATTTCCACGCCATTCCACGGGTATTGCCGCAAACAGAAGCCGGTACGTCATTTACCTGTCCACAACCCTAACTTTTGTTCTTCCTTTATACAAAGATGTCCTACGATGTTGCATTTGAAATTTCGAGTTTGTAGTCAATGATGTTTATCGGGTTTTATCTTGATTTGAATCATTGTGTAACGTAGGTAACAGTGATGACGATGGCTATGTTTTGACTGACTGTCGGAGGAAAGGGCGTCACATCCGAGGCTGAACTCTTTTGACTCGGCTTTTCTGTCCCCCACCATCCGTCTTATGATCTGTGTTTCGGCGTGTTTCTAGAAGAAGGTACCGTCTTGAACGACTTGATCATAATTTTGCAGCAACAATAAGGACCAAATATCATGCAATAGATTATCGAGGCTGGGGTTATATGTACTTGCATCAAGACGGCGGGAGGAGAAGCACGGGTGGAAGAAATGACACGATCAAAGGTACCCGAAGTACGCATCGTCGAAGTCGGTCCTAGGGACGGACTGCAGAGTATTAAAAAAACCGTTCCGACGGAGATAAAAATCGAGCTGATTCAGCGACTTCGCCGGGCTCGGCTGCGCAGTATTGAGCTTACTTCCGTCGTGTCTACGCGCAAAGTGCCGCAGTTAGCGGATTGTCAGGAGATATTGACTAGTCCCTCAATCAAAGATCTTATGAAAGATTCTGAGGCAAATGGTCTTCGTTGGCCGGTTCTCACTCCTAATTTGAAAGGGCTGGAAATTGCGTTATCGAGAGGTGTCAAGGAAGTAGCCGTCTTCATCAGCGCGACAGAAGGGTTTAGTCAGGCGAATATCAACTGCTCTGTTGAGCAGGGAATTGGAAAAGCGCAAGAAGTTGCTCAGAAGGCACTCGAAGCTGGTATTGCTGTGAGAGGGTAAGTTTGATCACCATACGTGTAGCTACGGTTTCAGATTGCTGACTCTGAGCTACAGATATGTATCATGCATCTTCGTGGATCCATATGATGGCCCAACCAAACCATCCAGCGTTCTGCGCTGTGTTCAAAGACTGCTGGAAATGGGCTGCTACGAAGTGAGCCTAGGTGATACAACAGGGGCTGGCACACCCGCCAAAGTAGCTACTCTGATCAGGTATCTCGAGAAAAACGGCATACCTCTCAACTGCCTAGCCGGTCACTTTCACGATACCTATGGTCAAGCAGTAGCAAATGTACTACAGGCTTATATCTGTGGTATCAGGGTATTCGATGCTAGCGTCGGGGGTCTCGGAGGGTGTCCTTTTGCCCCCGGCGCGAAGGGAAATGTGGCGACGGAGGATGTGGTTCTTATGTTTCAAAATGCAGGAATCCAAACTGGAATAAACCTGACGGAATTGGTTGCGACGGGTAATTGGATAAACCAGCAGGTCAAAGGATGCTTGGAGAGCCTCCGAAGTGGCTACTCCTCAGATACTCTCAACGTCCTCCAGAAGGAATCGCAACCAAGAGAAAAGGAGTTACGGCTACCAAGTTTTCGACCAATTTCAATGAAGCACATGAAAGCATCTCTTACGCGAGTCAAACACGCTGAAAAGATTCGCTTCCTTCAGAGCGAAGGTGGTGATTTGAAGATCATTCTGAATCGGCCGAATAAGGGTAACATGCTCACTACGCCTATGATTACACAGATGATCAAATGTTTGAAAACATACCACGGCAACTCCTCGGTGACTCGTGTCATAATAACAGGGGCCGGATCATATTTCTGTGCCGGTATTGATCTTAAACGCGAACGTTCCAAGAACAGTGCCTACAAGGAGGCAGCAGTAGCAGAGAGAAATAACGCCATTGATCTTTTGGTACAACTTTTCGAGATAATCGACCAGTACCCCAAACCAGTGATTGCATGCTTGAACGGACATGCCTGCGGCGCCGGTGTAGCTCTCGCATTTGCTTGTGATGAGCGCATCATGATTCAGACCGCAACCATCAACCTAGTTCCAAAGAAAGAGAAAAACATGTTATCCGATTTGCTGACTCGATACTTTTCTTCAGCGACAACAAAAGAAGCTGAGGAATGGCCTGGGAAATTGTCAGCTCGGCCCATATCTGGCTCCGAGCTACAGATTCTAGGCCTGGTCACCGAGATTGCGGAGGGTAAGAAGGATATGCAGACAAAGCTAGATAGCTATCTGTGCGTTAAAGACACACCTGGAAGGAGATTTGGATCTGTGACGAAGTTATGATTTATGTAGGTTTACATTGCGACTGTTTTTTAGCAAGGAAGTTTTGGCGTTCTTTGTGGTTCGGTCATGATTACTGTCCGAGTCTTCCTATTGTTTTGTCGAGATACCACTAGTGTGCAGGACGGATGATGATGCAATTTCGGATATAAATAGATATAGAAATGTCTTTCAAAGTGCAGGCATGAGCAGTTCTATGACCTGATACCTTGCCAATCAATACAAAATGTAGTGAAGTCAAAGACCCCTGTGTAAGCCCCTTGATCAAAAATTCTTCTCTTTCAAGACTTATAGAGGCGATGCTCAGATGATCAAAGAAAAACATTGAAAAGTATTTCGAGCAGAGTAGACAGAAATAGGTCACTGCTATCCCGCTAGGTTCAGGTTTCAAGTCTATCAAAAAAAAAAAAATACATTATATACGCTTGGGTCCACATACAATAGCACATAATTTCATTTTCGCCTTACTTCAACAGTCAAAATCTTGAAAAAACACTCGCAAAAATGATGAATCCGACCGGCGTTTCGCTCTTCCGCCCTAATCAGCAAGACCCTACCTCTACGCTCTCAAAGAGCGAGGTAAGTTTCCACTTCGCTAAAGAGGTTAGATTTCAATTAAATTTGTCTTCAGAAGTTCATTCGCAGCAAGGAACTTGCCGAGAATCAAGAACAGTCCGCTCCCGCAACCGCAAAGAATACGACAGAAGGCACCGCGGCAGAATTTTCCGAGGATCTGTCAGCCATTTGGGAGAAAGCATTGAAGGCGTTCGAGGATCATGTCTTTATGAGTCAGGTTCCTCTTTGTGTTCCTAGTATTTGAGTGTGTCAGCATGAGCTGTATTTCGACTTCTGTGATGTTGGCCATTAAAAGATGGAGGGAGGTATAACATGTGACTGTTCAATGATCACTACATCATAATGTTATCTAGAGATGCTAGCTATGCGTAGTTCTAGAACCGCTATAACCTTATCAATATATATTGATTACTCGTTTGGACATCCACCACGTAATCGAAAAGGAAACGCTCGCATAAATGCTCAATATTCACCACCATCATCTTAAGACCCTTGAGCGTGGTGGTATTGATTATCCCTTCACAACCTCAAATCCAAACCTGCTAAACCTCGCAACCACCAACAGCCCACTCCCAAACAAAATCACACTACCCATAAACATCTGCATATACAAATATTCCCCGGTCCCTGTGTTATGGTCCGCCTGCACCAAAGCACCCGCAATCGGGCTACCCGTCAACGCCGCAAAACTGACAATCGTCAAAACCATCCCCATCCTTACACCAGTCTTCTTGAGATCGTCAGTCAACGAACTCAACGCCACAGGAAACAGGCCCTGAACGCCAGCAGACGTGACACCATAAATCACGGCCCAGACATATAGACCCGGGACACTAGATACACCAGCCCAACCGTATGCAGTAATGGCGGTACAGAAACTAAACGGGATCAAGAGGTTCAGCGGACCCGTAAACGCATCGGACAATAAACCGGGAATAATACGACACGGTAATCCTACCGCACTCATAACCATCAACAAATCAGTAGCCGTCGACACCGACGAACCCAACGCATCACGCGCGAAACTGCTAACGTAGAAAAATCCAACGTATAACCCCAGGATTACAAAGAACATCCCGGACGCAAAACATAGATATGGTACTTCTCGAAATGCTTTCCACTCGACAATGGGTCCTGTAGCACGCGGTGGCAGTCTCTGTTTGAGGAAGAATAGGCCGGGTAATAACGTCGCCAGAGAGAAGAATCCCAGACAACGTAATGTCCACGCAAATCCGATCTTGGGGAGTAGCGAGTTCACCATTGCGGGGATTATGAGACCGCCCGTTGCTGAACCAGCTGCTGCACCGGACAGGGCCAGCGCACGCCGTTTCTCGAAATAGGTCGGCAGTAAGGCGATAGTCGGGCAGAACATCAAGCCGCATCCAATACCGGACATGAGGCCCTGAGACAGGAATATTTGCCAGTACTCATGGCACAGCGATGTCAGGAATACACCGAGCACGTTAATGATCAAGCCGCAGCTCCAAGTGAATTTGAAATAGCCGGCGTCAGTGGCACGGCCAGAGAACGTGCCGATAAAAAACACGAGAAAGGTCTGCGTGCTCCCAATCCAGGAGATTGTTGATGGCGATTCGGCAAGTTGGGTCGTATAGTAACTCTGAAAAACGCCAAAGGAATTCACGTAACCCCATGTGTTGATGATGACGAGATGCGCGAGAATGATTTGGGACCAGGCTTGGATACCGCCGTCTGGAGGGGGGCTGATGATATGGCTTGATTCGCGGGTGCGGACTAGGCTGAGTGTTCTGGCTATGACGGTGTTTTCGGCTCGGCTTGTTGATCTTGATATTGTGCGTTGGAATTCGTTGTCGTTGTCGGAGGATGTATATGCAGATGGAGATGGGGAAGATGATCTTTGGATATTCTTTTCGTTATTGGCATGTTGATTAAAATTTGATTGGCGGTGTTGTTCTAGATTATCTTGGACCTCGGCCTTTTCGAGGTCCATCTCTTTGTTGACGGACATGTTGTATGTTGTGTGTAGAACTCGTCCAACCAAACTGCACCTTTGCGAGTCGACAGAGTCTGTTTACAGTCTTTTGTAAACTGTTAGATCACGCTAAGAGTACTGACAAACATGAATTGCTGAAGATCATGAATGAGTTCATTGATCAAATCCTTCGAAATAGCAGCAAAAAATTCTCTCGGAACGATCCCCGCTTTGAAGTCAGAGATGTAGGGGAAAAGACGTATGAGCATTCATTAACACCAACGCAGCACCAGAATAATCAAAATGAGGATAAGAGATTCAAAGAAAGTCGGTTGATTTATAACGAATCTATCTTGTCAAAAGACGCCTTCTACGTGCATATCAAAACAGCCAAAAAGAATTTGTTAGCCGTGGTGGGGAAGCAGCTCGCACAGAAATCCGAGATCTTCAATCTTTCACTCTGCTAAATTCGGCGCGCACACATCGCAACCCGAGCCGAGGCGGGGGATCTATAATCACGCTGATAATGGTATATATCTGTCGGTTGTTGACTCATACAATTGCTTGGAACATGACACCTCACCGCTACACATGTATAGTTTGGTAGTATCGGAGGTTCGGCGAGTTGGCCGATGATCTGTTTTTGACAATATGATTGTCCAGCATATCACTACCAAGAATCGGTGGGTTCTGGTATCATCACCAGAGTAAAATGGATCAGTGTGAAGAATATGAGGCAATATGCATACTCATTCATATATCATATACAGTTAGCTCGTCCATACCTATCCGAGAACCCTTCGCCCAACCGATGGTTCAAGTACGTCCATCTCTGTGATGATATCATATCGCGGTTAACTGGAAGGTTTGCATTTATAAGAGTCGCCCCTGTTAACAGTCCCGATTAGTGCAGCTTGTTGATCACAGTACTGTGCCATATCGATATCCTTTTCGGTCAGACCGCGCGGAAAATGCGTTGTCCAGTGTAAGTGGACAGAACCTGATTTCTGTTTCCCAATACACAATCAATAAAACTTGTCCTGTCTTCGTCTTTGATAAACGGGGGAAAAGAGAACTCACAACAGTGAGAGTCGGATGATGGTTTTTCGATTTGCTGCGAATTCCCACGACTTGCGTAAAATCCTGGCACAACCAGACCAAAAATGTTAGCGGCATAGCCCACACTAGGCCAAACTCAACTCAACCCAGCTCAGCCTGACCAAGAAGAAATGGTGAAAAAACTTACCAAACATTTGGTATAAGTCTTGAAATAATACGTCTTCGCAACACCCATGCCTTCTTCATCTAGACTCCATTGTTCCTCCTCCAGCAATGATTGCAGTGGCGCAGATAATTGTTCTGGATTCACATCTTCGGCGAAAATTGGTCTCGTAGGTTCATCAATGGTAGTCATGACGCTGTAATGGCGGTTTCGCAACGAAGGGAGTCTAGACGATGGTGATGCGATAGCTGTTGCTGCGGGTCTCGACCACGTGGGACCACAAGTTGGGAACGAGAAGGAGGATGTGGATCGGACAGGACAGAGGATACGGCAAGGAAGGCGATGTGATCGTTGCAGTAGCCTTGCCGTGGTCGCCGTGCGTGCTGACATGGTCGTTGTGTTGTGGATGATGAAGTCGGAATGTTTTGGTGGTCTGAGCTTCAGCCTCAGCATCAACGGCAGCGCTAGCCTCAACTTTCTCAACCCTAATTGCCTAATTGGGGACAATTTCTTTTTTCTTTCCTCTTTCATTCGATCTCATTTTCTCATTTTGGGGGGAAATATGTAACAATAACAAGAAAAGTAAAGCTCTGCAACGCCACAGTCTTCACTATGCATTATGCATGCCATTTCAAGTCTCAAATAAGAGCAAACAAAAAGATCTAGATCCAGTTCAAGTCATAGTGGCTTCGATAGTCGACATACGGCTCGTATACCGATTAAGTTTCTATGATTTCATATTTTGTGGCTCATAAAATAAACGTAGTTTCTGATAAATACAGTCTAGTCTCCGTTTCGGCTACATTATTTGGAATTCTGGATTATCTTCAACCAACTACGTACTGCGTTACCTGGTCCTTACCATCGCATATGCATGAGCGCCTCATATCCACGCGATGATCGAGTCCGATTCCCACCACCCACCATCTCGACAAGTCTAGACGTCTCGTATTCCAAGAATTGGGTCCTGTTTTTTGATATACATTGTATTTTCATGTTTCTAGATGACCATCTAGATCTGTCCGTGATAACGGCAAGATTACCGCATCCGGCAAGCTGGTGGCTTGAGGCTTGTTCTCTTAGCTGGCACTTTACCCTTTTTTGTCGTTGACTAGAGGCTGGACTACTCCAGACGTCATTTTTCTCAACACTCTGCATGTATACCCAAGCTCTTTTAATCCCCAAAAGAGGTGGATTATGGCACATCTGCACATAAACGTGCACTAGTTCGCTAGACAAAAACCTCGGAATGTTCCGTATTCCCAAAAGAGGATTGGTCTAGACTGTGATGCATCATCAGAGTAGCGGGAAGAGCAGTTTGAGTCAAGAGAAAAGCAAGATTAAGCGATATTCCTAGCACTAGTCAGTTTGAATAGAGGCAAGTACGTACATACTATTACAATGATCACCATAATACACCCACTATGTCGGGTTGATAATGCCAGGACCGAATTCATTGTCTAGAATTTCTGAATCCGGACAGTCGACGAAAGACCGTAGTCAGTATGCAACAATGTGGGAATGCAAGTCAACGAATCGGTAAGTGAAACAGTCTCGATTGTGATTCTTCTACTTCCATGCATGAGATTTGTGGTTGTGGCTTGAATATCAAAAATCAACGACGTCATCGATCTCAATTCCACTCCCGATTCGACACCCGAGAAGGAAAAAGCAGAGGCCGAAAGTCATCTGGAGAAAAGATGGCATCGTACCGAGGTTTTTTGCGTGCATCATCGTCCTCGTATAGTGCTTGTTCCCTAGATCGATGTCGGATATACGATCATAGAGTGACTTGATGATCAGTTGTGTGAATTAAGATTTTGATATTGAGTTATGCCAATCTTTCAATGTTTTTCCGTGTCCATCGCCAAAGCTATATCCGAGCCTTAACACGGAGGAAGAGTAGCTATGTAAGCCGACCGGGCGACGGAACAACTCTCACCAACTCCCGATTTACGGGCCAAAAATGCCATGTGGTAGGATAACGACTCCGTAACTGACGATAAAGACTCAAAGAGTGGATGCAAAAAAAGATGATGGGAAAAAAAAAAAGTGGATGCGTTAAAACTCTTAGAGACAAAGTAAAAAAAAACAAGTCAGGAATGCCTGAAAGCCACGCTGACCCACCGCTAAAAGATTACTAAGGACATTAGCAGCTGCTAGAGATGATTTGTAATAGCTCTAGGTCTATTTATTGACTAGCGTACCAGTCGCATCAGCACAGCTATCGTACCACAAGACTCGAAAAGTCATCGAAAACAGTCAACACGAGGCTGGACCAATCGATCTGATATGATAGTCGATAATCAGTCCAATCTGGTTCACAGAAAGTCTATTTCATCATTCATGTACGTATGTATTAGTCGAGGATCGAGATGCACAGCATCATCACACGCGTTACATGCGGCCACGTATACATTACACTTGCAATACCTATTGCTCAGACCTAACTGCAGTACGGAGTATCTAGTAGTAGCTGTGTTAACCATTGTAAGAAAAGTTAGTCAGCTTGCATTGTGCTTCATAATACAAGTTATGCACGCTCGGACGAACATTCCGAGCATCCTTTAGTCCAACTCCGTGCCTCCGTAACGTAACGGAACACGGGTACGATACCTGCTGTACGGATCAGAAGGGTACCGAGCTCCCGTCCCAGCTAGACAGTTAGCTGAGCAGATCTCCCGCTTAAAGCGGCACGTTCTCCTTATTACAGAATAACATACAGGATAAACCGCATGTGTATTTTTACCTTACGCCGATTCAAAGACTCGTTTTTTTTTTATTTCGGCCGTATCTGCGATATCGTTTTTTTCGACAGTATGAAGACTGATGAAGGAATTTTAACTCCGGGTTTAAATCCTTTTGTACCTTGTATTAGTGACAGACTGCAAATCATTTCAACGGACGAACGTTGGCTGTCAACTCAATTCTCGGTCCATGTTCAGGTACAGTATGAGTAATCAAAGTTAGGAATGGACATCCGTATCTACGCCAATTTCAAGAATAGTAACGATAACTCAACCTCAAGTTGAGCGTGATTCTCACTTATACCATATTTGTACTCTTGATATTTACCTACTCACGTTATGTAAGCCACTCTAAAAGATGACAGCTGCAGACGGGCAAAAGCCAAACCCTGAATCCCCGGCGGAGTTAACAGAATCTTTTCTCCGTCATCCTCGAGTGATCGATTTGATCAATAATGGCATATAAATACACGGTATTTATTTAATTGATCGATGAATAAGATTATACGACATTATGTCGTGCAACATCGATAATGATGGTTAATTGACTGATTCTTGATGGCGTATTGATTGATCGACATGATACAACCAACCACTGATCACTGACTCAACGTTGATTATTATGGATGATGAAATCGTCCATCTTCCAGAACGTGTCGAGTCGTTATTAATCATCTCCACTGACGAATCCTCTCTTAGTCATACGCACACAAATCTGCGCCCTGCATTTTCCTTAAAGAAAGTATGTACGAATCGTCGAATGCTCACTCGGATGTATGAAATTCTAGTCATCCGGTTCCCGTTCCCACACAGCTTTAAAAACTCATTCTACCACAAATGTACTAGTCTGTGACTCAAAACGTGTTAGTCTCTAATGTGGTAGCAGTAAAAATGTCGGGACACTCGCGGCCGAACTGGCCGAATGTCCGATTATCCGATCTGTGCGTGCGATGGGCTAGCTAACTACCGTACAGTTTAGGGCGATATATCCCAATTAGGTATAGCAAAACGGATTTGCAGACTGTCCACACGCTCTGATTTGTCTGATTTTGTAGACGTCAAGAAAATCACTCACAATTTAGATTTATTTATTGACATCCGACTTCCGTCCCTTCGAAAGACGCGCTTTCGAGGTCAGCTGCCCTGATTCAGTGATTGTGCCCCTGATCGATGTGAAAAAGGCGATGTCATCTATCCATCGAGGACGGATATAGTGCCGAGAAAGATGGATCTGAGGGTTTTTCTGCATCACAAGGTTTGTTTCGTTATCACCGAATGTTTGAAGTTGTTTGCAATTTGCAAAGGAACGATATAGCAGTTCATCGCAATTTAGAAGATGTACGTAAAAGTAAAAAAAGAGTATGCAGCGCGCATCTGTATCAGATCAATACGTAGTGCCCGTATTCGTACGAAATCGTGTAAACATTGATACGAATACGTCCAATTCCGTTCGGCGTAACGTATCGTTACTATACGACCCCCACAGTTTCTCAAGTTACCCAAAACAGCAAGACTGCACATCAGCGCTCGTTCATAATTACCAGTCATTACGTATGTTATTTGAAGATACATCGCCTCGAAATTCAGTAATGCTTATGTACATTATTGCAGCAACAGGGCTATGTAGTAATGTATGACCAATTGACACATCCAGCACCTTTGTTTTTTCCGCTGCTTTACGCGTACAGCTTGGCTGTTGGACCTGGCTGGTCGACCCATTGGAAAACTCAAGAACTGCCAATGCGATGCCAATGATCTAAGCCCCGTTTTTCAGAAACCCTGAATTCCGGGTCCGTAAACTACATCCGTGATCCATAGTGAAGCAGAAACATACGCACGTAGCATAAAACTAGGTTGGGACTAGTGGACAAACTCCGGTGACTCGCTGATTCATAATCCCTTTTAGTGTCTGTATGATGAATACACTTTATTTTCATATGTAATCAATGTAATCATTGTATGATTGTAACGTATTTCCATTATCTCCGTCAGTTTAACTTTTACAAATGAATTATGGATACAAATCAAATCTAGAAGGACTAGAAGCTACTCTTAATGTTCTTTTTTTTAATTCTGCTGTCTAACTGGGCTGAGCTTTTTTAGTCTCTTTCGTCACTGTTACTTGTTACTTAGTCAGGTTCTGCTCGTATATCCAATACGCCCATACCATGCATACATAAGAATAAGCACAAGGATATTAAAACAGACCACCCCCCCTCCTTTCACTTTCTTTTTCTGCCCTTGAATCTTTGATATCATTACTTCCCCTCTTTATATATCCTCGACATAATTCATTCGAATAGAACTTGAGTTGATACATCATATCATCTTGAACATCAATACATCAATACACCTATAGGCAGTTCGCACGACAACGTTGGATCGACCCGTCATTGCAACCCTAAAGACAGCAAGACCACTGGAAATAGCCAAACTCAACCTCCTAGTTACTCAATCCCGGATTCTGATGCCATCGTTACCAGCTTGAATAGCTAAACAGGAAACATATAAGGATTTGGTCCAGCTCGATTATACGAGTTCAGCTCGCTTGTCGTCTATCATTTCCCTATTCGGATCATATATTGCAATGGCTGCGAGACAGTCGACGCCGTCGTCAGAGCATTCGGCTCACTCAGATAGTAATGTGCGCAAAAGAGTGTGCAAGGCTTGTGATCGATGTCGCTTGAAAAAGTCAAAGGTATGACACTAGGCATCGGAGGTCGTCTATCAATACTGATGGCAACAGTGCGATGGCGCCAGTCCCTGCGGCAGATGTCGCGCCGACAATGCTATTTGCGTCTTTGGTGAGCGCAAGAAAGCTCATGACAAGGTCTATCCCAAGGGGTGCGTTTCTTTACTCACCATTATACTTTACTGGTACTGACAATAACGAAGGTACGTCGAGATGCTGGAACAACAACAAATCTGGCTCGTAAACGGTCTACAAGAACTCTACCGCCGCGCCCAAGAAGGCGAAGGCTGGTCCGGAGAACCACTCAAAGCCGAATCGAATGGCCACCCACTCACACACGACCTGCTCACACGATTAGGCGCACTAGATCACGGCAAGGGCGAAACATTTGAAGACAACGTGGAACAGATGCAACAAAGATTATGGCAACAAAATGCAGGCTTGATGCAACGACAGGAATCGTCCGATGGAAGTTCAGATATTGCGCATTCTCCTCCAGCCACCACCACGAATTTGAATGTCAACACGCATAGTCATCCCCAACATCGCCATCACCATTTAGGCAATAACCATAGTCGACGACATCATCCATATCCAGTCTCACCATACGCAGATTCCATGGCCAGACATCAATTACCACCCACACCACCAGGAAGCTACAGCCCTTCCTCCTCCGCCGCTTCATCGCAGCAACAACAGCAACAAATGCCATCTATACCAATCATAAAATCCGAACCCCTCCTCATCACAACCTCCGCCCAACTCTCCTCCACAATCCCAACACCGACATCCACAATCTCGTCCGCGAGCGCACCAACTTTCTTCTCTCAACAAGGCATAAATCCGATATCTCTCCAACAACATCAACAACAACAACCGCAAACTCCCTGGACAACAAACTCCAACGACCTCAATTTTGACGATTTGGATCTCATTGGCGGAAGTGGAAGCGGCAATCAGTTTTCCTCGTTATTTGAAGATATGTCATCCTCTTCGTCGCCGATGTTCGGTGCTGGTGGTCGACAGCAACAGATGCCGATAAACTGTTTACCGCCAAGTATGCTCTTTGAGCCTGGGAACGAAGATTTCAGTCAATACTTCAACACGAACACGGAAATTTCCACTATTTGAGTTTTTGTGGCGAGTTTGGGAGGTCATTTGGGGGGGGTAATTGGTTTGGTTCTTGGTTTTGGGGGTTTGGGGCCTAACGATTTAATGTCTATGTATAAAAAATCTCATTTTCTTTGTTCATTTTCAATGTTTATTTTTTTGGTGTGTTGGTTCTTTACTTGGGTGTCAATGGATGGGTTCCAAATGTCTACTATTGGGTTTCTGCAAGACTAGATAGCGACTTTTGTATGGCGTCTATGGCGTCTTCTTTTTTGCCTTCTAATAATTGAACTCGAATGGTCATTTTTGAATCTTTAATTCTGCTTCCATCATCGTATAAATGCCTTTACAATCTCTCAGACAACTTCCGAAAGGAGTTCTAAGTGGTCTACAACTGATCTTACCCCAGAATGGTCGTTGCTCGTCATTTCGATTATCAATTTCCTCGAGATCTTAGAGCGTTCTCGGGATCCGTGGTCAAATGAGGCTTGTTCCACCTACGTATCTGGCTCAAACACTTGGAAAACTAATAGGACATCTGCTGCTAGGAGGTTAGCTAGATAGCACTGTAGTTGGAAGTTGCCGCAGATGTTGGTACTTGGTTTCTTTTTCGCCTAGGCATGCAAATCATGAGATTGAAGGTACTAGACACGGTAATCAAGTATATGGCATCGTGCTATCTTAGCCTCACAGTATACATTTGTCAGAACTGAGTATATCATGTTCAACCTCGGTATACATGCATACATATCAAATCTCTACGTACAAACCGTATCGCCCGTCACAATCCAGACCCTGACTTGATACATAACTTAAACAACTCCAACCAAATCAATAAGTTAATTAGATGCCTTTGAAAAATTAGTAAGCTACATCGACTGTTGATAATCCACTCGGCTCTTTCAACCTCTACAACTTTTTCTCAGTTGTCAGCCAATCAGTGTCAATCCTTCCGGCTATATTAATAAACATGCATCATTGTATCGTATCGACGTACGACTAGTCGCGGAGAAAGCCACTTGATATCGACTAAATGCTCGAAATCTTCAGTCAAATTTTAAGAATTGACAGCTAAATGACTCACCCGAAGTGTTCAAAAAATCAAGGGGAGTTATCTTTGTAAGCGGGGGAATTGATCCTTAGAAATCATCCCAGTATGTATCCGAGCACCGAGTGCCGATTTATCCAGACAGAACCGTTGTTAATCATTTTCGTCAGCCGCTTACACACAGCACACAGCAAATAATAAAGTCGCCGAGCGCAAATAACCACCTGTACAGCGGCAGCGCTGACAAAATTGCGCGGAGATAAGACTACTAGTGTACGTACAAAATGTAAAAACCTACACAGTTCGCTGTAAAGCGAAAAAGGTCAAGCCGCGACGTATTTCCCAATCGGGCATATTGTGGCTCAAAATGAGCAACGACTAACGGGATCACCGAAACCCGAGCAAATACTCCGCGGATAAGAACGACTCTCGTTTTCATGGCTCTTGAAGTTACTCGGGGTCGCTACTCAACTGGTTTTATTTGAAGCTGGTTTGACGTGCATGCATTAAGCTTTTTTGGTTTTATTGTGGAGTTGTTGATGTCATATCAGATGTTGTTTGAAGTTGCGCATGTAATGATTGTGTATCTCGAGGAAGTTGGCGGTATTCTATTTACTAGTATGCGTATTGATTGATGCAACTGTATGCTGTCGACACATGATCATCATGTACTAAATTAGGGCACACTTAATTACATAGCAATCATAATGTGAAGGCTAAGTTGATATTCAAGCGTAGGGATAAGACAGCAGAAAAAGATAAAACCGTACCATCATCCACTCTACCTTGCCCTCAGTCAGAACACGCTTCGGAACAGGATGTCAAGCATAGGGCGGAACTCTTTCTCCGGTCATGTGGAACATGAACCAACAAACATGTAGATGAGGGTGAGCCCTCACCATAGGATTACCAATTTCAAACGACTATAAGATATCAGAGACGTGCTCCTTAAATTCAAAGTTGTCCAAACACTCCCTTTGGCCTTTCGATCAAGGAGAATAGCACCGGACCTGTCAACGTTGAAGATGGAAATCCACGTAGTATCAAAAGACGACTATTCCAAACAAGCCGTAATCCCAATCTCGGCCGCTGCACTGAACCAACTGACCGACCCTGAATCTGTCCGTGTCCGTCCGATTCTAATCAGTCTCAGTTCGAACAATCTTAGTTATGCCAAAGGTGGCACAGCTCTCCACTGGTTAGTTTGTTACACCCTGGCTAGAACATCTGGCTAAAGTCTTGAATCTTAGGTGGGATGCCTACCCTGTCCCGACCAACTTGGTGCCAGGAGCTTCTGAGGCTGCATCATGGGGAATTGTTCCTGCTTGGGGGTACGCAATTGTGACCGAATCAACGACAACACAAATTTTGCCAGGCACCATTCTTTGGGGGTTCTGGCCCACTGCTGATGCCCCAGTAGATCTGAAGCTGGTGCTTGGTGACCTTGACGGTCACTGGATTGAAGTCAGCGGCCACCGAAAGAACCTCATGACTATATACAACCACTATATGGAAGTCTCGCGAAAAGATTTTCCAGTACAGCTCCAAGACACCGAGCTTGCTGACTTCGCATGGGCAGCTTTGTTTCGTCCAATTTGGCAGACAGGCTACCTCCTCAATAGGTTTGTTTTTCCTCCGCAGAATACGACCCCGAGTATCGAGGCTCTCATTCATCCTAGCGGTACCGATCTACCGTGGACCAAGGAAGATGCCGAGCTTTCGCAGACACTCCTGATCAGTTTGTCTGCATCAGGGAAGACAGCTCGTTCATTCGCCTATCAGATCTTCAAGCGACCTCGCGAAAACGGACCAACAAAGTTCCTACAAGTGACTCATGAGCCGAATTTGATACAGGACGTTGGTAGAAGACTACAATCGTCTACACCAGCGGATACAATTTCATATCAAAAACTTACGTATGCAAGCGAAGAAAAGGCAGCGCCGGAGTGGTTACCGGAGGAAGCTCCGAAGAAGGTCGTCATCATCGATTTTGGGGCCAGAGGGCGTGCGTTAGAGGAAATACTCGAACTTTTGGAAAGACGCTACTCCGGCACCGATGTAAAGTATGTCATTCTACAAGTCGGTTATCAACAAAAGGTAATTTATTTCACCCTGCATGCCAACGTATATTTCGCTCTTGTTAACGCATAGTATATGACAGGTCTATACCATCGAAGAAAGTAAAGCCAGCAACGACCAAATGGCCCGATTAGGAAAGATCCGGGTCAACACCTCGCAAATCCGGGACTCAGCTCTTCGAGCAGTCGGACCGAAAGCTTTTTATGAGGCTATAGATTCTGTCTGGAACGACTGGCTTAGAGTTAGTCATTCTATCATGCCAGATTTGCAGGTTGTATGGGGGGATGGTGTGTCTGGAGATAATGGAATTGAACGTGGCTGGCAGAGACTTTGTAAGGGAGAGGTTGGTGCGCAAGAAGGGTTGGTGTATCGGCTATCTGACTTGAAATGATGATCTTTGGGTTTTTTATTATTATTTATTATTCTTTATTATTATTCAGGCTTAACGTCCATACCGAGCTCCGTAGGCTATGACGGACCATGCGTTGCGTTGGTGAGGCTACCCACTTAATACATCAGCTCGGAACCGTAAGCATTGCTCGGCGGAATATGTTTCTGTCCTTCGTTTCAGCTCGTCGATGAATTACTCGTTGACAACCAACACCAACAATAATAGAGCCAATCGGCTTTTCATATCCTACTGCTGGACTTGTCATGTCTCTAAATAGACAATTTGTCCTTGGCAGCCTTTCTATCCTAATTAGGCAACGATTGCCGACTATTTTAGCTTAGAGATGCTGTATCGATCTACAGTACAGATTCATTCCTTGTATGATGTTTCATTATTTCCATACATCCGCTTGTACATGCCGAAGAAACGGACTTACTGGCGTATTGGTGTTCCAATCCGTGGTAAATATCTTACCTTTGTCGTAACTTATCTTACAAGTAACATAATTCATCTAAAAGCAGTTCTTTGATACGCATCATATGACTATTGCAGCAAAGCTGTAACGAACTTTTCCAGATTGGTAGGCGATTAAAATTTATCGTCCGATGTGAGCCTTATCGAGGTGAATCAACGGCGCGTACTGCATAACAAAGTATGCGATGGTCACAATGCATTATGCATTTACCAACGCTTGTCACATTAGGGCCATGGGGAATGTCTTAAACCCGCACGTTGCCGGATATCTGCCACGCATTTCGTGTAATGCTAGCTACGAACGTATACTTGAACTCGAGGTGTAGACAACATAGGCGTGGAGATTTTTCGTAATGCTGGCTCGACTGGACTATACTCCGAGCAATCAAACTATTTCGAGCTTGAGATTCACATTCTTCATCTTTGTGCATTTATCACGCAAGATTTTAAAACATTCGACACAGATGTCGTTCGTTCAATTGCGAAGTTTCATTTTCCAACTTGTACTACCCTGTCTCCCGGAAATGGCACAACGCATGTCTCAAGACAGAACACACAAGCGAGCTCATCCTCCGAGCTCAATTTCTCTCGAGTTAATCACACAATAAGTAAAGCTTTGGCCTCTTCAACAATTTATATCAAAATTGCGGGGTACCACGTGACGGGGCCTGGTAATTTTAATTGCTTTTAGCCTAATATCGTGATGGTCAAGGTTCTGCTTTTTGCCGGTGACCAGCTTGAGGACTGAATTCTTCTAATAAATGCACCAATCGATGAAGTTCATTTATGCTAATTGAGAAAACTAGGTCTGTGTCTTTCGATTTAGCGATTCAATGTTGAATTCAATATATACAGTAGGCTGTGCACATCCTCCGCGGGGTACAACGTCACTTTATTAGAACTTTAGCCGCCCCTCATCGAATGCATACTTAACTCGTTCGAATCATTAAACGTGGCCTAATCTGCTTCCTAAAACACACGCACAGAAATCTACAAGTAAAAAAAAAAAGAAGAAGAAATAAAACAAAATGTCCAACACCGAAGAGTCTGCATTCACCTTCCTCCCCCTCGGAGCCATAATCCAGGAATTCAACGTGGGTGGCACCAATATTGTGCAGGGCTTTAAGACCCAAGAGGACTACGTCAACCACAACAGCCCTTACTTCGGCGCCACAATCGGCCGAGTTGCCAACCGCCTCAAAGATGGCCTACTGGAAAACGTGAATGGCCAAACCTATACATTGGAAAAGACCAATGCGCCCAATGCGTTGCATGGTGGTTCAAAGGGGTGGGATAAGAGGATCTTTGAAGGTCCCAAGGCCGTGAGTCGCAATGGGAAGGAAAGTGTCTTTTTCAAGTATTTGAGTAAGCACGAAGAGGAGGGTTATCCCGGTACGCTGGAGGTTAGGGTCTGGTATACTGCTAGCAAAGAAGATGGCAAGACCGTGTTAGTAACGGAGTATGAGGCGGAGTTGGTGGGCGATGAGGTTGAGGAGACTGCAGTCAATATTACCAACCACTCGTTCGTCTCACAGACCTCCCATTCTTGGCGATGTTTGATGCTGATATCTTAGATAGGTACTTCAATATTTCTGGAGGCCCAGACATCATCGGCACAAAAGCCAAGCTAGCAACAGACGTGCACCTTCCCTTCGACTCAACCTCCATCCCTCTCGGCGGCATCGGCCATTTCACCAAAGTCCCCGTCGCCGAGACCTTCACTCTGCAAGGCGCTGAGACCGAAATCGACGACTGTTTCCTAATCGAAACAGACCCCTCCAAAGTACCCCTCGACACCAGACCCCTACCCTTGAACCTGTTGGCCGAATTCAGCCACGAAACCACTAAAATCCATCTCGAAGTATACAGCACAGAGCCTGCATTCCAGTTCTACACTGGAAACTTCATTGATGTTCCCGCTGTTAACGGGCTCCCTGCCCGTGGAAAGTATGCCGGGTTCTGTGTTGAGCCTAGTCGGTACGTGAATGCGCCTAATGTACCGGAATGGAGGCATATGGCTGTGCTCAAGAAGGGAGAGATTTATGGTTCGATAACGGTGTATAAGGCGTGGAAGGAGTGAGCTGCTTATGCGTGCATAAGCGATGGGTGTTGTACGCATCTATCCATTTACGACGGCTTTCGCATTTGTGTGTCGTGCGACATACTATACGCGATTCATTTCGAGTCTCGAGGATTTGTTTGTACATTGTATAACCATACGTATAGCTATCTAAGTTAGGTACTTCAGAATGGATTCATAGTTCGGATCAAAGTCCTATGTCCGACCGTCCGCCCTGGGGTGTACGGGTATATGCGTCTTTGTAGGTATACATATGGGGCCAATAGTAACCGAAAATCAGTTCACATCAACTAGTCAGATCTAAGCCTCCGCCGCCAGATTATTCTCTACATATCAATGTATCTTTAAAATAGGCATAAAAAGGGCCAAGTAAGATACATCGGGTCGGACTTTGTCATAAAGCCGAATTCCTATTCAACAGGCATGTTTTTCGATGTGATACAATCTCCCAGTACAAATAACGCGAAAACGTGAATGGTAATTGTATTATTCTGTAAGGTAAATCTGTATGAAAAACAAGTACAAGGTCGTACTTTCAATGACAGGAGTTTACCTGTTTGATGGTGCGTATTAATCTGTCCAATATTATTGCGCCGTCGTATTCGTATCTAGGTAACCACAATAATTTGAGCAAACCCTAACTTACGGAGAAGCTACATACAGCACAGCCACCATGATCTGCTGGTGATCGTGAGACAACACGTTTTGGCAGCTTTTAGCTTAATTGAAACGACTAGTATCAGGGGTACATCCTGTTTCGTATCATATTTGTGATTGTATTAACGTATTGAACGTTTGCAGACTTCTAGACCGTCGTTATAAATGAATGTTATCTTGACATAGCCTCAATATCGACGGAAAGGGTTATTGCAGCTTACGACCATTGCGTATGCAGCTCAGAAAGAGAATCTAGTTGCCTAGTAGATGGGGTTTGAGGATAGAGCTGTTGGTGAGGCTGGTTGGAGAAGGAAATTGTACTCGTAAAAGGGGTGATTGCATTGGGGACAAAAGTTGTTGCTCACCAAGGCAAAGTAGAAATTTTCGGGAACTGACATACGACCAGTGAGTAGAACGTAGGTGTGAATTATACACCAAGAGGGACATATTATACCAAGCATTCTTTCAACTCTCTTTGTGCTCAAGACTGTCTCGTTCCCCGTCCTTCTCAAATGCCTCGAAGTCAGCCTTCCATAACCAAATTAACCTCCCCTGTGTGCGCCCCAAGATATCCTATTCCCAGTCGAAACTAATTAACAGCACTCAGAACACTATGAAGAACAATTTATCGATTCGGCCACCTTCTGAGCTAGTGTTTTCCAAAGTTTTTAACCAGCCTCCACAGATGCAAAAGAAAGTGATGGCCCAGTCACTACTAAAATCTATCAACATGCAAATTCGTCGTCAATGAGAAGATTGAAACGTGCAGCATGTGATTGATCAAACTTGAGCGCTCCATGAGATCAAGGGTAATCTAGTATTATTTGATGTATCCATTCACCGCAGACTGGTATGCCTGTAGGCATCCTTGCGGAAGCGGCAGCAGTCTATATAGGAAACGTCGGGCAAAGCTATATCAAGATTGTGCCATCGAACCACACTCGAGTATCTGATCAGAAACATCTATTTATACTTGACATCAACCAAATGGTTCATATGTGACATCATGAGGGATGGGAACAATATACCATATAGATAAGCTGTTCTCCTCAGCCCAAACCTGCACCATTTAGACACCATCAACATGGCATAATAGGTGTTTGATTATTGTGCCTTTTAGATAGCAAGAACCTTGTTTCACATTGGTGAAGGTTTTATACAACCTAGAAATTTTGTACCGTTTGTATACACTAGCAGCAAGATCTCAAGTATGAACAATAGGTAGGTTCTATTGGAGCTACTTGTTTTTGAGAGTAATATTATGAGATAACTTCCGTGTTCTCTAACAATGTGCGGGACTTTTCTGTTGCTCCTACGTCTTACAGGGCATAGGCGCAGTCCACTTTATAGTCTGATTCCAACATTGAGTTCTCGGTGACACCTCATTTCATTCTCATTTTATATATGCAAGTGATTGGATGCTTAAAAAAAGCTAGCCAAATGAGACTTATAAAAAGTAATTATAAACTAGAATGAGTGTAAACAAGGACTGGTAATCTGATTTTAGCGTCATTATTTTCAATAGACTACTTAGGAGGCGTTATAAGCGAGTTGTCAAACATTGCAATGATGGCTTTTGACAAGTGTATGTTGGTCAAGATGAAGGAGGCTGGGGAAACGAATCCAGGACTTTGTCCGGTCCATTGATCTGGAATTGGGCAGTCGGATAATGCTGGCCGACATCCACCTCCAAAGTGTACGTGCCGGGGTACACAACCAGATCGCCATTCTCAGCGGTTCGCGCAATGGCACCCAGAGTGACGTCAAGGCTCACAGAACGAGTTTCTCCGGGCTTGATGGAGGGTACTCGCGTATAGCCGACCAAGGTTTTGATAGGATATGGAGCAGGGCCAGCATTTTTGGTGGAGGCAAAGAGCAATGCAACATAGTCAGAGGTTACTTTTCCGGTGTTCTTCACGTCGATATGAAAGGTATCAAAAGCAGCTGTGTCAGGATATTGTGATTTTGATACGTGCCCTAGAGATGCTGTGTTATACGGACCCAATTTCTTGCTCGCCCATGAGACATCGAAATTGGTATAGTGCAAGCCATATCCGAAAGGAATCACAGCGTCGTCATACCAGCGGTAGGTTCGCCCAGGAGTAGCTCCGTTAGGACGTAAGGCCATGTCCGTCATTGGAATCTCATTGGTATAGTTGGCTGGGTACTGTGTTATTGGCAATCTGCCTGCGGGAGCAGATTTACCGGTAAGAATATCGAAAACAGCTTGACCACCAGCCTGACTGGGGTAACCGGCCCATACAAGAGCATTCACCTTGTCATTTGCAAGAAGTGCCGAGTCGTCCAATTGACCACCGCCTAACTGGAGAACAATAAGTGGCTTTCCGACTTGGGACAGCTCTTCAACCAATTGGAGCTGATTACCAGGCCAGGAAATTGTGTCTCGGTCCATGGCCTCAGCCTCAATGGAATTGTCAATACCACCTGCATAGATGACGATATCTGATGCGTTGGCTGCAGCGACAGCAGCGGCGAAACCAGAGGTGTCGGTGGAGTTGATATCAGTTCCCAGCGCATATTCTACTTTGTATCCGGCCTGTTCAGCACCCCATACCAGCGTCCTAATATATTCTGCGACGCCCGCGTAATTGCCTTGCAGCTGGGTTGTAGCATTGGCATAAGGACCAATCAATGCGATAGTCTGACCATGGCTAGATAATGGCAATACTTTAGTCCGGTCATTTTTTAGGAGGACAATACCCTCGACAGCTGCTCGGATGGCCAGCTGCTGTGACGCAGGAGTGCCCACATCGGACCAGTCAAGGGAACGATATGGCGAAGTTTCCTCATCGAACCAGCCAAGTCGGACTAGAGAGGAATACAAGTAAGTCAGAGCAGTATCCAAGGTGGCATTCTGGAAAAGATCTTGAGCAGAGGCTGCGGCAAGATTATTGGACATCGTGGTTCCACAGTCCAAATTTGTGCCGGCATTGAGAGCATCTGCTGCAGCTGCAGCTGCAGTATTGGTGTAGTGATGGTCGGTGAAGATATTGCCAATTGCATCACAATCAGAGGTCACCCAGTGCCCAGTCTGGTTCCAGTTCCAATGGTCACGTAGGATAGTATCCAAGAGGTAGCTGTCAGCGCAGGTTGGGATTCCATTGACGGCGTTATAGCTGCACATGATTGCATCTACTTTTGCGTCGCGAGCGCAGCTTTTGAAAGGTGGCAGATAGTATTCGGACAGATCTTGGGTGGAAATAATTGCATTGAAGCCGTAGCGGGCATTTCCTTCCCAGTCCTCAATATCATAACCAGCGAAGTGCTTGCAGGTTGCCACTACTCGAGGATCGGTGGTCCCGATTCCATTTTGCAGGCCGTCTACCAGATTATAGACATAACGGGCGATGTGGAATGGATCTTCTCCCGGGGTCTCTTGGCCTCTGCCCCAGCGAGGATCTCTGAACGGATTGATGTTGGGCGTCCAGAAGTCTAGGCCTGCATTGCCATAGTTACTGAAGGCGCGGCCCTCAATACTGACGACAGTGCCCACCTGTTGGATGAGAGCGTCGTCAAAGGCGGCAGACATGAGTATGGGTTGAGGGAATGATGTGGCATAGCTGAAATTTCCAGATTGAAACGTCACGCCAGGAGAACTTGCGACACCGTGCAGGGCCTCACTCCACCATTGATATGCTGGTAGTCCGAGACGGGCAGAACCCGGGGAGCCATTCTGGGTATTTTGAACCTTCTCATCAAAGGTCATGGCTTCAACGAGACCTTTCGCACGGGTAAGGGGATCAAGAGCTGCGTTGCACACTGGATTGCTGCACAGAGGGTCTACCGTGCAATTTGGCTTCACAGCTCCAGACAGAGGAACTGGAGTGGAGCTCGGGTTGGAGATCTGATAGATATCAACCCTACATGGATTGGTTTCATGGTCAGACATTTTATCCGTTCATAAAGGCTGGGGATGTTTCACATACAACCAAGTACCGCCACAGATCTCGGAAGAATTTCCAGAGCATGTCATGGTGCACGCGCTATCAGCTTGCTGTTGCGCACCGCTTACGATCGTACTTCCACAGTAGCATTGACTGAATTTTGAGGAGTCTCTGTCAGTACAAGTATGCTAATTGACATGTGGCGGAATAAGGTCAGGGGTCAGCTCACCTTCCGTATTCCACACCAGCGTAAGTGAATCCTGATGCGCCGCAGCTATCGGCGCATGACTGAGGGTCATTTCCATTTGGTGGAACTGTCGACCCTCCCTGAAGGATACGAGTGCTATCATCTGTATAGCAGCCCGTAAAAGTTATATTAGCTGTGTATTCCGCATTGACAGCAGGCAGACATTTTCCCTGCTGCGGCGCTGCGAGGGTATAAGATACTCCCTGCAGCAACACACTCCATGATAGGAATTTAGACATTACAGCCATGACGAAGCTTAAGGAATTCCTCTCCGTCAAGACTTCTATATGTTTCCTTTTTAATGTGCTTGAGGATGAGAGGAGTGATCTCGTCGGTCATCATTTGGGGAGAAAAGAGAATTACCTTATATATGCAGGAACTTTGAAGCCTGTTGCGCCAACAAAGACAGCATTTACCCGGTTTCATGACTACTGACGATGACTACTGACGATGACTACCTGCTTGGGGACAGAATCTTTTGTCCCACGTCAAAAGCTTATGCGGGATAAAGAGAGCATGGGACTGACTCTTCAAGAAATTTACTAGAACACGAACTCAATTTTGTCTGTGCTTCTGTGCCATTCATAAATCGAACCATTGGCTTGAGCCAAGATGCTGTTGTAAGAAGCCAATGGCATTTGGTCAGCGTTGGAGAGTGAGATGAATTTTACCGGTGCTTTCCCCTCATTTCGGGGATTTTATGTACTCACCCCGCAAAATTTAATATCCCTGTTGAATGCTATTTCGCAGATCATATATATGGCTGAATGGATCTGCACACCGGGTATTGGCATTCGCAATTTACCCATACTAGCAACATGCGGGATTGGATTAATAGATCCACAGTCAACTGACTTTGATGTTTACTTGTCAATGGTTGACCATCAACCTTAGGGGGCCAGGCCAGAAAGTTCTTCACCGGCTAATAGTGTGATTCCCAATGCTCCCGGAGGTCTTAGAAACATAGGAAGACTAAAATTGAACAAATCACTTAGCTAACACAACCCCATATTCTTGCATAAAAAACACTGCGGGGTAGTATTTCATGAGAATCATAGTACTTCAAGACCCATCAAAATTTGCCGAATGACTCCATGTTGTTGTCTGTTGAGAAATCAGTCGTACATAGTAGATTCTGTGGGCGTAGGAACATCCGCTAGTGCCGGCACTTTGTGACGCCACGTTTTATACTACGTACTTTGTTGATGGTTAATTAGCTTCCTGTGAATAGGCATTTGAAATGAATTTGCGGTATGCAAGATTTTTACGGGCTCGAAAACGTTGACTGTAAAGATAGGAGAAGTAAGTACTATGCCCCTTCGTGATTTAATAATCTGTAAATAGGGCGACGTTGATTCGACATCAATATGAAGGCGTTTCCATTGAATTTGCAGGCAACACGTCGAATGATCCTATTATTATCTGGCGGAACTAAATGGTATGGTATAGCTCGCTCTTCCATCGACTCTGCAAGGCAACTCCAATGCGCGCTTGAGATAAGTTTTGGTGAACTTCCCCCCAAGAAGACCCGTAGAGTCTTATCAGATGGGCCCAAGCAAACTCAAATTGAAATTGTGTGTATTTGAAAGATATTCGTCAATAGACGTAAGTACTATTTTCTTAGAATTGGTGGTTTCTAAGACCAGCATCAAGGGGGGAAAAGGTGCTCTAAATCTAGCTCATTACTAGGTGCCAAATCACAAGGATCGTTGATTCGGTAAATTAAATTGATTACTGTACTGGTATCGGTACATTTAATTTGTAAAAACTTGTGATCACACATGTACGGAGCAATCCTGATCAATCTATGCCTGTTGCTGCTGTCGAAGGAGGCTATTTAACCGGTAGCGTAGTACTTAAAGACTCGACCAAGCTAGCATGGTGAAGCTGGGAGATATCCAGACAAGCTTCGTAGTACAACCGCATTTCTGTCTGCCTATCATGCGTACTAGTATGACTGCCCAGTTTTGGGCCTTATTCGCCTGTCTTCAACTTTCTCATGCTACGACATTCCAGAATCCTGTGATATTCAATGACTTAGCGGATATTGATGTTTTTCGTGTTAATGATACATTCTACTATTCGGCGTCCAGCATGCACTTCTCACCTGGTGCCCCTATTCTCACTTCCAAAGACCTCGTGAACTGGGAGTATATAGGACACTCAGTGCCTTCTCTCGAATTCAACAGCCCGGCTTACAATCTCGAGGATGGCTTGCGAGCCTATGCTCGCGGTGTATGGGCGTCAACGCTTCGGTATCGTGCGAGTCGAAACAAGTGGTACTGGATTGGCTGCGTGGACTTTAACGCTACGTACATTTACACCAGCTCTGCTGCCACCGGGCCCTGGGATCAAGCCTCTGTGCTTGACAACAATTGTCTATACGATTGCGGTTTACTCATTGACGACGATGATTCTTTATACGTCACCCATGGTTCAACACAGCTGTCCGTTACCCAGCTCTCGTCTGATGGGCTCAGCGCTGCACAGACGCAAACAGTCTATAATGCATCGGTGTACGTGGAAGGGTCTCGTATGTATAAGCGCAATGGCGTATACTACATCATATGCACTCAGCCCGATATTGGTGAATACGTATTGAAATCAGATAAAGGACCGTGGGGCCCCTACGAGTTTGGTGTGATTCTCAACGGTACCTCTTCGCCGTCAGCTCTAGCTGGAGGAGATACGCCTCACCAGGGGGGAATCGTTGATACCCCTAATGGTGACTGGTATTATCTTGCTTTCGTTGATGTGAAGGGCGATAGCACGGGCCGTGTTCCTGTTCTTTCGAGTTTGAGTTGGACTAGTGATAATTGGCCAGTCTTGAAGCTCAACAGTGGCAATGTTTGGCCACAGAATTTGTCGTATCCGGTTGAAAGTGGTGCACAGACGCCGAATACAGATGCATCACTAACCGGAGTTGATTCTTTCCAGTCTGGAACACTGGGACCGCAGTGGGAGTGGAACCACAACCCTGACCTTAGTCATGTCTCCGTTTCAAGCAATGGTGTTCAGTTGTCGACAGCTACAGTGACTAGTTTGGATGATATTTACCAAGCCCGCAACACGCTCACACGGCGGATTCTTGGCCCTGCATCTCAAGCTACCATTCACCTTGATGTTAGTAAAATGCAGGACGGAGATCGTGCTGGATTGGCACTCTTCCGTGATAGTTCGGCTTGGATTGGAATCCAACAGACCGGTAGTACAAGGAATTTAGTGATGCGAGATAACATGGTCTTAAACCAAACCAACAGCTGGGCTACTGAATCGTACGGCACCAATGTGGCGAGCATTACATTTAACCAAAACCCAACGAACCTATATCTTAGAGTATACGGTGATTTTAGTGCATCTGGATCGGCCCAAGCACACTTCTCATACAGTTTCGATGGCGTGAATTTCACTACTTTTGGTAGTACCTTCAATTTAGCGACTGACTGGGAATTCTTCCAGGCATATCGATTTGCCATATTTAACTATGCTACAAAAGCTCTTGGCGGGAGCGTGCTGTTGAAATCGTTTGATTTAGAGTCTGTTGCTTTATGATTTGATATTATGCTTGTCTTTCACTGTGAATCTTCAAGGGCAAATACCAAAGCCTTGCTTGGAGATGCTTAAGCTATTCCCCAGTGTATCGAGAATAAAGTGACATGGGCCTGTCTTACGTCAATGCATAAATTCTCTAGGAAACATGAAGCGTATTTGCTCTTTCGTTTTCAAAATACAGATAACGCTGAAGTAGTTACTCTCCATAAAATTTCCGTGGAAAGCGTTACAGCTTTGCCCTACAACTCGAACAAGGAAAGTGGAGCCCCCCGTTCAATCTTTCTGATGCAGTAATGTCATTTGATCTATCCTCTGCTATCTGGAATATACTCATGGGTTATACGGCATTATTGCCAAAGTCCAATTTAGTCACGTTCTTTGTTATAAGTTCGAGTCATTTAAGTGCCTTGGTCCTGAAATCCTGAGCTAGTCTTCAGTACTTGCAACCTCAAAATTTATTAATTCTAAGCATGGCCCTCATATTGTCGATACCTTTAGACTAGCTCAAATTCAACATTCCGGTTCTGTACGGAATTCACCTTGATGATGAGTTGTTCGAACAAAGCCAAGTCAGTCATGAAAATCTCTGCAATGTAGCTGAGGAACTTTGAACGAGTAAATATCGACGAAAACAGGAAATCTAACCCCAGCATTCCCCTGCATAACTGGGTCCGGATTCTCTCCATACATGAGAATCACCTCCTTTTATACTCGCGTTATTGACACTCGAAAGGCTTTACATACCTCCATGACTCGTACGTCTATGGAAGCGCTCTTCCTGCTATTGTAAACGTATCTTTGAGATCTTCCCTCCGCATCTATCACTTCTGAGCAACATGATGACGTTCCTTGACAAGGGTAAACCTCTTCGGACTGCCGTGATGGTCTGCTGCCTTATTGCCTTTGTGCTCTTTGGCTTATTATCAGGGAGTCTTTGGCGGTATCATCAACAATACCGATTGGCTTGTCCAGTTCGGCTATTCATTGGATTCCAAGACTGGAATCATCGTTAGTTGCTACAACCTTGGTGGCTTCTGGATGTATCTATCAGTATAGATTTTTGTGTGTATTGTACTATTCTATGGGCGAGAAATTGGATCATCGGTGGACTATTCCGATGGCGATGGGATTTGTTATTATTGGTGCCTGTCTCCAAGCATCAGCTTTCACAACTTGTTGTTGGTCGTGTCATTACAAGTGTCGGTACTGGAATCAAGAACTCAATGTCAGTATTCTTACGTCCACGCCTTTACCTAAAAGACTAATTTTACCCACTTATCTTGAACAGGTATCAATCGAAACTGTGTGACCGAGAAATAAGGGTCTCCTCGTGTCTGCTGAAGTGCTTTTCGTTGGAGTTGGAATCACGGTCGCGTATTGTTTTGATTTCAGAATGTCCTGTGTCAAGGGAGCAATTGCATGGCGTCTACCCGCAGCTGTGCAGATCATATTTGCTCTTTTCATCGTCGTCGTACTCATCTTAAGGGATTCCGGAATCTCCACGTTGGCTTTCAAGCCACAATCGCCCAACCGACGCAATGGAGGTGCTCTGTGCAGTCTATGATAAACAAATAACAGATACTTATATCATCAATGAACGACGTCGATGATAACCAACGGAAGAAAGTGAACCGTATGCCTGTTCTATTGTAACCCACCTTCAAAAATAGCAGAAACTTCATACAAATTCTTTGGTGAGCAAGTTTCAACACAAACAATCGACAGAGTACGTATATAGTCCGTGTACTATCGCTATATGGATCCAAATCACATCCGAGCCGATACGACGTATTTACTCGCGAAAAGCCCTCATTCCGGTAACCTCTTACAAAGCAGACCCGAAAACTAGTTTGAATAGATAAGCACTAATTTCTCAGCCTTGAGACTCGGGACAAACCCAATCACAAGTACTCAATTACGAGATGAGGCTAGAGCAATACGCATGACTTTCGTCCGAGCGAGAGTTTCAAGGTTTCGCTGTGGTTACTGTTTTGGGGAAGAAGTACGATGCTCGAAATACGTACATACTTACAATACGGGATATGATAGTAATACAGACGATCATACACGTATGTATCATCATACTAATCGACACAAAATACAGCGTACAGCGCTGCTCTAAGCCCGTATTATATACCTTTCGTACGCGTATCGTGATTCGCATGGATTTACTTATCTTTCTATGGCTTTTCAATTCTTAGACGATCCCTCGAATCATGATTCATTAGAGGCTAGGATTCAGCTAGTAATCTAATTTACTTTCCACATTCGTATTTATGTACCCCATACGGTTACGGATTTTGCAAAGTGTTAGTATGGATTATCTTTGCTGATCCATTCAGCTGTGTGTACGCCGTACGGCCCTGCGTATTAGATAATTCTGGTGCCTAGCACATACTACGTATTTTAACGATCCTTTGTTGGCGCCCCCCTATTTTTGTCACATTTTGTGTACGTACTACCCCGTTCTCGCTCTGTAAATTGTTGTTGAATGCGAAATACGGATTTTGAGGAATAATACCGACGGGTTTTGGCGTGGCTGTGTGGGATTGTGAATCCTTTTGTTTCATATCGGGGTTTGTATTTTGTACTGTAAGTATGTAGGTAAGTAAGTACGTATCTATCGTATAACATGCATAACTTATGCTCAAGATCAGTGCCTCATTGCTGCCTCATTTGGGAACGACCTTCCTTGGCATTATGCGCTGAATCAGTGAATTTACTGCCCTGATTCAGCTCTACCTCCTGAGCTAAAGCTTTGACTTTTTCTCTGCTCTAGTTTCTGGGGGTGGCTCAGTAATTTTTCCGATAATCGTTTTAGTACGAACGTACGCTGATGCATGTGGCACAGGGTGGTCTAATAGTCGGGTCATGTGCTTCTGATCACCGTTGACCTGCGACGTCATTGTTTTGATGACTCGTTATGGGGACATGTAGTTATACTCCGTGCATGTTACTGGTACTGGACGTAGGGGATTTTTGCTTCTGATGGGGGTATATGCGTTGTTTGTCGGTCATTGTTTGACTTGCTACTCAGGGGTACGTACGTGAGTAAGTTATTAGGGCTTAGGGCTAAATTGAGATGTATGCCCGTACGGATATCAGTCCAACGGTCTGTACATTGTAAAGGTGGTTCAGGATTGATTGAGTGACACAGGTTATATCAAAAATATATACCCAGCATCATATTGGACACTTTTGAAATATGTACCTTCCCAACCAGCCTACAGACACACTCCCTCAAAACTCGTCGTAGTCAGATAATTCTTCAAAATCACATTATCACAAACAACCCCCTTCAAAAAAGCCTGCGCCACAACCTTCGCGCCCGCAACACTGGTATGTGTATGATCTATTGGGTAGTACGAGTCCACAGTAGTCTCTCCCAACGTTTTAAAGATGCTTGCCACATAGCCTCCATGATCAACATAGTTAACCCCAGATACCTCGGCAGCCAACTCAGCATAACCCCAGAACCGATTCGGTGAGTATACAAAAGTACCAGTTTCCCAAGGGTTATCAGGTGTTTGGCTGGCGATAATTACATGGGCGCCCTTGGCTTTGAATGTTGTAGCTGCGTTTTCCAGGTAGGCTGGGAAAGTTAAGACGGTTTCGGCTACGCCATCGTAGACAGTTGAGCATGTCTCGGTTCCATTACCCGGGCAGTCGGTGCGGCCGTTGTCGGTCGGAGTGAGAGAACCGCCATCGTTGTGCCCGAATTCGATGACGACGAAGTCGCCAGACTTGAGTTCGGAGGCGATGGTGTTGAAGCGGCCTTCTCGTGTGTAGGAGCGAGCACTTCGTCCAGCCACTGCTTGGTTGCTCACGTTTAGGGTGAGATAGGATGCAATATATTGGCCCCATCCTGGTATATTTTTAGTATGGTTTACTGCAGGCTGAAGGAAGAAGCATACCATCAGTCCCTGAGCCACCGCCGCCAGCTGCCATGGTAGAGTCGCCTGCAAGATAGATTGTCGCAGCAGTCACACTGCTTATGTGCAACGCGCTGAAGGCACACAGGATGGAAAATGTGTTCTTCATTGTGAGTTATCTTGTCGATCTGCTTGCTTTCTGATACATCTGATCGACTATCTGCAGTTTATTACGGGCAATCGCTTGTATATAAGCACGTTGAGACAGATTTCAAATCATCCTCACTATGTAATCATCCTGGATTGAGTGATTGATGGGTGGGTAAATAAAACAAGATCTGCAAGACCATCTTTCCCTTTACCCGAGAATGGTCTCCTTCTGCACAGTTGAGACTCACGAGCCGCCTTATTTCCCCATCTCCCAGGCTATTTACGTTGAATAAGAAGTCGTGAAGAACCTGGGGTTGGTGGAAGAGTTTCTGCTCGGTTTTTCGGATGGATGTTACCCCAGATGATGTGATGCGGGGATTCTTGGCAGGCATACAGCCTCAGTATAAATCCGCCAGTCATGTTGACAATTTGTGATATATAGCATCAACATAATATCAGGACTGCTCCGTGTTTCCTTTCCTTGACTGTATCTCCATTATAGGATGTTCTTGGCAGGAAAATCCTAAGCGGAACATCGGGACTTAGAAACCTTGATCGTAAACCAGGTTGAAAGTCAACCGATGTAATGCTTCATGTTCAAGACTATTTTAAATGTCAGTTATTGAAAGCAATGATGGCACGTATCAATGTGCTTCATGCTCTTCTTGGGTCTTTACCTGGGATATGTTTCGTGGAGCCACTGGCATTTGCAACCAAGCATTTGCTTCGCATCGGCTGGTAGGCGACGACCGTTAAGATTAATAGCGAATTAAGACCGTCTATACTTGGTCAAGTATAATAGACTGTTTTTAAATGTTGTCCTTTGCCATCTGACTAGCTAAGCCCTAGTCCTAGCCTTAGGTTCGCATCTGGGAAGAAGGCAGAACGAGCTGACTAGCTTGCTGAGACTGATAGCAGGCATCGCGGAAACCTATCTCATGGCTTGCTTTGTTCAATGACTGTTATATAGATCGACTTCGACTTTAAAAGCATTGTCAATGGGGTCAGTCGGTCGCAACGCCCGAGAAAATAGCCATACGGCGTTTCAATGTTCAGACAGCGCGTATCACTTCTGGAACTGCATCGCCCTGTATTCTCTGATACACAGACATCGATGACAGACTCTATGATCAAACATGAATCCGAAATTCATAGAGAAATTGAACAAAGTCGAGGAAGCTGGGGGGAGATCGACTTAGGAACAGATCGGCTGTCATTGGCTGACAGAAGAGGAAGGCGGGGACCCACGCCTTTAAGGCAGGAGGGGCACCGAGGGGCTTTCTGTTTAGTGTTGCTACGGTCATCTAGCTAACGAGCAACTCGTTGTGTTGACTCACACACTCGGTCAGACTCGAGGAGTATACCATCAGATTCCTCTAAACACCGTCTAGTCGTCTTGCAAATACCGAACCCGAACAGCCGCCAAACAAAGACGAACAGAGCTTTCACGCCGCTTGATCACACGACAAGAGTCAGGCTCAGAGTCAAAAGTTTTGACTGACGCTGTAAGTACTATTACTATTGCTCTTGAAGCTATCTTCTCGGATTTACTAAAAATAATTGTCTAACAGATCTAATACTACTACGTGTCCTACCCATCTCTAAGCCCACACTCATCATGGCGCCCCGCGGTCGTGGTGGAAAATTCTCAAAACCTACCAGAGGAGGTGGTAAACACTTTAGCCGCGACATACAACCACTTGACAAAGATGGCAATGCACTAGGAATGTGGAGGGTATGACAAATGCTCTTCCTATACAATCCTGAGCCTCGCACTAATTCTTTATTCACGTGTAAATAGGACCCCGAAGACGAAACCTCCTCAGAAGGAGATGACGACTCCTCTGAAGAAGAAGAAGAAGAATCTTCCGACGACGACGGTGCGCCCAAAGTCGCACCGGAAGAAATGACCCGTGAACAACGCAAAGCAGCTGCAAAGGCCAAAAAGGAAGCAGCCATTCGAAAGAGGAATCAAGTCGTCGCCCAACCAGGAGATTTGCCGCCTACAGACTCCGAGGATGAAGACGATGATGATGAAGACGACGACGAGGCACTACCCGCTAACCCGAATCATTCTGCGAAGTCGCGTTCGCAGGCAATGGCTCCTCCCCCCATTGCAGCGGATGCGGCGGCGCCAGCAAAGAAACCGAAGAATACGGAGCAATTGTCTCGACGAGAGAGAGAGGCTCTGGAGGCCCAACAGGCGCGTGAAAGATACATGAAATTGCACATGGAAGGCAAGACGGATGAAGCACGCGCTGATATGGAGCGGCTGAGACTTGTGCGCGAGCGCCGCGAGGCCGAAAAGGCGCGCAGAGATGCCGAAAAAGAAGAGCGGGAGGCGCAGCAAAAGGCTCGTCAGGATGAGATTAGTGAGCGTGAGAAGAAGCTTCGTGAAGCAGCTCTGGGAAAACCTGCACGTGGTGGCAAGAAGGTTTCTAAGAAGTGATGATGATGGTTGTATCTATGAAATCACATCGATGGACTTATCGATCTGGGCGTTGGATGGGATATATCTTCTTGAAGGATATCAAGGAATACATGCTTTCTTCCCGTACATTGTGGCAAATCTCTATGCATTTGTAGAACTCGAGGTAGACGGTAAAAATGCTCAGACGAGTATATAAAGAGAAAATGCGCCAAACGCCCATTCAATGCAAACAAATGTCGACATGGCACTTGCGGAATGTAAACAGCAACATAGTACATATGTATGTCATAGAAGGAGAGAAAAGATCCGTCCTTTACTCTTTCCATCCCACATGTTCAATCGTATAGAAGTATATTATATCCAAGTCGTTATCAGACCCCCCAGAACAAACCCTCAACCCCGCGACCTTGCGTAATGACATTCCATCCGGCAATCAAACTCACCAACCACAGTATCGACAATACCAAGATCGGCAACAAGAGCAATTCAGTGTTGTGTAAGAACGGCAAAGCGTTGTAGCCAAGGAAGGTAATGTATGTATAGTATAAGAGCGCGGAGAGGTATAGCGTGTTTCCGAGAAAAGTGGCGAGAAAGTTTGGCGGATTGCGGGTAAGGAGTGGGAGGAGGAGGAATTGGATGACGTAGAGGTGTAGGTAGAGGGGGAAGAAGGCTCGATTTGAGACCTAAGATTCTTGATGTTAGTTTGGTTTCTTTGTAAAGGGGTGTGGGTGATGGTGACATACGTCAAAACAATACCCAAACTCAATCTGCTCCTTCTCACCAGGCTGCGCGAACAATCCCTGCGCAGCACCTCGTCTCGGCATCCTCGATCCTCTCGACAAACCCGTCAGACTCGCCGCAGCTCCATTGGGACCAAATATGCGACCAACGACGAAGTATGCGATTGTCGAAATGAAGAGTGATGTGCCGATGAAATGGACAAAGACAAACAGTACCGAAAGACGAAATATGGATCCGAAGCTGGGCGAGTAGGCGAGGCCCCAGGCTAGAGCGGTTAAAAGTAGGAAGAAGGAGAGGAGGTAGGTGAATGAGGGGTCCGGTCGGTGCCAGGTGTTTTTTGTTTCTGCCATGGTCAGTTGTGCTCGTTAAATTGATTAAAATGAGTGATGGGGTTGGTATTACGTTTCTAGTGGCATTCAAGTCAGCTGCAATCCTTTCTAGTTCGGTGTGTTATGTGAGTACTCACATGATAGTACATAGACTTGAAGACTTTCTTTGGCGAAATCAGCAGCGATGTCATCTCCCAAATGGCCATCTCAAAGTCCATTTGCGGAAACTTGAATAACCTAGCTATCGCGTCAGCACGCAGGCCATGCTTCTGATTGAGATGAGGCAGGTACATACCGCTTGAAAAACCTCGGCATCTTGATACTCGAATTTCCTCGCCCGGCTGAACCAGCGCCAGAACTGCCGCCGAAGCTGGCGGTGCTGTGTTGTCGTGGTACGGAGATGTGTGGATTCATCTTGACGATATGACCTTCGAGGCGACTGCGCAGTTCCGTCAATGTATGTATTTCACGCGCAGTTCAAGCTGTAAATCAGTCTCCTGCGTAGACGCTCACAACGCGGTGCTGGCCATTGAATGACTGTCTGATGAGATTGGTTCTTGAATGTAATCTAGAGGATGACGATGCTGTAAACTTGTTAGGTTCGGACTGGTTGGCGTTCTTGTCCATTTGCGGTTAGCCTGATGCGGAGTGCCGCGAGTCCGCGTTTACTCTGTACCACGCCGTATCAACTATAAGTTACACCATTATTTGAAATTCAACCTGTCAAATGATCAAAAATCGCTATTCGTTATCTAAAATGACGGATTGAAACGTTGCACTCGCTTGCTAGGAACATGCTAAATTTGCCCAAAGGGAAAAAAGAGGGCCTCCACGCGCCGACTCAAAAAAACACCAGAGCAACAAAGAAACTTGGAAAGAAAGATTAAAAAAGAAAGACTAAAGACAAATTAAACGATCATCCGAATTAGTAGCAATTGTGCGGCCTAAATCGTAGTTGCAAAAGCAGGTGGCTGTGTCTCAAGGGGTTGCTGAAGCCAGTCAACCATGCGTCTTGCTCCCTTGAGGGGATCAAGACCGTCCACTGTACCATTACTTCATTAGCATGTGTGACCGTGATATCGCGAAGAATAAAGTGTACTCACCGTATCCGATGAAAGGCTTCTGTAAGCCATAACCCATCATCCTAACGATATCATCCGGAATCTCAGATAGACGGCGAGGGTCAACGGCGAGGAATTGGTTCTCGACGGCACGAATCTGTTTCGGGCAGTCAGTCTCTGACGTGGTTTAGCGGCTAGGTTCAAGAAACATACGTATGGCTGACAATATTGGATAGTCGCTGCACGGCGAGGCTTATCAGTCATGTTGGGACCACCGCAATGCCAGGTAGTGCCGAGAAAGTAGCTGTATTCTGTTAGCGCTGTCCTGTCATGTTTTTATCTCATTAAGATTCTCAGGCAAGAGACATACAAAACAGTCCCAGCCTTGCCCACCATAGGTACAGCCTCTTCCATAGTCGGTCTTCGTTTGGAATCCCAGAGATGACTGCCAGGAACCATCAATGTTGCTCCGTTTTCTGCCGTAAAGTCGTCAATTGCTACACCATGAACTGTCAGTATAATACTAGGGTTGAAGCAAGATTGCACAGAATGTTACCTATCATAATAGCAACGCCCATTGGGGGCCGAGGGCGAGGGAGATATGTGTATCCATCATCTAACAGTCATATCAGTAAGGGCTATACATCATTAGATCATAGAAAGGAACGCACCATGGTGAAACAATTGAGGTTTCTCTCCCGGGTTGATTTGTATAGTCGATGTGGCCGAGATGGTGTACCCCTTCATCAAGAAATATTCATTCAAAGCAAGCACTCGGTCGAATACACAGCACTTGTCGAATTTGCGTGACCTAGGTCTATATTTAGCCCTTTGCATTTTATTGATCAAGTGTGTGGCGGGGACGAACTTGTTTAACAAAGAATAGATTCTCACAGTTTCCCTACCCTCAAACATATGACGCCCCTTTCGCGGGTTTTCGCCGGTCATACGATCGACTTCTTCCCTAAGGGACTGAACGTCTTCTTCTGTGAGGAGGTTGTCGAGAGCAACATATCCATTCTGTAATACGGACTCAACGTCAGCTCTTTTGACGGGGTCCTCTGGCAGAGGGGGCAAGTGTTCGAGGTTGAGGAGGTTGAGGAAGTAGTCTATTTCTGGCATGACGATATCTTCTTTCCTGGTGTATGAGTTGATTGATGCGAGAGATGCAGGTTTTGGTAAAGTGTATGTGCTACTATTTGACCTTCAAGGGCGGTTGAAAGTGAGACCGGCTTGCAGGTCTGCGAAAAGAAGAAGGTGGATGGACCCATATAAGTACCCGGGCCGTACAGGGACGACTGATCTCGATGTACTCTGGAAATTGCCGTCTGTTTCTAATTTAATAATACTTGTTTGATAAGCAGGCCGTTCTATGGGATATTTGGAATGCATACCCCTCCCGATTTCTTTGTCCACTTTAATCTTAGCTCAAACTGAGTTCACGCGTGGTCGTTGATGTGGATGCAACAACAAGCTTTAGCCCTAAATATACCGCCACGGGTACACATGTATAACCTCGGGCACAGAAACAGTCATTCAAATCACAAAGCACGATCGAATAATCAGAGATGCCCACCTGGGCGTCGATCATTGATTCGCTCCCACGTCTTTCATTCCACGGTCAAAGGAGAGGTCGAAACGAGACGAACAGGGCAACCTGTAAGAGCCACATGCATAAACTATCTCAACGTTCGGTTTCTGCGGACAGTACTGAGTAACAAGTAATGTCCTATCTACATCCGGGCATCACCCAATTTAGTTCATTGCCATAGTCATGGTGGGTAGCCACAGGAAAGACGCCATGTCATGCAGCCCAAATGACACTTAGCGTATGATCCTGTGGCAAGCCCCCTTCAACGAAGGCCTGAAGAAACTCGGAACCCACCGGACTGGTTCCGACGCCATTAGCCCAAGCCTTTCACATGTGTCTCTTTAGTACTTCTCAATACGTACATATATTAGACCGGGTATAGTTGCACAACAAGTTTCCGCGTATTGTGACTTCTTTAGTCAGGTGGGTAAAGAGTGCCATTGACCTATGGAATGTATTGAAGGATGCAGGCCCCTCAATCATCTATCCTCCCAGCCTAGGTTTGGAACTTATGATGGCGTTACTGGTCTGGTCGACTTGCAGGGTGATAAACGGCTTGGTGATGTGGAACGAGATGAGGTCAAAGCACGTTCATTTTGCAATTTCCTAGTCAACTCCGTGCTAGCTATAGATTGAAACATTTAGAAAGTAATACATAGTCACAGGAAAGGCGGCTGACCCTACATTCGAAGAGAAACATCAGGAATGAATAGGTCGAGACGAGCGATGAAAACGGAAGAGAAAGCAGACGACCTACCCCTCCATGACTTGCTTCTTTCCACTCCTCACCCCGCCCGATTTTCCTCATCGAGTAATTTCTCTATCAATCAAGAATCATCATTAGTTCTATCCAAAGTGAGCGCCGTCTGCAAGGCATGGCCTAAAGGCCATGATTATCGGGGTCCGCTTGTCAACGTGTTCGACGTCTATTCACTTCTTCGGTAACCCACCGCGGCCACTAACCCTGTTCTCGCTGAGACCTGACAAGGGTGTTCCAGACAGGCGGGATTGATGGATTATTGGGGACCGGTCGAGAAGTAAGCTAAGTTTCTAGGCACATATTTTAGCGCTTTTGTCAGGTTTGGTCGCTGTCATCATGCAACTGTTGTATATAGTTTTGCTTCTTAAAAATAGGTCGGACGAGACTTGGCCATAAAGTCTTGCATGTATCTGCAGAGTTACATCCTTACGATAGAGGGATATGATCAACGCTTTCCAGTTGAGTTTACACTTAAGTTGGTTGACGTATACTCGAATCTTGAACGCCTCCACCTTTGTAAAAACTCACTACTGAGTCAATCAGCGCACATGCCTCAATTGCAATAATCTGGGCAAACTCAAAGATACGGGTCAACGAATCAACCCATCCACGCAAAAAAAGACATAAACCAAGCTTGTCGGATCGAGCATCCAAGAATGCATACCTACGTAACGGTTACCTCGTCTAGCAATAACGTATCCTTCCATGAAAGCCAGTCGTCTACCAGCCTGACCCGCACAATCGGATGATGCGGCATCAGCCAGAGCACTTCTCCATTCGGAAGAGCCTTCTGATTTCTCCCCTGTCGGTTGCTTGCTTTACGCAATAATATGACTATAATGATTATATTAGACCTGCATACACAATATGTGTATACGTATACAAGTGGTCCATAATTGCAACGATCTTCGTTGACCGACTTTTGGGCCGGGGACTTGCTTTGTATTCTTGCATGTCCGCAATATGTACATGTACACCCTAAAATCGATCTTTCTGCGAGCACTGCCTGGGTCCTCCGAATCGGCCATTGGATAAGTCGGTTGACAGGAGGGACTCAAGGATTACAGACAAAGAAAAAGAAAATATGATGCATATCATTACAATGACTATGTGTTTAATGGGTCGCCCGCACGCGTGCCGTCCCGTCCCGTCCGTTAATGGGTCTATTTCCATGAAATGAGGTGCAGCTTAATTTCATCCTTGTAATATAGATTTGTTCTATTCGAAGCTTCTGATCGGTGGCAAGAATTATTTTAAGGTCAAGGGTCTGAAATTATGGTAGGCTTTTTCTGGGTGGACTATGTCCACATGTCGAGGTTGGGAAAGAAAAAGATTTGTGGCACTAGCCCTAGCCCTAAGTGTATCGATTCATATAGCACGGCTAGCTAGCTGTATACCTGTGTATTAATGTAGCTCTATTTTGGGCACATATGGCCTCCATAATGAGGTCAAAGAATTCGCTTTTTGACTAATGCATCTAGTTTAGCCTCGTCTTCACCGTGTTACTGTTGTTCTGTTCGTTGTCAATTCATCTATTTGCAATCAATTGGAAACCCGCCTTTCTCTAACCGAGGAAGAGGAAGTGGCCATTAGGAGACTGTACCATACTGTCGGGACTTATCATGTATGGTCTCTTTGATTAGGGTGTACGTCCTACACCGTGCGAACTTGACACTTTCTTACGTAGTTACACAGCAGTCAAGTGTGCTGCATGCAACTATGTGGATAGCTGTGTCATGAGACCATGTCTGAGCTTGAAATCATGATTCAAATTATCGATCATCACAGGCCCCAGGAGGAAATTAGCATATTTCATACTCGACAGTAGGAGATATTTCCACAATAGGAGAATGCATTTCCTAGGCCTTCTAGGCCTTATTCGTGATATAGATCTCGCCACTCTTCAATTCTCCGAGTGTATCCTCTGATCCACGATCCGTTATCAATTCCTCTTCCACCTTGGGTTTACTGTTACCATTTTGAACGGTCAGAGGTTTCCACACGGATTGCTGTTCAGCCATCACTGCCTTCAACATGTGAAGTTCATCTTGGATATCTTTTACTTTCCAAGAAGCTTTGCCGCGTCGAAAATCGTTTCCCATTCTTCATGCCCATTTAGTTCCTTTAAATGGTCTTCATGATTATGGAGGTCCTGCGAACATCTGTGCTGTTGGGTGGATTATCGTCAGAACTTTGTTCCTTCTCTATGTTTGAGGTTTAAGGTGGGCTTCGTAATCTCTTCGTTTCGGTTGTCATATTCATTGATCTTCTCCCGTTCACTCTTATTCTTATTTCGTTCAACTTGAATGACGAATCTTTCCGAGCAGGCTGTTTTCACTACCCTCCTCTTATAACCGTTGGATCAGAAAGTCAACGTTCAAGTGAGAATCAAGAATCTTACTGCACGATTTATACTGTCTGTAAAGATTTTGAAAGGCGACTTATCACCATACAACTGCAGTAGTTTCCTTTGGGTGGGGGGGGGGNGGGGGGGGGATCCAGGGGTTCATGCCCCTTTTTAGAGTTTTCGGTATACTTGTCTTTGTCCGGCGAGTAACACCAGTCCAGGTCGTGGTTCTAGTAAAATTGATGCAGTATTTCACAGTCGAGCGGGACAACTGGTCGACCGTTGATGGCAGTGAACAGCCCCCGACCTGCTCCCGGCAATGTGGTTCATACTGCATGACAAGCTGCGTACGTATACCCCCAGTAGGAAGCTAGATATCGAACATCCCAGATCGTTGATCTTTGAAAGTCCGGATACTTCAAAAACCAGTGTTCCAAACTTCATAGTTTTCTCCGCCTAGACCGGGAATCTTCCAAGACTCATGGACATTTAGTTGATATTTATCTAGCATGTAAATCAATTACGTGGCTAACAACCCTAATAGCTTTTCAAAAAAACATCAAAACAGAATTATCAGACATCCTCCCAATAGTGCCAAATGAATCAAAAAGAAGGCCTCCCCCAAGACGCTATGTGACTTCAAACGATGAAAAAAAGAAAACAATTCGTGTGGTCGCCATGAATATACTGACGCCAGCCCAACCTTATAGAATCAACTGGACCAGAAGACTATGAAGATTTCGCCGGTTTCCGCCCATGCACAAAATGAATCATCACATACAAATGATTATGAGCAGAGGACAACTCCGCCTTGACTCCTTCCATTAATTGACGCATTTCGTCGCTGGTCCAGCCGAGCACGCGCGTGAAGGGGGCCAGTGTGAATGCTTCAAGTGCTTCGAAGCAGTGGAAGAGCATCATGTAGCCTAGTTCTTTTAGGCGGCGGTCTTTCGGCCAGGGGCCGACGGGGAGCTGTTCCAGTCAGTATGAATCAAGCCTCTCGGAAGATGTAAATAGGCGGGTGGTGTACTTTGTATGCATCGTCTCGTACATCAACAAATCCGCATGCTTCCAGTCGCGATTTGAGCGTTTCTGCCAAGTTCATTGGTTGCCCGACCCTATCTCAGTCAACAACCACCAGTTTATAGCGTAATACATTCAAGCATACCTCTCACTAGCTTCATTCAACTGCCGCTGCCACGTCCGAATCGCCTCCGTCCTCTCTAACGTCCCATCATCCGACTTATACACTGCCTCATATTCCTGAAACTCAATAACGCCATCCTCATTCAAATTCTCTAGCGCTTGCTGCAACAGTGTGTCCCAATCCTTAATCGATCCCGCCATCGCTCGCGCATGTATGAAATCGAATTTCGAATCAAACGTCCACGGCGACTCGACATCATCCACGAAAAAGCGACAATTAGGCGGTATATTACTCGGCTGAATCGGCGATAGGTCAATGCCAACGACATGACTTTCTGGGTGTATATCTGCAAAGTCTATAGCCCATGATCCTGTTCCGGTACCGAAATCGAGGACGTGGCGCGGTGCACGCGATAGGCGGGCGCGATGTAAGTGTCCCCGGAGAAGCATTTTGAAGATGTGGTGCGCGAGGTCGAGACGTTCCTGCTCTTTTTCGTCGTTGGGCATCATGTAGGAGCCGTCGCGGTAGGCGTGGTAGCGGCGACCATTTTCGAAGTTGTAGCTTTGTAGTGACGAGGGGCTATAGCCTGGGCAGGTCAGCTTTTACTTCCCTTTCTCCTTCGAGAACTGTATTTCAATCAATTCGGGGAGCACAAGATAGACTTACGAGTTTCTGCCTCAGTGCTCATTATCGTATCAGCATCGTATAGCTCCCCGCTCTAACCAAAGCTCCGTTAGCATGCAACCCAATGACCCCGACAGTAACAAAACAGCATTTCAAGCTTCGAAATCACGTATCGGGATTATTCATCTGATTCGTAAGCTCACATCAATCTCCAGCGTGCCGGTACCACTCATTATCCGTGGCTCATTCAATCCGTCGTCGTCGTTCGTGCAAAGTCGCGGGGTTACCCAAAATTCCCCGGAAAGCTACCGAGAAAAACTCCCAGCCTCCCCGGAGAGTATTTACTGTGGGTTTCGAGGGATACCTCCGTCGAACCGTGGGCAAGATGGGTATTTATCAGGAGAGCTCTATGTGCGATTGAAAAAAAAAGCTTTATTCGAAGACAAAGGGGAGAAAGAGGCAAAAATTCTGATTAATCAACTGGGGTATGCAGTCCCAACAGACCGGGTCGGGAGTTTGTTTAATTCTCGACCAACAAGCTTTCTCCCTTAGTCAGACAATTAAGATCAGTCCAATCTATTACCAGCCAACACTGTAACCTCAGGGATTTAGCAAACAAAAAAAAAACAAAGCAAAAAAGAAAAGAAAAATTAATTCGTGTCAGTCCATTCGGAAACAGAGTGCTGCCCTAATTGGATCTGCCTTGTGCCCACTGGCCCATTCAACACTGTCCAGCTGTACCAGTGCGCTGGGTCGGAGTCACGCAGGCACCGTCTTTGTTCCATCACATCTCCTGACATACTGTAAAGGTGATCGACTACTAGAGACAAAAAGGTCCTATAATATCATTGCTATGATTCACAAATTGCATCTCTCGAGTACGTAGCTCTGAGAGTACATGTTCCAGCCAATAACCCAACATGCGGATGATTTCTTGGGTTGACCCTAACCCTTACCTCTCAGGGTTAGGGCTCGATTGTCTTTGCTTTGTGCGTAGAATCCTTACTTGGCTTACGCTACATATGATTCTAGGGCTATGATATACATATCTGTCATGAGACTCGTTACATATCTATAGCTTCGTGTATTTTCTGGGTTCACATTGAGCTGTCCATGAAGTTGTTATTCGGATGACAGCTATTCCGTATCCGTCACCGCTTCAACACGAAAGACCAAGACTCCGGGAGAACTATTGATATAACTCCTCAAATCTTAATATACCGCCTGTGGAGCCGTCTTTGATAATAAAAAGACTTTGTTGCATGTAGATTTTGCAGCAGCGGAAGCGCTATTGCTCCCAACTGCCGATGTCGTACCCTTATGTTTCATGATTCAGGTGTTCTGAAACGAAGGACCGCACAATTCTCCGTAGTTCGAGCGAAATCTTCAATAAGGATAAACTCCGGCAATGGTTCGTGTCTGCGTTGGCCTCCACGTCAGAGTAATGTAGATCCATCGCCCGTGTGAAGCTGGCCTGCATGCCGGCTCCTCCCGCGGACCCATCTGTCCCGTCCCCGGATGGACATAGGCTCAAATATTTCACAGTTTGGACTTAGACACAATCCGAATACGACCGCCGTCATCCGGACGAATGTCATCAGTCCCGAGCCAGCGACGAACGACCTCTTCGTTCTCTCCACCCGGGACTAGCTCCGGAACCTTCGTTCCGGAGCCCATCGCCTCTGCTGTCGTCGCTGTTGGCAAAGACGGCGTACGACTCATATGCACCAATGGCTGCTCAGATCTAACATGGCCATCATCCACATCCAGCACAGGACTAACGCAGGCTTGTAATTGATCAAATACGCTCCTCCAATGATCTTGAGACTGCGACGCAAACCTAGCCGCCAACACGTCTCTAATCACGGGCCAGTTCCGGCGGTCAATCCGATCCGGCATCATCGCTGGGTCGAGTGCTAATCCGCGTATCAAGCGTTCATATAGCGCGTCCTCGATGCTGGACACCATCATAAACTTCCCGTCAGCCGTTTTGTACACGTCCGACCACGGCGCATCATTAACGCCTGTAAGTGATGGTTCGGTGTCTGGTTGACCGTTCCTTCGCTGCAATGGGAATGTGGCTAAATACCGCGTTCCCTGCTGAACACTTGCGTCGACAATTTGGCCCTTCCCAGATGCGTTGCGGTGGATGACAGCTGCGAGAATACCAACAACACATGACATGCTTCCGCCGCCAAAGTCGGCTAAGTAGTTGACCGTTGGCCTTGATATCACACTATCTTTATTGGATATACCGGTTCTGTTTGTAGGCGTCGCATGCTGCAATGCAGGCAGCGCACCAGAGACCGCCACGAAGTTATTCTCATGGCCTAATGCGTTTGCATATCTTTCATCGTAGCGCGAAAACCCCGTTACACGTGCGTAAATGAGTTTTGGAAATCGTTCACACAGCTCATCGGCACTCATGCCAATCATGCGCTCAAATACGTCCTGTCGATAGGAATCAATCAACACATCGGCAACTTCAAGCAATCTCAAAAAGGCTTGCCGGGATGCAGAAAACTCGAAATCGACAATGATGGAACTTTTGTGTCGACATAGAGAGTCTATCCAGCGTTTTTGTGGTGTTGTTGTTTTGGTGCGTTTTCGGGATGGAGGGTCGATGCGGACTACGTCGCAGCCTAGGTCGGCGAGGACCATACCTGTGAAGGGGGCCATTGCGATACCTGCGAGTTCGAGAACTGTATTGGAAATATTCGTCAGGTTGATCATGTCTTTGGTTGGTGTTGATTCGGCCTTACTGACCTTTCAACCCCGCCAAAGGCGGTTTTCCTGTATGATCGTTTGAAGTCATTGTTTTATGTTTTTTGTTATCGTAAATTTAGGGTTTTTGTATGTCCTTATATCATGATTAAATAATTGATAATGTATAGATGTATTCGTTCAGCGGTATTTGAGCTTCTTTCTTCTGGGGTATTTTCTGATTAGTCAATATAGCAATAAGACGCACAGAATGATTAGTGACGAACCTCGGCATTTCCTCTCTTCATCGAATTCCAAATATATCAATAAGACAACTTAGCAGTGTAAAATCTGAATAAAAAACATTAAAGTCCAAGTGTTTTCAAAATATGGAAAGAATAAAGCTCAGCTAAGAGCTACGCCGTTCCTTAAATCAATAGTCAAGTCGCTTAATCCATTATCGTCCAGGGACCCTTGCTCCATCATGCATGCATGAGACGCGATAAAGCGACTCCAGTTATGAAATCCATTGGTAAATAGATCAAAGAGAGCTGTTGCTAATATATACTCCGAAGGGTCCGATAAGCTCCTAAGAAAGTACTCCACCGGTTCTTTGATTGTGAGAAGCGGGGTACTTTTTTCTTGTTTCTTGAAAAGGAAGTTAGCTAAGATCGAACTATTGAATTGGTCTTTGTATGTATCAAATCATTTGTCAATGTTTTTATTTATCGAGAAAATCCTTTTCTGGTGTGAAGACCTTTTAGAGTAGTGATCCTCAGGCTTTGTATACATCAACATTCTTTTTTCCTAGTGGCCACATCAAGAAGCCCGGCCAATAAAAAACTCTATACGATTCCGGAGTGCGCATCCATGAAAATTTCCGGCCTATTCTCACCATGTTCAGTCGTAAATCCTCGACAAGTCAAATTCACTGTGGTAGCAACTGCAAGAATGCCCTCTTCGGCTCGCGGTTACCAGAAGATTTGTTCTCGTCGAAATAGAACGGTGTCAGATCCGCGTTAGCATCGTCAACATGCACCCGAAATCCCTCCGATTGTAGTACATCGGCATAGTACTTTAAAGTCTCCTTGGCCTTCTGGGAATCATCCTATGTCTGAGTCAGTATCACAATCGAGAGCCATTGGAGATTTTGCTTACCAAAGTTGCGATGGTTTTGGTCCACTGATTCTGGCATCGAGTTTCCATTTAAATCGTGTTCAATTGAACTCAACATACAACGCTTCAGTTCGGCGTAGGAGCGCAAGGCTTCTGCAATAATGGATTGGGAAACAGGGGCGTTCTGCACGTGAAAGTCATGGATAATGGAGTTATCCGCATTGATCGCATTGGGAATTGGCTTTGTGGGAACAATATCATGTAAACTGGGCTACTCAGTGCCACAAAAACCAATCTATGCTGATATTGATTTAGCACATTAGCTAAAGGTTTAGAAACTCACTACAGATATGATATCAGAATTTGTTAATCGGGTATATCGTAGCTCAATATTGGTATCTAGCACCAGTATAGATCGACTTGACTGTACATATCTAATGCGTGTGGTAGCATTTCTTGTGAAAAACATAGAATTTCCGGTTGTACTTCCAGATCTAATTATGCTTCTCGTTTGGATTTGTTGTCTGTTGAGAATGTGGTGAGAATGTGGTTCTTACGAGATAAGAGTTCGCGACTTCCTCAAGAAATGCAATTTAAGCCATCTTGATATAAGCTGGAAAGTATGAGATGGCTCTCTCTTGTCAAGCCGGCCTGTCTTAGATATTCCCATCCCATGGATTTTGAGGGAAATTCGCGTGGAACATCTCACGGTATACCTGCAAGCCTTCCCAGGTTCGTGGGTCACGGGGATTCAGAAACTCAAAGGGTATCATGGGAGTGGAGTCAATCCTCCGATATTCATTAAAGGCTTGCAATAGTGGTTCTACACGCCCTTGGCTGTATCGTGGTAAATCAGCTCTCCGACGAAGAACAACATAATCGGGCTCTTCATGGATGAAATGATAGAATTCACCCATTCCTATAATTTCGAGATTGGGGAAATTGGTACAGTCGAACGCCCAGGTTGCGAAGTCAACCAGCTCTGATAATAGAACAGCTGCTTTATTATTACTTTGGTACCTCTCGTATATTTTTATTGAGTCGATTATGATCTTGGTTGAACAACTGAGGTCCACCATTGGGTGCATGTCTTGCAGGGCCATCGATCCTCGGAAATGGATAGCTCTGAGGCCTTCAAAGGGCCCCTCGTTCCGAAGGGATTTGTACTTGTTGCTTTAGTGTTAGCGTATGTGTCGACGACAGAAAAAAAAATAAGAAGGAGGGTGAATGAGGACGGAGTCCTCGTTCATGTTAACTTACAATCAATGAGGGAGACCTCGAGAAAGCGAATCCTTCTAAGCCCGGTAAGGCTCGCAGGATTAACCGAACAACAAATCGATCTGGAAGACTGGACTCAGTTCGAACGCCTAGTCCCTGGCTGAAGAAGCTGAGGACAAGGCGTTTTAGTTCGGGCCAGTAAGCGTCGAAATCTATCTCCACTCCAAGGTTCACATTGATACTGAGATATAGTTCCTCCAATTGGCTGTCGTATTTATCAAGCAAATCTTCCAGCGGAAAGTATGCACGCCTTCCCCAGTTCTCATCAATGATCCCACCAAAAGATCGAAGTGAGAAGCCGTGATCTCGAGTTTCCCACGTTTCAAAAAAACGGAGAGTCTTGGGGCAATAGTCGAGCCTCAAAACTGTCAACTTTGCCGGATCAAAAGTCAATTCGTCGCCGGGGCCCCAAGCAAGAAGCGAAACATTGCGCAGGGACAGAGATACGAGTGATTTGAGTCGGAATTCATTCGTAATCGGCTCTGTGGATAACTTCTCAAGGTTTCCCCTGAATCTGATTGGTGGAATCAACAGTCCGAGCCAGATTAAGTCCATTTGAATATCAGCTACAAGTCGCTGATTATAGTGGCGCACCACTTCCACGTCGAGAGAGACAAGATGGTGGGCGTTATGTTCGACAACCTTGCGGAAGAGGTGGAAATTCCGTTTCGCGACAACTCCGCGCCACGAGAAATGACGGAGATTCTTGAGGTGAGCAAGCCCCTCAAGACCGTTTGCACGGCATGCGCCATCCACCACCAGCGAAAGGGACTTGAGATTCGACTGATTAATGGTAATATAGCCCAGCGGTCCAAGGACTTCTGGTGGCATGCAGTAACCTAACATCCATCTGTTGAAGATGATCAGCAACTGATCCGTTCCCATCAGTATCAATCAATTGCAATACGTACGAAAAGCGGCTCAGTTGGCCTGGGCGGATATTAGGAAAAATCTGCCTCCCTATTGAAGCCAGTGTTGCAAGAATACCAGTATGTTGGGACTGAGGATCTGCGATATTGCTCCTACCAGCAATATATCTCTCTATACCGCATCGTTGGAAGTACCACGGTTGAGGCAAGATCCTCAAATCCTTCATGAGACTCAATATTGATAACGAGTCCTTCGAACCGTCTTCCTGAAAAAATGATCTTTCGTACTCCGCCAAGTCAAGGTCCGGAGCGTTCGTGTCGATATATGGGCGGACTTCTCGATATATTTCCACCACGGGATACAGAAAAGGGATCATACGTTGATGCATAAGCCTACTAGTCTGTGCGAGAGATATGATATCCTTCAGTGGTAACTAAGAACCCAGAACCCAGTTAGTATTGTATATGTTAATTTTCCAATCGAGGGTCTTTATGACTAACATCTTGAACGATTGCAGTCACCATCTCCGGTGGCAGAAGGGCTAAAGGGGGTCCTGAGCCCCATCGATCCGAAGAGCTCATCTTTCCCTCTGAGCGTATCTGAAGATGCCTCGACTGAGTTGTCTGATAGTGAACAAGATCTCGGGCTTTCAAATGTATTGTTGGCGTTGTTTTTGAACTTACTGAGTTTTACAAGTACATTTATTTGAAAGAGCAAGCTCTGCTTTTATTTATCTTCTCATTTCTCTCTGGTGTCTCTTGAAATTGAGGCCATATTCCTCGAATTGCATCTTAGAGCGTATACCTGCATAGCTTACGCGCTATAAATCTTCCGACTTTTCTTGAAAAACAGGGAGACAAAGGGTTGTTGACTCGGGGACAAACCTCCTCAAACAATCCAATTGCTGCAATAAATGGATGCAATGAGCGGTCCGAAACAGTTCTTGGTGAAACATGTACAATTGAAAGAAGTACGTATGTTCTTCAGGTATGTTGCTTAAATCCTAAGATTCAAGCGTCGAAACTCCCGGCAATTATCATGGCTCGTACTTTATTGACAGGGCCCAGCCTTTTAACTTGGACCTGATCAATGTAGGAGAATAGCCCAAAATGGAGATGGTTTATGGCATTTCGCATTTCCGTCCTGTTGAAGTTAGTAATACCGGTCAGATTTAAGGTCATGTTTCGCGTGGTGTTGCTTACACATTTGAAATTGTCGTGGATATTAAGCTACAGTCTTAAAGAGCGCCACATATTCGTCGGGCGAAAATGTGAAATACAAACTACGGTGTACAGATTGGCAGAGATGACGGGAGTCGAATGACAACAAATGAATGTGATATCAAATTCAATATATAGAGTTATAGATTAAGTAATACTGGGTAGGTGGCGTAGATAAAGTTTCTCTCATCTCCAATCATATGAATGGCCTGAAAATCAAGAAACTAAATTTACTCCTCGTGGGCGGCAATAGTAGCCTTCTCATCGACCTTAAGGTCAGAGACTTCGGTAGCATAGGCCAATCCCAATTCCTCGTAGATGCGAGTCATGCGCTCACGGTCCTTGTTGGCAATGCTGCCCATGTCACCACCGAAGAAGACATCGAGTTCCTCGAGGGTCTTGTCCTTGGTTTCGGGGAAGAATTGCCAGATGAAGAAACCACCACCGAGAGAGAAGATGGCGAAGAAGATATAGGTACCGTACTTCATGGAGTCAAGCATGTCCTTGGTGGTAAGACCAATGATGAAGTTGAACATCCAGTTAGTGGAAGCGACGATGGCAACACCACGAGAACGCATACTGGCGGGGAAGATTTCCTGAGCAAGGACCCATGCGACGGGACCCCAGGAGTAGGCGAAGTTGACAGCGAAGAGCCAGATGAAGACAATGGCAACCCAACCCTGAGTGACAGCGAGATGCTCGCCCTTGTCCCACTGGGGCTTGTAGACACCCTCAACGGAGGCGACGATGACGTGGCAGATGAACATACCAATAGCACCGACAATCAGGAAAGTCTTACGACCGAACTTGTCCAAGAAGAAGACGGCAGGGAGGGTGAAGATGATCTGCAAGATACCAGTGACACCGGTAGCGAGGAGATCAGTGGTAGTGGAAGAGAAACCGAAAGACTTGAAGATCTGAGGAGCATAGTACAGAACAGCGTTGATACCAGTGAACTGCTGGCAAACCATCATACCACTTCCCAAGACGACACGCTTGAGCATGTTAGGGGCGAAGAGGGCCTTCCAGGGAGCAAGGAGACCACCACTGCCGACCAACTCAGCTTCGGTTTCTTCGTCGAACATAACGGCAGCCTTGATTTCCAAGAATTCGGCGGTGAGGAGAGGGTCTTGAGGGTCGAGGCGGCGGAGTCTGCTGAGGGCGGAACGAGCTTCTTCCTCACGGTGCTTCAACATCAACCAACGAGGGGAGAAGGGGAAGAAGAACAGGCCGAAAAACACTATACAAGTGAACAAAGATTAGATTAACATCCGAGCAAAAACAAAGAATCACTGAGATTGACTTACAAACCCAAGCAGGGATCAACTGCAAGGCCAAAGGTACACGCCAGGAAACAGTCTTCTGGCCAGTGCAACCATGGGTGTGGTTCTGCTCGTAATTATAGCTTCCTGTGGAGTCGTAGGGGTTGGCAATACCTTCGGGCTTGCACTGGTTGCTACCAATATAGGAGAAACCAAAGTCGAGCCAGAAAGCAATGGTGGTACCGATGGTGATTGAGAGTTGCTGAAGGGAGACCAAAGAACCACGGAGTTCGGGAGGGGCGACCTCGGCCTGGTACAATGGAATGACCATGGAGAACATACCAATACCGAAACCACCGATGATACGACCGGCGAAGAAGTAGGCTGGTGACTGAGCACCGGCTTGAAGACCAGTTCCGAGGGTGAAGACGAGCACAGCAAACATCATACTGTACTTACGGGAAATGGCGTCGGACAAGTAACCGTTGAAAAGAGCACCAGCCCAGGCACCCAATTCAAGGGCAGAAACGAGCCATCCTTGAATGTTGGAGCTCATGAGGCCGGGGAAGTGGTTCTGGAAGTTCTCCATGACCAGGATAGGACCCATGACACCTTGATCGTATCCGTACATCATACAACCGAGGGAGACGAAAACACAAGTCAAGGCCACGTAGGGATTCTTGAGCATACCAGCGAGACCGTGAGGCTTGGAGGCATTTTGGCGACCAACCAAAGACTGTGAGGTCTTTGCCTCCTTGGCCTTGGTTTTTTCGAAAAGGCCGGGCATGATGATTTCGCCCTGCTGTTGCTGTGGTGTTGTGTGAGGTAGATTGACTGATCTTGGTTCTCTCCAAGCTCACAGCTTTAACTGGAACAATAGAGAAGAGAAGGGGAGGAGCACACGACGGAGGAAAAAACGAGCACCAAACCCGGGGGTACGAGGACTATTTTATAAACGCCTGGGGGTGACCCCAGACCAATGTGACAGTCCTAATTTTCTCTCGTGTGATATACGCATATTTTTTTTTAACTTTCCCGTGGGTTTCTAGGTTACATGGCCGCTGCGTTGACTTTTCCATCTTCCCCATCTGGAGGACTCCGTACTCCATAGCTAGGCAAGAAAAGACACCCTAGTCCCATGCGGAGACCCATGTACTCGTTTCAAAACCCCAAGTTCCTGTAACTTATGTCTGTACTGGTACGTACCAATCTTTCGTGACAAGACTACTGGACGCAATTCCCGTTCCTTTCAAACTCGACCAATGATGCATACAGAAGGGCATTTCTAGCGTCCTTTCATCGACGCGCTTTGTTTGAAGTTTCCGATGTTGATTGGTCCTAACTGTTGTGTGGTCGATGTGACTCCATGCCACGAGCCGCTCGTGGCATAGCATGATTTCCCCTAGTAGAAGAGCCCATTCCTAGTACGACATAGTCTCCTTTCAAGTTGGCAAGTTTACTCTTGTCGTTCGGCGACACACTTCTCAGTTCGGCATTGTTCCCGTGGAACTGTCTACCGAGTCATACCGAGTTGGCATTGGAGAGAAAAAAATACATAGTCGCCACGTATGGCTACGTACCGACCTGACTCGTTATTCCGAGCTCTAGATTAGACTACTAAAACCTTTTTACCCTGTTCTCATTCAACTGTCATCAATTAGTTCTTGTTTCCTGCAGTGACATGTGACATAACTTTGCAACACAATTGTCGAAATACTGTTCACCCTTCTCAGCCGCCAATCAGCCAATGATTTACACCCTGTACGAAGAAGGCGCACTAGCCAGCCCCCCATGATATTCGCTTGTTTTGCGCGGATAAGCCGTTCTTGACTACGGTCTATTGTCGGAGATTGGTCGTTGCCACTGGTTGGTGGCTTCCTTGGTCGTCCCCTGGTCAACGCTTTGGATTCAGTCCAATCTTGTCTTTTATGGGCCGAACCGAGAAGGCTTCTGTAAGGATTAACGCTCAAATCAGAGAATTTGAGCATTGATTAGTCGATTCATTTATGCCCGTGTGGTTTTTGCATGAGGGACTAAACCGTCTCCAGAGTAGTACAGTATACTAAATTACTAGTTCGATCTTTGGGGGTCACAAAGTTCGTACGTGTACATCAACACGCTACTTCGAATCGACGAATAGTCGAAGGCCTACTTTTTGGCAGAAGCGATCAACTAGCCAGTCCGAGTTAGCGACGACTTTCCGAGGTCTGTTTCGCGTTGATGAGTTTGTTCTGCTTTTCGCAGTCGCACGGTTGCCATATATATATTATTAACGCTTATATTATTGATTTAGTTTCTCATGCAAGATGCATGAGCACGGGGTCTGCATCTCGATGTTGTCAACCCCCAAGACAATGAGCAATGCAGCAATGAAGGCAAGATGGTGTCTCTGTCTGTGCTTCGCGCGACGTTGCACCGGCTCGAAGTTGAGGTTACACTACGAGCAGAGCAGGATAGCGATTGTGTATTACCGCGTATCCAGTACGCGCTGAGTAACTATATTCTGACGAGTTAATTATGGAGTTGTACTAATTAAACCTGTGTGACTGTTTCTAGCCCCCTTCCAAGAAATCTTGGCCAATGTCAATCTAGTCTTGGAAAAGCTTAGTCCCATTTGGCACTCACAAGCAATTTCAAGCATTTTTATTAAGTTTGAGTGAACTTTGAATATGTAATTGATCGGTTGCTCGGCTGTTTCTAGCAGCTGACTGCGTACGTCTTGCCACTTGAAACCGCTTTAAGCTGAGAGTCGAAGGGACTTCAGTGAGAATTTATTGGGTTGGTTAAACCATTTTCCGGTATCTATTTCCTTCTAGTGAAGGTCAGCGATTCAGGAATCTGTTAGACGCTAAACAAGAGCCTTTCTACTTCAAGGCATGAAGTCCGTTATGATTCGTGTTAATACTTACTAGACGTATCTAGTATTATCATGTCGTATTGTCCTATAATAGCGTTTTTATCGAGTGCACCTCATCTATTGGACAGACTAACTTATGGGCCGAACACCATATATTGTGGAGACCCCATTCCCTCCGTATATCCAAGACATTTCTCCGAGAAAATGGCATCTTGGAACCGAAGAAAATTTTCCCCATAAAAGGGGGACTTTGATCCGAATTGTGGAAATACTCTCACGTGGCAAGTCTTGGGAAGTCGAGACAGTTCTGTGATCGGACATTGAATCAGACATCATCTTACTTCTCGGATCGATCATGGCTGCCAGTAAAGTTTCTTATTCTCTCATTTTCGGATCTCCGCATTTTTCTAGCGCCTCTTTTCAGCCCTTCTTCCAAGCCATGGCAAAAGCCAAACCACGGATCCACAGAAAGTTTCTCGCGGCGTTTACGCGTTGCGAAGTATGCTTAACCAGGGAAAAGTTATTTCTATTAGAGTTCTTATTTCCCCATGTTGGTTGTACGATGAAATATACGATCATGGCGCCGCGAAAGGGGGAAAACCCTTGGGACCTGAATGCCCTTCTTGATCAATACGTAGCTCGTATGTTTCCTAGTCTTCGGCTTAGCAAAGTCAAATCGTGAACTAGCCGAGCTGCTCGGTTGGAAGACAGGATGACTGATCGAAATGTATTCATTCTAGACGCCTACATGCGATACTAAGTGCGAATGGCTCCACACTATCGGTACCGCCATAAATATGAGAAAATTAATGATGTATTTGGAGTATTTTTACTACTCGAACACAACAGTCCTAAATTAAAAGAGGGAAAAATGAAGTCTAGACACTCCCGCCACCCAGGAATTCTGGTGCGCCCGCATTGGCATTCCCCAAAGCTGGAGTATGGAGAACGCTTTACTCGAAAGGCCTTCGTAAAGCCACGCAATCAATTCCGGTGAGTGGATAAGTGAAGAGGCCGTTTGAGCCAATAGAGATACACAGTCTATGTCTACTTCTGCGCTAGTAAGTAAAACGCGCTAGTATAAGAAGCGTATTCTATGTTTACTCCACAATCCGTTCTGATCATAGTGTGTTTCTCTAGTTTGCAAGGACGTACAGAATACGGAGTACGAAGACTCGATGGCTTTTCCAGATTCTTCTCGAGAACCCCATCACGTGGAGATTTCGCGGAGGAGACCGGCTTGTATCTTTATCCGCCTGACCAAATGTCTCACGGAATACCGAGATGTCTTGCCGAAAGACACTAGGACATTGATGCAATCAAGGGCGTAGAATAGAGTAGGTGAAAATTCGTACATATCACGGGATAGAAACTCGGGTAGAGTGACCATCCCCTGTCAACGGGATATTTCGGCAAATCTTCCCAGTTTCTGAGCTCGTTTATCTTCGGAATGGGCTGTATGAATCCTTCCATCCACATTTCACGAGAAAGATTGTGTATGATTTCCGATGGCCGGACCGAAGATGGCACCATTTACGAGCCGCCAAGACGGCAGAGACGGCTTCAATCCCCTACTATGTAGCTCCGTGGACGGACTCAGCGGAGTCATCCGAACGTCTCGCTACGTAGCCGTACGGTCTGCAATAGTGCCTAAGGGCAATCGCTGGATGCCCGTGCATCGGTGTCAGGCAACCTCTGCTTCTGCCTGATTATTGACTGACAAATGAATCCAAATTGCTAGGCAACAAAGGACAAAAACGGGCGACAACCAACAGAATCCAGGCTTTGAAGGGGCCCTCCTTGTTACCCCGACCGATCCTCAAATGATTAAGCGGGGAACAAAGATACCGGTGAGGGAAATCAGGAATATCTCCTCAAATTTCGGCTTAGCTACTTACTAGGTACGGAGTAGACAGCCAGTCAGAAACCCCAGCCGAGTCTGTGATTCGCGTATCCAACATTTCCATATTTACGAGTCTCCGCAAGACAAGATAATGTACGTACACATGGAGCACAGTGGTCTGACCGTTGGCTGCTTCTGGGGTAATCCGGGACACCCTTGTTCGTGTTTTGGCGTGTGCCACTTGTCCGACAATTATGCGACATTGACTCGGACTCTTTTCCCCCAGATGCGCAAATGCGGCACGGTACAGCGCAAACTGAGATACCGGGGCGAGTCAAAAGGATCACGAGAAACTCCAAGGTTCTGAAGCGTTACCATGTGAGATCATAGGGCGGTAATGATACAATACTTTGAGCCTGACTTCGAATTCGCTAATTCACTAACAGTTATGAACAGAGCTTGTGTCTCAGAAACTGTTCGTGGTTGACTAGGGTCGTTCTATGCCCTAGGGTATAGTGATAATTCTAGGGTAAGGGTAAGGGTAGAGGCATCGCTGAGGTCCGGATATTGTCGACAATCCAAAGACAAATCTAATCGAAGCAGTTTCGTGACAATTCCACCACTGAATGCTATCTTTAACTCAATTGCTTTTTATAATTTTGATGTCGCTCAAGTTCTTGTGCGACCGGGCTTTGATCAGGGATCGTCAGCAGTTTCCGAAAGACGTACAAGGCGAAATGGAAATCTCATCTGACAATTAGCGTCTAGCTCTATTCGATTTATAGAATTTTCTTCAGGAGATTGAAAAGAGAATACTCTCTTCCAACTGTACAGAAGACATCCATCATATCTGCCGATCTTAGAGAAGAGATGCGTTCAGATGCACAATCGCGGACACCAAACAAACCAAACTAACGAGAGAGGTCGATCGATCAATTGTCCGGAATCGTCCAGATGTCTGTCATCAGGGACTTGATTCGTGAGACCGATGGACTAGCATTATTATTTTCTAAGATTTCTCCATCTTCAATGATCACCGAACCGCAGAAGTGAGTAGATAATCTCACGCCGATCCTCGATCCAGGTCAGCTCTAATCCAATTGTTTGTTTCTTAGCAAAAGCGAGCCACATTAGACGAGACCGTCGCTCGGTTCCCCCACGGCCCAGCCCGCCAAGGGCCGCACTAATTTGCCAGCGAGCCAATCCAGATCCGCGCGACTCCTGTCAAGCCCGTATTTTCTCCCTGGAATTGGCAAAGCCAAGAACGCTGAGAGCTCGGAAAAGTAACAACTCATCGACGCCAAGCTGCACACTGTACATCAATGAGGAAAAAGAGGAGGGAGCTGGGAGTCCCGTAACTCCACAACGATGACATGAAGCAGACAAGGCTGTGCTGCGTGCGACGGAGCTGAATACTTTTTTGCATGGCATTATGGATCTTTTGCTTTTGTTGCCTTTTTTTACTTCTCGTGTCTCTCCTGACGAGGAATTAAAGATGTGTTTAACTTGAACAATAGATTTTTGTTTTTCCTTTCTCCATGTCTATTTTCCGGTCCTTGTGTTGCCTGTGGAGCTGAATATTTTGATTCCGACTGCTAATATTGACTCCGGTCACTGATGTCAAGCGTGTAAGTGATCATTTTGAGCAGCAATTTGTTGAGATACATCTGACATTTGTCGCGGGGTGCAATAGACTCGAATTTTCGCAATAGATCAGGAAAATCAGTTCACACTCCATAAAGCTCGAAATCACGCGAAAGACCGAAGCTACAATTACATGACCTTTCGAAAGGACGATCGACGAAATGTCTTTGCTCCGTCAACGTCGCGCCGACGACGAAATCAATCAGACAGCGACCCATGAGACCCTTCCGCAACACCAGAAAGATGCCGAAATCGCAAACGATGAGAAGAAACACCCGCGAGTCTTGGGCCTCTTTCGAGTACAATCGACCGGCGAAAGTGGGAGGACAGGGTTCGATCCATTGCATTTCTTCCACATTTGCTTTCGGAGCACCTGCACGCTATCGATGATCGTTAATGTTCTCTGGCCGTTTGTCCCCGCTGCAATTGCAATGGGATTCGCTAGGAAGGATCTAAATATTTGGGTGTTTGCGCTTAACTATATCGCCATAATACCGACGGCCAATTTACTTGGATTCGCAGGAGGAGAATTGGCGCGCAAATTGCCGCGTGTTTTCGGAGTGCTGCTAGAGACATCATTGACATCTGCAGTAGAGATAATCTTGTTCATGGTTTTAGTCAAGACCGGTACCGGAGAAGAATTGATCAATGTCATTCAGGCGGCCATCCTAGGCTCGATCCTGGCGAATCTATTGCTCTGCTTGGGACTGTGCTTTTTCTTCGGCGGTATGAGACGCGATGAGCAGATATTGCACGAAGCGGTCAGCGAGGTTGGGTCGGGCTTGCTTCTTGTTGCTGGATTTGGACTTTTGATTCCGAGCGCTTTCCATGCGACGTTGACGAGCGCGGTGACGGATGGAACTATCACGAGCGAAGAGCTTCAGGATACCACTAACAGAGTCAGTCGAGCTACTGCGATCATTTTGCTCTGTGCTTATTTCATGTACGTCTTCCATTTTCCGTTCCCACCAATACCAGCTTGAGATTTTGCAAGTTAACCGAAAACAGGTTCCTGTGGTACAACTTGCGCACCCACAACAGCATTTTCGACGAAGTCCTCGAAAATGAAGAGAACAAGGACGAAGACGGCGAAACCGAACACTTCCGACCAAAGCTCACCCTTTTCGAGAGCATTCTAGCCATTGTTGTTTCACTTACACTCGTCTCTCTTTCGGCGTATTTCCTGGTCGAACAGATCCCGTCCATCGTTGAGCGAGGTGTGCCGGATAACTTCATGGGTCTGATTCTGGTTCCTCTTGTCGAAAAGGCGGCCGAGCATTTGACTGCAATTGATGAAGCTTGGTAATTATGCTTCCTCCTGAATATTAATTCTAGTTGTTCAGCTGCTAACAGTTTTTGATGCAGGGATAACCAAATCAACTTTGCTCTTTTCCATTGTCTCGGACCTTCCATTCAAACGGCCCTACTCAATGCACCCTTGGTTGTTTTGGTTGGTTGGGGATTGGGTAAAGAGATGAACCTCAACTTTGAGATCTTCATGGTGGTCCTGCTTGTCCTGTCTATTCTCGTCGTGGGCAACTTCTTACGTGACGGCAAATCCAATTACATGGAAGGTGGACTTTGCGTGCTTGTCTATGTGATTATTGCTGTTACTACATGGTACTATCCCTGATCTATTCATCTGATCTGGGAGCGAGGTTGCGCATCAGCGTTGAAGTATTAAAAGTGAGCGAGTCTTGCATAGCGTTTTGTTTTAATAGTGAGAATTTTCAACACGTTTCTAAACATACACTTATTGGGTACTCCTTATCGTAGAGACATGGGCAATGATAATTGCAGTACCTAGGTAGATGGTGACTTGCTCTGATAATCAGAATCAAGAAAAGTCAGCGTTAGTCGAGCCCTAGGCTTGGACCAAAGGGGAATTCCAATAGAACTGGCCACGTCGAATTTGTCAAGAGACCTTTCCTTTAACTATGCACGGTTCCTTTAACCCTACTCGCGTACCTAACTTTCTGACACGGGCATTTTCCTGACTGTCACTGTCGTTTAATGTTGCTTCATTGTTCGGTCCCCCTAAGCAAAGGCCAAAAATCTCAAACACGTCCATTATTTTCTAGTTAGAGAGGGTTTTTCCGGCTCTCTTTCCGGCCACATTGAGGTCAACACGGCTGCTCAAAAGACATATTTGTGGCAGTGATTTCTATATGCTTTACCTTCACTCGTCAGTGCAGATTTGATGTTCACATTAGGAATTATTGAAACCGTATATACTGTAGAGGTTTGTCGCTTTAACTACTAGGTTAACTAACAACCACTCATATATCGATGAAACTCTATTATATATTTTTCACTAACTAACGCATAGACAGCCAAGAATCTACAACCCAAGGAAAGCTTAAGTAAAATACTCAAGGCATGGATGCGGAGACTTAGTAGACAATTTGGCAACTCGAAAGAATAGAAATATAGGCCGGCCATTCAAGAAACCTTAGAAGATGGTGGGAGTGCAGCGGAACTTATGGAAGCCATCGGGCTTCTATCCGATGATGAGAGGAATTTAGAGCAAGCCAGACCAGTGGAGTTACAATCAATTTCAGTGTCCTCGAAGGGAATTTGGACTTTTAGCTTCCTCAAGACTCTTGGCTCGCAGGCTTTTTTCGACCTTCACATGGGCAAGTGCTCTCAATCATTTTACTGTTTCTTACGACTTTCTCTTGAAACGGACGAAGACTAAAAACAATTTCTTTGCAGAGCCTTTACCGTTCTGTGGCCGCTGTTTCTTTCCAGTCCTCGTACCCAGAAACCGGGTTTAGATATTCAGTATCGTGAGGGCATCGGTCTTGGTACGCCAACCCTGGATGTTGGCGTTGCCACAAGCATACAAGGAGTTATCGGCAGGCTCATTCAGATCTTTGTTTTCATGTATACACAACAATATAGGTACTGTCAAAACCTATCATCTCTTTAGTATTCTATTCCTTATTGCATATTTCATCTTTCTATTTATATATGAAATCCTAGTAGATGCCATGGTCTGGGGTTTTATATTCTATGTCCTCTTAATCTATGTTACAGACTGCATCTTTATTATAGTAGCCACTAAATAGTCATCAATGATAGTGTACCCATCCCACACTGTTGGGAAAATTATATAGGATTAGCTAAACTATATTGGCAATCTCTTGTACTCTAGGTCTACTCATTACGGGCTGTTTATATAAAGGTGGTTTGAGGCTAGAGTCTGCAAGACCCTATGTTGGATTGTGTCTGGAATAGGTATACTGTGATTTGGCGCTGCACAATTTGTGAGGAATGATAGTATGCCTGCTGCTCCTGTAGTTGATGTAGACTGAAAATGGGCCGTTAGGTATACGAGGGATGAAATAAAAACGCATTTAGTAACCATATGCTGGCATGTTTTAGACCGCTTTTCGAGTGAAAGATAGTGCAACGAGGAATCTATTATGTCTGAATATGTAAGTATGAATTTAATCTTGAATGAATACAATAAACTAAAGAAACCACGGAGGCGACTTTGTGTGAAGGATCTGGTGCAGACGACTGTTAATCAATGTTTCCATAATGCAGATATGTTTGACATAATTCTACTCTTTGTAACTATATAAATATGACCTTCATAATCTATAAATTACTAAAATGTTTATAGGAAGAAAATTTTGGCCAACTGAAAGAAAAAATATTCCACTTCAATTAGTCAAAGCTATAAACGCTCACGTATTGAAGTATCCACCCATTTACCATTCTTCAACCTCGCAATTCTCTTCGCCATAACCGCTTGATGAACTGTAGACCAATCTCGACAAAGGTGAACGTTTCCGAAGCCAGATAAGACCTGTGTATTCTCATCGGCATGAGGCTTTTGGAGGGAAAGATCACCGTGGCACATGATAGCCTAGAAGTAGAGAGTGATCAGTAATGCGCTCCTACTTTGGTACATATAAATGAAAAGATGAAGAGCTTACTTGTCGGAGGATTTCCATGCAATGGTGTAGATGACTCTCCGGCGGAACTTCGCTTTCAGGATAGTTGTGTTTTAGTGCGAGGAGGGAGTGCTTGACGACGAGCTATAGAATATATTAATGGGCGTGTGAGCTTGTTCTTCTTATGATTCGGGGTTTCTGCATCTTACCACGCAGTGTAGTTGATGCAGTATAGCCACACCGAAGCCTTCGCTGGTTGGTGACCATGATGCCGGGTCAACGCCCTCGTCAATCATAGACATGCCCTTTCCGGCGGCGCCGCCAATAGATGGGTCATCTATGGCAACCCACGTACCTTTGATATATCTGCTGTTAAAAATCCGCTAATGAAGAAAGATATAACTTGTGCCATGGCACTTACCGGAGTATATTTCCCTCCACAATGGCGTTATACTCCTATTTGCATATGACTCATAAGGATCACTGTTTATAAACCGATCGTCCTTTTCGAGAACAACTTCTTTCCAGGGAACTTTTGGTCACCACGTACAATCAATCAGCCTTTCAACTATCAATCGACACTGTATAAAATCATAGTATGACTCACTATCACCAAATAACTTGTCTGAAGGGAGAGCACATTCTCGGCTTGATGAGTTCTGAATAAACCACAGTATCCAGCCGGAACCGAGGACAAGGGCTACCAATAACTTGAGTAAAAAGGGGATTATGAAGGTTGATATATTGTTCGATTTGGGCGGCACATCATCAGTGTCTTCTTCGTCTTTGTGTAAGGGGATATATTGATTTATTCCAAGAATGGCCATCGTCAAAATATTGAGGGGGATATCTAGTTAGCGTAGTAGAAGCGTGTTCTCACATATGAAATCTCAATGTCCATCGGACGGCAGGTGACATGCTAGCCCCAACTAGAGCTAAAGATATCGACTGCGTGATTATCGGTAGATTACTGTCTAGCTCCAAATATAGATGCCCATCGAGTTGCAATACGAGAGTTTGAGAGGTGGCCAATTACTCATCCTAACTTTCATCGCGACGATACTATGGTTCGGGAAACATCCCAATAAAATACTCCGGCAACAATGATACCGTAAATCTTTCCATACCGCCTAATAACACCGGAAGTAATGAAACTAGTGTGAATGGCGCCTCTGACGTAGTATTAGATTAGCTTCATCTTCATCTTTAAAATACTCTCGTCCCACTAGGACGGGGCCGTTTTTCTGGATTCGGATCCTAGTCAACCGGCGTGTAGCCTCTGCATTCGCGTGGACATATTGCTCTTTAGCGCCTACTACTGAATAACTGAACAGTTATCATGCATGCAGCTGAACTGATTTTATTGCGAACGGCGCACCCCAATACCGTACAAAAACAGCCATTTTTGACCCCAATATTTAGCCACTTTATTACAAAATATAGTCCAACAGTACTATACAATACAAAATTTACTTTTAGCATTATATCTTAAGTTTCCGTAGCTGATTATTAACAATTAAGATAATAAATTTGTAGTAAAACACATAAATCTACAACGTACTTTGAAAGTAACCTTAGGAGATAAGGAATGGGCATGAGAGAAAGAGCAGAATGAGTTGATCAACCTCAGCTTTAAGGGATTTGTCTAGATACAAGCGACAAACTTCGTATTGTACGACGTCGAAGAATCACGATTCTCTATTCCGTTCTCTCACTGCTATACACCGGCCGAGCTGAAACCCCTACAAGTGAAAGACAAGGGGAACTCCATACATCGGTTATAGCCTATTATTCCCTGCACCGTCACTCCTTCCAATCTTCTGCAACCTCACTACGCCTTTCGTCTCCGTTTGATTGCTTATCGAGGCTGCTCACCATTAGGAAGTTCGCTTTTTATAGTGATATATTGAGAGAATCTACTTACGCAGCATGGGTCTCCGTCCCAGGTACCGCCATCACAGCTGTTTGTAGAAGGTCCCCAGCAACTAGCACTGGTACTGTCTTGGCGAGCCTCGAGGGAATGTTCCTCTGGCAGTGGGTTGGCCAGGGCGAGGGCGCCAAACAAGGCGGAAATCAAAATGACGAATTTCATCTTGCCGATGATGATTGAGATGGCTGATGAAGATGGTTGGAGGGAGTGTAAGAAAGGGAGTAAGCTGATCATATATATAATCTTTCAGGCGGTGTATACACATGTATTTGTGTACCATTAGCTCGAAAGTGAGCGCTGCATACTACCATCCTTATATTAGCGTCGGTGACTTGATGATAGTTTCCAGGAATATTGGCAAATGTTGGTCAGCGATATCTCCGCTGGGAAGGCTTAGTGATTACGATGTTGATACCGTATCTCTAATGGAAATGACTATGAAGTCATATCGACAAACCGAAGACCGGCGATCAGACATGCTACTAAGCTTTTCTTCTGGAGCCGCTGATATGGGGGGCTGAATCTTAAAATCTCGTCATTCAGCCCCCGGATTATGATATTGATAAGGTGTGGAGACTTAGTGAGATTCCCTGAGTTGTTGATAATCGGTTCTTCAATTACACCCCGTTGCGCCGCATGCTTATCCATCTGAGGACCCCAGAAGGTCTCTGAATGTCTGTTATTGTCCGATCTCGACAAGGCGGAGACAAATAATTGAAGGGTCTGTAATCGGAATGTGGAATGTATCAAAATCGTTGATCCTTTGAGCTTTTGACAGATGAAATCAAGACTAAAACAATATCTTGACATGTCTTCGGGTAATAAAAATCCGGGAACTGAAACCAACACATGCAAAGTACCTGATTGGCATATACTATCAAATACGATCTTGGCCAAAGTACTTGAAACTATTCCCAAAATATAATTAGCACTAATCAAAGAGCGCAGCATAGATCCAAATAAGGCGAAATGGGGGCAGGATAGTGGATATATGCGCTGTGCTCACCATATTCGGGATAGCGGTAAAGTAATCCTGTCAACTTTCTACCTCTAGTGTAGAGGCTGATAGACCTTCCGTGTAGTTAAGCTTTCATCCCCACTTATCATTGCATAATCAGGGGCGTATAAGCATTTTAGGGCATGGACTAAGGGAGTATAAATACACTACGGTTGACCCCACCCGGGCACCCTCGGAGCTCCTCGTGGATAGTGAGAGTGCTAAGAGCGGTACTTGGATACAATATTGGAGCGCCTGTAGAAGTGGCGATTGCTTCTTGTTGTTAGGTTTTGGGGGTACGGCTTGGTGTAGATATAGTTGATTGCACTTGTGTGTAAATAAATACTTTTTGAAATAGGAAGGTGGAAAATGGTATCTGTGAAAAGTACCCTAATGTTTTAAAGCCAGTTTTATGACTGGTACTAGTCAATCGCAAAGGCAAAGACCCTCCGCGGGATAATTACTGCACTACTACATACTCAGTGATTTCTATAGTACATTTTTAATTTACGCTACAATGGAAATCACCAGGGTCAACCGTAGTAGCTCGTCGAAGTTTAGAACAGGCCCCCACTTGGAATAATCTTTTGGTCTTCTTCAGCGAGCCAAAGGGGTTTGTTTTCTAAATGCTACGTTAATCAATTTTAGTATACTGTATTTCAATTCGGTAATGTTGGAATCTTGTATCTGTATTGTCGAAGATACACTATGAGTGTATTAATTCTCATTGCGTGATTGAAGGTATTAGAGACTATATCAGGTTGTATTTATATATGTCAAGCTTCATCAAGATGAAGCTTTGTATCTTCCAATTGATGTTATGTAGTGAACCCACGATTTGGCTACGATACCAACCTCAATCTCATCTTTCATCAAGATGAATTTCCTACGACCAAGGAGTAAACCGGTGACTGACATCTTCACCAGTGATACGTCAATAGATCGAAGAAAATGCCAACGAGTCGTTCCAATGAAAGTGCTTGTCCTGGGAGTTGGGCGAACAGGCACTGCCTGTAAGTCCCGCAAATTCCTGTACTATCACTGAGTGGTGAAACTAATTACTACAATCGTAGCACTTCGAGCTGCTTTGAAGCGCCTCGGCTATTCAGATACGTACCACATGATGTCTGCCAGTGTAGAAAATCCTCCTGACTGCGCAATGTGGTATGATGCTTTGACAGCTAAATATGATGGTAAAGGGGAATTTGGGAAGAAAGAATGGGATCAACTTCTTGGTCATTGTCAAGTGATTATTTTTTGGCTCTATCAGTGCAATATAGCCTTGATACTGACTTTTCCAGGCGGTTTGCGACTGGCCGGCTGTAGCGTTTGGCAGGGAATTGATCAGCGCCTACCCTGATGCTAAAGTGATCTTGACAAACCGAGACATTGACAAATGGCATGCGTTCGTAACCATAGAATAGGAAGAAAAAGCTAAAAAGTTTGGCTAACTTGCTACAGATCTACCATGAAAACTGTTTATTGGAGAGTTACGGACTCAGAACTATGCTACCTGTCCTATGTCGACTGGGCATCTGGTCTCTACTACCCGATGCTTCGAAAATTCTTCGACACATTCTTCGAAGGCACTTTTCCAACAACAGGCAAGGATGTATATCGACGTCATTACGCGGACATCCGTAGCCTGGTTCCTCCAGAGAACCTGTTGGAATATCAGATCCAAGACGGGTGGGGCCCCCTGTGCTCGTTTTTAGGGCATGCCGTGCCCGACGAAGACTTTCCGCAATCCAACGATGTGACTGCTTTTGTTCAGCGCAGCCGCAGAAGGAATCGCCGGCAAATGATGAATGTGGCACTTCGTTTCGCGTTAGTAATGATGTTGGTTTGGATTGGTACTGCTCTAGTTCTCCGTACCATTTTTTGAATATTACATATTGTACTGAATTATCGAATACCAAGCTTTTAATTCTGTCGGGTAATGGACTTTATTTGTCCTAGCTCGTAGATTAGCGCCGTTTGGATAGTCCTTGGTCGTTCAACTACGGTTGACCCTGGTGATTTCTATAATTTGTTTTTGCTTCTTCGGTAATACAAGGATCATATAAAATAATAATATACAATTCTAGCTAATGAAGCATTACTAATAAAATAGATTTTACTCTTTATAGTAGGTAATCTTCTTTATAACTACTATCTCCTGGTTTGGGGGCTTGTGTCTTTAGCTATGCCTTTTAGGGATTATAGTATAGTTTTGACAGAAGTAAGGCCTCTTTATGGCTAGAGTAGTAGTATAGGGCAGCGTAAGGCTGGTAGAATCGCTTTAGTCTGGAGGACTGAGGGTGGTGATGTTTTTTTAGCTATATGGATATTAAGATGCTCTTGTTAACCATAAAAGGCATAGCGAAAAACACAAGCCCCCAAACTAGGAGATACTAAGTATTACATGACTTAGATTACATGTAAATTAAGAACGTATTATAGAAATCACCGGGGTCATCTGTAGTACGGTCCAAATGACATCAATCTCTCCGGTCCCAAAGACAGCGCTGATAATGGGGGTCCTGAAGACAACGCTAAACGTTTCCAGGCTAAGAACTAAACGAAGAATTACATGAGCATTTTTGCGTGGAATCTATCAACGTGGTGAGTGAAAACCACGAGAAATTCTATAGAAAATAATGTTCCCAACAGCGACCATCTGCCAGTATTAGGATAGCTCAGTTGCTTGTCCTGCATCACGATGTTGTTAAAATGGATCGCTTTATTGGTGTCTGTTACATTTGCTCAGCAGGAAGAATTTCTCGACGACGGCAAAAATTTCGCGGAATTTGTGACGGTAAGTCTTTATACTATTGACTACACCCGTTAGGTTCAACTGGGAAATTGACCTCAAGCAGAGACCAGAGATAAAATCGCCAATATTCAACGTGACAGTCCATGATCCCTCCAGCGTAACCCCAGGATATTGGTTTGTGGCTCCATATGCTTCGCTAGGTTTCGGGAATCGAGTGAAGAGGCTGGATTATTGCCAAGTTGGTCCACAAATATTTGATAATAATGGGGTACAACCCTCAGACTGTGATAATAATGTATGTCGAGACAACTAATTATAATTTTAGGAGCTTATTTGGAGTGGCGCTTGCGAATTTGAAAATCGGAACGTCTTCGATTTCAAGGTCCTCGATTATAACGATCCATCGCGATTATCATTTATCTTTGGATCGACATCCCAAGGCCACCTTGATGCTAAAGGAAAGGGCGTCATTATGGATAACTCATACACAATCCAGGACGAAATTTTAGCAAAAAGATGGAGTTCCTCGTTCAACATGCATGAATTCAATGTGATTGAAGGTGGCAAATCTGCCCTGCTCATTACCAATGTACCACAGCTCCACGATATATCCGCACTGAACTTGCAGCCGCAATCTGGATGGGTTAGCAACAATGGATTTCAAGAGATCGATATTGCCACCGGCAAGGTCAATTTCGAATGGAATACACTAGACCATGTTCCGATTACAGAGAGCACAGTGGCCGTGCGCCAAATGCCTGGGGAGTATTCTATGAGTTGGGATTACATGTAGGATTAACATCAGGCCTCTGAAAATTTCAAGTTGACTATCGCTAACATAAGATAGTCATTTGAATTCCGTGGATAAAAATAGTGATGGCGATTATCTCATCTCAGCTCGATATACCAATACAATCTACAAAGTATCGGGTCGGGATGGATCAATTATCTGGCGTTTAGGAGGTGTAAATTCTTCCTTTGTTTTAGACGGGTTTAATTTCTCGTCTCAGCATGATGCCCGATTCCGAGAAGAAAACAGCACCACTACCGTCATTTCATTTCTGAACAATGCTTCAGACGGTGATAACAGCACATCTTCATACTCGTCAGGCTTGCTCGTCGCGCTTCAGACTTCAACCACTCCGATGACTGCTCACGTTATAAAACGATGGGATCGGCCTGATCGACAACTATCTCCGCTAAGAGGCAATGTTCAAATTTTGCCGAATGATAATGTATTCATTGGATGGAGCGTACAAGGTTATCTGAGCGAGTTTTCATCGGACGGGCGCTGTGTACTGGAGGCAAAATTCTCCTCAATTAAATTCATTCCTTCAACCTACCGAGCGTATAAATACAACTTCACAGGCATTCCCAGCGAGCTCCCCGTTTCAAAGGCTTTTGTTTATGGAACAACCGCCGATACAGTTACGAGTGTCTTTTATGTCAGCTGGAATGGTGCTACTGAGGTCGCACATTGGAACTTTTACGGAAACAATACCTCTTCCTCGGAATTTTCACTTGTGGGGACTGCAAAGAAATCTGGATTTGAGACTAGTCATATGGTTTCTGGATTTTCACAATTCATCTATGCAGAAGCGGTGAGCAGTACTGGGCATGTACTAGGTAAATCCTTGGTAGTGCCCACCATTGTTCCGCCCTCCTGGAGGTCTCCAACTTGTCGTGATGGGGACTGTCATATTGATACAGTTTTCTCTAGTCAAGTCGATCAAATAGATGAAATTGAGGGTAATAGTCCTCTAGGTCGCAAAGGTGAGCTATTTGCAAAATGTCCCAACGTGATACAGAAGACTGATTTAGTTAGGTGGCTTAGTTATACCTGTATCTTCTGCTCAAAAAGTCGCGGGATGGATGCAAGATTCATCTCACATTGAGATTCTCTGGCTAGTCATTTGTGTACTTTTCATTTTGTTGCTTTGGAGTGCATGTTCCAGGCGTCTCAATGTTACTAGATTGCTGCGTACTGATAAAGGGAAATTTCGGTGGGCACGAAACGACTCATCTTCATGACATCTGGATGGCTTTGAGGTCTATACTACATCCATATTTAGATCATATCTATTCAATCCTGATACGAAATTAGAGTCAAGTTCAATGTTAAAAAGGCCTCCTTGAAACCCATTTGATTAAATTTCGTAACTAGAGAGACCGCTCAATTTCCAGATGCTGTAGTTGGTGGCTTATATCTTGCAATATCCATCTGCCTCGTCCATATATTTAGTCCTGTCTTGCTACCTGACGTCACAGGCTGTCCCGCATGTCGAGTACTCTGATGTCCCTGTCCATCCGGGTGCAAATTCCTCCAAAACACCGCATTTCCAGAAATGGGCTTGAATGTCACGCCAGTTCCCGCCGTGACATGATCACTGCCCTCAGGATTATCTTCCTCCTCACATTCAATATAGTCACACCAAAATTTCACTGCTGGTCGACTCAACTCAGGAAATGCGGTACCTCCGCCAGTCGCGTTCGCGTGCAGATAGACAAAAAATGACGACTCTCGATTCCCTCCTTTACTTGGCGTGATCAACTCTCTGAGCGGCTCCTCGTCTGGAAACCAATCGGTGTGTTCGTTGTAATGTCCGTCTATAGGGTACTGCACAATCTGGATAGGTTCGAGACGATGACGGGAATCGTAGCCTTGGAATGACAGGGCACGCTCTTCTATCCGCTTTACTATAGGATGACTGCGCGGAGGATACGCTGTTTGTGAGAGTCGCAGCGTTGTGTTGACTACATCCGGCCCAATCATAGAGGGTTTGAAGGAATCTTCGCTGTGAGAAATTTATTAGCACTAGGAATGTTCGTACGTAAAATCATTATGTAGCGACAGAAGAGTATACATATACATACACAAGGTGCATTAACATTGCAGCTTCCGCAGCTGTAATAAATGATGTCACGTAAATAACCAATGGATCATGAGAGAAGATATGAATTGTGGGATTCGGTAACTCGTCAAGATCATTGATTACGCTTTTATTCAAGCCGAACTTTGCGTATGGTAGAAATTTTGACCGTATGTGATCGAAATTGTTGAGAAGCATTTGAGAAGCGAGAATTGATGCTATCCAGAATAAGGGGACTCTCAGATAACCTATCCACCGAAACCAATTGCTGTGTACCTTTGGTGGTACCATATCGTTGTTCTTTTCAATAATCGAGGAATGAGCTATACAAATCTCCGAAGAGGAATGTGTTGATTCAACAACAATAATACTAACCAGAAATATGAAGTAGAGCGCTTCTTTGGGGGTTGAGTTTATTCCCCGTAGTAATATAATCTCAGGGTCAGCAAGCTGATGGTAAGTTGTATTTTGACTCCGGGTCAAGGAAAGGGAAAAGTGGCCAAGGGAAGAATACTAGACAGGCTCTGTAACATTTTCGCCCCCCAGCGATACGAAGCGGCGCTATCCTAAACACACTTTTTCTAGTCTCTTAGGTCAATATTGAACCTGTTGCCAGTTATAAATCTATAAAGTAGCGTAAGACAAAACTTGGGATCCGTGTTGGCTACGTCTGAAGAACTGATACCGAACGATACGGGGACCCTACAGGAAATATTTCAACACTAAAAGCTTACTAGTTTAGTGTTAAGCTAGCGAAAAATTACAAGTAGTGTTACCAGTAGCGTACGATAAACCTTCCTTATTACGCACATATTAAACGTGACTGTTTTGGGAAGTGAAATGGATTAGATTCTCGACGTAGTGGCCGTGATATGACGTTGGTTTGGGGGCTGAAGTGTATTTATCACTAGTAATTCGACGCAATGAGAAGGAGAAGAGGACTCGATTTGACACCCTTTTATATCACGGCCCCGTTATTACGGCAAATTGGTTAAGTAGCTCTCATATCGGTGGAGATATGCACCAGACTATATCTGGCAAGGCAAGGCCAAGACAGGAACATTATGACTGTTTTTGAGAGGTTAAGAGCATCTTCTTATCATCTCAAAGTATGAGTCTTCCACCTACATCTTCCACGACCTAAGTTAAGCAAGGGCTCGGTTCAATCTTAGCTATCATGAGCTTCTTGAAACCTCATGGGTTCTCACGTATTCCTGGATCTGATCATTCTACAATTAACCTTGATTCGGACAATTCAGGTAAAGAAGAGAGCAGGCTGATTTCAGATGACGAATTAAACGAGGGAAAGGAATCGCGAGTACTGAGTGGTGCTTTTGGTCCAACATTACCGTGGGTCATCTCTACTGGTATTCTACTTATATTGTCGATAACGTTGGCAATTCGACTTTACTTCCCCCAAGATAATCCTGTTGGAACTTACGAAACCGGTTTTTCCACAGAGCTTGGTATGTCAAATGCATTCAAAAATAATAGTGGAGATTCTTATTCATACGTCAATAGCCTCTGGTAAACATATAATTTCGATCGAACAGGTCGGCTTCACTGGGAACGTCCAAATCCGTGATGACGGCACGACGTATCTCGACCCGGGTGAAATACAATACGTTGGCAAACCTTCCCCCAAGATCGATGAGAATTGGAAACATTTAATTGATCGTAAGTAATTTTACGGTTGATCGACAAGATTGGATCATGCATAATCTTACATCAGTGTAGATCGCTACTTCTACTTAACGGAGGCTGAAGCCGCAGAGACATGGGGCAAGGAAAGCATTGAACAATTATACTATCGACTTTCTCCTGATAATGAGCGTCGCTATGTCGCGGGCCTTGACGTGCTGCATACTCTGCATTGTCTCAATATGCTTCGAATGAAACTGGACTTGGATTACTATCCAGCGGCGGCAATCGGCTCACTGCATAATTACCACTGCATCGATCAGATTAGACAATACCTGATGTGCACCGGGGATTTGACTCCTATACCTGTACGATGGCATGAAGCACTTGGACGCCCATATGTTGATTCCGATAAACCACACACATGCCGAAATTTTAGCGCACTACAATCTTGGGTCATGAATAGAGACGAAGCAGAGTTTTAGCTTTCTGTGAGAAATGAAGTCAGTGCTCGTCATTACCCTAAACGCGCCTCAATTAACTTGGAGGGAATTAATTTCGACAGTTACTTTTCGACAATATTGCATTGGAATTTAGTATGTTTTGAATTATGAAGCCCCGATATTCCTTGTGCTATACAGAGAGAGACGAGAACCCTCATCAACGATTTAAAGTTGAAGTTAAATGACATCAATTCCTTTATATGAAAGATCAGGTGTGCAACTTTTGCGCCGATGGCATGGAATACCTGGAACGGATGCATTGGCAGAATCATGCTGCTACTGTCCATCGTTTAAAAACGTAACTGAAATCTTTCCGTTGTATGCGATGCATAGAACAGTGTCTTGATTAGTTTTCTACCTGCCATTATATCATGATGCATGTATGGCAGCTTAGGTTAAAATTGAGTGAGCATTGTCAAGGTTTGGGTGAATTTTTTTCTGCTGCTACGTTACTGATTAAACTGTTTAAAGAACTTATGGTCTTTGTAACGTATGAAGTTGAGACTGAGTCGTCTTCTGTTAGAATATTGGTTAAATGTAGTACAATCAAGCAAGAGCCTAGTGAAATGCCCGCATTCAAGAAAGACCAGATCAATTGATCTTTTTACTCTTCTACACTTGGCGTTGAATTTTCCTAAAAGTGAGCAAGTTTTGCATAGTGTTTTGCTTGGTAGTGAAAATTTTCAATACATTTCTTAACATACAGTTATTTGATATTCCTTATCGTACAAGATATAGGAAATGATCAAGTATTATAGACAATGTAATTGAAAACGAAATCAAAACGGGTGAAAGATCCCATATAAATCAGTCCAAGATACTCTCTCCCTCCTCCTCTGGGCGGGATGCGAATCTGCACGGCTGCGCTCTCAACACAATCTCCATAGGCCCATGCTGCTCCACTGAACTCTCGTCCTCATAAAAAGCCGAATCAAACAGATCGTCATTAGGTCCATCAATTGGACCATCCTCAGCAATAGTCCATTCTGTTGGGGTCGACCAGCAGCAAGCAGCTCTTGCCCCATCGGAAGGAATATCGAACTGATCTATTCCGGGGAGCTTGCCCAAGAGGTCGTCATGGATCTCGCTGTATTTTTCAAGCTCGCCCGCCTCCCAGCCTCCTTTCAGTCCAAGTGTTGCTCTGAAAAGACTTCTTTGATCGTCCAAGACGGAGTTCAGATGCTCGAGGTCTGACTGAGCAACTGACGGGGTATTCCGGATGTAAGTGAGCACATCCTTGAAAATGTTGCCTTCAATAGTGAGAGCCAAGTCGTACTGCCCATTAGTAGCGAGAAGACGGGCGTGCAGATTATCGCATTCTATCGTTAGCGAGTTTCTCGGACCGTAAACGTCACGGATATTGTAGCAGATATCTTGAAGCAGCTGCAAGGCCTCTTTTTGCTCGTCAAGTGCGAACCGGACTTCACACAGGCGTAGACCGATAGATACAGTGGATTTGGTAGCCCATCCGAGAGTATGCCGGGAGTGCCACAGCGAGGCGAATATCTCCTGTATGAAGAGTTAACATATTGTTTAATGATGACAGGAAATACTACAGGGTCATACCTTGAGTGCTTTAAGTACGCTGGCACCGTGGCCGAGCAACTGAATGACCAGGTTGACCTCTTGAACTGAAATTTCGCTCAAGACCAACTCCCCGGCGTCAACGTGTCGAATGAGCTTCGACAGGATATCTGAAACTAGAGCTTTCGCTTTATCAACGTAGATACGATCTAAATCGAGGAAAGAGAGTCTATTGATGCTCTGTGCGAGACGCAGAGCCAGCTGAAGGGCCTGAGATGGCTTGGCCCATGTCGGGTTGCTTAGATACTCTGCCGCCCATTCCAGAACCACCAATCCTCCAGAGCAAGATCTGATACTGAAGAGCTCCGTGCAGATTCGGACCAGCGCCTCCACGAGCGTGGCTGATGTTTGTCGGCGATCCATGCAGCGTATGCAAATCTCCACTTGAAGACGGACAATACCTGCCGCAGGCAGATCGCCGGAAGTGGCTTGAAAGATGCTCCAGAGATCCTCAAGTACTGCATCTCCCTCCTGATCACGTCCATGGCTCTTCAAAAAGTGGAACAGCCGTGAAGCAGCGCCGAAAATCAGTTTAAGAGGATAGGAGCCGCGTTTGGCACGACCCCAAGCTTCATAAAGCGCTGTCTCAGCGAATACATCCCGGAGAAGGTCTTCCAGCAATGGCGGACTTCTTTTTCTTTCTGAAAGCATTATATCAACGGCATCAATGAAAATCAGGCAGCGATGATCGAGAAGATTTACGCTCGTTGGGGTGGGCTGCGATGGATTGCTTGTGCTCAGGCTGACAATCTCGCCACGCAGTTCCTGCATGAAGCGGAGCCCAAAACTGACCTTTTGCGTCTTCCTGTAGAGCTTTGCGACGGATCCCGCACGTTCGAAGAGACATTGCCCATCACGTTCCTCCGCCAACAAGTCCATCACATACTCCCGAATCCAGGTATGAATGGGTGTCCCTCCCTCAGTTTGGTGGCGACGGAATTCGATGAGTCGGTGAAAACACTGGAGGGTGTGAAGATCGGAACTGCCGTGGATAATAACAGATTTTCTCCAGTACTTGACGAGCATTGCCTCGGCTTTGGCTGCCAGGTCTGCATGACTCATATAAAGCTTAGCGAGACGTTCTGTGGCAGTTTGGATGAGATAGCGAACTTCTTCGCGCTCCTCTTCATCAAACTCGGAAATTTCCGTTTCACAGATGGCCTCGTAAAGAGGGATCACTTGCTTGTACTTGTGATCATCACGCTCTAGAAGCTCGGCGAGCTCAAAGTCGGCACGAAGGCACAATAGTGCGCTCAGATCACCATTTATGCGCAAGAGCTTTTGCAGCTCATACGTCAGTTGAATAGCCCGGTCCCAGTCTCCTTTTTCCTTGAGAGCAGAGAAGAATTTTTGATAAATCTCAAAGATTCTAGTGTCAGAGACGGGATGAGCGTGTGTGCGGTTGTAGCGAAAAATCGCCTGCCACATCTGATCATATAGGTTCAACATCTCATCCAATCTGCCTTGGCTCTCATACTGCGACAGTAGAGTGGCAATGACTTCGAAGACAATTGATCGACACCAGTCAGATCTCGAAGGAAAGCTTCGGAGAATAATAGTCAACACGTCAATAGAGCCGATAGATACGTTATACCCAGTCTCCCGGTAGATGCCGAGCACATATTCGGTGATGCGAAGACATTGTTCGTGAAATGGACCAAGCTGATGCGAGCACTTTTCATAAAGCTCCTTCCACTTCTCCATTGCCTCGGACATGCGGTCGAGTCGGCGCAAGCAGTCGGATAGCACGCATGCAGCCTCATATAGCGCGATGTGGTGCAGCGGAAGATCTTTTCTGAATAGAGCGAAGATATATTGTAACAGAAGTGACGTTTGATAGTCATTCTCACTTTGAAGCAGCTTCACCCGACCGTAAAGCAGTACCATGCGAATGACCACAGCTTGGTACTCCTTAGGAAATGACAAGCTGAGGATCAAAGTGTCCACTGGCTCAAGAATTGCTGGCCAAAGGCGGGTCAATACAAGAGTGCACACCTGGATCGCTTCCGCCCACTGTTTCTCCGAGATGTATATATAGACCAGCTCTTCCGCCAGATCCGCATAGCTCTCGTCTAGGTGAATTGATCCAAGAAGCAATTGAAGTAGCTCTTGAAGAGCATTCGGATCAAACTCACTACGTCCTTTGCATACAGGATCATAGCGGTAACATCTGGAGAGCGCTATTGCAACTCGAATCGCATCATGAGGAGAAGTGGTGATGCGATCGTGGAACGCAGATTGGAGATGCAGAAGAATTGGTAGCACAGGCTCGTAAACGTCAACATTGACACAGTACTCGCTCATGCCCAGAAGGGTTCCTAAAAGCTCATCATTGAAAGACAAGGAGGACTCCCCCAAAACCAACCATACCTGAGAGACTAGACTTGAAGTCTCTTTTTGTTGCATCTTAGACGGATGATACCTGAAAAGTTGGATTCGCTCAAGTGTCACCAGAACAAGAGCAATGTGTACATCCAGAGTGTGAATTTCTGCCGCCAATTCATAGAGAGTCCTCCATATCTTGGACAGCCTGTCTTGGGCACGAGCTGTGTGGCCTTGGCGTAGATAACACGCGATCATATGGAAGAGAATTTTGAGACGTCGTTGATCCCACTGCTTCAGAGTATGCTCAGCCTCTCCAAACAAATCTTCGCACATTACGAGGATCTCGTTATCTCGGCCCATTTCCTTCAGTATTCTAATAAGCCTCTCGACGTGGTCAATAGTCCGTGGATCAAACCTTCCAAATAGAGTGGCCGCTTGATGGTAAAGATCTTGCAGCAGTCGGCATGCATCGTGGAATTTGCGGCGATGTTCATAGAGCCCAACCAGAAACTGAACATGGACCATGGGTGAATCATTTATAGTGTCGTAATTCTTTTGCTCAAATTTCCAGAGATATCTATAATGATAGGTGACTTGCAGTTAGCTATCGAAGTAAAAACCATGGGCTTGAGCGCGATCAGAATCGAAGACTTACTCAAGAATTTCTTCCAGATTGGGAATATCATCAAACGACGATTCCACGCTAGACTCACGGCTCACAATGTCCGCAATAGTCTGTGCGAGGTCTTTGCACACGGCTGCCTGGCTTCCCATGACCGAGACGGAGATCTTCCAGGCTTCGCATAGGTACACCATCGCGTCGAACGAATGCGTAGTTGACAGAGACAATTTTGCCAAGTTGATCAAGGATTGAATGACAGCTTGAGAATTTTCACCCAGAATCGCTTTGCGGAATTCAAGTGCCCGCCTGTGCCAGGTTTCCCTGATTTCAATATCTGGTTGATCTGCCCAGTAGGCAAATTCCCATTGTGCTAGCTGAGGAGTATCTGGATACACTGACTTCCAGTCAGCCCCCATGAAACCCTCATATCCGGAAATATAATGTTGAATATAGAACTGAATACAGTAATCCAGAACAGGATCATTCAAGGCTCGGCTGCTGGATTTAATATCGCGTTTTGAACCCGGACCATTGAGACTTGGCGTGGAAGTTTCATGAACCTGTAGCTTGTTCTTCATATATTCCAAGCAGCGAACAAGGACCAGATGGTTAGCCTGGGAGTGAGTGATTCTAATTCGTGATTGCTGTGCCAAATGCAAGATGCGGCCTTTGACCTCTTTGTCGATGAAGGCAATGCTTCCAAATCGTATGTCAACGAGAAAAGCACATGGTTCACGCAGCTTCCTAGAGGCATCTGCGCTTGCAAGTAATGATGCAACCGCGGGATCCAGGAGGCGTTGCAACTCAGATATGGACAGGTTATCTTCTGCAACAGCGAGCCATGAAATGAGGCTCTTCGCGACTGGGCTGGCGAAATCAATTCGCATGATTAAATAGTCAATGAGGCCGCGGCGCGTGCCAGGCATTGTGAGAAGGGCAGTGAGAATGCTGGGGTATGTCCCTTGCAATTCGATGAACGTGATAGCCAGGTTTGCCGTTTGAATTGACTCTATGCGGACGTCTAGAGCTCGGCGAACAACTTCATCCATCTCAGCCGAAGCGAGAAATTCCAGGCGAGAGGACTGACGCAGACGTATATCTATGTAGTGCCGTATATCCTCGGAGGGAAATGGTTCAGGTATCTTCCAACAGCCTTCATAAGCGCTATCCCCAGGTCCAAAAATAGGGCGAGATAGAACAACTGCGCGGAAGCCATGGTGTTTAGAGACAAAGGCATATAACCTGTCATAGATTTGCAGAGCTGTAGTCTTTCCGCCATTAACCTTATCCAGGTTGTCCACGACGATCAAAGTTCCAGCGCCCAACTTGGCGCGAGTAGTGGCCGTAGCCCACTCGATCAAAAACAACCAGAGACGACCTTCTGCATCGGGGATATGCTTCTGTTCAATATCGACATACACATCGCAAATTGCAGAAAACATCTCAAAATTTGCGTTGTTTTGGTCCAAAAGTTGCAGGATCAGACTTTTGACAAAGCTTAGTGAGGATTTGCGGCGTGAAAACTGAGACTCTACATCGGAGTATTAGCGCATTGGTATTCGAATTCGGCCCGTACCTAGGCGATAGGCCAGTTGAGATGTGTTCTTACCAAAACTGAAGTATAGGACTCGGGTTCCTCTAGGGTAACGGGATCGTGACTGATCTAGCAAGAATTGACAAATTGCTGATTTACCGCAGCCCTCATTCCCAGTCATGAGAAGCAGATGCTCGGACCCTTCCCAAAATTTACCAGTTTGATCAACCATCCACTTCAAGGGTAGGTCGACCGTGAATCCAGGTCCAGAACAAGCTCCATACATTCTTGGAACTACAGACTCACCCTCTTGGTCAAAAAGCCAGCGGCGAATCATATCCAGGCTGATACCCTCTGTTTCCGAGTAAGTCTTGGCATTTTTGAGATAATTTTTGGACGGTAATATCACTCACTGCTGGGATGGCTTCTTATAATGATATCCCACAGCTCGTGGCAGAAGTGATCATAGATCTTCTTTAGAGTCGCCACAAACTCAGCCAGATCCAAGGTCTCAAGACCAGAAGCCCAACCATTGGAGCTTTTGCCTGTGATGTGGATATGCTGAAAAATGGAAACAATCATATCCATAAAGGCAATGAGGAACTCAAAGAGCTGTTTATCAAGTTCAGGCGACTGAGCATCTTTGGGTCTTCCCATAGCCGTAATTATCTCAGTAACTTCATTGAATGCTTCGAATGCCTTTTCAAGTATACTCGAAACATTCTTAGCCGCTAGCTGTAGGGATTGATCAGTATATGGAATATAAAGATTCATAATCAAGCACGTAAAGCGCAACTCACCTGCACAAGATACTTGATACACGATCGAATCAACAGCGGATATTCATCAAGAAACTCGTGAGACGCCTGCAGAGAGCGGAAAAGTGTCGTGAGAGCATCTTCTAATGCGTCTGCTCGATGCAAAATACGATCGAGTGGACTGCCTTGGTGAGGTAGCATTCGTAGACGCACACGATCAATAGCATGTGTCAAAGCCTTTGGTGAGCCATCAATGGATAACTCAGTATTACTAGAAACATAACTGGTCAATCGGCTTCGTGCGCGGCTAATATGAGCGTCAAGACCCATTTGGCTCGACAAAATGTCACTTGTGGGCCACGTCACGAAACGTCCCCCCGTCGAATGTGTCGCGGTTCCACTGGAAAAACCCCTGCGAGGAGAACGTGACTGAGGATTATATGGCACAAGTGGAGGATAAGAGTGCAGACGACCTCCAGTACCGGAGTCCTTTGGACCAGCCGTGGCTACTTGATCCCTTGCCCCATCTCGAGCAGAAGGAAGCCGGCCCTTGGGATCGGTTCTCAAAGGCCTATGCTTGATGATAGGCTGACCACAAGTTTGTCCAGGGATGGTCACACTTCGAGATGATGAAACCAGGTCCTTGGAGTCAGTTTCCAAAGGCCTGCCATTGATGAAAGGCTGACCGTATATCTCGCCAGGGATGGTTAGATCTCGTGCCAGACCTGACTGGCCGATATCTGCAATAGAGTGATCATAATCGCAGTTCTCCTCAGGCTCATGTGTGACAGAATGATGATCCATCGAGCTGAGACTGACATGGCTGACAGACTGATGCTCTTGTACGGAGATTTCGTCGTCCCCAGTGGACAGGTCGGTGTTCGAAAACGACTGAGGCCATTCTAGAGCTCGAATGTGCCCGATGGGCTTTTGATCGACATTGGTCTCGACATCTCCCACTTGATAGAACAAAGGTTTCAGATTGAGTCAAAGATAAAACTTCCTCAAGGGTTCGAAATCACTTACAGTGGGATAGACCAAGCATCGTGTATGAGTCTCTGGTGGAGTATGGCCAAGTGAGGAAGCGAGTAAGCGATCGATGGCAGAATTAAGAAAGTATCGGCGGAGTGGTAAGTAAAGAGCGAACGGATTTTCAAAATGAAGCCCAAGTACATTGTGGAATGCGTGAAAAGCGATGAAGTATGTACATGAAACTTGCGCGACTCGTCTCGCTTTGCAATGAAATTTGAAGCCATGGCCAGAACAGCCGAGCCTCGGATCCCACATAACAGAGCTTCTGAGAGCTGAAAATAGTATCTGGAGGCAATGAAAGCCGAGAGTTCGCTTTCAAGATCCCAAGAACAGGATGACATGGCCCTTCGGCAGCTTGTTTGATGTCGAAACAAGCCTCGCCCAAGAACAGTTTCTCCACAACTGTAAAGTACGGTAAGGTATGAAAACACATTACATTACAATGTAACACTTTATATATTACGAAGGCCTCAAGTTGATGTGAACCACCGACACGATTGGTGCGCACAGACTAGTTTGACCCGGCACTAGCAGCAGTTCGGTTCGAAGTTCCCACAGCGTTCGTAGGAACTAGGGCGGCCTTGAGCCATCCGTGTAGACTAGTCGATCTAATACTACTAGCTGCAGCAAAGGTTGGGGTGCATATATTGGCGATGCTTATGTCGCTTGGCTGTCGAAATGTGACAACCACCTGCAGTAGCTCCATTTTTCACCGTCTAATTTGACCAACTTTCGTATCACACCTTGACGGCGAAATCCGATAATCGTTTCTAAGCTGAATCCTTGCTTGAAAGAGAGATTTGAAGCGAAAAAGCAACGTGGAAAGCTATCAGCAATGGACTCTCCGTCTGACCGGCAATTTTGGCTTTGGCTGTAAGCCTTCAGATGCTAGCATTGCATATACTAGTTACGCGTGTCTATCGTAGTCATCTGACATGATCCAAAGACGCAAATATTTCCGGGGTTTTAGGTCCGCCCCCGAAGATATCACCCTTTTCGAGTTTTTCTCAACAGTTGGTAAATGCCTGTTTGCTATTTTTGTTACCGTACCCAGCACTATTATCGAGCGAGCTTGAATAATTTGCCCCAGATGATTGACGATAGCGAGAATTTGCTCGTTATCCAGGCACGGAATGGAGTTCCTCTTCTCGTGCCCTGGGGCCATGAAAAGTTGACTCCCGGCACGGGCTTTAGATCAGAACATATTATGGGCGATCCTTGGGTGCACGAGTCTGCATTCATTCCCTTTGATTCCAAAGTTCCATACGCCTTATACGAACCCCAGGGTGATAGCCGCGCATACTTTCGGAGCGCAGAAAGCTATTCTCAGAGCGTCTCAAACCAACACTACAGCGGCAGCTTGTGTGCAACAGTTGATGTGGGATTTGCGACGGCCAGCGTAACCGGCTCATATGACAAAGATATCAAAGAAAATAAAGATGTACGTTTCCTGTATTTCAATTCTGCATATCAAAACTTAATACAGTGTTTAATAGTCAACAAAAGTGTCACGCAATGTGTTCTTTAGAGCTGGCGTGATTCGTTTCGCACAAGAGCCAATGTTGAATGCAACTGCCTATAATCTGTTAAGCAGACCTGGCGGAGAAGATGCATTCCGCGCACTCTACGGCGACTATTTCATCTCAGGATTTACACTGGGAGGGGATTCAGGCGCATTCATGTCCGTCGATGACGTGACAAAACAAACCACAGATACGGTCACTCTGAAGGCTACTGTTAAAGTAGTCTTTTTCAAGCCGAAAACTTACACCACATCCACCACCAAGACCCACATTGATCATAGTCTCAAGGTCACACTCTCTGGCTATGATACAATGGAAGGATTCAATATCAGAGACCCAAAGATATCTCTTGCTTCAGCGCAGCAAAAGATTGTCAAGATGGTTGACCTAGCAGATGATCTGGAGGCTAGGGTGATGGAGAAGTTGAGAGTCTTGGGAATTACCTCCAATCGAGAATTGACATTATCAGAATGTACTCATTTATGCGGCTCGGGTATTGTGGTTGGGATTCTATTGATCCCATTTCGATTGTTGAGAGGTTATCAAGTCGGTCTCAATTTAAGCGCGACTAACGGACTCGTTTCTTCTTTGGCCTTTGAGTCACTTGTGTAAAGTATCTTGAAATGTTTGCATATGCCTTGTCTGATTAATATGTATGTTATTTGATTCAGTTCTACACCCAGCTTGTCCTCTGAAAGGTGCATACCCCTTTCGGTTCAAATTAGATTATCCAAACTATGAATGACGAGGTATTGCTTCCGGTCGTAAGAACTATACTGTATAGCCACAAGTTCTGTGTGTAGAAGTTTCAAGGATAAGCTTTTCTCAAAAAGATCATATTTCATTCAAATACTTCCCGGGCGTGGAAGCTGAGCCCCGGTTTCTTCATTACGCCGAGCAGACCGTCTAGCTCGAGGGCTCAGGTGGGACAAGTTTCCAAAAAGGCTTTCCGGCAACATATTGTGTAATATTCTCTGTAGACCAAAAACGGTGGCAAGCCGTGGCTTCCCATGATAAGCATGGATTGACGGAAAGTGCCTGAAGATGGACAGAAAAAGTCCGGTATTCCGATTTGCGAGGAGGCGAAAATTTGATAACTTCTTAAGGTGAAATGATTGAAAACGATTATTTTTGTCTCGACTCCGGTGATACGTACGCGATACAATATTCTCCGGCCTTCTGAGGACCTGCCGGATGATAGTTCCCTGACAAAGGCATTTACAAATGGAGGATCCTGACTATTTAGGTATCTTATCCACCCACATAGGCAAATACTTGCGAAGATTACACTTCGGAAAATCGAATCATATTAGACTAGGAGATATTTTAGTTTGGTTGAGTCTTCTAATGCTTGGAGCGTTACCGCCCGAGGATTTGTCGTTGCCGCCCGGGGGATTGCCATTACCGCCTGAGGATTTGAAAGTCCCCTGCGCCATACCCGTTATAGCAATATCGACTTTCCCTTGCGACGCGAGAAGACATAGTTGGTCGTACATTGCACGATAATCTTCATCAGATACCTCCAACTTCAATTCCGGATGATCCTCACCAAATCGGTGAAGCTGATGTCCGAATTTAGCAATGCCCATGGACATTAACTTTTTTATGACGTCCCCTGGAAGGTTCGAGGCAAATGAAGTGCCGGTCGATGCTTGGGACACGGTGACACTCGTAGAGTTGACTACTGCAGCCACTTCATCGGCCACTTCCATAACAAGATTTCTGACAAAGCGTCCCTGTTAATTAGGGCCAATAAAGGTTAGCGTTCTAAAGATCCACAATTTTGCCACTAGAGAAGCTATTGTCGGCAGGCATATGGAGTGTAAGGAGAGGAGGTTTACTTGAGATGGATTGCGATCCGCTGGGTGGTATACAATCCACCGAGAGGTAGCTGAGTCCGCCTTGTCTTGCCCATAGAAAAAATTCTTGGTGATTTTCGTTTCAACCCATTTGTTTGTCACATCTTGTGATTCAGCCACGGTCTTTCCATCCAACGATAGAATGTGGGACTTTCGGAGTTCGGTCCATTCGGGCGCAAAATAGTAAAACTTGTCAACCCATTCGCGTGCGATGAAGATGGTGGTTCGGACTGTTCAAGATCAGCACTCTTAGACTTCAAGGCTAGATGACATTCTCTCTCACTGGAAACATTTGTGACACTATTCTTCGTGAAGCAAGGGGCAGAGTAGTATTCCTCCTCCCGCCACGTGGAACTGTTTTGATACCAGCAGACAGTGACGACTTTGGTTGGGAAAGCCGGGAAGGTGATATAATCATTAAACGCAGCAAGCGGCTTGTTTGACGCCATTGGGAGAATTTGGTGGTAAACTTGAAGTCCAAGAGTAATAGTTTCAAGAAATTTGATGATAATGGTGTCCAATATCTGAGAGGCCGACTCTTTATGTTTATATATTTTGAGCCCTCAAACCGCTAAATATGTAGGTTTCTCCGCTCATATTACCTTCGTAATGCTCGGCTTTTTTTTCTTTCGCTCGGACAGCACACCTACGAGCTTCATTTCTGATTCAGCCCTCGTCAAAGTGAGTCTACGTTTACGATGCTTTAGTCTCATTATCGATAACCAGGAATAATTTGGCGACATCCGAGACGTCAGTAGACCCGAGTATCATCAACAGCTTCATTTGTCGGAGACAACGATGGCTGGCGTATATGCAGGTAAAGCTCCATCCTCTGTGGGGCATGTTGCATGATCATTTTATGTCTTATTGCAGGTTTGAGCTTTTTTGCCGAATAGATTTCAGGCGCTAATACTGATAGTAATCTATTGAAAATTAAAACATGGCCGGTATTCAAGCCATTTCCAGCTGGATTTTGAAGGGCAAAAAAAGAAGAAAAAAAAGAAAAGAAAAAGCCATAAAGAAAGAACAGCCTGGACTGGGCCCATAGGCATCCCAGAGTAGATAATCCAGGCGAAGGAGAAAACAGTCGAAAAGGTGGCCCCGCAGATCGGTTTTCTGAATCGCATCATCTCTCTGAAAGTTAAGTTCGCAAAATGAACTTGTTATAGGTACTGTCTTAGAAGTGATAATTGGAGGGGGTTTGACAAAATGATGCCACAATTGCATGGTATCATCCGCAGAAACTAATTGAGGAGTCGAAACGGAACACAGATGGTAACGTTTTATAATTGAAGCAGTCGCGTCGCAACAACGACTGGATTTCTGACTTTCAAAGAATATCTCTGCCAAGTTCATCATAATAAAAAATTTCAAAAACTACCCAAGGTAGACTAAATATTGCCTATTTCACAAGCAAATTCCTCAATTCCAGTTTTAACCGTGGAGTGTCGCTTGTGAGCCTCCTGGATCCCAGAACCCTGGCTGATATTCCAAGAAATAGTGACGCGACCGACACGACGAAGCACAGCTGCTATTGCGGCTTGACTATCGGAAGAGCCATCGCTAAGTATAATAGCCATAGCTTTGTAGTCTGGTATATCAGCTTGTAAAGCCTTCATGAACTCTGAGTACCTTCTTTTGTTAAGCAAGGCGGAATCAGTGCCATTACAGTCACGAAGTTTGATTTCATATTTTTCGGGAGTCTATAGAGACAGATTAGCAACTTGAAAAATGAACGGGGATATGTATTGGGAAAATGAGCGAAGTTCTGACCAGACGTTGGATCCTCAAGGAGGTTGCCAAAGGGGCTTCGGCAGAGACATCTCGGAATGCACCATGTCGGGGCTTGCTTTCTTTTTGGAAAGGTTGCATAAACTTCTTCAGCACTTTGATGGGGACTTTACCCTTAGACTTGATCTCTGTAGTTTCAGTAAATCGAGTGACCAGGGCAGATTTCAAACCTGCTTGTGTAACCACGCAATCATCATCTGACAAAATTAGGGAGATGAGTCCGCAAACATGCGCAGCAGCTGTATAGGTGAACCTTCCGTCAGAGTTGTTTTACTACCCAAGCTATCATAATTCAAAAGGCTTGATCACTCACCAAAGCAGTTACCGTCAGCAGTGCCCTTGATCGAGTCCAATTTGCCCCATGTAGAAGAAGTCTCCAGGTGGCCACGCTGAGATTTCATGGCCTTGATATCGACAGCGGGAGCATACAGAGTAATTGCTGTTGAATAACGTCAGTATTAAAGAGCAGAGAGAAAAAAAATTACAATCTCAATGGACCTACTAGGACCCCAGTCTGATGTTGGAGCAAGTTTATTGTGCTGACAGGATCCTCCGACTAGAATGACTTCCGCAACATTCTGGGGAAAGCTTTGGTACTCCTCAATGTATTCCTAGAAATCAGAGTTAGTAAGCCCGTAGCTTAATATTGAAGCAATACTGACATTGTTATTTGGTGCAGCTACGACAACTTTGATGCCCTTGCTTTCCATAAGGAAATGCAACGCGCGTGCTAGGGCATGGTTATCATTGGCTGTATCTGCAAAGCCAAATGGCAAACACATGATTCCAGCCCCCTGTTTAACATTCGCCTCTTGGAGATCATATTTTGCAATTGCTTCCCAGGCTAAGAGTACTGAAACTTTGGTCAGTTTGCGCGTAGCATTGTAAAGCCAGAACTTTGCCCGACGAGCCAATCCAAATGTATCACCGGCCATGATACTAGCCATCATTGTAGCATGAGTAGGCGCCAATTCAGTCTCAGAAGCCTGACCAGCCGCAAGACGTGAAGGCTGGATCTAAACCATATGTCAGCATGGGTAACATGACTGGTCAGAGGGGCTATGGCTCACGAAGTCATTTCTATCAAAGGCTCCCTCATCAACCAAGAAAATCATTGTATTTTTTCCATCCTTTTCAGTTAAAGAGACTTTGTATGGCCACATGCCATCCCCATCCGCAGAAGCTCTCCAGTCAGATCCATCCATTGAAATTCGGGAAGCCCCCCAATTCTCTGTTCGCATGGTGATTGTCTTCCCGTATACCTCTGCAGGCTGATTTGCGGTAATTGAGCGCACAATATCCTATGAGAAAGGAGATGAGATTAGAAAATAATTATAAATATTTATCCTCATTTAAACTCACATTTTCCTTGGAAATTTGATCTATGGTTTCTGCTGTAAAGACACCAACGTATCCAGAAATCACCGAATCCAGCTGAGCTTCAATTCCTGTGTCCTGATTGCCACTAGAAGCACACAGCTGTTGAATACGCCTGATGTGATTTCGTTTTCGTTCCTCGTCAATATTAGGTTGGAGTTCAACAATGTAAGATGCTCGGCCATTTTTAAGGGGAGCTGTAAGCTGAGCACAATTATATTGAAAGCTAGACGACAAATTGAATTTTGGAATGGGTAGATCTAGAAGCTCCTCTTCAGATGAATCTGGCGGTGGAACGCCTGCTGGAGCGTCTACCGGGGTGTCTACTGGTATGGGCTTTGTGTCTTCAAGAGGAAGCTCTTGCTTCATGGGCGGAGATTGTTGCTGGGCATCTTCGGGCAAAGTTTTGTCAACAATAGGCTCTGGTGTAGCCTCTGACGATGCGGAAGTCTCCTCTGGCGGAGCAGGCAGAAGTGGTAAGGGCTCCGTGGAAGGTGAAATCCCTACGACACGTGGTCTGCCAGAAAAGCGTCGTTGAGTCATTTTCGAAAACTGTACAGTTCAGGGCGAAACATAGAAAATTTGAAGTTTGCAACCTCGGAGGAAAATATCACATTTTCTCCCCAGCAGAGAGAACTTTCAATCAAATTTCCCACCGAATTTCTAATTCCACTCGAGTAGTCTTTCGCTTGCACACACCCCATGAATCGAAGTTGATTATCGCTAAAGATAACCTCGCGATGCTTGATCAGCTTTAGCGTGGTTCCCCGGCCCCATCATGGACAGAGTTCCGCCACCACCTTGAGTAGCAGGTCAAGACTGAGTTGTGACAAGCTTCCCATGTCAGATGATCACAAATGCTTCTCTGGCACTGGCCAATCGCCAATTGTAATAGCCATGACCAAAATGACATATTGCACTGGATTCTGGGAAGAGAAATTAGCCGATGGTTCGTTGGGGTTCATGTCGAGTTGATCACGTTTTTATGCAGGGGCTGCAGCCAATTGACAACTCGCACCTGAGCCACCTTGAAGCCTTCCGATGAACACCCGTGACGCCGCCTGCAGAATTGAAACCGAGCAGTATGGTAATTGAAATACTGACAACTCCTCTGTATTTCAATTTCCACCTTTGATCTAACAGCTTCGTCGCGGCTTCGCTGAATTTACTTGGATACGATCAGTACAACTCACGGCTTGTCCGATAGGCTCGTTTATTTTCTCCTCTGATGTTATCCAGCAAACAATAATATCAAATTCTGGCATTTCAATCTAGGATGAATCTATACCACACTAAAGTATGGCGCCGCGAAAATGAGACCGAGTTGGCTTGACTCTATTGAACAAGTAATGGGCGCCTTCAGCTTCATGAGCTTTAATTGCCGAGGGAAGTGCTGCCCTCTTATGGCTCGAGTATTTGATGGGTCTACAAGATTTGGGGTTGCGCCCGGTATGGTGTTATAAGAACAAACGACAACTGAACAGACACCCGTCAAATACTCTCCAGATCTTACCGAGGCGCTTTCTGCGTGCATTTCTCTTCCTAATATTTGCCAATTGACCCTCATCCTCCTTCGCAAGACCCTTCAGTATTGGATAGCTTCTTTAAAGGTATAACGAACAGCCTTATCAATCATGCTCACCGCACCTTATACTAGCGCTATGCGCCTAGGTCAAGGGTGAGTCTCTTCTTCTCACAAAAATTTACTTCTATCTCTTACAAACTATGAACCCAGGTTCAATTCCTACAACCACGAGGTTTGTGTCAATGATGCCGTCATTATTGATTCAGAAAACCCCGGTGGTGACATTTATGGAGGCTCAGACACCACTATCAGCCAGATTGTTTCGTATTGCACTCGGCACGTGGACAAAGTTAGTCAAGTCATCGCTGCGATGAACATTTCCGCTGCAGCGTCGGTGAAGACTGCAGGTGGTGGTGGCGGCCTTGCTGGCTCCTACATCGACTCCGATACCTTCAAGGAGAGTAATATCAACTTCTTCTGCCAAGTCAAGGTGACCAATCAGGTTATCATGGGAGCTGATCTCCTGAAGTTTAATGATATTCCAACCTTTCGCGCGGAAGATTCCGCTCATTTCACGAAAGTCTATGGTGACTCTTTTATCTCTGGGTTCATAGAAGGTGGTGAGCTTAATGCTATCATCTCAATCAAGACTAGTGATAAGAAAACCATCAACTCAATCAAGGCTTCTCTTGAAGGAAGCTTCGGCAAGGGAAAATTCTCTGCTGATATTAAGGGCGAAGGTGGAAAGGAAGACACGCAGGCATTGAGCCAAAGCGAAACTACGATAACCGTGAACTGGACAGGTGGTAAGTCAGATTCTCGAGGGCATCCTTTTTCCCCTTCTCTCGTTACCATAATACTGATTCGAATGCTTAGGCGGTATCATCAAGCCTGCAGAGGAGCTTTGGTCGATTGATTCACTTGTCAAGGCTGCTGCTGCCTTCCCGGAACGGGTAGCCAAGACACCCCAGCGAACCCAGTGAGTCCGAATAGCCTTCACTCAGTCATCATATATGTAAAATTATTCTTATACTTACATATGACATTCTCTAATCATATAGTGCAATCTTGACCAAGTATGAGAATTTGCGGTCATTCCACCTCCTCATACCCCGAATGCCCACTCCGCTCAACTACGCTCTCGCTGAGCTATACACCAATGACCTCCTGGACGCCTTCACTGACTACAAGAGTATTTGGACCGTCATTCATCAATGTAAGAAAACCTGTTTATATTTCAATCTACCACTTCAAGCCTGAAGCGCTGCTAACAGGATGACACAGACGCGGAGGCAGTGGAATTTGGAACCGCAATTCTGCATAAGGCTGAGGACTTGCCAGGGCTCCATTCACAGAATGACAGTCGCCATGATGAAGATGGCGTGCTGGTCGAAAAGGACCCAGAAAGTATGTCGGAGGCCGAACAGGCTCAGGCTTATAAGAAGCTGTATCGTAAACCTGCTTTCCGACACACTGGCAAGCCATACGGTAACACACTGCACGATTTGGACCGCGCTCGGCTCCATTGTAGACTCGAAATGGGCAAGATCCTCAACGAGGTAGGTTTTATATGCTTCTTTCATCATTATTACTCTTGTTGACGCCGATTTTTTCACTAGATCCATGCTATCGAGGCCGACCCATCGAAGGCTGCTACTGCCGATCCTAGTGCAGTATTCCTCAACCCAGCTATTTTCCGCAAATTGTTGCCAACCAAAGTGGATATTGACCAGAAGGGCCCTGCTGTATGGAGAATTAATCCTTATCTTTGAGCATTATTCTTCATGCTCCATTGTGAACAAAATTCTGACTAGCTTTTTAGCAGGTTATCGCCAATGTGTTTTATCCCACTTCTCAAAAACCCCTCCCAAGCCCCATCGACGAGTGGAAGAATAAGATCCCGTCAATAACAACTCAGAAGCTTAGAATGACAGGCTTTGGAGGTGTTAGCGATACCAATTACGCCAAAAAATTTGAGCAAACCCTATTTGAAGATTTCAATGGTGTTCCAGTTCGTGCGCCAAACACAAGTCATATTGAAAAGATTACAGTCTACTCGATTGCTACCGGTGTTACTGGCATTGAGATCAAATATCAGGGTCAGAAAAGCCCTCGGACGATTGGTAAATGCAAGGGTGACGGTCCGGAAACCAAGGACTTCCCGTCAAACGATCCGATCACCGGGGTTATCGTTGAAACTGCAAAGCACAAGGGCGTTGCAGGTGTTGTCAAATTGACTTTCAAGACTCGCGCTAATACAGCTCACGAATTTGATTGCAAGAATGTCAAAAAGGCAGATTTGGAAGCTAATAGCGACGATAGTTTCCCAGCTACAGTCGATAACAGTTGGTCACTTCGTGGTCTGTGGGGATCTACTGCTGATGATGATGAGGTTATTGCGCGTCTCGGTGCTATTTTTGAGCACGACCCTTAAAATAGCTTGTTTTCGTCTAGCCCTCGTGAGATCCCTATGGGTCATCTTGTATTCAACTGTTTATTCTAGTTTTTGATATTGTATTAAATGACTTCACTCGTGACATTCGATGCTCAAATGTAAAGAAAAATTCCTTCAAGAGACACTCTGCCATGACCCAACGTCGTTTGGTAAAACCGGTCGTAAGCGTCGAATCTGTTCTGTTCAGCCGGACTCGCCAGTGAAAGGGCAGGCTATGAAGGTATTTGCATTCACACTGGTATCCATTGTAGGATGAAACTCTCCACATCCTGCTTCAACTGGGAATTATCATTACGTGATCAGGAAAGGGATGAAGGTAATTCGTCAGATTCCAAGATGAGCCTCAAGTCAAAATGGCCGATAGAATCTTCATTGATGGTATACCGGTACTTCATACCACTTCAACCTAAAGACTTTAGTAGAAATCACTGACAAAAGAAATACGACGACAGTGAGAAAAACAATCAAGTAATCAATAGATTAAGTGAAACTGCAAACGCTCATCCATCGATGTCAAGCGACATTCCCCTTTCCCGCGTGTCGCTTCACCATCCCAGTAGCATTGACTTTAGCGAAAAACCTAGGGTTAAGCTAAAATACAAATAAGCCACTATGTCTCTGCTTCCAAATGAGCCTCTGCACTAAGAATGCGTTGAGTGGCAGTTTCCGTCTTATGGAATCGCCATGGCATGATCTTTCGTTCAAAGAGCTCATCAATCTCAGCATTGGAGCGACTACATAGCACTGTCAGATCTCGGAGAACACTCGGGAATAAATCTAGATGGTAACACTCACTTAGCAGTCTCGGGGATCAGAAACCACATTCCGACTGTAAACGGAAGACCAACTCCCGCGTAAAACCAGCCCGTCTTCAGGTTCCAGTTCCATTCATTCGCGTTAACCATATGCGGCGTGAGTTGTCCCATGATTATTCCTGCAATCGCCGTCGTTGCAGCTGCAAATCCTGCAGTATAGGGCCGCAATCGTTGAGAGGATATTTCGCCAATATAACCCCAGCCAGTTGCGCCGTTCGCTGCTAATCCCAGATCTGGAAGGCCATCTGTCAGTATTTCCCATCTTTTTGGAGGGTATATGAAAACTAAACGGGTTATGAAAATCGGGTCACTTACTCCAAAGACAGGCGAATACTAAGAATACGGGTATCGATGCCTGACGTCGAGGCACAACACCGATGATTCCGATCGCCACATCCGAGACCCAACAAAGTGTTGTAGCGCAGCAAGCAATTCGTCTCCGGCCAACAAAATCGGCAGCCAAAACCGTGCAGATAACAGACGCAATTTGAATGGACGATGTGATTGCTGTTATTTTGAAAGGATCACTGATACCAGCCTGGCCGAAGAAATAGGAGCCATAAGTGCCGAAAAGACTCAGTCCGATGAATTGTTGTGTGAGATTGGTCCACAAGGAAACAATTGTTCGCAATCTGTCGGTGCCTCGAAAGATCGCATACCATTTCTCCTTTTGCTGCTCTGATGCGATGGCGCGTTCGTGTTCGACAGCTAGGGAAAGAACCTCCAATTGCCGCTGGACATTATAATCTCTGACCCCTCGATTGATTTTCAGCAGCTCCCTTTCTGCTCTTTTGAGATGACCGGCACCTACACACCAGGCTGGTGATTCGGGTATGAGGACATAGATCAGGAACATAATACCGATCTGCGCCCACTGGGTATAAATAGGGATCAAATAATCTGTTGGGTTATCTTCGTAAATCATTTGTAGAGCAAGATGGGCCATGAAGCCGCCGAGAGTCCACCAAAAACTATAGAACATCAGCAACCCGCCACGGATGCGTACCGGTGCAAGTTCTGTGATGTAAGTTGGTATAGTCGTCTGCAGACAACCGACGCCGATGCCTGCGAGAAGTTTGGCGACTAGCCAGACTTGCCATGTCCTAGCAAGAGTCTCACAGAGAACGCTGGCCACAAGGATAATCCAGTATATGAACATGGCGACCTTTCTACCATATCTGTTGGATAAGAACGGCAGAGAAACCATACCAATGACTTGGCCAACGGACATAATGGAACCCCACGCAGCGACGATATTTCCGACCAGATAGGGTTTCCCATTTTTAGATGCGGTAGCAAAACGGGCCACGAAGCCAGTGTTGGCGATAATACTAGCATTTATGCTACAAGTTTTACAGAGTCAGTATCAAGTTTTGGGTATCATAAGTTGGAAAAGAATAACAATATTTGTCACTGACCCAACCTGGTATCCATCCGCAGCGGCGCTGAAAGCGGCAACAAAGCAAATCAAGGCGCACAACTTGAAGGCTTTGACAGTCTGCCACGGAGTTAGATGCTCGTAGCCGGAGACAGCCTGGCCATTTAGTGCGGCATTCATGGTAGCATCATGCTTTAGTGCACCCTCATCTTGAAACTCAACGTGATTTGCGGCGACGCTTGACTTCGTGGCCACTACAGTCGATGTCATGGCTAGCAGTTTTGCACAGAGATCAGTGTAGAATGTTGATATATGAATTATGATAGCCGAAGACTTATGGTCAGGGAAATAAGGGTTTTAAATAGCTCTACTTCGGCACCTGCGGTGACCAAGGTATGAACTGAAAGTGGGTGATTGGAAGCATTCGGCTCAGTCGGTAGAGAAAAAGCCGAGATAACTCCTTCACTGCTGCTCCAGAGAATTGCACAGGTGAACTATTTCGGATAACAGATCTCATTCATGGCGTCCGAACAAGGTTGATGAAGCTGTCATGGGATTACAGCAAAAAAATTCTCCTCCTTTATCGGCAATTGATGCTTCCTCCGCATTTCCCCACACTCTCCCCATAAGCTAGGCCAGAATTTGGTTTTGTGGATACTATGGGTAACCTTAAATCCCGACAAAATGTCGGAAAACGCGATCATTTGATAGTGCAGATATCGCGTCACTCTGCTCGTGTCTCTTCGGCTTCAATTTGCCCGGCGGGTAGTATGCGGTTGCTTTGGATATCACTGCGCACTAGTTTTTGGTAGGCAAAGGTGATATTGAATACTCAGACACCGAGTTCTGGGTTTTTTCCCATGGCTTCACCGTTTCTATAGTTGCATCGCTCGGTCAGAGACAGACAATGTGTAATAGATAGCCGACTATACTCGAGCATTTATTCCAGTTTTCTTGACGAGGTTGGGGGAGGGCACTCATAAAATCTTGTTTTCGCATTCTTATGAAAGTACAGCCGATCAATCCCCTAAATACTCATCATCACTCGTATATATAAAGGTTCCCAAGAACCTGCAGATGTCAGGGGTGAATTTCTCAACCTGAAATACATCCAAGTCATCTTATCCTTCAAACCATGCATCTCCCTCGGTCAACTGCAATTCTCGCCGCCCTATGGGTTGTTGCTGGTTCTGTCGAGGCAGCCCGTAGTCAAGAGGGACTTGTGGACGTCGAACAGAAGGCGACCATCCCCCCACCAGCACCTGAACCCATTCGGATCGTCGAGTTGCCTCTGCCTCCAGTCGCAACTAGCGACGACGTTGGTGCATGCACGTTGGAGATCAACCCTCGCAAGACCGGTTGTATGGGTAAAGGTTCCTTCTTTCAAAGTGGGAACTTTCTCCCAAATGATAAACATGTTGTTGCACTTGTCAACTTCACAGGTGCCCCGGATTCTCCTGATCCAGCAAGCATTTACTCGGGGCTACAGTTGATACTGATCAAGGCTGATGGTACCAATTTTACCAACGGAGATCCGTGGAAATGTGTCACCTGCGGAGTGCCGCCAGAGAATATGGTTAACACAAGCCCCTTGTCCACTTACCCTCAAGCATTCCGAGATGGGTCCAGGGTCTTAGCTGGCTATAGTATTGTCGATTGCGGCACCGAGCAGCTCGCGAGCGACAGTTGTACTTCGAATAAGATTCACATCTATCCTCTTCGCTGGAATGTCAACGCCGACGGTTCAGGGTCAGGAGGGGATATTCGAGAACTACGTATTCATCCAGATAACATACATTTGGGTTTCAACGCTGAGACTTTCACTGGCACAACTTTGGGGGAATTTTCCTACTTTGGTCGTCTAGAGTTCAATGCGTCACCAACAGAAGGGATCCCTCTTTCGGCACGCTACGACATCGTCAATGTGACCATTCTTCACCAAGATGATGGTCCGCAGGTGCTCAGCACCAATGGGAGTGAGTTGATTTTCAACCCTGAGGCTCTCAACGTCGGAGAGTTCCGTGGTTTCAGTGGGCTCGGTGACGAGGTTGCTTATTTAGGACCAAACGTCGAGTCGGGCAACTTCGATGTCTTTGCGGTAAACATTCAGACTGGCAAGGTCCGCCGAATAACAAGTGATACTGGCTACACCGATCCGCTTCATATATCCCCGGATAACCAGTGGTCAGTTGTTTTGACGACGCTTAACAGTAGTCGAATGGAGTTTTTGTCAGGCATGCGCGGAGTTCCTCCTCTCACTGACACTATCTCAGTCGGAGTAACTGCCTCGGTACGCAATAATCTCAATCGCCGCTTCTTCCAACCCTGGCTTCTGGACTATTATGGTAGCCGCGACTCGTATAATGGCCAAATGATAAACGCTGGTGGCGATTGTACGCCAGGCAGCATTAATGATCCAAACTGGAATGCCATGGCAGATCCCAAATGGTCAAACGATGGCACAATGATTGCATATTACCAGACTCTGGTTGTATCCCCCGAATGTGGAGGGCTGAACCCACTGCCTTGTCCTGTTTCCACAGCCCCCGGAGGACGCACGTCTCGTCTGATGCTCGCAACTCTGATCAGCCGTAAGCCTCTTGATATGCCGCCTGTACAGCCTGTCTCTGACTCAATCCCATGGGGAACACGTTATATTCCTGGAAGCGCACCACCATCTTCTCCACCCCTCCTAAACGGCAGCTACACGTTACAAGGGAAAGTCGAGGGTCATGCTCAAGCAACATTTACCCTGGCCGAAGCAGGAAATTATATCCAAAATGTGGCTGTTGAGTACTCCAATTACTCGGACGACGGCATTCAATTTATTTCGGGGTTTGAAAATGTGACCGCCACACCTCTCAATCTAACTTCGACTTTACTTGACTGGTACGCGAATATGACATCTGTTGGCGAGGTCATCAGTACCAAGTTTACAAGCGATGATGGCTTCCACGTTGTGGATGACGAGGAATGGGATGTGTTCATCGCAAACGGTTCACTCACAACTACAGTTGGCTCTGTATTGTACACGCAGCCTTTCAATTACTCCTGAGCTCTAGCAAGTACTCAGTCAATCAACCGCAATTCCTGTATCGATTGACTTCACCGATAAACAAACTTGGATGCTCATGTTTTGGCGCAAAACAATCTGGTAGCTTCACTATACTTAATTGTCTAAGCTAACTACAGTCCATTAATCATTTAGAATAAGGAATAACATGAATGATTATTAGAAAGACATCTATGAGCTGGATCCAAGAATTGCCAGAGAGTATTAAAAGGCTGTTTGATGCAACCTCACGCCTTTGGAGGTAGGATTGGAACCGGCCATTCGTAATCTCTACTGAAGGTTCTCTTGAATGACCACTCTCCATGGCTAACAATTTCTGTTTCACCGACCGAGTCATCAGGTATGACAATCTCACAAATTGTGTTGTGCGGTACAGATACTTTCATCTTTATTGTGTGCAACCCGTCTGCTGAAGCATTAGTTTCCCAAGAGCAAGCAATTGTTCCTTGAGGAGTAATGTGAGATGCAGATGCCTGTGAAAACTCAGCACCTATACGAGGGGCGAATCGGAATCTTTTCCAACCAGATTCCAGTCGTTGTAAGCCCGCAACTCTCTCATACATGAATTTTGCGATACTGCCAAAAGCATAATGGTTGAAGGAAGTCATCTCCCCAGGATTGATGGTACCGTCTGGTAGCATGCTATCCCATCTTTCCCACACAGTAGTTGCGCCCATTGTGACTGGATAAAGCCAAGATGGGCAATTCTTCTCGAGAAGCATTGAGAATGCTACCTGTGTATGTCCAGTACGTACCAGCGCTTCGCATATGTAGGGTGTGCCCGCGAAGCCAGTGCCGATCTTGAATTCATTTTTCCGAACTAGCTCTTCCAAGCGCCGTCCAGCTCTTTCTGTCTGTGAAGGAGATAGCAAATTAAAGCATATGACCAAGGCATAGGCTGTTTGGGAATCGGACACCATACGGCCATTCGGAGTCACGTATTCTGCTTGAAAATCTTTCTTTGCATTCTGAGCTTCCTTCGTAAATTCATCTTGGTCAGTATCTCTACCTAGGATACCAGCGACACGAGCAATTAGATCCAGACTCTGAATCAAGAAACAATTAGCAACCATTTTTGCATCAGTGGCTCCTTTCCAGGGCGCATCGGGCGGAGCAGCTGGGTCAAGCCAATCCTATTTTAGGCGTCAGTGAAATAAGCCTTCATTTTTCATCAAAAAAAAACTTACACCAAGTTGGAATATATTGTTATTCCACAAATGCGTGGTACCTATTGAGTTTCGTGGTATTTTTCTGATCCATGTTGTCATACTGGAGTATTGTTGGCTCAAGATATTAATGTCCCCTGTTTCTTCGTAAAGAGCAAAAGGGCCTAATATTGTAACGTCGTGCCAAATGGCACATGGAATTCTTCTGCACCAAACAGGATCTGGGAGCGTCGCATTAGGCGTAACCATTGATGGGACACCACCCAAAGTTCTCTGCTCATGTTTGACATCAACAAACCAGTTCTTGAGCATGCTAAAGCAATCATAGATCAAAGTTGCAGTAGGTGCAAACAAAGCTAGATCACCAGACCATCCCATTCGCTCATCGCGTTGAGGGCAATCAGTTGGTACCGACAGAAAATTGCCTCTCATCCCCCAGCAGATATTTTGATAAAGCTTGTTGAGGAGCGGGTCGGAACAGGAGAATGTGCCGGCCTTTTTCATGTCTGTATGACAGACAGCGGCCTCAATAGATGTCTCCAGGTCATGCTCACTGACCCAGCCGTCGATTTGCGCGTAACGGAACCCGTGGAAAGTGAATCGAGGTTCATATGATTCACCCTGCTCATCTCCTTTAAGTGTATAAGTGTCGATCGCTTGACAGATTCTCAGGGGCCTGGTTCCAAGCTCATGGTTTTCTAGGACTTCGGCATGAGAGAGAACAATTTTGTGACCTCGAGGACCTTTGATATTTCGGAGCCTCAAGTAACCAACCAGGTTTTGGCCAAAGTCAAGAACAATTTTACCGGAAGGTGTTACAATCTTATGGACAGGTCTGATCGCCTCCACGCGCCTGACTGGCTCTCCGAAACCAGCAGTGAGCTCGATGGAAGCGGGTAATGGTTCCATTACCAAGGCAGTCTCCCAACCTTCATCACTACCAGTGGATGGATAACTCCAACCTGGGACTTCCTGTGTAGCATCATACTTTTCACCATCGTAAAGCTCTGCGAGTTGTATAGGTCCCTTCCTGACCTTCCACGAATGGTCTGACGCTATGATCTCAACTTGCCCGTCGACATACTTAATTTCAAGTTGAGCTAGCAATGCAGGGTGTGGACCCCAGATATTGCGATGGCCTCCTTCAAAGCCGATACGACCGCAGAACCAGCCTTCAGCAATGCGGACTCCAATACAGTTCTTGTCGCTCTCCAAGAAAGATTTCACGTCGTAGGTCTGGTACTGAATTCTGCTGTCGTAAGAAGTCCAACCAGGAGCAAGGAAGTAGTCGCCGACTCGTTGGGCATTTATCTCTGCTTCGTACACCCCCTGAGCGGTTATATAAAGGCGGGCTTCACTGACTTGCCCTTTGAGTGAGAATTCCCTGCGAAATAACTGCTCAGGCTGGGGTTCGAGGACCGTACCCCAAGGTGCAACGATTCGATCAGCTTTCCAGTCACTGCGAACCAGAAGGCCTGTTTCTATTTTACGTCGCTCGCTCCATGGCGTCGAGTATCCGTTTTCATCCCAGGCTCTAACTCGAATAGAGACCTTCTGCCGCGACTTCAGAGGTTGAGAAAGCGGCCAGGGGACCAGCGAAGAAAGCGAGGACTTGCACTTGACATTCTCAAGTAGAACGAACTGCGAGTCTAATGAAATCTCTGACAGTTCAACTTCGTAGCCTTTTTGTTGAAAGTCAGTGGGCGTGTCCTGGAAACGCCATGAGATTCGAGGTTTGAGTTCTTGAACCCCAAGTGCGTCTCCCTGGTAGTGCTCGAACTTAACGTCAATAATTGAAGCCATTGTAAAATCATGTTCTTCTTATCCCGTATGAAGGGGAGAGCAGGAAAGATAGAATGTCGTGTGTATTTAAAGATTTCCCCACAAATGAGAATATTAGGTATGACGAAGCAAGAAGACCTTAGCGGGCTATACTTCGGCTAATCCATAAAGCAAGTAGAATACGAAGCCCCATAATAACGACAAGTTTCTTTTTGGTGAGACTTTCGGTTCAAGGCTCTCAAGAATACTTCGGTGCATGTTAAGCCGAGATTCTAGTCGACTTGTATGTTTCGTTTTAAAATTAGTTTGGTTCTTTATAACACTGGCCTAACCTTATAAGTTCTAGATTGTCAATGAACAGGAGCTCTTGAGTGGTGGACCTAGTGCTTTGTTGGAATTATGCTTAAATAAATTGGTTACATGCCGCTATTCATGTCTCCGTCCCACAAGACTACTTCTTATCCTCCTTTGTCTCGTTGAAATACTTGGAAAGGTTATTCTCTACCTGCAACTTCAAATCCGTTACACAGCTTCACTTTATAACGCAGTCGTCGCTCCACGACCAAGATGAATATCAACATGTTCAAGTCCGGCGACAGCCTTTTGGAGGTCAAAGGGCCATCTTTAGATGAGCTACCACCAGTCCAGGAGCTTCCACTCCCCCCAAATTTCGTCTGGGGCGCTGCCACGGCTGCATATCAGATTGAAGGAGGAGCATACCAGGATGGCAAAGGGAAATCCATCTGGGACACGTTTAGCCACCTGGAACCGTCGCGCACAAATGGCGAAAACGGTGATGTGGCCTGCGATCACTTCAATCGGGTGGCAGAGGATGTGAAGTTAATGGCCTCGTACGGCATGGAAGTGTATCGCTTCTCGATTGCCTGGACGCGAATCATCCCATTAGGCGGGCGTCATGACCCTATGAACGAGCAAGGAATCAGCTTCTATAACAATCTTATCGATCAACTCTTACTACATCACATAGAGCCGGTTGTGACACTGTACCATTGGGACTGTCCTCAAGAGGTATACGATCGCTATGGCGCTTTCCTTAATAAGGAGGAATTCCAAGCCGATTTTGAACACTATGCAAGGATCTGCTTCTCCCGCTTTGGTGATCGTGTTAAGAAATGGGTTACTTTCAATGAACCTTACATTATCGCAATTTTTGGTCACCATAGCGGCGTGCTTGCACCCGGACACAGCACTGCAACTGGAAGGGACTCTCGGACAGAACCATGGCAAGTCGGGCACACCCTCATCCTGAGTCACGCCGCAGTCGTCCAAGCATATACAACCGATTTCCAGATATCGCAAAAGGGGGAAATCTCGATCGTCTTGAACGGCCATTTCTACGAGCCCTGGGACCCGAGCAGCGATCTGCATATAGAGGCGGCCCAACGCAGACTGGAATTCTACATCGGCTGGTTTGGTGATCCAATCTTCCTCGGACAGGATTACCCCGAAACCATGAAAAGCAGGCTGGGTGATCGGTTACCCAGGTTCACGACGGGGGAGCTTGAGCTCCTCCGCAGGCTAGCTCCGCATAACGCGTTCTACGGAATGAATCACTACTCCACCAAATATGCACGAGCTTTACCGGGACCTCCTGCAGACGATGACTGTACGGGAAATGTAGAAGAGGGCTCTACTGACTGCCAAGGCAAAGAAATTGGGCCGGCTACTGGAATGCCCTGGCTTCGGGTTACGCCTGTTGGGTTTCGGAAGCTCATGAAATGGGTCTGGGATCGATACCACGTACCCATTATTATAACTGAGAATGGGTGTCCGTGCCCCGGAGAAAACAAAATGACCCTGGAACAGGCGCTGGATGATAAGTTTCGGGTAAGATACATTGGCTTGTATCTGGATGCAATTTCACATGCCATCAATGAAGATGGGGTGCAAGTTCTGGGGTATTATGTTTGGAGCTTGATGGATAATTTCGGTACGTTGTATACTGTCTTTGACTCATCTTTACCTATTGGCCTTTAACCTGCAACAATTATTCTGACAATTACCTATCGTACAGAATGGTCTGCGGGATACGGTCCACGTTATGGGATCATGCATGTCGATTACGACACCCTCGTGAGAACTCCAAAAAATTCAGCATATTACTTACAAAAGACCTTTGCTGAACGTAGATCGAGAGGGAATTTAGTTGATACCTGATTAAGGGAAGCTTAGTCTGATGACTTTAGATTAGCATAGATTCTACCAAACAGACTATGATATTTTTCTTCTTTCGGATATTTTAATGTCACTAATAACACGAGACGAGCACTAAACGTAACTCTTTCTAAGATGGTACTATCGACTCAAGGCAAATAATACTGTCGCAGCCAATGGCAAAGTTTTCCGCCAGTTTCCCGACGTGGCCTTCGGCTGTTACCCACTCGGCAATTGACAGATTACTCTATACGCGTATTTTTCGTATGCACTGACCAGCGCCATGCTGAGAACGCTGTCGGGAAACTGGCGGAGAACCTTTGCTACAATCGAAACTTGTATAATCCTAATGGTAATTCACATTCTGGACTCGGAGTTGTATATGCCGAGGAGAGGGGAAAGGAAAGAAAATGAGGAACAGACAACTCTTCTGAGCCCTTGATTTGATACCACAACTTGAGTCAATTCATTTTAAGAAGCAATGATATATATATGGTAGAGCAATTTACGACTGAACGTTCAGTGTGGCATTTGACCTTATTGACATGAAAATTGCTGAGAAAATAGCAAAGCGTTGGGCAAATTGCATTGTATCTTTGCAAATTTCGATAAGAAGGGTTTAGAAGGCAACAGGAGAATATGTTGGTCGATAATCAATCGTTCCGGTTTTAAGAAAAAATTATCCGTCATTCAAATAGGTATTGACTATCTGATATATCAAATCGAGGGATGCTATTCGAAAAATCGTGCATGTGTAGAAGTCGGGAGTATAGATATTATTTCGGCGTGGAAATGGTTATTGACATTTTACCTCAAATACCTTGACGAGAGATATCTACTGCCCCAACTGACCAAACGACAAGATAGATCTGTCCCATTCCAATCCAGCATCCTCATCTCTTTCCTTCACCGGGCGTTCATTATCCAATATAAACTTCAGCATCCACTGATCCAACCGAAACGAATCTTCTTTACTCTTCAAGCAAGCATTATGAAACGCCTTCAATCTGCCGAGCGAAGCATCCACGCAGGGCCAGTATTTCCGAAGGGAATCGATGATCTCAAAATTGCGCTCTAGACGGTATCTGGCCGCGCTTATCTGGTCGTCATTGGGGCTGAAGAGTAGGATGTATATGTGGACTGTTGAGGCGATGACTAGTACGTGGCACATGAGAGAGTAGGAAACTTCAGATGTTGGGCTTTCTCTTGCTTGATAGACAATCTCACATAGATTTGCTGCGTGTTGAGCGCATCTTTGAGCGTAGTGATAATGGGACTTTGAGGCATGGGCGGCGGAATTTCCGTCAAGCTCCTGGCTGTCATTCAAGAATGGGTAGAAAAGGAGTTGGCCCACGTGGTTGTAGTTGATATGAAGATTCACGAAAATATGCCCAAAACCTTGACTTGCCCAGTACGAAACATTATCTGGCGTGTTGCGCATGTTGATAGGAAGTTCCCATAACCAAATGTCGAGAGACGCGGATAGATTTCGAACTGAAACTTCGAGGGTGCCATACGTCATCTGTCCTGAAACGAAAATTCTATATATTTTGTTTGTGTCCCACAGGAAATGATTCAGCTTGATCATTTGGGAAATCAGGGACGAAGAACAGCCTGTGTCTGTAGATGTTGATCCGTCTGTTGCAAAGGATTGTGGGGGATCGTGTAAACCCAAGCGAGAGAATGCGATTTCATCCATGGGTAATGGATCATCATTGCATGGCTGTATTGCCCTGGGGAGACAGAGGGCAGCCGATGACCAGGTGTCAGTGGCGACCAATGACCACCAGACTATTGAGCAGCAAAAACAAATTAGTAAATTGTCACATACATGCTTTTAGGCTACCAAATATTAACAATACCTCTGACATTAATTTCCTGATCGATGCGAGTTCTTGATAGTGCTCTAGGAAGGTCCAGTATCATAGCCATCCGAGCTGCAGCGCTAAAATAAACGGATTCAGTGGCCGGATTCCCTTCGACCCCCTGAATAGCACCTAGTAGCATGCATGCTTGAATGGTAGTCAGGGACGTGTTCTGTAAGTCAAGTAGTCTAGTTGCCTCTTCTGCGTATAGCCGACCACGTTGTCGAGGCTCAATATCTGCAAGGCTGGGATGCGATGAAAATCTAGCGGACAACGCGATCGCGCCGAAGAAAAGAACTTTGGGGATGGTACCATCTCTAACAGCGGACATAAATGACGGTTCGTGAAACAAGTTATGAAATACAATGTGAATGTAGCGGAAGTATAGTTGAACAAGCTCGACTGAGAAATCCTGGTCTGGTACGATGTCAGGGGCAGCAGGGGCGAGCATCTCATCCTCGTCGTAGTAAAGCAGGGGATCGTATTCCCGACCGTCCGAGCGAATGACAGAATTTCGCATGAACGAACATTTCAGCCCCCTTTTGATGCAAAAATTGCAGCGGGCCTCTCGTGGGCGGCGATGGCATTTTTTGCGCCGTTCACTAGAGGGTTCGCGTTAGAATGCTTTAATAAGCTGCCGGAAATGGGAAGACTGAACCTACCGGCAAGCGACACAAGCTGATTGTGGTCTCATTTGATCATGTTTTAATGGTGGATTCAATAACTTATCGTTGGATTAAGACGACTTACGGTCAACGAAACCGTACCAAGATTGTCGGGGGAACAGAGTGTGCGGGGAAGACTCCACGCCCACATAACCCACCGATTTATTACATTTTCAACCTAGTAGATTGGTATGAGAATCGACATCATATGGCTTCATGAAGGATAAAATGAAGCATGTCCAGCATGAAAAGCAAACTAGTCCCTAACATAAAACCGCACCCAGGTACCTCGACTGAGATTTTGACCCTAGGGTTGATTCGTAATACGCCCCTTAACTGTGTAACGTAATCGGTAAGCGAGTTGGCCATGTAAGCGGGTTGGCCACCTTCAATACACATACAGAATGGCCTATATTCGTACCCTCATTANGAGTTGGCCATGTAAGCGGGTTGGCCACCTTCAATACACATACAGAATGGCCTATATTCGTACCCTCATTACTCTACATCACAGACCTATCTCTATGTTATCTGATATATATATCTTTAATATATCATTATCAACCTATCAAGAAAGTATATAGGGGTTTAAGTAACTATATCTTTGAGTGGTTCATATTTTGCATAATTACACCGGTTTTCAGTCGTATTATATATAAAATGGTATGATCACTACTTTACACTAGTCTTAATTAAATATTTTTATTATATTAAGTGACCTAATACTAACATATGAATCACGAATCGAGATTTCCACTGGATGTTGAGTCATGATGGTATAAACATAGGCCATTTTGTATGTGTATTGAAGGTGGCCAACCCGCTTACATGGCCAACTCGCTTACCGAATACGTTAGATCGGATCGGCGTCAAGTTGGTCATCGCTATCGCGTCCAGGATGATTTCGAGAGGATGATTTGCATTCGGATGTACGACATAGGTTTCAAAGTGCCTGGTTTTCGATAGAAGCAAGCCACCGAGCATGAATCGATCGAGGTGGGATAGGAAAGTACGTGTCGGATGATCCGGCTGTTTACGATGTAATATTACGAAGTGAGACATCAGAAGAGAGGGTCGGAAGTGAGATGTTTAGTTAATCGGAGTTATTGATACTGATCATTTTTAATACGCAGTCGATGTTGATCTATCTACGTACCTTGCTGTCTGTACAAAAGATTCGTGTTGCTCAAAATTGCTTCCGAAGTACGATAACAACGTTGTAATAGTTGTATGAATATTCTTTTCTGAGAATCGAATACGTGAAACTAGATCCATTATTAAGGCTTAGCCATCGGTACAAGTAGAAATAGAACAGTCAAGCTTTTCCCGGCCCACCGAAGATAGCCCATCCGTTCTTCCCGCTTGGACTTCCATCCTCGACTCGATTGGTGGTGTTTTGCTAGCTATGGGTCTGAACTCTGGATCTTTGGAGGGGCATGCATACGTACGAACGCCCATATTCCATTACAACGTAATTTATGGATGACGCATTTGTAGCCGACCAACGGCCAACTGGCAATGACTAACCAGTGGTGGCATCCCGCTCGTTGTTTCAATGCACCCGATTCGATGGATCGAGTCAGGATTTAGTGTGGTGTCGAAGAATGACCTAGCAGGCTTCTATTTTCTTCTATGGTTTCCAATTTCATTTTATTCATCTCTAGTTCTGTCCTTCTCATCGTAAACATTTTTGGTTTTCATGGTTGAGCCACATATCTATCGCGCTCCTTGGGAGTCGATGTATGAAGCCGCGATAGGTCACAGTGTATTCTAAAACACCACGGAACTCCACGGATAAGGAAGGGTCTACGACTATCGGTCGCTTGAGATTTGCGATTGACTCGCGTCAAGAATTGAGTCTCTGCTCGAGCTGTCTCGGGAACACAATATCTGTATTCGTTCACACCCAAACTTGAAACCAACAGACCGCCATCAGTCAAAAATAATGACCCTCTCAGCCTCAGCAATCATCGTCATCGTCGTGGTCGTCGCCGCGCTATGTGTAACCATCCTCTGGACATTCAGCGGCTACTATCGACGCACATCTACGATGGAAGAAGCAAGCAACCAAATTTCTCACGAACAAGACGCATACATGCGGCAAGTCCGCCAACGAAATCACGAATACGCTTACTCCGAGTCAGTCTTCGGTGGTGGGCGCACGTCACGGACATATTCATCGAATCCGAATAATATTGATACGACGACACCGAATACGCCTATGACACTTGCAGGAGGAACTGGGACTCCGGGATGGGGGGCAAAAAGGACGAACAGCAATGGGAAACAGAGTCTGGGTCAGGGTTCAGCGAACATCCTGCAGCAGGAGAAGGATGGGTCGAGGGTGGATTATTCGACGTATGAATCGGCGGAGTATTTTGAGCAGTCGCCTTATGAGAGTAACGATTACTATCATGGGTATGAGCAGCAACCGCAGCTGTAAGTCCACTAATGCCGAAGCTTGCAATGGACGTTGTTAATCGGGTAATAGGAATGAAAAGGCTCATCATGTTCCACCGGAACAACAAGTTTGATACAGATGTCTAGATGGACCGCCTCGTGATTTTGGAATGCCTAGTCTCCCTTTTGTGCAGACGGTGCCGACGGAGTTGGGGTTGAGCAATTGGATGGCACATACGGAGTTTTTTGTTCCCACATTACACGCCTAAATGAAGAAGAATTCTACGACCATGCAGTATATGTTTTCACAGACTAAGAAATCTCAATTTGATCCACAAAGTTTTCATGGAGCTATCTCCTGATACAATACTGACACTGCCTGAACCATTCCTAAGCAATCCAATATCAAGTTGAGTTAGTATGTTGACTTCAAAATTCCATCAAATTTCATTCCTCGCAAGAAAATCCAGAATGAGTCCACCAATCTCCTCCGTCTCCGTCTCAGCAGCAAAATGCCCGGCATCCAGCAGATGCACCTCTGCCTTTGGTAAATCGCGCTTAAAAGCCTCAGCTCCAGGGGCAATGAAAATGGGATCATTCTTTCCCCAAACTGCCAATAGCGGAACCTGCGATTTGCGGAAATACTCCTGAAATCGAGGGTAGTTCTTTACATTGTTCTGGTAATCCCAAAATAGGTCTATTTGGACATTATCATTACCTGGACGTTGAAGCAAAGCGTAATCAAGCGTATAAGACTCCGGCGCAATAACCTTGCCGGGTGATGTGCCTTGTGTGTATTGTCCTTTTGTAGCTTCGAAAGTGAGAACCGCTGCTGTTATAGCAGCGCGGGTGTTTGCGTTATCTTTATCACCGCTTGCCCAGTAATCACGCAGAGGCTGCCAGAAGTCTCCAAGTCCATCTTCGTAGGCGTTGCCGTTTTGTGTTATAATGGCCTGTATAGCTTCTGGTCGTTTCAGTGCCAGTGTCAACGCTGTTGGCGCGCCGTAATCAAATATGTAGACAGAAAACTTCGCGATAGATAGAGTATCAACGAATTCTAGTATTGCGAGAGCAAGATTGTCAAATGTATGTTTGTAGTCATCAGCTACTTCGGTGAAGCCGAATCCAGGCAGATCTGGTGCAATGACTCGGTACTTGGTTGCGAGCAGGGGAATGAGGTTCCGGTACTGGTGGGAGGAGGAGGGAAAGCCATGGAGTAGAAGCACTACTGGAGCATTGGCAGGGCCTGCTTCTCGGTAGAAGATTCGAGACTTTAGGGTTGGAAGTTCAAGGTATTTGACCTGTGTGATACTTTGAGAGGACGCCATACTCGAAAATCTCTAAAAAGTTATGGAGAGCTTGGTAATCAGTGATTTTGAAGTTTGTACTGTTTTTAAGGTTGTTGGTTGACGATGAGAAAGAAAAGGATAGGCAGGAGACTGGCCTTATTTATACTCAAAGCACACAGGATCGCTAGATGAGCCTCTTCGTGAATGACGGAATGCCAATCACAAGATTTACAATCCAACTAGACCTGCTATTCGTTGACAAAGGTAGGCCGTCGTACTACTCTCGTTCCAAGTACGCCATGTCGCAATCGCTAGTCGATCTGACCAATCAATAAGCTGGAACTAATGACAAATTATGGCTGATTACAAATTAAACTATTTTGGCGGGGTCAGCTGAATGCATATTAACTAATATTGATTACAAATATACATCAACTTGTCACTTTTCGTCAGCATCGTTCTTCCAATTGCTTACAAGTCACAAAATCATGTTTGATGTGCCATGGCTCTTGCCTGGTTGAACTATTTGTTAGATGAGGAGACTTTCTATCTACTCAATTGGCAGTGGGCTGGTGTGCAACGCACTTCGGGAAGCCGTGGCTGACAGGCGTTTGTGAGGTTCGAGCTAATCCATTCAATATTTACGCATTCTACTTTTTTCGGTTACTTGTTGCGTGCTATTAAGGACGTTTCAATTTGACTGATTAGTAGGCAGACCCACTTGAATCATCACGAATAGGATTCCTGGATCTCTCTGGCTTCAAATGCTCATCTAGATGATCGACACCATATGACTACGACATGAAACCTGGTACACCATGTACTAGGGATTCTGCGGTACTGATAGAAACATGTAGTAGCAATCAAATCCCTGTTTAAATTATTCATACACCATCATAGAGATTTCCGCCAGCAGCCACATCAATTTCAGTCGCCTCCTTCAGCCCAACGAGCGTGAACAACTTCTTAGGCGTAAAATCAACGCTAATGCCAGTCGTACCAGTATCCTTGATCTGTTGTAGACCTTTGCGAATGCCTTCATACGCTGGAGCTATAGCAGCAAACGGGAAAATAATAATCTTAAACCCCAACTCTTTCGCCTTCTCTGGCGTCCACGAGGGCGTGGCCCCGTGTTCGACCATATTCAGCAAGACCGGAGTAGGTGCAAGGAGACGACATGCTTCTCTCGCTTCGTCTTCTGTTGTAACACCCTCCAGAAATGCGACGTCAGCGCCTGCTTTGATTGCTGCTTTCAATCGTCGTATTGCTTCGTCAAAATCATGGGTTTGAAGGGCATCCGTTCGTGCGATGATGACAATATCCGAGCCTAGTCTCTTGCGCTCCAGCACAGCTGCTGTGATACGAGTCGCAAAGACTTCAATCGGAACGACTTGCTTGCCACCGAGATGTCCGCACCTTTTCGTTTGTATCTGGTCTTCGATGTGCAAGCCTGCTACATTGCTGCGATGGTACTGCGCAACAGTTCGAGCAATCATGTTTGGCCCGCCATATCCTGTATCCGCATCGGCGATTAGAGGGGTTCTTATATCGAGATTTGCGATCATCTCAGCATGTTCACGCATGTCATTCAGAGTTGCGAAGCCCAGATCGGGCTGGCCGAGTTTTGAGGCACATGTACCGGCGCCTGTCTATTTGTGACGCTATCTGTAAGTCAAAATGTAAATATTCAAGAATTCGGTTACGGCATCCCTACCATATAGATGCAATCAAATCCAACATCGAGCGCTATTCTGGCACTAAACCCATCAAAAACCCCGGGCGCAACAACTATGCCCTTCTCGGCAATCAACTGCCGAAGGCGTGTAGCTGGAGGAATAACCATTGTCATTAGTTCTTGAGATTTTGTGAGGTAATGTCAGAATAGTGTTAAAAATGAACCGTAATCTAGTCCGAGCGTCTCTCATAGTGTATTTTATAAATTTTCGATTCTTATGGTACCTTTGATATTGGACGGATCATGACGTTGTTACAAAAGTATCTTGGGACAAGTGGATTTCAAATGGCCCTTCTATCCAATGAGCATTGGGAATTGAGTTTATTCTTTACGAATAGACAAATCACTAACCGATCGTCATACTGGGCAAAATCATCAATTTCTGAACGAGCGGGGTTGCCTTGGTATAGGGCATAGGTTATAAGGTCCGTCACTATCTTAGAAAAGGATAATTGAAGGTATAGTAATTGGACAACCAATCACGAGTCTAGCAGAATAAGTCGTCGAACACTTATTGGTCGTTATTAGACCTAATCATAGAGCAGTTCTATATTCAGACCTCGGCATCGATAATAATAGGCTCACCCAAGTCAACTCCACTTTCTATTCAATATTGCTTGACTTCTACAGGCTGCTTACCGATTGTATATAGGATAATCAAATGATCAAAGACATTCTTACATGCTATTTGCAGGAAGGTAGTCTGCATTACTATTTTTTCGTTGTGATTCTGATTGTCATGCACTTGCAATCGAATTTCTGATCAAGAGGCTATTCTCTAGCCTTGAAAAGGTCTCTTAAATCTCGCTTCAGATTAGAGAAGTAAGAACAAGCATTCTTAACAACTAAAAAGCAGAAAAAAAGCGAAAATGTAGAAGCGGTACCGATTCTGTATAACGGTAATTTCCTGATCAGGGTTCGGTGTTACGGCTTCATCGTGGTCGTCAACTGGAATCAGACTGCATCAATCACAAACGTATCGAGAGTTGGTCAAAGAGTATAATCTAATCATTCTGGCCGATGTCTGATATTAGTAGCCTGAAGTACGAACTAGGCTCAGTAGAGCCAAAAAGTTCCTCCACGGAGGAACATCTGTATTTGAGATCTTGTGGATCGATAATCCGAAGTTTTGATCGAAAGTTGAAGAGGCCAAGATCTACGAGATGACCTTTATTTAATCTATCTTCCTATTGCTTTTTATTCTGAACTTATTCACTATTCAGAGCTGCGAATCAAAATACAATGTCGCACTTCACAAGGCTCATTCGCTTCGAGTCTGCTGGGAACGTACTATTTGCGGATCTCACTTCTGCTTTATCGGAAATACCATCGCTGGGGTCAAAAATCACAGCCTATACAACGTTCGAAAAGCTCATCGAGAATGACGAGCCAGTTCAAGCAGTCGTTGATAAGGTACGGAGCAATTCCCGGTGCCAACTACCCCTTGAGACTGATTACATGAAAAGCTTCTTTCTCCGTTACCGAGGACAGATCTCCCAATATATTGCGTAGGCCTCAATTATAGGTCGCATGCAAAAGAAGCTAATGTTCGTATACGTGACTGCATCACACAGAAAAGTGCAATGCTGACCCAACCTTTACCTTTATTGTAGCTCAATGTCCCGATGCATCCTCCCGTTTGGACAAAGCCTTCTGCCTCGCTTGCTTCGCCGCATGAGGATATTCATATCAGTCGGTATTGCGCATCGAACTTTCCAGACTGGGAGGTATGATTTGCTCTTATAAGCACGGACAAGAATTGAGGATTGAAATTGACACAAGCGTTCATTAGGGAGAATTGGTCTTTGTTACCTCCAAAGAATGTCGAGACGTCACACCCGAAGAGGCTAACTCCTATATCTTGGGCTACACAATAGGCAATGATCTCAGTTGCCGAAAATTCCAGATGCCTGAACAAAACGGTGGCCAGATTTTCTACGCGAAGGCGTTCGATAAATTTGCTCCGATCGGACCAGTGCTCGTCAGCTCAACGGCTTATAAGAATGAGGAGGGATCACGTCTGCAAACACGAGTCAATGGTGAAGTGATGCAAGACGTGGAGATAAAAAACGATGTTATTTTTTCACCTACACAGATTCTTAGTTTTATTAGTCAGAGTAAGTTCACCTTTTCATTCATAAGTACAGGGCAACTAACTATTTTCATAGGCACGACTATCCCGGCATATACGGCAATAATGACGGGCACACCATCCGGAGTCGGTGTTTTCAAGGAACCTAGGCGATTCTTACAACACGATGAAGTCGTAGAGGTAGAGATAGATGGCATTGGCATACTCCGAAACAGGATTGTGTTTCCCGATGGTCAGGATTCAATTATGTGAGCATGTCTCGTCAGTCTCCAACGAAGATTAGTAGCAAATCATCCAGTTAGCTAACCATATTAAACTCAAAGTTTCACATATTTGCGTATTGTTTATGGCATGATTTTGTATCGATTAAGCTCATACTTTTGATGGGATTAATCGACAAATTGGAACCTGTGTTGATATGCAACGAACAATAAATTCGGCGAATTAAATAAAACGGTCTCATATCCACTTGTCTTGAACAGAAACCTAGCCCTAGTCTATGATGTGTCGTTGGTTATCTTATCAAAGAGTAGGCCCTTTAGGATTTTAAAAACGCAGGTGGATAAACAGAGATATACGACGCATCGATGGTGTATAGTACGCCTTGTATTTCTCAAGAAAAAGCGCTGCTTATAGTAAAACCCCTGAAAGTATTTTCTCTAGTCTTTGAGAATGATCAATTCACATTTCATCGTCTTTCCCAACAGCCAGTATTGTTGGGAAGTCCCTTTCTAAAGTTGCTCCGCGGAGCATCTTACAAATACGGCCAAGAGAACGTGAACATACTTGTTGGACTTTAGTAAGCAAGAATATAAATGCGATGAAAGCTGCAAAAGACGTATTAATTCCAAAATAGTGAAATATACCATATTCAATTGAGTGGACACAAAATGGCCGTCGTGGGTTCAATCATATCAAGTCTACCCCAGTGGGTGCAAGAATAGATGATCCCTCCAATGCCAATCCCAGATGTTCACAACAACCCATTCAAGATACAATTAACCCGACTTGGACATGTATATTTCGAGCATCGAAACTTGAAAGAGTTTCAACGGTTCGCCAAGGACTTTGGATTCATCGAGGAAAGACGGATTGGCAACACCATCTACTACCGCGGATATGGTAAAGATCCATATGTTTACGTAGCATCACAGAGCGAGACTCGTTCTTCCAGGTTTCTCGGTCCAGCTTTTGTTGCAAAAGACGAAGAGAACTTTGAAAAAGCGATGAAGCTTGAAGGCGCAATTGTGAAAGATATTAGCCATGCACCAGGGGGAGGTCGTCTCGTCACCGTCCCGCGGCCTAATGGAACATTCATGCATATTGTATATGGGCAAATGGAACGCGAAATTGATCCATCGAGCGAGTTACCTTCAAAGATTGTCGAGTCCCAAGGTCCATTCAATGAACCGTTCAAGAAAGGCAGATTCGGCGTCTTCCAACGCTTCAAACCAGCCCCAGCTCTGGTCCACAAAATCGGTCATCTCGGCTACATCTGTTGCGAATTTGATCAGGAACTTAAGTTTTATACCGAAAACTTCAACTTCGTGCACTCGGACATTTTGAGCCACGAACAATTTGGCTGGGTAGATTTCATGACGTTTATGCATCTCGATCTCGGTGAGGAGTACTCGGATCACCATGTTTTCTTCCTCTCCCGTGCTCCGCCTGGAACAACAAAGACATCTGTTCATCACACATCTTATGAAGTTGCGGACTTTGACACACAACTAATGGGGCATCGGTGGCTGGAAGAACAGAAATGGCGCTCTGTCTGGGGTGTGGGGAGACATGTGCTAGGCAGTCAGATATTTGATTACTGGCTAGATTCGAGTGGCTTCAAGGTTGAGCATTATGCCGATGGGGATGTGGTCAATACCGAATACAAGAATATGCGTAGCGTGGCTGGCCCGATGGCTATATGGGGACCGGAAATCCCGGCTGATTTTGCAAAGAATAAAGCTGGTTGATTTGTTTGTCATAGATATTTATGCTGAGTATCAGGTGGCTCATACGTATACAATACTATTTGCATGCTGTGTGCGTGGATGCGTGATTATATGCACCCGTGGACGTCTCAAAAAATAGATAGTTTCGAAGGATTATTGATGTACGTGAAGGGTTGTTCGATTTATGAGATTCTAGTTTTGAGCATTTCCAAGCACCGTTCCAGCTCCTCAAGTGTTCTGGCTTTGGCATAAATGAATTGATCCGGGCGGATTAATACATACTTTACCCGTAAGCCACCTAAACTACGCATGAATTGATTCTCATCATAGAGTGGGCGGCTGGGGTATCCAGTTAAAACATCTCGGGATGCTAGAAACGATACCGCGCCTTGTTTTATGCGTTGTCCGATCCTCGGCGAGGTCGATGGATCAAAACAGATGATAGACTGTTCTGATAACAGATCTGCCGGGAATTCAAATTTGTTGAGAAGCTTCTCAAGTCCCTCGTGCTCATTCAACTGCGCATCATTCGACGGGATCGGGGAATAAACAACCAACAGCGTGAATATCGTGGGCACGCGGCTCAAAACGATGTCGGAGAGCTCAATTGTGGAAGACTTCGAGTTTGCAGAATAAGTCTGGAGATAGACTTGTGCTACCTTTGACCCGCCATCAAATTCAGCCAGAAAGGTGCCATCTGCGCATGCCTTGTAGCCGTGGGCTACGGTTTGTGCTTCTGGGGATGGTCTTCCCAACATTGATGATATGCCCAAAACAAGTTTCATTATAGGTATCAGAATGCTCATCTTGAAAGTTGATTCCTTGTTGCACAGTTTGCCATTGATGAGGGTGAATCTAGCCGAATTGTCTATACCTAATCGACGTTCAGCTGCCCAAGACTGTAAAAGGGAGTTCCCGACTGCAGATGAACAATTCATTCTGATCAGAAGAGCAAGCCTCCAGGCCAAATTTTCTGCATCTTGGATGCCACTAACTACCCCCTGACCACCAAAGGGAGGGAATACATGGGCCGCATCTCCAATCAGTATTGTTCGTTTATCGAACCACTTGTTTACCACTCGATGATTGAAGCGGAATGGGCGACATCGCAGGACTTCTATACAGTCTCGAGGGAAGGTTACCTCTATCGGGCCATTCGATCTAGTCGGGATTGTCCGTGTGATCATGGGTGTCAGATTCTCCCAGAATAACTCATCCGCATTCATAGAGTCCTCCCACTCGGGTACGGCAAGTTCATGCCTCCATAAGTATTCTGAAGCAGATCCAATCCGTCCACATGCCACAGGTCTTCCGGGCGGACGACAGAAATGCCATTCCGGTGGCCAAAACAGATCATAAACGGCTTGAGAGTCTTGTCCGTTCTTCCAGAATGGTAATTCCGGATGACTTTCTGGTGTTGGAGGTGTGATTTTGAGATTTCCTGCAATCCATATGCCGTCGTACTCGAATATACCTTTTTCTTGTCGGATCCCGGCGGATGCTTCTAGGAAACGTTTGCGCACGACTCCTCTCTTTCCATCGGCTCCTACTAGCCAGGAGGCGCGAAGTTCTTGCTTGGCTCTATTGCGGTCAAGATATCGCACTTTGATATTATCTGCGTTTTCTTCTCGACCTACGACTTCACAGCCTGTATGAAGGGTACAGAATGGGGACTTTTCTATAAGCTGTCGAAGATAGAATTCTGCATGAATTATTGTGTCAGGCATAGCCATAGGCAAATGCGATCATCAAAACTTACCGAGTTTTGGTTGATTCAGGAGGATTGCAGTGGGCAGTGCATGTTTGAGACCATCTCCCTTTAAATCGAAAGATAGAAAAGGGGTTTTCTGAAAAGAGGTATTGTGAAAGTTAATACCCGTGAGTTCTGCAGAACCGAAGCACAATTTACATTAGATTCACCCATTTTTTTCCGGTGTCATGCACACCTACCATGGCCGAATAAATGCATAACCCCTCCCAGTCCTAGTTTCCAAAGGCACCGTACTGCAACACCAGTAAGTACAGCTCCTCTCGGATCTTGCGTAATCTCTTCATCTTTCTCTAGAATGATCGACTAATAGGATCGAGGCCTTTCCTTTAGAGTTCGTTCTTTGATATAGATAGCCAAAACTTGCCTTCACCCTATATTCGGCTAGAAAAAGACCCAGAACCAAGCCCGATGGGCCACCGCCGACTATGACAACATCTGTATCCATGGAAGACATGGTGCGAATAATCTTAGAATACAACCGTTGTCAGACATTGCAGCTTATGAAGGTCCGGAAGTGACTTTAAGGGGGTCGCTTAAAAGCAAATCCAAAGCTCGTTGGGGCAAACTCAACAAATTATCTTGGTCTATTCTCAACATACATAGTTTTGATAATCTAGCCATAATTTAAGTGAGCCTGCCTATTGTATGATGGTAGTACCCTGAGACTCGCGTTTCTCGTAGTTGTTCCGCGGAATAATTTCACATAAACCGAACTAGTACTTTGATGGTTAGGTCTGACATTTACGCAAATTAAAAAGTCATGACTATTATTCAGGTGTATGACTTGGCCGGAAAATGTTTTGGAAATGTGTATTTATAGCTACGTAGTTCCTCCGGTGGCTGTAATTTCTAGTTGAACTGTGACTGGAATCCAATGCTCATATGAGTGGAGTCGATTACTGGCAGCGTCACCAACACAACAGTTCACACTAGCTGAAGTTCCTTTTATGATTATGACTATTCGGCAGCATTCACAATTGTGCGGACAGAAGCGAGAAATTGAACCCATCTTGGGTGCAGTGGACCCTTGTAATTCAGCAAAATTGCCTTGACTTGTCGCTGAGATAGTGACCCGGAAACGCCAGAAAACGATTCCCTGAAGCTTTCAAAGGACACTGCAAATAGTCAAATACGTTAGCTGGAGCAAACTGACATCAAATCTTTACGAAGATCATGCTTACATATGATCAGCCTCGGTAAAGTCCAGATCTTCGCAAATTGATCCAAGAGCAAACGAATTATGGTCTGATCGTGCTTGATACTTGCTTCCATGTTGACGGCAGCAGAGCAAAAATTGGTTTTTTTATGAACCTCGAGAAATAGGAGTGCCGTGAGAAAGATGAAAGAAATTGCTGGATCCACCCTGACACAAAAGGAGCTGTCCCACTGAGCAGCCGCTCTCGCGACGTTCTGACAGTTTTCAAGGACTTTTTGCCAGTTCCGTGTCCATTCATCACCTTCTTCACCTCTACAATCCAGAACCCCCAAAAACAGTTGCGTAAAGGACAATTGAAATATGGTGACTAGTCTTGCATGATGATAAAACTGAGTTTCACCTGCCAAGGCATTACGATCTGTGTTGAGCCACCCAAATGGAAGGGCGAGTTTCAACGCTGAAAGCTGTCTTCCAGCTTCTTTAAATGCCTCTTCAACCGTGCCCTTATGTTCGCGTAAGTGGTACAGCCGGCCTACCAAGGCAATATCGCGCATGGCGGCCACAGTGACTATGAGAATATTTGCCAGGAATGTATCCGGATCGGTGGTTATCGCAGGAATCACCTCCCACAACCCTTGTGAGCTGGTCGGCAAGTATACGGTATCAAAATGGTCTGATTCCCCGCTTGAAAACGATGTGTTAGATTGACTCCGCACTAAGGCAGTATTGATAAAGTCCTTATCAATCAAATAAGGCGTCCCTGCCGCGAGATTCGTGTATGAATCCATTTTATAAATACACCACCAGAGCAGTCTCCATTCCTGCATTTCAGCCTTGCCGATAGCAGCCCAATCAGAATAAAATGTGGGAAGGCGCTCAAGCTTGTCAATTCCCACTCGATAGGCAATCCGTGTTAGCCTGCCGATTCGCATCCACGACTGATCCCCGGGAAATTGATGGAACTCGTAAAATGCCAAAATGCACGCTTTGCGCATTTGATCGAGTGTTGGTGAGTCTCCCATCATGTCAAGTTCCAAATGGTTTGAGCTGAGCAAATGGTCAATGCGGGTATCTAGGTCTGAGTTTTCGGGAGCAAAACTGGTCAACTTGGCCGTTATCATGACCATTGTGTCAATAAGACCTTTACTGCATATCCCATTCCGGTAATTCTGCAGAAAGTTTTCTCGAGAAAATATCGGGTTGGCGTCATGAAATAAATCAAAGTATTTATCGAGACTGATATTTTGATTACGCTGTTAGCCTAGTTGCCTATCAAAAGATCAATGACACCACGTACAGATATTCCTCTTGTTGAGGAGAAATCTCAAACTTGAAAGAGCTGGTAGACTGAGCGGTGGTGCTCGTCTCTTTGGAAGCATCTCGCGGCCGAAGCGTCGAGGAAGCAGGAGAGACCTCTGAAGTTGACATTGAATCATCGAATAATGGGTCATCGCCCACTAGTATTCGTGGACTAGCATGGCGTCGCTGATTGCCTGTTCATAAGTTTCCAGGCATGTGTCAGAAAAACGGTAGAGAAAAGACTAGAGATAATCCTCAATACCTGAAGATTCTTGGACCTTCTCTGACTGCTTGGCATGATGTGAGCCTCTCAAGGGCCCAGGCTTGCGTCTTATCGAGGAATAGGTACAAGATATTTCGCGCTCCAGGCAACGTGAGCAAGTGGGACGTTTCTGATCACCTAACATCAACAGCCGGATTAGTCGGACACATCGAGATTTTAGGTACGTCAAATATACACTTCACTTTTCTCCTAGGATGATATTTAGCATCATTGGACGTTGATTGACACCTGGTATGTTTCTTACCGAATGCAGCCGTCACACACTCTAGAAGGTGCAGGGGAGTTGCTACTATCGAGTCGATGTGTTGATCTCTCCGAGCTTTGAGTCGCTTCCCTTGAGCCACGTACGGCGGTCTCGTGATTATCCGCATTCATTTTGTTCCATAAACTCTCTACAGGTTGACCGCGATTAGGACGACTAGACTGGGATTGTACCGATCTCATATCCTTCCCTGTAGACGGGAGATGCAAGAATTGAAGTGACGAATCACTGATAGCCAACTAACTTACTTGATGTAACTAAGTTAACTAACTTAACCTTAAAATGTGGATGACTAATCAGGCCATTGTATTCAGCTATCGCCGAGGACATTCGGGCATCCTGTAGGACAGTCAACAGGAGCGTAGGTCAAGAACCGTAACAACTATGGATTTTTAGAGAGCCTCGGGGAAAGTCATATAAACCATATAAACCGTCGATTCTCCATTTGCCGGGCCACTTAGGGCTTAGGGTTAGGGCTTAAATCCAAAATAATGCATGAATAAAAGAAACCTGACGCAGCTATTTACAGATTATTGATTTGACTACAGACGAAATTTGACTAGTAGAACTCTTTGCCAAAGACACAATAAACGTATCCACTTTCCAACCCCGGGAATAGAGATGAGTCCTCACATACTTTTCTAGTAGAACTCCTGTCTTGGTTCTAAAAAAAATCATGGTTGACAACAAACTTTAACCCAGAACAATGATAACATTTTATTCCTTATATGTCTGATCGATAGCTTTCTTGGCTGATTCCGCATTGATTGCTCTGTTGAGAAGGACTGGCGCTACATTGTGCCATTGCTCAATCCTCCACAGAACAGTTTTCTGCCCACCACAACCAGCGTCATCATTGCCTCGAACGCGTGCCTCGATCAAATGAAGATAAGCCAATCTCACTGGCTTTAATTGCTCTAGTATGTATTGGGAAAGTTGGCCCCGGGTCTGTCATGGGCATACCGTTAAAATCGCTGTATGGGCTCAGACGCAACCTTATCTTGTCGCCTCCTACAGCCGGTAATTGAACGAGTAAATACCGTCGGAAACTGTTTCTAAGAATTCATTTTGTATACTTGACAACAAGGCTTTCCAGAATCGAGGAAGTCTCTCTATAGCTCCCGAGTTCTTGACGTCGTCATAGATGAACCTACTCGCGTCTGCAAAGTCCTCTAATTCAGACAGAGTAGGTTCAAGATTGGGCTCAAAACTACCCTTGAACACCTCGTAACACAGCTCATGCAGCCAAATCGATGGGTATGGAGAGTGGCAACAAGTTGCACATAGATTGGTGTATTCGGGAACTTTGAGCAGGTTGCGGTCTAAGTCTACAGACCCCGGGGAACCTTAAATGAAATTCGGAGGGCGTACCAAGAATATGAGCTGTAATTTCTGCGGCTTGTCTGCACAGTATGCATAATGATAACCCAATTATGAACATCTCGTAAGCCTGTCATGATTGAGATGACTCTCGGCTCGATCTCAGTCATGTTGACCCGGTCTCAATGTACACCATGCAATTGACAATGAAGGGCAAGTCGTGCTGTCAAACCCTGAACTCTGCCAATTGCACTATTTGGGTCGCTAACGATTAGGTTGCTGCACTTTGTTGCACCAAGAGCTGGACATGGACAATCAACAATGGTTGACCCGAATTAAGGTGTCGATGGTTGATGCCTTCTGAATTAGGCGGAAATCTTGAAACACAAGACCCCTGATCTATTTATGGACTATCAACATTGAGGGTTCGATATTAGCATCAATTGGCTAATCTATGTACATGCGCAAGCTGAGGACGCGATGGCTTCCTCGCTAAGATGCTTCACTGTTGAGAACCTAGATATTATTCTTGGTTCCTTCAGTATCCACTTGTGGCTCACGGTCCGTGCTAGATCAACCTTGGGAATGATGCAGTGGCTCCTAGAAACAGGGGTTTAATACGTAGGACATCTTCCATAAAAAGACATCCCCTTTTCAAGTCGCAGATCCAATCGATGATCATCGTGTAAATATAGAAGCCGAAATCAATCCTCGCAAAGATCACCAGCCGCCACTACAACAACAGCAGTCTTGCGTAACCAAAACCCATCTCTAACCCGCTAAGCTTTACAACAAAGCTTAGCCATCCAATCTGCTACGAGCTATCATTTAGCGCCATGCGGGTGGTTCTGGATGCAAGCATTGTGGCTGACCGTGCGGGGAATATACAGCCAATCGTTCCATCTCCGAGCGGCATCGCCAGACATGAGTCGCCAGTTGGCTGCCCACGTCTGGAAGTCTGTAGATCGAATAGACAACGCCACTCGGTGTTGTTTGTCGTGATTCAGATTAGAGGGCCACCGACATCATACAGATTTACCCCTCCAGGAGAAGTGGGATGTTTCAAATGGGAAGATTATTTAAAGCACCCCCTCCCCTCATCTGCTGTCAATTGACTGTTATCTTTTAAGCAACACTTTTCAAACCACTTTTTTCAATCAATACTTATAACATATCTTTCATCATGGGTTGGTTCAGCGGTAAGTCTTATCTCTTCTGCCTCCCTCACAACACCCGAAAAGTGGACCAGCCGGTGTTAACGTTCATTTCGGCTATTCCTAGACGACTCCCAGCAGGCAGACAGCTACAACCAATACCAAAACACCGAACCTCATGAGTCCAGTCTCTCTCACGAGCTGATTGCTGGTGCTGCATCCTACGAAGCCGCCAAGGCTTACGAGCGCCACGTCTCGGAGAACGGTAAGCCAAAATATTCGGTCTGTCTCAATCAGCGCAAATGCTGACAAATATGTGACCATTCAGGCCAGCCTGCCAGCCACGCCGAAGCCAAGGAGATCTTGGCCGGTTTTGCAGGCGCTTTCATTGACCGCGAGGTCGAGACCCGCGGATTGGACTTCATTGACAGGGAGAAGGCCAAGCGCGAGGCCCGCAGACACATTGACAGCGTCGACGCTGGAGATGTTGGATACTAAGTTGCTGATATTTGATCGCGACTTTACATGGACTAGTTATATGCAAAGGTCTTTGAATGACACGACGCCGACACTTGATTGTGCTTAGTTTATAAGTTTAGTATTTAAGAGAATGCTATGTCGGCCCAAGTCTATAACAATGGCATATATTCAATTAAGTAGTCAATGATTCGTGAATCATGAGTCCATATATATCGTATTAAAGTGGTAAGGCTTCCAAGGTTTACATTTCGCATGCCAATGAACGACAGACCCATACGCGAATATTAATCTTTGTTTTTACATCCGACTAGACCCCCCATCATAATTCATAACATCATGGTGAGCCCCCTTCACATTATCGAGTTCCACGTCATCCATAACATCATGCCGAATCCGCGCATAATCATTCTGCGACAACGAAATCTCCGCTCTCCTCAAATACGGCGGTAGCGGACTCTTCCCATCCCGATCCTCGTCATGAATCTGCACATACTCCATTTTCTCATCCGTCCTATCAATCAGCGGAACGTCGCGAGTTGTGCGGAGAATGGTTGAGAATTTAGTATCAAATGTTCGACGCCCGTTTGCGATGAACGCGATGATGCCGTTGATGACACAGAGGAGAGTGAGGAATACGCCGAGTCCGTATGCGGTCCAGAGAATCTCCTTGGAGTAGGAATAGACGTCTGTGTAGTTTGTGACGGTCACATTTACCATGCCGGGGGCATAGGGGCTGGACATGTTTGGTTGTAGGGTATGTTCTGCGATGAGGGATAAGGTGATATTTCTAAACGCCTCTTCAAGAGCATTCGTCAATGGGATTGTGCCGTTTTGAAATATCGTTATCGAGTCTCCCGGCCAATCCCATTTGTCTTCGCTGAGCTCATTGCCTTCATTTGCCGATTGCAGAAACGCAAGTTCGTTACTCTGTAGGAAAGTTGTAGTCATGATGCTCGTATTGGTAGCGACTAGCGAAGAGACAAAGCCGGATTCAACGCCCAGGGTGTTGGCGACCGTGCCGACCATCATTTTGCCAAAGGATTCCATGACGGATTGATAGGCAAACATTTCGACGAGAGTAGTGTTGTAGTCTTGAGGTGTTACAGGTATGATGCTGGTGCCGTTCTCGTATGTTAGACCCAATGGGTATGCGCCAACAGCACCGCCGATGTAGCCCACATCATTGATGTGTTGCAAGGGTAACTTGCTGTCTATTGTCTGAGCGCCATTGATATACGTAAAGTTGCTGATGTAAGTAGCATTATACAACGAACATTCCACAATCGTCGTATTCGCCAAAGCTGCGTTGCCCTGATTGCAGCCCGAGTTGAGAAATCCAGTCTCCATGTTTGGCAGCGCCGCAATGTATATCGAAAGGGGTGGAAAGTCTGTGGGATAGGGATAGCCGTCACTTGCATAGAACCTGTCACCCTCGGGTCCCACGGTGCTACTTCGGAGTGTGTAGTTGCCAGTCACATTCGAAAAGGGCAATGAACCATTTGCCATGGACGAGTCAGGTGTCCAGGAGATATAAGCATATGAGATGCCGCAGGCCGGATCCCAAGCCTGCATTGACTCGTAGATGTTGTCTACAACCTCTTGATGAAAACTCGCATTGATGGCCTGGCAAGTCAACGCTGGTCCGTGGAAACTCAGTTCCCAAGTCGCGTTTGCTTGTGGTGGACTAATGGGCTGGATTGCGCCGTCGGTTAGGGCTAGAGTGACAGTCTTTTGAACGCCGTTCCGGGGGCCCTCATAGCTGTAGGAAGGCGATGCGCCGTCGACAGCGGAAATGAAGGCAAAGTTCATAGACGTGAAATCGACTCGGGGGACGAGCTGCATTTGCGATTTCGGGATGCCTTTCATATGAACCGTTAACGTTGCGGGCGTGATGAATGAGGCAACTGGTAAAAGCCTGAGCTACGATCAGCCATTTTCTACATCGACAGGTCATAGGAACTCACCAAAAAACAATCGCGATCAACATCCCATACGTAAACCTCCTCCAAACCTCCGGCAAAAAGCACAGCAATCCATTGTCCAAAATCTCTAAAAAATGATCAATCGTACCCAGATGGTTCGCCTGCTGCCTCAACTTCCTCCACGCCACTTGCTGAAAGGCCGTCGAAACCGCGAAACTCAACCAATAATTCGTCAAAAACGCAAGTACGGTGCCAGCCGAGACGTTGATTTGCTGGCCTGATATGCTGTATTTTGTGCCGACAACGCGATATTGCGAGTTGGGGGTGTCGTGCTCGTCTAGAGTATTGTAGAAGACGTGGTGACCGACGGCGAAGGCGACGCCAAAGAGAGTGCTGAATATGAGGACTGTAGGGGCTGATTCAATGAAGTGGTAGAATCTGCCGTCTGGCATTTTGACGGCGTACCTAGGTACAATGTGAAAATATGAAGTCCCGAGAGATGGCGAGGATACATGCCTCCAGAGGAAAGTCAAATGGGAACAAAATATTTTATACGATCTGTGATTAATCTTTGAATGGACTTTTGCAGGTGGACGTTCAAGTACTAGTCTGATCTATTAATACCGACTTACTGACATCCTACACAGTCTACCGACCTAATGAGTGAGTAGTATAATCATTCCAGCCTCTCAACGAGGCTCTTATTCGTTCTTCATCGCTAATTGAATTTTCACCACTAAAAAATGTTCCAGCTGAGCCATATTGGTCCCGCAACCGCGAACTTCTGAGCAATAGTAAGGAGCATAACTTGACCAGAGAAGCTTCAAGCTTCCAGCTGAACCGTAGCGGCGTAGCTATGTATCCACTTCACTGCCCTTTTCTCCTTCGAAGGTTTAGCCGAACCCTGAATGTATTTCCTATTAGGGAAATCCATGGCAATGGTACGTAGCATGCTTGAAACGGGTTGAGAAGTACAGCCATCCCCGGCAGTATTTATTGTTCTGGGCGTTACTTATTCAGGGGTGTGACATGTTCAACGGCTAGCCCTATCATAAGGTCTAGGCTCAGAAGCTGTCAAAGTGATTGCACCTTGAGAATTTTTAGTGAGGAATAGCTGCTTCTCTAGGTAGTAGAACAAACTAAAATGTGTCCCTCTTGATCCATTTTGCTGTCTCGATTGGAGCCATTTAAGAATCATTCATGCGAACCTAAAATGATTACCGGCTGAGATCTCGTTAAATAAACAAAAAAGTAGAGCGATGTTCTGAGTGTTCCAGACGAATAACATAACTTCATAATCATCTATAGGGTATCTTTAACACCATCACATGCATAAATACATATATAGTCCAATCCTAAGCAAGCATCTCAAGTATCCGCTGCGCCTTCTCACCACCTAGATAATCCTGCCCCTCTTGAGCAGCAGGGTTCGAAGCATCATAGCCCTGATCCGCCATCTCCAAATCAACTTCTAGACTAGCATTATACGCATTCATAACTGTATCGTGCTCAATGCGCACACCACCCTCAACTAACACACGAATACAACCCGCCAGTCGCGCGATCTCGCGTCTCGTCTGCCGCGGAATCTCGTCATTTTGACTGGAGTATATCGAATGAGTAGCCATTTCTTCCATGCGGGTGATCGAGACAGTCTCTGTAGCTGCGCCAGCAGCAGCAGCGCCATCTGCCAGTTTTGAGATCCAGATGTACCCATTCACGCCGAGGATGATTTCGATATCGCCGCCGCCATTAGCCGTATTGACTGTCCATTTCTGTCGTCGTGATCGAACGACGCCTCCAACTGCTGCTGCTGACGATGGCGCAGCGATATTCGACGCAGCACCTCCGCCACTCTTTTTGCTAGCGGAACCACTACCGCCCGTCCCCGTCACAGCCATGAACACACCATTCCGCAATTTCCCATAACTCAATGACCGGGTATGCAAAGTCGCCGATCCGTCTTGATGTACGCTCTGCACTTCTGCGACGACAAGGTCTCCTTCAACGAAGAAGTTTCGCATTTGTAGTTCATCTGCGCTTGTGCGTCGGCGGAGGATACCGCCTGGGAGATTGATGGCTGAGAGGGGTAATTGTGCGAGCAACGGAGCAGCGATGTCGACCTTCCATCTCCGTGCTTGGACTTCGACAATGCGGCCAACGACGAGATCGCCGATTTCAGGCATATAGCGAGCTCGCAAGGGGTGGACGGACAATAATTTGTTAGTTTTGGAGACCGTGCCGGCGACTGTGGCGATGATAGAGGTTGAGAATGGGGTGGTGAATGTTCCATGGCCTCTGTTATAGTACATTAGCTGAATTGTGCTGGGTTTATTGAGTAACACAGGTGAAATACCGCATCCATTGAGGATCGTTGGTAACTGTTTCGCCTGGAACGACGGTCCCAGTACCGAATCCTGAGGCTTGACCTAGACGTGGCCGTTTGATTTGTAGTCTGTCCATGTCCACATCCCCCTCTGAGTCTTGGGCTTCGAAATCTCGGTCGGTGTATTGTGAGGCCGCATTTTCTGCTGCGGGAGCTAGAATCGTGATGCCCATGACGTTTGGGAGTTGGAAAACGATCAGTCAACCAATTTCTATTTATCCTGGGATTCGTATTGTGTTTTGAGAAAGAATTGGGAGTGAAATATTTGTTGGCTGAAATATCGATTGTGTGTTTCTGGAGCTGTTGGAATATCCAAAATTTGAAGCTTAAGTGAAGCAAACAGTGCAAACAACACTTGCTACATCACGTGACTCGTCGTTTCTAATTAATCTTTGTAAACCTCCCTTGACTTAACAGCTAACAAAACTATTGTCCGTTATAGCAGGCAGTGAACCGTCAAACCGGCGAGCCGCTATGGAACCCAACAGTGCAGGTATGATCACTCATAAACATATTGGCAACGATTTTCATTCAACTGACCCACGCATAGCCTAGGCGGTGGCTGACGCAAGAGATTCTCGACATTACGCAACAAGCCGCACACTATCGCCAGTCAAGAAAGGCGCGAACGAAGCTACCAAAATCTTCAATCGCGGCGGTTTCGAGCTCATCGTAATGCACCTTCCTCTCTACGAGGACAACCGTGTACTACGACTGTATCCCAGCAAGACCGCGCTCGGCCGTGCTTGTGGCGTGAGCCGGCCGTTTACTGTGGCTAGTATCACTTCGAACGATGCGAGTGATTTCGCGCCGCAGATTTAGTGGCTCAAGATGAAGGTTGAGAGGCTTGCTATCTAAACCCAGTCTCAAATTTGCTCAATGCGATAGGAAGCTGGTGCGATGGAGCGGTTGGAATCGGCTTGGGTCAATGTGGTTATGCATTCTGTTAGTCTAGAGGGTGAGCTTTTAACTAAGTTTGCCCCGGGATCAAGTTTATAGAGTGCGTGAGACTGGCAGGGGTCGCGATGCCGGTTTTTCAGTTCACCTCGTGAATTTTTTTCCCATATCTCCTAGGAGAAATTTGTCTGAATGAACAACGTTCACTATACTTAGCCCTAACTTTAATGCATCTCTAAATCACAGCACGATCAGCGGGAGCTCTGAGCTTCACGTCCAGCCTCAACAATAGAATATACGTGGTAGCGACAGAAAGTCTTATTGTTACAGTCGTCTGAGCAGTCATCAGGATCTCAAGTATGACTATTATCTGCATTGAGACTAGTTAAAACCCCTCATATCCAAGTAGCGACGTTGCTCGTTTCTAGATTCTTTTACACTTGAAATTTCATCCAGACATGAATTTTCTCGTTAGGCCAATACAGCGCGAAGGACAAAATGACAAATATCACAGCGCTTCTCAGTATGCGACATCAATGCGGTCAAGCCTAGACCGCTCCTCTTTTCAACTCGAGAAGTTTATTGTGATCCTTGTCCCTGGCAAGTTGCATGTCGTAAACGTTGCGACATGTGCCAGTCTCATACCTAGGTAAACCAACATTGTTGGCTGACCTTTACGCGACTATTGCCTACTAAAAGGCAGCTGATATGCAGTCCAAGAGTCCAAGACCATAGGAAATGAAGTGACAGAACCAACAATGCACATCAACAGGCACTAGCGGGCTATAGTATGCCCACCTTTAATGGTCGCCGAATCGGCGAGTGCATATCCTTGTCCTTGATATAAGAGATTCGTCTAAGTAGTAAGGACTAGGATCTTGCTTTTGGTAAGCTCTTATTTTCTCACAGAATACCCGCGCAACCAACGACTCGAAGAGACTTCGGGGTTTTAAGAGGTTGCCGAGTACTTACTCCGTAGAAATGATCATCAGGCGTACGTACCCCATTCGCCTTACTATAGAATGTTTGTGCGACTGTCTTCGCAAGACGCGAGGAGAAATGTCTGACGCTCAGAGTACGAATTACTACGAACGGAGGTGTAGCAGCACGTGAACTGCAAGTACGACAGTCAGCTCGGCAAGTCGCCGTTGCGTGCGACAAGAAAATTTTGATCCTCACGAGGTGACGACTGCTAGGACCAACTGTTACGAGCGTGCCCATGTCGATCTTTCGGATGCAATGCCATAATTGCCCAATGAGGCAAACAGTGCATTTTGATCCACGCATTAAAAGAGCAGAGAACTAAGCACCAAACGGTGCGCTACTCTGACAAAAGACAGATCAGCCAATCTGGCGCGATGAATGTAACAGATAACCAGGCTGAATCTGACAGATATGGGTAACACTAATTTACTACGTAGTATATAGTGTCATAGTAAGAGTCTTAATAGTCGATCTGATCCAGCGCAGTGGAATTGCAACTCAGCATGCCTCGAAAGTACGACCAGGCGTGAAACGGTGCATCCAAAAATGAGAAAATGACTAATCCTGATTGGGAAGATCCGCGGCCACATCCGCCGCGCTAACGAAGCTAATTTAGTGTTTCGCGGCTACCCATTGGCTGCCTCGTACGCTGGTTGGATTAGTGGATGATTTTATGATTGGCCCAGAGTGGAGTTTGTGGTTGAAGAAAAACCCCAGTTCCCGCCATTCCGGACCAATTATGTTCTGGCTGGCGGTACGAACCGCCGAATCAGGGCTTCGGCACAAGGGGGCGGGGCTTCTCCTCAGCATATGCCGCACACTGCATCTACTACATACTCTGTACTACATACTACGCGTAGGACGCACTACGGAGTACTCCTGTAAAGTCATTCGAGAGTACAGAGTCATGTTAGAACAGTAGACTCAAGCAGCCATTTAGAAAGCAGTGGCAATGTCCGTTATCCAGGTGTAGACAGATCATGCTGGATATAATATCGTGGAATAAAATGAAAAGTCTGATGAATCATTGCAGAGAGGCGCGTATAAACGAGAAAATGCATTCGTCACTCAGACTACATACGTAGCTAGCCTTAGGCTTAGTCTTAGCCTTAGGCTTAGTTGCTGTGTTATAAGCGAGGATGCTCTCGTATGTACTATGTAGTAAGCAACTCCGCGGGTGTCAACTACCGCAGTAAAGTGACTAAATCCCAACTACGGCCCGCGTCTCCACCCGCAGCCACCTTCTCTCATCGCCGGGTTCAGTCCCCAGCTTTTCACTTTTCCTCTTTTCATCTTTTCATTCAATATCTCATTCTCCCCCGGTCAGTCAAGTGCAGTTATATTTTTTCACAATTATTTCTGTGTCTACGAATACTCAAACCGTCGATCAATATGCTGGCCATTTGATTGCATCTCATCATCGAAGGAATCATTCCGAACACCGACCGAGGCCGTCCACGACATAACGAACGTCTGAACACACCGATCACGCTTACATTAACATGGCCTGTTTCATCCAGCTACGCGATACGGTGCCCTCCTGGATCACCGACGTCAATCAACTATCCGCCCATGTCCACACCAAGCGAGCCGAGTTCGCTACCGAAGCCGAGAAATCGAATGATGCATCGTCACCTCTCCGCCGAAAGAAATCGATCAGCAGCAGTCTATCGTCTGTCCGCAGCCAACGAGGCGGCGTCAAGCCAACAGCGCAGGGCCTGAAGCGGTTCTTGTCGCGAGAGTCTTTGAATCAGGACGATGGCGTTAAGAAACAACGAATAGTGGAAACCGATCAATCAGTGAAGATTGCTGCTTCCGAATCCATCATACCAGCGCCGTCAGTCAGACGAGGCAAGCCAGCACGGATCATTTCCTACGATGGCCACACTCAAAAGGTCCTCGAGAAAATGGTACGAGATATTTGGACCGCCAAGAGCAGCATCCGGTCATCCCGCATCTCGTCGTCCATGCGCACTGCTTTTGGGGGGCGAATGAAAATGCACATCCCCGTCAAGAACTCATACAACGAAAGCAGAATCCCAGAAATAACCGCAGACGCCAAAGCGGATATTGAAGTCGATTTGGATGCGGCCGCTGCAACAGATAATGAAGACGGATTAGAAGATCAATTACAATTACGCATGTTGATGATGAAGCAACGAGCACGTCGGAATCAGACTACTTTTACACCTCTACCACAATCACGCTATCAACAACCACAACCGCCTACGCGCTCGAAGGAGAGCCCGTATGATTTCATTGAGGGTCAACTTGAGAATGCACAGAATCTGTGCGAAACAGCAGCATACAAGTTCCTGCGCGAAGGCAACTGTCTTGACGAGTTGGACAGAATCAAGCAGGCATACGAACTGATCCTCGAAGCCTCGACAACAATGGCCGAACAGGAAGAAGAAAAAGTCAAAGCCGAACGTGAGCAACAAGAAGACGCCGTCACCAAATCCGACGATACAATCGCAGTAGATGAATTGGAGACTTCCGTCGCCGCTGCTACCCCTGCTGTGGCTTTGACGTCCAAGGACTCTGGCGGAAATGATCCTGAAGATATCAACGCGGGTCTGCTTGAAGTTGATGACCGGTCTGATGCGTCCGAGGTCTCTATTGATATAAGCGCCTTCCGTATGACGCGGTATGGTCAGCGGACTATGGCTCCGTTCACAGTCAATCGAACCAGATAAATGTCCGGCAATATGTCACGAATCATGCTTTTCGCCTTGGAAAAAACGGATATATATGCAACACTCATTAATAATTTCACCTACCTGACCGTCGACGATATCCACCTGGTTGATTGTCTATCTACTATCATTCCATTTCTTTGTTGTTTCTATTATCGTCGCCATCTACCGGGACATACACGACCATTTCGCTTTTTTTCCCACATACTACATCACACGTACAGCAGAGCTGTCACGTCGACAATCATTCTTCTTTCCTTCTTCCTCTTTTCTGTCCATGTTCAATCCTTTTTGTCACTACATATTAATCTCTCATATTGATCCGGGATTCACGAAATGGGGTCAAGTGGTGTTTTTTGGATGGTGGTTTACGAGGGTCCGGAGTTGGGTACATGTTTGGGCTTTGGGCTTTGAGTATTTGTTCTGATGTATATATTTGATTTGTGCAGTCGGCTTTTGCTGAGGGTTGTCGAGGGTTGTATAGTTTTTTGAATATAGCCACTCGTACATATTAAGGTCTAGTTTTTGTAGAGTGTACATTATTTGTAGAGTGTAGATTTGTATAGAGGCAGAAATGGGGAAATAATCATATAGAGAAAATAGCCTAGGTATGTACCGAGAAATGGGAAAGATACATGTAAATAGGTATAGAACCAACCAGCTTAGGAGGTAGTATAGAAATGCAAAGGTATATACAACGACACAATCCATCGCAAACCAGCACAGGCACCATGGTCATATTCGTCAAATTCATCATCATTAACCAAACGAAGAGGAAGGAGAAGAGAACAGGAAGCAAACGTGCAATAAAAATACAACCATCCAAGAAAAATTGAAGCTTAACATGAAAAGTGCATAATAGATAGATAAACCAGAAGCGAGAAGGTGGAGGAACAAGTTTGTTGATCATCGAACGTTAACAACCCGAACAGCAGCCCTCTCGACAATCCCGCCTCCTCTCGGATACGGAATCCGCTGCGTAACCGCGTCGTGAATCTCGATTTCTTCTTCGTCTTCTTCGTCGAGGTCGTCTAGATCGAAGCTGACTTCGCTGTGGATGTCGCTCTCTTTGTGTGCAACGGAGAGGTGATTACTTATGGGCAGAGATGGTGGGTGGTGGTCGGGTTGGGGTGGGTATTCTGGTTCTTGCTTGTAGCTTCCAGTCTGATGAGATAGATGAGAGTGAGGGTGGTGGTCGTAGTCTTCGTAATTGTCGTCCATGTATTCCTGCATTATCTCGTCGCGGGCTGTGCTCGATTCCTCGTCGTGGTCATCATGCCCATTGGTGCTGATGCTCGCATCATCCAGGAAGTTGAGATACGGTGTTTTCGGCCTCGTTTTGATCTCCTCATTCTCTGCTACCTCGACATCTTTCTCGACATCTTCGCCCAACGTCGACGATGATGGCGACAATAAACCCAGCCCAACGCCTCCATTCGAGTTCCTACTATTGAGTTTCGAATCCGCAGTCGGCAATGGTGAAGGAGATGTAACCGCCTCCCCGTGTTCCATCGAAACATCCGTCCCCCTCCTCTCCGCGGCCCTGAGATGCGGATAAAAATCAATCGTGCCAATACCATCACTCACAATGATTCCCTCGCGATCCAACTGGCATCGCGCACGGATAAAGGGGTCGAGTTTCCAGAAGTTTAGCCTGAGTTCCTCGATGAGTTGTGCGCGCCGATCTTCTTGAACCGCCAACCCGATTCCGTCACGCATCGCGATGGTCTGCAGCCATAAGCGAGTCGCCTCGAGGAAATCCTCACCTATCCGTTGACGCTGAGAAGCCAGAAACTCGCGTGTGGGAGAGTGGACGTCTAGCGACAGGTTCTCGGCTCGGTCGTTCATGTCCGGCTCAATATAGTGGTATTGATACGTATCGTCTGTACCGCCCAGATCAGGCGGGATATTGGATCTGGGTATGAAGCGCTCAAGATCGTCGAGGGTCTTTGTGAAGTGCACTTTTGAGACGAGGGAGTCGTTCATCCAGGTTTTGATCATTTTCCATATCCCTACTTGAGTTGGTATGAAATTGAGGCAAGAGCCAAAGGGGGGAGACCAACCTGAAAAAAACCACGGCGCTTTATGCAGGATAATTGCCGCCAGACATTCCGGGTAAAAGTTCTCCATGCATTTGATGATATACTTGACCGGCGTATAATCCATATTCGCCATGGAAAAGTCCGTCATATCGAATATAAGTATCTATCAAATCAGCATTCATCACGTTTACCTTGCAACTTGCAAGAGAGAGAGAAAAGCTTACGGCAGTCTCAACCAAAGGCGGCCTCAACAACATCTTTGCACTCTCAATCGTATGCACGATATACCTCTCCAACATCTCTACCGACTGATCCTCCGCGCGATGCAACCGAACCCTAATATCAATAATCGGCCTGCCCGCCCGATCCACACCATGGATTATATTCTTGCCCATATGATACTGTTTCATAAAATCCCATCCTTTTCTTTTTTCCTTCTTGTCGGCGCTGCGCATTTGTCGCAATGCATACAGTTCGCCGCGCGGCAATATGTCGTCGTCAACATGCATCTTCTTCGTGCGCCACGCCACCGCCGCAACGAGCATGACAAATGCCTTTCCCACGTCCCATTTCCGTGCGCGCAGAAACCGGAGAAGCATTGCATCCGGATGATCCTGTTTCAGCGACGCCAACAGTCCCAACCGCAGTTCATCGGGCGAGAGTTTGTAGCTTGCCAGAACGCGCTGCATGACTTTGGCGTTTTGAGGGCTGGGGCGTAGATTCACCCCGCCCATGGACTGGGTTTGGAATGTGAGTGAGCCCTTGCGGGTTGAGGCTCTGCGTAATGTGTTGGGCGTTGAGGGTTCGGTGGGGAATTTCTCGTTGATGCTGGTTTTCGCGCCGCCGTTGTTGCTGAGGAGCGATGTGCGGCGGCGCAGGCGTTTGAGGGATCCTTGATGTTGGGGCTTGGGGACGTTTAGGTCGGCGGTTATTGTTGGTGAGGTTGGTGAAAATGCTGGTGAGATGGGAGTATTCGGGACTGTTGTGTTCATGAATGGGTTGCTGAAATTGTTGACGTTACTGCTGTGGTTGACGTTGTGACTGCTCGACAATGACATGCTGCGACGCCCGCTGGAAAATGTAGTGTTGATGCTGGACGGGGATAGTGGGGGTTCATCGATACTCAGCGAGCGCCGCGAAATGCTGGACATGGAGAAATTGCCGTCGAAGAATTCCTGACTCTCAAAGGCGTTCAGTAGAAACATCCATAGTTGCTGGAGACGAGCCTCTTGGTCGGCCGTGAGGCTGCCGAGGACGCCTGTTGAGTCCATTGCTTCTATCGCTCTGTATCTTTATCGACATGCGAAAGAAGAAAAGATCTCTGGAACCGATCAAAACAATCGAGTCGATGCTCGACCGAAAAGCAGTTTCTGTCAGGGGAAGGGGAGGATGTATGTAGGTAGTAGTATATACAGTAGCATCTACAGATGACATGAAACAAAGTTCATGCGCAGACTCGGCAAATCATATGCCACTGTGCATGAAGCAAGTAAATCAATCAGACGTGGTAGTGGTAGGACAAGAACTATCCATCCCTGTAGCGCAGTGCGTAGTAGTATGATTTACGTACATGCGTCGAGGAAATAAGAAGGCCAAATAATAGGTCAGAATCCGATGCAAAACTAGAGTCGTTAGTGACGATGATCTCATTTGATCAACAATCGACAATCCTACAGCAGATGGCAGCGGGACAGCCGGAAATTTTATTGCGGCGTACCACGCGCTGCATGACTTTTCACTAGATATATTGCAACGAGGGCCTCGGCTTAAAACGCCTCATGGTTCGAAGATTGACTGGGTGACGCCCGTGAGGGACTCGGTCGGAAAGAGGGGCTGGTCTACGCCAATGCCAACTTGGTCAGGTTTCAGTGCCTAGGTACGGAATAGCTTCTTAATTCTGGAGTGAAAAGGTCCTTCCGTCCCCATCTTAGGCCGTGTAATCCGTCCAGCACTTCTCTTTGGCTGAAGGGCTCAGAGGAGGGTCCTCGATTTCTGCGATGGCGCTGGGCTAAAGTTGTTAGGGGATAGCTTCCCCCACAGCCAAGATTCAGGAAAAAGAGGGGAACGTCGAATCATTCATGGAATTTGGATCATCGCATCGGCGTTGATTGCTAGGATTATTCTTGAGAACGTGACAGAGGGTTGAATCAATTGATTGACACGAGTTAAAAATCTCGACATCTCCGCTCGATTTATCTTCAATTGTAACGGAATACTTGAGTCAGACACTCGGTTATCTTGCCTCTAAATTGGTTGACGAGCTATACATGTGATCCTCGTATATAGCTGGCCATCAGTTGACAATTCCAAATCAGGAAGAGAATCTTGAATTCCGATATTCATACTGATCACAACTAAGCCCGACAATGTTACACACGTTCGCATTGATTATGCAATATCAATTCTTCAGTAATCATCTGAATTGCATCAGACCTTGTAGGTACATAGTACGTAGCACCCATGCCCCGGCACGAAACACATCATAAGCACTAAAACACCCTAGCCTGGCCACTCCACGTTCGGACGAACAGTCGATGCGATCGAATCAAACTCTGGCTCACTCACCGCCACGTTTTAGCCAGGTCCATGCGCTGAGCCAATCGATTTGATTGTGTAGATGAGCTAGGGAGTGTATGATTAATACATCGTCTAAGCAAAGCATGTTACTAATCGGCATGATAAATTCGCGATTAATCCTTAAAGCTTTGTACTGCATCTCAATATGAAGCTGATCACTTGACCGACTGATTTTGTAGTATAGTTTGTACCACTATGTACCAAGTTGATGATTGCGACGTCATACATTCTCGGGCTCTATCTGCTTTGCTTTGACGTGTGGGCGCACCTAGTCTCATGTGAAATATTAATTTTGAGAGCTTATTCAGGAACCGTATGCCGTATGTTTGACATCTCTTTGGTGGGTTGGTTGGTTCTATGAAGTCCGATTGACTTGCCCCGCGCATGAGGCTTAGGGTTACACGGTAATCAGCGTTAACATCGCTGTGCTTGGGATATCGGACATATGACCCCGTGCATAATTCAAGACTTAACAATACACTGATTAAGGAATACATTAAACGCTAAATCTCAATGAAAGAAGAGCTAAATCACCACTTCGTAGTATACTCGAGTGTCCGAGACTAGGGTTAAACAGTAAAGCATTGCCAAGGCTCGGAGATTGGCTATTGCTGTCTCTACGGGTACCTATGGACTGTGCGTCCTCCCCGCTTAATTTGTCAGAGTAACTTATATGAATACTTCTTCACTATGTCCAATCTTCAATCTTTGATCTCTAGGCAATCTAATACAAAGTGAGCACTATCATATTTATCATAATCAATAATCTGGCCTGAAAATGCTTGGCCAAGATGGAAAAGGTTTTCCGTCTTCTAGACCTTCCCGCCAACATTCGAGACCAGATCTACTACGAAATTTTGTGTACATGGCCAGAAGAGAACCAGTATGCCGTGAATCCAACTGAGGTGGCTATATTAGACTGCAAGTGTCAGTTTGCCATCCTTTGCACCAATCAACAGGTCTACTGCGAAGCCGGAGCGGTCATGTTGAGAGGGAACCAATTCATTCGCATCAGCATAAAAGGACATCAGCCCCTACAAGTCCTGTTTATACCTAGCCAGATACCCGTCGTGACTATGAATCAAAAGTTCCTCGCCAAGTTCACAGGCCATGTGATGACACACTCAATTGACTTCACCAATGACCCGGCGCCATTGAAGAGTCAGCTTGAGGTTATGATTATACGGCGCGACCTGGATCGTTTTGTTCAAGCGCTTGGGAAAGCGGATTTGCGCAGTCCAAATTTTACAGCTACGTCTAAGCATCAAGTCACAATTCACAATCCTTTTGTGGGTATTCCAGCTCAGAGAATCTTGAATAAGAAGAATCAGGTGAGGCTCATATGAAACTAAGTAACGAGAAGCCATGTTCTTGATCGCATAACCGCTTATATAGGAACGCCTACTTGCACCATATCGGGAGCAGCTACGTGGTTTCAAAAACTTCACGGTCCTCGGCCAAATCCCGACAGATATAGCAAAAGCGGTGATCAAGGCAGTCAAGCAAGAGCGCATTCCAGATCGTCAATAGCTCACAGAAGTTATTTCGCGGTAGAAGCTTGGGCATCAACAGTTGAGTTAATAGTGCATGGCCGACATTATTGATGCCGAATTGGATTTCGTAACCCTCTTCAGTCAAAGCAGGTACTGTGGTAAAAACTCCGGCATTGAGGAATAGAATATCCAGGAATTCGATGTCTTCCTTGAGGAAATCATTGGCGAATTGTTTAATGCTCTCGACGGACGAGAGGTCTAGAGGACGACTTTCGAGGCGAGCTTCTGGAGATGAAGATCTGATTGACGAAACGAGCACTTCAGCACTAAATATGGATGCTGGACGGTCGCAAAGATAAATGCATAAAGGATTGTGGCGAGCTATGAATTTTATAGTAGCAGCACCTAGACCTGTATTGCCTGCACATTGGTTTAGTCTAGATGAACCTCGCGTAGTAACAGTCCAAAGATGGATTACTCGCCTCCAGTAACTAGAATTACTTTTCCATTAAGATCTGATATGTCACTGAGTGGATTAAATAGCATCTTGCTGTTTAAATTAGGTACGGGAAGTGGGGGATCTCGGAAATCTCAAGCGCGACGCTATCCTTTGTCCAACTTCACTCATCGCTTGTTCCGCTTGATGACTTTTGTTCTGATAAAGTACATCTCTTCGCACTTGAAATATTTTTGGATTGAGATATCCTGATAAGTGCTGCATCAGCAAGTTATTCCGATGATTCCGGTCGCCCATATCTCAGTGACCGAATACAAATCGACTAGCGATATATGTCAACAACCGACTTGTAAGCATACCTGAATCGAACTGGCTATGGCAGCAGTACGCAAAAGAAAAAGGCTCGCCTTGTCCTGCGAGCAATGTCGACGGAAGAAAATAAAGTAAGTTGGTTAATCGTGTTTGATATCTCTTTTTGAGCTAAGAACTGTAGATGTGATCGGTGCAATCCCTGCGAGCATTGCAAAAACCATGGTCTCGATTGTTCATATGGCTCAGACGAGAATTCATTGGCAAACTCTATGACATCTGTCTTTAGCTTGCCCAAAGGTCCACCGCCTCCTTATGTACAGGCCACGCATCAACGCGAGCATACGAAAGTGACAAATCAACCAAACCATCGTGTTGAAAAAGAAATACGAACAAGTCCTGATAGACGACTTTCGCCTCCATTCGATGACAATGTCTGCTCTTGGAGAGGAGGGTTAAAAGGCATCTTTGTCAAGGACCGGTATTTCGGCCAGAGCAATTGGATGAATTTCAGGTCCCCATTCAGCGTCGTCAAAAGAGTTGTCGTAAAGCACGAGTTTGACCCATCCACAGAGGTCTACAAATTGACGCAAAAATGCAAAGCAGCGAGCAGGGAAATCAAGGCTCAAGAGAAGATTGCGCTGCATATGCACCTCGCTTCACATCCTAGTGACCATGTCCCGCCACGTGAGATGGCGGATAAACTTGTGCAATCTTATATGCAGACGTTTGGATCTATCTATAGGATCCTACATATTCCGAAATTCGAGGAAGATTATGAGTCGTACTGGTCGACTCCGCACACCGGCAGCCAGGCCCATGTCGTGGCTAAGCTGTTGCTTGTCATGGCAATCGGCACGGTATTTCAGCCGCAACAGGAGGCGTTCGTGCTCCGTTCATCTGCTTTACAATGGATCTATGTTGCGCAAACCTGGGTTACTACGCCGTTCGAAAAGTGCCGCTTAAACATCGAGGTAATCCAACTTCAATGCCTTTTGGTATTTGCCCGGCTTGTACATGACGTTGACGGAGATCTACTACGGCTTTCGGCAGCGTCCCTTCTTCAGACGGCTATGCAGATTGGTCTTCATATTGACGCCGAAGAAAATGCTTTCCCGAATATATGTCCACAGGAAATTCAATTGAGAAGGAACTTGTGGGCTACTGTTTTGGAAATTGTGGTACAAATGAGTGTGGACTCGGGCGGAATCCCGCTTATTCGCACGACAGACTATGATTGCAAGCCACCGCTCAATATAGACGACGTGGTTTTTAAGCACGACATGAACGGACTGATCTCTTCACAACCAGTAGATGTTTATACAGATTCATCTCTGCAAGCCATGCTGACACAATCTCTCCCCATCCGACTGCAGATTGCAGCGTTTGTCAATGACTTTCGTTACGACTCTTCAACATATGAACAGACGATGGCCTTGAGCGGCGAACTCTCTAATTTTTGTGCGTCTAATACGGCCATCTTTCAATCTTTAAAAGGCTCTTCACGATTGCCCACGGAATTTCAAACCTACATGATCGAATTACTAACTCACCAATACCTTTTCGCCCTTCACTTCCCCTACGCCACCAAAGCCAAAACAAACCATAAATATTACTATTCCAGGAAAATATGCCTTGACGTAGCTCGTCTCTTTCTGCCCAGGTCTTCGCAAATGACAGACCATTCATACACTAACCTCCGGCTCTGGGGCGGAGGCATTTTCCGAGCCGCTCCTTTACAAGCCGCAACATTCATTGCCGACGAAATGATATACCAGATCGAGTCAGATACAAGTTCCCTATTTACGAGAGAAAAAAACCTTTTAGATGGAAGAAAGGACCTTCGAAGATACGTCGAGGAATACGTCGAGTCGACCATCGATCGAATGAAGCTCGGACATACCAACTTCAGACCATATGTTATGTTGTCAGCACTCTTGACCCAGATTGATGCTTTGCTTGCAGAAGAGCCGGTTGAGGATAAGATCCTAGAAACAATCAAGGATCGTCTTATAATTGCGAATGAGGTGCTTCGGGCTTGTCTGCCTCATTCGCCACGGGAATATGCGCCGTCAGATACTGAAGCTCAATCTTACGCGGTCAACAGTGCAGTCTCATTGCAAGATGCGGTAAGAAGCCGATACCTCCGATCACTGCTTATTATTGAATACAGACTAACTCGCTAGATTCGTAACAATTCGTTGAACCCCGATTACCCGGCCAACTCGGAATGGTGGTTCCTCTCTGGAGATGTTGATACGTTTGCATAATTAAGTGAAGGTAGAAGTTGATTTATAATCCTGTCACCAGAAGAGAGGAAATCGCGCAGTTATCTGCCTATAACAGGCCAGGGGCCTAGTTCTTTGTTACGCATCTGCAAGTCGTCAAGGATGACTAAGCGGATATAATCTTGAAGAGGAAATAATCCAGCTTCAGACTTGTTATGTCCGGACGGAGATGCTACGGGGATTAGCCTAAATGGGTATAATTGCGAAAACTGTTCGATGGTCTTATTCAGCTACTCCTTGGAGCATGGATATAAAATAGCTGTGCGGCCATGTCAAGTTATTTTTTTGAGAGATTTGTTTGTTGAAGTCATCTGAAAAGAGAACCGCCTACAGAATCTTTGAGAAAATACTCAAGCAATCCCTTAACCATGGAACCATCCGAAGCAAACGAGGTGCCAAATACGCCTGAAAACAATGCTCACCATGAGGCTCAACCCCTTGAAAGCCAAGGAGATGTGACATCGGTCGAAAAAGCACACCCGAACCCGTCAGTCGACTTTCCTGATGGTGGACTTCAAGCCTGGACTGTCGCAATCAGTGCCTCCTGTATTTTATTGTGCACCTTGGGTTATGTGAACTCATTCGGGTTTGTGACTTCTGCAATCGATGATCAGAAAAGACGTCTCTCTAACAAATGCAAAGTGTATTCCAGGCTTACTACGAAGAGAATTTCCTCAAGTCAACGAGTCCGTCGGCGATATCCTGGGTTGGATCTCTACAATCGTTCTGTTTATTTATGGGTATTTTTCTTGGTGGACCACTTTCTGACAGATATGGAGCAACGGTGCGAATTTTTCCACGATTATGCAATCTCTTGTGTATCGATGTTGTTGCTGATTCCCTGTCACGAATAGGTCATGCGAATCCCAGCGATACTTTACGTCTTCTCCATCATGATGAACAGTCTATGCAAGACTCTGTGGCAACTTATCTTAGCGCAAGGAATACTCGGCGGATTTTCAGCCGGAATGACTTTCTCCCCCAGTCTCACTGCCGTGGGCCATTACTTCCAGAAGAAGAGAGGTGCAGCTATGGGATTAGGCATAGCAGGCTCTTCTATCGGAGGCGTCGTTCTTCCCATAGCTCTAAACGAGTTGCTACACACTAGTGTAGGCTTTGGCTGGGCAGTACGCATTGTTGGCTTCATAGTCCTGGTTCTCTTGTTACCAGCTAGCATGTTCATCAAATCTCGTCTCCCTCCTCGCAAAGCATCTCTCTTTATGCCTTCAGCTTTCAAGCAACCAGAGTACGTGATCCTAGTCGCTGCATGCTTCTTTGCTACCCTAGGCATGTATCCGCCTCTTTTTTATTTTCCATCCTCCGGCATCGCAAATGGCATGAGCACCAAACTCGCGTTTTATCTCGTTGCAATCCTCAACGCAGCGTCGTTTCCTGGTCGAATCTTAACAGGCTTTCTGGGCGATAAACTGGGTCGATTGAACATGATGTTCTTCGCTGCAGCTTCAACGGGGATTATATCTCTCTGCTGGCAAGCCTGCCACACAAACGCCTCGCTTATCGTGGTCACCGCCCTTTTCGGATTCTGTTCCGGTGCCATTATCTCGGGAACATCTATTTCGTTGTCATCTGTACCCAAAGACCCCAGAAATATCGGGACTTACATAGGTATGGGTTTTGGAATTACGGCGTTTTCGACTTTGATTGCACCCCCGGTTAGTGGTGCAATGGTCAGTCGGTATGACAGCTTTACACAGGTGTCCATCTTCAGTGGGGTGAGTAGCCTGGTTGGTGCGGCTTTGATCATTCCGGCAAAGGTGTATGCTGGGCATGGTATCTTTTCGGCGCGCTGAAGATTTGGCAACGAGATGGAAAGAAAGAAGAGGGTGAGTGATATTGGAATGATACCTTAAAGGTATTTTATTGCATGCTAGAGTTGTAATTTAAAATTGATTCTGCTTTTGAAGCAGGTAATCTCCACTCAAACTATAGAACCATGTATTATATTTAATATAGATAATATAATTGAAGATTGGACCCATTATTCATAGAGATTTCCAACTTTCATTTATCCACCAGGGTTTTCAGAATCTGACCGCGCCTCGCTTTCCAGGAAGCTGCATGGCTACTGGCTGAGCAATCATTCCAGGATGTGACCGAGTTAGGGCTTTGCGATGTCAAGCCCTACCCTCCTCAGAACGAGACTTTGCAGATCGTGTCTCGTGTGATTTTAATAAATGAAATATAATATTGACTTTCGAAAGGCTGAATAAATATAGAGTAGTAGAATCATACGTTTCTGTTTCAGTAAAGTACATACAGAAGAATGGAAAGAAGGAGCAAAGATCGACGTCAGGTATTACCTACGTCAACAAAAAGTTCGTAATGCTTCAAAAACATAACATGTAAATAAATCATAACTCATTAGCAACATAGTCCCCTATGCCTTACTTAATATCCTCTCATTCACACAATCTTAGACGTATTCATATCCCCAATCGCCACTTGACCGGCATCATAATCAACATCACCTCCATCTTCCTCCCACTTCCTCTTCTCCTCATACGACAACTTCCTCCAAACATCTTTCTCGCCCTTCAGTTTCCTCTGAATCCACTTAAACGGCTTCGCGGGGTCGTTCGGTGGCCCCGTGGCAATACCCTTGTATCCGCCAAATGTGTCGTGATAATACATTTTACTTTCGATAAAGGCTTTTAAGGATTCTTGTCGACGTTGGTCGTTAAGTATCACTCGCGCATAGGATGGAAGACCGTCGGATCGTTGCGAATAACCCGGTAGGGTCTCGGTGTTGATGTCCCGTTGGTGTTCGCGGGTCTCATCAGACGGCGATGTACCGGTATTGCTTAGTTGTTGTTGTTGTTGCGCTTCATTTTCTGCCGCCTCCTCACGGGAGGGCTCAGTACTGGTTGTCATTGTTATTATTTTCTTGAGCAAGATGTACAGCGAGGTGGGTTAGAATGAGGTCTTTATGTTGGTTGGATGAGGCATTTTATCTATGAATGCACGGAGTAGTAATCTATTGATAGAGCCGCTTGTTGGCTAAGCCCTGAACTAAGAAGATGCACTTATCTCCCCATCCAATGAAACCTGCGTTTCTATACACGCATATCCACCCCTGCACTCACCAAATCGAACTAGGAAGTTAACTAGAAGCAGGTTACGACCTATTCTTCGTTGATACCTTGACCACGTAGTACTAGTTACTAGTAAGGGCGCTTAGGTCATGGGACAACTTTTTCAGCTACCATGCATCAATTGAATTGAAAAGCGACGTCACATCATGGAGAATAACCTCTTGCAATTTGCTCTTAGCCAAACTATCAATGTAGTTATTTCCAGGCGTGAAATGAGCGGTATTGCAGCGGCGTTCGCAGGAAAATCGGAGTTATCTCCCAATCTGAGCCGGCACTGCGGACTGAGCTAACAACTGCAGATTAACTCCCTTCCACTGCCAGGTTGAGAATTTGATAGAAGCAGTGAACCATGTCATATTTGATGCTTTGAGACTGTCCGTATCGAGCTATATAGTTGCGGAAGCAGGCCATCCCAATAGGGCTTCTGGTGTCTGAAGTTCCTCCAAAGTTTGTCTCTGCAGCCAGGATCCTTTGGTCGACTGTATTTCAGATATCCGGAGCGGTTCGCCGCCCGATGAAACCTCGAGATGCCATAAGATCTACCCGTCATTGTGAATCTTGATGGGAACCAATGCAGTCGAGAAACCCATGAAAACCAATCCCGAATCTACCGAAATTGGGTATTCGACAGCGGCAAGCTGGAGCAAGGCCCCGAAACTTAATTTCAACAGCCCGCCTTCAGGAAAGCTTTCGGAGGGTTTCACGACGACAAGTGTGTTGTTAAATAATCGGATCCAACATGCGGGTCTTTGAGCGGGTGTTCTGTAGCAATCGTGAAGATATCCCCAATAAATGAACCTGTAGAAATCATAGGGCCGCAGCCATTTTTCGGCACACGAAATGCTAGACACAGCAATATGGCAATTTCCTTGATTTCTGCTTCCAAATCCTTGTTGAAAACTTCGATCGTCAAATGATTGTTCAATGCCGTGACTACCATGTCTTCCCCCACTGACACGAATGAACAGATAGATTTATTAGCACTGGGAGACGTAGAATTTCATCTCAATATCCTACTTACATGTCACATGATCCGAAGAGTTGAGCGCATTCATGATAGTCCCAACAAGCTCTACCCCCTTACCAGGATGGAACTTATCAAGATATCGCTTGCAACTAAATGGTTCCACATATTCTCCCCTAGCTACTAAGATAGTAGCATCGAAAATAAGTTCTTTCGGCGTGTGACGACCGGTATCGTCAGGCAATGTTTGCAGCCACAAAGGTAGTTCCCACTCGAAAATCATCGATTTCTCTGGAGGCTGGTTGTTAATGTAGTTACTCGGAGTGCAGTTGATTGGTAGTTGGAGGCATGGATAGATTGATGGAGGTTAGAATGAAGGTGATGATGAGTGTCAGGTCAATACTAATGGATGTCTCTGACAGCAATTGGGGTGAAAAAAGCGCCAAACCTAGTATGAAAACAAGTGGGTGAGAATTTAAAATCAAGCGATGAGCGAAGACCTTTTATAGAACTCTACCTACATGTGACTCATGCTGGGCATTTCCGTCTAATGTAAAATCCAACTATAACAAAGGCCTTTGCTGACTGCCGGTCAATGAAGTATTGCGGCTCTGGCCGGCTGATTCCTCGTCATAAGATCTACAAAGAATCCATTATGTAGTAAAACGTGCCCTGAGGAATAAATTAGCTGTCCTCCTAGCAACAGTCACCGTCATCCACGATTGTGGCACTGTATCTGAATACATAGGCTTGGAAAAGCAGACCGTATTCATATTTGACATACCATTTTCGACATCTAGTACATACATAAACCTCCATGGCACTCCCACTTTCATAGAATGACAAACAGACTGGAATGTCGGAAATCGCCCGACACAAACGCTCCTACAATTTTATAGGTATCGAAATACGTACAGGTGATCAATTACCACCTCACCAGTAGCATTCAGATTTCTCAATGGAATTCGTGCGGCTATCCATTCTCTTCCTGTCTAGCATCTACTTTCCTCTACTCCTTGATCATTTACAGCAAGCATTCGCGGGGCTTCTTGGCGTAGTTGAAGGGTACATACCGTGACCACTTTCGAAGCCCTAATTTCCTTAAACAGACGGCGAAACCTGGCCTCTCCAAACAGCTCTAGATTCAGTAAATTTTCTGTTCGTCGCCATCAATGGTCCTAAGTTAGTTATGCTCCGATAAAATATATCACATTTTAAAGACGAATTCAAAACAAACGACACTTCTATGCAGGAAAAGTCCTCGATCAATTTATCTTCGGGAAGCTCGTGTGTCAGAGAATGAAATATAATAGACATTTAATGGTTTTTTAAATCATCATTAGGTAATGAAAAACAATGTCCCAAGTGAAAAAAAGGTGGTGAACGAAATTCGTTAGAAAAAGTTGCTATGTATGTAAAGTCGTATGTCAAGAATGGTGTAATAGAAATCAAAGTGAATCATCAAACTTCTCAAGAAGCCCCGAGACGTATAGTCCATAAAGTCGAGAAATAAAAAGGGAGGAAAAGGTAAATATATGTACAGTATTAAAGAAGTCGCTAGTAGTCAAAAAGGAGGATTAAGCAATGATGGTATCATCGCCCTCATCACCGTCTTCAGCAGCAGCAGCATCAGCATCGATTTCCGCCTCCCTCTCTGCATAAATTTTCTCCTTTTGCGTCTTGGCTGCAATCAGGCAGTCAATATACGTCCTGAATTTGACAATCTCTCTCAACAAATACGACGATTTCCGTTCCCAGTTCGACATAGCTTTTGCCGCATTGGGGTGTCGAGGAGAGAAGGCCAATAACATGGCAGGACGGAGCTCGTTGTGTTTCTGAAGGTCTTCTTCGACGTTTTTCACGTATGTTTGCAAGGCAGATAGTTGATCTGCTTCGCTGAGATTGGAGGCGTTCATACTTTGTTGCGGTGGGGTCCAGTCGCTGAGGTGGACGCGATCAGCGGGTAGTTTTGCGCGCACGCCGCCTTGTTGGTCGAGGGAGCTGCGGATGGAGCTTTGGAAGCTGGGTCGAGGTGGTGGCTGGGGCCCTGTGCCGGAGGAGTTGGGTGGTGAGCGGTTATAGTCTATGTTGACCAAGGCGCTATTGATGACTGCGTCACTCCAGCCGTATTCCATGTTGCTAATTCCGCCGACTAAGGGTTGTTTGGAGAGTCGAGCACTCCAGTAATTGGCCGTTGTGACGAACTCGCGCACGATTTCGGCGGTACCGACTTGGAAGAGATGCACGGCGCCTGTCGGAAGGCTAAGGGCCCATACATGAGGACGAGACTTGGAGTACCCAGGAGGTGGTAGAGCGCTTGCGATGGTTTGGCGAAGAAGGAACTTCCATACTTCCTCTGCGTTCTCCATCCAATTGCCACCTCCGACAACTACACCACCACCTTGTCGTTGTTTGGACTTCAGACGCATAGACTTTGAGTTAGCACTAAACGAGAAAAGCCGTAACCATCCGCGTTGAATAACAGCAAAGCATTCATTCCAGTTCCGGTCTTTGGCTTTCTTGTCAACAGCTTCTAGATGTTGTTTGTGCTTCAGACTACCCTCCTTGGCCCATGGAGCGCCCAAAAGCTCAAGCGTATCATCTTCAAGCAATGGTTTGGTAGCGCCTGGATCTTCATAGCTGGATATTGAGTGAGCAGTATCTTCTCTGATAATTGCGTGGCTTAGCGCATTTGCAAAACCAATTGACTGTTGATAGCCGCCTCGGTGGTATTCCGAGCCAAGGGAGTCAACAGACATGGAAGTCATTGTTTTGCCAAGCGAATATTTGCTCCAGGTACTCGATGCCGAAGGACTCCAGATCGATGACTGGTCATCAAGACTTGTGCGGCTCGATCCCATAGTCGAAGCGGGATATAGGCGAGCACGCGATCTCGGTTTAGAAGACCATCGACCGGTCGTCATGCGAGAATCGGCAGAGCGGCCGCGTGGAATAATGTCGGATCCAGTCTTGCTAAGCACACTAGGACTCCGACGCAGGATATTGCCTGTCGTGGTTGTTGGAGGAGCAAGCCCTTCAGACTCTGCCGGCGCGTTATACAATGGCAGACGCTGCTTCTGTATAGAATTGTAGAAATCTTTCAAGACGATTTCTACCTGCGCTTCCCACGCTTTGATAGTACCCTTGAAAGGTGTAGAAATCAAAGGTCCGTAAGAGCTTGAATTGTCCATAAGAATTGAGCTTCTCCTAGCCTTGGTCTCTGTTTCAGGAGGCGGAAGGGAGAGTTCACCCTGGGGGAGTGTTGGTGACTTGGCAGCTGTATTTAGAGGAGCTCGCGATTTGTTGCCACTTGCACGTATCGTGTCAAATCCATCCGGCGCTGCATCCGAAGCCACGCGGTTGATGGTGGGCAAGGTGTTTCGCACAAACTGATTCTTTGTCATTTTCTGGTCGATGTCTGCCATGTGCAAATCGGTGTTGAGCAGGAGTAGCGAGTAACAGATGGTATGCACCACATCTAGAAGAGAATTAACATCTTAATAAGTCAATGATTGTATGTGTACATACCAACTGCTTTGAAACCGTGATTCGGATTGCATTCACACCATCTGGTAGACAAGGCATCCAAAACACGATCGACTTGCTGTGTCTCTCCTTTCAGCGCCATCTTAGTACAGAGGCTTCGAAGAGCCGCTAAAATATCCATATTTGTCCAATTGAACAACTCCATATAGGCTTTTCGAATCATGGCACGATCAAGATCTCCGAGCCAGGCAGCAGGCTCATTTTCGACCACTTCATCAGGGTCGTCGAATAGCTGACGTGCCTTCTCGCGGTCTGCGGCACTGGGCATATTCTCTGCTCCCTCTGCATCCGCAGTTTCAGATTCCTCGTTGTCTGCCTCCGGTGACTTCGTCGTCGTGATGATCGGTGTGTCAATTCTCGGGGAATTTGAGGCTGTATGGTACTGAGACGCATCGGAGGCGGAAAGATTCGACGTGATGGAAGACTCGTGTCGCAAGGAGCCACGACTAGAGTTATTGGGCGAAGTACCAGAATGCAAAAAGCTGCTATTCTGGATCTCAGACGGAGGTATGAGATTTTTGGATGTGTTGACCTGTAACTGCTTTTCTGGCATAGGAGGCTGAGAAGGTCCTGTCACATTGCCTTGAGGACCAACCGGGCTTGTTTGAGGTCTACTGTCTCGTTGGGAGCCATACTTAGTGCTGCTTGAAGCCTCATTATCGGATCTACTACTAGTCAGTACCATTGCTATCAAGTAATATGCAAGAGTTGGACTTACTTCTTAGCCATCGGTAGAGCATTGTTCGAGCCATCCGCAGTTCTAATTTGCCGCAACTTCGGCCGGGCTATAGTATCTTCAAGGAACGACTGGTCAGTTTGCAGATGACTTGGATTGTGCTCTTGCGTCTCCGTCGAACGATCTTCGGCATTGTTCTTCGCCGCTTTCTTTGACGAAAGGTAAGGATCCATGACTTGGCGAAGACTACTTGCTGGGCTAGGCTCTGGACGCATATCCAGACCCCTTGAAGCATTGGGCGCCAAATTCAAAGGCGGCGGGATACTGTCGACCACAGACTTCTTACGCCTGCGGAAAAATGATGACGCCTTTTTCGCTACAACAGGGTGTGCGGGTTCCTGGCGAGGTTGCGTAGGAGTTGGGGCACTTTCTGACTTGGGAGTTGGCAATTTAGATTGTTCGGGTGTTGACTGTTCGGAAGAGGCTTTGGATGACCCAAATACTCGTCTGAAAAAGCCTTGTTTTTCCTTGGCTGGTGTCGCATCTGCTAAGGGTAACATTGGCGGTTTCTGATATGATATGGTAGGGCTCGGGGCAGAGGGATCAATAAAAGAACTTGGGAGGGGAGGTCGTGGTGTTTCGTCATTATACTTGATGGTAGAGGTTCCGAGAGTATCTGGGCGACCCTTTCTTGTCGCCGTGCTCTTGGCTGATCGATTACTGTTCCTTCGCGACAGAGCCGGAGCCCGAGGTGGAGGTAGACTACCGGGAAGTCCACTTGAGGGGTCTCGACGAGGACCGGGCGGTACTGTCGGCGTAGGAGCCGCATCCAGATCGTCTAGAACCAGTTCTGAACCCTGCAGAGGGTTCGAAAGATATGCAGGTCGGGAGCCATAATCCAGACTCATCGAGCGTCTATGGCTATAATTTAGGTAGTGCTCTTCAAATGTGTGATCGTAATCTGCGCTGTCCGTACTGTCCTTGCTTTCCTGCCGTGCCGCATGCCTTCTTGATGGGACGTGTGGTGGTGTGGCTATTTCTTCATCAAAGTCGTAATTCCTCGGATATGCAGAGCCTGCACTGTCTCTGCTACGAGCAGTGTCATGGCGCCGTTGTGAGGCTGAGTGAGATGTGCTGCCATTGCTCCTGCGGCCACTCGAGCGAGGTATCTGCGGGTAATCGTCATCGCCATACGGGCCAGGACCAATGTCGGAAGAAACGGATGAAGACAATGTATGGCTCCGGAAACGTGGCTGTTGTGCTAAGGAGAATCGATGATTGTTGCTGCTATAAATGTATGGATCCGGTTCGGGGGAGTCATTGAAAAAGCGAGTATCGCTGAATAAAGGCGAACCCGGAGTGAATTGGTCCAGCGAAAGAAGCATATTATCCACCACGGATGTCCTCGTAACATGTTTCGGCGACAAAGCCAGATCATGCGGGTCTTGTTCGTCTGCAGATTCACTGGGGCGGCCCAGTTGCTCAACTGGGGTGGTATCCTCAAAGAAGGTCTCCGGATACGAGTAACCCGTGCTCAGAGCACGGGTTTGAGGCCATTGCTGGCGTTGCGATTGCTGCTTTCGACCATTTGACGGCGGCGGCGTTGAAGGCGGCGAGTAGTTTCGGTCGTGACGACGGGAATTGTTGGACTGACTCGAACTTGCAGTCATGCCCCGATGCTGAGTCGTGGGAGGCCGAGGGAAGTCGTCCAAACCCATGACTGCTTTGTTCAATAACTGAGTCAAGGTAAGGGATGTTACTCAATTTCGCTCAATTGCAATTATTCTCCGGATCCAGCGCCTCCCGGGATGTGCGAGTACTCAGTGAGTTCGAAGGTGAGCGCAATTCATTGCACTGCGGATTTATTGAACAGGCGTTGCATAGTAGGAAACAAGCCGGAGCGAGGTTTATTGCTTGTTGTTATGATCAGTCTCGTTGTTCGAGTACTTTCTCTCGTGGTGTCTGTCGCAACGAGCACAGGCCGTGTGAGTTGTCCAAGCCTGAGCGGTCGTGTCAGAACGAGAGCGAGACAATTGCATCAATTAGGTATTGGGTCGCAACGTGCAATTGGGTCGCAGCGAGTTGATGCTGCTCGACGTAGAGACGAACGGAGAACGATTCGACCAGGAGTCGAGTCGAGATGGTAGTTCAAGAGGAACGACGCTAAGAGAACAAAAAGAGGAGAAATCGAACAGTCTCGCGATTCACAAATCCGGCAACGGAGTGGGCACTGGACAGTGGAGCTGGCACTAGACTGGCACTAGAGAGACTAAACTCGTTGTGTCTGGTTAGTATTAATGAAGCATTGAGGCAAGTGTGGAGGAGAGGGAAGTTGTCAGTGTTTCGAGTGGCCGTCAGCCAACGCAAGGGGCAAGCCCGCCAAGCTCTGCGCTGGCCACGCTGTCCCACTCTGTCAGGGGCTCCATTGCACTATTGAATCTTGATTCGTCTCGCCCAGTGATAACACTCACCATTATTCTCCGTCTACCACACTTCCTCAAACCAACTTTTAATGAGAGTGCTCGCTGTTTGCAGTTTCTACTTCCACTACGTACTCTTTCCTAGATGACTACGGAGTGCAGAGTATGTATGCGTACCCAGTTGAGCCCCTGTCCATGACTCGTCTAGTCCACCTCTCACACCACTAACTTAATACGTGCATATTGGTGCATCTTCTAAAGGCTTGACAAATCGCCGAGCTGACGGACTTATCGTCAGGTTCTCAATTGACTTGAAACTGTATCACGTAGCGCAAATACCCCGGTTTCGTACCTCGCGAACCGTCCCGGACGAACAGTGTGATATATCACTTTATGCATAGACTTTCTACGGAGTACATACGTACAAAATCGTAGAATGCGGCATACACGCAAATGCTACCAAGTTCGAACGTACTACCGTGGTCTGTCGGCCACTATTCTTCAGTGCATCCACCGGCCAATTTGAAACGATCGGCTTGAGTTTTGCTCTAGCTTGCCTAGGTACATTAAGTCTAATATATCAAAAACGATAGATGTTAGGCACGTAACAGGAATAGTGTCGATCTTTGGATATATACTACGTACTACAGATGTAGATCCAGATATTTGTCACAAATGACTCAATGAGAAGTAGCGGTCTCTTGGTTCTTTCTAGGCGTTTGACATGAGACCTGGGTATGGAACCGATCTCGGGAAATATTTATATGGATATCATAATGCGATAGCTTTTGCAGTAGGAGCAGTACTATACAAAAAAAATATAAAGCGCGTAGGAAAAGAAAACCAAACGCCATTTAGACCAGTTTCCAGATGAAGCCACCACCTCGTTCCAGATAATATGTGTGAGAAGAAAAATCAGACTTCTCAGTAGCCCATTTCAATACCGAACAAATGCAATCATTAAATATTGAGTATGCGTCAAGCCGGAGGTATTATAAAACCATATCAAAGACCGTTGGTTGTGAAAAAGAGCGACGTGGTGGTATTGTACAGTCACGGTCTAGATACTAAGCTCCCACGCCAGAACCACGCTTCGACGCACGCCGTCCTGAATAACTAGAATCCGTTTCCGCTGGCGCGGCCTTCTTCTTTTTGCTGCTACCGCTTCGACCGCCCTTGGGCCTATATCCCGTATCCTCATCCCGCTTGCGTTTCGCCTTTGTCGCTGACGGAGCGGGTACATCGAGCGCAATGCCGTCTTCATCGTACATTTCTTCCTCTTTGGCCTCTTTGGCTGCCTGTTTCGAAGCAGCGAGTGAAGACCTCTTAGAAGAGCGCGCGGTCGCCGCGGTGGAACGCTGTGGCTGTGTCTGAACCTGACTGCTCTTCTCGGATGCAACCTCGTTATCCTGCAAAAATACGTATGGAGTATTGCGTCGTAACCAGTTGTATACGGAGTTGGGATTCTGCAGAATTGCTTCACGCTCACGATCGGCGAATGTAGGTTTATCAGGAAGTTGTTTCAATTGTACATCCGCGGCTGCGTCGCCCATTTTCGCGTCTAGTGCCAACAGATATTCATGTTCGTGATCGGGGGTCATGTAGTTCATATTGAGTAGAGTCGTCGGGTCTTCATCGAGTTCGGCAAAAATCGAGGCGGAAGACGCTGCGACCGAGCCGCTGTGCTGAGCGATTTCTCGCAGAGAAGCGTATTGCATCGACGGTCGGAAAGTGGTACTGCGTTTCACGCCTCTTTCTAGACGACGATAGGTTTCGGCTGTGATTTCTCCGGCTTTCAATTCGGCCCTGGCTTCTTTCAAGGCAGCTTTTGCTGCTGAAGTGGTGTATGTAGATGGAGCGATGTCATCGTCATCGTCAGGTGTCAATGGTGCTGTCACTTCTCCAGGCAGGCTGAGGTCGTATCGTAGGTTGGTCGGGATGTAGATGCTGTCATTGAACTCCATAAGGACTTCGAGAAGTTGACTAATGACACACCGTGTTAGTGCCGCTCGTATATCTGGAAAAGGAAGGGGAAACCTCACTCATTTGTTTCTTGTAGTTTCTTCGACACATCTTCTATACGCAGCTGTTCCCGTACGAGTGCCTCGCTCTCGCGCATTTCCAATTCGAATTTTACCTTTAGTTTGGCGAATTTTTTCCTATGGAAAGTTACTGTGTCAGCCCTGTAATCTCAATCGCAGAATCAATATACGCACTTAAAGGAATGGCATGGCTGTTTAGTGGTCGCAGCTGGCGCATCAGGCAACGCGCCTGGTGAAGAGCGTGTATCCTCCCGATCGGAAGGCATATTTGTGGAAGGGAAAAAAAATAGTTCGAGTACAAGCGATCTAAACGGACTCGAGGACGTGGAAACGCGGTCGCGGCATTGACAGAATGGTTGATTGAAGAATGGTCTATTGTCGTTGCTATCACAGGGCGGCGAGAAACTGCCCCGGCCATTCCACAAGGCGACAAGGCCACACAGCTTCTTGCTTTTCTTAGCGTGGCTGGTGGGCCACTCCGGAGTTTGCTTAGTCCCGTCGGTCTAGAAAAAAAATTGAACAATCTCATCTACAACAAGTTGACAGCATTTACAGCCTCACCAAATCATTGCAATCCAATAATATAAAATTTACACAATGCCAGGCCTCAAAGAAGCTGGTCACGACACTAGTCACAAAAAAAGAAAACTCGACGATGTCCCCGAAATCGAAATTGATGTGTCCGCCCCCGAACCTCCCTCAAAGAAAGCTCTACGCAAAGCCAAAAAGAAGGGCATCGATCCTACTGAGACGACCGTTGTGAATTCTGAAACCGAGGCAACAGAGAATAAAACAAAGGACAGCAAAGATGGAAAAGATGGTAAAGGAGGAAAGCGATCAGAGTATGGTGTGTGGGTTGGAAATATGCCCTTCACAGCCACGAAAGAGGACGTCCGCAAATTCTTCCTTGACGGCTGCACGTTTAGCGAAGCAACAATCACACGAATCCATATTCCAATGGGACCGTCCAGAGGATTTACTCCGCAAAACAAAGGGTTTGCTTATGTCGACTTTGCCAATAAGAAAGCAATGGAGGAAGCCATTGGATTGAGCGAAAAGTTCATTGCGGGTCGTCGTGTGTTGATCAAAGGCTCGTCAAATTTTGAAGGCAGACCTACGGAACATCAACAAGCGGGCGGAGCGGCGAAAGCTGGAGCAGCTGCAACAAGTGCGCACCCACCTTCGCGACGGATATTCGTTGGTAATCTCGGCTTCGATGCTACGAAGGAAGCCGTTGAGGAACATTTTTCGCCGTGTGGTAGTATCACGAATGTGCATCTTGCTACGTTTGAAGATTCCGGGAAGTGTAAAGGCTATGGATGGGTTGAGTTTGAGACTATCGAAGCGGCTACACATGCCGTAAACGGGTTTGTCAAGATTACCGAGGATGATGAGGAGGATGAAGAAAGCGACGAGTCATCGTCATGTGAGGACGACAAATCTGATGAGGAAGGCGAGAAGACAAAAGCAGAGAAGAAGAAAAGCAAGAAGATCACAAAGAAACCAAGGATGAAAAAAGTCTGGGTCAATCGTCTCCTAGGCCGTCAACTAAGAATGGAGTTTGCGGAAGATGCAGCCACTCGATACAAGAAGCGCTTTGGCAAGGATAGTAAGAAAGATGATGGCGAGAATGAAGGAGGACAACGCCGTGATCGTCGTCCTAAGGATGACTCTCGATACTCACAGGATACTGTGCAGAGACTTACTGGTGCCATTGTTGAGGCTAAAGGAAAGAAGGTCACTTTTGATTAAAATATTCATGAATGAATTGGGCGTTAATGTCTCTGTTTCTGTATATAGCGAATGAACTAAAGCTGGTTTATTTACCATCTGACCCACCTTTTCATTTGTAGAACAAGCAGCTAAATATATACTCGCCAGTAATCTATTTAACCATAGTTATATTAAACGACACCGACTGCGTGGTCACTAGTCAATTACACTAATCTCGTCGTATTAGGGCTTTAAGCGCGCGATGGCTCGACCGCAAGAGGCGCCTACAAAGCCCGCGCTAGTCCCAGACAGGCGCCGTTGACATCTCTCGGGCCGCTTCAGATGTCATAGTGTAAGCACGCCCAAAATACGTCTTTCTTTTCTCTTCTACAACAACAATCACAACTATCCTTACAAAGTTTACATCTTTCCATCATCTTTGCTTGACTTGTATCATTGTATTTCCGCTCTTCCTATATCGCCTCGCTTCCTAGCCATTTGTATTTGCTCCTCGCCACCGTACCTTGGGCCTGATCATCAGCAATCGCTCTTTCGTCCGCAGTTGTCCGCCTAAGCCAAAACAAGTTTCCGGTATCTCCCCCGCCGACATCTCTGGCTGAGATAGTGAAGACAGCAGCTATCCGACTCTTTTCGCCTTTCATCCGGCACCTCCTTGATTCCTTGACTGTCTGACGGATCTTCCCACGACAATAGTCAACACGCGCTTCCGGTCGGTACCCTGGTTCGCTACGGTGCCAATCGCAGAGCCCGCGTTCATCGTCTTGTGAAATGGCTTCCGCTCGGCGTCACAGAATTGGAGCTAGTCGCCGACGAAGAGAAGACGAAGGTGAAGATGAGGATTCGACGGTGGGACATGTGGAGGAGGACGATGACTCGATGAGTGATGGATCGCTACCGAGCCATTTGGGCGACGACGATGATGCCGATGGCGAGGGCAGCGATGCCAGCGAGGATGAGCGCTCGGTGACGCAGCATGGTAGTGCTACGGAAAACGGACATGCTCGTGCTGGTCGGGGAGGGAAAAGGGACGACTCTGGGGAGAAACTGGAAGTCCCAATCAAGCCGACATTAACCGCGACGGTTTCTGACACAGGAGTGATGATGAATGGACTTAAAATATCTGCTGGACAGGAAGTCGAAGAGATAGAATTTGACAGTATGGGTAAGATAGAGAGAACACCATCGGCGCCGCCTACGGAGTCGAGGAGAGAAACGTTTGCTGAACGGAAACGACGGGAGCATGAGGAGTATATCAAGGCTAGGGATGAGAATCCCGCGTTTGTTCCGACACGAGGAGGTTTTTTCTTGCATGACAAGAGATCTACAGACGGACATCGATCACATGTCAATAAGTCGAAGTCACGGCCATATGGCCTTATTGTCGATGGAAATGTGGGGAGGTGAGTTACATTCTACTCTATATGCGAAAACTCATGCTGAGTATAATTATTCTAGACGTCCAAAAACCGATGCCAGCGATGGACAATGGACTCACGACTTGCACGATACAGTGGTTCGCGATGATAGATCTACCAACTCCACCTTTACACCTTCGTATTCGCAAAATACAAACACAGGTTATACGAATGGCTCGACAACAGTGACTGTTGCACCACGTTCTACGCCCCCGAACCGCTCTTTCTCGACGACATTGTTAATTGGAAATGTCCCTGTACGAGTTTTCTTGCCTGGAATGGAAGCTGCGATCCCGTTCGCTGCTGTGCCGAAGCGTCAGCATACGCGGTTGCCGCAACACCGACCTCCCTTGAGACGCGATAAACCCGTTCGTGTTTCATTGCCAGGTGCAGCACCCAAATATATTCTACCAGCACCTGAACGGTCGTTTATATTCATTCCTCGTGCTCTTCGGCCCAATCAACAGTCCTTCAGAGGACGAGGTCGAGGTGGATACTATACTGGTCGAAGACCCAGCTTCTACCAACCAGGCTCGGTTTACTCACCTAGTATATCCATGAGTCGCAGATCGTCGCTGCGAGAAGGCATGCACTCACCTGCTGCATCTGTCCTCTCGAGACATAACATGGCGACTGGCGAAGTTAAACCCATTGTTCGTCTTCCACCTTCGGTTCGCCCACCTGGCGTTATGGTGCCCGGACCGGTCATGCCGGCCGTTCCTCTTCCTCTAACAGTCCCCAACACGGCGTACAGAGAGATCCGTAGCGGGCCGATGACCATGCACCAACCGCGACCGCAAAAAACCGTTTCCTTGGCCGACATTGAGAGCCCAGCAAGCTTCAACTTTAATCCTCCTCAGCCTCAACAAGAACAACCATTCCATCAACAAGTTCCCGTGGCTATGGTAGCCCCGGGCTATGGACCGGACGGCTCCTACATGCACGGGCGTCACCCGTCACATCCTAGCCAACCTTCAGGCACGCCTCTTTCTCACATTCCCGAACGGGCTATTCACGCAGCACCTTTCCAACCGTATGGAGCACCTACACAACCTGCATATTATCCAGCCGGTTATCCTCCAGGAGCCATGTACTACCCCGTTCCTGGGAACGAGTATCCCCATTATACACCCCCAACTGTCAATAACGGCATGGGTTATGGCCCACCACCACCGCCTCACCCATCGCAACTCCCACCAGGCCCTCAAGCAGGGGGCCAGCCATATATGCTCCACGCGGCGCCGCCGCCAGCTCCACCTTCGGCACCTCCACACACCACCGGGGAGCAAGCTCCTCACGCAGGCACAGTAGCGCACGAAGCCAACGGCACAGTCTATTTCTACGACGCACAGGAACTCTACCATCCCAACGCAGCGTACAACGCAACTGGCGGGGTCGTCGGGATGGGTGGCATGATGACGCCGCCCGGTACGACGTATTATTACCCACAGTCGCCAGGCGTTTACTATCCTCAGTAATTCATCATGTTTGAAAAGTTTCGGCTGTCACCTCATAGCGTTTCTTGTTTCTTTATTTCTTCGACCTGTCTTACTGTTTACTTTCTCTGTTTGTCCTGATGAGCGACTCGATACATCGACATCATTCTATTATCATTATATAGTTCAGCATAGCCCATTCCGCGCGTTCTGGTCTTTTTATGTGAAGGAATCGGTTTTTGTTTTGCTTCGATTATATTCTCTATTTTTAGTTATCATACTATATCATTATCTAGTATTTGTTGTGCATCAATTTCAGAATCTGTATCCTTTCCCCTATTATCAGATGAATTGTGAGATAGGATCGCCTTTAGTAATCTCCACAACCTGACATCGATCCCTTACCTTGGTAGGTATGTACTTACTACCGTATACTTGTAGAATGTAGTATGTAGTAGCCACAAGCTGCATAGTCGACATACCTTATTCAGAGCATCAACCACCACAACTACTGAATACAGTAGTAGTTTAGTATAGTTGATGGGTTATGCAACTCGGCACGGGCAGTGTTTACCGGAGACAGTTAGCGATCGTTAATGATCTACACGGCACGTACTTAGTAGTCTACTTCCAGGGGTTACGTACGTGTGCTCGGTTCTGTTATTTTGAGAAATTAGGGTAGTATGAATGCACTGTATAATTAGCTACGTAGGTGGTGCATTATTTAATTAGATTCAAATTGAGCCTGGACAGGGCTAGACATCGATCGTGCCAGCCGGGTAATTGGGGTGTCTCGGATGTCGGATGCAGAGAGCATACATCGTGTGGTTGTGACATAATCTTGAAATGTCAAGACATTCAGATAGTTGTTTGGACGGTGTCCGACGGAGTCACGAAGATGATCTGCAAAAGGCGATCGTTGAAGGGACGGTGATCATATTTGCACAAGCCAGCTGTTGAGCTGTGCCTTTGCTCTGTTGGTACATACATAGTGCAGTACTACTATGTACGTAGAGTATGAACATTAGACTGGATAAATATGGATAAAGTCACCTCGTCATGGCGATCATACCGACATACATACTACGCTGGGTATGCGCAATAGTTATGCAGTGTATAAAGGAGCATATAGTGTACACCGCCATCGTCGATCTTCATCTCTCTCTGCAGTCTCAGTATCTGATGCACAATAATGCAACAACCGTTGGATCGATTAAAAAGATGTTGCCTAATGACACGATCAATTTTAGACTTTGGTATGGCTGTGCATAGGCCACATTATAATTCATAGCCAAAAAAAATTAGCACCAACGTAAGCAAAATAACAAACTCGACTGGTCAGCTTTCGACTTGCACGGACATGTTTACGTATGTCTCATGCAGTCGATCGACAGTGATACTAAAAATGAATAACCTTACAATTGTACAGTGTATAGTTAAGCATAACCCAATGAGGATGCATTTCAATGGCCGGGATCGTAGTCCCGCGTTGGGCCCAGAGATGTATGATCGATGGAAGCGTAATCATGCGATGGCACCTTTACCCTGGACTCAGAGTTCGGTAGGCAAGGATGTACCGTTGCATTTCTCACGGCAAAACGTACAGAGAGTATGGATGATGAAGAGCACTTCCTATTCCGGGAAGCCGAAATCACGTATAGGAAGCCGGCATTGTAGCAAATAGTAGAGCAGTCTGAATAAACAGAATGTATAAAATTTTTATTTCTTTATTCGATCTAACACCATTGAATTTGAGTCTAAAAGACTCCAATCTAACTGGGTAGCTGGGTTTGATCTAACAATATGCATGTGACCAGTGCAAACCGCCACGACAGCGATACATCAATACTGTATTACATAGTATGGTATAACCCGTACCGGCGGGAGGAACTGACTCGGTGTCGTCCGAGCATCACGAGACTATAAACGAAGTCGCTATTTAGTCTCTTTAGTAGTTCATCTATTTGCCTTGATTTGTAAATTAGTATAGGGCTATCCTGTCTAGCTGAAACATAGGTAATACATTTGTACAACTTATGGTGTACACGCGTAGTTACAATAGGAGAGTACAGTCATGTCGTCATCGTACCGCCGGTCGGTGAGAAATGCCGCGATGCCGATTATTGTCAGCGGAGGTTGTTAATTCAGTTAGTAACTACATAATACATTAAGTTGTAGACATGGGAGGCCTGATGCGTGCGCGGACGTTGCATATTGACGTATGGTAGGTTACTTAGTGAGAGAGCTCTCCCCGCCTTTACTTAGTATTTAACAATACGGAGCTAGACTGCAGCCGCCAGCGAGTAGGAGGCCTAATAGAATACTCCTGTTACCGTCCGTACTCTAGTCCCCCTGCGCTTTCCTTGTGAGAGGCTCCCCTCATTCCCGCCTACAAATAACCATTCCTTCTCCAACTCTCGCTCTCGCCCTCTCTCCCTCTCTTGATCCCTCCTCTCCTTACTCTTGCAACTGTCCTCCTGCATCATCACACCACCATACTATACATCTCTCCATCATCTCGTTCATCGATTTTGATGCAGAGTGTATTTGTCGTTTGATTTTATCATCAAAATCCTCTGTCGTCATTCCTCGAATCCTTAATTTTCTGGCCCCCAGCCTAAGCTTCGTTGAGCGTTAGCAGCCAAACCACCTCTTTAATCATCCATCTTTCATCATATAGTCAAGAGTCACAGTGCACGAGATCTATCATGAGTGATCTGGTGCCCGTATCAAAATCGTCTGCGATTTTGTCCACCGCCATGTCTGGCCCAGCTCCGCCAGCTCCGCCCGTCGGTCCAGATACTTTGATTACTATCAAGATTCTGCACAATGACTCAGTGAACCGTCGCTTCAAGATTCCTTTGCGTGACTTGGGTGCTCGCATTTTCCCTCAAAAGGTATGTTTTTTTTTTTCTGTTCTTGATCGATTATGTATGATTATGCGGTCACCTCACGTGCATGCTTCCCGCTGCTTGCGTGCTACTTCAACCGACTTGGCCTATCTCGGACACTGTAGTATGCCGTACTTCCGTTATCAGCTCCTGACTCGGACTGGCTCATCCACCTCCCGATCATGTATCAGTGTTCTGATCTGTAAATTGATATTATTTTTTCTATCATCTTGATCGTTGCCTTCTAACCTTATCACGGCAGGTCCGCTATCTGTTGACAGTCGCACCCACCGACTCCTTAATCCTTGAACGCTATTCCGATAGCCTCGCCAACTACATTGTCCTGGACAGCGAGAATCCTGCTGTCTACAAGCAGCTCTACCGTGCTGCCAAGGCCAAACTCAAACTCCGCATCAAGGCTACCACTAAACCCCAGGACTCCACAGACGCGCCAATCACCTCTCCTATCGAGGAACCTCGTATCCAGGAACAATCTCACCAACGCTTCCGCTACTTGGAGACTGTGCTTAGTCCTTCTCAGACGTCCTCTCAATCCAAGAGTATGACGTCACCCCTCACTTCCCGGGCTCGGGCCTTCTCACCCGTGTCTTCTGTCCACGAGGAGAAGCAGCAGGCCATCCCTCTCCGATTCGCCAATAACAATCACCTCGGCAGTGCATTCTGCATCGACTGCAACAACTGCGGAGGTAGCATTCCCAGCGAACACTATCACTGCAGCATCTGTGACGACGGCGACTACGACTTGTGCCTTAATTGCGTTGATGCCGGTGTATCCTGCCCTGGTGAGAACCATTGGTTGTTGAAGCGACTGGTACAGAATGGGGTCATCGTTAACAGCGTTACCACAATCGCACCCAAACGTCTTGATCCAGATTCTAGCACAGAGGAACCTACCCCAGTGAAGGAAGAGCCAAAGGTTGAAGATAAGATTGAAGAAAAGATTGAGGAAAAGGAGATTGTTCCTGAGCCCGAGGTCCAGGAGGGACAGAAAGAGGTCGCAGACGAGCGTACTTGCAATGCATGCTTTAGAGAATTCTCCGAGAGCACAATGGTCCACTGCGACAACTGCGAAGACTATGATTTGTGCATTGGTTGTCTATTGAAGAATGTTCATGGACACAACCCTGCCCACGCTTTCTCCATTATCAAGGAGCATCAGCTTGGTTTGAAGAGTCTAGTTCTCTCCCGTTGCCGTCCAGGTCGCCATTACCATCATGCCGCGATCTGCGATGGATGTGAAAAGGTAAGCACCACCACCACCACCACCAGTCCTCAATTTTCATCTACAACAGATTTTCTAACTTGAACAGCGCATTGTTGGAGTCCGACACAAGTGCCTTAGCTGCCCTGACTGGGATTACTGCTGGTCTTGTGTAAAGACTGCCGATCAGTCCCACCCTCAGCACCGGTTTGTCCCCATCTACGGACCCATCACTGAAACATCCCTCTCTCGGGATGTCCATTGCGGCATCTACTGTGATGGTCCCTTGTGCCGCGGCAAGGCCACCGCCTCATACATCACTGGTGTTCGTTACAAGTGTGCTGTCTGCCATGACACCGACTTTTGCGCTGCTTGCGAGGCCTTGCCAGCCAACCCCCACAATCAGACTCATCCTTTGATCAAGTTCCGTACTGCAGTACGCAATGTAACTGTCAACACACTGGGTGACGATGGCTTCGGTGGTCAGACCATGGTCATGGGTGACCGTACTCCTCCAGCTGTGCGTAGTTTTGCCGATGTCCCGTCCGCCAACTCCGTTGTCGAGGCGCCGTCTGTTGTGGAAAAGGCCGAATCGATAGTGCCGGAGACAGTTGAAGAGCCAGCTTCCGAGACAGCCGAGACAGCCGAGACAGCCGAAACATCCGAAACCCCTGCAACTCCCCGTCGATCATCGGTTGACTTTACCGACGACTACAGCGCCTACTTTATGAAGGATACCGTTTCTGATGGAACCGCTATGGCCCCGGGCCAAGTTTTCCAACAGACCTGGACACTTTACAACCCTGGACCTACCACATGGCCAGTAGGCACCAGCGTTCGCTACGTTGGTGGTGATGCCATGTTCAACATCAACACGGAGCATCCTTCCAGCGTTGTGGCTCTTGCTGTAGCCATGTCGAGCAACGAGTTGACCCACCCAGTTGCCCCTTCAGAATCGGCCGACTTTACCGTCACTTTGAAGACCCCTCAGCGTACTGGTACTTCTATCTCTTACTGGCGCTTGAAGCACCCCAACGGCACTCCATTCGGCCACAAGCTTTGGTGTGACGTCAAGATTATCGACGCGCCAGTTGCGGCAGTCGAGCCAGTTGAAAAGGAGGCTGAAGAACAGGTTATAATCGAGTCCGATTGTACTCCTGACGTTGAGGTTGAGGTTGAGACTGAGGTCGAGACTGAGACTGAAATGTCCGGTAGCAACATGGTTTTCCCCAAGCTCGAGAAGGAGTCCCCAGTCTCTAGCACCCACACACTTGCGCAAAACCCTGCACCTTCCTACACTGCTCCTTCAGTATCCACTGTTGACGACCAGGCTCTTCCTGAGGATATGGAGAGCTTGGCACTTGAGGACAGCGACGACGGCTTCTTCACTGATGAAGAGTACGATATTCTCGACGCTAGCGATCAGGAGTCCATCAACGGAAAGCAGTAACTTTTTTAAAACTTATGACCCGAAATTGTTTCCACTACTCGATAAATGGCTTGCCAAGTCCATCTGGGCGTTCATTCATTATTTCCTTGCTCGTTCATTTGCGTTATGTAAGCTATGATCTAATCACTTTTTCATTATCATTCGTAACCTAAAATAATTATCTCGTAACCTAAGGATGTAGGATGGTAGATGGTATTAATACCAATCATCCCTCTTCTCCCCGCCCGTCTTATTATTCGGATTCATAGAAACAATCCTCCTCCCCGGAATCGTATCATGCGTAAATGCCGATTCAAATATCCCTGATATCCCCCTTCTGCCTAGCCTCTGGAAGGAATCATATTGTTCCAGGTCGGTGTTGCCGTTACATGCCGCCCATTCAATCGCTGAGGACGGCGTTGAGCCATCGCCCAAGTCGCTCCAGCGTGTGACCACGATGGCGTGTCTGAATTTCACCCCGGTCTTTCCTTTGCTGCTACTACTAGGGCGACCAATGGGTGGGTTCGGGTCTGGTGTAGTGTCTTCAGACAGTTTAACTTCGACAAGATACTCAGTCGGACACAACGGACACCGCCTCATAGGCTGACATTTCCCACACTGACTCGGGATAGCATACGGATCAAACTTCCCGCGTCCTGCAACCGCGTCTTTGAGTCTGTGCTCTACGCCCTGCAATCCCGCCGTGTTGCGTGGTACGGGGATGTGATCTAATGCGCATTTGCATACATCCATCAACTCCCCATCCCGCCAGTGCGGGCATGCAGAGAAAAAAGGCCAGTAATCTTCGCGACTGTAGAGGAGCAGTCGTTTCCCTGTTGGTGGAAGGCCGGGGGAGGCGAAGCATTGACTTATGACGCGCATCAACAGACGGTTTTCGTGGATGTGGAATCGGGTTGAGATGCTCCATGTGCCCCCGCCTCCGGCTTCGGAGTATCGCCATCGTCGACCCAGAGATTCGGGTTTGAGGCCGTATTTAGGAGAGTTGAAGCGGTGCGCGCGGGTGGCTAGTTGCACGAATGTGAATGGGATACTCCGTCCGTGCGCAATGCGGTGCCGAGCCGGTGGGTTGATAGCGTTGCGTTCTTGGGGGCAGTTGAATACCGGATTGAGGACCTGCGCGTGCGTTGGTTGCAGTTTCTCATTGCCGATTCTGATGCGTCGATGATATGTTGCGCAGGGTATGCAGAGGAGGTGATACGGCAAGAAGCGGTCCAGCAGGACCAAGAATTCGAGTTTTTGTTGTCGGTTTTCAGTTTGATTGAGTTGGTCCATATATCGCCTTGGACCCAAGCGGGTGTATAAAGTCTTGTTTGCCAACGCAAGACAAACCGCCGTCTTTGCATCTGTCATATCCGCAACACGGCACCACACTGTGCCCGGCAAACTGGCGATCCCATTCTCGCCTCGAGGCCGATTCTCATCTGCAAGATAATAATAAGATTCATCCGACTCAAAGCCTTCCTGCAGACTCATCGAATGTAGTAGCGTCGTATAATCTACGTTTTCGCCCAGTTGCGTATCGAGACCTGCACTACGAGCTCGATATTTTGCCCTATGGGCTTGCAGGGGCGCAATTGGTGGTAATGGCGGGACGTCATCTTTATCTTCCCCATACCCTTTGGCATATGAATATTGTGTAGTGGTAGTCTTGATACTGGCCAATGTTGTCGAACTAGCAGATGTAAGAGGCCCCTCTGCGCCGGCGCCGCGTTTGCGCAGTTTCTGGCGCGATTTCTTTGGTTTGAGCCAGTTTGTGAGACTTATTTTGCTGCTGCTGTTGGGTTGGTTGTCTCTAGGCATATTCTTTTGTTCGTCATTTGTGTACGAATATTAATTGATTGGTTTTGAGGCATGTATGTTAAAAAAGAAGGGATGATGAAACGAGGGAGGTAGATCATGGAAAGCTCGGACCGGCAGAGCTCGGAATGTTTCAGCCTCATGTGGCGGTGCGTCTCGGATTTATGACATATGTTAGTCTTCTCGGAGCGAATGGGAATCGTGTTTACTAAGAAGGAAGGGCAAGCTTTCATTACAGTTTACAGAACGTGAAATGAATGTCCTCCTAGTTGAGGTAGCCTATCTTAGCAACATGGCGCCGCTTTAACGCTATTTCTAAGATTGACCAGTTTGCCAAACAATACAAACCAATACAAACAGGTGCAAACTAATGCAAACAAGTCAGACCAATCAGCGCCAGCTCTCGACCCGAAGAGGAAAGTATGGCGTAGCCCTAACTGTTTGTTTTGTCGCTGTACATGCAGAAGAGAGTGTGATTACAAAGTATTCTAATTGTAAGCGATGAATAATTATGAGAGTTAGTTTGTCAGCATAGATAGGCAATACTTTGAGTATAGTAGAATGAATAGGGTTTAAATGTTAAGAAAAAGCATGTGTAAGATGTTCGAAAAGACACAACAGAACCACACCCTCAAATTTCCACGAGATTATCGAATCTAGCTTCTACTAGCTTTTATCAATAAAATGTCATCAATAGCCCTTGTCCTCGGCGCAGGAGCCAATATCGGCCAAGCCGTAGGCCGCAAATTCGCTGCTAACGGTTACAAAGTAGCCCTCGCAAGTCGTACTTCGTCCGACACTGCAAGCCGAGATGAGAAAGACGGACTGTTCCACTTTCGCGTAGACTTGACCAACCCCGCGAATGTGCAGACTCTGTTTGAGCAGGTTCAGGCTTCGCTGGGAGTTCCAAATGTAGTCGTTTACAATGGTTTGTCGCTACCCCTTTCTTTTAGAGAAAGAGTGCATGTTGATTCCTCATCTACGTTATCACAGCCGGCTATTTAGTCCGCGGAGAAAACCCCTTCTCAATCACACCGGAAGCCTACCAAGAAGTCCTCAACGTAAACACCACCAGCGTCTTTGCCGCTGCCCACGAGGCAGTCCACGGTTTCGAGAAATTGCCTACCTCATTGCCGAAATCGTTCATATTCACAGGTAATGCGTTGGATGAAATCGTCATCAATGGAATGGCGCCTGCAGGTGCTGGAAAGTCTGCAACTGCGCATCTGATAAAAGCCGCCGCGGCGTCGGAGACGTACAGGCAGGCAGGGTACACGTTAGTATTTTGCATTTCTGTTTCGGGTGTGGAGAAGAGGATAGAAGTTGATTCAGTTCAATAGGTTTTATTACGTGGATGAACGAACGAGTGGAGGCCAACCTGTCGGTAACAAGGTTGATGGAGCGGCGCATGCTGATCTCTATTTTGAGTTGGCGAGTGATGAGAACCAGAGGGAGTGGAAGCAGACGTTTGTCAAGGGGAAGGGATATGTCAAGTTTTGAAAGGTGTCCCGAGATTTACTATGGAAGATGATCGAGGGCCCGACTGGAAGATAGGTTTAATCTTACATGAGCCTATAAGTAGTCGATAGTCAGAGTTATTATGCAATATTTTGATTTTTTTTTGCTAATTATACATGTCATAAGGACACGTTTTTCTATCCGAGCCGCCGTACTCCGCTTAGCATAGCAACAGATGTATTAGGAAACCATCGCAGACCTCGTGATTTGATATGTCTTTGCAATCCCAAACTGACAGTGTCGAACAGGCGTGAAATTTCCTCCTGAAATAAGGTCGCGTATCCTGGCCGCCGATTTTCTAGGCATCCCATCCAAAGCAACTTCATTGTCAAAGGATCATTTGAGCAAAAAAGGCAATACTTTGCGTAAGCAAGAAGACCAAAGAATAATGAAAACGAATATATAAAATATCTATCCGTCCTTTCAATCCCCTTACCAGTCTTCAGAGATGCCCGGGTTCCTCTTGTTTCACGATCGTGGTCTCCGGCTCGAAGATATTGATGAAATTCCAGTCTGCATCATAGAATTCTTCTGTCTGATATAACTTCATGACTGTGTCATATCGAAAATTGAAGTATCCGTAGGGCTGAGTTCATTGCCATCGTTGGTTGCGGTTTTTTTTTCGCATCTCGGCGACGTAGGCATGTTCATGCTGAGACCCATGCGCTACTAAGAAGCTCATGCCAACATCGTTTTTTTAATGCGGGATCGTTTGCTTGTGGAGGAAGATCTGGAAATCCACCTTTCGTTCTAATCGTATCTGCCAGCGCTTTCCAACTGTCAGACTTAGTGGCAGTCTTAAATTGGTACAGCTGTTTAGTCATGTGCTGTAAGAGATATTCTCTGATGTTTTTTGAGAACTTGGGGGTTGGTATCACCATACCACGCTGTCATTGGACTTGTCACGCTAGAACATGAGAAAGCTGCGATCATTATGGCGAAAATGGCGGAGTAGGTGACCAGTCTCCTTCTAGATCTTCAGAGCGGTGGTAAATGCCATGATGAATGTCTGATTCCATGACCTCGAGTTTGAGGCGCATTGTCTTTCCGCAGTAAATGATGAAACGGGCCGGTACAGAAACGGAGAGTAGTGAGGACTCAAATCTTGAAGCAGTATCTGCTGTTTCGAGTACTATGGCAAGAGCTCAAAGATTCCGTATTTTCGACTGATAGGTGGTATACTCCGGCGACGACTTCGTTCGGATTATCTTTTCCGAATGTATTCAGTTCAGATAAGCTAGGGCTAGGTGAAGAATAGCATTTTCAAGCACTTTGCATCTCTCAGACTCGTGTGAACTGCTGCCCTCAAGATTAATGCACATCATTACTGTAATTGACCCAGGCAAGTTAAGCCTCCAATCGAGGGCAGCATAGATCTGCGATTCCGCACTCAGAATTTCGTCGTTTTGGACTGTGATCGCTTTGTTCGAGAGTGACGAAATGAGTCGTTTCCAAGTTGTCAATGTAACGATGTCGTCCTTGTCGAATTTCAGTGCCACCAGAGGCAGTCAGTGGCGGCAAGATGAGCACGTTTTTCCTTTGGCACTACATCTTTCTCTACTCGCCAATGTATCTTAAGATCATATGTGGATTTCTCCACTCTCCGTTTCCTTACCAGCCCGAGTCATCATTTACTGCGGAAAGACAATACGCTGTTGCTGCTCCTGTTGCTGTTCTCGCTACTATAATAACTTGCGAGGCGGCCACAACTCTTTGCTGCTGATGGAAATTCCATTGAATTTTATAATGCTTCTGCATTGATTCTCGCAATCTCGAAGTGGTATTTCTGCCCATAAAGTTGCGCGAGACATTTTTTTGACCCTGAATGTAAGTTCAGGCCTAGGTTGATGTATCCCTCGCATGCTTTAGGATCACTGATTCTTAAAGAAGGTTGGAGCTTCGCTGGTACGTTGAGAATTTATTTTAAGTTCTATTCAATTGAGTCATATCATGTCTTCAGAAACATACCTCTTCTATCCTTTCCTCATCTCGCGCTCTCCGTACTGAAGCAAGCCGTCTGGATTGATGCTCAATTGGAACTCTGGGAGAAAGGCAGTGGTTACCGAAAGCGGCTGGGTTTTCTTTTCTGAGCTGAATAATTCGATATTGTTGACCGGTTCAGTGCCTCACGGCACGCGAGTGGGTCTGCGATCCGCCCTGGTCGATAGTCGCTTTTGGTTTAGGTATAGGACTCGGTTAAGATACGCCTTTGCCATATCATAATTTGGAATCGTCCTTGCTAGGTTGCCAGCTTTGTTGCGCCACTTGATAACATCCTTCAGCCCCATGAACGACTCACCCCGGCTTCCCAGATCTTGAATATGTCCTTTCCAGCACGATATCTTGTGCCTATATTCTTCGCTCCATTTTTTATAGCCTGATTTATCGACTTCTGTGAGGTTCTATGCGTGTCGTTAGACCTCGAACTCAGGATTGGTTTCACGAGCCAGATCAAGATAAGCTGTCAGGGCGCCGTCATGCTGGGCTTGCTGGACTAACCATAAGTTTGTGAGGAAGTTTGCTCCCTCAACAACATAAGTCTATTAGGCATTTAATGGAGCTATCTTGCTCCAGAGCTTCATCTGCGCCAGTAAAGTTCGTCCGCTGTCTGAATATATCATGCCATACTAGATCTTCTTGTATGCGCGCAGGCTTCTGGTGATGACAGTAGTTTTGGGGAATTTTGCAAATAAAAAGGAAGACTTGATGGGAGGAGAAGGAAAGGCATAAAATAAATAAGTAAGTGTGGGCGTCTCTAGCGAGAGTCGGTGCCTAAATAGGATGGCGGAATAGGCCTTATCATTGACCAATAGCTACACAGTCTTTGAACACTCGTTTGCCATGTCTTTCTCTTTGTTACGTTTGTTTGACAGGGTCTGTCCGCTTTTTCATTGCCCGTTTTTCCATTGTTTCATTTGTGGTCCGAATGCAGTTAGGGTACTCTGGGCAGTGTGAGGAGTGTCCTTGCTTCTGTTCTCCAATACCTACACAATCGTCCAATTTTCGCTTCTTCATATATTCCGGAGGGGTTCATCATACTATCATACTAGTGCGGAGTCTCTGTCTGAACGATTTGTAAGTGAAACGTAAAAATGTGATCGCGAATTTCAAGGTCAAGCGGCTGATCAAATGCTATGTCTGTTAAATGTCAGGAATGAGTAGCCAGTCGAACGTCGAACTTACTAAAAATGAAAAACCACTTAGTTGCCGACCATAGATATCATAATACTCAGATATGGAGGCAGTTCAGGGCAACAATAAAGCTACAACTTTTTTGATTGTTGAAATTCAGGGCTTGAGCTGCGGAATGGGCAAAGACATGAAATGTAAGGATCTCGTTAGGCAATCAGACAATTTCATAGCACTCATTGTAGCTTATGAGTCTACACTTTTTTATGCACGTACCCCTCTCTATACATGAATCTCGACTGTCTCGTCAGGTTAAACGACTATTGAGGACTAGATGTTGCTGGCAACGATTGGTTGGTGCCAAAGGAAACCCTCGCGTCGTGGGCAGACGGTTCCCCACACTTTTGCTTACTAGGACCTAAGCTCCATGGAGCTTTAAGCGACGACCATAGGAGCTCTCATTCTTATTCATCTTGTTATTTATTTTCTATGGACTCATTCTCTTTTGAATGCTGTTTTGTATGGTATTTCTATATCAATCACTTACAGCATTATGGCCCTCCCGGCTTGGAATCTCCTCAAAGGCAAAACTGCCGCTATCACCGGCGGGACCACAGGCATTGGCCGAGCCATCGCGCTAGAATACATTCGACAAGGAGCCAATGTGGCTATTAATCACTTGGGACTGGAAAAGGACGAACCTTTGCGTCATAGTTTACTGGAAGAAGTCGAGAAAATTCAGCAAGGACACAAAGGAACCGGATACAAGGTTGGCGAAGTTTTGGAGATTGCGGGCGATGTAACAGACCCCAAAACGAGCGAGACGTTGGTCAATGAGGCGGTTAAGCAATGGGGAAGACTGGATATCTTTGTTGCGAATGCGGGTGTTTTCAAGGAAGCGAAGTTTCTAGAGTATGCTTACCTCTTCTTCAAAAGGACACGACAAAAAGCTGACATGACAGGATTCAACCGAGTCTCCTCGATCACAGTCTAGATGTCAATGTCAAAGGTACATTCTATTCCTGTCAAGCCGCAGCCCGCCAAATGGTCAAACAAGGACACGGCGGATCCATTATCGGCGTCTCATCAGTCAGCGCTCTCGTCGGCGGAGGCTTCCAAACACACTACACACCCACAAAATCTGCAATCTTGTCCATGATGCAATCAATGGCCATCGCTTTAGGCGATAACAAAATTCGCTGCAACGCGCTACTCCCCGGAACAGTCAACACGCAATTGGCAGCTCACGATACGGCGAATCCTACAAAAATGGCTATGCTGGAAGCTAGAATTCCGCTCGGCCGAATTGGTGAGCCGGAGGATATGGCAGGTCCGGCGTTGTTTTTGGCGTGTGAGGAGATGAGTCGGTATATGAATGCGTCGCCTTTGTTGGTTGATGGTGGCATGTTTAGCAAGTTGCAATAATGCATTAGTTACCAAAACTACTTAATAGAATTTCGAGTTTTTGAGCATTCAAATCTCCCTGCACAGGTATTATACAAATAAACACTTGACTTCTTTTCGTCTTGTCAATTTGAGCCATTACTTATTTAGTTATCCCCACAGAGCGAAAGTGAACCGACCGGCTTTCTACCCGACGACGCGCGGTGTGGCCAAGAACTGTGGGGGAAAGCCGTGCCGTCAATTGGCCCTTGGGATGCTGATCCACTTTTGGCACGAGACGAGGGAGTCATGTCACACAACAGACAGGAGTCATTAACTTGACTCAAGTAAAATCCACTCATATCAGCCCATTACGTAGGTCAAGATATGAGGCCGGACGCAGTTTAAATTAGTGGTTGAAATCAGCTGTATCGAAGTGAACCGTACAAAGATCTTTGGTTCAATGGCAATGGCTGAAGCATATGTGCGAACGTTATTTGTACAGCAATAAGAGTTTAGAAATAGTGTTGGAAATTGATAGACATATTACCATAGAATAATCCTAATAAGGCTAATATGATGAGTGACAATGGAGTCAATTGAAGCTTATCTCATAGACTCTATCTTCTAAGGTTGACGGAATAAGACAGACTCTCTACATATCCATCTCGAACATCTCATTCTGCATGGTATATGCAGAACCCCAACTTAGATGTATATAAATTGTCAGTCGAAAATCACACATCTACTTAGCATGCTCAATCTGAGCCGCCGCCTCCTCCTTCTCCTGCGCAGCCTTGTCGTACACATCCTTCATAATACCTTCCTCTTCAATAACCCTAAATCTATCGGGACGCTTAGTAGAAATAGCTTCCTTGTCACGGAAGACGAGCAGAGGCGGGTTGGTGCGGTAGTATTCATCCATATCTTCAAGAGTACGCCCAGCGGTTTCAGGGTAGAAGAGGTACATAGTCGGAACCATGGCCGCATTCAACACAATCCAAATGATGTAGAAGCGCCATCTCAGGTTTTGGATACCAATGGGCGTAATTTCGACGACCATGAAGTTGAGTATCCAGTTTGTCGCGGCTCCGATGGCGGCACCCTTGGTACGCATGGTCAAGGAGTTGATTTCAGTAGGATACACTGTTCAATAGTGTTAGTGACTAGTATGAGAAGGAGATAAAGGTGGACTTACACCATGGCACACCCTGCATGCCGATACCGAAAAAGACATAGTATAAAAAGAAGAAAGCCACTGATGCAGAGGCGACATTATCCTTATAAGCATAGCCAGGCAATTCGCTGAATCTGAGCAAGCAAGTGATGATGATATAACAGAAACACTGTCCTGCAGCACCAAAGATCATCAAGTTTCGACGACCCCAGCGATCGACTTGTCGAACACCAAGGAACGACCAACAGAGGTACTGCACACTATTGCAAGCAGCAAGAAGTCTTGCAAGTTCTTCGCTCAACCCAACTGACTTAGTCAAAACAGTGGGTAGATAGTATGAGGTAACATTGATACCAGAGAATTGCTGCATGGACTGTGTGCCCATACCCAGAATAAGACGACGCAGAGACTTAGTGCCGGCTTTCTCGTTGGCGCGGCCACGAAAAATATCGCTCCAGCTGACGGCATTGACGCGCTCGTATTCAACGGTGTTCTTGATGTGTTGCATCTGCACAAGAAGAGTAGGATCATCCGGTTCTTTGCCTTCGAGATGTCCGAGAATCTCATAGGCTTCTTCGTTACGATTCATGATGACTAGCCATCTGTTCGTAACCATTAACATGTGAGACGGCGAAGAAGTGGAATGAAGTTGTCACATACCTAGGTGATTCGGGAAGCCATGGAACGAGGAAGAACAGGATAATGATGAAGAGCAATTGAACGGCAAGAGGAAATCTCCATGCAACAGGCCCCGAAACAAACGAAAGCCCGTAATTGATCCAGTTGGCCAGCGAGAAACCAACCAACAGCAGAGCATTCTCAAAAATGACCAACTTTCCTCGCAGACTGGATGTCGCAGTCTCCGTCTGCCAGACAGGAGCAGTAGAGCTGTTGAGACCATTGCCGATACCAGAAATGACACGAGCCGTCATCATCTGGGCAACACTGTAGGAAGATGTTTGAAGAACTGCGCCAACCAACATGATCGATGTACCCAAGAGAATTGTCTTTTTTCGGCCAAGTTTCTCACCGATCCAGAAGGCGAGGATAGAACCCAAGAAACAGCCAATATCGTAAATGGCGGTGACTGTGCCGAGAAGAGTTGTCTTGGTCGGGCCAACGAGATTGTGGACTTTAAGATAGTCGGGTGAAATGACCACACCGCCGAAGACTCCCTATCGTCAGGTCAGCCATCATCCATCCAGAGGACGTGGTAAATTCTAGTCTTACCTGGTCGTAACCATAAAGGGTCATCTCAACACCACAAGTAACGGCGAGCCAGAATTGTAGCCATCCTCCCCGAAGGCCAAAATAGGCACTTTTCGGTTTAAAGAACATGGTTGCACGAGATGAAGTTGACAGCAACAAAGAGAAGTATGTGGCAGACTATACCGGAAGACATGGAAGGTGTTGAACGAAGAAGATATCCTGCCCGACTAATGTAGAACTAAGTCCTGGAGAAAATGCAATAATACTCCAGGTCAATCAAGAGGTTTATATACATAATTCCGAAGCTTTTATAGTACGAGACAGTTGACGCCAAACCCTACTGTCGCATGAGCCGTGTCGACAGGTGAAAAAGACCCCCATGGGGGAAACGAATGCATTACCAAAAAAAACCGGGGAATGTGCCTATGGAAACTTGCCATTGACCGTGAGTCGCGATTTAGTATTACCGATTGTATGGTACCACTCCCACATTCCAAGGCAGGGGAATTATGCCGGACTAAACCTTAACACAGGTTGGATGCCTCCGAGACGGATGCCCACGACACGGATGCCCACGAGACGAGAGAGATCAATGCGTCGTGTGCTAATAAAGTAAGATCCACACGACTACCTAATTTTGGAAGTTCCTCGTTGCAAACAGTTCGTATTTGTGGTGTTTCATGGTGACCGAGTTATTGTTCAGTTCCAACCTTCTATATTGTCTATATTTAACTTTCTGCGCGTCTGTGGAGATTATCATGAACTCCCAATATCATATCAGGTATTTTGTGCTGAACCGTTCAAATTACCGAAAAGGCTTCTTCCTCTCGTCTCATAGAGAATAGGTTTCACTCGAACGATGAATCTGTTCTAAGCCTGCCTAGCAGAGCCGCAAATCTCCATCCATCTCACAGTCAAATCAACAACCTTTTCAATCCCTTCCTCAATCAACTGAGTATGCGGCATTTTTCCGGCGTTGGCGTAGAGATGTTCGTAGTAATCGTCCAGTACTAAACGGTTGACGTTAACCTTCGAAACGCCAGCCTTTACACATTCCTTCATTAGATCAGGCTCGAAACCGTTTGTGCCGTGCAATGCGAGTCGAACTCGTCCGTTGACATTTGATCGGATTTGGGCAAATCTTATTATCAATTAGCAAATTTTAAAGTGACAATTCAAGTGATTTTGGGCATGTTTAGAGTCAAACTCACCTCTCAAAGTCCAACCGTGGACCAGCAGGTCCATATTCACCATGCACATTCCCAAACGCAGGCGCCAACGCATCAACGCCCGTAGCTACAAACTGCTCTACTTCCTCCGGTGTAGTCATACAAGCCTCTAGACCAGCCGTATCCATGACCCCATCCTCACCACCTTCAATCCGGCCTGGCTCCGCTTCCGTCGCAATCTGTCGCGCATTACAATACTCTACCAGCGCCTTCGTCTTGCTGAGATTTACCTCCTTCTCGTAATGCGACATGTCCACCATGATACTATCAAACGGCAACTCCGTAGCTCGCTTGATGATATCCTCTGACTGTGCGTGATCAAGATGTATCGAGATGGGCACACCGGCTTCAATGGCACGTTTCACGGCCTCGGCGGCAGTGCGGATGAGTAGGCCATCCGAGACTTCGATTGCCCAGGGGAAGAATTGGATGATAAGTGGTGAGCGAGCTTTGACGGCTGCTTTTACGAGGCCGAGAATTTGTTCGATGTTGTATGCAATTGCAGCGATGACGCCGTATCCTTTGGCCTCGGCATTGCGGAGGATGCGGTTGTGGATGTTGGTGTCTTTCCAGGTTGATGCCATTATGTCTGATTTGTCCCACAAATTTGAGATGTGATTAAGTGAAGTTCGTGCTGCTGACTTGAAGACCTGAATATGTACTTTTCATCTTTCAATTGATGTTTACGTATGCGGGGTCGAAACAGGCTGGTTTCTCGTTACGAATGCTGGTTGCGTGGTACTCGGCTCGAGGGTGAGCTTTTAAGTTGCCCCACGATATGCATCTAGAAATAGCTACATATGCAATTTCTCTAGATAGTCTATCATTGATCTCCAGAGTACCAATTCTTTGAATCTTTGCTCGTATGAAGCTTGTTGTGACCTTCCAAAATCTCGCAAGACACTGATCGAGTCAATCATTAAGTTGCCACTTTATTGATTGTGCTATCCTTAGAATGAGATAACTAACTTTTCACTCATCACTAGAAATTTTTATATTGATCGCTACTTTTTGTGTGAAGACAGCATCGAAAGTTCGAATAAATACAAAAAACCTCCCTCGCTGAAAATCATAACTCTTAACACAACCTGTCGTTATCGTATCAGATACCTTCATAAACACCATACGCATGACAAGTCAGACAATCAGAAAGGAGAATCAAGATCATTAGTTGGAAGAGTATTTGTCATCCATAATTGCCTCAATTCATCACCCAAGGAAACAACTGGCCAACCCGTACGTTTACGTCGTGCGTCCAGCAAGTCCAGAATACAGTTGCGCTCGTTGATGTCTTGGGTGAACATTCCAGCTAAAGACTCTCATTAGGATGATACGTCAAAGAGGAAGATGCATTGAGACATACCGATGTACAAACATTGTGAAGACATAAGACTCGAGGCATCGTCATTGAGGGTTATGGCAATGCCACAGATGATATCGATGCAGTGCTTTACGGTTGACTGTGTTTTTATGAATTGATCAGGTCCGCCCATTGAGGGCTCATGTGTGCAAAGAAGTATCTGTCCGACACAATGAACCTGAATTGCGACGCCTATACTTCGTTGTAAGCGTGAGCCAGATGGCATGACTGCGGAAATACTTACCAAAAGCAGGTGCACATATCCATATTGGCGAGAAGATAGACACATTGTCATGACTCATAGTTGGCAGGGGCGAGAACTCTACAGTCAAGTGTTGCTCCCAGTCGTCCAGACTCTTACGTAGATAACTTGCCTGATCGACTCTTTCCTGCAGAGTCATGTTATTCATAGCCTCTCGAGAACAGTAATCGATGACTTTAGCGGTGACATATACCGATCTAGCGGCAAGCTCAAATGGAGTCAGTGAACTGTACGGCCTTTTAGGTGTCCAGAACGTCAGCGTTTTCCTTCGCTCGCGGAATGCAGCCCAGAGATCCTGTCGCAGCCAAGCCCACCACACCGCGCTTTTGATACCTCCGGAGTCACCATGTATGACTTGAGAGCGCTGGATAAGAAAAACTCCTTCGAGATGTCTCTGCCAGTCCTTTGAAGAATCATTGAGCATTTCGTATGTAGAGATGATGAGTGTCGTTGCGAGTAGCTCAGAGCTTGTTTTGTAGCTTGAATATTGCATAGCTTTTTGAACGTAGTGTAGTGTTTGATAGTAGTATTGCAAGGCAAGATCTCGATACGATCGGTCATCGCTGTTAGGAATTTCAGGACTGGCGGCAAGACTGGGGTTCAGGGAGATGTGGCGGCATGAAAGGGCTAGAATGGCATTTAATAAGCCAGCGTTCCGCATCTTCTCATCTGGTTAGAAGCGCGGTATAGTGAGCAGATAGCAAGGTGATGGCCTACAGCGAGATGTGGTACATATGAGGAGAATTTGCATGTTGGATCAAATAGATCGATCTGACCAGTTGTTAGGCATTTGCAGTAAATCTTTAGAATATGACATACCCATTGGCTAACCCTTCGCACAAAATGCTCGAAAAGAAGATACTCTCTCGGCAACAGTTGGATAGGCTTTTCCGACTGCCACAATTGCTCCTCGAATTGATGCGCCTGCACATGCACATTATTGTCCTCTCCCTCAATTCCAAGTAAAGAGGGCTGTTCTTGGTCCACGATTCTCGTCGCTCGTTCCAAAGGCGTTAAACGCGAGACATCCACGTTCTCTTCCTCTGCTCGCGCAAAGAAAAAGTTTCTAAATTTGCGATAGTCATTTTCCGTGCCATTTACAGTTCCATTTGACGTATGATCGAGCACTGTGGATATCTCCGGGGTACTCCGCGCGGCATCATGAGCCAGAAGTCCAAACCAGCGGATGGTAGCAGCATTTACGGTTGGACCGGGCGATGTGACTGACACCGAAGCGCTGAGAGACTGTGCAGTATTCGTGGGAAAATTGTTATTATGTAGGATGGAGGAAGTTGATGAGTTATCGCGGTCTGCGGCAACAATTGCCGCTAACTGGTCTAGCGATTGTTGTGGGTGATGTTGTTGATGATGTTCTTGCTGCTGCGGCGAGGTATCCTTGCGGATTACTGCCCCGTTATCATCGGCGGTAATATATTCCCATGAGAGAATATGAGGAGTTTCGTAATGCGGTGGTTCCAGATCATGCGAAGGTGGACTCGTTTGTGTTATGTTAGCAATATCTCCATCGAGGTGAAGTGAATGCTGTTGCACATCCTCGTGTAGTTGTGCCGGTGTGCAGGTAGCATTCTCTTCATCTTCGTGGGAGAGGCTCTCTGTGCGCTTTTCTTGTCGGCTCCGCGTGCCAGTCGACGGAGTTTCAGGCGTTTGTTGCTGTGTATATGAACATGTCTTCTTTGCTTTCTTACACAATCCACAGATCGGTTTTAGCTCATCGCATTTCAGATGTCGCTTGCGACATGTTGTACTATGAATGTCAGCAATTTGAAAGAAACAGAAATCGAATACAACACAAGACATACCATCCCGACGTCGTCCTTAGACCCCTACCCCGGGACCTGCGATTCCGCGATAGTCTCGGAGGAGACGATGACGGTGATGGATTATTGACCATGATAACAAGAAGTCATTCTTTCTGGTGTAATTACGTAGAGATGTATGGAATTGATCGTCTCGTGGCTACGAAGTAAGGCTGATCGCAAAGCAAGGATGAGAAGCAGGGGAGCGATCCACATCGGACCATCTCCGCAATCTCGAAGGCGTTGCGGGGTCACTAGCCCTAACCCGAGTACGTGCATACTTACACGTACAACTACTACTGGTGCATACTATTCGTAATTCAGCAGAAACCTGTTCTTAGTGTACTCACTAAGTGGAATAACTAATTTCCGGTTACACATATGAGTTGTCTCAGGCTGCATCCAAAAGCTGTAGCTGACGGCCGAATAAAATACATAGAATTGTACTATATGCCCTCGCGTCGAGGCAGTTTCTCCACCCCCACTGGACTATGCTAACAAGCTCCAAGGTTGTTGTGTCATGAGGGACAAGAATTGGAGAAGTTTGGCATAGAAAAAAATTAATACATATTTAAATGGTAGCTTTTCTACTTTGGAAACTCGGAGATATTTTTATTTATTCAATCCCATCTGTTCGTTGCATTCTCCCGTCACTTTTATAGTTACATACCTCACTAAACATCACAATGGCTACCTCCGAAAAAGTCACCCCGCAGACTCAAATCAGTCTTGCCGGAAAGGTCATTGCCAGTAAGTTTCTCTAACTGCCTCATTCTAAACATGATACTAACAGCTCAGTCACCGGTGCGAACCGCGGTATCGGTCTCGGTATTGCAGAATGCTGCCTCGTCAACGGCGCCGAGCGAGTCTACTCCATCGACATTGGCGAAACCGGTGATGACTTTAAGGCTATCTCCGAGCGCTTCCCCAACAAGCTGTACGCAATCAAGGCAAATGTTACTCAAGAAGAAACCATCACTGCAGCGGTCGAGCAGATCGTTTCTGAGGCAGGTGCTATCCACGGTATGGTGGTTAACGCTGGACGAACCCACCACAAGGCAGCTCTTGACTTCACCAAGGACGAGTTTGAGAGCTTATTCACTATTAACCTATTCGGCGCATTTTACTCTGCTCGCGCGGCTGCTCGCGCGTTTATCAAGTTGGGTATCAAGGGTTCGATTGTTTTCACTGCCTCCATGGCTTCATACAGACCTAACAAGGTATTTCCCTCTATTCTCCTATTCTGTTAGCGTAAATTGCTGACAGAATCAAAAGAGAGTTCCCTCTGCCCCCTACGGCGCCACCAAAGCCGGTGTGCGCAACATGACACACACCTTGGCCATGGAATGGGCCCAATACGGCATCCGCGTCAATAGCGTTTCCCCGGGTCTGGTCCAGACCGCCATGACATACTGGGTTCCTCAACAGCCCGATTGGGAACAACAACTCAAGTACTACGGCGGTATACCTCGACTTGCTGAGGTACAAGAGTTGGGTGGTGCATATGTGTATTTGTTGAGTGAGGCGGCGAGTTATACGACTTCGATTGATATACCTGTCAACGGTGTTATTGGAAGTGAGTTACCGTCCCGGTCTTTTTTGTGGGAGATAGGTAACTAATCTATAACAGTCTGCTAAATGTACTCGAGTGTACCGGACGAGACGAATTCAACAAGATGGAAACACCAGTTGACAATGTGTCATTTCATGCCACATCATGTGAAATGCCGAAAAATGCAATCCTGATATATACTTTGATTATTTCTTCAAGCAGATAGATATTAAGAAATTTACTTCATTTATCAACTTTGACCTGCCTTTTACCCTGAATGAGACTTGCAACGTCTGCTTCGATATCCTTGATTCTTGTCCTTGGTAGACTTTTGTAAGGTCGCTGAAGGCTACGGCTGGAGGCAGGAACTTTGAGGCCTTCAATATTATATACAGTACCCAGATACAGAGTATTCAGTCCCCCGGTTCTACGACTCACCATCGTCAAATATCTCAAGCTCATCAAACTCAACCACCCACACGGTCTCTGCAATACAGCCCATCCCCTCAACCTCAATCACAACATCTCTCTACCCGTCTCTCTATTCGGCGATCGAAGAAACAAATCCTCGAAAAGAATGACCAAAGCCTTCTCTGCATCTGCCTCCATAGCCCATCTCTCTGTACCGTCACCACCCTATATACCAATTTCAATCCACCCTGACAACCCTACCCTGCGACACCTTCATCTCTCTCCCCTTTCTATCAAGCTCAATGGTAACAACACCCCTCACCTCCCTCTGACTCACAAATCCACCACTTCGCTTCCCCTTCCAACTCCCGCGGTGGATTCGGATACCCAATCTCCTCACATAGACTCGGCCACGTTTAACTTCGATTACGTGCAGTCTCCTCGCCAGCAAACTTGCATCGGCTTTCTTGATCCGATCTTGAGATATGACATGCCACAATCCTAACAGGAGGGAGGATCCTATTATCTGATCTCCTGCCCATTCGCCTAAGCTGGAGTGCATTACAAATTTCAGAATCCGACGCAGCAACTCCCTTCCCCCTCGCCACAATCCTCAACAGCAACAATTCGCGGCGCAGAAAGTATGATTCAAAGGTTACGAGGCTGTCGGCAGGATCGATGAAGGTGTGATTGAAGCAGGATTCAGTCACATTGCAGAACGTTGCAGAAGCTGATGTACTGGCTTCTTGATGTCGTGTGTTTGTCGGAGGTGAAGAAATCTATTTCGTGACTTAGGATGTCGGTGAAGTGGTTGATGTTTTGATAAGTGTGTGGAGATGTGTTGGAGCATATCTCCGGTTCTTGGACGATGTCGGTGTATGAGGGAATGCTTGACAAGGATGGAGCTTCCAACGACCTAGGTTAGGAGGAATTACTGACCGAAACCCTAACGAAGGTTTCCAATGGGCATAATGACGTGAGCAAACTTTCCCTCCGTGACAAGAGAATCGCTATTCTCGAGTGCAACATGTATGTCATCAATATGCCGGTCAACTGTTCAACAGAATCGAATCAAATAATATTGATAGGCCGTACTTAAAAGAGCAAAAAAATCAGTCGCTCATTGCTTTCGAAAACACCAAAGAATATCTAACATTCGATCCCCCTGACTACAAAAATCATCAAGTATATAGGTATGCGTGCAACAGAATAATATGAATAAAGCAAGAAATCCGATTTGCTGGATAAAAAACCAATTGTATAACGTTGTATTGATTTAGTCTAGGCAAGTAATTATTAATTCGTTTCCCATGATACTGTCTTTTATGTTTCTTCGTCTTCAAGCTGTCGTTAACGGCCGTGTACTGCGTATATAAGCTCGAACAATCTAGCTACAGGCTAGGTTTCGTGGTTGATTGCTAGGAGTATTCAGCTCCCAACGACGTCCCGTTCAACATTGCTATTGTCGCTATAACGTCTGCCGGTTCGAGGAGATGCCAGCTTGCCAGTGTCTGTTTTGAGCTTGCGCCTACTGTGACTGAGAAGATGTGTTCGGGGGGAAGGTCTGAGTTGCGTAAAGAGCGAAACATATCTGGAGAATCTCGTTAGTAAGCGAGTAAATACTAGAAAGGGAAAGGAGAACGCACCCTCATCGGTAAAATCATCTCCACTACAAAAGATGAATTCTGGCGCTTCGCCAGGTCCCCGGCCATACTCGTTCAACAACCTCGTCACGATGAACCCCTTATTGACAAATGTAGGCCGCACTTCGAGATTCGCCTTTCCAGCCATGACCTCAACATCATACTTCTTCATCACCGTGTTCTCAAGGTGTTTCCGGCACTCTTTCGCTTGGAAAAGGCCATATTCGGGATCGGCCCGACGATAATGCCATGTCAGGGCAACCCGTTTTCGCTCAATAAAGGAGCCTTGTGTGCGTTCTGTGTAGTGCTGGAATACGTCCATGACATCCTTTTGCCATGCCATGTCGAATTGTGCTGCGAGGTTCTCCCAGTCGTCACTCTTGGGCTTGCGAATGAAGCATCCGTGTTCGGCGCTCAGTCCGAGCTCAGGAATATGGCCCATCCATTCGTCCAGAAAAGCCTGATCTCTACCACTGATAATCCATACTGCGTTTCTTGGATCTGCGGCTAGACTCTTGATATTCCTCAAAACGCGGTCGGATGGAATAGCAGCCTGCGGGTCCTTGACAATTGGTGTCAAGGTTCCGTCGTAGTCGAACATGAACAATCGTTTCTTGGCCTTTCGGTACTGCTTCAATACTGATGCGCGGTCCAAAGCCGGTGTGGCGATTGATTGGTCAAATGAAGACAGATTAGTGAGCAAGCGGTTAATGTAATGCTGTGACCACATCGATACCGTGTTGGATGTGACATGTTTGTAAGCAACGTCGTGTCGTTTGAGTTTCTCATCCTTGCTCATGCTAAGCGCCTGGTCAATCGCTGCGGCCACGCCGGTCGTGTCCCATGGGTTGATATGAATTGCACTGGTGAGCATTGCGGCTGTTCCGGAAAATTCAGACAAGATCAGAGGACCGTGGTTTCCCTGCTGGCAAAGCACATATTCCAAACTTGTCGTGTTCATGCCGTCACGGACACTAGTGATCAAACCAACATCTGCGACGCGCAAGAGACTGAAGTATTCAAGTTGAGAAATATACTGAGGATAGTACTGCACAGGCGTAAAGCTCAGCGATCCAAATCGGCCGTTAATAGTAGAAACAAGACTCGAAACTTGGCTGCCAATCTTGTTCTCCGGGTCCTCCTTTTGCTCTTCCATACTGGTCGGACTCGTAACTTGAATCAAGACAACCTGATCACGCCAGTGAGGGTACTTTTCCAAGAATGCTTCAAAAGCTTGCAGTTTCTGCGCAACACCACGGACGCTGTCCAATCGATCTCTGCCGACAATGATCTTCTTACCTGCATACAATTTCTTGATGTTCGCAACGACTCGCTCGATATCTGAAGAACCAAAAGCTGCCTTTTGTACATTATGCGCATCTATCCCAGTAGCAAAGACATCAACCGCAACGTGGGCTCCATAGGCATCAACACCAGCAGAATTTGACTCAAATCCGAGCACGCGGGTGCAACACGATGAAAAGTGTCTGGAATATGAGTATGTCTGAAATCCAATCATGTTCGCTCCGAGCACTCCGGTAAGCACTTCTTTTCTCTTGGCTAGACAGCGCATGTATTCACTGCTAGGGAATGGAGAATGAAGGAAGAATCCGATAAAGATATTCGGAATCCGTTGTCGCAAAAGATTTGGCAACAAGAACAGATGATAGTCGTGGATCCATACAATATCTCCAGCTTGATATGTCTTAGCAATGCGATCGGCAAATAAGCGGTTCAGGCGCATATAATCTGTCCACCACTTTCTCTCTGAGCGCCCGTCTGATGGACCATTTTGCTTGTAGTGTAGCAGTGGATATAACTCTCGTTCAGCATATCTCCTCCACCGAGATTGATCTTGCAACAAAATCTCGTCGGAAGGCTCGTCAGACTCGGCTGTTGCCCAGACTGGTAGAATCTTGCCGTACTTGCCTGACTTCAGCTGCCTCTCCAGACGTTCTCTGTCGGCAGTGGAAACTAGGATGCCCTCGACAGGCGTCTGGGCTTGTGAAACCGAGAGATCCACAGGAATCGGCGCAGATGCTTTGTTTACGGGAAGAGGTGTAGTAGGCACAGCATTGACGCCGTTCGCGCTGACTGGTTGTAACGGTGCTCGCTTGGTGACAATCTCATCCACTTCCCCGGTCCAGGCTACCAAGGTATGATCCCATGGCGATTGGTCGGATGCGAGATGAGCGAATGAGTCGAACAAGGCCGACGTGCCTGCACGAGGACTCAATTCCTACGCGCATGTTAGTATTCACGATTCATAGTCACTTGGTATATTCTCCTACCCAATCCTGTCCCGCTTGGTGTGCAACCTTGTACGGTATACACAACGAAGCACTGATGATCCGCCCCGTCAATTGTAGTCCTGGATGGTCCGCCCGCGGATCGGTCACAGGAGTCGCTGGAGTAAGATGAGCGCCGCCGATGAGACTTAAACGTCGCAGCAGTTCAGGACCCGATGTTGCGCCCGACGCGGCGTCGGCAGGACTCATGGGCGATTTGGCGTATGCATCCTTGAGCGCGGTCGCCGTACCAGGCACCTCGGCGAAATACGATGCTGCAGACTCGTCTTGCTTTGGTTCTCGAGGGTTTACTGCACCATCGGCGTTACCGGCAGCAGTGGCCGCCGAGACGACGGCTGGAGTCGCGGCTGAGGCCTCGAGGTATGCTTCTTCGCCGAGGGCAGATAATCCCGGTCCGACGATGACGGGGTTCGGCTGATTGGGGGGAATTTTGTCCGGAGCGCCTTGCTCGTTGGCCATAGCGGTGGTGTCTCTGCGGAGAGCTTGTAGCTAGCCACTAACAAGCTTGAACTGCGAGCAGAATTGAGTCAATGAACGCTCAACGCGGAGTGGCAGAATTTTAAAGTGACGAAGTGAGTGAGAAACGAAGACAAGTAAAAATTCACGAATCAGTAGTACTCGGTCGAGTGCATTGACTCAGGAAGAAGCACTCCGAGTGAGGCAGAAACAACGTTCGCGGACTGGAGGGGTACGTACTGTTCCTAAAAGAGCGAAGGGGAAGGAAAGGGCGGGAAGCGACCGAAAATTAGAGATTGAGTCTGGTTAGTTGCCTGCCGCCATGGACTCACTCGTGCGAGTGGGTTGACGGAGATTTAATGGGGGTAAAATTCTTGAATGTTCTGGTCTCTCGTCACGTTCCAGACAAGCACATGTTGAGAGGAGCAGATAATGCGCTGTTGTTTCTGCGGGGCTGATTTTACTTAGAGTCTTAGAGACTAGTTCCTGGCCTGATTCTGGCCGGCACTACGTAGTTGGGAGGAGAAGCTACCAGATACACTCTTAAGTCTTAAGAGGCGTTGCTAAGTAACGCTGGCTGTCTATAGCGGTGAGATGGCCACCATTGGCACCCAACCTTGGTTGTATCGACAGACTTTATATTAAAAACATATCTGAATGCCCACTCGATAGATTAGACTTTGCTGTCTGTGGTTCTTCTTTCTGGCTTTCAGTTCCAGGCCAATCGCCTATTATGTCCGTCGCCGGCTAGTCTATATAATCAACAACAGTCAATACATACTGGCACTTTCTTTGATCTCGTATGTGACTATCGTAGCACTCTTTCGAGATCAGAATACCCCCAAGACAGAATCTCGTCTTCAACGCAGACAAACAGGGTCTGCCAAGGTACAGAATTGACGGAGCCCTGACGTTCCGGAATGGGCCTGTGGATCATTCTGGGTCCAGCAGGTTCTGGGAGAGAGTGACGTTGTATCTGCCAGGAATCGCCTTCAGTCGTAGAGATACCCGGGAGAAGTAGATATACTCGGAAAAAACCGTAATCGACATATTGGTGTCTGTAGAATCGAAGTCGCGGAAGATAAAGATAGGGAAATCTCGAAAAAGACAAGCAGAAAGAGGAAAAAATGGGACAGATCACGTGCAGATCTCGGGATCATCGGTCGATCATCGGAACAACGTTTCGGCGATCACGTGCTTTTTCTTGTCATTGCCTTCTCTTCACTCTCTCTCTCTAGTATGTTACCAGAAACACTGTCAGTGGCACAGTGACGTGCGATGATGGAATTAACTTCCATTCGCACGCAGATCTTGCTCGTCACCCATTGTCCATGATCTTGCCGAACTCGCGATCTGACAATGGGGTAAGATTAGAGACATTATAGTGACCTAACTGATAAGAACTAACAAGTCAACAGCTACACACACTACTACAAAGTCGAAGACTGGTCTTCTCCTGAGTGGCAGGCTGCTTGGCCGCAACTCATCCAAGACACTTCCACCATCATCGATGCCGTGCCAGACATCCCCCTCTCCGGTCCTTGTAGCGTGACATTTGAGGAAGGAAGGGATATACCCAACCCGCCTATCGCGAACATCGGTGATGGGATCTGTATCAACGGTGTCGAGGAAGACTCAAACGAAGATTTTATCCTGAAAGAGAGCGAACCACGTGGTTTCTGCAAGACCGGCAGGCGTGCATATGATATGGTGGTTACTTGTGTATTGCTTAGGGCGTACCGGCTAGCACCGAATACGTTTCAATTGAGGTAGGTATGTAGCTATGTAAAATGGCGGATGGTCTAACGTGCTATATGGTGCAGTTCCGATGGGTACTGGGATTGGGAGGAGGAATGGGTTCCGGCACGGTCACTATATCACGATCTATGGCCAAATGATCCTGATGACAAGCCCCCTGAAATTGACGAAGGGGGGGATGAGAACGAATAAATAGTGACTTTACATGTAGTCTTGAATAGAAACTAGATAATCACATCTGCCACGACCTCTCTACCTCTTTAGCTTCTTTGAGGTCCTCCCATTTCAATCTACCCCATCTCTCAGGCTTCTCCTGCGCATCCACAAAATGCTTCAAGGCAAGCACAAACTGTAGTGCCCACTTCTCTCTACTCACACCTCCCGTCCCCGTAGCCAGCGGCGTAATCAATATCGTCTCAATTTTCTCCTTAGCAGTCGTGGTCGAACTCGAGCTAACGCTCTTATTCCACCGACCAACCTCACACATCAGACTCCACATACACTCATACACAACCTCCCTATCCCAACGCGCATCACTAGGCGTCCTCATCGTCGGACACAGCGCAAGCAACTTACACCCCCACCTATTCGTCTCCCTCAACTCCCTCGGCATACTCACCAACGTACACGTCCCCGGCGGCGCAAAGCCATGCCACTGCTCATACAACTTTTGCTGCGCGACATTCGTCAGCGCCCTATAGTCGTGTTGCGGAAGACAAAAAGTGCGGGATATGGCGTCGTCGAAGCCGCCATCTAAAATGCCGTAGGAATTTGCGGGCGAGACTATTAGGTCGAATTTGGTGGAGTTGGGTAGGTTGCGCAGGTTTTCGTGGATGGTGGTAAGTTGTAGGGTGTGGGAGTGGGCGGGCCAGGATTTGGAGAGGGTTGAGTGCAGGGTTTGGATGTCGCGGTCATCTATGCAGAGGACAAGGAATTTTGGGAGGGCCATTTTGAAGACTGCGTTGGCACAGGTTATTCCAGTCTGCATTGTTGAGGCAGTAGGAGGATGGATAGATGAGAACGACGTGGCTATATCCTCGTTGGTTCTAGGCATCAACGATCTGCAAAGGTGCCAGAGATGGGGCCTGAACTCTATTCCAATTAATCATACTCGTATAACAATTAGTATAATTTATTGGCAATCATGGACACAAAAGTCAAACACAAGACACAAATTTAGCACTTGAGTTACAAATCTACAACTCCAAGAATTAGGGCTATTGCGGAAGAGCCCTAACTCCAACGCATATGATCTGATACACATAACTGGGGTTGCAAACTTGAATCAACACTGATTTGCGAATGCGAAGCATGAGCAGCTCTATGCAACACCCCTAAAACCAAGATTCGATGCTGGTTGGTTACATATAAGTCTACATAACATATAAATTGGCGTGCGATTTAGCATGCGAATTGGTATGCGGATACAAATTGGCATATCGACTGACGTGAAAACTGGCATACCTACGTACCTACGACTTGGTTTGCGAATTGGTGTATATATTGGTGTATAGAATTGGTGTATAGAATTGGTGTATAGAATTGGTGTATAAATTGACATTTAAAGGGACATTCAACTAGCGTACAAAGTGGCAAATGAACTAGGAAATGGCCGCATAAATTGGCATACAAATTGGTCTACGGGCATGCAGATCTTGCTCTCGCATTCGCAACGGCTGACCTTTAGGCGCCATGAATCACCATCTTCACTCAGTTCTTAATATCCTCAGCAGCCTCAAGAATGCCTGCGACATCAAAGTCTTGCTGCCGCTTTGTGATCTTTCCATTGTTGGCACCAGCCACATGCATAAAAGCAAAAGGGACTGCTCCAGATCTCACGACTTGATATGCGAAATTGGCGATGTTAATACCTGTGGTACCGAAAAGAGTTTGTGTTGGTTCTCTGCCGCAGATTGATGTATCTGGAGGATTTGCATGTAGAGCAGTGCAATATTGGCCAAAGAGGCTGTGAAAGATGGTAAGTTGAAAAGAAGTATCCTTGGATTAGTTAGATGGAAAGCTCACTTGGCTGGTGTGAATGTGATCCTAAAGTAGTCGTCGAAACCCACTCCAGAACGTACATAGCCACTATTGATAGCGGTTCCTTGAGCTCCGTGTAGACCTAAGTCTGGGGTTAGCATATCGAACCTGTGTCAAATGGTACATACATACGGCTTTGTTCGGCTACTGTGGCTGGGAATACGTAGGCAGTTGCACCTCCTTGTCTTGTACTCGCCCATGGAAACTCTTCTGCGCTGACGGTAGTTGGGTTTATCTGACTGGTGTGACGGCTTGCTAATTGAGCAGCCCTAAATGGCCGGAAATCTGCCCCAGAATCACGGCGGTTATCATCGGCTGCACTCGACGTAGAGACTCTTTGGCTGGAGCAGGGCGTAATCTATGAATAATCTCATCTATGAAGGTGGAAGGTATCTTTCAAAGTACTCACTAAACCCGGTTCCCATTTTGAAGGCAGAGCATGGCAAAGCAGTTTTCTTCGGCAATATTCGGCCATAATGTGATGTCGAAGGTTGCATCTATGGGATTGGCTCTAGAGCTACGCTTTGAAAAGGTCAAGCCCTCTGTCATATTGATAGGTTCAGGTACTGGAGCTCCGAGTGTTGCAGCGCAGCACAGAAGAAATAACAGACAAAGATCTTTGAACACCATACTGGCGAGTTTGAGGATAGTTTATATGCACTTGACTAAAGTAAGAGAACTTGATATGAAGATGCTATTCATAGAGCTAATGAATATTTGTATTTATATTAGTTATACAACATTCGCATTCACATGTACTACTCTTCTGAGACTTCTATTCTTAGTCCTGCTCGGTCTTCACGTCGAATCTGAAACGCTGTACGCTGACTGTAAACAAATTACAACTGCGTCAGCCATGATATCTTGGGAGTTCAAGTTGGTTCAGTCGCTTGGTTTTTGATGTATGTGAAGCCGCCCTGCAGGGATATGTGCCATCCGGCGATAACTGATATTCATCGATGTCATCGGTCGGTACAAAACATACTCTAAGGACAGCTTGTCAGATGCGCTTGTTGGTGTCATTACCGAAATTACACACTGCTTTCACTCATAACCCTTTGAGTCATGCCACAGGCACATACTCGCCGAACATCTATATAAGGGGCTTTGAAACAAGATGACCTCAGGGATCTAGGTATAACGCCTTTTCAGGAGCCTGCGTTACTCATACAACATTGACATACGCTGTTATAATCTCCGATAGTGGTCGAGAATCACTCAGATGTGCCCAAGAATCATGCCATCTTCCTCCTCTTGCTCCTGGCCTAATACCTGGTAATTGATGCGCAACTTTTTCGGCGTTGTCATGTCATTCTTTCACAGAGAACTGAATCAGAGCTGAGAGAAACCAACTTCTAGGTGCAGATGTTTCAAGCGTGGATTCATGTTTAGCAAACAATTTAAAGATATAAAAGCTATCCTATCATCACAGGAAAACCTCAGTCGGAGCAAAAGTCTAACTCTCATCATAGCTCTACTGCTCGCCATATCCTTAACTATCTACTTCAATCATCAACGAAGTCACATAGCACAAACCAACCAAAACTACAATAAGAACCACCACCGACATGCAGTTTCCTTCAATGAGAATCATTCTTACCTGCTTTCTCATCAAGGGTCTGGTGGCCTCGCCTCTTTCCGTACGGAACTCTAGCGAGGAGCTGTTTGCCAACGACTACCTCGAGCTCTGGAACGAAGATGCCAAATTCTCCACCGGCAAGCTTACCTACTACGGACCTTCGGGTAGCACTCTAAAGGCAGCTCGAGCTGTTGAGTCAGAACCAGCCCTGATCGAGGGGCGTGCTAGCTGTGGTACAACCGTGGCTCCTAGCTGCTATGAGAGCCATTCAGCGCGCAACGACGTCTGCGACAAGCTAGTGACTGAGCTCCAAGGCGACTCCCAGGTTTCCATCCCACAGGCACCTCGCCAGATCTGTTATGAAGGCAATTCCGAGTCCAATTCGTACTGTTGTGTTTCTTGGCACAATCCAGTGCCCGGCCTTATCAAAGGTGACTTGGCTACCTATGCATATAACAGTAAGCATTCAATTCCAGTCACAGGTAAATCCGTCATGCTGATTTGTTTTAGTCCTTTCAGCGTGTACTGAAAATGGCATTTCAGGCAAAATTAACAATGTTCAAGTTCATAATACTTGTACTAACCTCTGCTTGTCAAACCGCGGAAACGGCTGTTAGATAGAAACCTTGAAAGTAGCTGCAGGGTTACACGTGTCATCCGCGGACCAGTACTGTATCTGACAGATGTTACCATCATATCGGGGTGTTTTGTCAAGACATTTTCTTGTGTTGAACAGTAGTTAGTTCGTTGAAATTCAAATTGTGTTTTACAGTATTCCAGGAAATCTCACATTCTTGTACTCACAAGGTTGTCCCAAATGTGTAGATAAAGAAAGATAGTTTGGATATCACTCTCATAGAGCCATGGCATATTAAAAATATCAGATGATATCGTCTTAAGTTCAAGTCAGCACGAATTTGAAAACAAAGAAAAAAGTTTTCGGTACTAATTTACAAAATCTTCGTGGTTCCTACTTTATAGGCAAGCATCGGAATAGCATTTTCATCCTACTACACGATGACTCCGTAAACCCGGAAACAAATACAATCAAAGCCGGGCAGGGTCGACCCAATAATCATCCTCTCTATATTCATCCGAAAATAGCTCGGCTTCGGCGACATTGAATACTCCCCGTTCGTCTGTAAAGTCCTCTTTGCGTCCAAAGTAGGCAGGGTAGAAGAGCTCTTTGGGACTAAAATAGAAGGCAACCTGGAGAAATGGGGCGTAAGAGAACTCCACTCTATAGTTGTACCAGGTATCGCGTTCGCGTGGAAGGACCCCAAAAGGCGGAAATCTTATAGGGGTACCGGGGTCCGGAGGTACATAGTGTGACATCAAAACGGTTTTGTCTTGAGCGCTACGAGCGTCCATAATCGCGATGAGATCGTACTCGATGAATCGGACCTGGCGCTGTGCCTCTTGTGCCCAGGCTTGACAATCTTCGAGTGAGGCACCAATGAAATCAGTCTCAAAGGTCTCGCCTTCTTGAAGACTGTTTCTAAAATCGGATCGGTCGGAGGGCAGGGCATTCGATCCCACTAGATAGAAAGGTCCAATTTCATCTGCTTCTCCGCCCGGCATTCTGGCACTTAAAAGCTCCCGAGCAAACTGTAATGGAAGATTAGTTTTAGGGTAATTGCCTGGTATTGCGGGATGAATAGACTTGCAGGTTTGGCCTCATCGGCTGTGCAAAATACCAAGACGTGCGTCATGACTATGAAAACCTAGTCTGGGTCTTAATGAGGTGATAGAGAAGTGAGCACGATGGAAGTTAAAATTGGGTGCTGTTATGCAGAAAAGAAGAATAGAAGGATAAAGAATCAAAGACGTCCTCGAAAGGGGGATATAAATTGTATACCGGCTTTAAAGGGATTGCTGCCTAAGGCTGTACAAAGGCGACCCAGTAGTTACTTCGTACTATCATTACTGATGTTTCAGCTGATCCCTGTGAGTATATGCATGACTACCTAGCAATTTACTCGCATGGACCTATCAGTATGAATTTTCGGCGTATATATGGTTTCGGCGCTTATGCGATTTGCAAGCATCTACGCCAGCGGGTATAGAGAGTAATCACTCGTGTTCTGCATACCAACCACGCTGGCATTTCCATGACTTCGCGGGTGCAGTATAATACTAATCAGCTCATGTAAGTGGCGAGGTAATTAATGCCTTTCAGTAAAGCAAGCTAAAACATGACAGCATGTTGTTTCTTTCCAACCACGGAAACCCTTGAAACAAGATTTGTCGAAGTCATAACCCCTTAAAAAGGCATTAACGCGGGTATAGCAACTGAATAGTAGGTGAACTACTAATACCTGGGCGAAAGCGTATATCCGCCGCAGACGATTCTGAATTGGTGAACTCAACATGTTGGTGCAACCAACCAGATACTTGTTGATCTAGTATGGTATGGTCATAGCGAGGATCATCATGATGAACGCCATGAGATTTAGGACGTTTCAACACAAGATATCCATAGATATGTACATTCATAACCTTCTTGCCTAATATTTGAGTGTTGATGGATGTGGTTATAAGAGAATTATTGCTCTACCTCCAATACTACCATGATAACATCAGCGTATCTCTTTTGTAATAAGCTCTCATACCATCTGCCAACACGCCGATCGCAAAGCCAAAGCGGTATAATCTCCTTCGTTTGATAACAGGATCGGTGGTGGCTGGGCCCGGAACAACGGCTTCACAGGCGCTGTACTTGCGGTCATTCAACGTGGCCGAGGCTCTTAGAAAGTAAATTTTCTGTTTATCCTGGCTCTGAACTCTTGGAGCACAATGTTGCTTTTCATAGAAAATTCTTGATAATCAGTGAAATTAGGGTCAAAGAGCCTAGCCGTATCTGGATTAGCCCAGTTAGTTTATCTTATCGGGCTCTGGCTGTCTCCGCGACTTTTGAGTCTTTCACAAACAACTTCGACGTAGATGCACCTTCTTATATTTCCAACGGCACCCACATCCGCATCATATGCGCTTTGGACGGCATACCTATTCATTGCAATGCCTCGCATTGGGTGATTTTCGATCGGCTCTCCTCGATCGATCATCATGTTTTTCGACGACGATAGCTATAACGCCTCCGGCTGGTCCGCAGCGATGCTATTCCTCACTAAGGAGCGTCCCTCTGACGCCACGGAGCACACGATATCCGATCGTTAAAAATAGTCTTAAAAGGACACTCGAAGCACAGAGAAACGTCAATCGCGAGTCCGTATTTTGGAAATTTTACGTACAGGATAAAAAGGACAAAGAAAAACCCGGAACTGAGCAGGTCGATGTATCCGAAAAGACGATGACGAAGGCCAAACACTCCAAGAAAAGCGAGTCAAGGCCATCATCCATAAAGGCAAAGCCCGACGTTCCTATTCGACCTCCGTGGGTTGTCCCCATCAAAGATGGACGCGCGCAACAAAGACCGTGGCTTGATATGACACAACACCTATCGAGGCAAAATGGAGACGCCAAGGCATTTCTTAGCACTGAAATTCTCGGTTTGATGACATTTCTCAGGCCTTCGAGCACCGAGCAAGACGCAGTTGATTATATCATTGATGATCTGTCCGTCAAGCTTCAAAACATCGTGCCGAATCCACCAGAACTCATAGGCTCGCGACATGCAGAACTTGCTACCAGCGTCTCGACAATCGACTTGATGCTTCTCGTTGACGATGATGGTTTCCATAATGCGCCAAAGAACAAGCCGCCCTCGATCAGTCCACAAATGAAGTTCAACTATCACAAAATCATAACCGAGGCCGGGGATGTACTGAAGAAAGACCTTGGTTACCGGGATTGTCAAGTCATATTCAACAAAAGCTCTTCACTGGTCCTTTTTCACAGAGCCACTGGTCTACCAATCAGACTTTTTTGCAGAAGCTACGCGCCAAAACTTGAAGAGTTCATAAGAGCGTCCCTTCCCGAACTACCGTCTTTGATGCCATTGTACATGGTCATGAGAGTTTTACTGGAAAGCAAGACCCTCTTCGGCTGGGAAGCCCAATCATTAAGCTCAAATGGTCTTTTACTACTCATCATGTCGTTTTTGAAACAACAGCCTGGAGATTTCGCATCAAAAGGTTTGGGAGAACAACTACTCGCTTTACTTTATACATACGGCAAGCATATTGATCTCACCACAACCGGTATTTCAGCCAGCCCAGCAGAATTCTTCACGAGAGCCAGCGTTCGCAATCACATCAGATCTTACATCACAAAAAACGGCGCCAAGGATCCGCAATTTCCGGCCTATCTGAGAGGTCAACGGGCATTGATCGCTTACAAGATCCATTCAATGTCCAAAGGCAACGTGGGACTAGCCAATCATTTAGCTATTCAAGACCCGACTAATTATCTCGTCGATGTCGGCCAGAGATCGTTCAGGACGCCAGAGTTGCAGCTGGCGTTTTCCGGGTGGTATGATGCTTTAAAGTTGTCCCTAGAAAGATGGGATGAAGGACATAGAGATAATGACAGTATTTTGGGACAGGTGTTGCAGGCTGATTTTGGGGAGTTGATGAGGAGGAAGAGGATGGTGACGATGTAGTCGCCTCGCTGTACTGTACATATGTATTATATTATACCCATGATAAAGTCATTTTTGCTATTTATGTGGCTTCCAACTAAATTTCATTTACTCATACATGTCTAATCTATATACCTCTACAAAAGTATAGTACAAATGGTTAGTTCAATCACTCGATGAACTTCCTCTTATTCAGCCACCGACTCAGCCACTCCCTCTCTGCCTTCTCAACTTTCTGATCTCCCAAATCCGAATCAATAAACCCACCACGCTCCTCAACCGCGATGCGGACTTCCTTCGTATTCAACGCATCCACTCCGCCGCCACGCACAATCAACTCATCATCCAGCGCCAAATACTCAGTCCACTTCCGCAACCTCGGCCTATAAATCAACGACACCCAAGCCGCACCCGTATCATGCGATTTCGCCAACCCAAACACCGCACAAGCACGAAGCACCTGCTCCGACGACGCCGTAGCCGCAAACTCCCTGGACCCGAATTGCTCCGCTAACCATGTCATCGTATCCTCGTCACGCATGCGCTTCATTGAGCCCAATCCACCCTGCACAGCCGCGAAAGCGTGTTGTCTCTGTTCCACACGTTTTGCGCGCGTCTTGGCGAGTTGTTTCGGTATGCGGCAGGTATAAGGGGTCACAGCATCGCCGATTGCGGCGACGACTAAGGGGGTGAATTCGCCGCAGATTAGCAGAATCAGACCGAAGGGGATCATGCGCCGGACGTCGTAGGCGGCGCGACGCACGAGTTGGAAGTCGGCGCGGGTGATTTTGAGGGTGTTGATTGCTGTGTGGAGCGAGGATGCGCCTGCGGATGTGTTGCGCGATGAGGAGGGTGGGGAGGAAGGTATATACGACGGAAGACCGAGTTTTTGGCGAATTGGTAATGAAGCTTTGTAGTTAAAGTAGACGTTTTTGAGGCCAGTCTTATAGAAGCCGAAATATGCGCGGCCGGTTGCGATGTAGCGTGAGGCTTTCTGTGAGAAGGATTCGCTGGAGTTGCCTGCAGGCGGAAGGTCGAGGTCGGCGGGTAATGTGCTCAGAGGTGGGTTGACGTCCTCTGAAAGGAAGAATCTCGGATCTTTGGTGGGTGGTTTCCAGGACGATCTTGATGCAGCTGACGGAACTCTCTTGTCTGAAGATGATGCATATTGTCGGTTGCTGATATAACCGGTGGCTGAGTAGCCTGAGATATTTATCCCGTAGATTGAACTTCTCTTTGAGATGCCAGGCTTAATTGACAATGCTTTGTCAAGTCGGCGTTGTCGTGTGAGCTTCAATGATGCGGCGCAACGGCCGCAGGTGGTCGACATATCAATTAGTTCAATTTTTTGCACGTGATGCCATCTATAATGAGAAAACTTTGTATCTCATTAAAGAAATAAGATGATTCTTTGCACGTCGTAGAAATATTTTTAGGCTGTTCTTGATTGAGTGAAAATCGGATGACGCTGATGATCGGCGAAGATGTCAGCCGAGAGCTTAGGTAACTGAAATTGTTTGTCTGTTTTGTCTTCGGAACTTCCGCCAACATCTTCACTCCAACTCATGAACCTGACAACTTTCTCAATGATTAGAAATCTATCGAGACTACTCTGACCATGCCAATGCAATTACACGATTGAGCAAATCATGTCATCGAAAATGACCGGCGTGAAGCCTTTTCGTCTGTCGCAATGAATGACTCACTGATGACTGACTAATCCACAGCTCCTATTACGAAGCAGCAATATAAATACAGGAGGAGCCCTTCCATCAAGCAAGGTACTGTACTTACAAAGATACATCCAATACGAGGAAGTTCAGACAGAAACATGCTGCCCCTTACCTTCACCGAGCCCTCTGCCCTAGTGCTCATAGACAACCAAGCCGCCTTCAAGCATCCCACGCACTGGGGTCCATCACGCTCCAATCCAGCATTTGAGCAGAATCTTTCTACTTTGCTCGAAGCATTCCGCACAGCGCGCCAGCGTTCTTCATCGCCCATTTACATTATCCACATCTTCCACTCTTCAGTCTCTCCGGACTCTGAACTCCATTCCAGCAACGCAGACGGTATTAAACCATTGGACTTTGCTGTTCCAGCTGCAGACGGATCTGAGCCGGTGTTTTGGAAGAGTGTGAATTCATCTTTTATCGGCACAGGGCTGGAAGCGTTCTTACGAGAGCATGGAGTACGACAGGTGTTTTTCGCCGGCTTGACGACGGACCACTGCGTCTCCACTACAACACGCATGGCCGCAAATCTGCATGTCGTCGATAAAATCTCCTACCAAGGACAAGAGACAGATAAAGTGACGGCCAATGCAGACGGCTCACTCCCGGAAGGTGTTCGTATTGAGCACGGCCGAGTCGTGCTTGTGGCCGATGCTACAGCTACGTTCGCCAAGGGAGGGTTCGATGCAGAGACGATTCATGCTGTTTCCGTTGCGAGTTTGAGTGAAGAGTTTGCGGATGTTTTTAGTACGAGGGATGTTGTTGAGGCGTTGCGGAGTGTCTCGTAGTCTAAATCTGCTCTCACTATATGTGAAAACAGATCCGACTCAAGAAAATCGTTAGCCCAAAAGGCTACTTTATATAATCAGAGATTAATCAGCGCCTTTATGTAGTCACAATAGTAATACTAATAATGGAAATGAGTTTGTCTGGCCTACCCCGCAGTACCCTTAATTCTCAGGCCCTCCAAACCCAAACTTCTCCAACTTCGTCCCGCAAATATCCGATTGCCGATATCATTTTCTTTAGTTGAGAATAAATACATTTCTGCATTTTTGGTGATTCTATTTGATTGAGGATTGTCGTGCGACTGAAGCGCTACTTATTAAAAGGCGGAGTACATACATACGTACATATCAAACCAAGCGCATAGGTTTGATACACCCATCTTTGTAAATGGCTGAACATCAAACTGACTCTCCACCAAGAGCTGCAAGTCAAATACTAAAGGAAAAAGCATGGCATCCACACACGGAAACCTGGGCCACCTCCTCCCCCTCAACTACAAACGACTCATCTCAGAATGGCTGGAAGAAGACTGTCCCAGTTTCGATTATGGCGGATTCGTGGTTGGCGAATCTGAGGGGGAAGCGAGATTGTTGGGGAAAAGTGCTGTATGTCGCTCTCTTTTAAGAAAGCGAATTGGATTCCTTGCTAATGATAGAGTAGGGTGTGGTTGCAGGTGTTCCTTTTTTTAATGAGGTGTTCTCCCAGCTGGGATGCACGTACGTCTTTATTGTCTACCTGTTCATGATGGAGAGAGGAATCTGACTGGGAAGTAGAGTAGAATGGCACGTCTCAGAAGGCGAAAGCATCACCCCCATCAAACAATGCGCTACTGTCCGCGGCCCAGTGCGCAAAATTCTGCTCGGTGAACGCGTAGCTTTGAACATCCTCGCACGCTGTTCTGGTATAGCCACCAAGTCCGTCCCTCCCCCCTACCGTCCCTTTCTCCCGTCATTTGAAGCATTGCTCAACGTAGATAGGACATCATCTCTAGTTCAAACCCTCCGCTCCCACGGCTGGAATGGCACTCTAGCCGGCACACGCAAAACGACCCCAGGGTTCCGACTAGTCGAGAAATACGGCATTCTCGTCGGCGGCGCAGACCCGCATCGCCACGATCTGAGTTCCATGATTATGCTCAAGGACAATCATGTCTGGGCCTGCGCCAACAACTCTAGCAATTCTGCTGCTGCTGGTGGCACAAAAGGGGTAACAGAAGATGCAATCGCAGCCGCGATCCCCGCAGCCGTGCACGCCGCCAAATCGGCCGGCGGGTTCTCGACAAAAGTCGAAGTCGAAGTGCGCAGCGTCGAAGAGGCGAATGCCGCTATTGGTGCGGGCGCGGATGTGATCATGCTCGACAATTTTACGTCCGAGGAAGTCAAGAAGGCGGCTACGCAACTCAAGACTGAGTGGGCAAGTAAGGGAAAGCCGAGAGGCACGTTTCTGGTTGAGGTTAGTGGTGGGTTGACGCCTGATAATGCGGCCGGGTTTGTGTGTGACGATGTGGATATTCTGTCGACGAGTTCGATTCATCAGGGAACTGGGATTGTAGATTTTTCGTTGAAGGTTTCGCTGCGGTGATCCTCTTCCTCCTATTCAAACAAGGCACGAAGGTGGGACGAATAAATGTATCATATTATAAAACCAATATCAAGTGCCAAATGATATACTACAACATGCCAATATTCAAACAAACAACCAAAGAACCGAAACTCCTCCCATGGAACACCATATATCATCAATCGTAGCCGTATACATTCGTAGCATAATTTAAACCAACCCGAAAAGATGCCTCACGTCATCAAAATGTTACATCTCAATATCAACTGTGATACCCTCCCCATACGAACTATGAGCATCCGTATCCTCGTTATCGCTCCCAGAAGTACGCTTATCATCCTCTCCAGACGAAGTCGGTCCCGAATCAACCACCAACGTCGTCGATTTTTTCCGTTGACTATTTCCCCGACCTAGAGATGGAGGCTCCAAAGTCCCCCGCGTACTCCTACGCATTCGCTCTCGCTCCAGTTCTGCGCGCAGTTCTTCGTTTTCTGCATCACGTTCCTCGAGTCTTTTCCTGGCCCCGTCGCGGTCTGCTAGTCTTGCCACCCGCTCGTTTTTGAGTCTGCGTTCTAGCTCGCGTAGGCGTTGGATCATGACGTTGTCTTGTTCAGAATCGTTGGGTTTGCGGTGCGAGGATGTTGAAGATGTTTCTACAAGAGTGGTGGGCGGTTGCGGCATGCCGGTTGGACTGCGAGAGAGCGTTCCTTTCTTGCCTCGCGAGTCTGAGCGGACAAGCGTCGACTGCGTACGGCTGATGGGCGAAGCGAGGGGCTCCTGATCTACAGCGGTGGTAGCATGGCTGAGATTAGAGCCAGTCCGTCGAGACGAAGGGTTGGATTGCATCAAATTTAGTTCGGCTTTCAGGAAACGAACCTCGCCTTTAAGTTTAGTAACTTCGGGCGATACACCGGCAGCTCGTTGTTGACTGCGAATATTCCGGACAGCTTCTTCAAGACGCTCGAGTTTCTTGACTCTAACGCCAAAGTTGTGCTCCAGAGACTGGTACTCCTTGGTCAGGTCACGTTCAACTTGCCTAATTCGAGTCCTGAATCCGGAGAGCATGTTCTCGACAGTCTTGACTGAAAGAAGGAGATTGCGACTGAAACCCGGCCAGAAGAGTATGTTGCCAATGACCTCTACACTAGGAAGATTGCCGTTAATCAGGCTATTGCTATGCGCCCAGTCGGGTCCACACATTGCAGAAAGCCTCTTCCAGAGCGTCAAGTACAGCGCATTACGCTCGCTGAGTTGATCCTTCAATTGTTGTTCGAGACTTGCAAACCGCTTTCGGTCTTGGCTTCTTGCCGACTCTAAGTCGCTGATCCGGGAATTGTGTTGAGAGATCGTTCGCGACGCTTGTTGCTGCGACTTCAAGGCTTGGTCAAACGAATGCTTATCCGCGCGACGAGCTTGTCGTTCTCGATCCAGCAGATCCCCAAGCTTGCGAGACTCTAATCCGTGACTCTCCAACAGTGCCTCACGACTCTGCAACAGTGACTCTTTCTCATCGAGCTTGGACCTAGTGCTTTCCAAGTCAAGAGACTTTGATTCAAGCTCTTTCTGAAGCTTGATGACGGAATTTAGGAGACTAGATCGAGTACCGTTCAAGTCTCCAACGGCTTCCCGTAAACCGTTCTCAAGCTCCATGAGTCGCTCTTTCCATGTCGCTGCATCAATCTCTCGTGCAGAGAGCGTCTTTTTCAGTCTTCGGATTTCATCCTTGGCTGCTGAAGCTTCCCGATTGAGGTCATTCATGATACGCTGAACTTCCTGTTTCTCCTTGCTACCGACCACTTCGCGTTGGTGTCGTTCTTCTGCGAGTCGCGTTTCTAGTTCTTTCGTCTTCTCCTTCTCGACTTGTAGGTTAATTCTGTATGCCTTGAGTTCGGCATCAAGTTCACTGATACGGATCTTGTCTGCATCTTGCTCTTCGCGCAGGAATGTTATTTCACCCTGGCTAGACTCAATCTGGACTGTCAACCTTTGTACTTTTCCATTCGCCTCAAAGAGATTCTTTTCCAAAGATTCAATCTCTCTGTTCGAGTCTTCTAGCTCCTGCTGCACTTGCTTGAATTTCCGTAGATTGCTCTGCGCATCTTCTTCGAGTCGGAGAATACCCTCGCTAGCAGATCTCATCTCAGCTTGCAACGTCCTGAGGTTCTCTTCTTGACTTCGAAGCGTCATCTCCATCCGGTTGCACTCCTCAACCTTCTGATCAAGCTCATCACCGAGTGTATCGATCTCTTCCTGTGCCTCTGCCTTGAGATCTTGCAACGCAGCTTCGCGTTCTTCAGCCACTTGTAGAGCCTGATCGCGCTCTTGCTGAAGTATTTGCAATTCTTCTTCGGCTGTGTCTACATCAGCTTGATATGCCTTGTCAAGAGCCTCGAGCTCGGCCGTATATTCATCCAGCTGGCTTCGGAGTCCTTGGTTCTCGATCTTGAGAGTCGAGACTTGATCGCGTAATTCACCATTGCGTACTTCCAGTGACTCGCGCTCGGTATCACTCATACGAGATTCTCTTGTGCCATTGCTCGCCCGAGAAGAAGAACGTGCGTGAGCTCGCGAGGCTGACCGCTCAAAGATGCTATCACCGGCGATGGATCGTCCGCCATCGCGGCGTTGAAGCTTGAGATCTTCAATTTCTTGGTACAAGCGCTCTTTCTCTCTATTTCTAGAGGTCAGCATCGACGTTTGCACACTGACTTCTCTGCGCAATTCGGCATTCTCTTTCTTTAGCAACTCAATTTCAACAAGCGTACTGCTGGTCGAGCTTGGGACTGCCAGTCGGCGATCATGATCAGATGTCGTGGAATGCGAAATGAAAGAGCCTTTGCGCCCGGTTCGACCGAATCTTCCAGCTTCAGAGCCAGCGACATTACCTTCTGCTCTCATGCGCAGAATATCGTCACGCAGCTTGCGGTTCTCATCTTCAGCCTGCTCGCGAGCGGCTGTTTCAGCGTCAAGCATGTCTTTCCACATTTCCTAAGAGTTGTTAGCTTGTTCATTTGGAATGACCTATAACATACTCTCTCCTCTCTTGCGCCAGCCTCCGAATCAGCCGGCCTGTTCTCGCCCATAGACTTGACAATTTCGGCCAGTCGGCGCTTCTCGCTTTCCCGTACAATACTCTCAGTCCGTAACCTCTCGATCTCGACCTCGTATGTTTCGATCCTCTCCCTGAGGAATATCAACTCTTCTTCTTCTAAATCATTCCGCTTGTCATCCTCACTCGTCTCGCCTTCCGTGTCAGCACCGCCTTTATTAGATTGGCTATCTTTGAGTTGCTTCTCCAGGTTTCGAATAGTACGTTTCATTCCTTGGTTCTCCTTTTGAAGTTTGATCTTGTCCGACTTCAACTCGACGTTTTCAGAGATCATTTCCTTGATACCTTCTTCGGATCTTTTATTCAAGGCCTCATTCAAGAAATGAATTCTCATCTTCAAGTCGAAGTTTTCCTTCGATAAGCGGTCGATGGTACTACTCTGCTCTTTCAGGGTCATGCTCTTGCCGCTTCGTCCGAAAGCAGGCGTTGGTGCCCCAGTTCGCTTGTCAGGAGATATGTTGGTCGAAAATTTGGCGTGAAAATCTCGAGCAAAAGTACCAGGTACCTGGATATCCTGCACATGCTGCGCAACCACTGTATCCGTTGGCAAAGTGAGATCCCTAGAACCAGCCCTTGGCGTCATCGGCGCATTATCTTCTGTGTCTCTCGAAGCAGCTACGGAGCCCGTATCTTCTTCGTCGAGGGTGTGTAGACCGCCATCTGTCGCACCACTAAGAACACGTCGGTCAAGAACATTTTCTTCGCTGAGTGCCGATACACCGGAAGCCATGCTGCCTAGACTAATGGTCCGCGACAAATCTTTCCTTCCCATACTTGTTACTCTCGAAGATACCGCTCCGCCTGTTTGTAATGCGTAGTCCGCACCTAGCGTTGCATCGCTACTCGTCGCGTCTGTATTGGTGCTCGTGATTGACGATGCAGAAAATCGATGCGATGATTGGCGACTACTCAGATATTTAGGGCGAGAGCGCTTCGACTGAGGTCCCGAGGTCTTATCGTCTTCATTGCTATCCACAAATGCCTCCCGCGATCGCCTCGTGTCAGAAAAAGCCGGCGACAAGTTACGCCGACTTTTTCTAGGCGTCAAGCTCCGGTGAACGTCGGCGGATTCCGCAAAAGTGCTGCCTTCTTGCGTATATCTAGACGTGTTAGACAGAGCACGAGAAATTGTTCGCTGCGCAGCGGCTGCAGTGGGCGACGAAGTCAATGTTTCTAATGCCGACGTGTTGAGTTCCGACTCTCGATTTGTCGCCGGCGTTGTGGTAGGATCTGTTGGGTTGTAAACTGGGTCATCCGACTCATCATGCGTGACTATTTGAGGCAATTCGGAAATCGAGTTCTCTTCCTGTATTTGAGATATGTCCGGGTTGTAGGAGTCTTGTTCATGGTCTCTGCTCGGCACCCCAACGAGGTATGTGTCGTCAACGCCTGCGTTTTCGGAAGCAGCCATTTCGATCGTCGACGGCTCCGGTAGGAAGCTTGACTCAATATCCATAAGCTTTCTTTGCATTTCTTTTTCTTCCAGGATCGTCTGGTTATTTTGTCGATGGTCGTCATCGGCTGCGTCATCGTCCTCAATGTCGAGCGAATGGTGTAGTATGTTGTCCTCTGTCCTATCGTCGGCATTATGGTCATGAGCTGGCGGCAGATCAAGCGAGAAGTCTTCATTTTCATCATGGGCGTATGAAGTATCGTTGTCTGCATTCGAAGGCGTATTCGTTGCGTGCGATGTTTTGATAGCTTCGTCGCCGTGATGACGATCCTCTGTTTGTTGTCCCTCCATATCGCGTTGCTGGAGTCCTCCAAGTCAATGGACCTGTAGTCAATAGACTCTGATCGATCAAGATATCGTCAAGTTCATTGGGTTCCGTATGAGAAATAAAGTGGAAGTGGTGTCGTTTATTATGATTGTGATTTATTCGGTCATGTTGTTTGTTTTCTCCACACGGCAAGTGGCCCACTTCTTCCTGCCGTTGGCCTGGCCGCCGTCTAGCTCAGGCACTACTACGCATTTTATCAAAGATTCAACATATTGATTTATTGTTATATTGTTATACAAACTGCGTAGTATTACACGTCAACCAAGTAAATGTCAACAGAAGGGGTATTCAAAACGGTCCAATCGGACAAGACAACATAGATCATATCAAGATTATACGCATATAAGACGTCTCCACCAACTATGAGAATCATCGTCATCTCCTTCGTTCTTAGGCGGCTTCTCCTGCTCACCTCCCTCTTTGTTACTGCCGGCCGCGAAAGATACGCGCTTCGAAGCGTCCTTCCTACCACTGAAGAGAGGAAACCCTCCGCGTCGGCGTTGGCCATCTTTGGATTGTTGCGGGTTGGTCGCTTGCCGCTCGCTAACAGTCAATGCAGGCGTGCGCGCAGTGGACGACCCCATCCGGGCTTCCAGCTGTTGGGATTGGTAATGTTGCCTTCGGGCCTCGACCACACGTCGAACAATGACTGTAGACATTGTAAGCACTAAAATCATACAAATGATTGAGTTCATTGACATACGCGCAAATGTCTCCTCAATATTGACTATTTCCCTCGCACTCGTTTCCATAAATCCACATCCATGTTTCCGGGCATACTCCAACCCATCCCGAGCCGATATTGCTCTCGCATCTTTGAGATCACACTTATTGCCAGCAACAATCTTGACTGGCGGCGGCATGCCGACCTGAAGATTACGCGCCTCACTCCCCAATTCCTTCATAATGCGCTGATTATCTTCTAGCCGTTGCTCGGCCTCGATATCAATCATATCCATGAAATAGTCCAAAGCTTCTAGGCTGGGCTGGTGGGTGATGTCGTATACCATCAAAAAAGCGTCAGATTTGAGATTGGATGCTGCCCAAAGCCCGCGATATTCTTCTTGACCGGCGGTATCGGTGATGGAGAGGAAGTAATCGGTGCCGTCGATGTTGCGGGTTACGGAGTAGGAGTCCTCTGTCGACTATTAGTCTGGTACTCGCATTGTGGATGTATTGTAGAGATACCTATCGTAGGGTCATATCTAATTAGGTCAGTTAAATCAGGTCATTTTTTGCGCATATATCCGGCAGACTTACTCATGCATCCATTGACTGCGCACAAGTCGCAATGTAATTGAAGATTTTCCTATCACCATGAGCCAATCATTCTAAAGCGAATGCCCACTGATCATATCATACCGCATCCACCATCTCCACATATTGTTATTGAGACCTTATCAGCCATGCTTCTCGTATTACTCCGAACTCGATTCTTCTCGACAGTTCTCTTTCCGACTCGTTTTCGTTAATGGGCGTCACGCTCTAGAATGCAGTCGAATGATTTCACTTAAAGCGCGTTTGGTATGCTGATAGACAATAGAGTTTAGACGTCGCGTTAGAAAAAAGAAACTAGCGAAAGTGTTGTAAGAAACGAAATCTGAAATTGAAAGGATCGTCGTCGGAGTTTATGGTATCCCTGCACAAACTCGGTCAAATGCGCGACTCGAAATAAGAAACAAAAAGATCGCGGTGTCGCATGCGCAGTAGACAGAAACAAAGAGAGAGAAAAGGAGCGTAAATTCTCTGCTGAGTGCTCAGGGATGATACGAGTGTTGTCGGTGAGTGAGCTATAAAATGTGAATAATATAAGATACAAAAGACGTTTAAGGCATCATACGAGCAAACCTTTATTTTGGTTTAACGATTTGTGGCTAGTGTAGCGGTGCCAAAGAGTAGGCCTAGCCTGTTTTGTCGAAATTGACTCGGTCGCAGCGAATCAGATATTTGAAGTGTGCATGACACCCCTTTTTGTCTGTTTTTTCGGCCAATCAGGGTACTTCTGGTGGGGAGCTCGTGATGCTTTTCTCCGAGTTCCGGCCTATGCTTACTATGTAGTACTACTCAGTAGACCGACACAGCATGAATACGGAGTGTCACTCTTCAGACCACATAGAGAAACAAGATATCTTTCAAGAACTATCACTTCGGAGACGTACAATGCATCAAAATGATCAATTTCGTCTCTCCGGCCACAACCTTAATCCTCCCACAAGAGCATCGGACTGCTATGTACCTAATTCACAACGATCCTCCGACTGTTGTAACTGACACAAAGCCAATGACCCCTGACATACATCAGACACGTAACCTGTCAACCACGTAGAAGTGCCTCATAGCATCCATCACATTATTGACAGACAAGCCGGATCGATCGCCGTGCATTGGCTTTGGCGCTAGCAGACCGACCCGTCTCCCCGGGCCTGTTAAGCTTTTCCGACTTGGGATTACAAGTCGCTGCATATGATATGGCCATGTAACTAGCTAGGATGTCTGGAAGAGTGTTTCTCCATGGAGGATTCTGCCAATAGTTCCAATGACGACGAGAATATTACAGTGCCACTGTCTTTGTTTTTCGTACAAACGCAGCTTCAACGCGCGTTGTCAGTGCGCCGTCGTGGCGTGGTTGCAACTGATGGATCACATTGTCAGTTCACGCTTGTCCGGAGCCACGGCGAAGTCTAGACTTGCGAATTCTGTACATCTTTCAGATCAGCATCAATCCATTTTGATTTCTGGAAAGAGGCAAAGAACACAGCAGCGCTCATTCGCTATGCCTCATACCCAGAACAGAATGTACGGTAGCTGACAAATTCGAGTGTGGAGTCTGTCCCTCGATCGCGGGCTCCATTTCGCTAGCAGCCCGCCTTGACGTAGTTGCTTCCATACTCGGTATTTATTACATGGTAAATTACTGGTACGAAGCACATCGCTGTAATTTGGAGTGCTGGCCACAGAGTGAATGTCCGTGGTAATCCGAATACACTTGCTCTCGTGTGTTTCGCATTTCTCGTACATGTTCGCTGCTAGATTTATGAGATCTGCTTTACATGTTTGCTTGGTCACTGATGAGACATGATTGGTGAGGTGGCAATATAAGGTTTCGGTTATCGATCTCTGTGTATTTTAGGCCCATGGGTTTCAGATTTGTATTGTATTGAAAGCTACACTACAACAGGCATCCACAGGCAAACGCTCTATTCTCTCCCCGACTGCACACTGAATGTACGCGAGTCCACCACCTCCAAGCCCATGTTCAAGTTCTTCAACCGCTTCGATGTTGAAGCCGTGGTCTCGATTGTCTGGGGTATGATGCCCTGCCTGAAACGTTGCTTTGATTGCTCTGAGGGCCAGCGTGCCGCATCATTTCATAATCACTATAACATTAATCCTTGTTGCAGTCAATATCTCGGAATCTGTCATGGTTACTGTGATGATTGGTTTGCTCGTCGTAGCCATCGGAATACTGATCAATATCGCGCTCGATGGCACGAAGACGTCGACCCAGACACAGACTTGGACACCAGCAATCGTAACCTCTACCGCAAAAAAGATACCGCATGGGATCAAGGGCAAGCCCTACCTTATGGCTAATTGTACACCGCTAACACTAGGACCAGACCGGAAACTGTCATTAGGATCCCGATTGCAATGGGAAACTACATTAGATATGTACCTTCGGCTATGATGACAATCTTAAGATAGGTTCTTGGACGGTGTTCGAGATGGAGCAATAAAAGCAGGCAAAGAGAGCACAAATGAGTGGGTGGGTGAGCTTAAAAATGTTTTCTCGCTTTTAAAAGTAACTCTCTTAATTAAATAATGCTCTCTAGCTGCGGATTCAGGGGAGAAATCACACTGTTCAATTCTGCGGTAACTGCCGTTGTTGAAAGGCTTGCTATTGGTTGTTCAGTAGCTGTTTAGCAAAAAAATGCTCTCAACAAGCGTTGCCAGAAATGATAGTAATGTTATGACAACGAACTTGGATGGGAACTGCCTGCTATTAGTCTATCAAATAGTGTGTGCTAGAAGATCTTCTTGGAAACTTGGTCTGGAAGTAAATGAATGACTTGTTCCCGTTGCCCAGCCGATTTGTCGCTACCATTGATTCAAATATCGGCCTTATCACTGTAAATCATAGCCTACTGCATCTCGATTTCTTCACCACGCTTGGGGGTACGACGATGGACAAATGCACGCCATCTGAGAAAGCATAACTTGAAGGTGACGCTTACCTTCTCTAGCGCAAGACATGCAATTAGTATGCAAGTGATGAGAGTTGGTACCAGGAAAGACCAGACAACGGGGCCCATGATGGCTGTTGTGATACAAGACCTTCGGGGATTTGGTCAAGGATGTGGTAATGATAAAACAGGCAGAAGGAGAAAGGGGAATGAGTTGAGTGCAAGCATGATATTCACCTCTCAGAGAATCACTCTGCTTGTGTACTACATTCTAGCTTCTACACTGTTGACGATTCTACGGTGACTACCGTCATGATAGACATTTTTGGTTTATGCTGTGATATCTCCATCAAACCCAGGCTCTCAAACATCGGGTAAACTAGCAATGCAATTGGAATGGAAACTTCCTGCTGTCTTCTTCGTCACGCATTCCATGTGTGGATACTGGTTAGGGCTCTTTAGCTAAGTGTGAGAAATGACTTTGGTTTTCACCACCCAGCAAATTGCAGAGTATTTCTGCTCAAACACACAATCATATCAAGACTTGAATTAGGGCTGTTGCACATGCATAGATGACAATACCGTATTTCGGTAATACCGTATACACATTTCAATACGAAACAGCGGGGACACCAGCCCCGAATGGCCTGATCGGGCAGGAGCGACTGGGCGGCCCCGCCACAGCGCACGTCACTGGACCGCGGGTAACAGTCTAACGAAAGGCAGGACCGCCTCCTCCCTGCGACCGATCTGGGCAGTAAGCTTCTAATCCACAAGGAGCGGTCCAAATCCCGAGGGCCCAAGTTCCAAAGATCGGTTCAATTTATCGTCTGGTTAGCATCTTTTCTCTCATCATTGATTCCTTGTTATTTTCATTGTCGACTCTTCAATTACATACTACTACTTCTACCACTAATATTCTAATTTCACTCCTTACCTTAGGCCCGTCATCTTCTTTTGTTCCTCAATTCATCTGATATACATATCTCTCTTTCTGCGGTCACGTCTCGATATCTCGACATTACGTTGCTTGCTCCATCGTGCGAGTACCTACGGCATCTGCCTGCTCCCCAAGACATCAGACAAATTTATTCATTCTCATTGTCGCCTCAGTATCGTCAATTCCGTCTGCCAGACTGTGCAGTGGTCACATCCCCTCTTCGTCTCGCTTGACTAGTCACATCTGCGCTCCGCTTCAAACTCAACGGAGCCTTAAACTAATAAATCATATTGTATTATATCGCCATTATAGGACTAATCCGAGAGCGATGATTGATTTCGCATACTAATAATCACACTCCCGCTGCTCTACAACGAACAACTACCTTTGTGCTGGCGCAGGTAAATGTCACCTTCATCGAGCTTATACGCTGTGTGTTCGTGATAAAACTTGGCCATCTCATCTTCGTCCTCGAATTATATCGATGTGAAAACTCTAGAGCCAACGGGATACGGGATACGATTTTCGAGGATAGATCATCACCACCGCGCCGCGCACGTTATCGATTTCGATTCGGCCTAGCGCTCGCGTGTATGTCGATTATACTCGTCGATAACATTCGATACGACTCTCGACGTACACAATGAACCCATTCGACTCGGGGCAATATGCCGGCCAGATACCATCGCAAGACCAAGAACAGGCTCGAAGAAACTCGTTCCCGGCGCGCGCAACAGGTGCATCGGTCGGATTACAAGGAAGCAACGAGCTCGGATTAAGGTTCAACATGTCGGCAGCCGATAGCAAACAGCAAAATGCTCGCACGCAGCAACCGGGGGCGGGAGGGAACGCCATGGGAGCATATCAATTTAATCCGTCGGTCAACCAAGGCAATGATCCAACTATGCTCTTTGCGGGAAATGATGCCATGTCAATGCAACAATATCCACAAAACCAAGCATTGTTCCAAGACCCAGAAGAATTCAATTTGAACACGACTTACAATTCAACATATGCGCCTTCCATGGATCCGATAACTGCTTTTCAACAGGACTATCCCGGTGCAGCCAATTTCCAGGGAAATGACATGGCTTTCTCGCTAGGCTTTGATGCTTCGAATGATGCGCAGTCGCAGTCTTTAGATATGCTGTTTTCGAATTCTACCTTTGTCCCTCTTCCCCAGTCGTCGATGCAACCTACAACCGCGCCAGAACAGCTGAATACCCAACACAACTGGGTGGATTTGTCCAACTTTAATCTGTCTCTACCCGGTCAAAGAATGAACGATGCTTCTCCGGTTGGAAGTATACGACAACAAAGCTCAGTGGTCACCCTACCACGACGCAGCCAGAGCAGCAGTCAATCTCAGTCCATCTCTCCATTCATGCAACAGCAACCATCTAAACCATCAGCCACCCCGCCTAATTTTCGCAATCCATTCGTTCCATCCGGTAAATTTCCTTACGATAAACTACTACATAGCAATTGACAAGACAGTGCTGATGAATCTTCCAGAAATCGCTGCGTCAACAACGCCTAAGCCTGGAGCAGGCAAAGTCGCGTCGGAATATTACAACATATACTCGAGTAGTGGGTTTGATATGTTTGGGATATTGGTCAGTTCATCTACCCAAACCCGGGCGGAAACACGCTAAAAGGTATACAGGCCAAAATAGCAAGTCGACCAAACCCAGAAATAGATATTGGCGCTGTCGACATGTCCTGTGCATTCATACTTTGCGATATGACGTCTCATGACGAGCCCATCGTCTACGTGTCTGATGCTTTTGAGCGTCTTACCGGCTATACGAAACATGAAATTCTTGGTAGAAATTGCAGGTTCTTGCAGTCACCCGACGGCAAAACCGATCCAGGAATGAAAAGAAAATACGTGGATGACCAGACGGTCTGGCGTCTGAAAGAAAAAATACAATCTCGAGCTGAGGTTCAAGTTAGCATGATCAATTACCGCAAAGGAGGACAATCTTTCATGAATCTTTTAACTATGATTCCAATTCGTTGGAACACGAGCGACTATAGGTTTTATGTGGGTTTTCAAGTTGATCTTGTAGAGCAACCTCAAGCGGTCACCAAGCGAAATGCTGGTAAGTTCGAAGACATTCGTTATATCTAAGTTTCTAAAGGCATGATAGATGGCTCTTATTCGATTAATTATCAACGGGATCAGCTTTCGCGGTATGTGTTACATGCACCTGAATCGCGAAGGTCGCAGACGAATCTGTCGAGGAATATCAGTCATGATGAAGCTACAACTGTTTTGAAGAATATCAGCTTAGGTATCAAAGACGGGCGTTATTTGGATCGAGTTATACTCGAAAATGCCGACGACGTGATTCATGTTTTATCGCTCAAAGGTCTCTTTCTCTACCTGTCACAATCCAGCTCGCGGCTTCTTGAATACGACCCAAGTGAGCTCGTGGGACGATCGATATCATCGGTCTGTCACCCTAGTGACATTGCACCGGTCACTCGTGAATTGAAGCAAAGTACGGCCGGATCACCTGTCAGCGTGATATACCGCTTCCGACGAAAGAATAGCGGCTATGTATGGTTCGAAAGCTATGGATCACTACATATTGAGCCTGGTAAAGGACGCAAGTGTCTGATACTCGTTGGTCGTGAGCGCCCGGTATATGCACTGGACCGATCCAGCGCTCTGGAAGCGGGGGGCATAGGAGAGAACGATTTATGGACAAAGATCTCGATCTCTGGGATGTTCTTATTTGTTTCTTCTAATGCTCGCGTCCTCCTTGATAGGACTCCGGCTGAAATGGTAGGAAAGGGCATACAAGATTTCATGCGAAGCGACTCGCGGGGAGAATTGGGCAAGGCGTTGGAAGTCGCGCGTACAGGACGGCAAGCCACGTTCAAGCATGAGATCAGGCACAAGCGCGGTCATGTTTTGCAGGCGCAGACTGTTCTGTTTCCGGGAGACGCAAGCCCAGGGACGAAACCTTCATTCTTGATTGCTCGGATATATCTACTGAAAAATTCGCGGTCGACATACCTTCAGCAACGTAACAACCCGATCGTGATATCGTCTACAACAACCGACGTGAACAGTCCAGGGGTCATTACACCAACAACATTAGCAGGTACTATGATGGCGGCCACCACCACGACTCCACCCTCGCAGGCAAATAGCAGCGTCCGAGCAGGACCTGGTCAGCATCCGGTTACAGTCTCGACCGAAGCAGGTTCACACGGACTTCCACTAGGCACCCAAGACGAAGCTATGCTTTCCACCAACAACATATTCGAAGAACTGAAAACAGTACGAAGCTCAAGCTGGCAATTCGAATTGCGACAACTCGAGAGGAATAACCGATTACTTGCAGAGGAGTTGCAAGGCCTCCTCAGCCGCCGCAAGAAGCGCAAGAGAAAGAAAGGAACGGGGCCAATAGAAAAGACATGCGCAAATTGCGGAACGCGGAATACGCCTGAATGGAGACGTGGACCAAGTGGACATCGTGATTTGTGTAATAGTTGCGGATTACGTTGGGCCAAACAGGTAAATCCTCACCATCAAAGTTGCACCCAAGTCTCATATCTCAAGATCTAACAAACATTACTATAGAACGGCCGCATATCCCCCCGCAAACAATCCGATCAAACAGATAAAACTTCCAGTCCCGCCTCCGGGAAAGCTTCACCGGGTAGTCTGACAGATGAGAAGGCGCAGGAGAAGGTATCCTGACCGGCCAACATACTTTGTTTATTTTTTTGCTCTCTCTCCGCTCTTCAATGCCCTGCGATGCTATGCGATGGTGTTATATGGGGTATTTAGATGAGATTATGATACCAAAATTTTTGGGTAGACGTTTGGGATGGGTTACTTGTATATAGATAAATATAATTGTACGTATGGATATGAATCTGTTTCGGTTATGGTGTGTGTCTAATTCTATCAACTCGTCAGACTACGTCGGGCTATCTCTAGCTAGACACTGTGAGATTCGACTACTGATTGCATGCCACTTATTCATAGGTGCGAGCCGATTGGAACTTTCAACAATTTTACACAGTACAGTCATGCATTCGCTAGCATATGCAAGTAATAATACGAAACAAGATGTATGTACTCAATACAAAAACACGCCAATAAGCAAACAGAAAGACGAGCAAGGTAGAAAACACAGTCGGGAAATGAGAATGCTACTGTTAAGATGGTATTATTAATATATGCGTATGAAGTCATGGAGGGGTTGAGGAGCGAGAGTGATGCAGCTATGAGTTCTTGTGTGCGAGAGAGATAGGTAGAAAAGAAGAGTGAGTGGGCGAGGATTAATTGCTGAGATCGCTGTTAGTTTCATGCCAGTTGATATTTAGAAGAGGGACATACTAGATTTCGATAGGAGAGATCTGGTCAAGAGTGTACAGCCAATTGCCGCCTTGTTCTTCTTTCTCGAGCCTATATCCCAATCATTAGCACCCCGACTTAATGGAAAAAAATCCTAGGGAGGAGATATACCAATCATAAGGCCAAGCAATCAAGTGGCCCTGCGTCAAATGCAACAGTTCATCCGCATGACGCAAATCAATCACTCCATCGGAAGCATGGAACTCTCTTCTTGAGCCCCGAGTCACTGTTCGTCGACGTCTGGACGTCGATCCAGTCACGTTCATGTTCAAGGCGCCCGAGTATCCGACTGATGACGGTGGCTGAACTGAGCCTGAGCCAGTTCTGTTCCTGTTCTCGCTTGCGGTCGCTGGTACCTCGGTTTCGGGAACTTCTGTTGATGGGTTTGTGGACTGGTACGGTTGTGTAGTGGCGTCATCTGCCTCTTTCAAAGCAGCTTTCTCATCTTCGACCGATGTTTGTTGGTAGGGCGAATCAATGTTTTTCACAGCCTCGGGCCCCTTGTCCATCTTCTCCGACTCAGGTCGAGCAGTCGTGTCCATGCTCACTGTAGACTGATTGTTGGCGGTGCCCGTGTTCTGCGACTTCCATACATCTGTCTGCTGGTTTTGAGCCTCCACAAACTTCTCACCGTATGCCGTGTATTCCTTATATTCCTTCCATGACTTGACCTCGCTATCCGGCATACATCTGAACACAGTCCTGTAAATCTTGGTATTATTGTCCGCAATCTTCTGCCATGTGTCAAAGTAGAACGTCTCGTTCACAGGATCTTGCATGCAATTTTCATCGATAAATGGCTGTCGGATGGTAGCAGCCAGCGGATGACCACTTGTAGACTCCTTGGGTGGTAGCATCGGACCTCCAATATCGGCATCGTTGGTTTGTGGTAGTGGTTGAAGTCGCGAATATGGAGTCTCTGGAAGATCCAAAGCCGGCTCGATTTGTCCAGGAGTAGGAGGCAATACTGCTTCTTTAGCACTGTCTTTTCGGATTCGCTCCTGTTCAGCAGTTTTTTGCGTCTTTCTCGGGCTGCTCAAGGTCCCTTTTCCTTCAGTCACACTGTCATTGACCAGGACTTCAGTACTGTCCTGCAATATAGCAGAATCACGGCCGAATCCAACACCTGCTTCAAGGCCAATCTTCATGCGGTCTGCGCCGTGTCCAGCAACCTCATTTCGATGCTCGGCATTTTCCGTAACCCGCGGATCAGCCGTAAGTTTCCTGCTGGACTTCAAGTTTGGATTGTTGCCTTGTTCCCAATCCACATCATGATTGAAACTATGCATGTCCTCGGACCGAGTGAGGAACTCATCTTGAATCCGATGGCGACGCTCAATCATTTCACGCTCGTCTTGCTTGTCACGCTCTCCGTTTTGGCCCACTCCGTTAGCCTGGCTATCTAGAGACGCGGCATCAATTTCACTGTCCCGTCTTGGGCGTCCTGCCGCCTCCATTGAGAGATCATGATCAAGAATCTCGTCGACGTCAATACCCATGTGCTCCCTCATAAGCCGCATTCGCAGGGTATGCGGAAATCTACCAACTAAGTAAGGTTTGCTATCCATTGTTGACCAGATCATATCGGTATCCCTCACAAGGGCTGCACACTCGGAATCGCGCGAACCAAGCATGGAACGCTCATTAATGTTAGCAGATCCAATGATAGCTGCCCGATCATCTACCACCATACATTTCGCGTGAATGTATAGTTGCTCAGTGACCAATTGCTTGTTTGGTCCAATCTTGCCCCAGGTTCGCAGGCTGAAGAACTGTATATAGTCCTCAGGCTCAATACCCTCGGCACGTAGACGACCAAAAATGGAGGTCTCACCTCGACATATACTGCGGTATTGACACTGCATGATCAAACGAACGCTAGTGCCACCTTCAGAGTCGACCGTATTCTGGAATCCGGGTATCAGAGGAATTATAATGACAGCACGCCAGTTGTCTCCATTACGAGCTGCTCGGATGATTCTTTCAACCAAGGCATCTCCAATCAAATTCTCAATCTTAGTGCCATCAATCTCACATGTACTGATGAAGAACTGGTTTTCAATGTACACAAAATGCTCGGATTGTTCAATCAACTTGACGTAGGCATTCATGATACTGTGTTCCGTCACATCTGGGGTTCCAAGAGACCAATTACCTGCTGAACGCAGGATCTGCACCTCACAGGTGCCATCAAGACCTAAAGCCTCGAGATCAGCAGGATTAAAGTCTGGCGGAGGCAGCAAGAACGGTGTAGGTCTGGTAGGCTTGCGCTGGCGCAGAATGTAATTCCATCTCTGGACAAAGTGTCTGGTAAGATCTCGGGCAGGCTGGCCGACGACATGCATCGAAATGTCATGCCACGGCATTCTCGGTACGATGTTACGGTCGTACATCTCCTCGTAAGGCTTATCCAAGTCATAGAAATCCTGGACACGAGGATTAGAGTAATCCTTTCCTGGCCATAACTGACAGCTGTCAGTATCCTTTGGCCCGTCAGACGACTCAAACCCAGTGGGTTTATCATCTACCAGCAAATGCTGCGGGGTGTCCCATCTTCCAAAGCAAAGATCAATTCCTCCGACAAATGCAAGCGTATGGTCAACAATGCACAATTTTTCGTGGTGAGCCCAGAAGAAAGTGTTCTGTCGGAATTGGTTCGGCGATCTCTGCACAAAAATATTGGGATGAAGATCAAGCAAGGAGAACTTTGTATATTCCGAGTCGATAGGAATAGCAGAGTTGATATTTCGATACATTATGACGAACACCTTTACGCCTTCTTGGGCTTTTCTTTGCAAAAGTCGGTCAAGTCTCCATTTTTGACTGATAGCAGCTGGGCGGCGCAGATACAACTCCGGACTTAGCCACCAGTCGTGAATATAGATAACATCCTTGGCTTGATTGATGGCACGGGATACAAGCCACATGTGATCGCGACCATCCACTAGCCATTGCGCAAAACAGCCCTTTCGTACCGGAGCAAAGCTATCGAACCGATTCGGTTTAGCCCATGGAGTGTTCTCAACCATGAATCGGATAGAATCTTCAAACTGGTGTAATTGTCTTTCGTTACGTGCAAGCAAGCGAAGCTTTCGCTCTGAGTTCTCCATTCTCAGTGTGTGGTGTTGAGGGTGAGCTGCTGAGTCCTTGGCATGACGCGCAATGTCCTTTGCTTTTTGATCCCTGAGCCTGACTTTTTGCGATTGGAGTTTAAAGAAGGGGTCCACGAGAAACACATCGTATATGTTCATCTCTTCCGGTGAATCAACACAGACGATATAGCTGTGACGAACAAGGAACCACTTCGGCGAGTGTCTCTGCTTGAGTAAGGCTGGTCTCAGGGCCTTTCGGAAGTCAAGACCTTTGGCTGATTGTATAACCAAGAAGCCTTCTTTTCCGTGATAACTGCCTTCTGCAGCTAAACGAACTCCCAGTGCGGATAATTCAAGAAACTTGCAAAGCCGGTTGCTATCAGGTCGGAAGATCAAGAACCGTATCATTTTTTGCAAATAGTTTTCCAGTTTCTTTCGCTGCCGTTCAGAGTAGGACCTCCTCTCGCCTGTCGCCACCGCAGCACCTTCTCCAGCAGTAGCGTCGTTCTCCAACGTGACGCCAGTACTAGAACGACGACGATTTATCGCAAAAGACGAGCGTCGTTTCTTCATCTTGCGACGAGCCTCATTGCCACTGGTTGCTTCTGCTCCAGTTTCGTAACCACCGCCGTCTTCTTCCTCTTCTTCTCGTTCGCTATCAAGGCCCCGAACACCACGTAGATAGGGAAAGGCACTTCTGGGGAAACGAGGAAGCATATGCGCACTGTCTTGACTTTTCAACTGGATATACTTTTGAGTTCCAATTTGCAACTTGTATTTCAGATGAAGATTGGCAAAGTCTCTCAATGTGCGGTGAATGATCCATTTCATGCGGGTCATTCCGCTTCCATATTCCAACTCAATACGAAAGACGAGATGACGATCGCCAGAATGCGAGTCAAATCGGCTATCCGTGATTTGCACCTTGAGCTGCTCAAGCAGAATGGGAATACGTTTACTTCCGTGCTCGTCGCGTTGGAACATGCTGGCAAGTATCAACGCAGCAGGGATACCGGAGGTCAACTCTGCCAGTAGCTCTGCAGACTTGGCATGGTCTATCGTATTGTCTGCTTTGCGCCGTTGTCCAATCATTTTCAACCCAGCCTTGATTTGGCGCCATTTCTGTGCACTGAGACTAGATCCTCTTTCGGCCTTGTGTCGTCTCCAGGCTTCTCGGATGCCCTCCTGCTCTCCGGTCGGAGTGCCGAAAGCAGTCAACCTTCGAAGGTTCATAGGCCGTCTCTCGTCGGTGTTGGAAGTTGCATTTGTGTTATTCGTGTTTTGCGTATCTGTGCGTCCACTATATGTCAATCCACGGGCACTGGATAACCACGCGTTGCTTCTTTTCCTCCATTGGGAATCCATGTTAAGTCTATTCCGACCCTCATCTTCCGAAACGGGGTCGCGTAATGAAGCAGACATGTCGGTTGTAGCTCTTCGCGGAAAAATACTTGGCCTCGTCATTTCTGAAGGATGAAATGAATTGAAAGAGAACAGTCCGGGTGTCGCGGCAGCTCTGGGGGTATTCGGGGCCGATTCGTGTGGTTCTTTGGTTGATCGGGGCCTCTGCGACTTTTTCCTTCTTCGTAGCCGTAACCGTTGTTCGCCTGCACTTTCCTCTGCGTCTGCATCTCCTTCACTTCCAGCGTCCGATGCTTCTTCAGGGAAGGTAAATTGCCCTCTTTCTGATGCAGGGGTATTCAGGTCATGGTTGATGCCACCATTCTCGATCCCTACACCTGTAGGAGCAGTAGCGACACTTGCAGACCGCGAATGCGAAGGAAAAGACGGTGTAGCCGCGAATGCCCGTAACTTGTTGAAAAGAGACTGCTTCCGGTCCTTGGCTGACATGTCATTCGTGGTATCCTCCGGGCCAGCCGTAGAGTCCAGAGATTGCTTTCGCCCGGACATTGCATGGTCCACAGCAGCGACAGTACCATTTTGCTCCTCATGAATTACACCACCGGAATCGCCATTTGGTGCCTCCTCCTGGTCGTCTAGCGAATCTACCTCCTCCTGTATCGGTTGATCGACGATGGTGCCTGCCCGACTCGACGAGGGAAACCGTGCTCCTTTGATGTGTGTGAAGATATCGGCATTGTCTGCAGAGTCATTGTTGGTAGGGGCGAACGACGGCGAGGACTTCGTGCCTGGGGAAGGGGGCTGATGCTGGCGGAGGAATTTCTTAGGGGTTGTTCCAGGGCTGTTGTTATTGTTTTGGTGTGAGAGCGATCCGAGCTGGGAGGACTCGTTGAGTTCGGCCATAGTCTAGGTGTAGCTGGAATCTAATATACTTAGATTCTCATCTTATTCGTCTTGTTGAGTAACTTGTAGTGTGTTGACAACTTACTGGATCCGGGAACTTCACGCTGCCAACATGCTAGGACAACAAACCTAGCGTGACGGTTATTGGCAATGACTTGAGCTATCCATAAAGCAAGACGAGTTAAGAGTACTGGTGATAGCTGACCGTATGATAGGGGGTATCTGCGATATTGTCTAGGATGAATGCTGTGTCTGGCATAGCTTCCAAGGTATCAGGAAGTACGTCGGGAGACCCACGTGCGGAGGCCCATAACTAATCTCCGCCCCTGCCAATGGCTTTTTTACCTAGGTTAAGTGATTGCCGAGACTGTATATACTCCTCTAATATTTCCTTGACTTTACATACTTGACGAGGAGGAAAAAACACATGTATATACAAATTAATTGAAGACGCCAAAATGCCCTCCTCCATTTCCCCCCTAAACAGCTACAAAGCACCACCAACCCCATCCCTCTCCGCCCAAGCATTCCACATCGCAGGCATCCAGACCACCGTCTATGGCATGTCCGAGATTCACGCCAACAATGTCTCCGAAGTAGTCTGCGTATGGCTCATGCATCCTCGACTCGACTCGCAAAATGATGTGGCCGAGGTCGCCAGGAGGATTGTCCATGACCACTATCAACGCTCAGCAGCTGAGTCTTCTGTGTCAAAAGGGAGGAAGAAGAGGGGGTTGATAGCAGTCACGTTCGATGCAAGGAATCATGGCTCGAGAGAGATTGATCGTTTGTCGAATGAGGTTTGGAGAACGGGGAATGAGAATCATGCTTCTGATATGTTTTCTGTATACTGTTCGTCCCCCCTCTTCCCTTCAGGACTATATACTAATGTATGGATAGCCGGCACGGCAGAGGACATATCAACCCTAATCGACTTCTTACCAGCGTACATCTTTCCCACGAGCCAATACTCCATAGCCACCCATTTTGCGCTGGGAATTTCTCTGGGCGGCCATACAACCTGGCTTGCTCTTGTACACGAACCACGCATCACTACCGGTGTCGTCGTGGTGGGTATGCCGGATTACATTGCGCTAATGACTGATCGAGCCCGACTTTCGAAGCTATCTACCTATTTACAGCCGAGCGATGCACCAGGGAGCCAGTTTTTGGGATCGAGACACTTTCCATCTTCACTGCTAGAGGTCGTTCGCAAGAGAGATCCGGCTGCTTTCCTGACCGGTGGTATTTCGGACAATCTGTCCCGAGGCGAGTACGATGTTAAGTCCGTAGAGATTATTAACCGTCATCTGGGCGGAAAGAGGATTCTGTGCATGTCTGGTGCGACTGATAAGTTGGTGCCGTATCGGCTGACGGAGTCGTTTATGACTTGGTTGAAGAATCACGCTGCTACTGGAAGCAATGTAAATATGGGTGGTGGGCCGATTCAGAAGGCGGATCTGTGGATCCAGGATACTGTGTATCAAAACACAGCCCACGACTTTACGGAGGCAATGATGGATGAAGCGCTAGTGTTTATGCACAAGTCTGTGTTGAAGCTGGATGAGACGAAAGACGATGTGAAGAGTAATCTATAAATAGACTACATAATGGACCCTTCTACTGATGAGTCTTGAAAAAGGATGTCAGATCCCCCCGAATATTAGAAGTAGCAGAAGACACCAGACTCTGTCGAATCCATGCTGGCAACTTCCCCTGAATCCGTTGCGTTTCGTACCTCCTATCAATCAGAACGATAGCTGCATAATCATTCCTATGCCGTATTGCTCTCCCAATGCATTGGTTCACTGCTCTCAAACACGAATTCTCAAAGAAGTCTCTCCCCGCTGCTTTGGCGGCTGTCTCTGCTCCCCGTCGTCTTGATACGGATAAATCTGTCTCGTTCTGGGTCAATTTTGCATAAGTTTGTTTCTCAATATGGCCGATTTTCGCTTTCCAGACAGCCGAGTGAATATTTGGAAATGGTAGTCCAACTATCAAGACACCTCTGCCTAGTTTGTCGGAGAAATTAATGCCTTCCGAGAGACGACCTCCAACGACAGAGAGTAAGAGTGCCCCAGAGCCAGATTCGACTTTCTTCGAGTATTCGAAAAGGATATCGTCAGTATTGCACTCCTTTTTCTGGTTATTGCTTTCATAGACTATCGGCTTATATTTCTCAATCTCTGAAAACACCGAGACTCCATTTCTGGACATGCCCGATTTCCGCCAGGTATTCAGTACCTGGTTCAAGTATTCATAGCTGGGAAAGAAAGCCACGACGCCGTCTGGGATCACAGCACAGAGGTTCGCAATCGTGTGTCCCAAATCTGTAATCTATCGGACAGATTAACACACATTATACCTCAGACAGATTGAGCAACTTACCATGGAATCAGAACTTCGCTGATCGAATGTGAAGCTGAAATCGTTCCCGAGTACCCCTTTGGCGAGTATGCGAGCCGTTAGGTTCTTTGGTGGAATGACATGTCCAAAGCTAAACGTGTCCAACTTCTCTGGAGACACATATGAAAATAAGTGATCGGCATAGTCCGACATCTGTCAAGATTAGAGATGATTATCTTGTTTGTTGGTTGTTCCAAACTCACCGGCGACATGGTACCTCCTGCTAGAACGACTGCACGCGCTTCGTCGACAATATCTCTGAAATGATTCGTGGGATCCAACAGCATATATCTCAAAAGCACGCCATCATCCGCTTTGTTGAGAAATAGTTGGCCCTCATCCGAAGGATTCATCAAGGTCAAGATAAAGCTCTGTACTTGGAACAGTACTGGTACTGCAGTCTTTTCGCGTGTTGCCTTGCCATTGTTCACCTTGCCATCTTGATTATTGGCATGCTCAACATAACCATCAACTTTTCTTGCTAGTTTACTCTCTTGCAAGTACCTCGTCAGCTTATAAGGATTGATCTGATCTACCCCTTTGCCTGAAACGAGATCCGAGTAATGAACAATGACTTCTGATGCATTATGTTTCTGAGAGAGTGACTGAAGGTTTTCTGCGAGTGCACTGACAAGTCTGATTACTTGGGTGACATAGACACGATTTTTGCCCTTCAGCCGTGTCTGGAACTTCCGTGCGTAGGTTGTCAGCTGGAAAAGAGATGTTCGGAGTTGATCTAGTGTGACGGAAACAGAATGTATATTTGAGATGGCATCCATCAGATTGTGTGCTTCGTCGATGATGACGACATGGTCTCGAAGGGACAAATCCAGTGCCTCTCTGGAGGATCGTTGGAGTAGCAAAGGATATGGGAGGGTTATTATCTGCACAAATCAGCAATGCAGCTTTGATCAAGCAGTCTGTTCAACTCACCTCGCACTGATCAATAACTTTTCTCGCTGCGTAATAAGGGCAGATAGAAAGCTGCTTTCCAACTTGGCTGATGTCCTCAATATCTTGGACTGTAGATAATATACGATCACGAAAGTCCAACAGCACGTCTTCGGACTCTTTATTTGGTAGGTACGAACACTTTTTATCTGCTGCAACCCCAGATTGTTGTAGTTCCATGCAACGCTCGTTGATTGCCGTGGCATTTCCGAGATTCGAAACCCGAGGGTTTATGCAAAGTTGTTTGCGAGACCCGAGAGTCAGATGCTTGATAACTTCCTCCAGCTCAGCATGTTCTTGTTTCTCTTCTTCTGCATTGTTCTGCGGGGAAGGAAGACTCGAAGGAAGGTTCACTCTTCGCAGCTCTTGAGCAAACTGTGACAATTGCGAATGAGTGCGCGAGCAATAGTAGATTCTTGTTTGGTTGTCGTTGTCGTTTTCATTCTCCTTTTGACCTGTGACTCGACCTTTGAAGCGATCAAGTAGTGCAACAGTACTAGCAGATAGCCCTTCTATGTTGCTGAGCCCAGGAATTGAGACACTCTTTCCTGTCTCCGTGTCACTCTCATACTCGTCTAGCTCGAAGAAGCTATCGCCTTCAGTGTTTGGAGAGACAATATCAATTTTCTATACATATCAGCACTTCAGCACTGTATCACAGTATCGTAGTTGCGCTCACACATACCTGCTTTTTGATTGGCCTATTGGGGTTTTGTCCCAGTGCTCTCCTCCGTTCTTCCTCTTTTCTGTTTCTGGCAAGTCGCTCTTCTAGCTCTCGCCATTTCTGGGTCAGAGCTTGCGTTCTTTCCTTTTTAGCATACTCAACCATCCACTCCGGCTCGTCATCATCAGCTATCATCGGTCAGCTTGTATTCATGACAGCAACAAATACAGCACCCACCAGACAATTCATCTATCGACTTGAGAAATTCTTTGCGCTTGTGATCGCGCAGCCACGTCAACGCGCCGCATATCAAGCTCAACGATTTACCCTAACGAGCAGTCAGTGGCATCCGAGTGGTCGTCAAGGTTCAAACATACAGTTCCTATATCACGGCTTAGAAACATGCATTATTTCATCTCACAATCGCTTTACGCTTGGCACCGACCTGTGGGAGATTCAAAGATGCCGATTTTGCCTGCATCGATGCAGTCATACAATGAGCTCATAAACTGGAGCTGAATGTCGTAGGGGGTGTAGGGATGGTAGAATTTGTTTCTTGAGTCTAGGGCAGCCATAGCTCCGACATGGTTGAGGTTGTTGGTGTCTTAGTCAGGAACGGTGCATCAATAACTTAGGAAGGCACGCAAAAAACAATTTCCATCCCGGCGCTCTTTTGTTCTTCACCAAAGCTCTACCCCAGGATTAATTTGGTCGCGAACTTTATATTCTCTATTCTACCGTATATTCTTGACGATCAGATCTCCAAACTGAGACACTACGGGCAGGGCTATTATTAGAGTCTGACTGTGGCCGTGGGAGGAATGGACCCTCAGCTTGTCAAACAAGAGAGCGACCTCCATACGACATAGCCCCAATGCGACACAGCTGCGAATCCTACTTTCAGCTCAGGGACTAACGGCCATGTAACAATGTAGAATAGATAAAAGCAGAGGACCTGGCAGCCATCCATCACAGTATCCATTTTCTGCCAAATAAACACCCCGCTGTCGCTTGCCGACGGGCATTCTTGCAAGTGTCAACCCATCCCGGGCCAGTCAAGAAGCACATCAGATCTTGATTCAATCCTTTCTGATGTAATTGTCGCATTCTTGACTTCTTTGTGAATTACACACAACCAACCAGCGCCGGAGAGCTGCGCGGAGTTGCAAAAGCTGACTCTGGCGAGTGACGGGACCCCTCCCTCGTCTGGCCGAACCGGAGCCATCAATCAATTTGTTCAGCCAACCCACCGCAGCCCAAATACCATTCCAGATACGAATCCACCAGTGTTCTTGACTGCATACTGCATTGCATTGCTTACTTCCTTTCCTCTCGCCCACTCCTCCCTTACCCCCTGAGATCGTGCGCGCACCATGTCCAGGCCACCGCAGGGCCGTGGTCAACCAAGGGTAGGTGCCACTTTTTATCCTGGTGGTACAGATGATTACTATGTGCCAGAAGTCATCTCCCCTGCTCCTCAAAGGTGAGACGGAACAAAGCAACACACTGCCTATTTTCATCTGTAATCCAGATGCATTCTTCGTTCGCCGGCCATTAGGCAACTTCCTCGCTGACCGTCATCTTCTCGTTCAGAGTAATGCCTGAAGTCCCTGAAAACATGCAGGATAACATCGCCCACCTGGAACACGAGGCGCGCACCCCGCGATCGTTCAGCAACAGCAGCCACCAGCAAGCGTCCTACGACCGACCACATTTCCCAGACCGTTCCTCGTCGATGCCTTCGCCGGGTTACAACAATAATTCCAATAACAGCTACTACGACAACTCTCACAATGGGGCTCCTTCGCCATCATATAACCAGACATCCTACGATAGCATGGATCATCCCAACTTCTCGCCATTCCCCGTGCTTCGCAACCCACCTCCCAACGTGCCGCCGACCGACGAACAAAAAGAGGCGAATCTAGAGAAAGGGCGCGTCGCAGTGTTGTCGTCTAATGACCCAGATATGCAGCTGGCCTGGGCTCAGGATGCGCTTACCTACGTCGAGATTTCCATGCAAAACGAAGCGCGCATGTCGCAGATCCAGCCTGCGCGACCGCACACACCTCAGGTTGAGCATCAACTCAGAGTGGATGCGATGAATATTGTGACCTTTTTGTCGGAGCAGCGCCACCCACATGCCGAATTTATCAAAGGTATGTGGCTGGAGTTTGGAAAATTTGGATACCGAGTCGACAAGAAAGAGGCTTTCCGCTCTTATTCGCGGGCCGCAGAGAAAGGATATGCGCGTGCAGAGTACCGGATGGGCATGCAATTCGAGAGCTCTAATGAGCCCGCCAAGGCTATCAGACATTATGAGAAAGGCGTTTCCATGCACGATTCTGCCTCGTACTACGTAAGTTATGAATCTTTGCTTGTCAGATGTCTTGCTAATTGAAAAGCGCCTTGGTATGATGATTCTTCTCGGCCAGCATGGACAGCGGCAGGATTATGAAAAAGGTCTAGAATACATTCGCCTTGCGGCACAGACATGCGATGAGAATGCGCCTCAAGGTGCCTATGTGAGTAGCATTCGGAAATAGAATTCCCGCGCATTACTCATTTGAACTATAGGTCTATGGAATGTTGCTTGCCCGAGAACTTCCTCAAGTTACAGTACCCGACCAATTCCTGCCAATTGATGCAAATGGAGCCCGAGTCAATATCGAAAAGGCGGCGTATCATGGTTTCGCAAAAGCCCAGGTTAAGATGGGCGCGGCGTATGAGCTAGGTCAATTAGGATGCGAATTCGATCCGGCACTTTCTCTGCATTACAATGCTTTGGCCGCTAGGCAAGGCGAGCCAGAAGCCGAAATGGCAATCAGCAAATGGTTCCTCTGTGGACACGAAGGATTGTTTGAGAAAAATGACGAGACTGCCTTCACATATGCTCAACGTGCAGCACAGAGCGGTTTGCCCACAGCAGAATTTGCTTTGGGTTACTTTTACGAAGTCGGAATCCACGTGCCGGTTGATATTCAGGAGGCCCGACGATGGTATGCCAAGGCTGCCGCCAGTGGCAACAAGGATGCCGCAGGACGAATTGACAGTATATCGCGATCTAAGACGCTCTCTCGAAAGGATCATGAACAAGTCGCTATCGCACGAATCAAATCTCAGTACGGATCGGCGAATCGTCCGCGTCCAAACTATGGGGGAGCAGCACAGGCTCCTCCTATGTCGCCGCCTCAGGAGAATCTAGAGATGCCTGATCCGTCTCGAATGCGGATATCTGACGACGGATATGGGGCACCATATGGGGCTAATGGACAACAAGGCTACGGACGTGGCTCGTATGGCGGTCCAATGGGCGATCGTCCAAGCTCTGCATTCGGAATCAACCCCAACATAGGCTCGCCAGGCTATGGCCCTGGAGGTCCTGGCGGCCCTGGTCCAGGTTACGGCCGAGGTCTCCCAGCCAACCCTGCCCCAGGCTATCGTCAAGGTGGCTCAGGCCCGAACTCTCCCAAACTGCCTCCGAGCCAGGGTGATCCATATGGCAGCCCTCGACCTGATATTGGTTACTCTGCACCAGACAACCGCAGACGACTCCAACGACCCGAACCTCAAGGCATGGGTCCTGGACCTGGAGGTCCTGGAATGGGTCCTGATCGTCGTTCGGGCCGAACACCAGATTATGGCCGACAACCCTCTGGCGCCTATCCCCCACGAAACCAATCAATGACTCCCAGCTCAGGACCCGGTCGGCCCTCACCAGGTACATCCCCGCGACCGCCTGTCGGTGGCGCGCCCCCAGGCGGCCCAATGAGCGCTCCTCCCAGCAGCAACTCAACCCCAAAGCCTGCAGCTGCTGCTGCCACCCCTCCACCCAAGAAAGGGCCAAAGACATTCGAAGAAATGGGTGTCCCTCAGGGGAAGACAGACAGCGATTGTGTAAGTTCTATCTCTTCGAACCATAATATGATGACAAGACTAATTACTGACACAAATTCAGATTGTGATGTGATACCCGACGATAATACCTTTCTTTTCAACATATCTCTCAATGTAAATTGCATTCCACATTCCACATTCTGCTCTTCGATCTTTGATCTCCATCCTTTCTTTGGATTTTTTGTTTTAGTGCACAGCGCCTGGTAGCATTTGAAAATAAAAGAAGTTACAGTCTTATAAATGATGGCACTTTCTTATTTTCCTCTTTTTTGCTTTTTCGTTGCAGAAGAAAGTTTTGGTTTCTGTCTATTGATGCTGAAGATCTTCATTTTATCGTCCTGATTAACCGTTAGTTATATGACAATGCATTGATCTACATATCCTCCAATTCGAGAGCCCAGAGTAGTTGATGATATTGAAAGCAGCACGTGATACTGTATATATGTAGACTCCTTTTGGGGAAGGTACATCCTTCCTTTCTTGTCATCCAGATTTTTACTTCAACCTCATCTCTTTCCCACGACTTAATCAACTTAGTTTGGTCACTACTCCGTATCAATCAAGACTCGTCTTCTATCTTCCTTCAGAGGCTCATCACGTAGTAGTCGTGAAGCATGGCACCAAGGAAGAAGAAAGAGAAAGACGAGACGGAGTCAGGAAATAGTGGTAAGTATTTTTGCTCACCAAAGCGAGATACTCTGGCAGCTTTGGCTGACAATGATGAATAGGATCAGCACTTATCCTGGAGTATCTTAGTAAGCTTATATTTTTCTAGTATCCTGGAGCGATGTACTGTTCGTGAGTATGCGCTGAACATGGGTAGAGAAACAAAAGTGCGTTCATTTCGAGATGACGAGGTTATATAAAAGTCAGCAATTAACATGTATTTGCATTGATGATATACAGTCGGCCCTATTCTGTGAGTATAACATCCCTTCCATCCCAATATTGGATAGGTTTTGACGTCTGGGGCTATATCAGGCTCTTGATATCTCGACCAACCTTCATGGAAAGGTTACCAAAAGTGTGTATACCTTATGCTACAGCCGTATACACTGCGACAGGCTCATGAGATATGTCCAGCGTACGCCGTAAAAGCATTGAAAGAGATGCACGACCGCAAAGAGGTCGAAGGACGGGCAGCAGGTTCTCCCATCTCCTCCTACTTTCAGTAATTCTCAGCTAATTTCTTGCAAAGGCAAACAAATGGTCTACCATGCTATCCAGGAAGTCGACGCCAACGACTCAACCGGCACGGAAGGCAATGATCCCGATCAAACCACCAAAGATCTCGAAGGAAACATCGCTGCTCTCAAAATTCGCGAAAAAGAGCTCCGCGAGACGTTGGCCAAAATCAACGCAATCATCCCGATCTCCGTCCTAAAAGATCAAATCGCCAGTCTCGAGGAGAAAAAGGCGTTACTGACTTCTCAAATATCGACCTTGTCGGCAGAAATGCAGGAGTCGAGAAGGTTTGCCTGCAAAGAGGATTTTGATCGTATTGATCTGGAATGGAGGAAGTGGCGTGATCAGGTTACGGCAAGGAAGAGGATTTTTCTGGAGTTTTGGGCTAAGTGTACGGAGGTGTTACCGGAGGATATGACGCCGAGGGATTTGAAGGTATGTTACACCTGTTGAATTTTTTGAGATCATGCACTGATTGAGGCCTAGGAGACGCTCGGTATCGAAGGGTCTTTCTAGGTACTCATCCATACGCTTAGTTTGTGCAAGACATGATGTCAAGAAACCAAAATAGGCGGAGAAGCTAGATCGTGGCTCCTTCCGCTTGGTACTTGATTCAAGACCAAGCTCATCATCCGGTCAGCAGATCTGAATAAGTCACGATATAGGGTCTTGTCAGATGATTTAGTGGTCACATGTGTTTGAGCAGTAGAGGGAGAAACACTGTGAGATTATGAAGAAAGTGTTTCAAATTATCATCAGCTATCATCCCCTCATGATCTCTTATCAACCAAAGCATAAGATAGAGATCTGACGAATCACATCAGCCTGAAATCTGAATGGTAGTCGAGCCAGGCATTTCCTATACTATAATATAAGAGATACTAATGTAGCAGCATCACTTATCCATAGCTTCTGCTATCTACTACAGCTGGTCCAGGCCTACTCTAGAGTAAGCTGAGACTGAGCAGCCTTATCTTTCGACTGGCGAGCCCATGACCGGTCTCACTGGACTAACTGCCCGAGTAAGACTAGGTAGCTTGTAACCAGGTATGTCGAGACAGCCTCATGATACATGTAGTCTCTCAAGTATACACACGTAAAAGTATTTTATGAGCATTTAGTGATCAAACAAGTCAAATATCGAATTTGTTATCTCGGCATCCCCACATACTGGAGGATTATGGTTGTGGTTCATGCATTTTTTTTTTCTTTTGATTTGCCCCTCCGGAAGGCTCTAACGGTCTCGGTCTAAGGCTCTGCTCTCACCCAATTCTGCCCTCTGATGACCCAAGCTCACTCCATCTTGCTTAATTCACTGCCAGCATTCTTCCTCCGCCCTTTCTTTCTTTTGTACTGTATCACTTACTACTACTGACACTTTTAAAGAGAGATTGTCAATGGGCTACTCTAACCAGTAGCAGCTCCTCTTTCTTTCTTTCAGTCGTCAGCACACACAAAAAAGCCTTCCGTTGTCGGAGAAAATGAGAACGCGCAACAATACGGCAGCTGCTCCTGCTGTGGCAGGCCAGAATAATGCGACTCCTGCTCCTAACGGGCAGGGTCATGGCCATGCTCGCACCTTGTCTGGCGCTACGCCGTTTAATGAGTTGACGCCTCGCAGTCCACCGAATTCGAGTACTAAGAGTGAGTTGAATACTGCTTATATGGGCACCTGACTTGTGATCCTTGAGGTGTGAAAGCTGACTGTGATAGACACCAAGCATGTGCCCTGCAAATTCTTTCGTCAAGGCGCCTGTCAAGCAGGACCTGCTTGTCCATTTCTTCACTCGACCGATGCGGCGATCGACTCTGCTCCGTGTAAATACTTCACAAAGGTACATACTCATTACAGTTATCTAGTCTACATGTCTAACGCAGTTCGGGATAGGGCAACTGCAAATTCGGAGCCAAATGCGCGTTGGCACACATCCTCCCCGACGGTCGTCGAGTCAACAGACCCAACTACGGCGGCCAAGGCGCTGGTGGAGGCAGTCATTTGAACTTAGGCGGTCGTGTAAATCCGCAGACATTCCAGACTCAGGACTCGGCACTTACGAACTCGGTTTTGTCGCAGCAACGATTGAACGGGCAGGATGGTCGATATGGTGGCGGTTATCAGTATGCTGGACAAGGACAGGAGGATTTACTGGGTGTTCCCGGACAAAGTCATCTCCATCAACAGCATCAACAACAAACTTTGGAAGGGCTTGGTTTATCTACGGGAGAGAACGGGCTGGCCGCTGATTCCAAGTACGGTTCGCCAGTGGATGAGAGCCGATTACAGACCTCTCCCCGCGTCGGAGCATTGACTTTGCGGGATGTACAACTTCCGGCTTCGTTCGATAGTCAGGGTATTTCGCACGTGGCTCGGTACGGTCCCGTGGCAGCCTCGGTACCCTCGCAGTTTGGGTTGGATCTCGCCTCGCCGCCGATTCAGAGGGCGCCTTCTGATACGTTGAGGACTCTGCGCGACACGGCGTTTGGATCTGATTTGCGCAAACCTACATCGAACTTCGGATCGTCACCACCGGCCGTAGTTGAGGATTCGTATACTTCTTCACGGTTCCTCCACTCGCAGCGCATGGTACCTCGGTCAAAGGTTTTGTCAGCAAGTGTCCCTCGCCCAAGTATGCTGGATGACTGGGATGACAACTTCGCCATGGAAGAGGACTATCTACCGGTCAACTTGCACGACGACGTGCTTACGCCACAGGAGAAAATGAGACGCCTATCTCGAACCGAGCACGAACTGAGCAGCAGCCAGCGCGACTTTAGCGGCTTTGATCGTATCGCTGGTACCAGTGCAACCAAAGTGGGCTCCCCGCTGGGATCAAGCCCATCTCGCTTCGGCGCATTGTTCGCACGCCAACGCCAGAGGAAGGAAGAGGAACAACAAGCAATGACATCTTCATCGTTTAATCATCTGCACATCGGCTCACCACTCCGCGAATCCTCATTGCATTCCTTCAGCAATGCCACTGCCAACAACAACACGTCAAGCCCCAGCTTGCGCCCAATCGGTAGCCGGCCTACATCAGGCGATATATCGCCATTCGTCTCCAGCCCAAATTCGCGTCAATCTTCCATGTCCATGATTTCCCAGCAATTGCATAATATGTCTCTCCACCCGACCACCACTTCTTCAACTTCTACAACCGCGCATCCTCCGCGACAGTCAGTCAACAACCTGAGCACCGCCAGAACAGCCTCTTCACCCATGACATTCGCGACAACGACCAGCCGCATCGACGAAGAGGAGCAGAGCGACCTCGTCTTCTCAATGGAGGAAGAAGAGAAAGAAAACAACAAACGCAACAGCAGTACAACAGCGTGGGGGGTGCCCTCAAGTTCACCGTCGTCCTTGGCATACGAGAACAAGAAGCCAAATATCTCGGACTCGTCGTCCGTCTCGTCGGGAACTACAGAGACTAACGGTTTCTAATTAGTCTGTACAAAAAAAAAGATACATAAAAAGTGACGATACAAAAAGAGCGATACGATGAAAAGACTTTCTCATTCTCATTGGCGTTTGTGTTCGATTATTGATCATCATGAATAAACTCATGTACAGATTTCTACTCCCTCACCCCCCCTCCCTTTCCCTACTTTTCCGTGTTGGTGTTATTCGCTTGTCTATATTCTTCTCCTGGTACTTGATATTTGATGAATTGGTCATGTTGGTTGGCGCATTGGAGTGAAGATAGCAGACGCAGACAACAGACACATTGCAGCAAGTCAAGACAGCGCAGGACAGAAGTACTTACTACACCATTATTACTAGATTACGAGAGATGGTGAAAGAATTAATGAATCTTTAAACATGACATTTTCAGTAATTGACGGTCTAAGATTCTATACCAAACCAATCCATAAGATACCACGTAATGATACATCCTGAGACTTGAGAAACAAAGAAGATCAATTATCATCCTCCAAATAAATACCCGCACGCCTCAGATCCGTCGCTCGAGACGCGAATTCATCCACAGTCGCCTCTTTTAGTTCCTCGCTTACTTTTTTAGCGAGCGCGTACGCTTTGGTGTCTTGTTCGCGTTCTCGTGCGTCGGCTTCTGCGTATTCGGTCGCTATTTGCGGGTTAGTGTAGATAGTATTGTAGAATGTGGTTGTGCCGGACGTAATGCTTTTGGCGAGGAGGGAGACTGTTTTTGAGATTAGTGTGGTGAGGCGCGAGGGATCGATGGGTTCTTTTGTATCTGTCTCTGTGTCGAGGCGGGCGCGTTTAGGATGATTATCGATGTCCATCATAGTTTCTTGATCCAGTTCGCGGCGACGTTTGCGTTGCTTTTCCCGTTCTGCTTTTGCGGCGAGGTATTTCAAGGAATGGCTTAGTTGCTTCTTTGCCACTGTAGCGGAAGAGACCATGTCCATTGGCGGGGTTGAGAAGAACAGGACGCGTCCGCGGTCGTCGCAGTGAAATTCAGAGCGAACGTCGGCTGGGATCGCGGCGTTCGCGGCATCGCTCAGATGGAATACTTCAATAGGTCGAGGCGCATTGGGGTTGTACACTGGTGCGGCTGGAGCTGGCGCTGGGGATGGCGCTGGTGCTGGGTAACGGTTTGCAGTGTATGGTTGCGCGGCTGTTTGGGGGTATGGTTGTGGGGAAGAAACAGCTGCCACGGGTTGTTGAACTGGAGTTGATTGATATGTGCTTGGGTGTGCTGAAGGGGTACCGTAAGGGGCAGTGCGTGCTTGTAGAGGTTGATAGTACGGCGCCGGGCTCGGAACGGCCTGCGCTTGATATTGCTGCACCGGGATATTGGTGGTTGCCATTTGAAGAGGTGCCCCGACGGCCGGCGACCTTACTGGCGCAATGTTACCGACCGCTCCCATCGGGCTCTGGCTGACGCTGTCTTGATGAAGCGGCGCGCGTTGTATTGGTAGGGGCATTGAAGACTGTTGAGGCAGTGAAGCAGCAAGACTAGGCCGGTGCATGGGTTGCGGAGGCGGAGATGGCGTAGGCTCCGGTGGTGGAGATTCCTGCATAAAGTCAGCAATATTCAGACATCATTTTAAACAGACATACATTTTCATCCCGTGGACGCCGATGCACCGCACCTACTAATGGAGGCGCTTTCTCTGCTCCCCACGTCGGTTTTGGCACGTCGTCCGTCTCTTTGGCGTCCGGCGCAAGTAAATGTTTGATAGGGCTTGGAATCTTCTTAATACGCCGCGGCACATCATACAGATCCATCTCGTAGTCTTTTTCACGCACTTCGTCTGGTAGGCAGCTCGCCCAGGTCTTGATCTTGTTCAATTTGTGCTTCTCTTCGTTGTACCGCGCTTCGCAGACATAAATCTCCTTGTCCAGTGGGAACCCTCGCGGCCGGCCTCGGTTATATCTAGTAAAAAACATGACGAAGCAACGGTCAATCACTTCATCAATACGGTGGTCACGGTACTGCCCCGTCTTGACCACCTCATTGGGATAGAAATGCTTCTCAAAATGATGCACCGTCTGTTCGGGCCGGTAGTACCAGCATGCATTCACCCATTTCTCTCCCTCCGAATCTTGCCATGTCCGGTAGATTTGAGCCACGACTGGTTTCGTCACATCGTTTGGATTCTGTATATGCACCCAGTCACCGACTTTCCACAGCTCGCCATTATGAACGATACCCTGAGGCAAAGGTAACCGGCCGTCTTCCATCAAATACTCGCTGTCTGGCTTTCTCTTCTCCTGTTCGGCGAGTTTGTGTGCCTCGAATTGCAAATCCTCCGCATCTTTGTAGATCTGACTATTCGGCTCGTTGTATGATTTGGCATTGTTAAACATCGTATCAACATCGCGCATGAAGTGATCCACGGAGTGGTACTTCTTTCGCTTTGACTTTCGCTTGATTGAATCAATGGCCATGGGTTCTCTGATTTCCATAAAATAGTCGGGATACATTGCTTTATCCGGCAACCTCTCGAAATGGCGCACTTTAAGCTGGCCGGTATTATCTTTGAATTTCCGTAGTCCCTTCAAAACCGCTTTGATTCTGGCCTCCATTGGTGTGTCCACACGAGGAGGTCGACCTCGCTTTTTTCGGACTTCCTGGTCTGGATTCTGCGAAGTATTTTTCCTTCCTGGACCGCGGCGTCGTCTTCTTCGACCATCCCCGTCGTCAGAATCCTCGTCCTCATCATCTTCGTCGTCTTCATCATCCTCGTCATCCTCGTCCTCGGCAGGGAGTGGGTCGGCTTCTGGAATCTCGCCCAAATCAGGCATTTCTGCTGCTTCTGCTGTGATGATGCCGCTGTCGACTAGTTTCTTGAACTCTCCGATAAAAACGTCCTATACACGTCAGACACATTTCTGAATTCAGTTGAAAGAGTTTACCTTAATAACAAGAGCATCCCTGTAGGCTTGCGACTCGGGTCTGTTGTAAGTTTGCGCATTGTGTGTAATCTTCGCCCGTTAGCCTGTTCTCTTGAACGTACATCGAATATCTTACCAGCGCGCAATCTCGGACAAATTGTTCAAACTTGGTATATTCCCGCTTGTTGATCTTTTGCTTCAAGATACTTAGTGCCATAGGTTCTTTGATGATATCGTAGTAATCAGGGACGTATCGTTTGTTGACACTGCGATGGAAAAGTCTCGAAGGATCGTAGTCGCTGTTATTCCATTAGCATGGGTATATTCTGGTTAAAATGAGTATACACACTCTTCTTCTCTGAAATCGTAGATTGCCATGACTACATCCATCATGGACCTCCATTGATCGGCGGTAACTTCGCTGACGGTTGATTGCGCCGGAGCTGCTGCTGCTGGTGTCGCTGTTGCTGTTGCTGCCGGAGCTTCGCTAGGAGTATTGGCGGTATCATCGCCTTTATTTTCTGTGCCGGCATTATTCTCGCGACTCTTTGCATCGCCATCCTGTTCAATCGACTGGACAGGCTGCTCGGCCGCGAGCTGAGGGTTGGTCGGTGTCCCTGCGACGCCTGCCTCGGGGGCCTGACCCGACATGTCGCAAATTCGTAAACACCCAAGTTATCGGACTGTGAGAGAAGTATCTTGATGCGACAGAAAGAGTGGCGGAAAGCGACTGGATGTTAAATGTTGAGAAGCGCGAGAGTCTATTTAATAACTCACTTAGTGAATGCGGTTGGAGAAGGCTCGACGCGACGGAAGGAATTTAGTGCCGCCTTAAGCTGTTGTCCCGATTGGGTATAGCGCAATCAATTTTAACCATCTAATCAGTAAATGTGCCTGGCCAGCTATTTGGACTACTTTCGTGCTCTGTATTTCACAGTTCAAGGTACATCTATGATTCTATTCTTTGATTATTCCTGAGGACCAGTCATGCTCTACCTAATGTGCTGCTCAGTTACTGAGAGATGCACACTACGACACTGGCATTCTATACAACTACTCAGGAACCCTCGCTACCTAGCAATACATACAACACCTCATAGACCCTCATTGGTATTCTCTCTAAGAAGTAACTACAGGTCGATCACTTATTTTCAGTCTTTGATAAAAGCGGATATGGACTCTACGTCAATCGATTCCTGGGTAACATAGGATATGACAAGTCAATCTTCTAGAAAGATCACAAGCCAGTGCACTGCTCATGACAAAGGAGAAGGTGATTCTCTTTGATGGCAGTATTTTTTTTAAAAATTAGGTAGTAGTCAGGGCAATGGCGGCGGCTCTGATGTAATCCACCCAAGCTTGCCCCGCCAGCTTGACTGCGATAGACAACATCTATTCCTTCTACCAGATGACAAACACAATATCTTTCATGTATATTACTTCTTCTCTTACGATCTACAACATCTAAATCACAATCAATATCTATATCGCAGCATCAGTCCAGATAAGATGAGAGTCAGAGTTCGGGGCCCCACCGGCCAAAACACCATTACTTTCGATCAGTCCACCACAGTCGCCGATTTCATCCAACTCATCAAGGACAACACCGGACTCAGCGCATTTGAGATCAAATATGGCTACCCAAATTTACAACCTCTTCGACTGGAAGAGCACGATTCTACCCAGGGAATCGCCGAGATAGGCGTGAATCTCAACGGAGAGCAACTCATTGTCACCAGCAAACAACCGACTGAACCGGCGGTATCACAACCACCAGCGACATCGCAAGCCACGCCACAAAAATCGCAGCAAACTCAACAACCATCGCGTGTCACGCCAGAAGAAGACACTGAACCGCCCGAAGTACCACTCGCCGAATATGGAGGAACTGTCGTGCTACGAATCATGCCTGACGACAACTCCTGTCTCTTTCGAGCTGTCGGCGGCGCAATCATAGGGGGAATGGACACAATGACAGAACTACGCTCGATTGTGGCGCAAACTATCCAAGCACAACCAGACATATACAGCGATGTGGTCCTTGAGAAGAAAAGAGATGACTACTGTCGATGGATCCAGAGCGAGAATTCGTGGGGTGGTGGTATAGAGCTCAGCATTCTCAGCAAGCATTTTGGCATTGAGATTTGCTCAATCGACGTACAGACATTGCGAGTGGACCACTTCAACGAAGGACAGCCTACGAGATGTTTTGTGGTTTATTCTGGCATTCACTATGATATGATTGCCTTATCGCCGTCGGATCCTCCTTATTCCCATGCCAACGCACCACCGGACTTTGATACACGGATATTCGATGCGGCGGATCCTGTCATAATGGAGAAAGCGTTGGAGCTATGTCGTACGCTCCAGCAGAGACATTATTACACGAACACGGCGTCTTTTCAGCTTCGCTGCAATGTCTGCGGAGGGATGTTTGTTGGAGAAAAGGGCGCGACGGAGCATGCGTCGAAAACGGGACATTATGATTTTGGAGAGGCCAGTTGAATAAATTGGAATGAATCTATCATAGAATGAAGGGGTTATATCTTGTGTATACTGTATAGCAAATGTATGTTGTATAAGTGTATAGTAATGTAGAGCAGTCGTAGAGGCACATCGGCCCTCGTGCGGCTACCGGCCTGCTGATTGGCCACGAGGAGCTCCAGACAGCGGGCGCTTATCGGCGGGTTGTCCGCCACCTCTTTCTATCTCTCAACCACAACTTTCAACTACTGAACTATCGTCTACTTAACTGCTATTCCACAAAGACTAATGGCATCGTCCTTGAAAATCTCCCTTCAAGGGCCTCTGCGATCTCGTCTGCCCTCTATTTACACTTAATTACAGTCGAACGTCAGGAAATCAGATCAGGCGTCGATCCACCGGCCCGCAGTCCTGAGCCTCGAGTTAATCCTACCGTCTGGGGCCAGACTCCATCAGAGCTCTGAGCGACAAACTCACCGCTTAAACTCCACCACATCTTTCATTCAACTCTTCACTTTTCGACTGTTTGGCCTCTCAACTGTCGGTATTTCTGCAGAAGGTCTACGAATTTCAGCCTGGTGCTGGCTTGCAGGTTTGTTCTATCGCATCTCGTTTGACACTGTCTCGTGCCAATGCGAACTAAACGTCCCCGCTGTTGACATCATTGGCACTGTTGCTTATCGTCGATTCATTCTGAATGCTAACGTCTTCACAATAATAGTCGATTTCTTCTCGAATCGTCATAATACATCTACCGACTCGTCTCTTCGCCGTACACCGCTCGAGCTCGAATTTACCCGATCGCAAACAATCAACATGTCAGACTCTAGCGCTGTCGCCGAAAAGGGTCACGATGATTCCTCGAAGCTAAAGACATTTCTATCTATCCTCCGCAAGTACGGCATACCTGACCGCACTTACAGATTACAAAACTGCGCATGGGGTTTGTGCTGACTGTGATTACAGATTCGTCGGAGTTGCAGACATTGCGTCTGTCCGATTTTCTCTCCCCGCACAACTTTTGGAGCCCACGCCGAATTTAGGTATGACATATTTGATAACTGGTGGTTGCGCCTGCTGATTTTGAAATAGAATACTGGAACTATTTGGACCGGCCGGAGACTTTTTCAAGGTACGACTTGACAATAGCACCTGGATCATGAACAATACTGATGAGATCGTAGTATTGGTACATCCGATGACGATCTCGGCCGTATGCTGGAGGTTCTGCGATTTTGGTTCACAAAAGATTTGGTATGCATCATGGTCCCGTGGATGCGGTTGATATGCTAATAATGATAGAAATACATCAAGGGCAAGCCATGCAAGCCATACAACTCGACGCTGGGAGAATTCTTTAGGGTTCGTTTCCTAACAGTCAAGTTATGAATAGAGCTAACAGCACCAGGCTTATTGGGAAGTTGACAACACATCAACCCCAGTTCTACCTTCATCCAAACCCACAAATGGCACTGTTTCGACGGATGGCACTGCTAAAGTCTGCTTTCTCACTGAACAAACATCCCATCATCCTCCAGTCTCAGCTTTCTACATTGATTGTCCGGAACGCGGGGTCTCAGCCCGTGGCTTTGACCAGATCAGCGCAAAGTTCACAGGAACCAGCATTCGCGTTGGCCCTGGTCAGCACAATCTCGGTATATTCGTGAATCTCGCGAATCGCGACAATGAAGAATACCAACTCACACATCCTGCTGCTCATCTCAGCGGACTGTTGCGTGGCTCGCTCTACATCTCCGTGGCAGATAGTTGCTATATCACATGCCCAAAGACCAAGATCAAGGTCATTCTACAATATTTAGAAGATGGTTGGGTGTCCAAGGCGCACAGCCGCGTTGAGGGAGTCATATTCCGCTACGACCCCGACAACGACTCCAAAATGAAAATTAAAGACGTCCCATCCAACGATGTGCTGGCTCGTATCAATGGCTGTTGGCGCGAACAAATCTACTACACCCTTACCTCTGCCGCAATTTCCGGCAGCGGCTCTTCCATCTCGTCTCGCTCTTCCACCACCTCCTCCTCCGAATCCAACAAACCCCAACTACTAATCGACCTCGTCCCTCTCACAGTCGTCCCCAAGTCTGTGCCCCCCGAAGAAGTCCAGCTATCGAATGAATCCCGCAAATTTTGGTCCGGCGTCACATCCTCCATCCTATCCAAACAATTCAGTCAAGCCACAAAACTAAAACAAGAAATCGAAGAACGGCAACGCGTCAAAGCAGCGGAGCGAGAAGCGAAAGCCGAGAAGTGGAAACCTCGTTTCTTTACTGATGCTGTTGGGCCGCTCGGTAGACCGGATTTGACGGATGATGGTCGCAAGGCGTTGGAGAGAATGTTTCAAGGCGATTTCGAGTTGGAGGAGAGCCAGGTAACGGGTGCTTAGGATTTTTTTCTATTACTTATTACATATCATATTGCCTTTGCTTGCTTACTCGAGATTATCCTATGATACATTGTTCTGCATGGCATGTTGCTTGATTTCGATCATTGTTACACACTGATTCTTCGTTTCGTTGACTCGTCATAGAATTGGGAGAGGTAGAGAGAGAGAGCAAGAAAGAGGTCAGGAACCTTTGTTTCTCTCTTTTATTTGATTTTTTTGTTTTATTTCGATTCGATTGGGATGGTGTTCTCTGCATATATAGGAATGATGACTATTGGTCTTGCGCTCGTTTTGGATTTGATATATAGCAAATATGATTCGGAGATTTGAGACACGTCTAACCCATTTAGCCTTCATTGATGAAATCCTTGAATAGTACGGTGAAATTTAGGTTGTCTATCAAGGTCGTGAGTATCTAATGGCACCGAGTGCGGAGAGTATAGGATGCGATACCTTGATAGACCTGGAGAGAAATGCTCGAAGTGATTGAATTCAGGAAATAAATAACAGACCACCTTTGCCCAAACCAAATCACGCCTCATTAAAACGCAGAGAGTCCGTATGTATATATGTACAACCAGAAACCGACACCGCACCGCTAACCCAAGAACCAAACCAACATCCATAATCCCCATAATATGTGCATGATAGGAAAAGATCAAGCAGCAGCAGTAACCACCCTGAACCCAGCACCGATGGTCTTGGTAATCTCCTCGTTCTTGTGTTGCAACAAGGACAATGCATATGCCACATCGTTCCATTGGCGTTCTGTTTCGCAGCGGGCGAGACGCGCGGCGAGTTTGTCGGCGAGCTGTTTTGCATGTTTTTCCTATTATTAACGTCAGTATTATTGACCATCATATGTGTATCACCGAGGCGGGGGGGGGAGGGATACCTTTTCGACAAATCCGGCAAGGAACTTGATAATCCGCCTGAGTGATCCTTCTTCGAGATTGCGCTCTGAGCTTAAAAGACTGAAGATATCGACGAAATGATTGTAGACAGCGTTATCCTTGGTAGCCAATTCAGTAAAGAACATGCGCGCCAAATCTGCGATGCGTTTGTCTTCATCTTCCAAACATTTGGCCATTTCACCCAGTTGTCCCTTGACCTTGACTTGACCTGCCAGGATCAAAAAGGTCAATGTCATTAGACAGGTACGTTTCACAGAGGCTTCGCCGTCGTTGAGACGTCGGTAGAGGAAATCAGTATTTTCGTCGATGAGGTGATTGAAACAGACTGCCATATCGCCCAAGGCAATAACGGCATTGCTGCGGACAATAGGGTCTTCGGAACGTTCCATGATGGTGATGAGAAGCGGCAGATTCTTCTCGCAGTACTCCGAAGAGACGCACATCAACTTGGCCATGCATAGTGTTGCTTGGGCTTGGAGGTTAGGGTCCGGGTAAGCATTGTTGTTGGCACAGATTTCAGTCACTAATGGGCCGAAGTTGGTCAATAGAGAGCTCTCTCCATAAAGGAGTTCTCGCTCTCGTACGTGTGCCATAGCTTCAGTGAAATCATCTTCGGTCGTTCCGCCAATGAGATCTAGCTCGTTATCGTCTGCCTGATCGCTCTTTTGGGTGTCGTTGCTGGCTGTCTTGTTCTTCTCCTGCTCTGCCTTTCTCCGCTTGAAGTCGAGCTCACAGAGCTCAAGGTGGACAATCTGCTTGATGGCAATATGTCCGACGATGAATAGCAGCTGAGATAGACCTGACGACGAAGATTTGTTTCCGGATGAAGTTTCACTAGAAGCTGTGCCAGGACGTTCTCCACTGTCAACCATTGTCTGACTAGCAGATTGACGTGAAGTAGCTTGGAAAACTTCTCTCGTCTTTCGCCGGATAATATCAGAGCACAACACATCTGGGTGTTTCGAGAGGGCGTAAATTGCGCTGATCGCTTGCTCGGCCACGCCATACCATTCCTTGCTGTCGGACGAGATTTCTGTAATAGCAGCCAATCTCGCTAGTACAGGGTGGTCATTGGGCAACTTAGCAACGCCGCTTTCCTTGCTCTTCGCTTGACGGCCAGGTGTCATTCGTCGGAGAGCAATGCAGGTATATCGTGCAAGCACAAGGTCATAACGTCCGAGATCGCCCAGACCGATTCGTAACATTGCCTCCGTTTCTCTCACAACAATATCCGGCTCAGCAAGTGCAAGCATTCCCAGCACAATAATCGACCCTCGTCGCTGCGCCCTAGATATCTCTCTTCTCTGCACACTATATACCTGCCAGAGCTTGGCAACAACGGCCTCTGAAATAAGTCCAGACTTCATCATGGTACTCAGCAATTGCTCAAGCGACGTAAGCTCTGCCTGTGTAGAGCCAAACGTCAAACTAATCATGTTGCGAGCAATGTAATTTGCAGCGTCGTTCGCGCTGAAACTATCAGGCGCGTCAAAAAAGAGACCTTTGTAACAGTCAATCAAATGTGTTTGGACACCCTTTCCTTCGTCACTGTTTCCCTTGGTCCAGATAAGACGTAGCATTCGTCGGATACCAATTCTCGAGGTCTCAACTTTGTATGCATCGATAACCACAAAGAAATCCATAGCCTCAATGACCTCACTCTTGTTGCGGGCGGACAAGAGTTGGCACACATTTTGCGAAGCCGAATGGAGGACTTGAATGAAGCGAAGGGCTTCAAGATAGTATTTTCGCGTCAATTGCAGTCTTGCAAGTAATTCCGATGTTGCAGCCTCCTCGGCAGCTTTCTGCATGGCAACAGTCCTTTCATCGTCAGTCATCTTTGGTGCTTTCGAGGGTGATTCATCCGGAAGCTGCGTTGCGTCGTCCAATAGTTCGCTGTCTATGTGTGTCTCGCCGAGACCCGGGGTCTCTGGTGGAGGCTTAAGAGTGTCCAATTCAGCTTCAACTGCTTCCAGACGTGCCGTCCAATCTTTGTGTGCTAGCTGACCACCATGCATGACGCTGAAAGGATGAGTGGACACAAGCCTTGCGAGTAGTTTGATGGCATTCCTCCGAACGTTACTGCTTTTGTCTTCCAGGCTTCTGGCTGCAAGTTCGGCCGCTTTCTGTCGTCGCTTAGGAAATTTCTGGTCCAGATCACACAAACGCATGTAAACCTGAATCGCACGGCAACGGCAATAGGGGTTGATATCCAAAAATCGTTCCTCCAGAACATCAAAGAATGCATTGATCTGCGACTTGGAGCTGCCATCCCTCTCTTCCTCTTTGCTAAGGTCGGCAATCAGGTTCCCACACACTTCGATAATAGCGCAACGGAGCGTGTATGACTAGAGAAGAATTAGCTATTTCGGCAATTGAGCCGTTAGGTTACATACCTCGCTATCTAGTTGCTTGGCCAAAAGAGTCATCTGTTTGATGACCACTCGTGGGGCTAATTCTGACAACTTTACAATGAAAGCAGAGACTGATTTGGGGCCCCTTGTGTCATTGCTGTTGAATTCCTTATTCGCAAGCTCTCTATGTAGAGTCAGTATGGAAACGTGAATATGATAGCATCACCCACCTTAAAATTTCATCGCCCAATTGTGTATAGTCGTATTGTTCTGCAAGAATATGAAGGAATTCTGCCATCGGCTCAGATAAGTGCTCAAAATAAGTCAGGCTCTGTACAATGGAGGTTTGAGCTCCTGGTATCCATTAGCAATTTTCCGCTCAGCAGATCCCCGATGATATCATACCAAAAGCATGGCCATGATGCTTTACAGCGATGCACAAGACTTTGAAAGCATGCATTCGAATAGCCATATTCTTCACTCGTTGTTCGTTCTCCAGTAAAAGATATACCGATCGAGTAAAGAGGTTGACGAAGGTGTCTCGGTCGGAGGTTGTCAAGAAAATCTTTCCCAACTTCAATTTCAGCACTTTGCACATGGTTTCCATGGATATCTGTATCTGTGGTGTCCAATCCCAATTTCCTTCTTTGCTGGACTGTTTCGATTTGCCTGATTTTCCGGAGCGACGAGCCGGGATTGCTGTAGCAGGCTTTTCGGCGGCCTTGACTTCGACCGCGGAGAGAGCCCATTGCAGCAAAAATCCGTACATTTCGAGTAGTTGTTTATGTTGTTGTACCGCTTCCTGTTCGTCTGCCTCCAGGTCGCTATGGATGATGTCGGCTTCTACGGCAAGACCGGACACGATCAGATCGAGAATCTTGCTCAAGCTTTTCGACGGTAAAACAGTGCAGCATCTATTTTCCAAGCCACATTAGTCTTTGTTTCGAATATAGACAGTTGTCTGAATGGAGGTTGCGCACTTCAGAAGAACTTGAAGCGAGTCAAAAAAAGACGGCCGCATCAGCATTTCAGGATTCGCGGCGACACTATCAACAATGGGATCGATAACTCCATCAATAAGGGCTGACGAAAGTAATTCGGTCTCATTTTCGCAATCATACAGCTCCGGCTCAGCGTCAGGCGTTGGTACCGTCGCGGGATCGCTCAAGTAGTATTTGAGCGATTCGTTAATATTGAAATCTATTCTGTCCTCCATGTTGACTCATGCACTGGGTGTAGAGTCTGCGGGAGGATGGGTGTTGGCGATGGGGTTGATGGTCGAAAGTTGAAGTTGGCGAAGTCGAGGCGGGGAGTTTTCCGTTGATGTTGTCCGGCTTGTTTGTGTTTTGCCCTTTCGAGCCACATGACAACTAGACTAGCCTATTTAGGCTTAGAACGTCTAATTTAGATCTCGTCTTTTACTGCTCTCGTCTGGATGAATTTGTGTATGAAGATAAGAACTATTACGGTATCAAGACAGAATAAATTAGACGTTGTCATATTGAATCGATTTCTCAGCATTCTTGACAGATTTCTAGCTGACCGCCTGCCGATTTTCTGTTGCGATCTGATTATTGATAAACAATCGACTTAGCGTCAATTCTTCCACCACTCGATACGTCACAATCAACCGCGTCTTCTCCACGAATCAAGGGTCGAACGATTCTAACATACTATTATTCTACTGGACTCTGCCTCTATGATTGCCAGCTCGACTCTGGCCAGGCGTGGAATGAATCTGCCGTGAACCACAACTCTGGATCGAGTCGACATGGCCACCACAGAGCAATTCGCTCTTCCCCGCGGGCGGTCCAACTCATTCGAGAAATTTACACACATTGACAACAACAAAGAAGAAAAATACCACATGCAAGACGATGACGAAAGTAACGACAAGACATACGACATGGATGAACACTATGAGGATGAAGATGGCGAGCCGGTTGACCCGTCAGTCAGGGAGGACATGAAGAGACTGGAAGACACTTTTGCAGGGATATCGAAAAGATTCCGACTGATCAATCGAATTGGCGAAGGTACTAATTCCACAGGATGGGTCACTCTTTCCCCGCGCTGACGAGCACTCCATTAGGCACATTTTCAACCGTGTACAAAGCAGAGGACATACTGTACGATCACTACGAGAATGATTGGGACTCCGAGGATGCGATGGACCGCGACAGAGAATGGAGAGCCATGAAGAAACGCCGCCTCGGTGATAATGTCACGAAAAGCGTATCAAGTAATGGCTATCCAAAAAGGAAACCACGATATGTCGCGTTAAAAAAGATATATGTGACGAGCAGTCCCCTTCGAATTCAAAACGAGCTAGAACTGCTGCACGATCTTCGAGGAAACTCATCCGTCTGCCCACTCATCACGGCCTTTAGACATCAAGATCAGGTTGTGGCGGTTCTTCCTTATTTTCCTCATACCGACTTTCGCATTCAGTACCGGACGTTCTTGGTACGCGACATGCGTCATTACTTTCGGTCATTGTTCATGGCATTGGCGTTTGTTCATAAGCATGGCATCTTGCATCGCGACATAAAACCTACGTGAGTACACAGCCTTCATCAGCTCTCAAGTACTAACGCTATGTGCAGTAACTTTCTTTACAACCCCGAGTTGAAACGGGGAGTCTTGGTGGATTTTGGTCTAGCTGAGGTATGAATTCGAATTTAATTGGGAAGCAGTGTGTGCTAACTGGTTTACAGCGTCAAGGATCCGACTATGCTGGGCCTTGCTTATGCACGAATCCCGCACAAGTACGACAAATGAGACTACAATCCAGTTACTATACAAACCAGCCTGCCCATCAACAAAACGGCTATCCCAAAAACGACTCCCGGCCTGCTCGACGAGCGAATCGAGCCGGAACGCGAGGCTTTCGAGCTCCAGAAGTCTTGTTCAAGTGCACATCACAAACCACCAAGATAGACATGTGGTCAGCCGGAGTTATTCTACTCACACTACTGGGCCGTCGCTTCCCATTCTTCAACTCCGCCGACGATGTTGAAGCTCTAGTTGAGATGGCAAGTATATTCGGCGTTCGACGCATGAAATATGCTGCGTCGCTACACGGACAGATTTTCGAGACCAACATTCCTACAATAGGCGAAAAGGGATACGGTTGGGAGAAACTGGTCATTTGGTCCAGCTGTGTGGAGGATTTGACCGAAAGCGAACAGCAGGGGATTAGACTGCTTGCCGGGCTGATGGAACTCAATCCAAATAAACGACTCAGTGCAAAGGAGGCATTGGCGCATGAATTTTTCACAAAGCCTATTGAACATGATGTTGAATGGGGCGGCGAGCTCTTGGATGAGGAAGAAGGCGAGTCCACAGGCGAGCAGCAGCCACAGGAGGATGCCAAAGATGAAGTTGATATGGTCAAATAGTTATATGTACCATACTAACGATGTACATGAGTATGAATATACTTTCTCGCAGATGGCAGTGTGCTCCGTAAAGTCATTCATTACTCAATGAGCGCGTGAGCTTGAAGTCATTCTTGCCGCAGATCCCCAGTTCCGCTCTTATCTTATCCAGACTCCCCACTTCATTTTCTCGACATCATCTCTTTTCTCCAGCAGACAGATCAGACAGATACAGGTAAAATATCTTATTTGATGATAAACAGCGTCTGCTTCCATAGCTAGCCGAGCTACAGCCAGTCGATCACTTGTTTACTCTGTTGAGCAGCTATCTAGCTCTATACTTCATATTGAAGCTCCGCGAGCTATCTAACAAGCTCCATTCCGAAACTCCTCTTCTACTTACCACCATCACCGTGGCTTTCGGTAGCTTTTTCAAACGAACCTTCAGCATGGCCTGGTTCTGTTCCGGGACAACAAACACAGAGCTCATCGAGAACCTGTGGAGTGCAGGTCTCATCAAGGACAAGAGGGTGAAGAAGGCCATGCTTGGAGTTAGCGCCCCATCCCTTCAGTACCTAACCATGTTGTGTGACAAGAACTGACGGGACCGAAGGTTGACCGAGACCACTATGCCCCCTCAAGTCCCTACTCCGACTCCCCGCAACCCATCGGCTACGGCGCAACCATCTCTGCACCGCACATGCACGCCCACGCTTGCGAATATCTAATTGACTTCCTTCACCCCGGTTCGCGCGTGCTAGACATAGGCTCCGGATCAGGCTACTTGACGCACGTAATCGCGAACTTAATTACAGACCCATCCTCCCCTCCCACAGACGCAGATGGACACATAATTGGCATTGAGCATATCCAAGAACTCGTCGACCTCGCGCGCGAGAACATGAACAAATCCGAAGATGGGCGCAACTTCTTACAGTCAGGGAAAGTGCAATTCGTGTGCGGAGATGGAAGAAAAGGGTGGCCGCAGGGCGGACCGTATGATGCTATTCATGTAGGTGCTGCGGCGGAGCAGCTGCATGCTACTCTTGTGGATCAGCTCAAGGCGCCTGGTAGAATGTTTATTCCTGTTGAGTCCGAGCCCGGGGAAGGGAGGTTCGGACAGGTGGGTAAGGGAGCTGGGCAGCATATATGGGTGGTGGATAAGAAGGCTGATGGGACGGTGGTGAAGGAGAAGATTTTTGCGGTCAGTTATGTGCCGTTGACGGATGCGCCAAAGTAGTTGTCTTCGGAGTACTAAACCACTGTGATGATTTTTTTCCAAAAGTATTTTGATTATCCTGATAAAAAATACATGGGGTAATCGGAGTAAATCTAAAATGGAAACCCCCCTCCTCCTGGAAAGCCGTTGAACTTGAATTGAGCTCCTCCGCCGCCGCCTTGTTGGAAGAAGAATTGCTGACTACCACCACCTCCTCGTCCACCGGCAAATGGATGTCCCTGGAAAGGACCTCCTCGTCCGGACTCGGGATCATTAGGATCATCACCATTATCAAAACGAGCCCTCAGTTCCGGATCGGAAAGGACTTCATAAGCTTCATTGATAGAGGCCATCTTCTTCTCTGCATCCTCCTTTGTTACGCCTTGCGACATGGCCTTATCCGGATGATGGAGTTTGGTGAGTTGTCTATATGCTCGTTTGATTGTTCGGTCGTCTGCATCGCGGCTGACTCCGAGGACTTTGTAGTAATCTTTCTGCTTGGATCGTTTGAGTAGAACTTGAGCCTTTTGGAGAAGTTCTTGAACTTCTCGGGAGCTCTGGTGGTGTTCCTTGGCTGTTGTAAGTGTGTTGATGGCACGGTCAAACTCGTCTTCGTCAATAAAGGTTTGAGCTTGATATAACAGACCGTGCAAGGAATGTGGTTTGAGTTGAAGAATATCGGTACAGTACGTCTTTGCTTTTTTGGAGTTCATCTGATGTATTTGTTAGCATAGCTCCTTTTCGAGTCGCTTTAAGGTGCACTTACAGCTCGGTATACTTCACACGTAGTCTCAATAAGAGATGTGTAAAGCTCATCTGGAGCATTACGATGGATATATCCTGCTTCCCGGGCTTCTTTGACGTCTTCCTTGACATCATCAATCATGCCACTCTCGTCCTTGGTTCCAACCAAGAGATTGATCGCATTAGTGAACTTTCGTTTCTCCTTGAACTCTTCCAGCTGATTTAAGGCTTTAACGTATTGCTTCTCTTTACGGAAGAGCCGACTACACGACTTGGAGTCTGGATCCGAGTGAAGACATTTCCGGATCTGTGCAATGGCTCGTTCGTGGTCCCCCAAAGCGTAGAATAATGTCGACGATATTTGTAAATGTGGCTCAACAGAACCCGGTGAAATCTGTAGTATATGTGCCAGGTCACCCAGAGCTTCCTGGATTTCACCTTTCTCGAACCGGCAGTGTGAACGAAGTCGTCGAAGATTGAGTGCCACACTAGCTTTCATGATAGCCACACTAGACTGCGAAACACACGTGTCCCAGTCCCCCTTGGCCTCTGCCTGTTCGGCCGCTTTCTCTGCTGTCTGCGCCTCATCGAGTTCAACGTATTCCGGCGAAGATTTCTTCCCGGCCTTGACTAGATCCTCTTTGGCGCCAGCCCAATCTGCACTTCTGCTCTTAATTCTGGATCGCTGTAATAAGGCGCCGTCAAAGTCCGGCTTGAGTTCGAGGACACGGTTGAAATCATCGGCGGCTTGTGTATCCCTGCCTAGGGAAAGATATGTAGCGCCTCGTTGGAATATGGTCAAGTAGTTGGTCGGATCCCGAGCGACGGCGGCATCGAAGTAGGCCAAAGCATCTCGAGGAGAGCCTGTGGCAAGGTGTGATTTTGCAGAGGATATAAGCGATGCAACAGGTAGATCGGCGGGGATCTCTGCTTGGAGTGAGGAACCGACGCCGGCGCATGCCAGTAGCACGGCGAACTCTTTGGTTGGTAGGCGCATGTTGTATGTTGTAGTCTATGTTATATGGTGAAGAAATAGAATGATTGTATTGTCGGAGGTGTCTGTCGTCAGGTGGCGATCAATCGAACCTCGTGAGGGCCTTATCACATCATCACCGTCTTGTCTTGTAGTATAAAAGAGTGTAGTCAAAGTAGGCACAGAGGACAAGTTGTTGTTGGATAAGTAGATAAGTTGCACGAGGGACTGTCTGTCTGGCCTTTACGGATCCGGTATTTGATACGTGTAATTATCTGTATGGTATATGCTCCGTATAAATGACATGTATTATCACGTGGAACAGCGCCTGATTGGTAGATCTATTTTTACTCAGGAACGACAAGCTTCACTTTATTTTTTAGTCGGTTTGACAGCTCAACTCTCAAGAGACGTTCAATGGCTACAGCATGTTCCTCAAAAACATCTCTATATGCACAAGATGTTTGAGGAATTCGAGTGTGCTCCTCGGCGAGCAATATTCTCTAGCTCTTCAAAAGAGATTCCAATCAAATGGTATTCGTCCTACTGTTTTACACACCAAACAGAACAACAGCATTGACAATCTTCTTCGTTATAGCAACATCTGAGCTGTCGGCTGCATTGCTCAGTCGAGCCCGATCAGTTGCAAAAGAACATGAAAAACTCCGCGACCTCCTCGGCGACAACTTTGATACCAAAGTTGCCAAACGCATGGGTGAACTGGCACCCGTCGCTCAAGCCGTAAAGGACTGGGACAAGACACAGGAAGTGGGTTACAAGGACGAACACGAACCAAAGACAGAATGAAACTGACAGTTGTCTCCGGTACGCAGACCATCACAGAACTAAAGTCCCTGATTGACGATCCCGAAACTGACTCCGAACTGAGATCCCTCGCTCTCGAAGACCTGGAACAAACCAAAACCCAACTCCCAACGGTATCCGAGAAACTCAAATCTGCACTCATCCCACGACACCCCTTTGCAACGCTACCATGTCTCTTGGAAATCCGGCCTGGCGCAGGCGGCGATGAAGCTGGACTTTTCGCCTACGAGTTGCTGAGGATGTATCAGACTTTCTGCTCACGAAAGGGCATGCGCGCATCGATCGTGAAGCAGGACATGGAAGAGGCAACCTCGAACGACCGTCTGACCGAAGCGGTTGTCGAAATCGAGACACCTGGTAGTTACGACATTTTGAGGACGGAAATCGGCGTCCACAGAGTCCAACGAGTGCCCGCCACAGAGGCCAAGGGCCGCACACACACCAGCGCGGTCAGCGTGATGATTCTACCTAGTTTCCCGGAATCCGGCGCGAACGAGGACAATTTGAATTTTGAAGATCCGAACAGTGATTACTACGTGAATCCGCAGGAAGTCAAGTCGGAGAAGATGCGCGCCAGCGGCGCTGGCGGTCAACACGTTAACAAGACCGAGTCCGCGATCCGACTCACACATATCCCCACAGGTCTCACGGTGTCAATGCAAGACAGCCGCTCTCAACACACGAATCGGAGAAAGGCCTGGCAGTTACTACGCGCCAAACTCGCCGAACGGCGGCGCGAAGCGCGAGAGGAAGAACTGGTCAAACTTCGTCGCGGCGCAATGGGGGGAGTCGCAAGGATGGGTCGAGGCGACAAAGTGCGCACGTATAATTTCAGTCAGAGTCGGTGTACGGATCATCGTAGTGGGATTACGGTGCATGATTTGGATAGTGTGTTGGATGGGGGGCATGGGCTGGAGACTGTCATGGATAGTGTGCGGACATGGCTCGTTGATCGGGACGTGCAGATGATGATGCTGGATGAGGCGGAGAAGGAGAGCGCTTCTCCTTAGGCTCAATGACGCTACGTGTTTGTATAGTAGATGTACAATAATGGATATTGTCCATGTCATTTGCGGTGTCTGATATTAAATGAGTTTCCGTTCTGGGTCCAACGCATCCATCCCGTCCATCATTTTCTCGTACCTATAAAACAGTCAGTATGATATTAATGACTAGCATATGAAAAGAGACGAACATGGTAAACACAATTCCGCCACTCATAATCAATCGCGCAAGTCGAGGTAAAGCTCCAGACCAAAGAGTCAAGACGCCCTCATTCTTGACGATTTGCGCAAAGCATGCGAAGCTGTTCTTGTAGTTCTTCCTAGCCTCCAGAGATTGCATTCTCCTCGGAATTAGTCAAATACCCAGAGCCAGTAGGAGTAGTATCGACATACCTCGTCTTGACCGTATCAAGTGGTTGCGTCGCATATCTACCCATAATATCCATCAGCAATCCACCTCAATCCTTTCTGTCAAGTATACTACTCACACAGTAATAATCCCCGCAACACCCCCAATCGCAAAAGTACTCAAAACACCCAACTTCTCTCCCGGCGCCGCATACCCTTGCACAAACTGCTTTATAGTTGTATAACTCGAAAACCGCACCGCTGAATTCGCGGCTTGTCGTGCCGTGGTGGGTACCAGTCCTTGCAAAAAGCCTCTTATGCCGCGCTCTTGCCAGATGATTTTGCTGCCGTGGAGGAAGCCTCGCATACGCGGGTTTGCAGATTTGCGGTCGTCAATACTGTCCCAAGAACCCTATTAGATATGTCAATTTACTTGATCAGGGGTGAGGGTCTCACAGTTGAGTCTTGATACTCTCAAACGGCGTCACGGCAAGAATCGACTCCGTAAACCCAGCTCCAAACCCAGCAACGACAGTCCTCGGCCCGGATATATTCCCATTTTCATCTTGAAGTAGTCCTTTAAACTTGTCGAATGCGACGAAGCCTGCATATACATCCCAACATAAGCCATCAGCTAACTTCTAAATCCCGAGACGGAGGACGGGGGACGAACGAATTCCAGCCTTCAACGAATTCCCAATGATCAGCGTCGTACAACCAGCGTACCATTGCGCGCCAAAGGGTGGCCAGGGTAGTTTTCCGGCATCAGGTAAGCGGCGATTGAGCTGCGTTCGGGTTTTGGCAACTGTTCCACCACAACCACCACTAATGTCAGATCAATTCTGCTGAGTCAGATAGGGAGGGAGGGGCGCACATTCGGCAGGATACGTTATAGCTACGCAGAGAATTGAGGCCTTAGTACGGTCTGCTATTCAGAAAAGGGTGAGAGGAGACATGCGCACCAACTTCAACAGCGCCGGCTGTAGAACCCGCAATAATGGAGCGGAAACTACTCGGCTATACATACACCACGAAATCAGCATAGTCTCAAACATGTGCGGTCTTCAGTGTATATACCTTTGGCCGCTGGTCCTGGTCTTTTGTTGTGGAAGCCATTGCTCAATTAACGAGCGTGAGGTTGATCGGTTGTAAGTTCGAATTAAACTTGGAGAAGTTGCACTAAGAAGTTGTTCCGCAGTCGGAGAGCAAAATTGAACTACGTAATTGGCAGACTGTCACATGCTTAAGTTTCTATACAAATACAACAACTACGACAACAATGGAAAATATTTGGAGGGAAATTGCCATTTCTAGGTCTCTTAGCTGCGTCACTGTAAGACAAACCTAGACTCCTCCAGTTTTATGATTTTTTTTTCTTGTATATAGGTGTTTGGGTATTTTGGGTAATGAGGCAGTGGGTAATGGTAGAGGGAGAGGTTTTGGTTAGGTCAGTCGTCCAAGAGTATGATTCTCGCAAAAGATCAAAAGTCGAAGTGAGTCGAGAACCGGGGTGGACGGCGGTAACAATGAGAAAGGAAAAAGGTGAACCGAGTTTTTACTGGCGAACGTTCGACCAGTACCCGATGCGATGTGTCACAGATCCGAATGGGATGTTTTCCTCGAAGAAAGCCTCAGACGCAGTGATGCGATGCATCCCACTGAAACGTGAAAGGTGAGAATAAAAGTTGAGATAAATTATGCGATGACAAGGCAAACTCAAGCCCTTGGGTAAGCCTGGGTTTGCAAACGGAAAAGCTCCTCCTGCGAATGTTCATCAACTCGTGCTCCAGAACAAAACAACGCCTAGAAACACCGGGCTAGAGATAACCATGACCTCAAGTCCATAACCGTTGACCTGAACACCACCACCAAACGAAGGAGATAAAAGGGACACGAGAAATAAACAGGTTTCAAATGATGCGATATCCGAAACACCTCTGTCCGAGTCTTTCGCAGCTGAAAGTACCGAATAGGATAAAAGGTGCAAAGATTAAAACATCTAAACATATGGTACAGACATGGTAACGGAGAAACGTAACTCATCATGTAGCGGCCATAACAACTTCAACGTGAATGTTCTCTATAGGCTAAATCAACCTATCATCTGGCTTCTGACTCAAGAGAACTTTAATCCAGAAGCACTAAATAAGCGTTTCGATTAAGAAGCAGGGGTTGGTTGAGGTTTGCTGCCATCATGACCATGGGGATTCTGATATCCACCCCGGCGCTGACCTTGGCCGCCCCGGCCACGATAACCCCCTCGTCCACGGCCAGTATTGTGGTTATTGTAGCGACCACCAGGGTGATGTCCGCCCTGGCGGTATCCATGATGCTCACGCTGTTGACCCTCTGAGCCAGGCTGAGGTGCAGAAGCAATAGGGCGAGGAATAGTGTCTGGTGAATCATAGACGTAAAGCTTCTTGTCAATAGATTGGGGAATAGGCTGGATCTCAGTGCCTAACTCCTGCTCGATCTTGTATAGGTTGAATCGATCTTCCCAGTTAATCAAGTTGATTGCCAAACCCAAATGTCCAAAACGCCCAGAACGACCGATACGATGTAGATAGGTTTCGGCGTTTTTAGGGAAGTCAAAGTTGATCACGACATTGACTGCCTGAATATCGATACCACGAGTCAACAAGTCGGAACACACGAGGTTGCGGCAAACACCGTTACGGAAGTCGTGGAAAACACGGTTTCGGTTGTGCTGAAGCATTCGAGCGTGGGAGTAGAAACAAGAGTAGCCGAGTTCGGTAATTTTCTTTGCCAGCAATTCAACACGGTTTGTCGAGTTGCAAAAGATGATGGACTGGTTGATTTGGAGTTTCGAGAAGAGAGTGTTGAGACAGTGGACCTTTTGCTTTTCTTCAACAAAAGCGTAATATTGCGTAATACCACGAAGGGTGAGTTCGTCCATCAGGTTGATTTCATAAGGGTTGCGCATGTGCTTGTCCTGTAATTATTGTTAGAACGTTCATAGAACCAGGATCATAGGAACCAACCTTGAAAGACTTGACAATCATAGGGAACGTAGCACTGAACAGCATGACCTGGCGGTCCTTGGGGTGGAAAGAAAGAAGCTGTTCAATGACTGGCGTAAATTCAGGGGAAAGAAGTTTATCGGCTTCGTCCATAACAAAGGTAGGGCATTCCGACAAGTCAGCAACACCTTTGCTTGCCAAATCAAGGACTCGACCAGGTGTTCCAACAATGATGTGGACGGTATCGTTCAAACGGATAATGTCGTCCATTAACCCAGTACCCCCAGTAGTAACCATAACGTTGATGCCAAGGTGTTTTCCAAGGGTCTTGCAGACCTGCGAAGTTTGGAGGGCGAGTTCTCGAGTGGGGACAAGAATGAGAGCTTGTGTCTTGGTGCTCTTTGGGTTTATGCGTTCGAGAGTAGGGATGATGAATGCTGCAGTTTTTCCAGTACCGTTTTTTGCGCGCGCAAGTATATCGCGACCCGTCAGCGCCACAGGTATCGTCTCTTCTTGGATGGGAGATGGCTTCTCAAAGCCCGCCTCGAAAATTCCCATCATCAACTCCCGCTTGATATAAAAATCTTCGAATTCGAGGCCTTTTGTCGCGGTAACATCCTGTCAGTCAACATTAGCGCCGCTTTCCTTCGTATCAGAAACTCCAAAAGCGAACCTCAGTCTGTGTTCGGTTGTCCTTTGCGGGGATCTTCAACTGGTCTTTCCATGATCCGTCCGTTTCCCTAAAATGCTAGTTGAGCAAGAGTGATAAAAAAGAACGGCAGGCAATCCATGTCATACCCTAGCTTGGTGTTGCTAAGTTGTGATGTAACGGCGTCAACCATTGTGAAAGTGAGTGGTGGTACGAGTGAAAAGAGTTGGATGTTCGAGTTGTGACGTAACGAGTCGGCGAGACTCCAGATGGTCTTTAGTAGACAACTTGTGAGGTGAGAGTATGAGAGGTTCTGTGTTCTGTTCAAGATGTCAGCTTGATATGATCCGTGAAGGATGCACGGCGTCAACGAATAGTGAGGGGTCAAACACTCACGTTAAACCAGGACAGGTATGACAGCGAGATCAAAGTTGTGGTAACTCGAATATTTCAGATTGTTGAGTTGCGAGTCTTGCTTAAGTAGTCAGGTATTCGACTTGGCAGGTGTAGTTGTGATGCACAAGTTCTCGAAGGGTTCGGCAAAAAAGAGGACTATGGGAGGTGGTGTGCGCAATCAGGTCTGTCGTTTTTCGTTTGCTAGATTCTTTCCGAAACTTGTCGAGTCAGGGTCGCCAAACGGTTTGCTTTTTCGCGGTTGGTTTTTCGGTTTCAGGGTGATATGTTGGTGAGCACGAGGGATGGTGAGGGAAGACTCAGGGAAGAAGTGAGGATCTTGTGAAGGAGAAATCCCACACGGAAGAGAGGCAGAGAGATTATTGGGGAAAGCTCGAGGGGAGGCATTCACCAATCAGCAGCCGCTGTTGCTGGGCGGGGAGCCCGCCCTTGCCGTTTTGGGACCAATGCTTTCTTGCCCTGTTGATGCTCGACTACTTGACAAGTTGTATAGACGAAACTTATTCTATGCCCTGAACAGCGGTAATTAACGTTGATTCATCGAGAATATGTACAGTACTAGCGATAGTGTCGCGTTGCCCGAACCAGGGTATCAATATCAAAATCGTTAAATCAAGACGCACGAAATGTCAACGTGCTCTGCCCTCTCTCCGGCTCCGCCAGTCTATAGTCATAGTAGTAAGCATTTGTTGAGTTCAATAGAAAGAATGGGACATACTCTTTGACTCGAACGTCTGGAGCAAGACTTATATCAGATCGTGACCCAGGAGTGATGAGAATAAACTGACGACCAATCGATCTTCTTGCAGCCAGCATCTGAAGTAGACAGTCAGTAATATAGTCACAGAATAGATATCCGAAACTTACCAGCATATCTATAGATGATTTCCGGTTGATGTGATCCATATAGACATCGCTAAACATCATCAGCAATAATCAATTAATTCGAAACCCTTCTTGCACTTACAACTCGTCAAGGCAGCGGATAGGCGATCCCATAGCTTCCCAGAGTGATAACAACAAACAAATCTGCGAGAAAGATTTTTCACCACCGGACAACGTCTTTGTGCCACGGCCTCCTGTGTTATTCCTGGTAATATCGGGTTCGACCTATACCAAATAGTCAGTAAAGTCCGAGCAAAAAGACATCAGAGATGCGTACCTGAAGGTCTAACAGCTTAGACTCATGATCCATGAGAAGTCGACCGCGGAAGCTTCGTTCACTGAGTAAATATGTGAATTGAGCCTTAGCTCGAGACGAGATATGAGCTCTAAAGACCTTCCATCGCTCACGCCGGTAGTTGATCGATCGTTTGAGTTCCTGTTCATTGACAATCAGCATAATTGTTGGGGGCCCTGAGAAGCGGCATTACCTTTTCGAGCCTTTCCGTGCTCTGAAACATTACTTCAGCGGCCTTGACAGCTTTGCTTGCCTTGAGCAATTCTACCGCTATCTCCTCTCGTGTAGCGCCCATTCTAGCAATAGTCTTAGTATGTCAAGCATATTCAACCAAAAGGCAAACTCACTGTTGATCATAACGATCCAAGTCTCTAGAGAGTTTATCTAACTTCTTATCAAGACTATCAGCGGTCTCCCCTTCATCGACTGGAACCCGAGGAGAGACAATGCTGGCCTGCTCGATGTAATTGGCGACACGAGTATTCATCTCGTCTCTGTTCCCTATTCTCGCCTCGAGTTCCTGTTGCAGATCTTTGACGCGTTCATATGCTTGGTTTTTCTCATTCAAAACAGCTCGTCTGTGTTCGTCGACTTTGAGGCGTTCACTTTCGGCAATGCGTACATTTCCTTCGAGGGGTTTAATCTCAGCCTCCTTTGCGGAAATTGCCTTTCTTTGCCTCAGCATTTTCTCTCTATTGGTGTCAATCGCAGCCTTGGCATCGTCCTGCGAATTGACGGCCAGCTTAAGCTCTTCCTCTCTCTCTTTGAGAGTCTTTTGTAGCGTCTCCAATTTTCCGTCAACCACCCGGTCTTTTTCAAGGGCGTCTTCAAGAGCATCGGCTGCATCTGACAGCCGTTGTTGTTCAATTCTCAGCTCATTCTCCTTTCTTTTGTGCTCTGTCAGTGCCGCCTTGTGTCGTTGCAATTCGGCTTGGGATGCTGTAAGTTTTGATTGGAGTTCGTTCAACTCGCTTTTGAGCGCTTGAATGTGGTCTTGTTGGAATCTATAGTAGTGTTAGCAGAGTTGATGATACTGAACGGGAAGCACGTACCTGATTTGAGAGTCAATGTCCGATTTCATACGCGGCCGCCCGACATAAGGAGCGATAGGAGCTTGACTAGGTTCGCCCGTACGACCATATGATAGAGTCACACCTCGTCGTCGGTCTCTTGCGTCAATACACAAGCAACGTCTGACGTTCCTCACGCGGCCTCCCTCGAAAAGAATTTTGGACGCCTCTTCCACGTTCTCGATCAACACTATCTGCTCAATGGCATGGTTGATAATCAATTGCCGACGAACGATATCTTCGTCAATCTAGAAACAGTCAGCGTGAGGTCAATCACAATACCGTAGCATAGTTTACCTCTAGCACGCTTAATATAGTATCAAACCGCTTATCAGGCTCGTTTGCTGATGTATCAATGTTACCGTTGCTTCCAATCAGAATAGGCATAACACTAGTAGGTGATTAGAAATGTTTGATAGCTGGGGAGGAAAGCCATACCAGTTGACTCTTTGCATAATTTGCATGAGTATATTCATATCTTTTTTCGATGTGACAATGAAACTGTTGAGCGTGTTGTTCAAGGACTGCTCGATAACTGCAGACCACTCTGGTTTTTTAAGTCTGACATGATTACCCACTGGCCCGACTGGACGCTGATTAAACGACTTCTCATGAGCAATGGCACTCAAAAGCTGCGGCATTTTTTCAGAAAACCCCGAAAGAGCCTGCCCGCGGTCTCGAGACAGTGATTTAAGCATTGTTTCCGCCTGGTCAATCTCTTTTTTTTGCCTCTGAATGGGTATAGCGGCCTGTTTGGCGTTTTGCTCGGCATCATTGACTGCATCCTGAAGACTTTTGAAGCCTCCTTGATGTTGATTCAATTTCTCTTCGGCTTCATCGGCTTCAGCTCTTCGCTGCGCGATTTCTTCTTGTCTGCGAGCAATGTCACCACCGGCAATATCCGCAAGTCGTTTATTCTCATCGACGATATCCTGTTTGAGACTCTCTATCGCTAAATTGAGACTCTTGATCGATTCGTTGATCCTGCGTTGTTCGGCCTTCGATGGATGTCAATTGGTCATCTATACTGAAACAAAGTGGCGTGGATGCTTACTTTGATATCATGATGCTCGGCCATTTCCTTCGCGTTATCATCTTTCAATACCTGACCCTCCTCTTGAGCTTTAGTTAATGCTTCCTTTGTATTGTTCAGCAGTTCAGTCGCAGTCTCAAGTTCACGCTCGGCGTCTTCATATTTTTTGTCAAAGGTAGCAGTCACGGACTCTGCAGAGGCTATCTCGCCGTCAAGTCTCGCAATCTCCTCCTGAATTCGGTCCCTAATCTGTAAGTAGTCAGCTTCGAGCACTCATACAAGCATTTTGAAAGATCGCTTACCCTCTCCTGGTTCTCGACTTGTGCCCAAGCCATTTGTGCTCTAAGGTTTCGAATCCGTTGCCTGAGGGTATTTCGCTGATCAGAAAGCTCTAATCTGCGCTGCGCCTTTTCCTTGGTCGTTCGAAGTATTTTCAAATCCTCTCTCTGGACCTCCAGCCTTTCTTTCATCTGGTCTATATATCCTTCAATCACGCGATAGTCGTTATCCAGCTGTTCGAGCTGCACACCCTTGACAAAGAATTTGTACTTTTCAGCCGGGCTTGAAGAGCTCAAGAATTGACGAGCCATATCCTGCGAAAGAACGTTCATGGGGTTGTCGATTTGTAGATTGAAGTAGTCCGTGATAGCATCGAGGTCTCCCTTTTTCGTTGATATGATTTTGCCAGCCTCGCTCTTGATTTTGAAACCGCTCGTTCCGCTCTTGGAGAATGAACGCTCCACGATGATGGATTTGCCATATTCGTTAGGCATGTAAGCACCATCGCCTTGATTTTTGATGCGAACGATAATAGTCGCAGACCTAGATGTGCATGAGCCAGCGATCCTCACTTGATATGCAAACATCGAAACTGTAACTCACTCTTTCCCCTCCTTGATGAAACTCTTCAAACTCTGCCCTCGATTCGTAACAGACGCTTTCGCACCCAAACATAAAGTAAGCGCAGTCAAAATCGCACTCTTCCCACTCCCGTTTTTGCCAACAATGAAATTAATAAGAGGTCCCAAATCCACGGAAAAATGCTCATGACACATGAAATTGAAACAATCTACGCGCTCGATAATGCCATGGTCGGCGGGTATATTCGGTTCGTCGCCGTAGTATCTATCATGTATATACTGCGTCTGCTGCTGTTCTAGCGCATCTTCGTCTTCCTGGTCGACTTCGGGGGCTTGCCAGGGGATGTAGGATTTTTCTCGTCCTCTTGCGTCGGTCTGATCGCTTCTTTCGCTTGTGTCGCTGCCACCGGAGATGGAGATGCTATCGTTAGAGGTACGGCGTCGTTTACTCTATATTGGTCCGCGGTCAGTATTTGTCTTTGAGGTGATGACAGCGGGGGAGCCGTTACAGGAGTCACGTTGGAACTGCCACTGCTCGCATCGTCCTCATCGGAGTCTGCCTGTGTACGCTTGTGAGGTGCCATATCTTGCAAGTTCTGACATGTCCTGATATGATCGCCAAATATATGTCGTGTCAGGCAAATAAGTTGTCAGTCATCTCAAGCCCCAAAGTCTCGAAGTTTAGTGTTTGGCGCGTACTCGTCGCGTAATTTACGGATCGCGGCATCACGTGGAGCGGGACTTTAATTCAGTCGGCAGCTTCCCGATTCGTCCCTCCGTTTCTATTGCTCTACAACATACAACAAGAATTTTCCGTATAAATTCATTGCAATCTTAATACATGATCATGTTCACGTTTATACTGCTCAAGGGCCTAAAGCAAAGAACGGAACTCAATAAGAACTCCGGAGGACATCATGTCCAGCTTGTCTAATAAAACGCAATCACCTTATCACGTTTAAGCTTTGACAGGCTCCTCGGCCACGTAGTGCAGGTAAGCACCGAGCAACTTGGTGCCTTGAATGTAGTTTGACTTGTCGAGTTTCTCGTTGATGGAATGGGCGGCATCGGTAGAGCTCCCCATGGGCAACAAGAGAACGTTTTTTCCAGTGGCTTGCTCGAAGGTCAATGTGACGGGGATACTGTTACTACACGTCAGAATTTTCTCAGGCGTCTGTATAGTTGACTACGTACCTTCCACCCTCACGGGTCATATCTGGCTCTACACCAAAGACTTGCTGGACAGCTTTGCCAGCAGCGGTAAAGTTCCAGTGCTTAGGGCTAGCCACCCACCATTTACCATCGTGCATCAATTCGACATTCAGTGTGTTCTTGCTTCCGAGCTTGGCAAACTCGCTGTTGATGAAGTCCTTCACTAGCCGAGTCACATCCTCGCTCTCCATATTGGGAACGGTTCTGATGGAGAATTTTCCAATAACCTTGGCTGGGATGACGGTCTTGGCACCAGGCGCTGAGAAGGCACCCTCGACACCGTGGATGGAGAGAGATGGGTAGCGCCATCTAGCCATAAGAGTTCTCTCCTTGGTAGCGTGAATGCTGGTCTTGCTGCCGAGAGATTCGTGAAGGTCATCCATAGAGTAGCTGATGTTGGGGTACAGTTTCTCCTCCTCGGCAGTGACGGGTGCCACGAGGTCCATCAAACCGGGAATCTGAATATTACCCTGGGAGTCGACGAGCTTTGAGAAGACTGTGACGAGATCGGTCATGGGTTCATGAGCAGAACCACCGAACACTCCACTGTGCAAATCTTGGCCAGGCCCCGAAACGGTAACGGCATAGTAGTTACATCCTCTCAGTCCATAAGTGAGGCAGGGCTTCTCAGTTCCCAGCCAGTAGTTGTCAGAAATGCAGACTGCATCAGTGTCCTTGAAGAAAGCCTTGGCTTCGGCCTGAATGAAATCATCTAAACCCTCAGAGCCGTACTCCTCCATACCTTCGAAACAGCAGAGCAAGTTGACAGGGAATTCAATTCCGGCCTTCTTGTGAGCTTCGATAACGTTCAACCATCCGAGAACAGGGCCCTTGTCATCTGTGCTGCCTCGTCCGTACATTCTGTCCTTCTCATCGATCGTCAATTCGAAAGGCTCTGTCGCCCAGCCATCTTCTTTCAAAGCCGGTTGAACGTCGTAGTGGCCGTAGACGAGGATTGTCCGCTTGTTGGGATCATTTCCGTAGCGAGCAATGACTACAGGAGGCAAATCGAGGTGCTCTTTGCCAGGTTGCTTGCCGAGCGGACGTTGGTGGACTTCGGCACCAAGGTTCTCCAGTTCGGTTGCAAGAAATTGTCCCATCTGTTATGACATTAGTTTCTCATGACGCGCTAAGATCGTTTTTTGTTTGGTAGTCTACCTTGAAAACATCTGGGCGGTGTTCATCGGCAGCAGAGATAGAAGGAATAGCGACAGCTTTTCGGAGACCTTTTACAGCAATTCCAGTCAGAAAAAATGCGCCACTTTTCAGAAAAGAGCAACTCACGGTCAATGAATGACTCCGAAAGGTCATCGACCCTGAATACCCATGATTAGCGATACAAAGCCAGATGAAAACAGCTGGTAGAGATAACGAACTGCTTGAAAAAAGGCTCCAACTGAGGCGCCATCTTGGAATCACTGATATGTCCGTAGTAGAAACGATGGCCAAGATGCGATTTCAGAGATATGCGAGGGTTGGATGGACGTTTGTGCAGGCAATTTTGCAGGCTACTAGAGGTAAAGAGAAGTGTCTTTGTCGAGTATTTACTCGCTGTGAAAGAAAGAAGCTTGAGGGGCAGAGCGGGGGGCATTATTATCTCTGGTGCTTCTGATTGAGTCGATTTGCTGGGGGGAGCGGCCAGCGTCGGCTTGCGTTATTAAGGTGCGGTCGAGGTGTCATTGGCGAATTGGGCGATACGCCTCGTGACACATTACTACTCCGTCCGTGCAAGGGACTGAGAGAATTTTTATAACTTCAAAAAGGATTGAGTATTTGTTGTTTGTTGTTTCTTGTGGGCACTACCTCCTATAGTCAGTGATTGTGAATGAAGTGAATTTTGGTGATTTCAAATAATAAAGTTACACTGAAAATTTCTATGATAATACATGATGAGTATAAAAACACATCCCAAGCGAACCCTTGCTCGTCTTGAGTCGAGATAGCAGAAGAATTCGAAATATTTATGCCGTTCACCGTTCTTCTTACTGAAAAGCTTCCCAATCCATCTCTTCCTCCTTTAATCATCCTTAGCCCAGGCCTCCTTTCGGAGTTCCCGGTCCTCCCTAGCCATGCGCCGTGTAGCACCCCATCTCGACTTGACAGCCTCCAACACCTTCCTATGGATCTCCTGCTTTTGCGCTTGCGGGATAGGTTCACAGACCATGTTGATGAACCGAGCCGAGCAATCAAACTTCCTCGCAAGCTTCCATCGACTCCATTCAACGGGGTCCAGAGTACGTAGTCTCCTAATTTCCTTGACATCCTCTACTGTTAAATGGTATTTCTGCCTTTTGGGAGCCTTGGTGGCCCAAGGGAGGTCTTCCGGTGCAATGCTTAGTGTCGGTTCGGGTTGGACGAGGTTTCGTCGGATGTCATTCTTGGGAAGGAATATGTTTGGTGTGTGGGTAGCATCCGGGGCGCTCGAGGGAGGATTGAATATGATACTGTCGAATTTCTCTTGGGTCGGTTCAAAGGAAGCATCTGGTTTTATTCGGAGGCGTTGTTTTGTTCGTCGATAGGTGGACTGATATCGTCTCCCTGATATTGAGGCCAATTCACACCAGGACGGCAGCAAAAAAGGGAGAGAAACAAGGGATTGCCGAGCGGCGGTGAGAGGAGACTGCATTTTTCCCGAGAGTGCGAGATGCTAATTGACAAGAAACAATTTTATGGCAAAGTTGTCGAAGGAGGTGAGTGGTGATGAATCAATCCGAGAAAACAGATTTTGAACTTCCAAGACTGAGAGGTTCAACGACTCCTAGCACTGTGCCATTCCTCGAATACAAGCAAGCGCAATCCTTATAAGAAATAAAAAAAAGATGGAATTGAGCAGAGCAAGTGTGCGGCTCCTAGGAGGTCGTGTTGAAAGCCTTTGATACCAGTAAGCTGGTGAGCTGTTAGAGATTCAAAAAATCCCGGACCGGCGCGTTGACGCTAGCACATCACGTGATATATTTTCTTTCATTGGATCCTCTGCCCTGATTATGCCGTCTACAGTTTAGTACTTCTTCAGTCCGAGTGATTGGCACGCGACACAGGCTGATGATTCTATGACCATTAAACCGCGAGTCTTAATATGAAAATGCTTTTAGAGTGTCTGAGATATTGTTATTTCGTTCTTGCTTATACTTCTCTAAAGACTACAGCAATCGAGTTTTTTCATCCTTGCTCAACAACCCAGCCTATGCCCGCCAGAATGGTTCAATGGAGCGTTAAAGGTGGAGAGATCAAGGCATGGAGACCATGTTAGCTTCCGAACATTTGTTGGTAGATCGTCGCTGAGCCGAAGGATTGCGAGGTCGCAATGGACATCATCCGTCAAACAACATAGCTCATTATGATTCAAGTATACAACATGTCGGGAGCCTTGACTTTTCGTCCAGAGATGCATGGTTGGTCATCTCTGACCCGAACACATCTCCAAAAGATCAGCACGATGGTCACAATGATCGTTAACCTAGGCGGAATTCTGCTTGACCGCGTCCAAAGCACGCTGAAAGCGAGCGCCAAGCTCTTCAGGATCTTCCAATCCAACACTGACCCGAACCAAATCGAATGGAACATTAAAAGAAGAAGCCTAATCGAAATGTTAGCGTACATGACCTGAGTGGTCCAGGTATGTCTTGACTTACCCAATCGGCCTCGCCATAATGGGCTAACAATGTGTATGGACAGCTGCGATTTTATGATTAGCATGACGGGTGTGCTTCGTTAAGAGTCAATGTTACACACCTCAGGGTGAAATTAGTTCCAAGGCTAGGTCCTTTCATGACTTCAAGCGCATCGAAAAACGTGATAGCGTCTTCTGTTGTGTGGAGAGTAATGGAGAATAGACCGCCGTAGCCTCCATTTGGATGGCGTAACGCATCGTAGTTCGGCCTTGATGAGCTGTATTTCGGATAATGTACTTCCTTCACTACAAGTTCTTTGCGTCAGCAGTGTGATCAATCAGTAAGGTCTAGATTTCACGGACCAAGGGGAGAAGCTTGCAGGATCTGAGTCACAAACTCGGTCGTGGTGTTGATCTTTTCAATCCTGGAAATGAAGTCGCGGCTATTTCTCTCTAGAAAAACTGCATCTTCGGCCCAAACATTATCTTCGTAGTCTGTCGTGTATGCTTTCTTCAAGAATTGATAATGAGGTCCTTGAGGATTGAGCACTGCACTACCTCCCATGACATTACTGTCGCCGCTGAAGATTTTTGACAAGCTGCTGACAACGACATCCGCGTGTTGCAAGACGTTCACGTTGATAAAACTACCAATTGTCTCATCTACAACGACGAAGAAGTCGTATTTGTTCGCGAGCTCACGGATCCGCTTGAGATCCGGAGACTTCAACAATGGATTTGAGGGGAACTCGGTGAATAACGCAAGAAACCTCTCCCCTTTCTCTAGACGTGCTTCCAAATCCTGGAGATCTTCTGATGATCCATGACCGTAGAACACGCAGCCAGGGCCCCATTTCTCGAGAATCTTCAATGTGTCTGTATAGGGGAATCCGAAGCATATACTTTTCTGGGGACCTCTAGCATTCAAAAGGGTTCGATGAGCATTAAAAATAGAACTCATGCCCGTGGGGTATAGGAATACGTCGTCCTCAGTCAAGCCTGCAATGCGCCCATCGGACGCTTCGCTCTCAAGAGCTTCGTGGAGTTCAACGTTAGCGGTAAGGGAACCAGCAATTCGTCTTCGCATCGCTCGTTTAGCGTTTTGTGCCAATGTTGCGCTCAGATTGCGACCGAACCGTTCTTCGACAAAAGAGGAGAATTCTCGTCCGTCAGATGACTCGGTGGCCTTTGCATTATCTTCCTGCTCTTTGGGTGTTGCGGTTCGCTGTTGGTATCGTTTGGGTCCTTTAGAATAGATTGATGGTTTTCCGTCGGAAGCTACAGAATGGTCCTCGATGAGGTAACCGTCTTGCAATGCATTGGAGCAGAATTCACTGCGACGACTTTGCACACCGTCTCCTGTATGCTGCCAGACTTGTTTCGCAATGGGGGCATATTCTTTAGGGTAGATCACGCCGAACAACTTCGAGTTGACGTGAGATCGTATGTCGGAATCGACTCTCGACGATGGTATGAAGCGAACAATTCGAATTTTGGAGGACTCGCCGGCTGGGATCCTTGCGATTATAAAGGTTCGACAAATCTCTGCGGTTCGGGATGAAGGGAAAAGTGTTGTAGCTTCGAGGTCGGCATTGCCGCAACGGCGCAGTACTTCCTGAGCGAGCGATTGAATCAGGGGATGTACGAAGAACCTAGGATATCCGCATTGCATGCGGCTCATAACCCAGTCTTGTCCCTCCTCGTATCCGATATTGCTCTTCCATGTAGGAAGAGAGACACTGATAGCCTGTGGTCGCGTGTTAGATGAGATCCCAACAATTAGGGGGAAATGCGCGGGGCCTTCACATACATGATCAGTGTTTGGAGGCACGGTGCCTCCTATGGCCTGGAGCATGATGTATAGATGTTTAGATGTTTTTGAATTGATGTTTTCAATGTGTTCAATTGTTTCTGTATATGGTTCATAGTAGTTATCTCTTGTCGAGCAGATTGGGCGACTTTTTCAGTCTGTTAAGGAAGGATGTGTCATCGCTGGAGGGGCTGCCGGTCGCCGAAATCGGGCAATACGGACTGCGGGCAAGAGCAAACACGCCCCAAACAGCAGGAGCGATGGGCGTTTTGGCAGGTGAGTCACCTGACTCTTCTCAGCTACGCATCTACGCAGACAATCTACAATTTGTTTTAGACGAGTTCAGATGCTTCGCCATCATCTACTGCAAACCGATTGGACTGTGTCGCGGAGAAAACAATCATCATCAGCAATGAGTCCCGCTTTTCTGGCCGCCGAAACAGGCCCACATCGAAAAATCCAAAATGGCAGGCGGTGTGTTTCCTGCACATAATTTTTTTCGAGCTTTCGTCGACTAAAACTTAGACAAGTGCATCTTCATTTTGATGCAAAATCAAGCTTTGTGAAATCATGGAAAGCGGACGCTGAAAGCTCTACTTTAGAGTAGCTTATACAATTTCATCGTGAACAGCATCCAAAATGTCGGATCCCTCTACGAAACGACGCAGGCTCAATGGCCCGGCCTCTCCTGATGGAGAGACCAGTCCGGGCTATGTAAGTTCAGACAATGATCGGGATAGCAAAGTCACTTCGACGCAAGCCACACAACAAAACCCTCAGAATTCAACAAAATCTGCAAACCGCTTTGCAGAGGTGGGTAAAGCAACCGGTTTATCCAAGTCCAGTCTCTTCAAACTCCAGACAGACGAGCTGCTTGCTGGATTGAGGCCGGATTATGACAAGCTTATCTCTACCGTTCAAGATAACCTGCGCCGGATCAGAGATATTTTGCAGCAATTTCCCGAGCGAGAGTCGAAGCGAGCCGACGTTGCCGCCAAAGAATTGCGAGACAAATATCACGTTACAGTGCCTTTCCCGTGTCACTCACCCGACGACCTGGCAAAGTGCCATGTTTCATCCAAGCCTCCGGCCAGCATCGATCTTGTTGGTAGTGTCATTTTACGAGCCGGATTACAAGCTACTGAAATCTTCAACGTCGATATTGCTGTGACCATTCCTAGCTCGCTGTTCCAACCGAAGGACTATCGAAACTATAAATACTTTCAAAAACGTGCTTTCTATCTTGCGTGCATTGCGGCTAGCCTTCGTGAAGCGAAATTGCCTTTTTCAATACAGTATGGCTATCTAGACGGGGATTTTCTACGTCCCATTGTTGTGTTGGAACATACAAAGAATGCCACCGGAGACGCTCTAAAACAACCCATCCGCATTCGCATATTGACTGCTGTCGAAGAGGACTTGTTTCCTGTCGCACGAACGCTCCCATCAAAGAACAATGTACAAGCTTCGGGTGCAGACGATGAACTACAGTCTAGCGAGAAAACAAAGTCAAGTCCGTATTACAACTCTGCTTTGCGCTTCGAATCGACAGTCATATCATATCAAAAGTGGCTACAGAGCTCTTTGAAAAAGTATACATCAATGAGAGACGCTTGTCTTCTCGGCCAAACCTGGCTTCGACAACATGGTTTTGGGTCCTCTATCGGAAAAGGAGGTTTTGGTAGATTCGAGTGGATGTTGCTTGTGGGCCTACTTTTCGAGGGTGGTGGTGCAAATGGTAAACCAATCTTGCTACCGTCGTATAGCAGCTATCAAATTTTCAAAGCAGCCATGCAATACTTAGTTTCCCGAGACCTGATGCAGCCTTTGTCGTTATTCGCCAACGATGTTGAATTTCCAAGCGGTGGTCCGGTGTTTTTCGATGGAAAAAGAGGCTTGAACATACTGTACAAGATGACCATTGGATCATACAAACTGCTTCGTCACGAATGCAGCCTTACACTCTCGCTGCTGAATGAAACACGTTTCGATAACTTCGAAAAAGTGTTCATTTCCCAAAACAATGATCCTATGCTCAAATTTGACCGGCTAATTTCTCTCACTACGGAACAGAAAGCCACCAATCCTCTACACTCGATTTTCCATCAAAATCATATTTATGATATCTTGGAAAAATCACTCGGCGACAGAGCAAAGGTCATCTGTCTGTGGACTGGTTCTCCATCGGCTCGGCCGCTCAAATCGAAATCTTTGAGCGAAACTCACTCACAGCAAATTTCAATTGGCCTCATATTGGACCCTAAAAATGCGAGTCGACTCGTCGACCACGGACCGGCAGCAGAAATGCAAGAGCAAGCTGCGGCTTTCCGTGCTTTCTGGGGTGACAAGGCAGAGTTGAGAAGATTCCGAGACGGAAGCATCCTTGAGAGTTTAGTATGGTCCGACCAAGGACCAGTCGTCGACCAAATCCTGGTGTACAGTCTTAGTCGCCATCTGAAAGTCCCCCGACACTCAATCAGATGTATTGGAGACGAATTCGATCAGACGTTACAACAGCTTGCGGGTTCAGAAAAACAGACTGCCGCAATGTTTCATGGCGTTCGCGATGCGTTCCAGTCGTTGCAGTCGTCATTCCAAAGCATGGACGATATTCCACTTCAGGTCAGGCATCTTCAGCCTGCAAGTCCGTTCCTGAGAAGCACTGCTGTGATACCAGATCCAAAGGATATTGGGCTCACTTCGGTGGATATCAACCTGCAACTTGAGAGTTCTACCAAGTGGCCGGACAATCTTGATGCCATCCAAATGACCAAGGTGGCGTTTTTACTGAGGATCGGGGAGGCTTTGAAGGATAACGGAGACGTGACGTCGTTCAAGGTTGGCTTGGAAAATGAGAACAGACGCCTGGTAAACCGAGCTTTCCTAGACATCGTGCATAAGACAGGCATTCGATTTCGAATGAGAATACACCACGAACGCGAAGCAACGCTACTTGAAAGGAAGTTGAAAGAAAGCGGCCTCAGTCCTCAGTACAAGGAGGACGTAGGCGCTGCCCTTTTCGAATACAAGAAAACCTTCATCCACACTCCACGTCTCACGCAGGTTGTCCAAACGCTTTCCAACCGATATCCTTTGCTATCACCTACGGTGCGCTTGATGAAACACTGGTTCAATTCACAACTTCTCCTGTCTCATGTCACCGAAGAATTTATCGAGCTTCTCGCCGTCAACGTCTACGTCTCAACTCACCCCTGGGCCTCACCTTCTAGTTTGATGACCGGCTTTTACCGAACTCTCGCCCTACTGTCAAAATGGAACTGGCAACACGAACCTCTCATTCTAGACATGGGCGGACTTACGACAGAAGACGTCAAAGCCATCGAAACACGTTTCTTAGCCTGGCGCAACATCGACCCTGCAATGAAAAAAGTCTCCATGATCCTGGCATCCGATCTCGACCATGATGGAGTAACATGGACACTAAACGAAAAGCCCCCCAAAGTTGTCGCAGGCCATATCACGCGTTTGGCAAAAGCAGCCGTTGAAGCACTTAAGCAGCAACACGGCAAGGAAGACAAGATATCACTCGAAAAACTCCTTTTTACACCCGCGCTCTCGCCCTATGATTTCGTAATCCATCTCAAAGACCCTAACAAGAAGAGCAAGAAACACAACCAACCGCAATTCGCAAACCTGAAAGGTCTCGTCAATCTGTCCGCTTCTGAAGCGTCCAGCCGAGACATCACGACGTCATATCTGAGTGAACTTCAAACACTCTTCGAGCATTGCATTCTCTTCTTCTACGGGCATGAGGAAGATGTCATTGCGGGATTATGGAAACCTTCTTCCACGGCTTCAAGAGCGTTTCATTTGAAGACGGCTTATTCTACTCGTCCCGCGAATAACGATACAGCTGAGGTCACGTTGAACAAGGAGTCGATATTGAATGAGATAGCTCGACTAGGTGGTGGTTTAGTACATAGCATCGAGAACAAAAGTGAGTAAATAACATAGTCCCTTTAGAAGATGAGGGAAAACTTTCACCGCAATGCAACGTTGAAAAAAAGAACTCAATATTCATGAAAGAAAAAGAACCATTAATTAAAAACATTACACATCCACGTATTGCTCTGACCAACTCCCAAAAAAAAGATATCTATATCTCCCTGCTTTTCCATTCTCTCGACCGTCTTAATTCGTAATCAATTTCTTTGTCGGTTGTTTCGCAATCTTTGCGGATGCCTTTTGCGTCGAGAAGGAGCAATACTTATCCTTGATTGCGACTACTTCGTAGGTTCCTTCGTCGGATGTCTTGATGGTCTTTCTGTATTCGTAGGAAATGTCGTGTTTGATGTCGAGGATTTCGGCTGGTTTGCCTTTTCGGGCGTTGGAGCTTCGTGTATATCTGTGGAAAGATGTCAACAGGTCTCTATTTGAGGGCTTCTAGTAGATAAGTAATGAACGTACGTAAATTCGAATGGCGGAGTTCCTCCAAATTCAAATTGGATCTCCGCCTCTCCGCCTTCATGGATATCAACGATGCTTTCTCGGCCTCTGCTGATTCGCACGCTGGGCATCTCGTGGATGACCTTGGTGATATTCTTGTGGGCTTGACAGCGGCCACTAGCGCCGTCACTTACTGCTGTGATGGTGAATACACCTGGTTTTTCTGCGATGCGTCGGAATGTGGTCGTCGATGAAGAGGCCTTTCTTTTGACACCTTCGAAGGTATAAAAGACGTCGAATGGTGCGTGTCCTGAGAGCGAGAACGAGAGACGTTCTCCGACACAATAATCTGCCTGAGATTCAAGGGGAATGATGGTAGGGACATCCGAGACTGCGACACGCACAGACGATTGGTCCTTTTCAAAGGTTCGCTGACATCCGAGAGAATCGCCAACTCGGTGGATGCTGACAACATGTTGACCGAGTTCTAGATGCCGACGGGGTATAGGGAGTTTGTGTTTGTGACTGTGGATTGGGCCAACGGGCACCACTTCAGGCTTTGCACTTGAATGATGCTTAATGGATATATCAAGATAGAATGGGGGTTGCCCTTCCAGTACAATAGGGATCAACTCGTCACCTTCACTATCTTCCTTGCAAAATGCGTAAATATGTCCAGGCGACTCGAAGCGAGCGGATGGTAACGCATTGACAGTCTGTGAGATACTGACAGGGCTCTCCGATTTATCAGCATCGTAAAGCGCATCTGCGATACCCGTGAACTTGTAAACGTGGTTGCCCGGTTTCGACGTGTCGAGTTCCAACGATGCCACATTTGACGTGCTTTTTAAATTCCTTGCTTTCGAATTGCTGTGGTCGCGTTGGTGTTCGTATTTGACGTTGAAGGGAGCCTTGCCTTGCAGCTTCAATTCCAAGATGTCATCGTCTCCTTGACAGACACTACGTTTCAACACATTCTCACCAACACCCGTGCGTCCAGACACAGATACTACAGGTCGAGGAAGCCATTTGATCTCAAAGGTACTAGCAGATTGCTCGATGTTCCCTGGACAAGTGGCATCGAAGACTTCGACAAGTTCATATACTCCGCTCTGCGCTACTGGTATGGCTCCATTCTCATCCCAGATCTTCTTTTCTAACAGACGACCAGGGTTGGCATCTAAGTTGCGGTATTTCACGATCCAAGGTGATTGCCCACTTAGTCTTAGCGGTAATAGCACTGTGTTGCCTTCCAGATCTTGTGTGGTCCGCTTCTCCTCGATGAAGCCAAAAGCAGCTTGAGGCTTTTTAGGGCGAACATGGACGACTGCGCTGTCTTTCAGAGCGCGCTTGCAACCTGTACGGTCCGTCACACCAGTCAGTGAGATAATGTGCTCTCCACCACTGTACAGTGGCTCGGTCACAATAGTTGCAACGGATTCATGGCTTTCGATCTCGTGTTTTGTTTTCTTGCCGTTGTGCACGACCTCATAGTGTAAGGTCCACGGAGTCTCGCCAATGAAAGAGACACCAACGGTGGCTGACTCGCCAAAACAGGTTCGCTGTGGTTTGTGTGTACCCAAAAGTTGCGCCGATGCTTGCGGTTTGACATCTTGCTCCAGGACTTGCATTTTTTCTTTGAATGGCCGTGGGCCGTAAACACTATCGGCAATATCCAAGAACCGGTATCGATAGCGACCCGCGTGGGTTGGTGTAAAGTCCAGCTGTCCCCGAAGTCCGTTTATAACCTCAGAAAAGGTTTCTGTACCTTTATCGCTCTCAATGACATATCGAATACGGAATGGAGGAGATCCAATCATGTCCAAATCGACGAGAAGACCAACCGAGTTGTTGGCACATTTGTCAAAAATCTTTTCGTGTCGTAAAGACAGTTCCGGCTCCGGAGGATTGTGTAACAAGCAAGACGAAGGCTCCAATATTTCTCCGCGGCAGAAACGGCTTGACGCAGAATCCAAAGAATACCATCCAGGCTCTTTGATTTTTGGCCGGGTCTCTGATGTCTTCAGAGAAACTTGCAGAATTTTCGAAACATCGGTCTCTCCAACTGAATCTTCCGGAGAATACGAATAAGTGACCTGGAAGGGCGCATCGTCGCTATAGTCCCTTCCAGTGGAATGAAAGTGCAATGGCAATTCGGTGGTTTCTCCTTTCGCAATCTGAAGGAATTTCTGAGCGTTACAGCCGACCATTGAGAGTCTTGGTCGCTCGTGAACCGAGAATTGATGCCATTGCAGCACGTTTTTCAACGATGCTCGATCCGTGTCATCCAAGTAAGACGAATAGTTGGCGACATTACCTTGAGCGTCGTGGACTTCTTCGATGGTATAGACCCAATCGCCACCCGCATCCAATGTCTCATTCAACGCTATGCGCAGATTCGCGGTCTGTGCCCAGAAAGGAGGATCTTGCTGTTTGGGATCGATGAGAATGCTGGGCTGCTTTCGACCGGTTATCGGAACTAAGGCGCCTTCGGCATGTACATTTTGAAAAGAAAATCCACCATCGAACCCATTGATCCTGCGACTGTATTTCACTTTGAGTGGCGCCACTCCTTCAACTTCGAGAGTAATATCAGACAAGTCGCTTTTACATTTATCGGCAAACGTGTTTTTTGGGACCGCTCTAGGACAGGTTGGGACCAACGTGTCGGACGCTTTGGTTTGAACTTCAAGCTTAGACTCATCCAGAACTCTAGCTAGGCGATATATGCCTGTCTTCTTGATAGGAAAATGAAGGTCGAGGTGTCCAACTGAAGACGGTTCGCCTGCCTGCTTTCTCATCTGCCTGAGCTGTTTGTTGGATATGTTGATGGTTTCGTTTTGTCCAGTAGCTAAATCGTAACGGAGAATGTCGATAGTTACCGGGGTTGACTGGTTGACACGAATGGGAAGGGCAACAGAAGTCTGTTGCGAGTTGAGACACAGAGGTATTCCGTCAGGGTTCAGTACGGCTGATCTATCGAAGGAGTCAGTTCGTGCTAAATCATATGATCTTTACGCGCCACTCACCCTTCTGGAAGGATATGGATGATCTGTTTGCCCAAAATTAACGACGAATTATGAAGGATATCCCCAGGTTTAACTCTGTCCCCCGATATAGACATTTCTCGGTCATAAAATGCTTTGTACACAATACCTCCCCATGCTCCGAGCGGTAGCTATAAAATTAACAATTAGCAAGTCTTGTGATTCTTGGGTAAGGGAGATGCATACCGGTATGCGAAACATCAAAAAGACATTAGTAGCCGCATGGAGCAGGAAGATGGCCAGGAAAGTTGGAAAAGTCCATTCTAACCAAGGCACTCTCAAAGTCTGGATACCAAACAACAAAACTCCGTCAATGAAATTCCATTTGAGAAACAACCACGTCGAATCCAGCTCATTAGCAGCTCCCATCGAGTCGTATATCCTCCACGCTCCAAGCGCAATGTAGAGTGCCGCGACATAGAATCGTTGCGATGGTGCATCAATCACGTCGGTGGGAATCAGAGGACCCTGTCCGGGTTGCGCAGGGCGCGGACCAGTCATCACGCTCACATTCTGAGGTCCTTTGATGGCCGGGGATTCGGTTTGTCTCCGTCGATCGCGGCCTTGAGTCTGCGGACTTTGGGGAAAGGCGGATCGAAGTCGGGGAGTGCCGTTCATCGCATCTCGATTTTTTGTTCTTTGGTGAATATGGTGATGTGCAGGTATCTCTAGAGACTCGAATAAAGGCTAAAGCAACACTGTTGGACAGCTCTCAGGAAGTGATATGAGTTGAATAGCCCCGCTCCTGTAAGAAGCAAGCAGTTGGAGACTTTTCTTGCTCACTTATGCTGAAGCGCAGATCAGACTACACACTTCAGTTCAGATATGAGTAGCAGATGAACACTTTGGGCGAAGTGTACAAGTGAGCATCGAGAAAAAGCTGGTGGGCTGAAGTTGAAACACAAAAAGGTTGACCGTGTTGACGTTTTGAGCTGGAGGAAATAGTTTTGGCAGGCGCGTCACAGAGCGAAAGCTTCGGCCAATCAGAAAGCTCCCACGCCGGCGTCCCTTCTGATACAGCGAAACACCAAGACAGACAATCAGGTGCCTATTTCCTTTCTATTGTTCACTGAATTGATTTAAAGGTTTCCTCTCTCTTCACTTGGAATCATTCTATCTGCAATACATCTATACCGCGCAAAATGGGAGATCGTACCAAGAGAAGACGCCTCAACAGCGACACAAGTCCGATTCCAGACATCATAGTCGATAAGAATTCGTGGAATGGCTTCTGCGAGATTGAGTCTGAGCCAGTATGTATCTTGTTCTAAGACTGTGAGCAGGGGACTGAGTGATCATCAGGCCTTCTTCAATGTCATGCTGCGAGAATTCGGCGTCGAAGGTGTCAAGGTTCAAGAGCTATTTACTTTAGATAAGGACATGATTAATCAATTACCGCATGTATTTTCAGTCCTCCAACTCTCCCAACTTTTCTGACAAGATTTCTGCAGTAAACCAGTTCACGGCATCATATTTCTGTTTCGTTGGCATGAAGACAATCCCGAAAAGCAGGAGGCAAGCTGCCCTGACCGCTTGTGGTTTGCTAATCAGGTATTACGATATTTCATGTGGGAGGTTTTTTGCTCAAAGGCTGACAATTTCAGACGGTCGACAATGCCTGTGCCAGCGTGGCTCTCTTAAACATAGTGAACAACATCGACGATATCACGCTAGGAGATACCCTTGCCAGCTTCAAGGAGTTCACCATGCCATTCACACCTGCACTAAGGGGCGACGCTATAGCCAACTTTGATTTCATCAAGAAAATTCACAATTCATTTGCACGGTACACAGCCCCCCCTCATATCTAGTGATTATACTAACTCATCCCACAGTTCCATGGACATTCTCAACTCCGACCTATCACTCAAAGACGAGGCTGTAGCTAGTAAATCTAGCCGTCAGAATGATAACAGTGCGTCTAACGAAGCGGCTTTTCATTTCATCGCATTTGTGCCAGCATTGGGCCGAGTATGGAAATTCGATGGCTTGGAGCGTCAGCCTCAGGATCTCGGTAGGCTATTCTCCGTTGCGTAGACAGCATTATCAGAATGGCTTGCTAACATTCAAAGCACCCTGCACTGACGGCGACTGGCTTGAACAAGTTCGATCCCATCTTCTCGAGAAAATGACGGCTTATGCAGAGGACCAGATTGAATTCTCGGTGCTGAGTGTGGTGCGAGATCCGCTCAAGGACTATACCGAACAATTGGCTCGCAACGTCAAGTGTTTACAGAACATTCGCCAACATTTGAACGAGACTCAGCTCGGAGATATCAAGGCTGTACTTGGTGCTGATGATTTTGACGGTGTGACGCTGAAATCAGATCCGGCGTTGGGACTTACGGATGAGTGTCTAATGGCCGTCGAACCTTCGGAGACTGAGAAAAGTATCAGCGATAATGACCTACCGCAGGAATATGTCCGGCTAGTTAGTAACCAGCAAGGCATTAGGCTATCAATTGAAGAAGAAAAGGAGTCCCGTCGGAGCGAGGAGGCGTCTGCAGAGGTTAGGAGACATGATTGTGCGTCGGCCGTGGAATTCTGGGCTCGCGCACTAGCCAGCAAAGGTGTTGTCAAGGAGCTACTTGGCTAGAATGAAAATGTGCTCATTGAAATACTTCTTCCGCGTAGACTTGGGTGGTTTGCTTGATAAATTGTCGCGTTGTATGTCTGGTGTTGTGCCTTACAAGTGAAGTGGTATTCGGGTGTGATGTTGTAGAAATATATTGCTTCATCCACCACGTGAAAAAACCTTGGAACATAACAAACACGCGATTACGAAACTCCTAGCAAGATCCAGAACTTCAAAAGCTAATTATATATACACCCCTCCAGGATATAATCATACATGAAAACCCAACTCGAAAACCATGGACCCAGAAACCGAATTCGACACCGACACCATGATTCTCGACTACGTCTGCAGCAAAGCGACACACGCTCTCCTGTTGACGCGTATCGCGGAACTGAGCGATAGACCGGCCCATGCAGACGTCGACATTGTAAAGATCTTTGACAGTACGTTTTATATCTGCTTCATACTAAGTTCTACGCATTGGAGAAGGATGTAGGTATTGATGTTGAATTAGCATGGCACCTCCTAACAACGCACAAACATGGCGCAACGCGCCAAATCTCGCGCGATCTCGACGCAAAATTACGCCTGATATCATTCACAGCCCAATTCCTCACCAGAGCAAGGAAATCCGAATGGCGAGATAGCAGCAACGGCAATAGCAGACCCCATGGAATCCAGGGGCAGCAAGTGTTGTCGAGTACGGCATACATGACCATGCTCGAAATTCTGCGCATTCCGCGCGAGCAGTGCCTCGACGATAGGAGGCAGGTTCTATCGCTGATAGACCTGTTCCCTGACTTTTTGGACCTGTGTTTTGTGATGCGCATCACAGAGAATGAAGAGTCTCTCATTGAAGTATTGGGTAAATACACCATCCAAGCCGTCCTCGAGCAATACACGCTCTTCGGCAAGACGACGATAGAATCAGTTACCCACGCGTCTTCGCTTCTCTTACCGCACCAACCTCCCTCCTCATCCCAGAGCGAGAGGAAGAATAAATGGCTATCAGAAATACAGTCAACATACCTCACCATTCTCCATCCACCCCCACCACCAACAGCGAGTCAACAATGCGATTCGCATGAAACGCATCTCAATCGTCTGGCGCAGCAGTTTCCGACATTTGAGTTCGAGGCTATGCTTGTGATGAAATTGCAGAAGTTCTTGTTTGGGCTTGAGACGCCTCTACTCGTGAAGTTGGAGACGGGGGAGATAAACCCGTACGAACACGATGGCGGCGGCGGGGAATGATGAAGGTGGTTGTATTATCAATTATTATATCCATTACACCCCAACGGAATACAGACGACATGATGCTTCAATTACAAGGAAAGGTCAATGTATACGCAAAAGGGACTAGGACTAATCTACAAAAGTCAGACCGCCGACGACGACTACACCAAGATAAACCTTTTTCGCTGAGTTGTGTCTCTATGCTCCTCGTATCCTCTCTCTCCGGATGTACGGGTCGATGCCATGGTTCAACCCAAGAGCATGCGGCGGGGGTCTTCGATGTATTCCTTGACCTAGAAGGGATTAGTCTGGAAATTCTTGGGTGTGGGTGGTTTGTACACACCTTGACAAGGAAGGTGACGGCTTCACGGCCATCGAGAAGACGGTGGTCGTAGGTGAGAGCGAGGTACATCATCTGAATGTCATGTCAGTCCGAAATCCAACGTACGTTTATCAGGGGGCATGCATACAGGGCGGACTTCGACCTTGCCATTGACAACGACTGCTCGTTCCTTGATAGCGTGGAGACCGAGGACAGCTGTTCTTGTTAGTATATAGTAGCATGCTAGGCGGAGGTACAAACCTGTCTGGGGCAAGTTGATGATGGGAGTACCCATCAATGAACCGAAAACACCACCCTACGCAAATTAGTTTTTGTTTGAATGACAATAGCCTAAAACTTACGTTGCTGATGGTGAAAGTACCACCGGCCATATCCTCAATGGTCAACTTGTTGTCACGAGCCTAGCAAACATTAGTACGCATGGTAATATCGAATCAAAAGCATTGACTCACCTTCTTTCCGAGATCGGCAATAGCCTTCTCAATTCCAACCAAGTCCATACTCTCCGCGTTGCGCACAACAGGGGTAACGAGACCCTTCTCGGTAGCAACAGCAACGCTGATGTCGACGTAGTCACGGTAGACAATGGTGTCACCTCCGTTAGGTCCTTCGATAGAAGCATTGACGGCAGGCAAGTCCTTCATAGCAAGAACGCAAGCGCGAGAGAATGCGGACATGAAGCCGAGCTTGACGCCGGTCTTCTTCAGGACGTCATCCTTGTAGAGCTTGCGGAGTTCCATGAGCGAGGACATGTCGACTTCATTGAATGTGGTGAGGGAAGCAGCGGTGTTCTGGGATTGCTTGAGACGCTCGGCGATACGGAGTCGCATGCGGTTCATTTTGACCTAGACAAGTTAGATATGCGCCAGATAGCTTGGTCGATGTTCACATACACGTCGTTCTTCACGGCCGCCAGTCTGGGCGGTTGTGCTAGGCTGGGCTTCCTTTTTGGATTCCGTAGGCTTGGGTTTTGGCTTCTCGGGTTGCTTTTCCTTGAGAGGCTCAGCTTTCGAAGGAGTGGGTTCCTTGGTCTCTGGCTTGGACGGGGCAGGCTCGTCCTTGGGTTTCTCAGCAGCTCCGCCGCCGGAGCCGGGCTCGAGTTTTACTATGGCCTGGCCGACGGTAACGGTATCTTCTTCGCTGACGAGGAGTTCCTTGATAGTGCCAGATTCGGGAGCGTTGACAGCGACGTCGATCTAACAACTTTAGTTAACGACCGAGAGGAGATCCACCGTGGAGAGGATATACCTTGTCGGTTTCAATTGTCGCGATCTCCTCATCGCGTTCCACGAAATCGCCAACCTCTAAACTTGATCAGAATGACACTAAAGAGGGGGTTTAAACTTGGTTGCTCACGTTTCGAGAATTGCTTCAATGTACCTTCTGTAATAGATTCGGCCATCTCAGGCACCTTGACAATTGTGTCCGCTACATCGGGGAAATGGTAAGAAGAAGTTCGTAACAAACGGGGAAGATCGCGACGGACCATAGTGACGGGTTTGTTGCCTGTCCAAAAGAGATTTGAATTCGGGCGATTGAACTCTGCAGTAATTATTAGTTAGAAATGAGGTATCGAGACAAGATTGTACCACAAGACTTACCTGGCGAATTGCACTGGTCGTTGAGGACGCAAAAGAGCTCTCTGCGAGGTCAAGGCAAGCGCGGAATAGGCGCGTGACGATACAAGAGGCTTCTGCACGTTGTGGACAGATCGCAAGACAGTTTGCCTCGTCAAGCGGGCGATATTTGTTCGGCTAGCCATGGTGAATGCTCTTGAAGAGACAGCTCTGTATATAGGGAAGAATGACACTTTGACACAGATGATGTCAAGGATTGATCACACTCGACGAATCGACTGAACAGAGAGGAGAGTATAGACAGACGAATCAGTCTGTATTAAAGAACAGCAGTGAACGCACAGAGAAATAAAATAATCAGAGAAATGAGGCCGTTCAACAGGAGAATAAAGAAGGCAACCTTGACGCGGCCGGAATTTTCCTTGGAGCTGTCCGTATGGCTAATTCACTCAGTTACGTACCGTGACTACCGTTAGTCATAGCCGGCAACCCGGGCTCAGTCCCCTGCCGCCAACCCGAGTAGAGCCAAGTCTTTCCGATCGACCTCCACACGACAACTCCAATAGTCGCTCATTGCCTCGAATCAGCCACCCCCGTCAATTGCACAGTTGCTGGTACGTACACCCTGTGCTGGGAGGTGTAATTGAGTCTATCTACTCATTTAAATGACAGATCGCAGTGTGCACCGACAAGATGCCTCTCAAGCCCGCAGCGTAAGCCATCCTATCGCCGCAACGACACCAATACACCATACCATCATCGACACCGACATTGATATTAATACGGACATTAACCTTCGCATCACTAGATCCCTATACCGTCGCTCCCTGAAACTCGCCCTCGACTGGGCTGTGCATAGGCACATCTGGCGCGGCCAGGCCGTGTATATCAGATCACTCTTCGACGCCAACAAGGACGTCCGCGATCCCCGTCAGCAAAAGGTATTACCAGCACCGGGTGACAATTATCCTGGCAAGGCAATAGCTAAGGTGGAAGCAGCTACTCCTCCGAGAGACAGAAAAACTACTCGAAACATGGAAGCATCCTGATCCTTACAAAGCTCCTACGGCACCAGGAGGTATGCGCGATCGATTGGATATCAGAGTCTGATATTAGCAATACTGACGCTGTGATAGGTTCCAAATACGAGCGAAACCTTCCTCCCCGCGACCTTCCTTGTGAGTCTACGCGTTGCTTTACTCATGTTCCTTTTGATAGGGTACTGACTGTTGTTCAGACGCCGATGCACCTGGTGCGCATTAGTTAGGAGAGTAGCTAGATATCAATGGGAAAATAGAATTGACGCGTTGTACAATATCACAATCTTGATCTTAATCTTGCACGTATATCAATTGCAAACATCCATGATCATGTCGTAATTGCAAGTTCGAGAGTGATATGCTAGCCAATTTGCTCGATCGATTTATTTCGAACTACGGTCAGGAAAGAGATGCAATGAAAGCCAGAAGGATTCAGTATTCTAAGCTAATCTGGAGCCAACTATTATATCGACTCAATGAATACTCTTCGCGAGCCAGTAGAGACCATGTCCGTAGACATAATGTACAACCATGTAAAAAATCAAAAGAGCCATGAATGTGCCCAGTCCATAACCCCATTACCTCGTCAATAAGGAAACCAAACCACGCCGAAACGAAAAACATAAACGATGAAGGAAATAATAAAACGAGAAAGCAATTTAAAGCTCCTGGCTTTGACCCTTGCCGCTCTTGGGAGTCTTCTTGGGGAGAAGGTCTGGGAGAAAGTTAGACGTGTTTTGATCAAATTGGAATATGATAACGTACTCTGGTGAATGTTGGGGAGGACACCACCTTGGGCGATGGTGACGTGACCCAAAAGCTTGTTCAACTCCTCATCGTTACGGATGGCGAGCTGGAGATGACGGGGAATGATACGGGTTTTCTTGTTGTCACGGGCGGCGTTGCCAGCCAACTCGAGAATTTCAGCAGCGAGATATTCGAGGACAGCAGCCAAGTAGACAGGAGCACCTGATGGATGAATTAGTATGACGCGTACATTTGATGAAACGGGTTGGAAATGGTGGACTCACCAGCACCGACACGCTGGGCGTAGTTTCCCTTGCGGAGAAGACGGTGAACACGACCGACGGGGAAAGCAAGACCCGCCTTGGAAGAACGGCTAAGTAGACAAGTTAGCAGTGTGATTCAAATTGCGAAGTGAGGGTGATGATAAGACGCGAATGACGCGCCAAAAGAGATCAAAACATACGATTGAGAGTTCTTGCTGCCGCTGGCCTTGCCGCCGGATTTGCCTCCAGTCATTTTGAAATTGGTGATTTGATGAGTTAAACTCGAAAATAAAAGTAGTGGGCGATGGAGGACGTGAGAGTCGCGAAGACGAGCGTATTGTTGATGGATGAGCGAAAATATGAAGGGGAGAAGAGGAGAATGGGACGTCGTTGCAGCGGCCGGCGATGAGGGCGCATTTATAAGAATGCGCTGCGGGTGACGTCCGCTGGGGGAGCCGCCGTCCAGATCAACCTCTCGCTTAGATAAGACGGCCAATCACCGCCCGGATCAGACGCGTCAACGCGTGCCGCCAGGAAATCACAGCAGCGACTGTCCGCCAGCCTATCACAGGTGGTGGACTACCTCCCGATCGGGCCAAGCGCCATACCGGGAAGCCGTTACATACTCATACTACCCTCGCAGCGGGGCACTACCCGCCTTCTGCTATGCGCAGCGCAACTGATCATACAGATCATACGGTGCCGTTACCGTATCGAAATTCTGGCTGGGAAAGCCACGCTGGATCACCCGTCCTTTTGCGCGGCCAGTATAAGAGGCCTGCCTTCCCCCATCATCCACACGAGTCCATCTTCCCTCTCCATTTACTTGCATCTACACGCTCACCATTCGACTTTCTGTCTCTCCATCAACAACCAATCTCACTTTTGATTTTTAATCAACCACATTTTCATCAAAATCAAAAATGCCTCCCAAAGCTGCCGAGAAGAAGCCCAGCACTGGTGGCAAGGCCCCAGCTGGAAAGGCACCTGCTGAGAAGAAGGAGGCTGGCAAGAAGACTGCCACCGCTGCCTCTGGCGAGAAGAAGAAGCGCGGCAAGACCCGCAAGGAGACCTACTCTTCCTACATTTACAAGGGTGAGTCGATTTGACGCGTTTTTGGAATCACAACAATTACTGACGCGTCTTTGTCTTTAGTCCTCAAGCAAGTCCACCCTGACACTGGTATCTCTACCCGTGCCATGTCCATCCTCAACTCTTTCGTCAACGGTATGTCGCGTCTTCTATCTCTTTATTTTAATCTTGCATATCCTAATCCAATTCAGATATTTTCGAGCGCGTTGCTACCGAGGCCTCCAAGCTTGCTTCATACAACAAGAAATCCACCATTTCTTCCCGAGAGATCCAGACCTCAGTCCGCCTGATCCTTCCCGGTGAATTGGCCAAGCACGCCGTCTCGGAAGGTACTAAGGCCGTCACCAAGTACTCTTCCTCCGCCAAATAAGCATATCACTACCTCTTTTGCTTTTTTCGCTTTATGTCTATTACACTTGTTTTTATTGCTTGATTTTGCTGCTTCGCGCTCTGGCAACTTGGAGGCGGCGGGTTAACTGGGTGTTCGCGGGTTTCTCTAATGTGTCATGGGACGGTCTGTTTTTCTCTTTATTTTTTCTCATCCTGAATACCTTCGGCCGAAATGATTTTACGGTTTGTGATTCCAAGTGGTGAAGGTGTAACATAACGCTGGAATTGGGGATATTGTTTAGAAGCAATTCCCACCTACTCTTACTAGATCTTGAAATCAAGCTTTAGTGCATTCACATTACTCTTTCTCTTGTACTTGTTTTTTCCCCGATCATTTCTGTAATGCATTGTCTACACTAACTCGCTATCATCGTCATCGTCGAGTGCTTCCACTTCATCTAAAGCTGCTTCTCGCTCCATTGTCGGCGTCGGCACGCTTTCGGTGTCAACGATATGAATGATCGCTTTTCCACCATTCTCTTGACGCGACGATACGATCCTCCGTTTCCAGTCAGTCCAGTCGTTTTCGTCACGAATCAGAAATCCGACCAACATGCTTGGATCCATATCGTCGATGTGGATGCGTCGAAGACGTCGGGTATGACAACTATCGATTTCGTCTTGTGTGTATGCGAAATCTTCTCTGTACGGAAGCGCGGGACGGGTATGGTGAGGATCGAGGTAGAAGAAGAACGAATTCTGAACGCCGATGAAGTAATGGGATGACGACGGTCGACCACTGGACAAATCAGTTATGGCACTTTGTTTGGGGAGTGGAAGACGGACCCTGCAATTCCTAGCGACTGGGGCAGCCTGAGCAAGTCCTCAAGTCCCTTTCGATACACTGGAGTGATTCGGTCGATTCCCAGCCTGGTTCCGAGAAGGATCAGGGTAGGTCGCATGCGATCTGGCTGGTTGTACGCAACTGCTTTGAATTTGTCTTCGTAGACATATGTGTTGTCGCTGCTCACGTAGACGTTCATGCCTACGTCTTTGTATTCTTCTGAAAGTGCTCTGTTCGTTGTTAGCTGTGTCCAAGTAAATCTATGGGACAGACTCACTGTATACATGTAGCTGTAGCAGAAGGCCCGAACCATTCCCCCGGATGTTTCCCACAATACAAAGCGCCATGTCTCACGAACCGATGGATCGAGAACGGTGCAGCCGGATCATCTGCAAATAGCGAAAGTAAATTCTTCTCTTCTGTCGCGTGACTACCTCGTCGCCAGTCTGGTAAACCCGTCAGCCAGTCCCACAGCCTGAGAAATAGTTACAAAATACCTCGTCCCAGTCTTGAAATAGCCAACGCATTAGCCAAAAGGCTCTGTCCAGACCGAATCATGCACCCCCAACCAGTATCCGACGTAAACCCTTGATGGTGCTCCGTCAACTGACTCCGCAGCCGAACGCTGAGTGTCATGGCTTGCGCTGCAGTCGCATCTTCGGATCTTGCGATGGGCGGAAAGTTGGATCTGTATGTCATCCAGATTCGTGATTCAAAGTCATCGAGAAAGGGCTTGGGCCAGCCGAGATCCTTTGATGATTCTATTGTAGATGCTGCTGCTGCGGAGTCGTCTTTGTCAGATTTGAGGGCCTTATAATTTCCGCCGTCGTTTATCTGTGTATTATCTTGTATGAACGCCCTGCCTGATTCTGCGATGTCCTCCTTGTCAGCATCGTCGTTGTTGTTGCCTGCGGGGAACTCGTCCTTCGGTTGCGTCACATATTCATTCCCCAAACACCATATCTTTGACCCTGGGCCCTGCTCGTTTTTGGGCTCGGCATCCCAAAAGTACTGTATCATGCGCTTATACCGACCCAAATCAATGTTATTCATGTTTGTGTTGGGTGAGTCGGTGTAGTCATTAAATGTTGAGTGGATGAAGGGGAAGCTTGGTGTGGGGGCTGGTGCGGAGAGAAAGATATATATTTGTAGATGCATGTGCTATCACTTGATGGATGAGCAACAGATGACCACCATTGTCAACTTGACTATCTGCCCTGGACCAGACTACAACGGCACCACCGACATCCAGCACCATACCACCGTGTACATACACATTTCACCCAGGAATATCCATACCAATACATATGTACATTCGACCAGGGCTACACTCGTCGTTTTAAGCATCAAGACGCTGGAACGAGCCCGCTGACAAGCCCAAGAAGATTGCATATGCTATAATACAATATGACTCAAGGAAACAAGGCAGACAATCGATGAACAAGACATACATACATAAATCAGACTCATGCTACAAATCATTTGGTTTGCATATTCAGTTGACATCCTGACCAACCGCTTGAGACCTCCCACCTACCTGGAACAAGATTCGGAGGAGGACCAAAGCCAGACTGTAAACCCGATCATCCAAATGGAAACCTAAGAACAAATCTCCTTCAAACGGCAAACATAAGTAAGCATACTACCATAGACACATCCTAGACAGAGCAAGCGGTCTGTCCCAGTCGGGCTCCATCGCCACCGCTGTGCTGCTCCACTCCCGCCTTCCTTCTCCCGAACCACTTAATTCCTTTTTCGAACCAAGCAACACCTCACAGTGTTCTCATCGCAGATTGATCGCTAGGTGAGGCTAAAATGAGCCTATATACGTAACTGAAACCGTGCTGACAATAGCGAGTTATAGGCAGACCGTGCAGCCGATTATCGAGAGATTATTTTCGACGCGAATTACGGCAGCACTGGTAGCAATCCAGCCGCCCCGCCAGAATGTCTGGCTATGAGGAAACTCATGATTCAGCAGCACCTCTCTTTTTTCTCGATTCATGTGGCGAAAGACCACGCCACGAACCTCTGAAAGCCAACACGCGATTTAACTATCGCCCACCGAGCGACCGTGAACCCGACAGTAGTGAGGACGAGGTCGTGTTCAGCGGGAGACTAAATCAGAACACGCGAAATAACAAGGTCAGCGCAACATCTCGTGACCAGCCACAGGCTACATTCTCGCGAATAGCCGTGCAAGTTGTGGAAGAGGACATACAATTCTCCTTGCCAACACAGACAGAGAGCACTTCAATTGCTACCGATCCGCGAGATCCCGAGAACCTCCAAGATTCATACATCGGTTTATCGTCGAAGAGACAGCCCAGAAACAAGCGAAAGGGAAAGAAGAGCCAAAAACCCATCAAGAAATCTATATGGGACGATGACAGTGTCTTCGCCGACTATGTCAAAAACGTGGCTCGCAACGCAAAGACTACCTACTCGTCGAGCGAGGATGATGACGGCGAGCAAATCGATGATGTCTTTGAAGACGAATTTCGTTTAACCAAGGAAGAGAAAGCCAAATTTCGCACCTTATCGACGCTCGATATTGTCGACGAAAGCTCAATGCTTGAAGAGATTGTTAATGACATCTCTGACGAGGAAGACGATGACGATGATTCTTCGGACGACACAGATGACTCGTCCATGCTTGACGATATTATATCACAGATCCGTCATGGATCATCGCTCAAAGAACTCGAGGCACACTGGGCAAATGACGACATGTCGCTGGATCTCTTTGAAGGCGAGCGCGAGGTTGATTTTGAAATCGTGGATATGCAGCAGGATGGTCCTCTGAAGAAGAAGAACAAGAAGAGGAAAGGAAAGCGTCAGATGGACTTTGGTCTTAGCGACAGTGATCTCGAGCTTCAGATTGAAAATGCATGGGAGAAAGACCGGGACAGAAAGGCGGCCAAGAAACGCGAAAGAGAGAAGCTTCGTGCAGATGGTTTACTTGGGAAGAACAAGAAGACACTCGACCGCAGAGGCAAGGATAAATCTGGGGTTGGCATTGAGGGATTGAAGGTAGAGCTGAAGGCTTTCCTTCAGTCACAATCAGATAGGTATTCTTGGTTTACCTTTATATATTCTAGACGAGTTACTAACACCATGATAGCCTTGATCTGCCTCCCATGAAGAAGCACCACCGCAGAGTGGTACATGAATTGGCCAATGCGTTGGCGCTCAAATCCCAGTCTCGAGGCAAGGGCAATGCTCGATTCCCCGTCCTGTACAAAACAGGCCGGACGCCAAACTTCAATGGCAAGCACAGTACCAAACTTGACAAAATCCTGGCCCAGCCACGGTTCAATCTGCGCCAGAGCACTCGCATTAGTGTCAGCGAACGAGCTTCTCCGGGACCGAAGAATACCCGCCGACGCCAGACGACGAATATGGGTGCATCCTACCTTGAAGGCGAGGTGGTTGGAGGTTCCGCACCCGAGATTGGAGCAGGCAACAAGGGCAGAGCCATGCTGGAGAAGATGGGATGGAGCTCAGGAACAGCATTGGGTGCCCTCAACAACAAGGGTATCTTGCAACCTGTCGCCCACGTTGTCAAGAATACCCGTGCTGGACTGGGTTAACAAATGTCCAAGAGATAGAACTGTTCATGCGTGCGTGTTCGCCATAGACATGATTTAGACGAATGTATAGAATTACTTTCTAGATTTCTTGCCCTTTTTAGACTTTGACTGCGCCGTCTGAACGGGCTGAGCATGGCCTGTTTCCCTTAGGTGCGAGAATAATTGTGTCCGCGAAGTAAATGTAGCTTGACAATGCGCGCATATATTTTGCGCGTCTGTAGAAGAGGCTACTTGTTGCGCTGCTAGCTTCTTGGCTCTTTTTTGTTTGGCTTTTCCTAGCTTTGCTGTTGTGGCGGTTTTTGATTCCAGGTCTTCATCGTCGTCCTCTGCGATTAAACTGGTAGATAAAGATGTAGTTTCTGTTTTTGTTTGGGTTGGGTCGATGTAATCCTCATCCTCGTCCTCGGAGGCGGAAGGAGACGGGCTTCGTGATGCAATATCTGATTTCAAGGGTGTATTCTTGGTGTCTTCTATCTCGTTGATATTATCGACCTTATCTGCAGTATTATGTACCACTGCCGGGTCGACATCGTCCTCAGACTCGACCAGCCTCACCTCCTGCTCCTCATCCACATCAAGATTAAGCTCCTCATCCTCAAGCAGCATCTCCTTCCGTAACTGCTTGACAGCCTTGATATGCTTCTTACTCCTCTCATGCGCCTCAAACTGCTTCTGACTCTTAAACAGCTTGTTACACACAACGCACTCAAAATGCTCAACTTCGGATTCGGAGCTACTGAAGAACTGGCCTTCATGCTCGTCCTCACCCGGTTGCGATTCGTGGGTCTGCGCCCACTCAGGGATGACATGATCCTGCATCTTGGCCTGGTTCGCCGCGCGCGAACGCGCTGCCTGCGCAGCCGCAGACTCGCGGAGCATGCGCTGTCTCTCAGCCTCCGTTTGGATATTGGACTTGTATCGCGGATCACGCTTCTTAACAAACGCAACGAGTGAGCGCACTGCGTCGTTGTACTCCCTGACCCCGTCGTCGCGCATCTTCTTGTTTTCCTTCTCCATCAATCGCCGAATCCGTCGATCGGGTGCTTCGCTCAATTTGTATTTATCCATCCATGCGAATGACTTCTTGGTTGAAAAGCTTGTCCATACGGCATAGAACGGACGCACGACTTCTTCGTATGAGTCCTGCTTGGCCCCGAAACTGGGGTAGTCCACAGGCTCAGACCCATCCCATCGACATGCTATCCCTTCATCTGTCGCGATCTGGTCGAAAATATCTCGCAAACCACCGAAAAACCCACTCGGAGAATCCGAGAATTCCATATGCGGATTGAAATTCATTACTAGACTCGTGATGGCGGAGGATGTCATTTTGAAACCCCCCGACGCGGGCTGTTGGTCCTGACCAGTTGTTGCGGCTCCATCTTCGGCAAACTCTACATACTGGTGTGAATCGTACCATGCTCTTTCTTGGGGGTCGGAGAGGACTTCGTAGGCGCATTGTACTTCAGCGAAGAGTTTTGTGGCTGCTTCGACTTCACCGTAATTTCGGTCTGGGTGAAGTTCGAGGGCTTTTCTTCTGTAGGCTTTTTTTATTCTGGGTCATATCGTCAGTTTACAGTATGTATATGTGTATGGGATACTACTAACTCATCATCTGTTGCGTCTCGTTCTACTCCCAGAAGCTCGTAGTAGTCCGCACGATGCTCGGCTTCTTGACCGGCGTCATCGTTGTTTGAGCCTGTTGACTGACTCTGACCCATCGTGAAGGAAAAATAAACCGCCGCTATGCAAGGTATATAAATGTTGACGCTCCAAAAAAGCAAGCAATGAGTATGTGAGGCAGATGTAAATACTGAAGACTTTGTGGGGGATCGATTTTGTCTTATCTTATCGGAACGTAACATCATCGCTTCGTCTCGCCCAAACCATCCTCCCCCACGCTTATTCAGTCTAGCATAGACGCCTTTATATAATCAACGACAACATATAGTTTTGGTATTTTATGGAAACTGGATTAATCAACGCCAATGTGATATATTGACCACAATATTCCCGGGACCCGGCCGTACACCACAATGCGCGCGACCCTCGACGACCTCCCCGACGAAATCCTCCACCTGATATTACACCACAGCGAACCCGCGCAATGCCTTGCGCTCGAAAGAACAAGTCGCAGATTTCGCGGTATCACAAACGAGCCTTTATTGTGGCGGCACTACTGCCAGTCGCGATTTCAGTACTGGGATGGGAAACACAACTATGCCGATAAATTGAGACAGCCACCTTCGACAGTAGGGTGGAAGGAGTTGTATGCTGAGCGACATTTCACGGATTGGGTTACGACAAAGGTTTTAGATGATATACTCTCGAGTCAGTCGGGGCGTATCAATAAGGCGCGGGTCATTATTGATCATGGGTATGATGTGAAGGATACGCTTTTGCGACATGCGCGTGCCAGTATGGATTTGGATGATTATTTGGCTAGAAGGTGCGTTGGTTGACCATTTTCTGAAGGAAATTGTGATTGACGCGTTGATTGTATGCAGATATTACAGTCATGCCATGTTGGGCTGTCTACAGCGCAATATAGCTATACCACTATGGGCCAATTTGAGGGAGAATGGGAGAGATACATCACTCGAACGTGCCCTGGGCGGCTTTGATCTTTTCGTTCCCCAATGCGGGATTGATTCACTTGAAGAGGTAGGAATTTATTGCATCGTTTCTCCTTGGACGAGCTTACTTACTTTGGATGGCGACAGATACGCGACATGCTTGATGCCATCGCAGACAATGTATTACAACGGAATCCAGACATACGCAGTCTGACACCACGTCAGAGGGCGCTATACATCGCATCTTACCTGCTCTCGAATAGTTACACTGGCATACGCGCTGGTCGGGAATACCACAATCTAGAGCACAACTTCCTTGGACTGGCTCTACGGGATCAAGGGCACAACTCTTTGCCTTTGATTTCGGCTACAATATACTGCGCTATTGCGCAACGATTTGGACTCAATGCCCAACCATGCGGATTCCCTTTTCATGTGCTGGTCATTATCTTACCCGCTGTCGGCTTCAACATGGATGGAAGGGAAATTACAGACGACAGTCCCGGTTTACCAATGTATATGGACCCGTGGCGATCTGACGTTGAAGTTCCCGTCACTGATCTGCAGCGTCAATTGAACCTATATGGGCCTCAAATGGGCGGCCAGTCACAATTTCTCGGAAAGACATCATTATCAGATATAGTCTGGAGATGCGGCAAGAACATATTGAACTCGTTGCAAGACGTTCCGGAAGACCCAAATGTTTTGGATCCTGAAAGCGCTCGATATGCGGGTCTCTGGTCTTTGATGTTGACTACACCGGACTCTAGATTTAACGAGGTCAGAAGAAGACTGCCGTGGTTCATGGAACTCTTTTTCAAAGAATTTCCATGGGACATTTCCCTGGTTGAGCAGTACGTGTTGTCACGACTCCGGGACTCGATCGAGGTCGACCATGTCTCGGAAGGATTACGCGTCATGCGTACGGTCGACGAGATGGCAAAGACGGTCCATCCGCGTGGACCAGAGCATCAAAAGGTCAAGTACCGAGTGGGCCAAGTTTTTATTCATCGGCGGTACGATTACCAGGCGATCATTACGGGATGGGACGCGGAATGTGATGCGGGCGAGGAATGGATGCGGCGGATGGGCATTGATCAACTCCAAGCCGGACGTAAGCAGAGTTTCTACCACGCGCTGTTAGTATATCCGTTCATACTTTTCCCCGGGTTGAGCTGATATGTGGTCGTAGTGTCGAGGATCGAAGTATCCGCTACGTCGCAGAAGAGAACATTCAGACCATCACGCCGACCATGTCGGATCTGTCTAGCCGGCTGCTGGCCATCGCGGGCAAGCATTTCAAGCGGTGGGACGAAAAGGAGCGGAGATTTGTGAGCAATATGCGTGACGAATACCCGGACGACTGATGGTCAGATGTACGATATACTATGTAATGATAATGATCATGACTGCTGTATGTTGCAGTGTATTCTCGGCTGTTGAGGGCCGTGTCATACGATACATGGTAGACTCAGCGGATTAAGAAGCTAAGCCCTAACTTAGTTGGTGAGAACGCAAAGATGACTAAGCTGATCTGACTCGGAGGGAGCGTACCCGATCGGAACAGCGTTAATCCGGGCCTGATGTGCAGCTTAGTCATTGATGTCCACCAATCACGGCGCAGAGAAAGGGGTCGCACCACCCGGGAAGGCGTCTCCTCTCAGGGGCTGCAGCCAATCAGCACTGCGACATCACTCCACCCAGCAGGCGGTCTCCTTTTCCTGCAAGATTTGCCTCCAGAAACTATTACTTATACCCTACAGCCTCTTCCCAATTCTCTTTCTGGCAGCACCTCAGCTTCCATACAACTGACTATAGCATCTCTCTAGTTGTATGCGCCTGCCAGTCGATCCAAACCTACAAGATGTATGTCCATGAATGCCCCGCGTCTCACACCACGGCGAACTCCACAAACTAAACCTCCCTAGGAATTCCACCCTGTTTTCTGCGACACCGGAGACGTACTGGAGCCATTTCGAGGAGATCTCCAAGTACAATGTCCACCTTAATGTCTTTGAGAGACTGTGGGTAGCCTGGTACGCCTTTATGCAGAACGATGTCCTCGCAACTGGCATTATGTCGTTTGTGATGCACGAAGTCGTGTATTTCGGCCGAGCTCTCCCTTGGATCCTTATCGACACTTTGGGTCTCTTCAAAAAGTACAAGATTCAGGATGTAAGAATCGCCATTGAATGTCCTCCTGCTCTGCATATCACTAATTCGCGACTGCCCATACAGAACAAGATCCCCACCTTGAAGGAACAATGGGAATGCGCGAGACTCGTTCTTCTTAGTCACTTTACTGTTGAACTTCCTCAGATTTGGTAAGCTATCCTCGGCTCGGTAAATTATTTCCTGAACAAAGCTTACGAATATTCAGGCTCTTCCATCCCATGGCCCAATACTTCGGTCTCACTACCACGGTTCCCTTCCCTTCTCTCTGGACGATGGCATACCAAATCGCAATCTTCTTCGTTATGGAGGATACATGGCACTACTTCCTTCATCGCGCTCTTCACTGGGGTCCTCTTTACAAGGCCATTCACAAGATCCACCACCAATACTCTGCTCCTTTCGGCTTGGCTGCAGAATACGCTTCTCCAATTGAAGTCATGCTTCTCGGATTCGGAACCGTTGGCTGCCCCATCTTATGGTGTGCTTTCACTGGCGACCTCCACATCTTGACCATGTACATTTGGATCGTCTTGCGCTTGTTCCAGGCTATTGATGCTCACAGCGGCTACGAGTTCCCATGGAGCTTGCACCACTTCCTGCCTTTCTGGGCTGGCGCAGACCACCACGATGTTCACCACGAGAAGTTCATTGGCAACTTTGCCAGCAGCTTCCGCTGGTGGGACTTTGTCCTCGACACTGAATATACTCCTGAATCGGTGAAGCGCTGGCGTGAGAAGAAGGCCGAGAAGGTGGCCAAGAAGGCTAACTAGAATGTCTTTCTACCTCTCCGACGCGTCTGAACTTCTTGCTTACTTCCCTCAACCACCGCATTTCATCAGTCATCAATGTCGATTGCTCTTCGTGACGAAGCATGACCAGACAAGACCGGGCCAAGGCACCCCTTGATCTTTCAGGACACAATACTTGTTCAACTACCCTTTTTAATGCCTGTTTCTTGTGTATAGAACCCCGACTCGTTCAGGATTACGATTTTGCTGTATCGTTAAACAGCAACCCTATAGTTATAGACTTTATGAGGATAAAGATAATATCAATGACTTATATGTATCTTATAAACCAATAAAGATCCACCCATCGGTCTTGAACCAGAGAGTCCAAGTCATCCTCGCTCTCATTTGCTCAATGCCGACTGACTACCTAGACTAGCTGGGTTGGCAATGGACAACAATGAGACCGGGCCGTCGAAACGTTCAAGATCTTCGCGCAAAACTTCCATGTACTCATCTGGCAGAGGAGAACCCCGGACGATCCAGCGAAAGTGAGTCTTCCTTGGCCCGAGAGAGTCCAGACCGTTGTTCCAAAAAAGATCATGGCGGGATAATTAGGCCTTGGGACTTGAAAAGTTATAGACTGCTTGGAGGCGTCGTACTCTGTAAGTTCCTTCAAGAAGGTGTATTGCTGACCCTTTCTTTGCCCGGTGGGATAGACATAGTTGATGGTCTGGTTCGTTCATTTCATCATCGTGGATATCTGACACATTTGACTGAGGCATGACAGAATATCATCTACGTATACGCGCCAACATGTGGCTCTCGTTAGAAGAAACTCACCAATATACATCATCAAAATACCAACCCTATATCGGGCTTTGTTTTTAGGCAAGTGGTCAATTTTCTGGTCTTTATAACGTTTCTCAGAAAACCGTCAGATACAGTAGTGCCAATTTGCGACTGTTCAGATGCAGCAAATCAAATCTACATTTCCAAGGCATGAGTTTCCGGCCATAGACTTGATTAACCTTGGTCAGCTTCACTTGAAGTTGGATGCATCAATCCAATTGAAGTCGGATAAGACGGTACAATTGCTACCGATAGCTGCTCTCTGTTGTATTGCATCAAGCACAAATTTGTTCTTCTAGCTCAGATGTACAGGTTAGGAAAAGCTGGGGAGGTCAATCTCATATCCAATTGAACAACTCTGCCTGGACCTAGAACAGAGTGAACAAGTTAGAATATTAGCTAGTAACGTGCTCATCTATTTTGACTATACATCTGGAGTGCGGCGGAAAAACGCCTCTACGCTTGTTTGCTTGACTCTCGGGAAGCGCGCAACATCCACTGTTGTATTGGGAGCAGTACCAAATATAGTTATACCACCCGCTCTTCTCATGTTTAGATCTTCCTTCGTTGACTTTATCTTCTGCGTCCTGCATTGATCCTAGGCAATTGATTTTAGCAGTAATACGACCTTCTCCCCCCGGCATTGTATGTACGCCCCTCTACATGTATTGACATTCTTCTAGTATTGGCAGACTAGCTGAAACACTTGACTGTAGTGGGTTTTTCTGCGGTATTCGCGGTTTTAGACACAGGTGAAAGTTGTTTTCATCCAGCCTGGTTTAATAAGTTGACAAGTTAGATTATCGTTGAAAGGCAATCTATAGTCTGTTAGTCATCGGTAGGGAACTATGAAGGTAATTTAGCATTATATAGCTATTGAGCTTCCTTGAATAATGCTGATGCAGCGGCCCACTCTTAGCAGTAATAGTGAGGCTGACGTTGTGTTTCTCGCCTCAATTGTGTACAAAGTCTAGACAAGCAAAAGGTCCTGGTCTGAAATATACCCCTACTAGGTAGGTTGGGTCTTTCTGTCCATTCGCTGGGTGCGCGTAGTATCTAGCTCGAAATGTTGGCTGATTGCTATTGTAGAGAGCTGAACTGCAGTCTTGCTGCACGAAGTATCAAGATACAAGCTATACTTATGCCAAACATAGAGGTTAATTGTTGAACAGCTCAAAATTTTCAATATTACAAGGGACTTCTTGATGCTAAACTACTCGCGAGGCCTTACCCTTTTAGGCCAATCCTCGTAGTCTAATTCAACATTCCACCGTTCTGGACGCCACGAGTCAGGTGCTGTTGCAAACAATTCGATATGGGAAGCATCTACTATGTACCTATCGTAGAAACCCCAATCCTCTATACTGCTATGAACCCTATCAGGTATTATATGTTTCGCCAAGTAATTGCTACTCTGCCTTAGTTCTACTATATATATTTTCTAAATTTTTATAAAAGCGTCAAGATCTATCTCTAATTTCTTACTGCGAGACTTGAGGCAATAGATGAAATAGGAAGAATAACCATCTTCCCTAGCCTGATTTTAAATATGGGCTTCTCAAAAAGCTAGAAATATTAAAGCTGTACCAACGTTGTCAAGCAGCCAGTTAAAGAGATTTTTATCTTATATATGGATTGCTACGTATAAGACTATTAGTCTTATAAAGGATACTACACTTGTAAGAGCCTTGTATATACTTGAATATGCTTAATCAGGATACTAGATTAGATATAGCATATTGTTTCTAATATCATTAGAAGATTAAATTTTATATATATTAATAATATGACTTAAGTTATTATTTATAATTATCTAAGCATATATCGCTTTCCTTATATATACGCTAGCTATTTTATCTAGTATAGTTTAGGTCGCACACCAGAGACTGTTACGAAACCAACTTGCATGATACTAGGCAGAATCTAGTACTATTAAGGGAAGGCGTTTATTAAAGCAGCTAACACTATGACTAGTTATTTCCATGGCTAGATATATAAGTGGTTAGCTAAAGATATAGGCTTATAGTTGATATAAGCAGGAAATATATAACTATATATATTTAAAAGAATAAAGAAGTGTAGGAAGATTATATATAAATAGAAAAAATAATTATTAAATATATACTAGTATCTATATTAGGGTATAGAAAAAAGTATAAAAAAATATAATTTATATAAATAT